AACCCCAACCCCAACCCCAACCCCAACCCCAACCCCAACCCCAACCCCAACCCCAACCCCAACCCCAACCCCAACCCCAACCCCAACCCCAACCCCAACCCCAACCCCAACCCCAACCCCAACCCCAACCCCAACCCCAACCCCAACCCCAACCCCAACCCCAACCCCAACCCCAACCCCAACCCCAACCCCAACCCCAACCCCAACCCCAACCCCAACCCCAACCCCAACCCCAACCCCAACCCCAATAATACTTGATGGTTTTTTTCTTTCTAAATTTAGACTTTATCATTTTATTTAATTAACAATTTTTCATGGCATTTTTTTGTGCTAACCTTAAATAAAGTTTTAAAAAATAGAAATTAGAAAATGTTTTTAAGATTTTATATTTTGATAAACTTGAAATTAAGTTTGTAAAGGTCATTTATTAATTTTTATTTTTATTTTAAATTTATACAAGAAATTATTTTTGATTAGTTTTATAGTTTTGTATGCAAACAAAGAAATATGCAATTAGATAATCAAAACAAAAATTATCTATATTTATAATCTGATTGATTGAAATTTGATAGGCACTAAAAAATGTAATGTAATTTGCTTTTTTTGATTAAAATAATAGTTTTTTATGAATGTACTTTTCGTTAAAAAATGTTAAGCCAATTAAAATTTATTAGCTGGTTGATTGATCAAATTTTGATGATTTCTATTGATAATTTTTTAGATTAAATTAAAAATATTTCTTAATAATTAATTAATTAATTAGTTGTTTGTTTGTTTGTTTGAAATTTCGATGATTTATTTTGAAAATTTTTTTAGATTACATTTAAAAATGATCTAAGTGTTTTATATAAAAAAATTATTGAAAAGCCAATAAATTTTCTTCAAATTAAATAATTAATAATTGTCAATATTTAAATAATATTTTTGTAAATTAAAAATGAATTAAGAGTATTAGGATTATTTCTAATAAATTGATAAAAGCTATTTTGCTAAAAGTTTAAAGCTTAATGGGTGGCTCTAAATGCTGGAAAAAATTTAAAGCATCAACAAATTATAAGAAATAGTCGAAGTAAAGAATAACAAATAGAGTATCATTATAATATAGCAAGAAGCACAAGACAATATAGTGAAGAAATCTGCTTTAAAAGTTTAAATAATTGCTGCTTAATAAAAGAAGGAAACAGAAAATAATAATTTGAATAGCGAGTAAATAAAATTCTTTTATGGGGTTATTTCTTGCAACTATATAACTGTTAACCAATTTTATATCATGGTAGAAGAGTATCAGTACTATAAATGCGATCTTGGTTCTTATTTGAGAGATCTAAAATAAAGCAAATAGGAAGTAGATAAATTATTTAAGAAATAATTTGTTGATTAGCTTGGTCAGCTATTTGATTTTTTGGAGTAAAATGGTTATCCGAAAATTTAATTAACTTCTTCAAACATATATATCTGTGAAGATAATGCTATACTACTTAGAGAAAAATTTGACATTAAGGGATAGAAATGCTACTCTAATGAACAATACTTAAAAACATAAAAAGATTAATTCTCTTTTTTAATTGGGATACTGCTATTAATGCTAGATAATTTATATGATTTTCCTTTTGAAAGCTTTAAAAAACATTTAATATTAGAAATGATTTAAAATTTCAAGGAAGGAAACATCCCAAATTATTTGAAAATTAATTAATAGAGCGTTGAATTCAAAATATCTATGTTTCTCTTTTAACAAATAGGCAAACCCTCTGCTCAATCAATATCTTTTGTAGATGAAATAAAAAAAATAAAAATTAATTTTGAAGAAAATATAGAAAATTTAAAAAATCCCCCACTTCTTAATAGAGTTCAGAGCTCGAATAATAATAAATCTTAGAAAACTCTATGTACAGAATCAGATAATTTGATAGCAAAAAAATCTAAAAGTGTTGACTCTAAAAATATTAGTGCTTTTTTAGCCAAAAAAGAATCAATAGCAAAATACTCTTATTTTGAATAAAATATAAATGAGTAGTGTTACAAAAGCAGTCACCCATCATTAATAAGATTGAAAAACGAATGCAGCTAAAAAAAGTTAATTTAGCTAGAAATAAACCTTAAATTTAAATGCTGTGATAAAAAATTATGCTTTTAAGAATTCTCTCCTATCGATTACTCTAATTACATTTCTTATATAACAAAAAATCAGAGAGATTTGTAGACTTTGTCATTAAAAAGTCATAGAACAATTTTTTAGTCCTAACATTTAAAAATTATTATTGACAGTTTGAACTCTTTTAATTAATAGCTTGTCAATCTCGATCTTGATTTGAATAACGCTTACTAGCTCAACAAAGATATCTTTTATAATCTTATCAACATTAGCAAAAGGATTAAATCTTTGAAGCTAAAATTTAAAAATAGCTATTTTTGCTACGAAGACCTAAATTCTCTCAAGTCACTGCTAGAATTATCTGAAAAAATAGAAAAATTTGAATTAGATTTATCTGGTAGTATTTAAATATGTGATTTAGGCATGTAGAGTATCTTAGATGGTTTTAAAAAATTTAACAAAAATCTAAAAGAGTTAGTCTTGAAATTTGCTCAAAACAATAACATGAAATCCAGCGCATTTGAAAAATTTAATATTGCAACAACTTAAATAACTTTCCTAACAAAATTACATTTAGATTTCTCTTCAAATATCCATTTTGATAATTAATTCATAGAGAAAATATCATCTTTCATTTTATAAAATGTAAAATTATAAGACTTTTACTTAAATTTAAATTCTAATACAAAAGTTTCCGACTAATCTTTATGCGAATTAATATATAACTTGCATTTTTGTTAAAATTTATGTGCAATAGAATTACTCTTTAATAGCAACAACTTTATAACAGATGCATCCTTCAAAAAAATATTTTAGATTAGTAAGTGTTTGTAAAAATTTAAGCTGTAACTATCTAAAAACAAATAAATCACAGATGATTTCTTAAAAAACATTGGCTAACTAATCTAAAATAATGCTAATCTAGAACAATTATTGCTAAATTGTTCGGAAAATGAAAACTTTACTTTGTAAGGTATAGAACTTTTAACTAAATCATTCTAAAATAAGGATACAAACTCTTCTTCTTTAAAAGATATTGACCTTGATTTTGCTAAATGCTTAAACTCTGATAATAGATGGGCCTGCTCTATTGCAAGAAATTTAATTTGTTGCAATGAGTTAGAAAAAATAAATTTTAATCTGAATTTAGCATAAAACGAAGATGATTAGGCATTTAATTTGTTTTCTGAAGGTTTGAAAAATACATAATAACTAAAAGAATTATCTTTGACTTTTTCAAAATCTCAGTTTGTAATTGACCCTTTTTCTGATACTTAAATTAATTCTGGTATTTTTAGTAAACTATAGATTTTGTCATTAAATTTCGAATAATCTCATGTCTTTGATGATTAAACTCTTATTTACATAGGAAAAATCATTAGCTAGATGGAACTTCCTTAAAAAATAGAACTTATTTTCACCAATAATAAAGAATTCACAGATTAAGGAATTTAAGCCATTTTTGAAAACTCAAAGTTTGAAAATAACTCATTAGAAGAGCTCATTATAGATTTTTAAGAAGCAAAGAAAATAACAGATTAGGGATTAATAAGTCTACTTAAGAGAATTGATAAGTAAGATAGTCTGAAATATTTGATGTTTAATTTTAATAGCAGCAGTAACATTTCTGATCTGTTTCTTTAGTAGATAGCGATTTCATTAGACCTAACCATTTATCTAGAATAAATTAAATTAGCATTTTCTAATTCAAAATTTACATAAAATGGAATATTATAACTTTCTAAATTTCTACAGCAATAAAAATAATTAATCAAACTAAACCTAGATTTTAGCAAATAACTCGATTTGTCGATGAATTGTTACTCTTTTCTTAAAACATCTCTTTCGTAAAACCTAAATCTATTTGATTTGCATTTAAATCTAAGTGAATAATATGAACTAAATGATTAAGGATTCCTTTCTTTGTGCTGTGGAATAGGACAAACTAGAAGTATTTAAAATCTAGTTATAAACCTTGAAAGAAATAATTTACTTACAAATAAATCTTTAAAATATCTATCTGATGCAATATTAAAATGCTAATTTTTAAGATTATTAGATTTGAATATGGATAAAAATGATTAAATAGATTCATAAGGCTTAATTTTTATTAGCAAGGGAATTGAAAAAGCATAATACATCAGCTAGTTAATAATTTCAATGGCTAATAATACAAAAATCAAAGGATAAAATATCTTATGTCTGATGAAGGCAATTCAAAATAAAAGATAATTATAAGTTTTTAAACTAAATCTATGTAAAATATAGGGCTAACTAAGCAATATAAGCTAAGAGTTTTCTAACTGCATAAAAAACCTTAAAAGTTTACAAACTCTACATTTAGAGTTTAATTCAATAAGTTGTGTAGATAATAAATTTTTAGATTACTTAAAATTGGGGTTAAAAGAATGTAAACTTCAAAAAGATTTGTTACTAGATTTTTAAAATAGTTAAATTAACCCAATTGGAATTTAAGAGTTTTCTAAAATATATTCAGACTAAAAAAATTTATAATCTTTCCGAATGTATTTTTCAGGAAAATATGATTAAATCAAAACTACAGAGTTGCATATTAAATCAAGCATTCTTACAAACAATCAAGATGTATTAATTTAAATGGATACTCAAAGGCAGTTTAAAGTTAAAACTGAAAATTGAAAATGAAATTATTTTTATGTAATAAATATAAATTAATTATCTAAAATTTAGATATAAATTAATTAGCTAATTTTTATGTTTTTCATATAATTTTTATTAGTTTTTTTTGAATATATAACGCCCTTTCTCAAATTTTAATAGCTTTTTAAAAAGTAAATAATTTTTTTTCCTGATTTTCTAATTTAAAAAAAAAATTAAATTAATTAAAATTTTATAAATTTAATAAGAAAAGTAAAAATAAAGTGCATAATATTTACTAGTTAAAATATTTAAAAAAGAAATAAAATTCATACAATTTATATAAATAATATTTTAAAATCAAATTTATTTAGGGTATCTCCTTCTGTGCTGTTCCATATCTTCCATCATTTGCTCATCATCATCATATTGAATTCTTGCCTTGCTTCTTTATTCAGGTTTATGGTTTTTATTATCTTTTCTCAAGAAATATATTAAAAGTAGACCTAATAATCCTATTATGAAGAAAATTTTAGCAAGAGAAATTGTATTTTATTCATTTTAGGTTTTATCTTCAACAGATTTTTAATTTGTATTTTCTATCTTTTAGGAACAATATATCTTGTCAACGTATACACAAGTTTCATCAAATAAGAGTGAAGTACTATAATTAAACTTGCAAAAAGCTTTATCTGCTTTAACTATGATGGGTTATCTAGTAATAGAGCCTTTTTAGTCATATGATAAGCACAAAAGTTAATTAGTCTTATTGCTTGAGTTAATTTTGTACTCCATTTCAAATTCCTAAGGTTTAGCTTAAACATCTGCTAAGATTCTTTATGATTAAGATTCTATGTAAGATATTGTAAAAAGTGGGTGAGTATTCTTACATTCAGAATCTTTGCACAAGTAATTTTGCTTCATGTAGGTTAGAATCATAGCAGTAGGGTTAAAAACTGGAAGTTCTGATTTTTCCTCAGATTCTTCTATTAAAATTGTTGTCTTATGTTCGGCTATTTCATCTGAAATGAACTTAGTCTTAAATTTGTAACCTTTTACTTAAGCTTAAGCTGTAATTTTTAGATCATCCTAACCTAAAACAATAGATTTATCATAATATTCTGGCTTAACTAAGTTTAATAGCTCAAAGACCATCTACTTTTATTGATTTAATGTTTCGCTAATACTTGCAATATCTTTTTCATCTTTTTGTTTTTTGCTAATAATTTAGTTAATTTTATTTTCATTCTATGAAGTCAATGTTTAGATAGGCTTTAAAATATGTGATTCAAAATCTTAGTCTGCTATTTTATTTTATTCATTCTAAAAGAAGTTTTTTATGTTTAATAGAACTTGCTATGCTGAATTTGCTTCTTTACAAACACCTTTGGAGTTTTCATATGTAAATTGTTCATTTTCTTTACATTTCAAACATTTTTTACCTTCTTCATCTACTATTTCATAAACTTAATTGCAGTTATTTAAGCATTATCTTCCATTTGATTTAATGTATTATCCTTATGGGCACTCTTTTAAGCAGCTTTTTTTGTCTTCAGAATAAAAGGAAGTTTAGGGGCATTTTTAAACACACTCATTCTCATAAACTAACTCATTATTAGCACACTTTTCACTGCAATATTTTTTGTCTGATGAGATCTTTCTATTAACACATTAAGAAGTCTAAATACACTTATTATATTAATTATTATCTCCGAACTCATAAATTAACTCTCCTTCTTCGCATTTAGTAACGCATTTAATTGATTTAATATTATCCTTTGTTTCTTCTCTGATTATCTCTTCACATTCTTTGCATTGTTAAGCTCCTTCTTCAACCTCTACAAATTCATTTTCACCACATTTGTCAACACATTATTTTTCATCTGAAGAAATAAATTTCTTACATTCATTTTTTTACTCTATGCAAATTTGATTTTCAGTGTCTAAAATTTATTTATTATTACATTTACTTGAGCACTTTATCACATTATCTCCTTCTTTACTAACTTAGTAATATCCTTCAGGGCATTTCTTCAAATCGCAGTATTTTTACTCAATATTGTTTTCTTCATCCAATATTTGATAAATTTTACCTTCACACTTTGAGGAGCAAATACTTTTTTCCTTATCAATGATAAATTAATCACAATTTGAACATTTTTTACTGTCATTAAATGTAAAAAATTCTTTTGGACATTCTTTTATGCAGAGCTTAGCATTAGTTATATCATATATGAAACCTTTACATTCTTCTTCAGTTATGCATTTGTTTTCAAATATTATTTTATCGCCACAACCTTAACATTTTCTATCTTTTATGATTCCTAAACAAATATCATCTTCTTTTAAGCATTGAAGTGAGAGTAAATCAGTAATTTCATCATCCTTGCAGTAAATGCATTCTTTTTCGATTTTAATTCCTCCACATTCTGTATGATCTTATAAACATTTTTTATTTTTTCTGTCAATCAATTCGTTTTCTTTACATTAATAGCATTTATTTTCCTTTACATAACCTTTGCAATCTTTCTCGTTTACTAAACAAATTTTATATTCTTCATCAATAATTTCGTCTTAACCGCAATCATTAACACATATATTTAATTTGATTGAAGTATATAAATCCTTACTTTTACAAGTTGCACATTATTTGAATTTTGATATGTCTTAATACTTAAATATATATTCGCCTTCAGGACATTTATCTACACATTGGTTTTTAGAATCTAAAAATTTGGTGCATTCACATTTCTCTGTGGGTTTGCTATAATCGCAATCATTTTTACTTTCTTCTGTAGCCTCTATTTTCTAGACAATCAGAATGAAAGCAAGCATGATAATTAACTTTTTATAATTTTTACTCATTTTTAACAAAAATACTAAAATTGCTTTACTTATTAATTAAATTTCCAATTATAAAATTTTTAATATTTAGATATTTATATGCTTTTAAATAGAAAAAAATTAATATAATAAAAATAAAGATACATAATGAGTAAAGAATTATAAAATATCTTTAAAAATCTGATATAAAAGCTAATAGTTTGCTATAAAATAATACCAAATCTATTTTTCTGAAATAGTACCTTGTTTAGAGAAGATACTAGAATTTTTAGATTTACAAAAATATTATATTACTAAGAAAGAAAGAAAAAATAAAAAAGCATTTTAAGAATTTATTTGTTTTTAAAATAAACATATAAAAGCTAATTACACGTGTTAGTAAAGTAAAACTAGACTAATTTAATTATTTGAAATATTTAAATAAAGGTAAAAAGGATTAATCCTAATAAATGCTTTTAATTTTTTTAAATTTTACAAATGTGATAATGAAAATGATTCTTAATATTTTTTTATATCTATGAAAAATATTTCAATAATCTATATAAATAAGAAAAAATTAAATTCAAGATAAAAGAGTGAACTAACCAACTAACTATTAAATTTTAATTAAATAAGAAAAATTAAAGTTAAAAGTTTTTTTATTTTTGTTAAATAAATTATTAATTAATTCTATTTTATTAAAAGAAAATTATAAAATTCATATTATATCATTATTAATCAGATAACTAAAATAACAATTTTTTTATCTTGTCTAAAAATTATGATTTAAAAAATTATGTATTTTTGAAATTATAATAAATTAAAATATTAATTATAATTCTATTATAAAATTTAAAATCTGATTTTTTAATAAATAATTAAAAATATTTCTTAATAAGTCAATTCCAAACGACTGAATTTTTGAATGGCATCTTGCTATATATTGATCCCATGGAACTAAGTGATCATTAAGAAAGTGAAATAAATCTGTTTAATTTAAAATATTTGATTTAGCATTACAAATAAAATAATTTAATTAACGACTTTTCTTAATTTCAATATTCATTTCATGGATAGGAAAAGAATTAAGATAAGATTCTTATTAAGAAATTTGTTTAATTTTAATTGCATATTTTACATAATATTAAAATGAACTAAAAAAATTGGCAAAAATTGCCCCTGATACTAGAAGAGATCTCTTATAAAAGATTCACAATTTTAGATAATATAGATATTTCTTATTAGCTCAGTAATTTAAGCTATTTAATGGCTAAACTATATTCAATTTAATTGGACTTTTTAAGATTTGGATAGAATAAATTTATGGTGATGGAATTAAAGTAAATACATTTAGTAATAAGCAAGAAGCTCCTATTATTTTAGGTTCTGATGAAGATGGAGATAACTTTGATGAAAATGATGATAATGACAATGATGAAGATGCAGCTGAAGAGAATGAAGATGAAGATACTAATCGAAACATTTCAAAATAAAATTCTAAATAGAATAAAAAATAAAATAACAGTTAAAAAAAAATTAAAAAAGCAAAAAAAATAATAATGAATTAGAAAATCCTGAAAATTAATTACAACAAAAAATATCTAAAAAGAACACATAGAAAGAAATGAAACAAATTTGGGTATGATTAAAGTCTAGATTGAAGAAGTCATGAAAATTTGATTGTTATTAATTCAATCATTTCCAAATTAAAATAACTAAAAGATTTATTTAAAATTAATTTGTAATTTTCACCATGAACTATAAATTTTTTATTTTTAATGTAACTTGATATTATTTAGTAATGCAAAATTTAAAACTAACTTAAAATTTTTTTTTTGTATTATTATTAAAATATTTCACTAAATAAGATAAAAATGTATATTTCTTTTATTTTTAAAAGGCTAAGCAAAATAAGTTACCAGATTTTATTAATAAATATACTCGTCATGTGTTAGATAGATTAGGAGGTTTTAAGTATGACGATGAGGATACTTTAGATATTACAAATTTACCTTATTATGGACCTGTTTTACTTGATAATTACACATAAATATTTAAAAAGATTTTTGATTTTTTTGTAGCTTTAAGTGTACTTTAAGTGAAATGAGTTTTTCTTTGTAATGAATTAGAAAATATTATTAAAGAATTTAATATAAAATGAATGAAGCATATTAAATAATCAAGAAACAACTTTTTTATATAAAATTAATTTTGAAAAAGACTTTTCTCATTGAATGATAATATTTTTTATTTTACTTTTAGATGCTATTATGGACAATCGAAAAATGGAATGAAATGGGGAAGAGGAAAATAAGTATGGAGCGATGGTTCTATGTATGAAGGTTACTGGTCTAATGATATGGCTAGTGGAAGAGGTAGACTTATTCATGGAGATGGTGACGTTTACAAAGGCTAATGGTAAGAAGATAAAGCTGATGGTGATGGAGTTTACATTCATAGAGATGGCGCTAGTTATACTGGATAATGGGTATAAGATAAGTAGCATGGTATCGGTATTAAAAAGTGGATTGAGGGAGCTAGTTATGAAGGATAATATTTTTAAGGAATGAAACAAGGAGAGGGTATCTTTTTGTGGGCAGATGGTAGTCAATACCATAGATCTTTTAAATAAAATAATATTCATGGAAAGGGTTAATACAAGCAGGAATATTATATAATTTTTTGTGAATTTTTAATCAGTAAAAATTCTTTTTTTAAATTAATTATTATATATAAATCTATAAAATTTTAGGTGGAAAGATAAGAGATAATATACTGGAGAGTGGAAAGATAATAAAATGCATGGACTAGGCTAATTTACTTGGCCAGATGATAGGAAATATTATGGAGAGTATAAAGATGACAAGTAAAATTTTATATTTGATGAATTAATGTATATTTTAAAATCTATTTTTCAATCAGAAAACATGGTTATGGAGAATTTACTTAGCCTGATGGAAAGAATGTTAAAAGTTTACTGGGGAAATGGAAAATAGCACGGTAGAGGAACTTATATAGGAACAAGTAGAGTTGAAAGGGAAGGTGAGCGGTTCGAAGGAAGAAGACTAAAATGGATTGATAAATGATAATTTTAAAGAACTCAAAAATACATTTAAAGCCATTAAAAAAATGAAGCTAGCGATAGGAAAGTTTTAAAAATCTAAAAAAATAAGAAAGGAAGGAAGGAAGAAATGAATGAGCAAAAAACTAATAAATATAGAGATCTTTAAGCCATTCTCTCTAAATTTATTTAAAATTTTGATAATTTAGCAATCAATCTAATTAATTTCTGCATTCTTTTTAGGCCTGTAAAAATGAGATAGATTGGAAACTAAATAATTAGTCTCTTCTAAGTTTTTAAAAATAAAAATAAAAATTTAAGGAATTTATTAATGATTTTTTTGATTACTCTAAATTAATCAAACTAACAAAAAAAAAACAAAAAATAAAAATTAAAAAACAGATCAAACATAGTTTTTTCTTAATTCCCTCAAATAAACATACTGAAAAAATTTCGTTAGTGCTGTTTTTTCAAACATACAATATAAAATAAAATAATAAAAAAATACATTAATTAAATTAAATTTAGTTATGTTTTTCCAAATTTTTAATATCTTTACTCTATTCTTATGATTCTTTTATTGTATCTATTTTTTGTTACTTGCTCCTTTTTTCTTTTATCTAAGTTAATTTATGCTATTTCTTTCAACTTTCTTATCATAAACATCTAAATAAGTAAATATATTAAACTTAATTTTTATGATTATATCAAAATTTGCTTTATTTTTATCCGATCTAGAAAGTTAAATTACCTTAAATATGTGTTAATAAAGAGTTAATAAACTAAAAAAATCTTAAATTGTGCTATAACTGAGTAGTTATTCTATGCTAAATGATTACAAACTTAAAGTTAACAAAATAAATAATTTTTTAACTTATTGACAAAAGTTGTTTTTACATATTGAAAAAAATATAACAAGTATGATCAGTGGATTATTAGCTACTTAAGTATTAAGTTAAAAATTATTCAATTAATAATACAATTATTGAAGAAGATTTTAAATAATTAATTAATAGTGAAAAAAATACATAAATCTATTATCTAAAAAATCATAAATATAATAAGAAGAGCATAACATAACAAACAAGAGACTAGAATATAGAATTTTAGCAGCTCAAATGAGGGCCTTATACAAAATCTTGCAAATAGCTTTCCTTCTTTCATTTATCTCTTGCGGAGGTACTTAAATATTTTTACTTTTTTATTTTTTTTAAGTCAATCATAATAATTATGATTAAAACTTTCAAAAGATAGTACAATTTTATTAGTAAAAGAGTAATATCTAATATTATTTTAATACTAAAATGCTATCATTTAAGAAATTAACTTACTAAAAATATTTTTTTAGGCGAAAAGTTAAATTCAAATACATTCTATTTAAGTAAAACCAAAAATGATAGAAGAAAAATCATTTAACTCTTATAAGCCAAACTTTTATTTTGCTAAATTTTTATTTTTAACAAATAATTTTTAATATTTATTCATACTTGCAAACAAAAAAGAACAACAAATAGAAGGTCCTAACCAATCTCAATAATAAACCAGTTTAAATAATTCTTCAGATCAATAAGTTGATAACAATTTTTAGACAAGCAGAAACGGTTTATTAAATAACATCAGTAGTACTATCAGGATAACACAACAGAATTAGACAAATACATTATCTACATTAAATGGATTTTCTGTTTCTAATTAATCTACAGTTCAACTCGCTTAAGGTGAAATCGTTGACAATTTTTATTACTCTGAAACACTTAAATGCTTCTTTGTTATTACTGAATAACAAAACTTTATTTACTTCAATCCTAACGCAACTGACATTTCATCAAGATAGCAATTGATTTTTAATGTTTCTCAAAGAAAAGACGACAAAAAATTTATTAGAAAATTTTACTATAGTGAAACTTATTAATATATGATAGTCCTATATGATAACTAGCCTACATATATGTTTAATAACTTTAATTAAAATCTTTTTAGTAATAGCAGCTCTCTTTCATCACTAATAGAAGTTTACATGTTTTCAGTAAACTCTGAAAACATGATTAAAGTACAATTTTAGATTCAGGTAAGTGAAATATTGACAGGAGCAACTCTTATGTCTCCCATCATAGACTTTAGTGTATCGAGTAGTGATAGCAAATTTATGTATTTAACAAATCAAAACATTCAAGTGTATGAAACGAACATCTTGGGTAATATTTAATTTTATCCTACTTTCAATTTACAAAACACTAACTCCTAGAATCCTTTTTCAAATGGATTTTCAAAGCTTTACTTCTCTTAGAATTTAATTATCATTATGAATAATTTGCAAGGCCTTATTTGTTATCGTATGGATACTAAGCTATGGTATGCTGGAATTATCACTTACACTAATCCTACATTTCAATTTATTTATCAAAGCAAAACGTTTTTCATATTTTTTGGAACGAATATTCAACAAGGTAGCTTAACAACATTTTAACTTGTGCTCTAGGATACTCCAATCAATAACGCTCTAAACAACACTAATATTTCATTATTTAGTTCGATCCCTTTATTTATTACAATCAGTTAAAATTTCATGCTCGCTGTTTTTTAAAGCAGTACAGTGGCAATTTATTAAATTGTTTACAATAACTCAAGCTCAAGTTAATTCAATTTTGTGCTCTCTTAAACTCTTTAAATATAGCATAATATAATTTAGCTGCAAATGACATCATATGCTCTCGTTATCTTGAACTATAAATAGTTATCTATTTTTTCAAGAATAAATATCTCTACTCCTCCAGTCTAGACCAACTATGTTAGCTTAGATGCTTCATAGAATGTTTGGTAGACATCTAGTAATTCCCAATAAGCGTCTTTCTGCGCTTTTTATAATAATACTGTCTATATATTGTCTTCATCTAGTATATTTATTAGCTCCTAAAACTAAGCTATTAGCTCAATACCAGTAACAAATAGTAATCCAATCATTCTATTTGGAGTATTTGCATATCCTCCATCTTACTATTACTTAGACTCAATGTTAAATTTGGTAACTATTTTAAATTTAATTATACCATAAATTAAATTAATTATTATTTTCGAGCTTTTATGTTATAATACGCATTATTAATGCTGACATATAATTTCAATTAACATAAAACCCCCACATAAAGATACATAAATAGTCACAATCAAAATTTTAAACTTAAAATAAGATAAAATAAATATGATTTAACACCACAAGCAATATGAATTTTTGATAAGCTTTGAATAAATGCATAGAAAAGCATTTAATTTACTATAATACATAAAATCTCATTTAAATGACTCTATTTTAAAATTATTTTTGGAAAAATTTTTATTTAAGAAAGATTTATAAAATATTTTTCATAATGAAAGTCCTGCTGATAAATACTTATGACTGCGCATAATGAATTTTTAATTTTTAGTAAAATATAACTTTGATTTTTATAATTTGAAAAATAAGAAAGGAGATTTTATTTGTTTCTCTTTTTCTTGTTTCAATAATAAAAAATCAAAAATAAGTACGCATTTTTTGAAATAAAATTTAAAAGCTTATTCTTTTTTATTTGTTTATTAAAAAATTTACAGAGTTAAATTTATTAACTAATTTTTAATTAATAATAGTAAATAAAGTCAATGAACGTGACTTTAAATAACTAGATTATTATTAAGAATTTGAATACAGTGTTCTAAAAGATAGATTAAGTTATTTAGACGTTTTAAAACATAATTTTTATAAAGGGAAGTTTCATACAACCTTCTTTAATAAGTAACATTATGATAATATAATTAGATAACACATTTAAGTAAACTTAACTAAGTGTTCCTAATTCCCTAATAACTTTGAATTGCACGTCAATTTTATATAGTAGCCTGACTTAATCTGCATATTTTACTACAAATACATAGATTTATTTAATATCATAAAATATTTAAACTCCAACAAATTTGACGGCATAGTTGATATATGATTTCTCAAATATGATTGTTGGTTTTAATAATTTTATTCAGCAGATATCAGTATCATAGTCTTTCATCTATGTCATACTTAATTATGGTATTAAAATTTATGAATTAAATATTTAAAATAATAGCGTTAGATAAATAAATATCCCTTTCAACATAGGAAATATCTTCCCATTTAATAACTTTTTAGTATTAACCAATCCTTATCAAATAGTAATATTTGATATATTATCTAATAATGTTGTTTTATTTAAACCAATAAATTAAAATAACAATAAATAAATAACTTGTGCAGATTCTTATCAATCTTCTCAGAGTAGCTATTCAGTAGTTTAATCAAGTGTTGCTCTTTTGTATAATTTTTAAAATTATTAACCAAATCTAATATTAAAATTAGTAAATAATAATTCTCCTCCTCCATATTAATTAGGTTCTTAACTCGTTTTCTAGTATTATATGACTAGTCTTTAAAGCTAAATACTAAAATTGAGTTATATTTAATAAGATCAAGATTTAGTATAAACAAACCTTCCATTTGTCATAGATTAAGTAGGAAATACAATAGTTTAGACATCTGACCTTATACTGAATACTATTGGAGGCAATGTTGTTGAGTACTATACCACGAAGGCAACAAAGTTAAGAATTGAAAGTGCTGTCTTAATATTTTGTTTCATTTAAAAAATTTCATCTCTTTTACTACCTAGCACTGTATAATCATTATAATCAATAGGTTAGATAACAAATGATGGATATATAGTTTAAAATGGACTCTAATCTGCATTTAAAATATTATCCCTTCCTTAATCTGAATAATCAATTATAATGAACTCAATTATTCGTGTGCATTATCTTGTATAAATCTAAGAAACCCTCTAATTTGATGAGCTTAATCTTTTGGCATTCACTACTAGTTCTAAGAATGTTTAGCTCAGTTTCAATATGAAAAATAATTATTATTAATTTATTTTAAAAAATATTTATACTTCAGAGGTAAGTGAAAATCTGAATTGGTAAATTGTAAATAATTCCTTCGGATTGATTATACAAGGCACTCCAAGCAACATTTAAAAATTTTTATCTTACTTTATGATAAAGCCAGCCAAATAGTCTACAGTTCCAAGTTAGGAAACAATAAATATTTTATTTAGTGATTTCTTAAATTCAAGCAAAAATATTACTTTAAAATTGTAAGATTTCTTAAATAATAATTTGCAACTTTTTAAGTAAGTGGAAGGACTAAAATTAAATTAAAGTTTGCAATCAGTTTTTAATCAAATTTATGATGCCAGCAATTTAAAAATTGACAATATTTACTTTTCTATTCCAGATGCTATATTCTAAGACTCAGACATACCAAAAAATTCCCATTTATCATAGCAAAGCATTCTACAGTATTAAGAAAAGAATAAAGAAAATATAATTTATTATTATTATCACACAACTTAAAAAGGTGATTTGGACTTTAATTAAATATAGGTAGGATAAAACAGTATAGATTATCTGTCTTCTTACAATGGAGTTGCAATTAGCTAAAATAACTTCATGATTGATACAAACAATTTCCGCGAAAAGGGATTACTTACTAATAAAATAGAATATCATAGAATAATAATTTGTGCTTAAAATGAAATTAATTAAATATGTGATGATATTGAATTCACTCTTGGAATATCTAATCCATTAGATATTTTGCTAATTTTATTGACACCGATTTGTAGTGCATTAGTTTTTTACTGGATATATCAAAGATATTATGTTATTAAATTTTTCTACAATATGAATAAAATAACATTCTCTGATGAAAAAGTTTATTCAAATAATAATTATCACAAATAGATTCCTATAATTACTGACTAATTTGAAATAGCAAAAGAACTTTGGAGCATCTATAAAGTTATTCGTATAGATAAAATTGAATAGAGAATATATGAAGAGAAACTGAATTTGTATGATGATGAAGAAAATATAGCTGCCAAATTGTTTGAATAAAACATAAGAAAAACTTCAGAAATAGCTACAACATAGCAAGCTTCTGGTCAGAACAACTAAAATGGTATAGAGATAAATTAAATCAATATCGAAAACAATCTAGGTACGAAAGTTAATTCAAGTAAGAAAATAGAATCTCATAATAATGAAGAAAACGATGTTAGCAAAAATCCTTCAACTCCTGATAATTAAAATTCTACAACTCCTGATAATTAAAATTCTACAACTCCTGATAATTAAAATTCTACAACTCCTGATAATTAAAATTCAATCATAAGACCTCAATTAAATTAAGAATTGAGGAATAGTACATTCAGTATATTCAGCAATGCATCTCCTATTAATTAAGAATAAATAGCTAATGCAGAAGTTGAAAATAATGATTAATTTAGCATATAAAATCCTAATCTAATCACTCTAAATTCTGAATAAAACTCACCAATTCTAAGATCATAATTTTACAGACATAATAACCACAATCACTCAATAATTAGGGAGAATAATATTGATCAAATAAATATGTCCTTACTAAGTTAACTTGAGAAAAGTGATAGTGGAGGTTCATAGTATAATTCGTACTAATCCTACTAAGAATTTATTTACAAAAATAAAAAAATTTAGCTAGTTTAGGCTAATGGTAATATTATCACAAATTAATTAAAAGAATCATAGGCTGAAAGCTAAGGCTACTTATCTTTTACAAAATATTAAGGTCCTCTTTTATCCTCTTATCAAGCTAGCTAATTGTAAGTTATAATAGAGTCGCAAAAAATAGAAGATGATAGAAATCAACGAATATTTTAAAAATGTTTTTAAGAAAATAATATTTAATTTAATAAAACAAATTCTTTTATTGTCAGAGATTTGATAAATAATTCAAGAATTTTTAACTAAAAAGTGTATGATCTGTGGAAAAACATGCAAGTAGTAAATCCAGTACAGTTAAATGATACTCCTGAAAACTCATAATTATTGGATAACTACGATTCTCCTAGATCGAACAGGTAAGCTTATAAAAAAAATGCTTCAAGTGGAAGTGTACTCAAAAAAATTTAGTTGAAATAACAAAAAAAGAATTTAGTAATACTCTCTAAAAATGTTAATGAACAAGTTGAAAAAATTAAAGGCTCGTTTTCAAAATTAATTAGAGATCAACTTGACTTAAAGGATTAACTTAATAAAAGACTATAAAATCTAAAAGAAGAAAACATAATTGATGAATTTTCAGGTATAAATGAAGATATTTTACTAAATGATATCAAAAAAACACTTACAGACTACTTTTAGACTAAAATACAATAAAGATTGAACGTTACTAAGTTCAAGTTTCTTCTCAACTAAGTTTAAACAATAACAAGTCGCAAAGACGCACTATCCAGATATTTATTTGTTGAGTGTGCAAGACATATATTATCCATAGATTCTATAAGTAAATATATTTATGACTATTTAAAGAAACTAGCTTTGTTATACAATAACTCAAATGATTGGTATAAGTCATATCTATTTATCATCGGCCATAATTAAGATAATTAAATCTACCCATTTCCTTCTATTGTTGTTAAAGTAATTATAATATAAATATTGTTTTAAATTTAATTTTATTATTTTTAATAATAGGATGATATGGTTTAATAGGCCTTTTTTGATTTGGGAATTCGTTTTCCTGGTAAAGAAGCTTAATACAAAGAAAAAATAAAAATTGTAGGTTAAGCATTAGTTGCTGATGCTTTGGATTTAAATAAATATTCTAATAATTGTGGAGAAAGTCTATATTTAAGCCCAGATGATTAAATATTATCTATTAGAGCAATTAATATTCCTGAGAAATCAATAGGAGGTAAAATGAGATAATTTAAGAATTTCGTATCTTGGATGATAGGAAATTTTGATAAATAGTAACTTTTAAATAATATGTATATACCCGAATGGATGAGCTGTGATATTACAAACAACACATTGCATATAAAAGGAAATCCAAATAATAGTCAAATTGGTAGGTATTTAATCATCATTAGTGGAAAAAGAAAACACATTTTACGTTCTTTTATCCTGAGAGTTTTGAAATCTAATTCTTATAATTAATCTCATAGTACTTAATCTAATTAAATTATAATGCCATTTGAAAGTGATGGAAGTCTATTTAGTAATATTTTAGGAAAAAATGAAATTGAAGTATAATCACCATTAATAGGTATTAAATAAGTCGAAATAAAATAATAATAAATCGAATAATAATAGTTATAATAATAATAGCCATAACCATAACCATTTAGATTAAAAAGTAAAAGCAAAGTTAAATAAAAAGAAGGTTAAGCAAATTCTGATCTAAGTATATCAGGAAATAAATATTTACCAAGAACAAAAAGCATATTTTAGAAATCAACCTTACCTCTTAAAAGTTCTAGCAATAAAAATTCTCCAAATAGCTATAAAAGTACAATTTAAGTAAAAGGTGAAGCAGGATAGCCACGCTTAAGAGGATTTACTGAGTATGTAGAAACATACAAAGATTAAATTCATCATTAAGATCAAATTGCTAGACCTAAATCATCTGAGCTTATTGAGGAACACAAAAACAATCAAGATAATTTAAAGCCTGTTTCTGAAGAAGAAGAAAATTATGATGAATCTTCTTTTAAAAGCTCTTTTGTTAGCGAAAATATCAATATTTTCAACTAAATTTCTCCTCATTTAGATTATGTTATTGAACCTAAATTTTTCCCAGACATTAAAGATATATCAGAAAATATATTGTATACAAGCTCTAACGATTTATAAACACAATGAGGGTAGTCTTAAGAAGATAGTATGACAAACTGATATTTTATAAAAGTTAAATTTAAATTTACAAAAATTTAGTAATTATTAATTTTTTAATAAACACAAAAAATACTTTTAGATTATCTGTATTGAATTTATTTACTTTAAAGATATTAATTAGTCTTCTATTATTACTATCCTTATTTTTTATAAATTTCAATATAATTTATTTTTAATTATTCATAAGTAAAAAAAATGTTTTATAAACCTTATATTAATTTACACCCAAATTACTTAAATTAAATTTTTTTATTTAAATAATCTACTTAAATTAACTTTTTCATATATAGAAAATATTATTAAAATATTTTTATAAAAATTGTAAATAAAATTTTTTTTTTTTAATTACATTTTTGAAAAATGTAAATTTTGATAAAAAAAATTAATAAATATTTTTCAATAAATTTTGTAAAATATTCAAATATTTTGGATGAATTTTAAATAATTGTAAATTGTTAATGAAAATATTCTATTTTTAACAATATTTGAGCTAAATTAGTTTATAGCTGATAGAATTTGAAATTTTCTTTATTTATTTATTTATTTATTTATTTATATATTTGATTTGAGTTGAATTTAAAAATGATTGGATGTAAGTCTTTTAAGGAGATTTTATATAAAATATACAATTTATATGTAAAAATTAATGTATAGATAGATTATAATAATTAATTAAATTATTTATATAAAGAATTATAATTTTGAAAATTATTTATTTATTTATATATGTTATAGGGTTATTTTATATTTATTTATTTGTTTGATTATGATAGTAAAATTTATTTTTTTATTTATTCTTTGAATTGAATGATAGATAGTTAGTTAGTAACTATATTTGCATGCATTTCAACTAGGTTCGCAGTAGTTAGCATGAAGTTATAATCTACGTTCGTCTAAATTTGAGGCCTCTTCGACAACAATTAAAACTTAGTCTACATCTACTAACTTTTTAATAATTTGAGAATATATTTTTTTTAATTTAGTAGCATCTTCTTCTGTTTGGATAAGGTCATTTTCTAATAATTGCTTAAGAATTTATTCTATAATAACTCTTTATTCGAAACCATCTAATTTATTAATAAAATTCAATTTAGTATTTGGAGGTAATAAATAAATAAAATTAATTTACTTTGTCTTTCAACTTCCATTCCGTCTTCTCCTTCTGTGGAAACTCTAAGACTATCTTCTATTTCTAAATCTTTGACTGTTTGAATGATTATCTTTCTCATGTTTAAGTATTCCTCATAAGTAATTGAGATTTTACCTTCCTTCTTTCTTTATTATTGTTGTTTTTTTTCAATATCTTCTTACTATTTTTTTTAAAATTAAAATGATTAATTAGTAAATAAGGTATAAAAATTTAATTAATTGTTTTTACAATAATGTTTTAGCCTTATTCTTTTTATTAGTTGAGGTCTATCTTTTGCTCTTCTTCATCTTAGATGTCCAATTATCCCTTTTCTATTTTAAGAATAGAATTGCTGAGTAATCTTGCGGCTTCCTATACAAATTCAGCAGTAACTTCTGATTGAATGTGAACTCTAGCCAAAGCTTCACTTAATCTAATAAGAGATTCAAGCTGTCTGACTGTAATTCTGTATGAAGTATTTTAAGAGCTTGAATCATTTTATCTAAGTTTTACATAGCATTTTTGCAATTCGAGGGCAGCTTCACGAGTGAAAATTGGCTTTATAGTTCTAGCAAAACGTATATACTTAGACAAATCTTCAGTACTGATTTCAGGATTGATATTTCTTCCACAGCTTTAATGAATATTAACAATATGTTATGCAATCATTCTATCTGATTATTCGTTGCACTCATCCAAAATGACAAAGAATAAATCGAAACGAGAAAGAATGGGAGCGCTTATATCTAAGTTGTATTTTAAACCCTTGGATTTATCGTATCTACCAAAAACAGGGTTTGCAGCAGCTAAAATACTGGCTCTTGAATTCAAGGTAGCTTGAATACCTGCCTTTGAAATAGAAATTGTTTATTGTTCCATAGCTTCGTGGATGGCGACTTAATCTCTTTTATCCATCTTATCAAATTCATCGATACAGCAAATACCTTAGTCAGAAAGCATCAAAGCACCAGCTTCAATGCAATTTTCTCCAGTTTCAGGATCTTTAGAAACACTTGCAGTCAAACCAGCAGATGTTGATGCTTTACCAGAAGTATAGACTGAACGAGGAATAAGCTTATTAACATATTTAAGGAATTGAGACTTAGCAGTAGATGGATCACCTACCATGCAAATGTTGATATCACCTCTCAAGTTAATACCTTCTTCTGTTTTTTTGTTGACACCACCAAAAAGCATGAGTAAAATACCCTTTTTAACTTCCAAGTGACCATGTACAGTAGGACACAAACTAGATGCTAATCTTTCATAAACATTAGAACTTCTGCTTATTTTAAAAATGTCTTCAAGTTCTCTTTCAGAGAAATTTTCCATAATTTTTTGTCTTTCTTCTTCTTCAGTTAAATCCTATTACAAATATTATAAATTATTTATTAATAACAAAATTTCACTAAAAAATAAAAATTTTATTTAATAATTTGAAAATTTATTGCAAATATTTTTTGTTTTTAATTTTTTTTCTTATCTCAGACAAACAAAAAAACTAAAGTAAAGTAAAGACTTTAAATCTTTTCTAATTTTTGCTATAATAAAACCCTATCTATATTGCTGCTTTTCTTTCTATTAAAATGAATATAAATAATGTTAAATTTTGATTAATTACCTGATTTTCTTCTTCATCTTAATTCCATAAGTTGAATCTACTCTTTTTTGCTTCAATGTTAATAGCTAAGAAAACAAGTCTGTAGTTCAAATCTCTTTGACCTAGTTGAGAGAGACCAGTAATACCATCATTATTTCCTTCTCCTTTGACTCTAACGGCATCAGATTTAATACCCATTTCAGTTTTTTCACCTGGTTTAGTAAGAGCTGCTATATCAGGAACAACAATTAAATAACCAGTGAAAATACATTTATCACCAGGCTTAGCGGTGTCAACAACTTCACCTCTACAAACAATATCAATAGAACGAGGCATACCTCCTGCAGGAATGTCAGTAGATTCTTCTTGAACTCTAAGTTTCTAAAAATCAGAAAATACTGATGATTAGGGTTTTAACATCCACTTAGTATGGTTGTTACAGCCAGGGTTTGAACATATTTTAGGTTCAGTGTATTTAAATTGCTACTCAATATCACGCACTTCACTATTACACAATTGGCAAATAAATGTACCATAAAGTAATTCAGGACGTACTTCACTTGATCTAGTAACTAAACCCTTAATACTATTCAATTTACCTATTTCTTAAGTTCCCAATTCTCTAATTTTCTTTTCAGTTGGTAAGTTGTAAAAGCTAAGGTAGTAACTTTCCCTAATTGATTATAAAAAAATAGATTAAAATATCATAATAGTAATTCATTCATTTATCAAATATCTAAATCATAAACTAGCTCATTGTTGAGAGAGCATGCATCTTTATTTATCATTACAAAAGTAATTTATCATTAAAAAATATTAAATTATTTATTTATTACTGGCTATCGTTTGTGTTGGTTAGACTAAAGATGAAATTTGAAACAATTTTTCTTAAGTGAGGTTCAATTTTGTAGTAGTCGTTTAAAATGACATCTGAAATATCGTTGTCATCAATAAAATCTAATAAGTGATTAAAGTCAATAAAAAGTGTATTCTTTTCATAAATCTTCAACAAAAGTGCCTTTTCTCTGTAATACTTGATTTTTTTTCCATTTTCAACTACTTCAAAGCTATTAGAAATAAATTATTATTAAAATTATTTGTTAATCAATAATTGCAATATACTTGTTTAAGAAGTTAAGGAATTAGGTCTTTACTGTTTCAATCTTAAGTTAGATTGTTTAGGAAAAGTTCATCTAGCTCATTTCTTTATTATTGTTCAGTGTTTAGCTATTTTATTGGATTTTGCTTTTACTTAATTATTTTTTTTGTTTAATAAGCAATACACCTTTTTTTTTTTTGCTTTTTTGTTAATATTCGTTGATAATTTTAATTTTAGAAAGTGTATCTTTAAAGTTTGATTGACTTTTGAATTATAAATAAATATAAAAAAATCTAAATATAATAAAATTTCTTTTCAAAAAATACGCCACAATCTAAAATAAAATCCGCGCAATATTCCTCATTAAATGGCGCCTCTTTTTAAGTGACTTTAAATTGGAGCGAGCTAAGCTTCATAAATAATTCAAATTTATAAAATTAACTTTTTATATAATTTCTATCAATATCAAAATTAACTTCTACCTTAACTCAATCTCCTTTATGAATAAATAAAATATTTAAAATGATTTTTTAAATTGATTAAAATTTAAACTTTTGATTTACTAATAATCAAAGAAAATTATTCTGTGTATTATAAACAATACTTTAAAATAGTACTTGAATAATTATAAATAACGATTTAAGTTTATTTATGAATTAACTATTTACTTTTTAAAAAAGAAAAAATTATTTTAAATACATCAAAATAAAAAAATTGTAAAATTGAATAATTTAATTAAATTTTTGTAATACTTACAAAAATCATAAAAATTAATGTTAAAAAATAAATGAATGATCTTTAATAAAACAAAAATCATTTTGAATTAAAAAAAATTTTATTTAAATTTAAATCTAAAAATATATCTTAATTTTTTTAAGTTTGTTTTAGCTTTACTTAATTTTTATTTTTAAATAAATATCATTTGCTCTTTTATTTATTAATATTTATTATGAATTTTAAAAGAAAAACATTTTTTTATTTGTTTAAATAAAAAATAAATTAAATGATTTTTAATTTATAAAATTTTATTTTAGAAATATTGATTAACTTATTTGAAAAAATACGATAAATAAATATGTTTTATTAAATTTTACTATTACATTTAAATATAGTAGAAGTTATCAAGTATTTTATAATAAATACATTGGTAAAAAGTAAGTAAATAAATACTTATTAAGTCGATTAAGTTTTATACATTTTTCTTATTAAAAAAATACTTAGAAACAGACTATTAATCTCTTTAAATTAATTCAAAAAGTAAATTTCATTGTTTTTTTTGATGTGTCAATAAGTTAATAATTATTGAATGATAATTTAAATTTAATGAATATGGTAATCGTTGTCGAAAAGAATGAATTCTACATTGATTTCTTATGAAAATATTGGTAAATAATAGGCTGAGTGAGATAGTTATAATTAATATTGAATATTTGCAAAGAAATCTATCTATTAATCAGTAGGTAGGGGATTTAATAAACTTATTTTATTTATTTAGCAAATTAATCAAGAAAGCAAGGTAATTAATTAATTAAATTTAAGAAGTACAGAGTAGTTGTTATTAATTGACTAATAAGTTAATATAAACAATTTAAGCAAGTCATTCATTCATTTATTTATTTTAGACTCATTTGGAAACGATTCCTTAATCGAATAAGCCTGCTGAATAAAAGAAAGCGGGAGCTGTACCTACAAACATATCAAATTTATTTTAGAGTATGGATTACTTAAAAGAAAAGTCACGTGATAGCGATGATTCTCAGTTGATTGAAGATTAAGATGGCATTAGGAGAAGTCCAGAAAAATTTATCAAAAAAAAAAACCCTCGCAACTTTTCTTCACCAAACAATAATGAAGATAAAACGCCATTGTCCTTTAAATTTTTGTTTTAATGGATGCTGCTTTATTGGAGAGGTAACTTTAAAATTTGGAGCATAGATTTTTCATATTATTTACAAATATACTCCCATATAATTTCACAGATTACTTTTAATATTTTGAAGCTGTAAAATAGAAAAAAATATTTCAAACAAAACAATTTGAATGAATGTCATATTTTTCAGCAACATACAATATTAAATATTAGCAAATAGCAGTAGTGTTTAGAGATTATTAGCAAATAGCTCATAAAAGAAATATTATTAATATACTATTGAGCATAGATAGTTATTTATAGCATTTAAATGTTACTTAAAAATATTGATGTATTGATTGGTTTTTTGTAATTATTTAGAGAATTTCAAGCCTATTTTCAATCAGAAGGGAATGCAGTTAAGATCTGATGATTAATTAGATAAGGAGGAAACATTAGAGTATTTTGGGGTCTTTGCTTAGGGTATTAAAAGGACAAAGCATTTAGAAAAATTAAACTTATCAGGTACAGACATTCATCCATATTTACTTATTGAAATAGCATAAGCAATGACTGTAAATAGAAGTATTAAGGAACTTAATTTGTCTGGAAGTACTCTTAGTAGTTTTATGCTTTCTTATCTGTTTAAGAGATTAGTTAGCAATAAAAGTTTATAAGTTTTAAATTTATCGAATAATTAGAACTTCGATATGGAGGCGGTTCAAGACCTAATTTAGCTTATTCTGCATAAGTAAAATTAGAAAAATTAGTTAAAAGTTTTGGATATCAGTCATTGCAATATTGATTGCATGTCATTATCACTTCTTTGTTCATCTTTGTCTTATACAAACCAATTGACTTCTATTAATTTGTCTTTAATGAATTTCCCACCTATTGCACTTCTTGCTCTTGCCAAAGCACTTTCTAAAAATAAATCAATATAAGAACTGAACATATCCTTTAATAGGTTTGGAGAGAAAGGATTGAACACATTAACAAGCAACATAAGCTCTTGGGGTGTTTCAAATATCAAATCTCTCAATATTTCTGGTAACAATATAAGTAGTGATAAAGAAGTAGGCAGACTTCTAGAGAAAATACCGTGCTGTTAGAGCATAGACCTTTCTCACAATAGACTGAAAAGCATAAATAGTCTTTTTAATAAGAAATTAAACTAGCATTTAGGTGAATAATTAAATAATGAAATTAGACTAAATTTAAGTTTAAAATTATTTTTATGAAATAGAAATTCTAAAGCTGAGTGGAAATTTAATTGAATCAATTCCTGATGACATGTTCACAAATTTGACTCACTTAGATCTCAGCTGCAACTAAATTAAGTTTAAAGGAGCTAACAAGATAGCAAAGAAGCTTAGGCAAATACCAAATCCAAAATGGACTCATTTGTATTTAGATAGAAACTAAATAGAATCAGAAGGTTTTAATGATATTATTTATTCCCTCAGAGACAATTAAACTTTAAAGCATCTTTCTATAGCGTATAATTAGCTAGATGGAGAGAGTGTAATTTGTATGATTGTAAATTATGATGCGTTATAATTAGAGCATTTAGACATCACAGGTATATTCATCATTTAAAAAAAGCATTAAATATTTATTAGAATTTAAAAAAAGGAAACCAAATTCATTACAGCATAGTTTTTGTCTTTCTAAAATTAATGAAATAATGCAAACTGAAGAAGCTCAGTTTTTGCGATTTGAATAATGACACAAAAGGAGAAGGATTGCATGAATCTAAATTTGCTTTAAATTGCGAAGCATTAAAAGAATTAGATTTCTCAGGAAATGAACATATTTCTTGTTCTGTTGTTTCTTCACTGTAAAATAGATTTAATAATATTGAAATCCTTAATCTAAAAGGATGTTCACCTTTCCATGATTAAGATTTGATAAATCTTAGCAATTTTATTAAAAAGAGTGATTTCCTACGCCATATCAATCTTAGAGGATTGAACATAGGTAAAAATTTTTACATAAAAAATAAAAACATAAAATAAGTTTAATTATTTTAAAAGTTGAATTTATTTGATTTTTATCTCTTTTTATTTCAAATTTGATCAATCAGCAATAAATTTAAATGAATCATTGATAATTTATTTCTTATTTTCTATGCTGTCGTTGCAATAAATAATTGTTTTTATTTAAATAGGTGCATTAGAGTTGAAATCAGTGGAATACTTTTCTTAAAATTTAAAGCTAAACAATAAACTGCAATACATTAATTTGTCTAAAAATAAGCTCACTATGTAGTTTTAGACTTTAACAATACTTCTGCCAGGATTAGGTAAATGCACTAATTTAGAAAATTTAGATTTGAGCAATAACAGAATTACTCAAAAGCACAGATATCATATGCAGAGAATGATAATTAAAAGTAAAAGCTTGAAAACACTTACACTTTCTAATAACTTGATTTCTTTAGAGAATCTTTTAACACTTAATCTGGAAGATTAGTGGGAGTTATTCTTTAAAAACCACTACATTTAAAAACTGAGGAAACAAATGACACAGAATGTAAGTAATTAATCAGCAAAGTCAAACAACTAAAACATTTCAGCATTTGCATTAAATAATAATAATAACAATAACGGAACTAGCAATTTGAATGCATTAAACAATAACTACTAAATTAATTCAGCAACAAATATAAGTAATTTATCTAATTTAAATCTCATATTGAACGTTAACGGAAATGGAGTTCAAAATTTTATTGGGAATAACAGCGATTTACTCTTTCCCAAAAACGAAGAGGCTTTTGCTCGCTAGCTTGAGGAAAAAAAGAAAGAGTTTTTAAGAGAATACAAGAAAATCCTGAAAAGTAGCATGTCTGAAAATTAAATGAACTCTCTTCTTAGACTAAGGGTCAAATGTTTAAATTTATCAAGTCTTAGATTGAGAGCTGACGATCTGAGAGTACTTGGATAGATTTTGGGAGAAGGAGAAATTATTAAAGAATTAAATTTGTCAAATAATTTAGATTTTGGTAAGGCAAATTTTGTTGCTTAAAATCTCCTCTGTGACTCTTAAATGGATTCTATCAGTCTTTGTCACCAAACTTTTAGGAATCAACAAAGCTTTAAACATCTTTTTGGAGGAAATGTCCGCTTGCTATAATAAATTTTACTTAACAGAGATATTTTCGATCAGACTTCATTCAGTAGCTTCTGCTCTTCAATTGCTGCTATTGTACCTCACTAAACTTTAAAGGTATTCCATGCATAAAATCTTATTGTGCCTATAAAAATATTGCCAGAGTTAATTACGATATTGATAAAATGTAAATCTTTGGAAATATTAAAGCTCCGTAAATTGATTTTTGATGATAAATTTTGCACTCAACTTTAACTTCTCATAACCACGTCAAACAATCTTAAGCTGATTGATCTAAGCTAAAACTCATTTACTTAAGCATAATTTGATTGTATTTTACGAAGCTTTGATAAAAATAAAACTATTAGAAACTTTATTTTTGAAAGAATGCAAATTACTCAAAATATGTTTGAGTAATTGTTCAAGTGCTTATGTTAAAGTCCTTCTCTAAAATTAATCGATTTAGCTAATAACTCATTCACTAAACCAGTCATGGAATAACTTGGCATTCTCATATAAAAATCAGTAAAGTTAAAATTCTTAAATTTATCATTTCACAGAAATTAAAATCCCCATGCTCCCTAAAGAAAAAAGACTTCTGCAATGCCTTAAAATGCTAATAACAAAAAGAATGGAATTGAAAACAGTAAATTTTAAAAAGCCAAGAAATATAGTGATGAGGAAGAAAATTTTATTGATCAGTATAGCAACAATAATAATGTGAACAAAATGCAAAGAAATAACAAAGACTTTTTTGAATTAGAGAATTAAGGAGTGAATAAAAATATGGATTACACCAATGTTAACACTTAAAATCCCAATAAAAGACCAACCGCTTAAGATAAAGATTTAAATGCAATAGAGGACTATTAATCTAAGACAGAAATAAAGAAAACAAGAATTCATGATGATTTAAAAGAAATCAAGAAAAGAATTTATTCAGATTACTTCATTTGTATTGATGCGTTTGAAATTTTCATGTAAAAAAGCTGCGCTCGTAATTCGCTTAGGCATTTAGATCTCTCTGCCTGTGGTCTAACAGAAGATCATTTAGCTATATTAGTAGATACTCTTTGCTCGCCTGACTGCTAAGTGAAATCATTAAACATACCAAGTAACCCGATCATAAACGAGAATCCATCTCATCTAAAAAAGCTACTTTCTTCATAGACTTCTTGTCTTTAAGAACTTAACTTGAAATACTGCAGATTGACAGCAACTGCACACTTGGCAATTTGTGAAGGTAAAGAAAAATAAATAAATAAAAAATTTGATATTTAAATTTATGGGAAATTTTTAATTTATTCATTCTTATTTAAAGGTCTTTTCGAAGGAAGAGGTCTCAAATGTTTAGACATCAGCGAAAACTCAGATGGTGATTTGTTTTGTGAATTTTTGAATAAAGAAATGAAAAAAAGAAAAGGCACTGATAGAAATAAACTGCAATTTTTATTTGTCAACAAGATGGATATTTCATTTAAAGGTAATGAACACTTAAAGGATGTGCTCAAAAAGATGCCTCACCTGTTTATCTCAAATGAATGGGTATAAGTTGATAATAAACTAGGAGAATTAATTTTATTATCTTACTAAAATGTTTTTAAACATTTTAACTTCATTCCAAACATGATACCTAGCTATTTGAAAAAATTGTCAATTACAGATTCTTACATCTGCGACTAATTCTGCATAAACCTGGCTAAAAAATTCTATGAATATGAGTTTTTGGAATACATAGATTTAAGTAATAATCCTTTTATAACTTCAATAGGGAAGATTTATCTTTTCCTTCATCTGTTTGATATAAGATTTGATAATTCAAAACTTAAGACGCTTTATGTGCAGAACAATAGCAAATCATTTTAAAATTAGAGCTTAGTTGATGAAGGAATCCTCTCTTGGATTGCCTATAAGTTTAGCGATATTTAAAGACAATTAGGATTCATCTAAAGACTCTATGCTAGAGTTATAAGCACAAAATACTTAATTCCCACGAAGTTTTAGCTCAATCAACATCTTAATGGAGTCCTTGAAAGGAGGTCAATACCTTATCATATAGTTATTATCCTTATCCTCCATATTTTCTAATTTTTAACTTCTTGGATACCTCTACCTTTATATTTGAACGAAGATCTTAGTGTTAATGATGATAGAACAAACAAAATTTGGCTTATTTTTATTTGCTCTTTTGCTTTATTTGTTTAAATTATCGAACTCATAGCTGTCTGTAAATAAATTATTTTATTTAAAAATAAAAAAGAAATGATTTAATTAATTGTTAAATAAATATTTGAAAAAATGCATTCATTTTTATTTATTTGAATAGGCCGAGAAAGATTAAAAAGTAATTTACTACTTCAGACTGATGAATTATACTCTGCATATTGGAAAAGTTTTTTAAATAAAAGAGAAATTTTGTTTATGATTTTAGGTCTTATTGGGCGCTTTGATGGCTACACAGACTCAGTTTTGATTGGGTTGTTTAAGGATCATGGGTATGAGTCTTTGATGGGCATAGCTTTGGTTATAGCTTTGATTAAAATTTTAAAAACAGTTATTTTATTCCTCTAAGGCTTATTTAGATGGAAAAAAATTAATGGAAAAGAAGAAATGAGCAATCAACTTTAAAATTATTGGAGACTATTTTTGGGATAAGGATTTTATGTGACAGAAAACTTTATGAATAAATTTAGTCCTTCTGATTCGATAAAACTGTCTTCAAAAATAAGCATAAACTATAAAACATTATTCCATGGTTTTTAGCTTATCTTCGAAAGTCTACCATTGTTTGTCCTCTATTTGCTTTATGCTGTGATGGTTGACAAAGATATTAAAAAGACTTCTATTACAGAATCTGTTATTATGTATGCCATATGCAAACAAATCATTTAAATTATCCATTAATTTTTTACTTTCTTGCTATTTAAGCCATCTTAAATAGGCTAAACGCATTTCGATGAAGCACTAATTACCCTTTAGTATAAGAAAGCTCTTGAAAAATTCTATTAAAATGATAATAACAAAAAGCCTTCTTCACTGCTGACTTATAATTCTAGGCCATCTAACTACTCTAATTTAAGAAGTTTACTCAACTCTAATCGCTTTAGAGATGAAATATAATATAAAATGAAAATCAACCAGTTTGAAACTGGCTCATATAACTCTTTCTTCTCAACTCACTGTAAAAAATTACTTTATTTGTTAATAAAAAAACTTGAATTTATTATTTATCTCTTATTAGATTAATATGGTGAAGAAAACATTATGAATGAAACAGTAGACGACGATAAATTTTAAGAAAAGTATATGGATGGAATGATGAAAAAAAATAAATATACATTCAGTGCGGGTAGAAATAAAGAAGAAAACTCTTCAGAAGAAGATATGCAGGAAGAAGATAAAAACTTTGATGAATCTATTTCCGTTTCTACTATAATAGGTAAGATAATATAAAATAATTTATTTAAAATCCATTTTTAATTAATGAATATGTTTATTTAATTATTTATTAAAAAATAAGACGAAAATGGGCCATCAGTGAATCTTCCTAATTCAATTTTCAATCCTAACCAACCAAAATTCATAAATAATCTATCTCTGTTAAATTAAAGACATTGTAAAATATGATAGACAGACGAAGCAAAATAAGTTAAATATTAAATTGCTCAAAAAAAAATAAAACAAAATGAATGATTTTTCCTAATTAATTATTAATTATTTTATAGATAAATAAATTTAATTTAGTTTAATTTTAAAGATAATTAACTAACAACCAAAATTCATTTATTTATTTATTTATTTATTGATAAGTAATTCTCAAATTATTTATTTTTAATAAAAGCTATAAAATATATACTATATAAAAGTTATTCATTAATATCTTTTAACTCTACCTAATATTTGTATTATAAATTATATTTTATTCTTTCTTGTTATTAATTAATTTTACTTCATTCAACTTAATTAATTATTTTTTCATTTATTAGTAAAATAAAATAATTTTAGTGAGACAGATAATAAAAATTTACTTGTAATTCTAATCAATAATAAAATATAATTTATTTCTATCAATTTATTTTATTTACCACCTCACTCACTCACCCACTCTTTTAATTTTAATTTTTACTTTAATTTTTTTTTCCACCAATTTACTTTTTTCAGGGGGATTTTCTTCTAAATAATTTTTTTTTTAACTTATAAAATAATATTTACTATCCTACAAAATATATATAAATATATATTTCCTTCTACAGAAATAGTTATTCTATTCATTATTCTATTTATAAAATGATATAATTGATTTTTACCAGAGTTATAAATAGGTTTTAGTTTACTCCTATTTTTTTTCTTTAATTCAGCTTATTTCAAAGCGATTTTTTAATTATTAATTAATTATAACAATATAATTTTAAAAGATATTTTTTTAAAATAAATATAAATTCTTTCTATCGAAACTAATAAAAATTGTATAATTGAAAATATTAGTTTTTTTAATAATTTTTTTATTTAGATTATACCAAAATTTTTTACTTAAGAAAAGCGAAAGTTGAGATAGATCTAAATAGTTAAAGATTTACTCTTATTTTTTGTAAAGTATAATTTTCATTAAATTAAAATGAATTATTTATTATTCTTTTTTTTATAAAATTTTAGAAATTGATAAATTATTAAAAATGCATAGACAGACAAATAAATAAATAAAAATATTCATTGTTTTGTTTTGATTCAAACATATTTATTTTTTTTGTTGGTATTTTTGCTATTAACAAAATGAATATTTTATTTTTTAAATTATTAATTTTAATTTAAAATTATTTTTTTTAAAAATATACTAATTTTTTTATTGAATTAATTATTTCACTTAATATAAAAATAAAAATAAATTTAATTACAAATGAGATAACTTCAAAACTATTTCAAAGAAATACAGAGATTTTATATTTTAATTTTAAGAAAAATACTAGAAAATGTTTATTTAGTGATTGATATATTATATATAGACTGTAACATTGCAAGCTTTTTAACTAACTAGCTAAAAATACAAAATAATTCTAAATTAGATTTTTTTTTATATTATTTACATGTTTACAAAGAATAAATACTTCTTCTCTCTAAAAAATTATTAAATTAAAATTTCAATTTTTTCTTAATAACTCAGTTTGAGAAAATTAAATTGGCACACCATAAAAAATTGGTTTTGGTATCGATTATCTTAAGTCTTAAGATTACTCTGTGCTCATTGTCATTTTAAAAGGACCAAAAGCTTACTAGGACTTACTATCTCGTTTATTTAAATAACTCTATTCTTCTTCGTTTTAAATAACAGAGTCTCTTAACCAAATGTCACTCTATCTTTCAACATCATCTTATTCACTCTATTAATCAAAACTTTTGTTTTCAACTTAATTTTATTAGTTTTGCTAAGATAGTTTATTTTATTTTAGCTAGCCATACTTGCTTAGTGCTCCTTCAAATGTTGGTTAATCATTTAATTAATAGTTTCCTATTATATTATTATTTAGATTTGCTACCATAGGTGAATCTATATCTTATAAAATATTTGTTAGCTTTTAACTAGGAGTATTTCCCTTAAAATTATCTCTAGAATTATTAATTTCATTTATACTATCTTACACTGTGATAATGTAGCTTTATCTAGACTTATTATCTGAAAGTTAAGAATTATCTAAAATAGAATTTCTTTCATTTTTTTAAGTCAATACAGAGCGATTGTTTTAGGAGTTAAGCATAGAATTTCTTTGGCCATTTTGATTAGTCTAATTATAATTTTAGATTTGTTGAGAATTTCTAGAAGGTGTTGCTGCATTTTTTTATTATTGATTTGCTTATTGATTATTGCTCAATGGGTTATAAGAAGAAATATTATTTTAATTTTCTATCTATTAATTTACAAATGCATCTTCACCGCAATCAAATCTTGAGATGTTTTGTTTATTTGAATGATTACTAGTAGCAGAATATTAGAGGATCTAATTAGAATTTGTGTTAGTAATACTTGATTTAAATCCGCTGCTTAGCTAATTGGTTGGAAAATTAGCATACATACTCTTTCTGTAAGGCGAATGGCTGGATTAAATATCAGATTTTTAGCTGCTTGATTACAAATCTCTTATTTTATTTAAATTTTCAGGAGTTCTCTCAATATAATTACTTTTTTATTAAACAAAAGCTTCATTTTATTAATTTTTAATGCTATTTTTATCATTTAAAGTATTTTAATTTTGAGGATAAACTTGTATTGAATATCTTTAAGTGTATTATGAATTCTGTCTTTAGCTAGATTCTGGGGATATCTGCTTTTTTGCTGGAGGAGATTTTTGTATATTGTTAATAATTTATGAAGATTAATTTAAATGAGGAGAAATGTTTTTAGAGTTTCTATTTAAGTTTTCTTATTTTTCTTTACTTTGATAAGCACTTGATTCTGAATTTTCATCCGCAATTTCTTCTTCTTCTGGAATATCGAACGTGAATTATTGACCTACGTTTTCTAACTTAAAAGAATCCTTTGCTTATCTGCTTTGAGAATCTACATTGTTCTATTTATACTGAATTTGGTTTAATTATTATTGATTGTTAATTTAACTAGGTAGATTAGCACTTCCACTGCGTTTATGGTTTTATTATTGGCTTTTATTTATCATATTAGCATCATATAATTTTACTTGATCATCAATTTACGACATTTTTTTTTAGTGACCACTATTCTTATATTGCTGATCAGCCTATTGCTATTATTTATTTTATAAAAATTGTGAAGGAATAGGTAGAATCTCATATTATGATTGATTTGTTTGATCTTTTTAGATATTATAATTTTATTATTGATTTTTGACGTTATCCATAAAATTTCCTTATAAACTCTCTTTTGATTTAGCATAGCTTATTTGGCTTTAAGAGTTCGAGCTGCTTTAAGTGAATTAAATTTCATTTAATTAGTTCGATATCTTTTCAGTTTATTACGAACCTCTAGACTTGTTTTATTAAGATTAATTAATTATAGTATTATTATCAGAATATTTAGAATTATTTTGGCTTCCTTGTCTGCCTATATCTTCGTTAAAACTAGAGCTCTTTATAGATTAGTGATTTTAACTATCATTTGATGAGTTAGATCTCATATTTTATGAAATATCAAAAAGAGGATACTATTTTATGCTATTGAAATTATTCGATGAATTCTTAGGTTATTAATTCTAATCGTTTGAATTTCCTACAGATTAAACATGAAAATGATCTGAATTAAATGATGGACTATAATTTCTGTTGCTTATTTAGGTGTTTTTAGTGTTTACTGAAAATTAATATTTATTATCCTCATCAAAAGTAGGAAAGCTAAACTTTTCTTTTTAATCTTGTTACATTTTTTAGTTTTGAAATTGCTAGTCTTGATTTTTTTAATTTTATGGAGGCTGTCTAGAAGAGTAAATGCTTTGAGTATTCTAATTTTGATCTGTTTTGGTTTAATTATTATCTAAAGAACTTTACTAAGGCTATTTTTAAGTCCAGTTTTATTAGTTAGAATCTTATTAAACTTTGCTATTCAATGATGAAGACCTTGATTCCTATTAATAATTCTTATCTTAAGGATTCCTAGAAATCGACTAATCATTTTAAACTTCAAATTATTATTAAACCTAAGCTGATTCTTAATTTTTTTATAAAGATTTTCTTTGATTTGATATTTATTTTTATTAATTTTAAGAATTTATGTTTGGCTAATTTTAAGTTTAAATATTATTTTTTTATTCATTAATTTTATCAATTTTTTTATCATAATTATTATTATTATTTTCCACTTGATTAAGCTAATTTATATCATAAGATTTATTGTTAGAGACCAAAGAGTTTTCTGTCAAAGCTTCCTGTTAAATTTAAGAACTTTTTGAATTATTATTATTATTCCCTCTTTAAAATAAATTAAGCTATTTCACAGGATTATTTTGTTAGATTTCTTTATCTTTATTCTAATTAACCACAGACTAATCCATTTAATTTATGTAAATATCTTCACTTTTTTTTAAATTAAAAAATAAAATATTATTTCTTTCTTTCTTATTTAAATTTCTATTAATTGAATTTATCAATTTTTATTAATTTTATTTTTTTAAAATAAATTTTTATTAAATATTACATCAATTTAAAAAAATACAAAAATTTACATAGAAGAAGATATTGAACTTGAATCAGCCAATGTTTAGGCTTTTTTTGAATTTTCATTGAAATCATTCTACTACTATTTATTATTTGTTTTATCACCAAATTTAAAATGTGGGGATTCACTCATTTCTAACGAAGGATTTTCAATTATTTTATTTTATTCGTTATTCATTTTTATTTAGTAATTTAATGATTATGGCTAATTTTTAGTTGATTCTTCGCTAGGTTTTTATCCTTAAATAAATTAGATATTGTTATTAAATCTGTTTTCTGCTTATTTATAAACTATAGACTCCTTAATATATCCTTCGTTTTATGTTCCTTCTTTGCAAGCTGAATTTTCTTCAGGTTTATATTTTATGCTAAATATTTTTTGAATGATTCAAAATTGTATAATAAAACAAATTAATTACATGTTATTTACAGTTAAAGTAGATTCAGTTTGCTTTATTTTAATAAAAGATTCATCACTGCTCACTTAGCTTAGTTTTAAAAAGCTATTTTAGTTTTATTTGAATGTTTAAGGAGCTGCTTAATGAGCTAATTAATCATTTTTTTAGTTTTAATCTTTTTCTAATTCAACTTTTTAAATGTTTTTTTTATTCTAAAATAATTATATTGACTTGATAGCTCCATTTGTCTCTTCTTAATTATTATTTTAAATAAACTCGCTTTGTTTGATTGCTTATTTGATATTTTTTTAACCTTTATCACTATCTACTTCAATAATATTTTTATCCTAAAAATTATCTTTTACATTATCAACATTGTTTACCTCTAAATCAAAATTTTACTCTAAATTACTATTATTTAGCTTTAATTTTTTAAATTGTTATTTTTAAGAAGCTTTTGCTTCAGCTTAATCTTAAATTTTCTTCTTGACTGAAACCTGAATTTCATCAAATTCTTTTGAAAGATTATTCACTTACTGCTGTATTATCTATGATTCTTAAGCTTGCTAATTATCAACTGACAATGCTTGCTTTTAAATCAAATTTTCTGTTAAGTTTTTCATCTACTCAAATTTAGACTTCATTTATTCTACTTCAACCATAGACTCAAGGAGTTGCTTCTAAATTTTTTAATTTGACTATTTTAGCTCTCCATTTTAGCTAACGAGCTAAGATTCTCTCTGCAAAAGAATTTCTATTTGTTTTTAATGTTCACATTCTTATCCATTGCAATTACTATTATTTGCAAATTAATTCTAACTCTGAATCTAGGTTTCTACACCAAGCTTTTGCTAGTTTAATATAGACAAATCTAAAACAAATTTTTTGTTTCCTTAATTTTTGCCTGTTTGCTAAGGACTGTAGTCAATAATACTTTCATTTATTTTAAATCTTTTCCTAAATTCATACTTATTTTATTCTTTTACAAGCATTCTATTATGAATGATAACCTCTTTCATTAATTCAGGTTACTTTTCTTTTAATTCCAAGTATTCATGCAAGACAAACTCTGCTATAAAATTACCTTTCATAACATTGCCCTTGTAAACTGTTTTTTGATGCTTTTAAATCAACATAACAAATCTAGAACATATCGCTTTGCATAGCTCTGAGCTAAATAAAGACTTAAAAAGTCTATTTGCCTCCTCTTTTTTTATTTAAAATTAAAATATAATCAATTATTCATTTTCGTAAGAACAAGAATACCAAAATCGTATTAAAGCATATCTAAAGGATTATTTCTGTATAATTCAGTTTGATAGCTAAAAAGAGTTTTTCTTATATAATAATAAATTTCAAACAATTTCTTAGAGTCCTTGCTATTGTAGATAATGTACAAAAAGATTTACAAGTCACAGCATTTTTTAACTTATTTTTGCCAATTTAAGATAAAATCTGAACAGACTTTGATGAGAATTTGCTTACTGGGCCTAGACCTGATCTTTTTTATAAATTTTTATATTTGTTAAATATTTGTAAAATATATCCGTTAAAAATCAATTTGTCAAAATATGCATTAATTATGAATATAATCTTAAATACCATAGCGAGATAAGCAATAAGAAACTCAGTATAGTTTGAGTAAACATTTTACAAATAAAATTCTCTGAATGATTCATTTAAATGGCCTATCAAATTGACTTAATCTATTGGTCTAACCTTATTTATGTTAAAAAGAAGTTTATTATTTAAGATGCATGAGAACTTTTTAAGCGAATAAGATAAGCATAAATTTAAGAATAAGAGACATCATCAACTAATTACATTATCAGTAATGATATGAGTCTTTAAAATCTCTTCAAAGGTATCATAAACTTGTAGAAATGCTTTGTTGTAGTCAAAAAGGAGGAGATTCATCTTTAATTACTAAATTAATAAATAATTAATTAATTAATTATTTTTGTTAAGCTATATTTTGATATTTACTGGTACTCTCTTAAGCAAAAAAAACAAAACAAATAAACAAAAGAATTAAATAAATTTATCAATTATTTATTTTCAAAATATTTATAAGCCACTATGATCATATATATACATAAATCATTAAATTTTATCTCTTTAGATTTTAATAATAATCACACTTAATATTTATATTTGTTATTAGCATCATTTACCATGTATTAAGATTGTTTACATTTTCAAATAAATCTTAACAAATTTTGTAATCTATTATTTTTTAGCTTACCAATGGATGAAAATCTATGCTTTTAAAAAACTCTCAATTATTAATAATTAAATTTTTTTTTTTTACATATTTCTAAAAGAGAGAATTCACTTTTTAAAATTGATAAAGTTTTGAAATGTTAAAAAACAATTTTTTTTGCTAAAAATATAATTTATAAACAAATAAAAAATATAACTAAATTTAAAAATAAATTAAAATAGTTGAATTCATAAAATTTAATTTATTTTATATAAATAAATAATCTACATAAAATTATTAGGAATCTTAAATTTTTAAAAATTATTTTCCAATTTACAATCTTAAAAATCCAAATAAAATAAAAAAATGTATTTAAGGTGCATGCAGTTGATTAAAATATATAAAAAATATACATAAAAATAAATAAAAAATATTTAATTATTTATTTTTATATTAATTTTTTTTTTTAGAAGAGCTTCAAAAATTTTATTAATTATTTGAGTTCATTTATAGCTATATAATATTTTGTAGAAATTATTCATATTATTAAGTTAGATTTTTGATAAATTCTTAAAACAATAAATTTGCTGAGTTCTGAAAGTGATCTAATTATTATTATTATTATTAAATCTCTTTAAGATTTTTTCTTCTTTCTTCTTAGCCTTCTTTGAATTAAAATTATTATTACTGATTAGTAAATGATGCCATTTAATTTGTTAAGCAATTATTATTAAAGTTTAGAAGCTGGAATTGGTTAATACTGGTATTTAATGGATTAGCAATATTATTAAATATACTTGAGCTCTACATTTGGCGCAATTCATCTATATTTTAATTGAAATTTAGAATTTCGTTGCTTTTGTTATTAATTTAATTTTATTAATATTCCTTCTAATTTAGTCTACTAGCTTTTTAAAGTTCTTCATCACTTAATTATTCTTAATAATATGAACTTTTGAGTGATTAATTTTTAAAATTATTTTAATCCTTGTCCTTGGTATTTTTAACTTATTTATTTGAATTTATTTGTTAAATTCTTTATTTCATTTATTCAACAGTTTTTAAATACTTTTTTCTGATTTCCTTGTCCTTGTTACCAAATTTCCTGCAATTTTCCTAAAAATAAATTCCATTAGAATTAAGAGAAAGAATAAAAGCTATATAATGCTAAGCTTCTTTGTCTAGTTAAGATACTTTTTATAATTCATTTTGAAGATATAGCACATTAAATTTGAATTAGTTTTTAGGAAAAATCTGATTTGGCTAAAGAAAATCAAATAATTCAACAGGATTTTTACAGAATTTCTTAAATTCTATAAGTTCATCGTCCTTTAAGCAGAATAAAAAATTGCTAACTGCTAGCGTGGTATAAAACACTGGGACATGCTAGATTGTGGTTTCTTTTAAATAAGCTTGAATGGTCTTTAGGGATTAAAGTAGAAATGATTTTTAATTTCCATTAGGAACTCCGTTTTTAAATTAGAATACATTCTAAATTTATTTTGAATCTTAGTTTATAACAATATAAGAGAATTCCATCAGAGGAGACGAAATATCAGAAATATTTGATATAATCAGGCCTAAGCATGGTTATTATTTATTTAGTGATTCCATTACTAATAACTGAGTTATTTGGTATTTCTTTTTTTTTTAAGTATTTCTATTTAAATGATAGTTTTAATATTATAAAAATTTAATATCATCTATATAAATCTTTATATTTATAGATCAGAAAATAGATTTAAAGATTAATAAATATTTAATTTCTTTTATTAAGTGGGGAAAAAAATACTTCTAACAAATAAAATCATAGATAAAATAGTTTAATTTTCAAAATTATGTTTTTCCTCTTTGAAACTCAAATTTTAATCATAAACTAGCAATATAATGAAAATAATATTTTTCTTTTAGCCATTTACACATTTTTTAAAGACTAGACTTAATTAAAAATAAATTTAAAGCTAATTATAAAATTATAAAAATCAAATGTCTACTTATATCTCTTTATTTATAGATCAGAGAATAGAGAAAAAGATAGATAAATTTTTAATTTATTTTTATTAAGGCAAAAATCACTTCTAAAAAATTGATATAAAATCATGGATAAAATAGTTTAATTTTCAAATAATATTTTTTCCTTTTGAAACACTAATTTTAATCATAAACTAGCTATATAATGAAAATAATATTTTTCTTTTAACCATTAACTTATTTTTTAAGGACATATTAAAAATACATTTAAAGTTAATTATAAAATTATAAAAATAAAATGTCTATTTAAATCTCTTTTTTTATAGATCAGAGAATAGACATAAAGATTGATAAATTTTTAATTTATTTTTATTAAGTGGAAAAAAATCACTTCTAAAAAATTGATATAAAATCATGGATAAAATAGTTTAATTTTCAAATCATATTTTTTCCTTTTGAAACTTTAATTTTAATCATAAACTAGCAATATAAAGAAATTAATATTTTTAAAAAAATCTATTTAGGAAATTTTTAAAGGACAAGACTCAATTATAAATAAATTTAAATTATTCTTATTTAGGAAATTATAAACTTGATATTAATTCATTTTATATTTAGTTTTTCTAGCAGATGTGTTGATTGCAATTTGGATCAACAATTTAGATTGCTTTAAAATTTCATTTATCTATTTTGCTAACTTCAATTAATCATAATATTGTATTCAAATTTTACGGGATTTTTGACATAAATGAGAAACAAGTAAGAGTAGGTTTATGGATGGGACTGAATAGAAAATATACAATTTTTATCTTTAATGATCTAAAAATTGTATTAAATTATTTTTTTGTTTCCTATTAAGTGCAAATATGATTAATGAATATTATTTTTTTTTAATTTATGAACAATACAATGCTACTTTTTTTAATTTTGTTTGTTTCTTTTTATTATTTTTCTAAAAGACTTTCTTAGACTAATTATCTTAATGAAATAAAAACATTAAATTTTGCTTATTATGAATCAAAATTGCATCTCACTATATAACAATTTCATTTTAGAATAAACTAAATTTTAATTTTGGTTTTGAAAATTATTTATAATTAATTTAGACATCTTTTGTAATTTCAAGTTTAACCAACAACTAATCATTTATTTATATTTTAAAAAATAAATATTCACTGAAATGAACAACATATTTGATTGATATTTTGTGATTATTTATAATCTTAAAAATTCAAATAAATAAAAAATTTAATTATAGCATATATTGTTTATTAAAATATATATTTTATATATTTAAATAGAAGTAAATAAAAATTAATTTTATATTTTTAGAAGAGCTTCAAAATTTTAATTAATTATTTAAATTCTATTACAGCTATTTAATGTTTTATTAAAATGATTCAAATTCTTCAGTTTATTTTTTGATAAATTCTTTATACAAGGCACTTTCTGATTTGAGAAAGAGATCTAATTATTTTTTTTAAATCTCTTCAAATTTTTTTCTTCTTTCTTCTTAGCCTTCTTTGAATTAAAATTCTTATTTTCTTTGCTGATTAGTAAACGATGTCATTTAATCTGTTAAGTAATTGTTATCAAAGTTTAGAAATTGAAAATTATTATTTCTGACATTTTACTGATTGGCTAAATTATTAAATTAATTTGAGTTCTACATTTGGTTAAATTCATCTATATTTTAATTGAGTTTCGGAATTTGGTAGTTTTTGTTATTAATTTAATTTTACTAACACTCCATCAAACTTAACTTAATAGCTTTTTAAAGCTCATCATCACTGAATGATTCTTCATCATCAGAACTTTCAAGAAATTAATTCTTTACATTTTTTTAATCCTTAACATTTTTATCTTATTTATTTGAATTTATTTGTTGAATTCTTTATTTCATTGATTCAATAGCTTTTTAATATTTTTATTAGGATTCCTTGTTACCAAATTTCCTGCATTTTTCATAAAAATAGATTCTATTAGAATTAAGATAAAGAATTAAAGCTACATAATGCTATGCTTCTTTATCTAATTAAGATACTTTCTATAATTCATTTGAGCGATATGAGAGTTCATTAAAATTTGATTGCTATTGAGAAAAATGCTGATTTGGTAAAATAATATCAAATAATTCAACAGGATTTTTACAGAATTTCTTGAATTCTTTAAATTCATCTTCCTTTAAACGGAATAAAAAATTGCTAACTGCAAGTGTGTTATAAAAAACTGGAATATGCTAGATTTTACTTTCTTTTAAGTAAGTTTGAATGCTTAATAGGGACTAAAATAGAAATGGTTTTTAATTTCCAAAAGGAATTGTGTTTTTAAATTAGAATACTTTCTAAATTTATTTTGATTCTTAGCTTATGATAATATAAGACAATTCCATCAGAGGAGACGTTATATCAGAAAGATTGAATATAAACAGGCCTAAGCATGGTTTTACTCTTTTTTGGTAGTTCATTCCAACTATTTAATTATTCAACCTATTCCTTATTTGTTTAATTAAATATTTTAAATGAAATTATCGTTTTAGTAAAATGTAATTCTAATATCTGTATGTATGTATATATAGGTCAGACAATATACTTAAAGATTAATTAATATTAAATTTTTCTTCATTAAGTAGGAAAAATACATTTCTAACAAATTAATATAAAATCATAAAAAAAATAGTTTATTTTTAAAATTTTATCTATTTGTATGCTCTAATTTTAATTATTATCAAGCATAATAAAAAAAAATTATATTTTTCTTTTTAAGCTATTTTGAATTTTTAATAGAAAATTCTCAATTAAAAATATATTTAAAGTATTTTTATTAAGGAAATTCTCAATTTGATTTTAGTTCATTTTAGATTTAGATTCAATAATATTAGCAAACAAATATTAAATCTCTAATCATCAAGTTGATTAATAAAAGTTGAAACGAATTCAAATAATAAAAACAATGGAAAATTATGGAAAAAATAGTTTATTTTTCAAATTTTATCTTTCCTTTTAAAACTCTAATTTTAATAATTAATTAACAAGCATTATGAAAAAATAATATTTTCTTTTAAGCTATTTTGAATTTTTCAAGGGCAAGACCAATTAAAAATATATTTTAAGTATTCTTATTTAGGAAATTCTCAATTTGATTTTCAATTATTTAAAATTTAGATTCAATGAAATTAACAAACCAATATTAAATTTTTAATCCTCAAGTTGATTAATATAAGGATAACTAATTCAAATAGTAAAAGCATTTAAAATAAAACAATTTATTAAAAAAATAAAATACTAGTTTAACTAAAAAATATGAAAATTAGTAAAGAATTAAATGATATTTTAGTATTATTAATGAAATTTGATGAGTAAATAAATATTAATCCATGATCAAAAACCCTTTAATTACTTTTGTGTTATCTTTGGTGGATTAAAAGAATATTAGTAGAGGATTCTCCACAGAAATTTTTATTAAAATTTATCTGTTAAAATATCACTTTTTGTAAATCATTGATTGAGTAAACAAACAAAGAATCAATCTATCTATTGTTTCTAAATAAAACAAATATTCAAACTTATAAGAAGCTTTAAAATAGATTTTATTTGAGGAATGATTGATACCGAGTAGGAAGAGTATATAAAAGAATAGATCAGAGAGAGATAAGAGATTAAAGCCTAAGAGGAGAAAATTAAGCAGGCTTTTGCCTTGTATTAACTCTAAAATTAAGAAAATTAATAAATGAATGAAAAAATTTAAGAATAAAAAGGATAAAATTTCAAATTCGCCAGTGTAGTTAATAAGCAAAGTCATAGTAAATTACAATTTATAGCACTTCCATAATCATTATATTCTATTTTAAATAATGTATCAATAGCTGGAATTCTTTCTCATAAAAGATTATTAGTTTTATATAATGGATATCTTGCATATTATTCAAAAGTTTCACCTGATGGATATACTGAAGGTAATTTAACTTACTTTGCATTAAACAAACTAATTTAGAATAAAATTTATTTTTTAAAAATTTTAAACTATTCAAGGTAGGCCAGAAGATATAGTTGAGCCTGTAAAGCAATGTGTTAGTATTTATAATATCTAAAAATGCTATCCCTTGGGCAATAAATTAGTTGTTGAATTTTAATCTGCTCATAAAAAGCGTAAGATTAGGCTTTCCTAAGAAAATCCTTAAGCGTTATAGTAATAACAAACTATTAAGCCCTAATAATCAATAAAGCCAGGAAAATGTTCAAAGTGGATATTTACATCTGAAAATGAAGATATTAAAAAGAAATGGGTAAAAATAAAATATTTATTGATTTATTAAATCTTTTATGCAAAGCAAAATGAAAAATCGTATGAGAACAATTAAATATAATATAGGATAGGTTAATTAATCGTGCAAAAGAACCTCCTCAATACGTAAATCTTGAGGATGAGTATAAAAAAAAGAGGGAAGAAGAAGATAAGCTTCGCTAACAAATTGAAAAAGAAAAAGAAAAGCTGAATTAGCTTAAATAGGAATAAGAAAGAAGAAGAATGGAAAAGGAAGAAGAAATTAGGAAATAAAATGAGTTAAAAAAATTGGAACTTTAATAGGATGAATTAGACAAGCTTCTTAGAGAAGAGGAAGAAGAAAGAAAGAGAAAGTAAGCTGAAGCTGAAAGATAATTGCTTGAAGAGCAAAGAAGAGAAGAAGAAAGACTGAGAAATTTGGAGCTCGAAGAAAAAGAAAGACAGCTAAAAGAGCTACTGTACTAGAAGCAGTTGGAAGAAGAATTGATTAAAAAAAAGTAAAATAAAATGCTCCTTATTACAAAAATATTATATTTAATAAATGCCATAACAATTAAATTTATTTGAATATTTAAATAAAAGAAAGTTGGAGCAAATTAAAAAATAATAAATGTTAGATGAAATTAACAATCAGTGGATGTACAGATATTTGCAGGCACTCGAGGTAAATTCTATAAGTAATGATCAGGGTATTAGCTATGAAGAGATTCTCATCAAAGGAAAATTCATTTACAGCGTCATCAATGACTTTAAAAACAAAGCACTAGATATAGCAAAAGTAATTATAAATGATATGCTCATGCCTTAAGAAAACTAAGTTTATTATCCTGTGCCAGAAAATCAATATGAAGAATATTTTACTCATCACCCTCATATTGAAAATTCTCTCTTTCGAGTTTATTACTAAGAAAATATAGCTTTTAAAATTGCTATCTCTAATATGAAGGATTCCTTTATTAATGATTAAGCAACTTAATAGTAAGAGTAGGTTAGTGTGTATTATGAAGAAGCTATTAAGCATTTAGTAAATGGTAATACAAATTTTATATAAATTATTTAGTTATTTATTATTTGTTTCATTAATATTTTTTAATAAATTAAAAATTAAATTAATTCAAATTTTTTATTGATAGAATTTAGAGCTTTAAATACTTTAAATAATGTTGTTATACAAGAATTATAATCTAATCCCAACTTTAGTCTTAGAGTGCCTCTTGCTTGCCTTATAGAATTCAAAGGATTGGTCGTTTTGGCGTTGTCTATCCCTTGTATAGATCCTAATATTTCTGATTCATCTACTCTACTGAAGGGATATAATAATTAGGATTAGTTTATAAATATAAATCAAGATTAAAACTTAAGCAAAGATCTCAGAAGAGTCGCAGAAGTGTTAAATTTAAAAGTTCACAAAGTAAATGAAATAGAGGAGGTAGAGCTTTGCTCTACTATTTAGGTGCACACAAAATCAAATAACGATTACGATGAATTGAGGAATTGTGAAAACGTTGACAATATAAAAGAGTTTGCGCCTTAGAATTTAAATATTTATTTTATTTTAAAATGTGGGAATTTGTTACCATTGGATATAAATTTAGACAGTGAAATGACTCACCCTCATCATAAGCTAAGACCAGAATTCTTGCAGTCATATAATATGCCATTAAATAGTGATGGACTTGTTACAGAGGGAAATGATGAAATAGATGAATTAGAATTATCAAATGCCTCTTAATATTTAAGAAACGAATAAATATTAAAACTTGTTTAGCAATTCGAAAATTTAGATATCTTGCCATTAGATTCTTTGTCACTTTCTTAAGTAAATAAAATTGTTTTTTTTGTGTTTAAAATCTTATTTAAAAATTATAAATCTAAAAAGGCTTTCCATGAAAATGGAATTAATATGAGGTATTTAGGAGAAGTTTATAATCAGAGCACTCTACCTCATTTAAAAGAAATTTGCTAAGTAGAAATTGTTGCTCGTATTTGTAAAAAAATAATTAGAAATAAAATCTTTGATAGTATTATTTAGAAGCAAGAGGAAGTTTAAAAGGAATTTTCAAGATTTGAAATGTCATAAAATAAAAGCAGATTGTCAAATTCAAGTCGAATTACCTCAAAGCCTTTTGCTTCTGATATTTTAAATTATTAAAAAGAGTTAAAATACCAATTTTAGCTCAACGTTGAGCAACAAATTATTGAAAATCTTTTAGATTTTTTGAATTTGCTTTTGGGATCTGGCTAAGAAACAGAGTTTTTTTGGAGCTCAATTATAAGTAATTCATTTGAAAATTTATTAAATATTTTCATAAATATTTAACTCAACAAATTGTACAAATTTTAAATAAAAAAACAAAATTCTTTATAAAAAAACAACAAATAAAAATTTTTTTTCCAAATTTTAATAAAATTTAGATAAATAAGCCTTGCATGATTATGGGTGTTAAGTAAATAAATAAGATATTATAAAAGGAGCTCTTTTGCATTCTTTGAAATACCATTGTAAAATAGATTTTGCATTCGATTAAGATACAGGTATTTTTGAATAGATAAACCCATTGAGAAAAGATCAAATATTTGGATTTATTCCTTCTGTAAAACTTTTTGATATGAAATTTTTAGATATAAACAAAGAAGGCGATTTATACAAAAAGCATATGAAAGCTGGATAAAATGAATAAGCATTGCAATCTATAAACTTAAAAATAAATATCGTATCTTGGTTGCAATAAAATAACACTGAATAATAAAATCAATAACAACAAAATTAATAATAATAAAATCAAAACTTTTCAACAATGTCTAATTAACAAAACTAAATATCTTAAAATTAATAATAAGATTAAAATTTACTGTTTGAATAGATTAGACTGCTTAGCGATTAAAGCGAACTATTACTTAATTTTTTTAATTTCGAAGATTCAACTTTAAAAGCAGTGCAAGCACTAGATTTGTCTCCAATAGCTCATATTTGCTAGGTTAAATGCTTAGGTAATTCAATTATCATATTGTTTTCTAATTTATCTAATTACCAAAAATTAAATTCAGGTAACATAATGAGAACAAAGCTAGTAAAAAGCGATAATCAAAAAGCTATGGAATGCTTTGATAGAGCTGTACAAATTATAGAGTTTCATCTCGGACCTTTCCACCCACTTCATACAATTTTATACAGTTTATTAGGATGCTTTTATTCGTAGAAAAAATATTATGAAGAGGCTTTAGCACTATACAGAAGTAGTCTTATTAATAGTAAAAAATCTCTTGGAGACTTTCATACACATACTGCTGAAGTTTATAAAGACATAGGCGTGCTTTATATGCAAATGTCTATGAATGATGAATCTTTTATCAGCTTTGAGTAATCTTATAAAATTTACATTCAATGCAAAAAAAGTGATACTATTGCTTTTGCTGAAGTGTGCTATTACCTAGCCACGGTTTGCTTGATTTAAAGTAAAAAAATATCTTTAATAATTAGTCTATTATTATTCAATATTAAACTCAATTTTAAAAAAAGGTAAATTTGAAGAATGTTAAACCTACAGCTTGAAGAGCATTCGAATTTACGAAATCCATCATGAAACTTAATTAAAAAAATTGATTGACTCATTATTGATATTGTGCAGGGCATTAGAGATTATCAGAGACCATGAAAAGGTAAAAAAGTATAATTATTTCTTGGAAAAAACAACATTTAATATAAATAGTGCTTAGAAAATGCAGATTTGATATGGAATCTAACTAAAAATTTGGATTTAGCAGAACAAAACAATGTTTATGAATAAGTTATTAAAATAATTCTTTAAGTATTTGTGTCCAATATGCAGCTTGAGAAGGTGAACTTATTAAACACTTTAACTTAGTGCATCGATGATTAAATATAAGAAGTGAAAAGTGGAGTAAATTATATAGGTTTTGATAATTAGTTATAAACCCAGGGATAGAATTATATTCTAGAATAAATTAATGTTGGTGTTTATAACTCAATAGAAGAATTTGTCAATGTTACTTTGCATACAATTTGCAGAAATTTGGAATACCTTTATTCTGTTTCTTTCTTTGATAATTATAAAGAAAACATTTTTTCCATTGAAGATCCAAATTTAAAAATGTAAATTTTATTATTCAAAACGAAAATATAATATATTTTAATTATATAAAGAGCTTTTGAAAACTATGAGCATATTCAAATGTTTGTGAGCTATCTATTTATGGCAGATATCCTAAAAAGATATTGATCCATTATTGACTAATTGATTGATTTATTGATTGACTGGCTGATTATTAAATAATATTTTAATCTAACATCTACTACTCAAATATTCCTTAAGATAACAAATTCAATTTTAAATGTAAATATTAATTGTATAAATAAGTAAGTAAGTTGCTTTATTAATTATTCTATCTGTATTTTAACTTATAAGTTATATTGCTTTTAAAAAAGTTATTTATTATTTTAGATCTTCCTAAACATTCAAAAATAATTAATCACTTTTTTACAAAAAATTTAAAAAAAATATAATTAGTTTAAATAATTAATATTAATTTAGCTTTAATTTTATAAATAAACTTGTTTAATTTAAAATATCAAATCCAAAACCTTAAAATTGTTTATCTTTTAGAGAAATTAACTTAGATTCATTTAGAATTTTGAGGTGTACATCAACTAAAATTTTTATTTTATCCGATTAAATCTACTAAGGATTTTTTAGTCATAGAAACAATTTTAATCAAAATTTTTTATGATCAGATTTAATTATCTTAAGTATTAAATCATATTTTCTGATCAAAATTAATTATAATAAAAAATTTTTTATTGATCAGAAATTTATTTTCTATGATTTATTTTTTAAATATTTGTTTTATTTTAAAAATGTATCATATTAAAGCATGCATTATTACATTATTTATCAGATATTTTTACAGTTAACATTAAAAGTTTTATATAAATGAATAAATAAGATTGATAAAAGACAAATTAATTTTTTAAAATGTTGAATAGTTTTTTAATAGTAAAATAATCATTTTATTAATTGATAAAGTTAAATTTTTACTTAAAAAATAAAATAAAATATTTGCATTAACATATTTTTTCCATATTATTAAGATAGTGAACATATTATTATTATAATTTTATCTTTAGCCAGCAATAAAATGAAAGACACTACCATAAATAAATAAATAGTTAAATATATAAAGTTTTTTTTTAATGAATTTATCAGCAATATCAAGCTTCATAATGTTATAAGTTTTAATCTAATGTAGAATCTTCTAATTAAGTAAATTTTTTATAAGTATTAGCAGCAAGTAAGTAGAATTAAAGTAAGCTTAAAATGAAAAGCGAATAGAATATAATATCGAATTCGGAAAGAAAAGGAAAGCATATAATTTTTATGATTAATAAAGTAGTTAAATTGATAGATTAGTAAAAGAACTAAATTATATACTACCATTCTATTTTTCTTTGATAGTTATTATATTAAGGATAAGGAGACCAATTAAAGGGGTATTATATCAAAAATAGCTCAAAGATAAAAATATTATTTACAAATTGTAAAAATCTAAATTTGAGTTATTTTATCCTTAAAAAGTATAAGTAATCTACCGTTCCAGCAATAAAGATTGTAATAAATAAGCAGATAACTATGTAAAAGTTGAACTTAAAGCATTGCATGAGCAGATAAATATAACAAAAGTGAGATATAGCAGAAAATAAACTTTAGAATATTCCTTAAAAATAGTAATTTATATAAAAAAAACCCCAAATTATAAATATATTAATGACTAAAATCAAGATATAGGGCCAAAGAGTGATATTACTACTTTCATAAGAAATCATATAGATATTAGCAATATTTATAGGACAGGTTAAAATAATCACCTAAATTAAGTTATAAGCTAAAGAATCATCATAAGGTATCTTATAAAGATGTAAAAACCATTCAGACCAAAACAATATATAACTCAATTTAAATAAAATAGTTTTATTAGCAACTAATTCTTTGAATTTTATTATTGCCAGAAGCTTAGAAATAGTCTGTATTCCTAATATAATATATAATGCTATTATATATCTGTCTATAATCAGTAATATTATTTGGCATATATAAACTATTTATAGTATCACTAAGTCACTAATTGCTAGATACAAATGGAATGGATTAAGATCCAACATTCTTACAAATATCAAATGTATAGTTTATAATTAATATATAATTAAATAAATAATGTTTATTAAAATATCAAAATCCCTATTAATTAAAAATATACTTTAAAAATAATGAAATACTTACTTATAATTTTTTATTTTTATATGAATTAAAATTTCAAATTAAATCTTTTAATGATAAATCAATCTATATAAATTTTCTTAGTTTATTGATAATAAAAGAAAATAATTATTCAATTTAATATTGACTTTTAATTTATTTGATTGTGTTATCAGGGTTTACTTATTTTATTAAAGATATTAAAATCCTAATAAAAACGAATAAGTTCTTTTTTTTATTTATTTGAATTTCAAATTTATTATTTTAAGGATAAGTGAAATTTTAGATTATAATTTCTGCTTTTATTTTCTGATGTTAACTAATATATTTGTATACAATATATAAAAACTGAAAGCAATATCAATAAAGTATATAGATTTTAAATAAAAGCTCTACTCTTAAATATGTTGAGTTTGGTATTGATCAATATAATTTATTGATGATCAAGAACCATACCTTATTTAGCTTTCTTTGTTACTCAACTCATTTTCTTTTAGTATATAATAAAATTAAAGAAGTTAAGATGGATTGAATAATTGACTGGAATATTTAATACAGGTTCATAAATAAATATAAAGAAGTAAAATATTTTGTTTTTTTAAATATTAGAATTTAAAACAAAATTTATATTGCTAATTCAGATATTCAAAAATATAAGCTAAGCTATATTATGATTGATCATTTTCAAAATTTAATTTTCAATTAATTATTAAAAATTTAATTAATAATGTTATTAATAAATTTCATTGTTGAAATTATTTTTAATGTGATTGAAAATGGTAATTAATTTAATTTTTTAATTTTCATAAAGCTATTATTATCTCTCTATTTATTTTATTAGTTGTTACTTATATTAAATTTTATAAATTAATTTATATCTCTTTAGATAAAATCAATAAATTAATTATATTATTGTGAGATTATATTTTTTTGTAAAATTTTTTAAAAAATTTTGATTTAATAAAGCATTAACCTTTATTTAATCATTTTGTTAAGATTAATTTATTAAAATTGAAATTATTTTAGTTTAATTTAATATTAAGATTTGATAAAGTTTATTTTCATTCAAATAATGTGTCTCTAATCAGTAACATAGTTGCTCAAATTATAATTATAGTCACTTAGATTATCGTTTTGTTCATTTTCTTTTAGTGTGAATCCTCTTTCAAAGATATTTTATTTGATCGTCTTTGTAGGTTTTTTACGATTTGGAGACGATTTGCTAGATTCTAAATTATAAAATTTATGTCTTTCCTACTAGTTAGATTCAAATAATTTGGCTTTGCTGGTTCTAAAAAAATTATTCTATTACTAATATTTGTTAGGTTAATTATCTTCTACAGTTTCTACAGTCTGTTTAGCAGTCGTAGATGTAGATTGAAAAACATTTGGTATTGTTTGTTAGCAGCTTGTATTATTTGTACTATTATTATTTTAAGGAGTATTATTGAATTAGTCTTTTTAACAAAATTAATGTTTCTGCAATTTATTAAATAAGCTTTTGAAATGGCGTTGTCTTTAAAATAAAATTTTAGTATTGACATCATTATGAATAGGTAAATTATCAAGTTGAAGTTTATTTTAAGCAAGCATAATATTTTTTTGTCCTGCATTAAATGACTGGTTGTGTCTAGCTGGGGTTAAAGATAAATTTGGTTGATATTTATCTTACAAATTTTCTTTAGTATTTATAAATGTTTATTATTTTTCAAGATGACTAAATCTCTTTTTATTTGAATTTTTTTAACTAGGTTTCGAATATATGTCAAGGATTTTTTAAAGGGCCGAGTTTTCAACAAGTTGTTAAGCAACTCCTCCTGTGTTAGTGTTTATTCTTCTCCTTTGAGTTGATTGAGTTTCTTTTACTGAAGAACTCCTTTTTTCCCTACAAAAATTAGTTTTTTGTATTGGATCTGGCAGTAATTAACAATTTTGAGGCTATGATATTTAATTAGATACTTGTTATTTATCATGTAAACATTATATCGTATTAATCTCAATGAATTCTTTACTAGAGGTATGGCTGTTCTGGAGTTGATTAATTTAATGGTGGAAACTATTCTGGTGTATTTGCTAAGAGTTTTAGACTAAGATGTCTTCCCCCATAAACTGCTTTTATAGAGGAAAGTTTGAAGCAGCTGCTTTGCTAAAACTCTTTCTAAGCTGTTTGCTCTTTGGAAAGAAGACTGGCAGTTCGTTGTAGACTTAAATTTTCTTAGGAGTTGGTTCGATTTTTTGATTATGATTAGTAGAATAAGGGTTATGCTGAATTTTAACTTAGTAGTCATTTTCATCATTCCAAATTTAAAGGAATTTTGTATTGTTCATTTTTTGAGATATTTGCTTTTTGTGTTAAAGATTTTACTTGTAAAAGCTCAAAGACTTTTATTTACAAGGTTTCATATAGGTTTGTAAAAACATAGGCAAAGCATATTATTCGTCAATATTAAAATTGTTATGAAATTAATTTGGTAGCTATTACGGTGAGGGAAAGCGGTTGTTATCATAGTTAATATTACTGAAATTATTTTTATCTATTTCCTGTTCAATAAAGCTATCATTTTGTTTCATTTAAGAGCCATTTTTGAGCAAAATGGGTTAATCATTATGACCATCAATATCTAATTGTTACAATTAATTTTAATGCATAAGAAGTATTTGGTTTTGGTTTGAATCAGATGCGAAATTATGCTGATCTTTAAGTTATTAAGAATTTTGTTGCAATTAAATGAAATTAGCTTATTCGTTGCGCCTAGTATTTGATATATGTTGTGGGGTTACATTTTTCGGAGGAGATATATTTTACTATTACTAAAAATCATGTAAAATTTTGGAGGAGTTGCTTTAGTTGTTAGTAGAATTACATATTTATTAATTTTGTAGAAAGCTTTTGAAAATTGCTTCCTGCTTAGTAATGGCTTGTTTTCTCGCTTCTGCTAAGACACTTTTTGATCTTCTATTTACCTTAACTAAAACAAAAGCTAATGATGAATTAGAAGGCTACTCTTGATTCATCAGTTTGAAAATAATAAACCAAAGGAAATTTATTAATTAATTTTTTTGCTTGTTTTGGTTATATAATCTGAAATAGGATAAACCAATCTCATAAGGATGGTCAATAAATAACATTTGTTTCCCATGATTTTTATTATTATCTAAAAATTTTGATCTTTTGCAGAAAGGTCAAATACTGAGATGATTTGGTTTCATAGAGGATTTACTTAGAAGAGAAAATAAATAAATAGACAGACAGACTGAAATTTAATTTATTTTAAATTAGTTTTTATCGAAGATGAATTTATTTCTAGATAAATTTGATATAAATATCTATGCAAAAAGCTTATTAAAATATAAAAGCTTTAAAATACAAGATTATATCGCCATAAGCTAAAAAGCTCTAATGCAGCTACATCATAGACTGCCTATCATTAGAATGAATAAAATGATTTTCGATTTTTGTTGAGTAAATTGTGAGATTTAAAATAAATCAATTAAAATGATTATAAAATATATTAAAATCTAAATACATTTAATTAATATGGTAAGGAATGTTATATCTGAATACAAATAAATCCGATCATCATTAATTAGTCACTGCATCGATTAAATTATCAAGTTATTTATTTTAGAAGTAAATTCTTGTTTCATTTGTTAAACCTCAAAAAAATATAATGAAATATGCATTCAGCTAATAGATTCACCTTTTTTCTATTATAATATTTAGTTTGCGTGATGGAAATCCCATATAGTAGTGCTCTACTTGTTAAATGTAATTGTATCCTTTATATAGTGTAAAAAGCATCAATATAGAGAAAAATTAAATTTGGGTGAAGACTTTGAATCAATAGAAGAAAAGGGAAATTATGTACTTTTTACTATAAAACAAAATAAATAAAAATTTATTTGAGGAAGATTATCGATTCTAATACTAAATTGTATTTATTTTTCTAGCAGAAATATAAAGTTGCTTACCATATTGTAACTTATTCTATCATACAAATCATAGCAAATAATTCATTATGAGTGACGAAAGTACTCTCGTAATATTGATAATTTTGATGTTGTGTTTAAGTATCTGTTGTTTTTTTTTGGTAGTATTATTTCTAATTTGAGAATAAATAGAAAAACTTTAATTGATACCTCCTTTAAAGCAATTTTACTATGAATTTCGCAATATCAGTGTAAAAGATAAGAATTTTAATCAAAAGTATTTAGTTAAATTAGTTGACGGGTAGGTAAAATAATAAACAAAATAATCAAATTTCTTTCTGTAAACCAAATAATTATTATAATTAAATTATTTGTATGTTTTTTTTTTACTCACCTGAAAGAAATAATGACATTCGTAGGACATTTAGTTTGTTTTATTTTATTTTATGGTATTTTAAACTAATAACTGAAAAATGTAATTTGAATCATGAAAATTTGTAATTTGAAACTTGTTTCTAGAGTTTAATTCAAATTTCTTTTGTAAAAGAAAATATGATGGAATATTGTGGTGCTTTAAATTGAAAATTCAAAAATAAAGGTGAGAGGCAGGTCTTTAAGTTAAGCTATTACTTTTTACAAAGATAAAGTCTTAAAAATAGAAATGTAAATTAAAGAACTAGACAAGAGTATTCTAGGAAAAATATTAGCTAAAATATATTAGTAATTTATATAAAATTCCACAATTAAATAAGTGGATTGTTTTGTTACAATTAAAGCTATTTAGTTTTTAGGATTCTGCCTCTTTATGAACAAGAACAGTTTCTTATTATTTACAAATACAGTTTTGTTTAATTAGTTAGTTTTTTGAAAATAATTGAAAATATTTTTAGAGCACAAGACTGACACTATTTGCAATTGCTATTTTACATTTGTGGAATTTTGAGCATGTAAATGAGTGATGAAATCTATGCAATCTCATTAAAAAACAAAAACAAGCTAAGATAGAATTATAATCTTAAAAAATATTGTGGCTAATTTTATAGTTTTCTATATAAGCAAAATAATATAAGCTGGAAGCGCTAATTAATATAAGATATTAATTTTGCAATTAAAATTTTATTAATGTAAGTCTTCATAGTGTTAAATTTTTAGAAGTTAAAAAGTTGTTATGATACTGGATAAAAATTTTAAAAAAACATATCATACTTTAAATTCGAGCATAGTATAAGCCAAAAATGGAATTTGAAATTCCGATTAAAACATAGAAAGTACTATGAAAGTAATCATAAATTACCATTTTTATAAGGTAAAACAGAAATTGATATCTATTTATATCCTTAATAATATATCAATGAAAGGTTAAAGTAAATTAATAGCGCATGAATAATAAAATTTAGTTATGATAATCAAAAAATTTATACGTATTATTCTGTCAGTCATAATAAGCAATATTGAATTAATCAGAAATTAAATTAGATTAAGAGTTAGCATTAAAGCATTCAAACCTATATATATACAGAAATACACACGCTTTCTTGCTGCCAATTTTAATAAATAAATTAATTATTGCCTTTAAAAATTTGACTGATCAATAGACAGGCACACAATTAACATATTTCTTTATAAATCAAATTTTTCTTGCTTTTTTTGTTTCTAGTTTCTTTGTTTTTATTTTAGTCTATCCGTCAGTCCGTTCATAAAATTAAAAGCTATTATTAATGTTTTGGTTCTATTTACGTGCTTTATTAGGTATAAAATATATATATTTTTTTTTAAATAAAACGCTTAGAGATTACAAATTTTATAATACCACTGATTACAGCGAAATAACAACTTAATAAGAAATGTATTTTAATTGTTTAATAAACAAAAAATTACTGGCGAGATCTTTTTTCTACTCTCTTGCATAACTCAAAATTTAAACTGAGAGAAAGCTTTTTGTATGGTTCTTAAATACAATAAATAATATAACCTCAACGAATTCAGTTGAAAAATCAAGTCAAATATTTTAGTAAAAAGGGATATTTTTTGAATTTTAGAAGCAATTTTGTCAGTGGGTTCATTTTTACATAAAAAGTTATTATAACTTTCAATGCTATACATTTTAAGTGTATTTAAAACAAAATTAAATGATTTAAGTTAAATAATTGTAATTTTAGCATGTTAATTATTTTACTTTTTATTTTATAATCTCAATTAATTGAAATTTGAAATTAATTTCGATTAAAACTCTATAATTTTTCTATGATTTTGTTTGTAGTATTTTTGTGGCCAAATTATCTTCAAATCTATTATTTTAAAATTTTGCTTTTATTTTTTCGGAAAAGTCTAACTCAATTATAGTTATTTAGTTATTTATATTTAATTACTACTTTTATCACATTAAATTTGCTAAAATAAAACGTATATATACATGAAAATATTTTCTTTCTTAGCTAAATTAACTTGATTTTTCATTTTGGAAGCTGCAGTATGAGCAAACGAATTCAGTTATTTCTTCTTTTCGTTCATTTTTGTGAGTAAAACGCAAAATTTTAGAAAAGTATTATAAATTAACATCTCTTTTAATTCAAGCGAAGTTTTATTAATTTAGGGGGGCAAACATGAATGAATCTAGTATACCTACAAAACACAATCGTTACCAAATTTAAAAAGCTTATTATCTAGATTATCACCTCTAAATATGAGCACTGCTATCAGTTATACAGAATGGACTAAGTAATTTCAAAAAAACAACCCATTTTAATTAGTAATAAATCGAGCATTCGACTTCTACACAATAATTTTCAATTGTTTTTGTATTTTTATAATATAAAAAAAGATTAGCATTTTAATTACAACAAGGTGAAGAAATTTTTTTGGAAATCACCCTTAAATATCCAATAAAAAATCTATTAAAGTGATAAAATTAAGTTTCGTATTCTATGACTCACTCGGAAATAACAAAACTAGATAATTTGTTTCTTTTTTCTTTTTTATGCATTTTACATAAAATTACATTTATCACTGTTTCTGAAAGCTGTGTATTAAGTGAATCTTGGGAAAAAAGATATATTCATAAAATTCAATAAATTAAAAGAAGGAACTTAGAATAGTTACTATTCATAGGATTAATAATTAATTTATTCAAATAATAAATATACCTATATACTGTTTGATATTCATGATTGATCAGAGGGTAAGTCTATTTGCAAAATATACTAAGTAAAGTTTAATTATATAAGCTGCAAGCTAGACTCTTAATATATTTATAATAATGAAAATATTCCGAAAAATTTAGGGTTTACTCGAAAATTTATAATAAAAAGAACCTTATCTCAAAACTGAAAGCAAACTAGTTTCAATCGAATTTATGATTTATCAATTTTTATTGTTAAGGCCTTTCTTGGATTTTCCATATTTCATATGCAAATTAATCACAATAAATAAATAAATTAATAAACAATAGTCGTACAGTATAATTCTAGATTAGTTAATAGTTTATGAATGCATTCATTCTTGCATAAAATAATACTTGACAATTCATATAAACTGCAATTACTTAACTAACAATTAAATTTGAAAAAAAAAAAATTTATTAAATTTAGGGGAACGGGTAGTAAGAAAATATATTGATAGACAGACTGACAGACAGAAATAATAAAATAATAGATTGATTGGCTTTTCAAAATTAAAAAAATAGATTATCTATCTATTCAACTCTTAATTATTTTTCTTAATTCCTTCAAGCTACTAAGGTAATAATCTGGCAAGCTTTAATTGTGAAGTATTCTCGTAAAATATAATTCATCAAAAGAAAGGCTTTTCACATTTATTAGCATTGCTTGATTACATTTATTGATTATATAAACTGCTTTCATTAATTTGTGCGTATAAATTTATAAGCTAAACTAAAGTAATAAGAATTATGAATATCTCCCTGTTTATTTATAAGCTCTACAATCTCTATGTAAAAATATAAAAGTTATATTCAAAAACCATAACGTGGCATCGACCAGAGCCCATTTTGATGAAGATATGTTAACTTATTAACAAATTAAGGTAGTCCTATCATGTATCCCTTTAAAAAAAAATTATCGTTGAGGTGTAAAAATTACTATGAAAATTCATGTAAATGTATCTATCTCTGAAATTATATTCAAAAAAGAGTTTTTAATAATGTTTATTAGATCAATTGAATATTTTTTTAATTTAGATTGAATCTAAAATCTTACTACTTACTTATTAACTTTAATTAAAAGGAGATCCTCTCCTTTAAATTCAAAAATTTGATAATCTTCACATCAATAATAATTATTTAAAATTAATAAATTTTATAAATTCACCTAAAAAAAATTAATAAATAAAAACAATATTTCTATTAATCGTGTTAAACTATAAGATATTCACTATTTAACACAGCAAAAAAACTATTGCAAAACTATCGCTCAGATATAAACACGCATCTATCTCTCAAAGACTTCACACGCACTAAAAAGGCAAACTTAAATAACAAACTCAGTTCTCATACAAAAAAATGTTCTCTGGTTATAAAAACAACTAAGTCCCTAACATGATCAACGACGAAATTTGTGAAGACTATCTCTTCTAATATTCTGAAACTGGCGATCAAGTCTACAACAATGAAAGCTGCAGTGAAAATCGCCTTGAAAAATACGAATAATTTAACGACTACAACAACGACTCTAACATACTAATGTTCCAAGACGATAATCTCAATACAAATAAAGACTTCAACTATGAAGTCTAAAAAGACTACAATGATTATTATACTTAACAATTACAAAATTAACCACTATATAATCCTGCTGAATAATACTAATATAACGAAGCTTATGAAGAAAACAATTATGTTAATTATTAAAATTTCTAAAATCAAAACTACGCTCCAAAGAATATATCACAATAATAACATAACAACTCCTACTCAAATAAAAAATATTCTTAAAACTAACAACAATAACAATAATAAAACGACAGATTCACTATGGCTCTTAAATACAATCAAAAACCTTATTAAGTTGCCTATTTTAATTAAGGTTATCAAGAGGAACCAACAATGATTAATAATTAAATTAAGATTGATCAAAATAGAATTTAAAGTAATTAAGATCAAAAGATTATTTACTCTTCAAACAATATCAGAAATATCCAAGATAATTACAAGGAAAAAGAAATATAATAAAATCTGATACCAAAAGAAGAAGTCTAATAATAAGACTCTGAAGCAAATCTTTCTAATTTTTATAATTACAATTAGCAATAACAACAACCCCTATTTAAAGCCGAATAAGCTTTCGAACAAGTGATTTAATAATCAAGCTCTATTCCAGCCTCTGTTAATTATTATCAAATATACTAAGACTATTACAATAAATAAAATTTGCAATCCAGCCAAGGTGCTGAATAAAACATATAATCTAAAATTAACAATCCCTAAGTAAAATCAGAAGAAGATGAGATTCTTTCTTAAGTATCTACCCTTCCTAACTCTTCTAACAACAAGGAATAATACTAAGAAAATGAATAAGAAGAAGAAAATGGCGAAAAAAACATGTAAAATGAATCTGATTCATTCTACTCTTCTCCAGATTTGGAAGCTAAAAAAATACTTATTAGAAACAGTAACAAGAAAAACGTTGTCAAAAACATCATGAGTGCTTTCAAGAATTTCATCCTTGAGCCCTTACACCATAACTATAACTTAAAAGACTTGGATGTCGTCCTTGAAATGTACAATTAGACTAAAAAGGGCATTGATGATATGTCTGAAATGCAAGCCAAATTCAAAAGATACATCACTTCCAAAAACTTCAATCACTATACTGTGAAACTCCTTATCCAACACCAAAACTACTCTAATGTATTCAAATATTTCCTAAGTGGACCAATTGAAGAATGGATTACCGCAAGCAAGGTAGCTGATGTAAATTCCCACAAAATCATGATTGAATTCCTCAAAGAATGTTTTGATGATATCAGATTAATTGATCTTCTTAAGAGACACGAAAAGAAAAGAGCTCACTTCTAGTGAAATAATTAAGATAAATTAGTTAATAAATAAATAGTTAGATAAATAACCTACCAACCAACCAACTAACCAATCAATATTTATATAAATAAATAAAATCTTAACTTTATAAAATAAATCTATAATAAAATTACACATATAAATGAAAAACTAAAATTAAAATCTCACTTTACATATAATTAATAGAACCAATTAGTTAATAGCTGGTTCATTTCTATTGAGTCTCTAATTAGTTCCTAATTAGAGGCTCATTAGACTTCCCTTTTAAATTATTTAAATTTATATAAAAATCCTTCAATACTTCTCATTAATTAATTATCAATAATTTCCTCATTGTATAAATTTAGTCTTATATGTTTAATAGTTAAATAAATTGCATTAATAAATAAATGTGTTGATTAATTCATTCGATCATTTCATTAAGAGCTTTCAAAGCTAAATTTCAACAGTTATTTTTGCTGTTTTCATTTACTTATTTACATCAACATTATCGATTATTAGTTTAGGCATGAATTTACATTACACTTATCAATCATATAATTACTTATTAGCTTTTGTGATATTTGAATATTTTAAAATACAATCAAATTTAGATGAAAAAACTAGCAATGTCTTGTAATATTTCTTATCAATAATCTTAATTAATTCATATATATATGATATCTCTGTAATCTAATAAATTTTATATCGCGTCACTGATTTCAAATTAAGCAAAAGCTTTATTATATAATTTATAATTCTTATTTTATTTATTTATATTTTTATTAGTCTCCTCTCATCAAACAAAATTTGATACGCATTACTCAAATTTTATGTGAAAAAGAGATACTCTTATTTGATTATTTATCATCAACTATTCTATTTGATCGTTTCACTTGCTTTTCATATCAAGGAAGTTCCCATGCAATTAACCTTTTAATTTATCCATCCACAACATAAAATCACCAAATAAAAATTTAAAAAATAGTTCTAACTTCACACAAATTTATATTTTTACACCATTAATCGATTTAAAAATAATAAAAAAACATTATAATTCCTCAAAACCCTATTTCATTTATTAATTTTAAGTATATTTTTACTACTTTTATTGAAGATTTAGTGATGTAAGCAAAATAATATTTACTTTCACATCAGTTAGTGCGTTTTAAATGTTTTACTCGCTCAAAAAAGAGGAGCAGTTAATTTTTTAAATACGCATTTGATAGTAAAAGTATGATCAGAAAAAATATGAATCTTATTATCCGCAAATCAAAAATGTTAAGTTGAGAATTATTGCTTTAACATTTTATCTCTGATAGACGTGAGTAAACAAAGAAAAATATTATTTATGTATGTATGTCTATTTATCAAATTTAAATAAAAGAATATAGAACCCGAAGAAAATAGTATTATTAGTTATCAATTTAAACAAAAAATCAATGATCGGATTTATTTAAAATGTAAACGGCCTGTTTTTCAAATAAAAAAATTTTTGAAATCAGTTCAAATAGTTTTTGTCTGTTTTCACTGCTATATATAAAAAATGGGATAAATATTATATTCCAAATCATTGTATTTAAGTTTAGATTCTTGTGTCTTGTCCTAAGATATTTATTCTTTTAATTAAAATCAGTATTTAGAAATATCAAATATTATTAAGCCTTGAAGCGAATTTCGTCTCATTGTAGCAACTTTAGTGCGTATTATCTTTCAAATTGATTAATTTATTTATTATAAAATTGATAAAATTAAGCTTTACAATTTAATTTTGTTAGTAAGCATTTACGCAATTTTGAAAAAGAAAAAAATAATAACAATAAATTAATTATATTTCAAGTAAAATAAGCATCTAAGCAACGAAGCAAGCAAAGGTGAGGGACCATCTATGAATTAAATTTTCTACAAAAAAATTAAAAACTGTATTTTTGATCCATTAATGGAGATACAAAAGTTACTTGTTTGCTAACTTACATATTTAAAAATTAAAAATTAATTTTTCTATTAAATTCACTAAAGGGAGAAATTTTTTATAATACATTTACAGATACACTCATCATTTTTTACTTAATCAAATTAATAACTAACTACATGCATATGTATACATCTACATTTATCAAAATAGAGTTATAATAAACTTTAAAATCCCATACCAAAATTTATTAATTTTGTCGAAAGCAATTACAAATATATTTGTTTACTTCTCTATCTAGACAAAATTATGCTTCTAGTCCATAACTTTTTTAAATGATTTATATTCTAATGGGAATTCCTCTTCTAATGAGTGTTCTTCAATTTAATTTACGAATTCTAATGTTTGCTCCAAAATATTTGCATTATGACTAAAATTTTCTTCCAAAATTTCCTCAAATGTCTGAATTTTGATGACATAAAGTCTTGTGTTCTAATCAAAAGCTGATACTATTTTGAAAAGACTGTATTAATGTTAAGAGTCTGGAATATGAAGTTCTTCGTTCTTATCTTAGTTATGTCTCTTAAATTTTGTTTGTGCTCCCCTTATTTGAGCCCCTATTTAGTCTTGTAAAATGACAGACATGTAAGCTGTAATTTACTTCACCTAAATCACACTTGCATAAGTAAATTTTTTTTAATTGTTCACTTCTAAGTTATTCTGCTACTCTGATAGTGTAAGAATATCCTCATAAGAATAAGCCCTGTATTTTACAATTTTATAATTTTAATATCAAACTTAATTTAAAATTGCTAAATCAGTTTGGAAGCAATTTTTATTATTCTTAGCAATGAGTTTTGAAAACAAAAATTTTGCCTCTCTGTATTGAAAAAATTTCAAATAAAACTTAAAATATTTTATTTAAGTTAATAAGGATAAATCTTTAAATAAACTGTTTTCGGAAAAAATAATACTATAAATTAAAGCTTTAGGAAGGATCTTCTAATCCAAAGAGAGCATCGAAAATAGTCTATGCACAAATTACATATCCTTGATGGGCATAAGTGACCATCGGCTTAAAGGAAGTTATCAAACCGAAACTGTGAATAGCACAGTGTTAATTATTTATTTTCATTATGTTGTTAGGTAAACCGAGAAGGAGTGCTTTTTAGGATTTCTTTATTGCTTGCTATAAAGGATTTAGTTAAGAAAGATCTTCTTATGCCTTAGCTTCAGCATAGTCAAAATGAAAATCCTCTGTAATTGGCAGAAAGAAATAATCAAATTAATCATCATTGTATTATAAATATAAGATGCAATCTCCATTATCTTTTTTTTGTTAAAATATTGACAATACCTGCTTTTCAGTAGCTAGAAGTTATTATATTTATGGATGTAATTCTACATAATTTGGCATAAAAAATAATTGCCTTAGTTTGTATTCAACACTTTTATTTTCAAAGAAAATAAGTGCTTTTGATAGTTATATTTGATCATGAAAAACATTTAAGTTAAACATTTATACTTCATTTTCATCTTCATAAAAATCTTGAAACACAGGCATACTATCTAACACTTTTATATTAAATACTGCATTTACTTTTACATTGTTTTTATTATTTCCTCTTCGTTTAAAACATTATTTGCTATCTTAATTTTTTCTTTCATTATTTTAAAAATATAACTAAGAGCTTTTCTGAACCTCTTCAAAATAGAAATAATGCTTTTAAGCTAGGTTTTCAATTTTAGTTTGAGAAAAACTAAATTTGTAATGCACACAGCTGTCGCTTTCTACCTCAGCATCGACAATTCCTTCTTGTGATAAGACTACTTTTTTAATTTATTAGCATTATGATTTTTGGCTTCCTTCTTCGCACATCATTTTTAAATTATCATCATGATTGTCTACTAATTTTGCAGCAAAAAGCTTTAGCAAAACAAATAAACAATTATAAAAAATAAGTTTTTTCTTCATTTTATGTTTGCAGAAAAAATAAAGTTTAAATTTTTAGGATGGCTTTAAAAATTTTGCCTGATTTTAGAATTCGGATCTATAAAAAAATCTTTAAATTTGTTGGAGTTGACAAATCAAAGATACAAGAAGAAATCTGAAATATAAATATTCAAATCAAATTAATAAACTTTTTTAAAAGCTTTTCTTTTAATGAAATATTATTAATCTGATTGAAAAACAAACAATTTAAGTAAATAAAAAGAAAGAAAGAAAGAAAGATATGTAATTAATCATATATTTTATATTTAAATTTCTTTGCTTTTCAATTTTCAATAGCCACTTGAAAATTTACAAAAAATCTTTAAAACCTTTTTAAATATAAATTTGAAAAATCTTTGTTTATTTATTTATTTTGCAAATAAAATTATTTATAAAAATAAAAAAATTAATTTAAATAAAGAGATTTCCATTGAATTAAACGATATTAAAAAATTTGAAGACTACGTGACTCGAACACGCAACCGTTGGATTTGGAGTCCAACGCTCTACCACTTGAGCTAAGTCTCCTTGGATGTTATATTTTAATTTCTACTTCAGAGTGAAATATGAAAATGCTCATTTGGATAAATTAAAAAATATTCCGAATTCTTTATTTAGTTCACCATTATTCTTAATGATAATGAGGCAAAATATCATTTTTATAAAATTTTATTAAACATTTATAGCATAACAATGGTATAAATTAAATTGTATTCTTTATGTTCGTTTCTTTGATGACTTTTTAACAAAACTAACTTAAATGGTTAAATTTCTTAATAAAATATAATATTGTAAATAAATAGCAGTTATTTATTTATTCAAGTTTAGAAATAAATTCCCCAAAAATTTATTAATAAAAATGAATTATAAAAAAATTGTATTTACTGGTTAAAAATTATTTTTGTTGTAAATAGGTTAACTTACAGATTGACTTTTTTTACATGCTTTACACTCAGAATTGCACCTAATTAATCTCTTAATCTTTCAATTGCTCCTACCGGTAAGATTCAAAATTAAAAAAGATTTATTTAATTAAATTGAATTATCATTTGTAAAATATTGAATAAATCTGACCAAAATGCTTTCCATCGGGAACAAAGTTGGTCAAATGAAGCCATTTTTCATCTTTTACGAACGTCATCGAAAAAAAATTTTTATTTTTCAACAAAACAAGCATAAAACTTTCAGATCTAATCTAATTATGTGAAATAGTATTGAAAAAGCAAGCTAATATCTGCTTTTGTCTAATAGAAAACATCAACTGTTTCAGAGCCACACCATTATGAGTCTTCAAGCCTACGTATTTGATATAGTTTTAAGTTACTTACTGAGTTAATTATCAATCTCTGAGATAAAAGAACGCAGTTTACTTTGTAGAAAACATTTTTTCAAATTTTAGCTTGAAATAATTTTCGTTTTCATGATAGAAACCACATTAGAATAAAAATTATTTTATTTTAAATGCTAAGATACTGATTTTTGATTATATAATTTATTTATTATCAAATAAAATTGTATTGAAATAAGATTTACAGTCTAGAAATTAATTAATTAAAAAATAAGTAGAAGATACACACAACAACCAAAAAAAAGCAGATAAAATGGATATGAATATTCACACTCTTAAGCAATTAAAGGAAGCAAATAAAGATCAAGTACACGAGTTCTCCTTTAACAGAAAAGATAAAGATGTAGGTGATGTCGAAACTGCTGAACTTTGTGAAGAAATCTCGAAATGCAGCAAGCTTCACACACTGACTCTCAATCTCTCAAGCAACAACCTCTATGGAGATGGTGGTAAATCTATTGGTTCATTATTAGCTAAATGTGATTCCCTTAAAATACTTGACCTGGAACTATCTAAAAACAGTCTCGAAGTTGACGGAGTTGCTGGCTTAATCGATGGACTGAGCCGTTCTAATTCATTAGAAGTCTTAATGCTCAACGTAGCTGAGAACATGCTTAAGGATGAAGACTTTGAAAGCATTGGCCAAAAAATAGCTTATTTCAGAAACTTAAAAGGACTCGCTCTTGTTCTCACTGAAAATAAGATGGAAAATAATGGATTAAAAAAATTAGTAGATGGTATTGCTCAATGCCACTAGCTCACTTTATTAGACTTGCATTTGCACCACTATCCTCTTAGCTCATTGGGTGGTTTCGTTATTGGAGAAGCCTTACAAAGTTTGCACAGCCTCCAAAGTCTATCTCTTCATCTTGAGAACAACAACCTTAAAGACGAAGGAATCACTAAACTCTCTATTGGAATTAGCAAGCTCAGTGCACTCAAAAAGCTTACCCTTGACTTAAAGTAAAACAACATTCATGATGATGGTATTTTGGCATTGATCTAGGCAATATCTAACCTTACTAACCTTGAAATCCTCAAAGTAAATGTTAAACAAAATGGCTTGCACTAAAAGTCTGTTACTGCATTAAGCTAACTATCAAAGTTAGGCCATCTTTAAATTCTCAGCTTCAACTTTGGAGACATAGACACAAACATGAAAGATGAAGAACTTATAAAGCAAGAATTAAGTAAATTAGCTTTTGTAAAGTAGCTAAATATTAATCATACTGATGATGAAATCCAATATTTCTGATCATCATGCATGAATGCATCCATCCATAAATAAATAAATAAACTAATAAATTCAAAAACACACACACATACATATATATTTTTAATAAATATTTTAAGCACATACTTTTATTTTTTAAAGTAAAATTATTTGTTTTTTTGTTAGTATTCATAAAATAAATTTATCATTTATCCTTAGCAAAACTATTTCAATTAATAATGAATTTTTTATTAAATATTGCATATATTTACTATTAAATTAAATTTCCTAGAAAAAATTTTTTGTTAGTGAGTCACTTATTCATTTATTCATGTGGGAATATTATACAAATATTTGTTTATTTCAAAAAAATTGCAAAATTAGTTAGAATATTTTACTATCTAATTCATTCTTAAAAGATTCAATAGTTAATGTTTTAAAAAAAAATACCTCAAAAAGAAAATACTACTCTAAAATTCTTAAATAGATTTTAGATTTCTCTCTAAAATTTAAAATAATAATTATATGAAATTATAAACTGCAAATAAATAAAACGTTTTATAAGTTTTAACCAATCAGTAAAAAATACATTATTTTTTATTATTTGTATTTAATTAATTAAACAAAATTCAAAATTTTTTTGATTTTAGAAGAATTGCCTTTAGATTACTTTGAAGTAAGATATATACTCTTTATTTTCACTTAAACAGTAATTAAGAAATAATATTCTTTTAATTATGCTTAAGTAGTAGGATTTATATGCAGTGTTAAATAGATTGCTCCAAATTTAAAGAAAACATAGATTTTTCTAAGAAAACTTTTTGATTATAAAGCAAAAAATAAAAATATTAAGATAATTAACATATTTTTTTTATTTATATAGATCATCTTTTAGTTTACTCTAAAAAGATTAAATACTTTATTTATATTTTATCCAACAGAATTCACATATAAATATTATCATTTAAATTCATTTTAATAAACATAAATAATATATTAAAGTTATGAGATTGCTTCTAATAAATAAAACACCTAAATTTTTTAATAAGCATTTCAAATATTAGTTTGTTATTTACAAAACTAGTAAAATCAATTCCGAAAAACAAAAAATATTTAAAGATATCTTTTTAATTTGTTTAATTTTATTAGAATTTATTTTAGCTTCTATTTTTAATAAACCAAATATACTTTTATTATCTTATTGAAACAAAGAAAATAAATATATAAAAATGAGTAACTTGATATAATAAATAATTTTTGATAAAGTTAAAATCTTATATTTTTTGAATAATGCTACTTTAATCTGATAAAATAAATAATACTTAGTAAGATAGATATAAAATATATATATAAATAAATAAAAAGAAACTTAATATTTACAAAATATTTAAAATTATTGCAGTTTAGTTCATATTTGTTTTATAACTTATCGATTGCTATTTTTTCTTTTCGATATTATAAATTATGTTTTAATTTTCTTCATTTTCTAAATTTTTTAATTTTAACATTTTTAAAAAGGAACCCTTTAGTTTGCTAGCTAAATAGCTAATTGTATTTTTATTATCTATCCTCATTTTGAATAAAAACTTTCAGAATTTGTCATGTTTCCATATCTTTTTTTAATAAATCATTTTTAAAAATAAGAAAACAATTTAAAACAATGTAAAAAAAGTTATTAATTAACTTCAATAAATAATATAAATGATTGTTTAATTTATTTAAAAATACTTCTAAATAAAGAAAACTATTTTTGTATTTTGATTATTAAAGCAAGCAAATAAATTTAATATTAATTTTATTGTATAAAAAATACTAAAAATAGTTTTATTGTTTATTCAATTACTTGTCTTTTTACTGAGCAATCAAATAGACCTCTTTATTCCTCAAAGCAAGCCTTTCTTATATATTCTGTAACTCACAAACTTTCTTTTGCAGGTACTCGTCTTTTTCTTTGATTATATCATTCAATTACTGTATTCTACTTTTGTTTTCTAACTACAGCTTCCTATTTTCCATAGTCAGTAAATTCAATTTATTTCTAAAATCTAAAACTTTGCTTTCATTTTCTTGCCTCTCCTTTCTTAAAGCCTCTCTGCTAGATTTATCCATTTCTCTCAGTTTCTCACTATACTCAAATATGGTTTTTTCTATATCCTTGGCATTTTTTGCTCCCAAGGCTTTTATCTTGTGTTCAAGGATGAATACAGAAACTAACCTTTCCTCCATAGATTCTAACTAGCTACTTTTATTTTTGAGTTCTTATTTTAATATTTCAACATCTTCCTCTTTTTATCTAAGATCATTAATTGCAAATTAAAAATCCTACTTTAAGTTCTATTTTTACAAAAAATTTTTAAATTTTTTAAAATTTAATTGAAAATTTTTTAACTAATTTTGCTTATTTTTTTCTTTAAAATTTATTTTTATAAATAACAAATAAAACAAAAACTTTAAATAAACATGTTTTTTTTAAACTGAACTTTATTTCTTATAATTTTTTGCACAATAAATTTCTATTTTAGAATTATTCCTGCCTTATTAGTTTTGCTAAATATTTATTTATTTAACCTAAAATATTATTTGAATTTTTTAATTCTTAGCTTGTTTATTAAGTTTTACTTTCTGTTTACTTAATAATTTTTATTTTTTTTATCCTAAGATTTTAATTTATTGGTTTATTTATTTATTTAAGAGGATGTAAATTAATAGAATTATCAGCAATAGCAGAAGGTTTTTTAATAATAAATAAATGGTAAGAAATATTAGAAGAAATTTATTTACTTCCATTTCTTTCTAGGCATAATTAGCAAGTAAATCAGATTGAATTTCACTGTTTTTTAGCTTTTCTTAATACAAATTGATTGATAGCTTTAGTTACTGGTTTTCCTAAATAAGTTAAAAATAAAATAATATTTAAGGGTTTTTGTAAAAAATAAAAATAAAAATTAAACTGTCCGTTTTACTCTTGTTAAAGCTCTTATTTCACCTTCTTATTTTTAAAGAAGTAAAACATAATCTCTATTTTAGCTATTATTATCTTTCACTTCTTGTTGCCCTTTTTTTGCAACATATAAAGAATCTTCAAGCTCAATGTAAAATCTTGTAATCACATTAAAAATTAATTCTATTAATTAGAATATGTCTTTAGGTTCTTTTTTAGAAGGATCTATATCCCATATTGAATCTAAATATTCCTTTACTTCGTCAGATCCCTTTAGTGTTAAAAATGTAATTAAAGCTTACAAACTAATCAAAAAATGAGCTTTTTATACGAAAGAAAGAATAATCTTCAAATAAAATGTTAATTTCACAATATTTTATTCTTAACAATAATTATTAAAAATATTTGAATTATTTTACGAATCCTCTCAGCATTTGGTTCAAATTTTAAAACGTTTTTCGTGTTAATTTGCACAAATCTTCATAATTCTCTTCTAACGCTATAAAGTCGTTTATATCAAACTTCTTTTCTTTTCTCATTTGTTATTACATTAAAGGAGATGGTGATAAATTCTAGTGGTGATCTTTGTTTTAAGGAGTGTTTGATACTGATTTTTTATGATAATCGCCGTAAGTACTTCTTCTTGAATTTCTTGTAGAGAGTTAAGTAGACATTTCTGCCATTTTAGATGTTTCTAATGTTAAACCCTAAAGTGCAGCAGCATCTTTGTGGTGGTTTGGAGGATTCTTAGCAAATTGCTTCACTACAGCCTATAAGTAAGATGATTTTCTTTACATCTTTAAACCAAAGAAATATACAATAATAAAAAAATAGGGGAAGTAGCAGTAGTGCTTTTCTTAATGTTATGCTTATTACTTGAGATTGCGATTTTATTTATCTATATGGATAGTATTAATATATATTTATTAATTAATTATTCAGTAAGTAAGAAACAGCTTTTTTAAGCTGCTTATTATAAATATAAATAAAGTCAGCTAATTATCTGAAAAAAATATTCAACAAACTTCATCTATCTGCTATTTTAATTATATTATGAGATAACTAAAAAACACAAAAATTCTTAAAGCATAAATAATAATTTTAAACCTTGGATTACATAATTACCTTTGCTTTAGTTGAGACTACTTTATCTTATTTTCTAAGATAATTGTAAGTTGTATATACAATTCTTAATTAAATATTTTGCAATTATAACTAATTTATTTGTTTGTAATCAGTATCGCTTCATTATAATGATTTTTATTAATTAATTTTCCTTTTTTGATAAAAAACTACAATTTTTTTTTTCTTTTTGTATTATTTTCAGTATTTTATTATCTTTTTTATAAAAATACTGTAAATTTTTAAAAGTAAAAATCTTATTTACAAAATCTAAAATCCTTTTTTTCAGTATTTAGCTTAAACATTATTCAGAAACACTAATTAATAATAAATTATATTTAAAAAAAAACTAAATAACCATTTTAATTTAATAATTGTTTATTGCATAAAAATTTTAAATAAACATGATATATATCTCAATTATTCATAACCAGCCATTATTCTTTTTATAACTAAAAAAATAATTATATTTATTTGTCTATTCATTCACATTTACATAATACTTTTATAAAAAACTTTATTTTACTTTTTACTGGATGATTTTTTTATTAAGAATCAATCAAGGATTTATTTTAGGTATTTTGATAAATTAATTCAGCTGAATAAATATTTTTTTTACCTCAATTAATTATTTATTTTGAAGGCTATAGCTTATTTATATATCATTCATTATTTTGTAGAAAATTCCACCTAATATAAAATTTTTTGATTTAAAAATAGCATTCATTGTAATATTTTAATGATTATTTATATTTAAATTTGGGATATTGAGAATTTGCTTTTTTATTTTAATTTTTAATAGATCTTTTAAAAAAAATACTTATAACAACAATAAATAGTTAAAGTAGTGTTACATGTGTAAATACCTTTTATAAATTAATGTTGAATTAATTGTAACTAGTTTTCAATCGAATAATATTTATTCATAATACAAAAAATTAAACTATTATTTTAATAAATATTTTTTAAAAATTATTTGTTCATTTCTCAAGCATGAAGGAGGGCATCTTAGACTTGAAAGAAGTAGAGACTTTAATTGTGTCAGGAGATATTTATCCCTTTACGAAAAGTGTAGGCTGGTCTGATTTTTGTTCTCCAAAATATTCTCCAGCATTGATTAGGTAGAGATTTTGTTTAAAAGACTATTCAACGGTCAGTTCAATAGAATCACCTTCAATATAGCTGTCTTTAACTATACTGTAAATATGAGCTTTAACTTGTCCTTTATGTGTTTTTATAACAGCTTGCTAATTTGATAAGGTATCAATTTAGATATTTCCTTCTTGAGCTGTAATTTTTGCAGTTCCATGGGAAGCTCCTAGTAATATGTTGCCCTTGTTAGAATTTATAGTAATATGTGGAGTTGATTCTACCATGTTTGTAATTTTATTTTTTAATTATATAAAATTGAATGGATTCTCTTCACAAAATATATTCTATGGTCTCCTCTCAGGATTAGTATAAAGAGAGCTAATTGAAATATCTCCCTTTTACTTTAAATTTATTGTGGCATATCCTGATATAGCACATTTCTTCATGCGAATGTCCTTGTCAGAATTTACTTAAGCTCTAAAGCTTTCCAAATATGTATCTACATGAATATCGCTTGCTTTAATTTCACATATTTCTGTTTTTACTTTTTTAGCTTTAAAAGAAAATGGGGTTATAGCTCTAACGTCTCCATATATTTTTGAAGAAACTGCTTGTGTATTTTCATGAATAATAGGTCCATTGACTTCTATATCATATGAATAATACTCTGGGATTCTCGCATAAACTTTAAAAAGCTCATTCTCAATTTTATTTGCATCGTAAGTCTCATCAGAAAAGAAGGCCTCTCTGCCTCCATCGCTTTTTTCTTGTATCAAATAAGCAGGAGGTCCTAAATTTGTTTGGCTATTCTATCTAAAAACATTTACTTCAGAGTAATCTTCCCATAGGGTGTGTAAAATTAGATTATAATTAGATTTATTCAATCTCATTATTAGCTTTCCACCTTAACCAAATCCATATTTGAAATCAAAATATGGCGAATAATTTCCCCTTTCAGATTCAGGTAAAGGGTTTTCTGCACTTGTCCACAAATTACCATTTGAGAAACTACATTTTTGCTTGTACTAAAGTCCTTATAAACCTTTTAAAAAGCTCCTTAATTTATTATTAATCTACATTTTTGTACAAAAAAATAAGAATACTATTAATAATTCAAATCTTTATTTTCTTTGAATAAATTTTATATATTTATAAGAAAAGTTCCAGCTTTTTCATTCTTATTTTAAACTTTAACTTAGAAAATTCTAATTTCATAAAAATACAACATTAAAAATAGTAAATTATCTACAAATTAATTTATATAAAAATATCTTCTATTTAATTAAAATAAATAATAAAAACTACTTTTTGCCAACAACCTATCAATATTAAATCAAAAGAAGAAAAAATTACTAAATATTTTCATGCTTTAAAAAATTACTCAATAAAAATTTTAGGTTTTTTCTATTCGAAATGAAAAAAATTTTCAAGAAACTTACAATTTTTGTGAAATATAAAATTTATTTCTTTTTAAAATATGCTTGAAAATTTTTGTTGAAATTTCTTTTAAATAGAAGAATTACGATTTAAAAATTTAATTAAATAAATTAAAACAAAACAAAATAATAAATAAACTCAAGAATTTAAATTTTTGAATTAAGGTAAAAAATAATTTGGAAAAAAAAAAAATTCATTTTTTTATTTTTGAAAAGGTGCTAATTTATTTTTCCAAGGAGTTGATTATTGAAGATCTACATGCAGTATTTGTTTTATCAAAAATATAAAAATTTATTGGTTTTCCCTCTAAGTGTATCAACAGAAAATATTTGAATTAATGTAGTTTGTATTTGAGATCAAATAGCTAGTATTCAATCTCTCTTTAAAATTTAATTAGTGACATAAATAATAATAAAATAAACAAAAAAAAGAAAAAAAATTAATTAAAATCTAAAATGATATAAATTTTTGAGATTCTTAATTAGAAAAATAAAAGTAATTCGATTTACTTAGAAAAAAATGAACAAAAATATTATATGTTCAAGAAAAATGATGAGATAGTATCCAATTTATCCATTAACAATTAAATGCAATGCTCAAGCTAAATTTTTTAAGATAATAATATTAATAATAATAATAATTAAATTTAAAAAATTGATGTGACTTAAAATTTAAGTTGCTTTGTTAAGTTCATTCTCTAATTCATTAGAAATTTAAAGATTTTTGATTTCAAATAGGAAAATCTATAGAAAGAACTTCGTTAATTTAATATAAATTACCCAAATTCTTTGAATGAATCTATCCCACTCCCACTCGTACCCCTGACTGGCTATAATTTATAATAAGTTTCTGTTAATAAATTAGAATTAAAAAATTTACCTATACATATAAAGTAATTGATTGAAGATTATGAAGAATTATTAGTGTAAATAGTGAGTAATTAATAAAATTAGACAGTTTAATTCTAAAATCCAACAATTTTAACATTAAAAAAATTGAATGAATATTACTTAAATACTTATTCTAATTCTATTAAAATCTATGGATACCTTGGTTTTCAAGATAATATTGAAAATACAGAAAATCTATTGGAGAAACTAGAATAATATTTTTGTTAATAAAATTTAGATCTATAAATCAAAAATTTATAAACTAAAATAGAATTAATAATCAATTGCTTACATGAAAATAACTGTGAGTGCAGCTGTCCAGAAAGGTATGATTATTAAACCTCACAATGGATAAAAATACCTGATTTCAAGACTGAATACATTTACCTGCTTATCGAAACCGAGTCATGCTATAGTGATTTAAATATTAATTTAAAATTATGTTTAAATTAAAAGCTTACTAGTGATTTTTATAGGACTAAAATATTAGTTTAAACTAAATTAATTTTAGATGATATTGGAGGAAAATTGAATTTAGAAATTCCTAATAAATAATTAGAGGTACCAAGTATATTAAACGATGCAAGATGTTTTTTACTTTTTCAAAACAACTAGTTTATTGATTTAAAAAAAGAACATATGATTGAAGATTAGGTTTTACTTTTAATAGTGTGCATTACTAAATCAAAAATTAGTTAAATCTTTTTAAATAATCATCAATAGATCATAATTGATTTGCTAATTGATTGATTGAATACAAAAATCTAATTTTTGATAAATAAAATGCATAAAACTTGTTTTTAAGAAAATATTAATGCGAATTTCTTTATTTTTTTGTGATTATATTTTTTAATAAAATAAATATTCATTTAATCAGTATACATGCAATAAATCTTCTCAAACTCACATAAATATTTATTTGTAAAAACTAACTAATTTTTAACTTTTTTAAAGCTACATTTGTTAGATAAAATAATTATTAAATAAATAATTTTAAATTCCAAAGCACAATAACTTAGATAAAGCTTACTTAGGAAGCTTAATTTTTAAAGATAAAATTTTATATTAAATAAAAAAAATTTACTAAAAATTTGAAAAAAGGTTTTCTTATTTTAGTTAATTTTAATAAGCCTTTTAAAAAGGAATATTTAGAATATAATTAAGCTATAGAACAATAAAATTATAATCAATAATATAAGAATACACATTTTAAATATCACTAATCAAAATATTACTGAATGTTAGCGATATTTCATATGTAGGAAAACAGCAAAATATTAAAAAAATATAAATAATTTTGAGTTAGTTACTCTTTTAAAATTAGATTTAGACTAAATTAATAAAATGAAGAATTTAGTTTTAACTACTTATATGTAAAATATTAATAGAATCACAATTCAAGACAAAGAAACAATAAATGAATGAATAGATAATTAATTAGATTGACTGATTGATTGATTGGTTGATTAGAAATATTGATATTGATTTCTTACTTTATTTATTTATTAAGAAATAGATATAGATAGATAGATATATTCCATAAGATATCAAAAAATTAGAAATTGAGTCGATTGGAAATCAATAATTAATTTACTTTTTAATCAAAATTCTTTAAATAACACTATAAGCAAGCAAAGTATGAGTACACAAAATTCTTAGCAAAAAAGCGATGAAGAAAATAAAATAATGATGACTGCCAATAAATAGCGAAAATTGGCCACCATTTTTAGATGGATAAATGCAGGTTGCGGGCTTGCACTGATAACTAATGGAATCTTAAGATACATTTTTTTTGCAGCTCTGATAAGTGAACCATGGACTATATTTTAGCCTGGTTACATGATAATGTTTGGCATAGTAATTTTTGGAGCAGAGTTAAATCTTCTATTCGTCCTTTCTAGAATATCTTTTATGTGTTCATACATAGGTAGAGGATTGTTAGATATTTTCGTAGCAACTATATGCTCTAGTTATTTAGGTGGATCAGGTTTAAATATATTGGCAATAGTAATAACAATTTTCTTGTTTATTGTTGGTTTAATGTATCTCTGTTTTCATTTTACTGGATTGGACTTAATACTTCCTCCTGAAGTAAGTGAATAGTAATCTAATAAATCTAGCACAAGCACAAATAATTCTAGCAATCTTGATAATTCATAAAACCTAGGAAGAGGATTAAATGAAAATGCAAGCGATCCATCAAGTGTTTATTCAAATGGATAAATGTGATTGATTGATTAAATAATGTGGATGTAAAAAAGAATTGTTTAAGTAAACACTAAAATATAAACTAACCCCAGCTTATATCCATTAATTTAAGTTTAAGTATAATAAAAGTATAGGTATTTTTACTAAATAAATTAATCTACTGTAATAAAATTTATTATTTTTGCAAACATTTTTATTTCATATTGTTAATATTTTAAAGTAGTTATTGGCAAGCAATTTATTGTGCAAAATATTAATTTTAGTTAATATTTCAATATTTAATTAATTAATCAGCAATAACTCTGTATAAAGTAAAATGCTTATCAATATTGATTGATTGGTTTATTGATATTTTGTATATTTGTTTGATTCATCAGAATTCTTTTATTCAATACAAGAGCTTAAGACTAAAAGTGAATTCAACATAAAATAAACTTATAATTAAAATAGTTTTTTTTATCAAAAAAGTAAAAATAAAAACATATCTGTTCATTAATCATTCAATCATCTAATTAATTAATTTATAAAGTTAGAAATATTTTATCCCTTTTTAAAGAATTAAAATTTTTTACTTTCTACTTTATTATCGAAAAATGAATGACAACATTCTCATAATAAAATTTGAATAAATCTAGATGAAAACATTATACAAGATGTCAATTTAAAAATTTTAGTAAAATAAATAGTACATTGAATTAAACGCGAAATAACTAACAAATTGAATTAAATATTTTATTTAATTTTTATTTATAGATTCGATTGTATTTTATTTTTTGATAATATTAATAATTTATATTTAGAAACATTAACATACAGATAAACAAACAAACAAACTATTAGAATTTTTTATTTTAAGAATCATATCTAAGACAGACAAAGTTCTTTAATTATACAACTTAAATGCTTAAATACAATTTACTAAATTACAAGGTTTATCTAAAGTATTTTTTATTTAATTAACTTAATCAATTTAAGTTGAGATCATCGCATTCACCATCTTCAATATTTTAATTTTGAGTTAATAAAGCTTCTTACATTTCTTTTATTCCGCATACACATTCACCAGCTTCATGGCATTATTCACTTTAACATGTTAATTTTTTATCGATTGTAAAGAAAGAAGTTAATTCTCTGTTACAAATATGACAAGGGATATGAGTGACAGCGTGAACTCCAGTAAGCATTAATTCTAAACACACATCTTTTTTCATTTTCCTTGTTAATTTCTTATCTTGACTTTCCATTTTATTTAATACTTAACAAATATAAACTGATTGCTTTTTGATATGTTCAAAAAATTTTAATTATTTTCGCTTAATAAATTTTTTTCTTAGCTGAATTTTTTTACTTTCTGTAATAATTTAATTAAAAAAAAGAAATTCTGATTTATTGTCTAAAAAGTGCATATATGTATGTATGATAGACGCCGCTTAAATAAATAAATAAATAATTATTTTAACTTTCAGTGATTATCAATAAAAAAGATAATCAAAAAAGTATTTTATAAAGAAAACAAAACTATTTTATTTATTTGCTTTATTTAATTTGATGTATAAAGTAGACAATAGATTTATTTTTGTATGAAAATAACTACAATTTATTATTTATTGCATATGATTGTGATCAGAATTTTTAGATTTTCTTGTCATTAATTTAATTTAATTAAATTGATTATATTTTATTTATTTATTATTCAATTCAAAACATTAAAATTAAAAGATTTCCTAAAGGAAGTTCAAATAGATTAAAAAAGCTAAAGAATTTTAAACTAAAAAATGTCTAATCAAGAAAGATAATTCTGCTTAGAATATCTTATTACTGGTGCCCATCAGTAACAAAAGAATTTGGATTGCGTTTTTTGCTTCCCTGAAAAGCTGTAATAGGAATTTGAGAAAATTCAATAAAAATTGAAAGAAGAATAGGAAGAAGAAAAAGATCTACCAGACGAAAATGAATTCGACGATGCCTATGAAGACTTAAGAAAGTAAGCAGAAGAAGAGGAAGAGGAAGAAACTTAAAATTTAGTTGAAAAGAAATTAGAATAATAAATAGGAGAAAAATTACATCACATTCAATAATAAAGTGTAGAAGCTTTAGATTAGTTGCTATAGAATGAAAAAAATATTGAATTTATTTTAGACACTTCAATGGGTTTGGTAATTAATCCAAACAACGTTAATGAAAGTCGTTTTACTTTGGCAAGAAGAGTGCTTAGTTTGACACTCGAAAAGTGGTACCCACAATTAAATAAAAATGGTAACTAATAATAGAGATTAGAAAATGAATAAAGATATTAATAGGAATTAAAGAAAGAATTTAATATCTATTCTTCTGAATAAGATGTCTAGCTAAGCAAATAGTTAGTTTAAATTTCATAGGTGTAATTAGCAGATGAATTTTTAGAAAATATTTAATTACATGGTAGAAAAGACAGAGTATTATCTACACTTTAATCAAGAATTTAAAACTGTCCTCCTTAAATAACTTCTATTATTGTTTTTACTGACTACACATCTAAAGATTACTCAGCATGGAAACAATAAATTGAAGAAGCAATCAAACAAAGACAAAATGCTCCTAAAATACACATCATTAGTTTTAACTTAGCTGGGCCTGAAAAATAAGAAGATAAATAAGCATCTTTCGATTTCTTTGAATCAATCAGCAAATTAACTAATGGCACTTTCAAATAGTTTAGTTCTTTATGATAATTCATTAATCGCTTAATAACTTAAATACAATAAAATTCTAATTAATAATTAAACCCTTAAAGACGTTTACTATTTATTTTTCAAATATTATTTTTATTTGTCTAAATATTTTTATTTTCAATTTTAGCAATTCTAATTTATGTTTAGCAATAAAAACATCCAATTTATAGTTATTATTTAAATTATTTAAAATAATTTATTTTATTCACATTTTAAAATTTATATTTATTTATTTATTTTAGATAATAATAATTTATTTTACTAATTAATTTTTCAGTTATTTAAATGAAACTCTTTCTATTAATATATTTAGATTATTTATCATAAATTATTTTTTTTATACTTAAATTACATTATTAATTATTTAAAAATATTTTGATTTACATGATAATATTAATTCACACTATTTAAAAATATCCTTGTCAAATAGTACTGTAGGAAGGTATATATTTTAATATCATAAGATAGGTTTATATATTATAAGGTTAGTAAGATCTTGCTAACTAACTATTTTCAGATCTCTTGTGAAAATCAATCTATAAAATTTTAAAGTTAATCTACACTTGTTCAATTTATGAATGTTTATTAAATGTTTTTAATTCTTATTTATAAAAATTAAAATAAAATTTGTTTATCCATTAATTTAAGTCATTTAGATTTATTCTCTCTAAAAATTATAAAATGTAATATTTTTATTTAAATCAGCAGTTTTGTTTAAAAATCAAACGAATTGACAAATTTTGCATAGGTGTTAATCTATTTTTTTATAAATAAAAAAATTATTACTTTTCTATTTTTTCATTAAAATCTTGATTAAAAGCAAGATTAAAATTTTTTGATGAAAGTGCTTTTTTAAATTTATTCAAAAATTATTTGTTTCGATTTATTTTTGGAAATTATTTTTTGGTTGTTTTAATTGTTTATTTAATTAAGTATTTTACAAGTTTTATTAGAAAATATAAAAAACAAATATTTATTAAATTTGGATTATTTTACATAATTCAACAAGCTCTAAATTTATAAAAATATAATTAAAAAAATGCTTGATAATACATTATTTTTATTTAAAATAGGTCTAATTTTGTGTAAATATCAACTAAAGTTTAAGAAAAAAGCAATGCTAATAGCTTTCAAAAATCTCATACCTTCTAATTTTCTAACTTTATTTTAAATTCAGTTGATATAATCAAGTATTTTTGTTAATAATAATAGATAGATTAATTTTATTTTTTTTTATTTCGTTTTAAAAGGTAGGAAACAAATAAAAAACTAAAATATTACTGAATGAAAGATGATAATTCTTATATTATTCAGTAAAATTTTTTGCAAAAAATAAAAAATAATAAAATTAGAATGTAAAATTTTAGAATTTAACAAGACAAATGATTAAAAAATTCACGAGCACACTAGCTTTTTGGGAATGTTTAATGTGCTTTCAAACAAAAAATATTGATACATAAACTAAAAAGAGTAAAGAATATCAATTATTAAATTAAGTATAAAAATTTAATAGAAAACAACAAAAGAAGTAAAGGCTAAACAGAAAACACATTAAATATATAAGTAAGTGATAATCTTGTATTACTTTACATTTATATTTATATAATTTATTCTCAACTCATTTAATCAAATGGATTAAAAAATTATGCAATAAGGCAGAATATTTAAAAATATTAATTCCATAAATGGGATGAAAGAGTTTGCTAGTGAAAAAAGTACTCTAAAGCTTTATGTTGACAACACAAATTAGTCATAAAATTCAATGAACAATATTAACTTAAATACTGATAGATAGCTTCAAATATCTTAAAGAGGCAATGATGTTGATTTAAGCATGTCTTAACATTCTTTTATATATAAGAAGACTTCCTCAAGGCCTTCTTCGCAGAAAGTAAACAACTTAGGCTTAAAAATTTCTGATCTTGTGTAAAAAAAATCTAATACTTATAAATCCTACCTATAAAATCAAAAAAGTATAAACTCATCAAACCAAAGTAAATAAAATGAATAACCTTGTCAAAATTACTAGCAAAGAGCGATTTTAAACTCAGCTAAACCACAAAAATTAAGCTCTCAAACTTATCAATTTTAAGGATTGAAAAAAGACAATTACTTCTAAACTTAAAATAATATTATTTATGAAAAGTATGTCAAAGGAGAAGTATCAATAATAGAACTAAAGCGAAACAATAATTTACAAGGCGATTACTTAAAGCTATCTTAACAATCTGACAAATAAAATATTCTTGACAAAAAAATTACATAGTTTAGTAACACATTTTAAGATTTTAATGAGAATTAAGAAATTTTCAACTTGAGTTAATCCTAGAAATTGACCAAGTAAAATAAAGTAGGAGTATTTTAATAAGAGCAAATTGCTTAAGTAGGTCATAAAAGTTAAGAGTAAATTGAATAAGCGAAGCTATGCCAGTCAACAAAAGACTAAAATTGTTAATTAAGCAAGGATAGTGAATAGCAAAATGGCTGTAAATAATTTTTTTTAATGAAAAAAGATTCTTTGAACTTTGAGGAATGCTCTAATATGTAAAAAGTCAGCAAAGGAATAAATTCTAGTTTTGTCAGCATTGGTAGTAAAAGTGGGTATAATGAACTTTTTTAGCATGAAAAAAACTTAGTAACAAATAATTAAATGCAATCAGCATCTCGATCTAATTTAGGTTGTAGCATTTATAATAATAGTACTTGCAGCACAACACCAGCAGGGATACATAATCCAGAATAAATAACATAGTAATTAGTCAAGTAGAATTTAATGATTTTTAACAGAAAGGAACTTTTTTCTGCAGCTAAGAGCTCAAATACTTATACAAACTCATAAAAATTAATTTTAAGATAAAACTAAAATAAAAACCTCTACAAAAGTTACCTTAATTCTTAAAGTAACTAGATTTCAAGGTAGACAAGTGTATATTAAAAGAATGTTGCAACAGATATAGAAAGGTTAGTAGCAAAATCTAACAGAAAACAAATAGAAAAACAAATTTAAAGTTTAGATTCTGAAATATCAACAATTTTAGTTGGTAATCAATCAGACAGGATATTGCTTTCGAGGAGTATTTAAGGTAATCCATAGATTGCGGGTATGGGAACTAACGAAATAAAAGATGTAGCAACCTAAAAGCTTACATTAAATATCTAGAATTTAAAGAATATTAAAGAAAATAATGTTGAGAATAACATAGATGATGACATAGTTATTTCTCCTCTCTTAGAGCCCAGCACGTAGCTTAATTCCTAGTAAAAAGTGGGAGATGATAAAAAAAACTTTATAAAAGACTTAATTTAAAAAAAAAATTAGAAATAAATACCACTAATAGATGCTCCATTCTTTTAAAATAAAATCTTTCAGTAAGACACTTAATTTGAGTTTATGGAAAAAGTTTATTCTCCTAAATAAATAAAATAATAATTTCAAGATTCTATTTAAGTGAATCAGTTGTAGAAATAAAACAGCTTAAGCATTGAATCATTAAGTCATAATTCGCCTCGAAATAATTTTTTAACTAATCAAATTGAAGCTTTAAGCAAAAGCTAAGAAAATCTTAAAATTAGTCAGATAATCTAGAAGGAGTAGGAATAGAACTAATCTAGTATAAAAGATATATAATAACAGCCACTTCAGAGCAGAGTATAAAAATCATAACAGCCAAAAAAAAACAACGATCTGAAAATAAAATTCATTGATAAAAGATTTAGTGATAATATTTAACAAAAGAAGTAAGAAAATCAAATTTTAGTAAAAGCTTCTTCTGAAGCAGAGACTCAAACAAATGCTTGTGAAAAGTTCTTAAAAAATATGGCCCTCCGTCCTAAAACTGGAATTCCTTACAATAGAAACAATTCATTGATATACACTCCTCGTTAAATGTACAATATGAATTAATAATCAAATGAAGAAAATGATAAAAAACCAAATAGTTAAAATCCAGTATCAAGTTAGTAGATTGAAAGAATTAGAACTCCATCCTAAACTCATTAAAAATCACTAAATATAAAATAAAGCAATCAACAAATACATTAATTTAGTCCATGGTAAGATAATAACATGGATGAGTAATATGATCAAGAAGATTCTCTCGACTTTATTTAATATACAATTTCATCTTGAATTTAAATATTCTATTTAAAATTTTAATTTAATTATAAAAATTTAATAAAATATTAACTATATTTTACAAGAAGAAACCACATTGAATTCGTTTTTTAATTTATTACTTTATTTTAGTATTTTATATCATAATTTAACTTTCAAAAATTAACTATTTTTTATATATACGTACAGTTAATCCTCATTACTTCTCACCATTTAGCTTTCTTCATTTTATCATAAATTTTGAAATTAATTTTTAAAAAAATTTTTGAAAAATTAAAAATAAATGGATAGTATTTTTGAGGATTGACAATAATATAATAATGTTAATTTTTTATTATAAAATTTAAATAATTATAGAATATCAATTTTTATAAAACAAATAAAATAATTTATTAAATAAATTAAGATAAAATTATTATTTTGGTTAAAATTTATGAGAGTAAATAAATTGAGATAAAATTAAAATTATTTCGAATATTTATTGAATAAATAATTAAAAAAATAAATTATAAAAATTTTAGAATTAATAATATATTTAAAGATATATGTATGTTGTATGATAAGTTTATTTTGTAATTTCATGGAGTAACTTAAAATCTAAAGTTAAAACCTCTTTTTATTATTTCATTAAGTTGCTGTATAGTTGCAATTTGCACTTCTCTTCTATTTTCTAGTGAATAGTTGATTTCGAAAATTGGAGGACTATTAAATTTATTCAATAATAATTAAACTAAAATAAAAATGTTAAGAGTTATGTACCTTATTTTGATTGAATATTTTTTGTTGTCTAAAGTAACTATTCCTAGGTTTTCCTTGAGTAGACCATTTACTTCATTTTCTTGATTTAAAATTATAAAATTTTTAGGATCAAATTCATATTTGGGGAGTTGTAAGTCAACTTTCTTTAAAAAGCTAGGTCTTTTCTTTAAGCTATCGCCTTCATCATCTGTATTTGGTTGGCTGCTCGATTTCCTTTCACCAGAAAATCTTATTTTGCTTATTATATAATTTAGCAAGTCATAATGAGTAGTTAGAGCAATAAGTTCATAAAAATCTAAGAATGTTAAATTATGAGTGATTTACTAAGCAAATTCAACATTTTATTATTTAAGAGTAACTTTTGATGGGCTATTTGTTTGAATTAATTAATTATGAATAAAATAAAATTAAGATTTTAAATATTTATTTACAAGAATGATATTATTATGTACTCTTCTTAATTAACAAGTTCTTTATAATATTTTTTACCCAAAAGTTCAAAGACTGATTTTTCCTCATCAGCTTTTTAAGAGAATAATAAATAGATAAATAAATTAAATAGTAATTTAATTTTAAAATTACAATCTTTAATTGTGAAACTGATTTGTTTCTTTTCTTCCAACTGAGTAAGGGAAAGTCGAGCTAAGTTTGTAACTAAATCACTAGTTTAATTATTTCTACTTTATTCAAGTTAATTTTGTGAATTTTAATGGCTTTGCTTCGTTGATTATCTTTTATTTTCCACACTTTTTGGTTGTTAGGATCCTAAAAAATATACTTGATTTTCTATTTGCTATTATGAGGGTGGTTTTGATGCAGGTTGGTTCTCTTCTTTTTATTCTTATTCTTCAGTTTATTCTTATTATTCTTGTTCGTTTTTTTCTTACTCTTCAGGATATAATTCTTTAATATCCTCTTAATACTATTGCATCTTTGAGTATTAAAATAAAAAATGAATTGAAACAAATATTGAGGAATAAAATAAAAACAAGAATTTTAAATAGATTATTTACATAGTTTTCCAAATTAGAGAATTTGTTAAATAAAAGCTCTCTCAATTGCTCTCTTGATAAATAAATTTGCTTTTTGTAATTCAATTACTAGTCTAGTATTTCTATGTAAGGATAATTCACTTAATAAACAACATTTTCTATTTCGCTGCTTGTAATCTCAGTACTTTCTGGATAAATTTCATTTTAAAATTCAGTATTCTTAGAATCGATTTAAGTGTTAGTCTCAAATTGCTCAAAATCAAATTCTAATCTAGGTATATCAATTAAATTATCTTAATCATCTTCCTATTTATATGAAACTATCTTCATATATTTTTCAAAAAACTCTTATATCTGCTCTTGCTTATATTAAATTAAGTATTCTAGAATACTGAAATTGAGCATATGGTTGAGAATTTTTTTAGAGCCTTTTTTGTTTTAAGAGTTTTAGTTAATTTGTTCTTCTTGTTCTGATTGCATTTCCTCTTCAGAGCTTTTTAGCTATTCTTGAGCTACTATCTCAATACTGTTTAAAGAAATTGTTATCAAGCGTCCTTTGTAATCGATAGATTTCTTAATATACATTCTCATATCCCAATCTGAAATCTAAGAATAAGGAAGAAAGGACTTTTATTTTGATAAAATTTTGCTATGCTTATTTAAATCTATATTATGTATTTGCTGCTATTCTAATGGCTCGAGCTTTATTCCTCTAGGATTTCTTTTTGCACCATATTTCTAGCTCTTAAATGCTTTTGAATTCTCAATAAACGTCCTGTTTATTATATAAATATATTATTTATTATTTGTTATTATTTAATTCCAACATAAAAGTTTTATTGAAAAATCAATAAAAATACCTATCACATAATAATCCAAAGTGTTTTACTGAATATTCGTAGCTCTAAAACAACGCTTTATAATAAAAATAAAATTAGTTGATTTATAAAAAAATGGTGGTATTTAAAGAAATAAGCAAAAGAGTATTTTTGGTATTATTTGGCATGAATAAAAAATTACATTGATTGCTTTTAGTTGAGCTTGGATTTAATAAGGAATCTTTCAAGTTGAATTAGCTCATGTTAAGGTTTTAATTTAGAGGCATTGATTGATTAATGCTTGTGTTGTAATTATTCTGGTAAGTGTATAGATTACCCTACGACTTGCTATTTTCTAATGTTATTTAATTAAGAGGAATGTTTGGTATCTTTGATCCTTCTAATATCGAAGACTAATTCAGAATCACCCTATTTCGTAAAGAATATAAATATAAATCATGATGCATGAATTTTATAAAATATATTTTTCTATCAAAAAAATAAATAATAATTATTCAAATTACAATTAGGAATAAACTTAATTTAGCTTAAACTAAAAGTTATTAGTGCCAAGCAATTTCTTTGGCATGGCATCTTAAGGGTATATTATTTGTGACTAAGTCCTATTCATTTTTATTGTTGCGCAGAAATAAAACTGATTTATTTGAAGATTTCTACTTAATTACTGTATTTTTTAGCTAGCTCTATTTGCTTAAAATAGTAAAAAGAGTTTGTTTTTAAATCAAAATTGATTTAATAGAATGATATTTATAATAATTAATGCTGTTTTATTTTGTTGTATTAATGAGTGAGACAGACAGACCAGCAATTTATTTTACAAATAATTATTTATTTATTTATTCATTCAATTAATTAATTAAATTAATTAACCAATTAATAAATAAAACAAAATTAATTTTCATACACTAAAAAAAATTTGAGATTCAAATATGAAAAAGAAAGTAACAAATAATTTTTATTCATCAAATAAAATATTTGATTTTTTTTAATTTTATAAAGTATTTTTATGATTAAAGCAAATGCAGATGAATTAATTATTAATCTATAGATTACATAACTTATTTATTTTATAAATTCTCACTTATTTTGAGAATATATTCATATATACACAGTGCTAGCTTGGAAACCTCTTTAAACTTTTCTACTAAAGATTAATAAATTTTCCGAAGTGATTCCCTGTCATAAAATGAAGAAAGGCATATCCTATCAAAGATCTTAAACTCTTCTTTTTTTACGACGAGGAGCTGGTTTACCGCAAGGACAGTTTTCATTGCCTTCTTTTTTATACCATTTGCAGATAGATCCATCTTCACATTCACATTCACCATTGTCATTATCTTAGCATTAAAGCATCTTATAAGTGCATTTAAAATCTTAGGCTATTTACATGCAATTAGCATTAACGTATTAAACAGCTAAACCTAGGATTAACAATCCTAGGATGATATGAGATCCTTTCATCTTATTAACTTAATAAAAATTATTGATTTACTTTTTCCTACTAAAACAATTAATTTTAAAGTTTTTTGCAAAGCAATTAATTATATTTTTAATTAAATTAGTAATTTTTTTAAAATCAAAATATCCTTCTACTATTCCAAATGTAATGCTTTCGTTGACTCAGACTTTAACAATTAAAAACCAACTAACAAGTTATTATTTGTCACTTTTAATATATCAAATATATTTATTTATTTAAATATAATAAAACTAAAATCTTTCTTTAAATTTCTACATTATAAATTATAAATAACATTCAAATAATCTTTCTTACAAAATAATCAATAAAACTTTTTACAAATTAAAAAAAACTTCAATTTAAACCAACATATAAACAAAGCAACCAACAAAGTTAGATAAATATACATTTCCAATAAATTTGTTTAAATAATCTATAAAAAATTGTATTTTACAAATGAAAAAAAAATATTTTGAGCATATTTAAAATACAAAATTAATAATTTTATTAAATTAAAAAGGAAATAATAAAAGAATAGTTTTAACAATTAAATATTTTAATCAAAGAAATGCTAAGTAAAAATTATTTTAAAAATATTTTAATTTTATAAGTTAAAGTATTCTTAAAAAAAACAAATATAAAACTAAATCAATAAATTTACAAATTTTTTTGTATATTCAATCGTATTCGAAAAAGAATATCTTTTTATTTAAGATTAAGCTCAAATAATTATTATTTATTATTTGTAAAGCTATTGAATAAATATAAAGAAATACAAACTGATAGATAGATAGATAAATGTCCTCAGATTAGAAAGAAGATCCTTATATAGAAACTAAAAAGGATTATATCCAATAATGCTTTTAACTTACTAAATTTTTGTATTAAGCTTCTCAATCGTCAAATGATTAATTAAAAGGAATTTTACTCACTACATTACCTGATATAATAAATGATGAAGATTTCTAGAAAGTTGATCATGCTCTTAGAAATTCTTTTAACTAATTGAAAGAAGATACATAAATGAATGACCAATCAAAATTTATAACTAAGTAGCACATTGAATGTATATTAAATATGAGAATATTGAATAAAGATAGTATTCAATTATAAAACTACTGCAAAAATATGTTTTAAGAGTTAGATTCTTGAATTACTAATAGCATTAATGATTTATTTATTGAATAATTCATCCTTCCTTCAGTTTTAAATGCATAATAAATGAGGTTTGGAATAATTTAACAAATAATTTGCTAATATTAATAAAAATTATAAACAAAAAACTAACTTTTATAACTAATTCCATTTATATAATTTATACTTTTTATTACATGTTTCATTCACTATTTATAGTTCTTATCTACATACTAAATTATTGATAATTACAAATATTAAATTGAATAAATTATTATTTTTCAAGAATTTAATAACACCTGAAAAATTAAGTATAATTCAAGCATTATCAGCTGTTATATATATTGCTTATCTATGTGTTGTTTATACTATCACCAGATTTTAAAGATTCTTTCAATAAACTGGATCAAAATTTAGATTTGTTTATATGAATTAATTTACTGAATCATTTATATTAAAATTAGAAAGAGAATTTTATAATCTATGAAAACACAACACAAATATCACTCACTTTTTATAATTTTTATAAATCAATAATTTTCATAAAATTCTAAAAAATAAAATAAAGTAAATAAATTTAGTTTAACTATGATTAGAAATTCTAAGCAAGTAACTTAGTCAATATTTTAAATATTTTTTAGCAAAATATTCTTAATCTAACAGTTAAAATCTCTTGTGAATCACCATTAAATATCTTCTTTATCGTTTTGCCTGATGTATTACTTTTTAAATTAAGTCTAAAGTTATTTTAAGAAATATTTCAAAATAGAGATGAAGATTTAGAAAATTATTTTGGCTTGCTCAACTCTTCCTTAGAAAAATGCACAGACTTGACATCCTTGAGTTTTCAATTAGAGTATTTTATACTAGCTTAAAATATATTTAATATAAAGAAATAATTTAAAAATTAGAGAAAACGATTTGGAATCAGACTAAAGTCTAGTCACACTTTCAAAAAAGATATCTAAATTATAAAAACTAAGCTAATTAAAGCTTAAATTAAAGTAAAATTACACAAACACAAAAATATAAATTCAAATATATCAATCAATACAACTTTACTTTAAAAACAAGAAATACTTCTTTAGAAGGTAGTGATAGTTTAAAAGCTTTATCAAAGGAACTTTTAAAATTGAGTAGCTTATCTAGTTTTAGCATAAATCTATCGTAATTCAATTTGAATTCATAATAAATCTTACTTATTAATTTACAATATTTGGATTTTTCAAACAGGGAAAATGATGTTGATTCTGATGCTTTGGAGAGCTTGTTTAAAACTATTGCTAAATTCTCTAAGTTAACTAAACTATCTCTTAAGCTCAAGTAATAAATAAATAAATATATCTTAATTTAAATTAAATTAAAATAAAAATTAATAAATTAGTGGAGTTTCTGTGGATTCTTCTAATGCTCAATTACTTGGAAAAACAATTGGTATGCTACCCAGTCTACAAATTCTTAAATTGAACCTTAAGTAATTTCTTTTAATACAAATAATAAAAATAATTATTTTTAAATATAATAAAGCTCTACTTTCGATGATAATGAAGGATTACCTAAATTACTTACTGGATTAACTAATTGTCAAAGCATCACAAGCTTTTATTTAGATTTAGGGTATATTTCTATTTTTACATTTTGCATTAAAATTTTTACTAAATTGCATGTTTAATTTACATAATTTCTTAAAATCAAACTAAAAATGTTTTTAATTATTTATTTAATCATCTTATTTCAATTCTTACAATTAAAATGATAAAATCAAAATGATAACAACTTTCGATTCATTCATTCCTTTCTTTACTTTCTACTTGAATTTATTTACTTAAAAAATATAATTTTTTTATTATTTTTCAATAGAGAAAACTAATTGGCATCAGAAGAGATTTAAAAATTAGGTCAAGATCTAAACAAATTATCTAATTTAGATAAGCTTAAGCTTTCAATAAAGTAAATTCGAATTTATTATTTAAATCATCTATTAAATAATTTTAAAAATAAATTTGAAGTTAGTGCTCTTTGGATTCTAATGATATTTAGCAGCTAGGATCATCAATAGCCAAATGCAAGAAGCTTACAAGCTTAGATCTTAATTTAGAGTTAGTTTACATTTTTACTTTTAATTTTTTAAATTAAATGGTATAAATATAGTGAAAATAAACTCAACCCAGAAGGTGCAAGAGCTTTTGGATAAGAAATATTTAATTGTCATAATCTTGTAAATTTAAAGCTTTCTTTAAGGTATTGTTAATAATAAAAGTTAATGTAAATTAATATAAATTTTTATTAAAAAAGTAAATGTGATATTGGAAACGAAGGAGCAACTTAAGTAATAGAAACCATATCGAACTTAAAAAATATGGTAACTTTAGACCTAAATTTTGAGTAAATTTTTATTATATTATTTCTCAAACAACATGTTAATCAATAAATAATATTTAAAATAGTGAAAGTTAAATCAGTGATGAAGGAATAAAAGGGATAGGAATTTCTATTGCTTATTGTATTAACTTAAGAAATTTATCTCTTTAATTAAAGTAATTTATTTACCTATTTTAAGATATAAAACTTCAATAATATTTTTGAAATCTAGAAAAAATAACATTAATGCGGCTGCAGCAGAGAATTTGGGAAAGAATTTGTCGAAATGCAAGAATTTAACTTCAATTCACCTTGGACTAAAGTAATCAGAGTTAATAATTCAAAACTAATTCAAATTTAATATTTTTATTAAGGTAAAATAAGTTGTCAAGCGATGGAGTTTAATTGCTTACCAAGGAGTTATCAAATAGCTTAATTTTAGAAAACTTAAGCCTTAATTTAGTGTAAAAAGCAAATTAAATATTAAAATGATTAATTTAGAAACTAAAAAAAATAGACAAAACGACATTTAATTTGAGGGAATGAAAAACATAATTTAGAATCTATAAAATTGCAAAAATTTAAGTCATTTAAACCTAAATTTAAAGTAAATTTTATGAAATTTATAAAATATAAACAAAAATTCTTTTAATTTCAGAAATAACAATATCGGAGAATAAGGAATAGAATATCTTGCTCAAGAACTTTCTAAATTCTAATTATTAAAGAGTCTGTCATTTAATTATAAGTAAAAAATTAAGTTAATTCTTTATTTAAATAAGCTTTTTTTACTTTTAAATTAGATAAAATGGTAATTTACAAGAGAATAGCATTAGCAAATTAGGATCTTCAATTAAGAACTGCTCTTCTCTATAATACTTAGACATTAATTTAGAGTAAAATATTTTATTTATGATAATTCTCATTTAACTTGTTTATTTTAATCTAAAAGAAAAAACAATCTAAAATGCAAAAGTAAAAAAGCTGCTTATAGAGATTATTTTAAGTCAAAGTCTTTGTTTAATATTAACATCTCATACAGTTGATTAATAAAGTTAATTTTAAATTATATTTGAGTGCTATTTATTTTTATATTAGTAAAAAATCTTAGCTAATAATTAACATTTATATTCTCTGTCAATCATCATTTTTTACTTTTCTGAATAACTAATTTTCAATTTAATCAAAAATAGGATCGTTTTTTTGTTAATTTTAAAATTAGTTCAGTACTAAAATAATACAAAATTTCAATATGTTAGAAAATTCAACTTATTAATTAAAGTTGATAGCTTAGAGTTTTCTTTTATTGAAGTAGAACCTTTTATTATTAAATAAAATAATTTTATTAAACATTAACTTTAATAGTATAAAAGTAGTAAGTTCTATTGTTATATATTCTTAAAACGTAAACATATTTGTTAAAATTAAGTATAAGTAAAAATAACATTAATATCGATCAAAAACAATTCTTTATAACATTAATATCGATCAAAAACAATTCTTTTCAAAATAGATTAAGTTTAATCTCATAAAATTTTAACTTAAATATTAAGTTATATCAAATAGAAATTTGTAAATATATTTATATATGTATATTTATCGCACCTCCATATATAAAAATTATGCCATTTGAACATAAATAAAGGTAAAAATATTAGAAAATAGCAAAAAATTTATGTCCATTAAATTTTTCTAATTTAACGAATTTAAATTTAGTAAAATAATTTAAATAATTTACTTAGATATTTAATAGAAAGTAAATTATACTTCAGAAGGTCTAAAAATATTTAAAAATTAAAGAAAACAAAATCAAATTTAAATAAGTTACATTTTTATAAGTAATAATAATTTATATTTTTAATTTTTGTAATATTTAATGTTACTAATAAGAGCTACTAATTAACTAAAAAAATTCAAAATACTCATTAAAATATAGACATTCAACCTTATCATGGAAACGTCAAGTGATATTAAACTCATAGTCCTAATTTAAAAAATTAAATTAAATGAAGAAGAAAAAAATTAAGATGATTCGTTATAATTATAAAAGGATGATCTTAATTTATTATTTTGAAGATTACTTAAATTAAATAAGTTAAAAGAAAGAGGTAGCAATAGTAGTATTAATTTGATGAAGTGTTAATAAGTAAGGATAGGTAGGTAGGTAGGTGTTTGAAAATCTGGTTGGATATATAGATAAATAGATATATAATATTAGTAAATAGATAAAAAGGAATATGCATAAATGCATATGTAGGTGTGCATTCATTCATATATTAATAAATAGATATATAGATAGATAGATACTTGCATAGAAATTTATATGATTGATGAATAGTAAGTATATCAAATAGAAATTGTTATAATTATAAAAGTGAGTAATACTAATTAAGAAATAACAGCAAAGATAATTTATATATAAAGAATTATTCAGCAAATAATTTTTTTAATTAATTTAATATTTCATTCATTTAAATAAATGTACAGTATTGGTAATAACTAGCTAGGAGGACTACCATCATAATACAACTATTTATATTAGACTAGTTAGATTCTCACTCAGAACTCTCCATACTATTACGTCAAGTATTTACCTTACGACAAATATTCACAGAATTTAAATATCACTTAGAATATCCCATTATATCTTCAAGCTTTTCATAAAGCAAAGAAGATAAATAGCATCGCTTTTTTTTGTTTGTTTGCTTGTTTTTTTTAGGCTCTCATTTGTTTAAATCTAAAAAATTCTCTTTAATAATATTTTTTTTAAGTCACTAAAACTAGGCAGGATTTCATGCAGGATATAGCAGGGATTACCAAATGGGGTTCCAAAGTGGAAACCACTTAATGGGATTAGGCAGTTTGAATTATATTAGTTAGAGTTCAAGTGGATAAACGTAGTCATAATAGCAAATTCAATAATTAGGATAATCAGCATCATTACCAGAAAAATAACAATAGCAATAGTAATTACGCTAGCACCATCATCATCAAAATAGAAATTCAGGGTCTCATGAAAAGGAAAACCTTTCTAAAGATAGGTCGATGAAGCGCAACAGCTCAAATTTATACAGAGATAAATCCAATGAAAAGCTTTCATTTAATAAGTATTGATTTTTTTTTGTATATTTATTTGCGTTCAAAGATTGATTGATTAATAAGCCTTAAGAATACAAATAATCAAATTTTTACCAACTTGCAAATGCATTTATTTTTTAACATTTTTTTGAATATCGCAAATTGCGATCTCTAAAAACAGAAGTACTCCTCACTTTTTTCCATAGCACGATAGTTAGAATAACTACAACAGCAACATAAGCTCAGGGAATTATCAAAGCAACAATAATAGTAATAATAGTGGCAACTTATTTATGACAAGTAGCAATGGGAATAGCAGCGGAAATCAGAACTAAGGGTTGAGTTCAAATAACACTGGAAGCCAAACAAATTTAAGAGACAATGATAAAATTAATTAGATTTAGAAAATATACAATAACAACATACGCTCCCGAAACAACTTCCATAAATCTCAAAATAATTTCTATAACACCCATTCAAATACATTCTTCAATTCTAACAGTAACAATAACTAGAATGGAAATAATGGATCACTAGACTAGCGTAAGAAGAACAATGGAAATGGACTTAGCAGTCGTTTGTCGCAATCTCCTACTAATGACATAAAAATGGTTGGTTCTCAATAAAACAATTAAAATTCAGGTTAACTGACAAGAAAGTATTATACCTCTCATTAAACTCCTAAATATTCTTCACAAGCATCATCATCATCTAACTACCCTTCGTAGAACTAGAATCCACTTACTCAATTTTAAAAGGAAAATAATAATTTAGCGAACATATATTCCAAGGATTACAAGACAAAGTAAGCAATTAAAATTTTTGAGATAGTAAAAAATAATAAAAAAAGGAAAAACAAAAATTGGAATGGCTTTATTTTCTCCATAGTAAAAGCTATTTATCCAGTTTAAATAATTGACATTATTGAATAAAGTACATATTCAGCTATTTAATTAATTTATATGAATAATTAAAAGAAACAATTCAAAATGAAAAGCTGATAGATAATTTATTAATTAATTAAGCAAATAATTAATTGATTAAATAGTATATAAATAAATAAGCAGTTTGAATGAATATCACTTTTGTGAAACTATAAATTAATTTATCTTCAACTTCTTATTAATTCATCAACCAATATATTTATTAATTTAACTATCTAACTAACAACAATTTATTTTTATTTATTTATTTAACAGCAGAAATTCTCTGACCAAAGGATTAGATAAAAAGGACAGTTTGAATTAAATTTATAAGCCACAAATTAAAGCACCGTTAAACTTAGGAAATTCATCTTCAAAGTATTTAATTTTCCTATTTTTAAAATACCTTGAATAGTTAGTTAGTTTGATCATAACTTAATAATGATTAAGATGATTTAATTTTTAAGTCTAAGCAATTAATTAATACGTTCTGTTCTATTATAAATAAATAAATAAATTTATATCCCTTCAAGAAATATTAAAATACTAAATAAGTTTCAAAATATTAGGAATTAATTGGCTAGTAACTAGGTTCCTGTCTTTGCCTATTCCAATTCTTAATCTAAATTTTACTAAACTGAGCCGAATTTCAATTAAAAACTTAATAAAAAATCTCTCGCTTTGATAAAGCCAGCTTAAAAATCCCAGCTTAAGCCAATAGAAGATTTAATAATGAATGAAAACATGTCCAGTTAAAGCTAAGTTAGTAGAAAATATTTCTCTAATAATTAAAATACTAATTTTTTTGGATCTCAGACTAATTTAAAGTGGTCCTCTTTGACTCCTAAACAGACATTTAATTCTAGTAACGCATTTAGTAAAACGAAAAAGAAAGAAGAAATAATCCCAACTCAAAGTAAATATTTTTTATAACTTAATTACAATTAGAATTGAATATTTTTAAAATCTTACATTTCTAAATAATTAATTAATTAATTCATTCATTCTTTTATTCATTCATTCCTTCCTTCATTGATAAATTAATTCATTTATAACTTTAAATTTAGAAAATAATACTAAGATCAGTAGTTTAGGTTCGAAAAAGAATTTGAATTTAGAAAGAGAGAATAATTTGGAAAACGAAGAGTAATATGATTATGAAATGCAATATGAAGAACCACTAGAACAGTCATCTCATTCTTTTAAAAATCCAGAATAATTATATAACTACGAAATAGAAATAGAGGCTCCTCTCTCTTCATAACTTTCCAAAAAAAAAGTTTTGACTCAGGTAGACGAAGAGAATTCTTAACAAATGAAAAACACTCATAATTTTAAGGAATTAAAGGAAGATAATTAGGTAGATTTAAAATGTGAGACATTTTCGATAAGAGACTCATTTAAGAAGGAAGATAAAAGTAAAGAGGAAGACAAGTCATTTTAAAAATTCAATCCTTTCTCAATATAGTAATCAAATTATGTTGAGGGTAATAGAAAAAGTAACCATAACTTTGAGCTTGAAGTTATTTAAGAATAAAATAAAGAAGATGAAATCAAAGAAGTCCCTGCTGAGCTTCTTTAGTAAGTTTAAAAGATAAGCGAAGCTCGTCCTAAAACTTCAGAAGGTGGTCACCGTATTAGAAGATTAAAATATGCCTAACAGAAGGATTAAAATTAAAAATTGAATAATGTAAAATAAATAAACAATTTTTCAATTTATTTTTACTTATTAATATTCAAATTAGGAGTAATAATAACAGACGACAAGCAATAACACTAAAGATTAAAATCAAAGTAATTCTCAAGCCAAAAGCTAGATTAACAAGAATGATCAAACAGGTGAAAATAAAAATAATAAAGAGGAAATTAAATAAGCTACTAATATTCCTTCAAGAAGAAAGAATTAAAGTAATGGAAATGAGATGTATGACCTTATTGAAAATTCACCTAAATAGCTTGATTTCTCTCCCCTTAAAAGTATTTATATTTCTTCTTAAATAATATAATAAATAATATATTTATTTATTTACTTATGAAATTAGCAAGCAAATAGTAAAATAATGAAAAAGATGAATACAGCAACAATGAATATGAAGAAGAATATGATGACTTAGAAAATGAAGAACTCTCATCTAAGCTGTATAATAAAAATTAATTTTTTAGATCTTAAGCAGAGTTCTACAGACCAAATTAATATGATAATGATCTTAATTACAACTCTACCAATTATGGAGAAAACGCTTTTAAAAGTTACAATTCTACTGAAGCAAAGAAAAAAAATATGATAAATTTCAGAAAAACCACAAACGAAGGAGGCTTTTTCAATGAAGAATAAGATAACTCCCAAATTCCTTAACAACAACCAAGGATCTATAATTTCTATAAAAAAAATAAAGAGTAATCTTACAAATAAAATGTAGCTCCGAATGAGGATATTCCAATTGAAGTATATGTGCAAGAAGATGATGTGTAAACATAATTTAGTTTATATTTGAAATGCAAATGTTTATTTTATTTTTTTAAAAAGTGAATATATTTATTAAGAAAATTCTCAAAGAAAGAAAGTGTTTTTGAAAAAGAAAACTATTGACACAAGTGATGGACACAAAATAATTATCAGACATAATAAAAGTGCTGCAGGACCAAAAAGGGTTCCAAAATAATAATAATAATAATAAGAAGCTAATGCAGCAGAAGATATAGCTAAGCAGAAGCAATAATAAATAATATAATAGTAGTAATAGCAGTAACAATAGTAACAGTAGTAATAATTATAGTAGGAATCAGATTAAAAATAAATTGAACCTTAAGATGATGTTGTGGAAAGAATAGTCTTACCATTTAAAACAGGTCTTGATAACGAATTTATTAATTTATTTGCATAAGCTCAATTCTGAGAGTGAGAAACTATTTAAAGGAAACTAAGTTAAATAGCTTATAATTAATTAAAATAATATTAACTAACTAACAAACAAACAAATAAATAAATAAAGATTAAATAAATACTTCTTAATACAAATAAAATAACTTTCAAAAAATAATCAATTTAAATAAAAATTTCATAAATCTATCTATAATAAAATAATAAATTAAATTAATTTATGTGATAAACTTCTATTAAATACAAATAAATCTTTAAATATTATTGAAAATGATAATCAACCACTTATAAAACTAATAAGTTTCAAGAGAGAAACAAATAGAAAAATAAATGTTAATTAAGTAGATAAGTAGAAAAATTAACTTATTTGCTAATAACTTAATGTTGAAGGTTATCTTCTTGATAAATTTTTTATCAAAAATCTTTAATAACTCAATAAATGTTTTAACTAATAAACAAGTTAACTAACTAAATAAGTAATAAAAGTAAGTTAGTTTAAAACAAACTTACTAACAAATTAATTAACTAAATGAAGCAATCTTATAAATTTAAAGTTATTATTGAGAATTAATATATTTTTAAACTATATAAGATTGATTATCAAGTATTTTGTTTATAGATCATTAATTAACTATGAATGAATCATTTTATTTATTAATATGCTTAAAAAAAAAATCAATTTGTCTATTTATTTTTTGAGAAAAAAATATAAATTTATTATAAAAATTGCAACTATATTTCAAATGTATTCCAACAAACAAATTATTTTAAGAACAAAAGAATATATTTTTATCTGCTTCATTATAAGGTAATTTATTTACTATGATTTAACTATTTTAAATGTATTTTTACTTTTGACATGTTCAAATCAATTTATTAAAATATTTCTTTCATTTCATTTATTTCATAAAAACAAGCAAATTTAATAAATTTATTAATTTAGATACAGTTAGATAGATGCATTTTTATTTGATTCCACAAATTGTAAAATAAACAAAAACATTGAAATAATAATATTTTTTAAATAAAATTTGTTTATTTTTTAATTTTGATAAAAGATAGATTTATTTGTAAGTTATTTAAATAGGAAAAATGAAATTCAAATAATATAAAAAAATGATGAATTTAAGATAAAGAAAATTAAAAATTGATTTTTACTGAAATAAATAATGCTTAATAAACAATGAGTATTTTAAATAATTTAATATTAAATTAATTTAAATAAATATTTCTTATGTAAAATCTCAATCTAAAAATAGAATTTAAAATTAATATTAGTAAATGGATGCAATTAATTTATAATGAATATTGGGAATATAAGATATAAACTTAATGTATTATTTAATTTATGATGCCAAATGCGTTTATTCGTCGTTGAAATTTTTGACATTGATTTCAGTCAAGGAATACTGAAAATTTATATAAAAAAAAATTTAGAAATTGGAAGTGAAATTATAAAGTAAAGAAAAGATATTTCAGTTTATTTGTTTGTTTTTTTATTAATTAAAATGATTGTGTGGGATAATAATAACAATAATAAGAAATGTTAGTTAGGCAATAAATTACACATGGCATTTTGGATGCTTGAAGGATAAATTATATATAACAAATTTGGATAGTAGGTAGGTAGGTAGGTAAGTAGATAGGGGGTGAGTAGAAAATCAAATGAATGATAATTAATTAATTAATAGTGATAGTTAAAATTAATTATAAATAATAAAATGTTAATAACAAACATGTTTTTCATTCGTTTTGTTGTTCTTCTACCATTTCATCTTCATTCTGCTGATCTTATTCTTAACCCTGGTTTTCATTTTCATCATGATTTGAGTTATTTTATCTATTCATTTTTCATTTTTTTATTCATAAACTTTTAAATACTTTCAACTTAAATAATTAATTAATAAATTAATTACCCTGAATTTTCTTAATATTAATTGCTGTACTCTTGTTCTTGGTCGTATCCATCCTAATCCTAAGAGTTTTCATTTTCGTAGTTTTCTTATTGATTGTTTTAATATTCTTCTTAAGAGTTATTCATTTCTTCATCCTATTAATCATGTTCCTAATCTTGCTTGTTTTCAGATTCATTTTAATTAGGTTGCTGCTGCTCTGCGTTATTTTAAGTAATAAATTGAATTTGATTTGATTGGCTTTTGTTTTATCCAATTTCGCTTTATTAGGTTTATTAATTATTTCCTGTTGATCCCGCTTATTATTGCTATTGCTATTGGTATTGCTGCTGTTGTTGTTATTACTGTTGTGGTGCTTATAATTATTGTTATTGCTATTATTAAACCACTGGCATACCTCTTTACTAAGGCTACTAAAGCTACTACATTTTTAGCTTTTCTTGAGCCTCTTTTAAAGCTTTCACTCTCTTGAAATCATATGGTTTTAATAAAGGATGTACTTCATTAACAACAATAAGGTTATTCATCAATGCGACTCTTTAGGCTATATCTTCTTCAATTTCCAAATACTAAATTTCAGCAAAACCTTCTTCTTTAGTTGGCATAACAAAATTCTCTTACAAATTTCTGAAACTTTCCAAACATAACTTAGGATACATCTAGCATTAATTTAATATCTGTCTTTCCCTTTTAAGCATACGTTTTCTCTAATCGCTATCACTGACCACCAACACAAATGCTTTTCTCACAAAATTCTTAAAGATTTTCAATTTTTTTAAACGAGCCTTAAGGAGTACATTGCATTAATCAATTAGAACGCTTCTCTTCTGCAGTCTAGCAATTAACTTCATGCTTTTTTCCATAATATGATTGCATATCTCCATTAACAAAGTTAAACTTTTAATAAAAAAAAGTAAATATTAAAATTTGTTAATTAAAAAAAATAATTTACTTCTAATTAAGATGTTAAACCTAAATATTATTAACAATATGCTCAAATATTTCAAATGAACCGAGTAAAATTGTGTCTTGGTTTTTTTTTACCTAATATTTAAATCATTATTTTTTAATCTAACTTTTTATAAAAAGCCTTTTTTACATATTATTGAGCAAATGTGGTTTTACCAGATGCAGGTAGTCCCACCATAAAAATAGCTTCGTATTATTCTAGAATTTAAACTATTAAATTATAACAATATTAAATTTCTTATGTTTTTTAAAATAATTTTTGTATTCAATTAAAATTAGAAGAATTAATTAAACAATTTCTTATATTTTTTAAATTATCATTAAGACTTTTTTTTTAAAATTTTAATTTTGAATAACTTATTTCTTATTTTTAAATAAATTTTAGGTCCAGGCATATTTTACTAAATTTTAAAGCTTTTAATTAACAATTAAAAGATGAGAATAGCTGTTAAAGTTATTTGAAATATGTAATTTGAATTTTAAAATTAAATACTTAAACTCAAAAAAATCATGAAAAAAATTCTTTTAGTGATAAAAATCTCTAATTAGAATAAATCCATTAAATGAGATTTAAAATATATTAAATTACTTTATTCATATTCTTTTTGACTATCAGAAGCTAGGTGAATGAAACTGTATTAAGATATTTTAATTTCTTCTTTACTAACAAGATTTTAAGCATTAGGAATTGAGACTTTTGCAGACTCTTGTTATTGATATGGTTATTACTAGATGTAAGGCTATTATGGGTATTATTGGTGTACGTAAGGCTATTACTAATAAGCAGCTTACTAACCATATGCATATGGGTTCTATTAGGCTACAGGAGCTCCAGTTGCGGGAATAGGTTGTTGGGCATGATGATTTACATATTGATTTTAAGCAGTAGTTTGTGGAACAATATATTATCCTGCAGGTAAATTTGTTTACGGAGCAACAGTTGGAGCAATATATGGGTTGGAGGTTTAAGCCTAGGGTTATCCCGGGTATGTAACAAGTGGTTACTATACTTATGCAGGATTTTAATGAATAGGCATAACTGCTCCTGGTTATATCACAGTTATGCTAAGAGCTCCTTCAGGTTTAATAGGAAATAATTCATCTTGATTATTTCCAAAGTTAAACATAATTTCTGCATTACGAATATTAACAGAAGGGAAATAAGCTTTGTCATTTTATTTATTTGATATCCTATAAGCTATACCCTAGAACTAACCATTTTTGTAAAATGAAAAGCTCTTATTTTAACCTTCTAAGTCAATACAACAACGAATAACATCACCAGGCCCAAAGGTTTCTCCATATTTTTTATAATTTCCTGCATAGTATCTAGTTCCTGAGTTTTCATAGCCACAGCTATCGTAATCAACGCCTAAAGCTATTTTATATTTTATATTAAAATTTTGAAAAGTATTCTTTTAAAAAAAAATTAATTTAAAGCATAATTTATAATTTAAATCAAACCCGTAGATGTTTTTGCATATTAAGTAGACCATCCTACTCTTACTAAATGTTTAGATTCCTTCAAACTGTCGTTTATAACTAATAATTATAATCATCAATTAATTAATATTAATAATTTTAATAGGAAAAATTGCAATATTTACTTTAATTCTTAGCTAAAGCATTAAATCCTTTGAATTCTTCAGGATCTAAATAGCGGATAATTTTTATTTCAAACATAAATCGACCGCTTCTGATACCATAATTAGCCTTAGCCTCTATTTTGTAAAAAATAATAATATTGATGTCAAAATATAAATTGATTGCCTAAAATAAGAATATTTATTAAAAAATAAGATCAATACGCTTCATTAATAGCTAAAAGCCTGCACTTTAGCATGACCTAACTATATTTCCTTCTTCATTTATGTTTAATTCAAAATCTGACTTATAAATGGACAATCTACAATTTCTTGAAGTAGCGTCTATCATTCTCTACTAAATTTGCTTGCTAGCTTGTATTAAATATTTAATTAAAAGCAATTTAATTTAGAATAGTCTTATTAAATTACAATGATCATAAATCTGATAATTTAATTCATTAATTAAAACATCTATTTTCAAGTAAAAATATCTTCAATTTTTAAAATAGTAGTTTCTACATTTTAATTTATTATTAACATTTTTTCTACAAATTTTTTATTAAATATTAACAATGAATTTAAAATTAAAAGCATTCTATTTATTTATTTTTTTAATAATATTTTAATTTATTTTAATTTGCTGATTTAATTTAATTTTTCTACAATAAATTTATTTAAGTAAAATTTATAATATTATTTTCCATTTTTAATATGACATAAAAATGAAATGAGCAGCTATTTTATAAAAAAGCTTATATTTATTTAATGAATAAAATATATTTTAATTATACAAAATTTAGTCTACATAATTGTTTAATTTATGAAAATCTAATATTTTATAATGAATCATATAAATCAATTAAATTTTACTTAAAACTTACTTAATAAATAAAACATATTACTAATGAATACAAATATTAATTAAGCTATAAACTATCCTATAAAGAAGTAAATTAATATATAAATAAATTAAAAAATCATTATTAAAATATTTGTGCTAGGATCATATATATTTTTGTTTAGTATTAAATTAAATTCAAAAGGATAAAATTTGAATGGCTTAAAAAGAAATTTCTAAAATAAAATAAATTAAAAATAAGAAAAACAAAATATAAAAAAAATAATTTATTTTATTGATTGATTGATAATTAAGTTAATTAAAAGCATTTATATATTAAATAACAAAGATATCTATTAATATGTTAAAATAACAGAGAGATATTTTATTAAAGGCAGTAAGTAAATTGATTAAAATATAAATATTGTACTCTCTCGAATTGTGAATAATACATACATATAGGCTTTATTGAAGATAGATTAAGTTTGATACACGATTTTTCTAAATATTTGTTTATTTTATTAGAGCTCCTAAAAACTTGATAAATTTAACAATTTATTATTTTAGCAAATAGGCTAAAACATTTGTTCTTTTTTTGTAACAAAATTTAGATAAAATTCCTTGTATATACTTTAATTCTTCTTAGCCATAAGTATTGATTTTTTTAATTCGAGCATTTAATTGATTAGATAATAAATTAATTAAGAACTTTATATTTTCAATAATTATTTTAGAATTTGAATTATCAAATATTTAATATATTTAGATTTTTTATTGCTAATATTAAAGATATTCAGGTATATCTTATTTATTTTACTTCAATTAATTTAGCATTCCTTTTTCTTAGCCATTAAACTAAAAAAGATTACCGATTGATTATTTTTGTTTCCATGTGGTTAATATACGCATTTATTTATTTATGATTTAAGTTTTATTATTTGCATATTCATAGATATAACATCTACATACATTTATTAAAATCATTTTCATTTGTTTTATAAGTAATTTATGTTAATGAAATAACTTTATTATGACTATTTACTTTCGTTTATTAAGAAAAGCATTATTTTTGCTATTCTATTTTTTAATTTATCTTTAGATTATTTATTAATTATTTTAAATTTACTCGATTTCAAAATTTATTTCAATGATTGCAATAACCAAGAAAGATTAATTACTGGATACTTTCTCTGATAAAGAAGTATAATAAAAACAAATTCATTTATATAAATTTTTAATTAATTTTTCGTTTTTATTGGCTTGTAAAGGTAAATGTAATTTACCGAATTAAATAAAATCTTTCTTCTAAGATTTTTCCATTTTTTTGTAAATATTAATTTACTATAAATTAATTGAAATATTAATTAATAAACTGAACTTTTCTCCATATTTTGTTTTACTTCATTAATTTAATTTAATAAATAAATCGCACAAGATTAATTGTCTAATTTTAAAAATAATTGCTTTTTTCTAACAATATATTTTTAGAATTTAACTTACTTTATGATTCAAGTTTTCTAAAGTGTTTAAGACGTTTCCTTACTGATGGCTATTTCATTATTAACAAAGATTGGCTATAATAAATATTAAATAATGTAAAGAATCTTATTCAAGGATTGATTATTGATCAATTGATTTTTTTAGTTTTTTGTGTTATTAAGCTAATTAAACAAAATGTTTTAGAATAAAAATAGATCAGTAATAAATAATTTCTTATTCAATTCTAAACAAACTTTTGGCTTCCATATGTTAAAAATAATTAATGCGCTAAAAGTACTGAAGATTGAAGACACACACATAAATTATATCAAGAATAACAAATTGAATTATAAAAATGTAAAATGTTGTAAAATGATTCAAATTACAATTTAAAATTAATAAAATAAGAAATTATTATGTCAGAATTAATTACATATGAGTTTTAATACTTTAAAATAAATTAATAATTTTATTCTTTGTCTTAAAATATTGCAAATATAACCTTTGTTAATAGATTTAACAAGAAAGGTATTACAATATTTTTATTAACCAATTTAAAAAGGCTGTTCTTTTTTGTTGTTAAAGTTCTCACTGAATTTATTTTTTTAATTTACTAGATAAAAGTAATTCTTTTGTCAAATTAATAAAACAAACATTCAGATATTATTTATTAATTAATTAATCATCTATTATAGAAACTTTCAGATTTGTTTCTAAAAAATTAAATGAAAATTAATTAATTAATTAATAAATCATTGTTCAGTATATATTTTTTATTTTAAGGTTACTAATTCTATAAAATAGGATTTAGTACTATTAATCAATCATTTTTTCATTTTTTGGATAAATTATTTGGCAACCCAATATTAAAATGGATTCGTTTTTAAGATCATTATAACATTTATTTGCTGCTTTCTAATTAAATTTAAGTAATGCTCAAAATTTATTTTATTAAAAAATTAAATATAAAATTAATTTATTATTTGCTAATAATAAGTTTAGTCAAATACTTATTGCAAGAGTTAGTTTAATTTATTTGTGTTTGTAAAGATTTTTGAAAATTTACTAAAATATATAGCTTCATTCTTTTATTACTGATAAAAAGCAAAAAGAATGATTCTAAGAGTGCTTCAAAACAATTTTTCAGTGAACTAAATTGGTTCATTCATTATTCTCAATTAAGAAAATACAGAGTTAAATAAATATTTTATTTAGTTTTTTATGAGTTAGCTCTTTATTATATCTTATTAATTTTATGAATTAGCCAATAGACTATACTAATCCAAAAGTAAAATTGAGTGGTTTGGTTTCAAAAAATATTACAAAATCTTGAAAAACTTATGATTAATTAGCATTTGTTTAAATCTTTAGCATTCCATAGTTTATTTTTTTAAAAATCATATGAAAAACTTATTTGATTAAATTTGATATTTTAACTGAAAATTTTAATCATAATTTTTAACTTTTTCGTTACTTTAATTAACAACAAAAAAAATACTTGCTCTTTAGATAGTTTTAAAACTTTTCAAAAAATAATAAATACTTATATTAATGTTTTAATTTATTCCTCAATTTCATGTTCATGAAAAATAATTGATTATATTTAATACATTAATACATAGTAATAGAATCCAGCACTTTTTTTGTTAGTCCAGTATTAAAAAAATAAAGTAAAAATCAAAATTATTTATTTGTTACAATAATTAAAAATACACTCCAAATATTCTTTTAATTACAAAACTAACAGCCTCTTTATTTGGTATTTTTAATTAACTAATAATCATAAAACTTTTATTTTTAAAATTTTCTAAATTTAAAATAAAGAGAGAAAGATATGGTTCATTCAATCGATATCTTCATTTTTTCAAATTATAAATAGGAAATTGATAAAATTTATAAATTAGTCTTTAGCTTAACCAACAGAATCGTATTCTTAATTTAAAGTTTCTTTATTATTTCTTTAATAGCAATCAATTTTTTATAAATATAAAAGTAAATTTTATAATATTTATTACAATAATTTTAATTATGCTTAAAAAAATTTATTTAAATTATTTATACTTATTTTTGATTTGCTTAGAATTTAAAAATAAATACATAATCAGAAAATTAACAATTGTAATTGTTGGAATTATTTAATAAATATAAAGAAATATAATAGCTTTAACTTTCTTCATGAAATAAATCTTTTATTAATCTACAAATATTTATTACAAACACAAATTTGCAAAAAATATCATGCCTTACAGTCAACCATAAATATTTTAAATAAGTTAAGGAATGGGTTGAAGGTAGAAGTAACTCTCACCTTTTTATTAACTTCCATGTTGCAATTTTTTAACAAATCATCGAATTCATTTTCATAAGTAATGTTGCCAAAATCGATTGTGGTTAAGTACTTAATGAGTGGTTTCATCTATTCAAAGAGAGGGTTTTTCTTTTGATGAAGAGTAAGCAAGAAAATGATTCTACCGTCTTTCTTCACTAATTATTTTGCTAATGCTATTGCTTTTTCTCTTTCAGGCATTAACATAAATGAAAAGCTGAATAAAACAATATCAAACTATCCTTCTTTCTTAGCATCAAGTTCGTAGAAGTTTTGCAATCTGATTTCTACGTTTTTCTTATCTTTGAATAGCTTTTAAGCTGCCTTAACATAATTTTCGTCAATATCTACACCTAGAATCTTAGCATTTTAAGGGAATTTAGATGCTATTTTGTATAATGGTAATCCAGTACCAATACCTATATCAAGGATGCTATCAAGAGAAACATCTTTCTTTTGTTCTTCTTTCTTCAAGTAGTCTGCTAAATATGAATGTGTAACTACAGTAAGAACTCTGCTAATGAATAAATTGTAAATCCAAACTGGAATTATTTACAATATTTCTTTGAATTTTGCTATTAAGCCCATTATTATTTTATACTTTCTTTCTTTCCTTCCTAATATTTTAATTAATCAATATTTTATAAGCTGAATATCTTAATATAAATCGTTTAGAACTAACTTTTATAAGATAAATTGATGAATGGAAAATTGTTCTATCTTAAGCCTAAAATTGTCAACATAAACAAACAATTAAAATAAATAAGGATTTACTGGGGGACATAGAAAAAAAATATTAAATCCAATGCAAAATTTCGCGAGTTTTTAATTAATAAAAAATAAAAACTACTTCTCTCTTTTAATAATTTCTAGAAATTTTCTATAAGTAATTATTTATTTTTGATTTAGCATTGAAATTATTTTTAAAGAATGGCATTGAAAGATATTTATTTTATTGAGTAAATTTAGTAAATCAATCAATATTTATTCTATTTTATGTAGAATATCTCTTAATGCAAATTAAGAAATAGAAATAAATTGCTTTTAAATTTTACTAAAATTAGAAATATTATTTAAGAGATTAATTTAAAAGATATTATTATTAATCAATAAGCTTTAAGCAGCTAATTGATTTGAATGAATTCTAAAAGGAATTTTGAAATTTCAAATAATTTTATAAAATTATAATTACTATTAAATTGAATCAATAGTAAAAAGTGTTTTTTTATTCATTTCTTTTTTTAAAACTTGTTAAATATACCATTCATGATTTACATTAAATAATATTTAGTTATTTCGATTATAATTTCTTTTAAAAAAATAATCTTTTTACAATCTTTACAAAACTTTTACTTATTATTTTATAAATCGTTTTGATTTTAAACTTAAATTGTTTTTATTCTACTTCGTTATATTTATTTAGTTATTAGTAGATCTTTCTTTAATTTTTTTGTTTTAAGTATTTAATAGATGCCTAAATTAATCTCTTTATTCTTTAGAATTGTGTAGAATAATTTTAATATTGAATGTAAAATTTATCTAATTAAAAAAAATATCTGATGACTGACCTTTTTGTTTGCTTACATTATCCAGAAAGAAAATGTTATTAATGATTCTTGTATTTTAATTTTTTATAGATCTTTAAAATTAGCCACAAAAATAAAGAAATAAATTATAAATAAAATTTAAGAAAGAAAATTTATCAAATCAATTTTTTTATCATCAAAATATCTTGAATGATTAAATTTTCTCCATAAAAATTTTATTATCTTAACTTAGATTTTTTTTTTATTTTTTTTTTTATCATTTAAATATAATTTTTTTTCCTCCAGAGCTTTGATAAAATTTTTTAATTTATGACTAAAAGTTAATTAACTTTCTCTACTTTTATTAACTATTAACTAAATTTATTTTTCCAGATAGAGTAATACATTTTTAAAGTTTTTTTTATTTATTGATCTTACAGCTTTTATATTTTTAATAACTTTTTATTTTATTAATTTCTGTGGATAATTTTTAATATGCTTGAATCTTATTGTTATATTTTACAAATATATCACTTACTTTATCATTAAATTACAAAAGACAAAATAAAAATAAATATTTTTGTTGTGTTGCTTTTTTTTTAGCTTCAAATATTTATTTATTTTCCTAATCAAAATAAGTTTTTAAAATTTTTACCAGTAGAATGATTTCTTATTAGAAGGATATTTTTATGGTTTAACTTATTGTATGTACCTTTATTTGTCTAATTAAAAACTTATTTTATTTACTAATATAATTATTCTTTTTGTATTAAAATTTAGATGATATCTAAACTTTCTTTTTAGCGCTATTTAAAATTGTTTGAAGACTTTAAATAATAAAAGATTTTAAAAATATTTTAATTTTATATTTTTTAAATATAAATTTATTCTTTTTTATTAAAAATTTCTTAATAAATTTAAAATATCTCATTTTTATGCTAATATTTTGAAAAGTAGTTCAAGAAAGTTACTTACTTACTTACTTAATTTTTTAGCTTACACTTTATGTATGGTAGGTATTTTTATTGATTTGGAGATTATTGATTATTAAAAAATCTAAAACTTAGCTTAATTTTATAATAATTAATTTAAAAAAAGATTAGATACTGTGATTATGAGTTAAAAATCAAATATTTTACAAAAATGTGATATCTTCGGATCTCCATTCTATCAAAAAGTGAATTAAGATGACTATAAAAAGAAAACAGCATTAGGAGGATTTTTTTCAATTATGCTAATTTTATTTACTATTTCTTATTTACTTTACTTGATTATTTAAATAGACTCTGGATAAATCCCTCCTAGTTTTATTTAATATGATGAAAATACGATTGATGGTACAAAATATGAACTTTTGTCAAATAAATTTAAATTGTATATGACTAAATAACTATCTAATATTGAGTAAGAAAGAAAATTATAATTTTTTGATATTACTTTATAATAGGAAGATATATAAAGTGGATAAAAAATTACACTAAACTCATACTTTAGTCATGATAATGTCTTAATGTTTGGAGAATCTGATCCCATAAATCTTCAACTTAAAAGTAACGCTACTTACTCTTTATATGGAACTTGTATATCTATTTATATTTCGAAATGCTCTGGAAATCTACTAAGAAATAAAAATTTTAGATGCGCTACATAAGATGAAATAAATGAATATATAATTAACTCTGAATAAGGATTAGTTATGCAATTACGTATATAAGAAGACAACTTTTCCATAAAAAAATAAGAGAAATTTTAAACACTCTTAAGTGCAAATATATTTTTTAATACTAAATTTTAAACTTTCAGTTTATTAAAAGCAAGTTTACAAGAAGTTAATATTTAAAAAGGATTACTTTTTCAATCAAACTAGTAACATAGGCAAATTTATTAATTGGAATAATAGAATTTAAATAATTAAAATAGTAAATAGGCTATGGATAATTATGCAGAATTTGCTATTTATTTAGATAACTAAGTTAGAATTATTTAGATGGAATATACTAAAATACCTTAAATTTGGGCTCAAGTATGGGCTATAGCATCTCTGTTATACCTATCTAGACATATATTCTAGCCTATTGCCTTAACATCTCTCGCATAGGATTTTTTAAGTATATAACTCAAATATTATTACAAAAAAACAGCAATAAGATTAACTTAAGAAAATGGTATACCAAAATAAAATTAATCTTACCAAGATGTTCACTAATAAGCTGAATTTATTGCAAAATAAAATGAAGACATTTAAAGCAATAAAAATTATTTCGAAATCTCTCGATACTAAAAGTAAGTACTTTATTTATCAAATAAAATCTTATAATTTTTAATTTATGGAAAATATCTCAAAAAATAAATTAAATTCTATTTTTTTTTTGAGTAAAAAATTATTAATTTGTTTCTAATTAGTTTTTATTTTTTTATGAAAAAGATGGAAGACATTTTTGTTACCTAAAATTTGTTTAAAAAAGAAGAAAGTAAATAATCAAAATTAGTAGATTTTAAATCTTTTGAGAAAATAAACAAACAAAGATTTATGCTTTTTTGAGATGCAAAAGGAATTTTTAAGATTGAAAACAGCAATAAAATTATTGTTAACACCTGAGTAATATGCAGCAATTCATATGTGTGGTTGCGATTTATTAGATGGTGAATCAAAACTTGATTTAGAGTAAGGCTAGATTTCATCAAAGAAAGATTCTTAATTTAATTAAATCGAAGACAAAATTGAAGAAAATTCAAATATAAGCTCTTCTGATATTTAAACTCCTATTAATAGTTATTAACTTGATAAAAATATTATTTAACCAAGTAGTGAAAAAGTTTAAAATCATTTAGAGTTAATGGAAAAAGTGGATATAGATTCTGATTACAGAAAAAGCTGTTTAGAGAAGTTTTTAAGCGAAAATTAATAAATAAATTAAAGTGAATAGGTATTACTCAATCAAAGAATACGTAATTGTATAGTAGGTATTTAAAGTGATAATTTAAATACCATAAATTAGGTAAATTAAGATTAATATACATATATTGAATATAATAGCATATCTAACAATTAATAAAGTATTGTTGCTGCTTCATGATTGCATAAATTATATGCTTATTACTACTTTATTTATTGTCTAAAAATTATTTATATATTAATATTTGTTTATAAATTTATTTCAAAAAGATCAATAAAAATCATAATTAAAATATTTTTAATTTATTAAAAAAGTAAACAAACAAAAAATATAACTTTTAATTTTGTAAAAAGAATTTTAAATTTGATTAAGAAAATAAATTTAGTATTAACACCAAATTAATTTTTAATTTATGTGTTTGATAATAAAATTATTGATTTCCTTGTAAAAATAATAAATTTAGTATCAAATATTATTTTTCACTACTCTCAAGTATTTTTGTAACATTGAGGATTTATTTTATAATAACATTATTCTTTTTTTACAAATAACAAAGCAAAGAATAAATATCCAAAAGAAAGTTTAATCACTTACATTTGATTTCTCTCTCAGCTGAGATTTTAAATGTAACCATCGATTTTCTATCCCTCAAGTATGAATAAGTTCTTCATTGTTAATTATGGATGCTCTAGATTCAGATAAAAATTTCTTGATTTTTTTAGTTCTGACTTCATTTCGATATCTACTCTTTCTTTAGCTAAACAAAGTCTTAAACAATTCAATTTATTTTTAAATACCTTTTATTATTATTTATTGTTAATTAATATATATATTAAATACTTCTTCAGGTATGTACTTCAAACAGTTCTTATCACTAACTTGGTTTCTTTTATTTTAATTTAAATATCATTTAAATTTTTTAATTAAAAAGCAATTTTTTAAATATGATTTATTTTGATATAGACATCATTTACTTATAAAATTTGCAATAATTGATTTAATTCTTCACATTTTAATTTTACTTTATAATAATAAACTGATTTAATGATAAAATACAAAAAAAATATTTTATCTAAAGTAAAGTATTTAGCTTCAAACTAAAAAGTGAATTTATTACAAAATGTAAAACAAATAAGTAGTGTTGGCTATTAATTTTTTGTTGAAAAATTAAAGGAATTTTTTAGTTGAAAAGACCGAGAGATGAAATATATTTTTTTTACTTTTTTTCTGAGCTAGAGGTCACTTTTCATTATATATACTTTGGAATAATTTTAATATTGAATATAAAATTTATCTTATTAATAAAAATAAAGTATCTATCTAATAATCTTTTTGTTTGCTTACATTATCCAGAAACAAAATGTTATTAATGATTTTTGCACTTTAATTTTATATAGATCTTTAAAATTAGCCACAAAAACAAAGAAATAATTTATAAATACAATTTAAGAAAGAAAATTTATCAAATCAATTTTTTTATCATCAAAATATCTTGAATGATTAAATCTTCTCCATAAAAATCTTTTTATCTAAACTTAGATTTTTTAAACCTATTTTTTTGTCATTTAAATATAATTTTTTTTTCCTCCAGAACTTTGATAAAATTATTTTTAATTAAGGCTAAAAGTTAATTAATTTTCTCTACTTTTATTAACTATAAACTAAATTTATTTTTCCAGATAGAATTATACATTTTTAAATTTTTTTTTATTTATTAATCTTATAGCTTTTATATTTTTAACAACCCTTTCTTTTATTAATTTCTGTGGATAATTTTTAATATACTTGAATCGTATTGTTTTATTTAACAACTGTATCACTTGCTTTATCTATCTTACATTACAACAGACAAAATAAAAACAAATATTTTATTGTGTTTCTTTTTCTTCAGTTTCAAAATTTATTTATTTTTCTGATTAAAATAAGCTTTATCAATTTTTTACCTATTTTATGATTACATATCAGAAGGAAAATTTTATGGTCTAACTTATTTACTTGTCTGATTAAAAACATATTTTATTTGCGAATATAATTATTCTTTTTGTATTAAAATTTAGATTATATCTAAACTTTCTTTTTAGGGCTATTTAAAATGGTTTGAAGGCTTTAAAAAATAAAAGATTTTTAAAAATATTTTAATTTTGTATTTTGTCTAATATAAATTTATTCTTTTTTATTAAAACTTTCTTAGCAAATTTAAAATATTTAATTTGTATGCTAATATTTTGAAAAATACTTCAAGAAAGTTACTTACTTACTTAACTTTTTTTAGATTACATTTTATGTATGGTAGGTATTTTTATTGATTTGAAGATTATTGATGATTAAAAAATCCAAAACTTAGCTTAATTTTATAATAATTAATTTAAAAAAAGATTGGATATTGCGATTATGAGTTAAAGATCAAATATTTTACAAAATTTTGATATCTTCGGATCTCCATTCTATCAAAAAGTGAATTAAGATGACTATAAAAAGAAAACAACATTAGGAGGATTTTTTTCTATTATGTTAATTTTATTTACTATTTCTTATTTACTTTACTTGATTATTTAAGTCAACTCCGGATAAATCCCTCCTAATTTTATTTAATATGATGAAAATATGATTGATGGTACAAAATATGGAATTTTGTCAAATAATATTAAATTGTATATGAGCCAATAAATACCTAAAATTGAGTAAGAAAGAAAAATATAATATTTTGATATTTCACTATAATATGTAGATATATAAAGTGGATAAAACATTACACTAAACTCATACTATATTAACGATAATGCCTTTACGTTTGGAGAATCTGATCCCATAAATCTTGAACTTAAAAGTAACTCTACTATGTTTTTATTTGGAAGTAGTATAACTATTAATATTTCGAAATGCTCAGGAAATCTACTAAGATATCAAAATTTTAGATGCGCTACATAAGATGAAATAAATGAATTTTTATCTGACTCTATAGATGGCTTAGGTATTATAATACGAATTTAACAAGATATCTTTTCCATAAAAAAATAAGAGACATTTTAAACATTTTTAAATTCAATTACATTTATTAATAAAAACTTATAAACTTCCAGTTTAATTAAAGCACTTTTACAAGAAGTTAATATTTAAAAAGGATTACTTTTTCAATCAAACTAGTAGCATAGGCAAATATATTAATTGGAATAATAGAATTTTATTTCTAATAATGGTATATAGTCTATAAATACTTATGCAGATTTATATATTTATTTAGATAACTAAGTTAGAGTTATTTAGATGGAATATACTAAAATACCTTAAATTTGGGCTCAAGTGTGGGCTATAGCATCTCTGTTATACCTATCTAGACATATATTCTAGCCTATTTCCTTAACATCTCTCGCATAGGATTTTTTAAGTATATAACTCAAATATTATTACAAAAAAACAGCAATAAGATTAACTTAAGAAAATGGTATACCAAAATAAAATGAATCTTACTAAGATGTTCACTAATAAGCTGAATTTATTGCAAAATAAAATGAAGACATTTAAAGCAATAAAAATTATTTCGAAATCTCTCGATACTAAAGGTAAGTACTTTATTTATCAAATCAAATCAGATCTTATAATTTGACAAGTTATTATAAAATCAATCGAAAATCAAATTAAATAAAATCTTATAATTTAACTTAAATCAATGTAAAATTTCTCAAAAAATAAATAAAAATCGAATAAATTAAATACAATTTTTTTTTTTTGAGTAAAATTATTAATTTGTTTCTAATTAATTTTTATTTTTTTATGAAATAGATGGAAGACATTTTTGTTACCTAAAATTTTTTTGAAAAAGAAGAAAGTAAATAATCAAAATTAGGAGATTTTAAATCTTTTGAGAAAATAAACAAACAAAGATTTATGCTTCTTTGAGATGCAAAAGGAATTTTTAAGATTGAAAACAGCAATAAAATTATTATTAACACCTGAGTAATATGCAGCAATTCATATGTGTGGTTGCGATTTATTAGATGGTGAATCAAAAGTTGATTTAGAGTAAAGCTAGATTTCACCAATGAAGGATTCTTAATTTAATTAAATCGAAGACATAATTGAAGAAAATTCAAATCTAAGCTCATCTGATATTTAAACTCCTCTTAATAGTTATTAACTTGGTAAAAATATTATTTAACCAAGTAGTGAAAAGGTTCAAAATCATTTAGAGTTAATGGAAAAAGTGGATATTGATTCTGATTACAGAAAAAGCTGTTTAGAGAAGTTTTTAAGCGAAAATTAATAAATAAATTAAAGTGAATAGGTATTGCTCAATCAAAGAATACGTAATTGTATAGTAGGTATTTAAAGTGATGATTTAAATACCATAAATTAGGTAAATTAAGATTAATATACATATATTGAATATAATAGCATATCTAACAATTAATAAAGTATTGTTGTTGCTTCATGATTGCATAAATTATGTGCTTATTATCACTTTATTTTTTGTCTAAAAACATTTATTTATTATTATTTGTTAATAGAAGATTTATTTCAAAAAGATCAATAAAAATCATAAATAAAATATTTTTAATTTGTTAAAAATGTAAACAAATAAAAGTTTATATACAGTAATTTATTTTAAAGTGACTGGTGCAATAATAAATTAATTTGAATTTTTATTATTTTGAAAAGTTCGAATAAATTTTCAAAATTTATTTTTTTTAAAAAAATGACATGTTATAAGAATATACGGTATCTATTATTTGAAGTTTTACATTTTGGGAATTTAAAGCTTTCTATAAACTCAAAAATAAAGCTGTTTTAAGCTTATTTAGCTGTATTTATTATGTTATTAAGATATATTACATTTCGCCTTTTGTAAATTAAATAGGCATTTTACTCTAAAATATCTATCTAATATTCTTTTTGTTTGCTTACATTATCCAGAAAATGTTATTAATGATTCTTGTAGTTTAATTTTTTTATAGATCTTAAAAATTAGCCACAAAAATAAAGAAATAAATTATAAATACAATTTAAGAAAGAAAATTTATCAAATCAATTTTTTTATCATCAAAATATCTTGAATGATTAAATCTTCTCCATAAAAATATTATTATCTTAACTTAGATTTTTTTTAATATTTTTTTTATAATTTAAATATAATTTTCTTTTCCTCAAGAACTTTGATAAAATTATTTTTAATTTATGACTAAAAGTTAATTAATTTTCTCTACTTTTATTAACTATAAACTAAATTTATTTTTCCGGATAGAGTAATACATTTTTAAAGTTTTTTTTATTTATTAATCTTAAAATAAAAACAAATATTTTATTGTGTTTCTTTTTCTTCAGTTTCAACATTTATTTATTTTTCTGATTAAAATAAACTTTATCAATTTTTTACCTATTTTATGATTACATACATATCAGTAAGAAAATTTTATTGTTTAACTTATTGTACCTATATTTGTCTGATTAAAAACAGATTTTATTTACGAATATAATTATTCTTATTGTATTAAAATTTAGATTATATCTAAACTTTCTTTTTAGCGCTATTTAAAATTATTTGAAGGCTTTAAAAAATAAAAGATTTTTTAAAATATTTTAATTTTGTATTTTGTCCAATATAAATTTATTCTTTTTTATTAAAAATTTCTTAGCAAATTTAAAATATTTAATTTGTATGCTAATATTTTGAAAAATACTTCAAGAAAGTTACTTACTTAGTTAACTTTTTTTAGATTACATTTTATGTATGGTAGGTATTTTTATTGATTTGAAGATTATTGATGATTAAAAAATCCAAAACTTTGCTTAATTTTATAATAATTAATTTAAAAAAAGATTAGATATTGCAATTATGAGTTAAAGATCAAATATTTTACAAAATTTTGATATCTTTGGATCTCCATTCTATCAAAAAGTGAATTAAGATGACTATAAAAAGAAAACAATGTTAGGAGGATTTTTTTCTATTATGTTAATTTTATTTACTATTTCTTATTTACTTTACTTGATTATTTAAGTCAACTCCGGATAAATCCCTCCTAGTTTTATTTAATATGATGAAAATGCAATTGATGGTACAAAATATGGAATTTAGTCAAATAATATTTTATTGTTTATGAGTGAATAAATATCTAAAATTGAGTAAGAAAGAAAAATATAATATTTTGATATTACATTAAAATATGTAGATATGTAAAGTGGATAAAACATTACACTAAACTCATACTATACTAATGATTACAATGATTAGGCCTTAATGTTTGGAGAATCTGATCCCATAAATCTTGAACTTAAAAGTAACTCTACTATGCTTTTATTAGGAAGTAGTATAACTATTAATATTTAGAAATGCTCAGGAAATCTACTAAGATATCAAAATTTTAGATGCGCTACATAAGATGAAATAAATGAATTTATATCTGACTCTATAGATGGCTTAGGTATTATAATACGAATTTAACAAGATATCTTTTCCATAAAAAAATAAGAGACGTTTTAAACACTTTTAAATTCAATTACACCTATTAATACAAACTTTTAAACTTCCTGTTTAATTAAAGCACGTTTACAAGAAGTTAATATTTAAAAAGGATTACTTTTTCAATCAAACTAGTAGCATAGGCAAATATATTAATTGGAATAATAGAATTTTATTTCTAATAATGGTAAATATGCTATGGATACTTATGCAGAATTTGCTATTTATTTAGATAACTAAGTTAGAGTTATTTAGATGGAATATACTAAAATACCTTAAATTTGGGCTCAAGTGTGGGCTATAGCATCTCTGTTATACCTATCTAGACATATATTCTAGCCTATTGCCTTAACATCTCTCGCATAGGATTTTTTAAGTATATAACTCAAATATTATTACAAAAAAACAGCAATAAGATTAACTTAAGAAAATGGTATGCCAAAATAAAATGAATCTTATCAAGATGTTCACTAATAAGCTGAATTTATTGCAAAATAAAATGAAGACATTTAAAGCAATAAAAATTATTTCGAAATCTCTCGATACTAAAGGTAATTACTTTATTTATCAAATCAAATCAGATCTTATAATTTAACAAGTCATTATAAAATCAATCGAAAATCAAATTAAATAAAATCTTATAATTTAACTTAAATCAATGTAAAATTTCTCAAAAAATAAATAAAAATCGAATAAATTAAATACAATTTTTTTTTTGAGTAAAATTTTTAATTTGTTTCTATTAAGCTTTTATTTTTTTATGAAAAAGATGGAAGACATTTTTGTTACCTAAAATTTTTTTGAAAAAGAAGAAAGTAAATAATCAAAATTAGGAGATTTTAAATCTTTTGAGAAAATAAACAAACAAAGATTTATGCTTCTTTGAGATGCAAAAGGAATTTTTAAGATTGAAAACAGCAATAAAATTATTATTAACACCTGAGTAATATGCAGCAATTCATATGTGTGGTTGTGATTTATTAGATGGTGAATCAAAAGTTGATTTAGAGTAAAGCTAGATTTCACCAATGAAGGATTCTTAATTTAATTAAATCGAAGACATAATTGAAGAAAATTCAAATCTAAGCTCATCTGATATTTAAACTCCTCTTAATAGTTATTAAATTGATAAAAATATTATTTAACCAAGTAGTGAAAAGGTTCAAAATCATTTAGAGTTAATGGAAAAAGTGGATATAGATTCTGATTACAGAAAAAGCTGTTTAGAGAAGTTTTTAAGCGAAAATTAATAAATAAATTAAAGTGAATAGGTATTGCTCAATCAAAGAATACGTAATTGTATAGTAGGTATTTAAAGTGATGATTTAAATACCATAAATTAGGTAAATTAAGATTAATATACATATATTGAATATAATAGCATATCTAATAATTAATAAAGTATTGTTGTTGCTTCATGATTGCATAAATTATATGCTTATTATCACTTTGTTTTTGATCTAAAAACATTTATATATTAATATTTGTTAATAGAAGATTTATTTCAAAAGGATCAATAAAAATCATAATTAAAATATTTTTAATTTGTTAAAAATGTAAACAAACAAAAGTTTATATACAGTAATTTATTTTAAAATGACTGGCGCAATAATAAATTAATTTGAATTTTTATTATTTTGATTCGAATAAATTTTCAAAATTTATTTTTTCAAAAAAAATGACATGTTATAAGAATATACGGTATCTATTATTTGAAGTTTTATATTTTGGGAATTTAAAGCTTTCTAAAAGCTCAAAAATAAAGCTGTTTTAAGATTATTTAGCTGTATTTATTATGTTATTAAGATATATTACATTTCACCTTTTGTAAATTAAATAGGCATTTCACTCTAAAATATCTATCTAATAATCTTTTTGTTTGCTTACAGTATCCAGAAAATGTTATTAATGATTCTTGTAGTTTAATTTTTTTATAGATCTTTAAAATTAGCCACAAAAATAAAGAAATAATTTATAAATACAATTTAAGAAAGAAAATTTATCAAATCAATTTTTTTATCATCAAAATATCTTGAATGATTAAATCTTCTCCATAAAAATCTTATTTTCTTAACTTAGATTTTTTTGAATTTTTTTTTTTATCTTTAAAATATAATTTTTTTTTCCTCCTGAACTTTGATGAAATTATTTTTAATTTATGACTAAAAGTTAATTAATTTTCTCTATTTTTATTAACTTTAAACTAAATTTATTTTTCCAGATAGAATTATTTTAAAGTTTTTTTTATTAATTAATCTTATAGCTTTTATATTTTTAACAACTTTTTCTTTTATTAATTTCTGCGGATAATTTTATTATGCTTGAATCCTATTGTTTTATTTAAAAACTGTATCACTTGCTTTATATATCTTACATTACAACAGACAAAATAAAAACAAATATTTTATTGTGTTTCTTTTTCTTCAGTTTCAACATTTATTTATTTTTCTGATTAAAATAAACTTTATCAATTTTTTACCTATTTTATGATTACATACATATCAGTAAGAAAATTTTATGGTTTAACTTATTGTACCTATACTTGTCTTATTAAAAACAGATTTTATTTACGAATATAATTATTCTTTTTGTATTAAAATTTAGATTATACTCACACTTTCTTTTTAGCGCTATTTAAAATTGTTTGAAGGCTTTAAAAAATAAAGATTTTTAAAAATATTTTAATTTTGTATTTTGTCCAATATAAATTTATTCTTTTTTATTAAAAATTTCTTAGCAAATTTAAAATATTTCAAGAAAGTTACTTACTTATTTAACTTTTTTTTTAGATTACATTTTATGTATGGTAGGTATTTTTATTGATTTGAAGATTATTGATGATTAAAAAATCCAAAACTTAGTTTAATTTTATAATAATTAATTTAAAAAAAGATTAGATATTGTTTTTATGAGTTAAAGATCAAATATTTTACAAAATTTTGATATCTTCGGATCTCCATTCATTCAAAAAGTGAATTAAGATGACTATAATAAAAAAACAGCATTAGGAGGATTTTTTTCTATTATGTTAATTTTATTTACTATTTCTTATTTACTTTACTTGATTATTTAAGTCAACTCCGGATAAATCCCTCCTAGTTTTATTTAATATGATGAAAATATGATTGATGGTACAAAATATGGAATTTTGTCAAATAATATTTTATTGTTTATGAATAAATAAATATTTAATATTGAGTAAGAAAGAAAATTATAATATTTTGATATTACACTTTTATATGTAGATATGTAAAGTGGATAAAACATTACACTAAACTCATACTATATTAAGGATAATGCCTTAATGTTTGGAGAATCAGATCCCATAAATCTTTAACTTAAAAGTAGCTCTACTTTTTCTACTGTATATGGAAGTAGTATAACTATTAATATTTCGAAATGCTCAGGAAATCTACTACGATATCAAAATTTTAGATGCGCTACATAAGATGAAGTAAATGAATATATATCTGACTCCAAAGAAGCATTAGCTATGCAATTACATATAAAAGAAGATAGCTTTTCCATAAAAAAATAAGAGGAATTTTAAACATGGTTAACTGCAACGACAGTTATTAATACAAACTTATAAACTTCCAGTTTATTAAAAGCAAGTTTACAAGAAGTTAATATTTAAAAAGGATTACTTTTTCTATCAAACTAGTAGCATAGGCAAATTTATTAATTGGAATAATAGAATTTAATTTATTAAAATGGTAAATAGGCTATGGATACTTATGCAGAATTAGATATTTATTTAGATAACTAAGTTAGAATTATTTAGATGGAATATACTAAAATACCTTAAATTTGGGCTTAAGTATGGGCTATAGCATCTCTGTTGTACCTATCTAGACATATATTCTAGCCAATTGCCTTAACATCTCTCGCATTGGATTTTTTAAGTATATAACTCAAATATTATTACAAAAAAACAGCAATAAGATTAACTTAAGAAAATGGTATACCAAAATAAAATGAATCTTACTAAGATGTTCACTAATAAGCTGAATTTATTGCAAAATAAAATGAAGACATTTAAAGCAATAAAAATTATTTCGAAATCTCTCGATACTAAAAGTAAGTACTTTATTTATCAAATCAAATCAGATCTTATAATTTAACAAGTCAATAAAAAGTTCAGTCAAAAAGTGCAGCACTTTTATTTATTTATTTTTAAAAAGCTTTAATTATTATAAAATCAATTGAAAATCAAATTAAATAAAATCTAATAATTCAACTAAAATTAATGGAAAATTTCTCAAAAAAATAAATTAAAATCAAATAAATTAAATACAATTTTTTTTTTTGAGTAAACAAATTATTAATTTTTTTCTGATAACTTTTTATTTTTTTATGAAAAAGATGGATGATATTTTTGTTACCTAAAATTTGTTTGAAAAAGAAGAAAGTAAATAATCAAAATTAGGAGATTTTAAATCTTTTGAGAAAAAAAACAAACAAAGATTTATGCTTTTTTGAGATGCAAAAGGAATTTTTAAGATTGAAAACAGCAATAAAATTATTGTTAACACCTGAGTAATATGCAGCAATTCATATGTGTGGTTGCGATTTATTAGATGGTCAATCAAAAGTTGATTTAGAGTAAAGCTAGATTTCATCAAAGAAAGATTCTTAATTTAATTAAATCGAAGACATAATTGAAGAAAATTCAAATATAAGCTCTTATGATATTTAAACTCCTCTTAATAGTTATTAACTTGATAAAAATATTATTTAACCAATTAGTCAAAAGGTTCAAAATCATTTAGAGTTAATGGAAAAAGTAGATATAGATTCTGATTACAGAAAAAGCTGTTTAGAGAAGTTTTTAAGCGAAAATTAATAAATGAATTAAAGTGAATAGGTATTACTCAATCAAAGAATACTTAATTGTATAGTAGGTATTTAAAGTGATGATTTAAATACTATAAATTAGGTAAATTAAGATTAATATACATATATTGAATATAATAGCATATCTAATAATTAATAAAGTATTGTTGTTGATTCATGATTGCATAAATTATATGGTTATTACCACTTTATTTTTTATCTAAAAACTATTTATATATTAATATTTTTTTAATACCAAATTTATTTCAAAAGAAATAATAAAAATAATATTTAAAATATTTTTAATTTGTTAAAAATGTAAACAAATAAAAGTTTATATATCTTTTCATTTTGTAAAAAGAATTTTTAATTTGGTTAAGAAAATAAATTTAGTGTGTGTAGACACCTAATTAATATTTAATTTATATGTTTGATATTTATTAAATTAATTAATTTTTGACAAATAACTTGAACTTTAAAAAAAGATACTTAAGATATATATTTAAAGTAATAATTAGCAAATAATCAAGTTCATTCATTATTAGCACTCAGCAATACACAATAGGAGCAAGCTTTCAAATGTTAATAATAATTTTATTTTTATTGATTAGGTAAATGAGATTGATGTTGAGAATATGAAATATTTCTTAGAGAAACTTCTCAGAAAAAACTAATAAATTGATGGAAATATAAATGAGACTTTTACTTAACTAAATAGAATGATATGGATCTAGCTAGAATCATGATTTTAACAATTGAATAGCTTTGAAAAAAAATTAGTAATTACATTATTTAAAATTAAAAAACAAAATAAAAGCTAAAATCCTTAATTAGGAACATAGGTAAATATTTATTTAATTATTTTAATTCATAAAAAAATACTAAAATTCCTCAATGCAATTGCATGAATTTTGTAAAATAAAAATAAATACTCAATACCTCAAAAAGCACATGTGAGGAACTCAAAAAAATCTGAAATAAAATTATATATTTTTAAATAAATAAATCAGTTATACTAACTACCCTAATGTCATTTTATTTAGTAACCCCACCCCACCTAAATGGGATTTAGAAAATTTTATTCTTTTTATTTCATTTATTTTATTAATATGCTATTAACTTACAAAATTTGTCATATTTATCAGGATAAAAATAATAATTAATCTAATTTTATTTTAGGTTAAATTATTCTAATACAAAATATAAAAGTATAAAACTAAACATATTAAATTCTATTATTTAAATATTTTTTTTTAGTTTATTAATTCTATTTTTATTATTCATGTATTTATTATCAAAAAAAAAAATATTTTTTCCATTATTGAAAAATAACTAATCTTTTTAGTTTAAAACATTTACTCTTTAGTTTCAATTCTTGTGATTCATTTAATTAATTAGCACTGTAGAAAAATTAATTTAAAAATAATTATTTAAATTAAGAGAAAAAAATGAAAAATTGTATTAAGAATAAAATAAGTCAAATAATAAGTTAATAAATAAATTAAATAATTTATTGCTTTAAATTTATTTTTATATTAAAACTATCACAATTTAAAATAAATTACTACAGCTCAAGGATCAAAAAATTTAGATTAGAGTAAATTGTTAAAGCAGAGCCTAAGTGTTATGCACCTATTGGGCCAATTTAATTTTCACTTTTAAATATTAAAAAAAATATATTAATTGATTAGTTATTTAGCTTGAAAGAAAAAAGGAAGAAAAAAATGAGATAATAAGAAATTAATAATCAAAGTAAAAATTGAAAAATGAGTTAAATTAACAGAGAAAAAATTATTTTTAGAATAAAAAAGCATATTAATCAAATTAGTAGCTGATTAATAAATAAATTAAAAGAGTTGATTGGTTTTCAAATTCATTTTTATATTAAGAAATATCATAATTTATGACAAAAAAACTGTTTATACCTAATATCTAGTTTCAAATTTGTGAGAATATTGCAGTTTGCTAAAGCAAAGCCTAAGCCTGATATACCTTCATCACCAATTTAATTTTTACTTTTTAAATATTGATGATAATATATCATTAATTAGTAATTTAGAAGGAAAAGATAAAGAATAGATGTAAAATAATAAGAAATCAATTAATAAATAATCAATCAAAGCAAAAGTTAAAAACTTTGTTGAATTTAGAGAAATTAAAAGTGCAAACAGAATAAAAAAGTTAATAAACATATAAATAAATTAAAAGAGAGAGTTTTATTATTTCAAATTTATTTATATATTTAAAAATATCATAATAAAAAATAAAAAATTTACTGAAGATAAAGTTTCAAATTTGAGAGATTAGTGCACTTTGCTAAACTTTAACCTAAGCTTGATGCACCTTCGCCACAAATTTAACAAGACCTTTTTAAACATTGAAGAAAATTTAAATAGTCAACTAAAGGGAAAAATAAATTAAAAAAAAAACATGAATTAACAAGAAATTAGTTTAGAATGAAAGAAATAGTTGTAAATTAAAAAGTGAGTATATTAATTTCGCAATAAAAATAAATAATTTACTCAAAATAAAGTGCCAAATTTTATAGATTAGTGCATTTTGTTAAACTTGAGCCTAAGCCTGATGTGCCTTTATCACTAATTTGACAATCACTTTTTAAATATTGAAGAAAATATAATTTATCAACTAAAGAGAAAAAATAAGTAAACAAAAAGCATGAATTAATAGAAATTAGTAAAAAATAAACAATTTACTTAAGAATAAGTGTCAAATTTTAGAGATTAGTGCACTTAATTAAACTTGAGCCTAAGCCATGTGCACCTTCGTCACCAATTCGATTAGAACTTTTTAGATAGTGAAGAAAATATAATTAAAGGAAACAATTTTCTCAGATTTTTAGATTTCAAAATTGATTTTTTTGAGATTTTTAGAAGTATTTAGATTTAAATTACATATTTTAAAAAACTTTTATATTTTATATAAATTCAAATTTAAGATTTTGTTGAATTGTTAAATTATAGGTTGTTCAAATTACTAAAAAATCTAAAAATTACTGTAATTTAAATTAAAGATTTTTAGATTTTAGATTAATTCTGATATATACATCTGCGAAAGGACACAGATTAGAATGAAAAATCATTTAACAATAAGAAATATGTAAATCCTTTAAAAAAAGTTGAAGGTAAAAAAATTAGTTAAATTAAGAGCTAAAAGTTATAATCAGAATTAAATAGTAAAAAAGCTGATAAATAAATTAGCTAAAAAACTTTATTATTATAAATTAATTTTAAAAAATAGAAAAATCCAAAAGAAAAAACTGTTTTTACGAAAGATTAAGTTTATAATTTAAGATTTAAGCAGGGCATAAGCTTAATGCACCAGTTGCACCAATTTTATTTCTCCTTTTTAAATATTGAAAAAAACATTATAATTAATTTAAATAAATAAATAAACTGTTTTACTGGAGATTAAGTGTTAACTCTTCGAGATCAGTACAATTTTCTAAAACAGAACTTAAGCCTGATACACCATTATCGCCAATTAAATTATCACTTTTTAAAAAGAGAAGAATTTATAAATAATTAGTTATTTAAAAAAGGAAAAATGTAGTCAAATTATGAAATGAAAAGAAATTAATTAACTATTAAATAAAAAACAAATTAAATTTAGACAAAAATAGTATAATCAGTAGAATAAAAAGAATATTGATCAAGACTAATAATTAAATTAATTAAAATATTTTTATTGTTTTAAATTAATTATAAAATTAAAGATATCATAATTCTAAACAAATAAACTGTTTTTACCCAAGTTCAAGTGTCAAATTTGTGAGATCAGTGCAATTTCCTAAAGCAGAACTTAATCCTAATACTCCTTCATCACCAATTTTATTGCCACTTTTTAAATATTGAAGAAAAATAATTAATAAAAAGGAAAAATAAAGAAAAACATGAAATTATAAGAAATGTATTCATAATCTCTTTATAATTTAAGATTTAAGTTTTGTTTTAAAGTTTTTAGTTTATCATTTAATTAATTTTCTATTAAAAACTGTAATGAAAATTTTATAAAAAAAACTACATTTTACAATAATTTAAGACCTATTGATTTTTTGAGTTAAAAATTTTTTTTTATTTAACCAAATTCAAAAACAAGATAGATTGATAAAAAGTGGCCTTTATTAATGAGGATATAAAATAATCTGGATAATGCTAATAAATAAATTAATAAATTATAAGAGTTTTAATTTTATAAATTCATTTTTATAATTTATTTTATCACAATTCAAAAGAAAAATCTGCTTTTACTTGAGATAAAGTATCAAATTGGAGAGAATGTTGAACTTTGCTAAAGCAAAACCTAAACCAGATGCCCCAAAAGAGTGAATCCAGTTATTACTTTTTAAATATAAAGAACATATAATTAATTACTTACTCAATTAAAGTGAAAATATGAAGAAAATATACGAAATTGTAATAAATTAATGAAGAATTAAAGCAAAAGTTGAAATGAAATTAAAAAATAAGTTAAATTAAAAGAGAAAAAAGTGTATTGAAAGTAAAATGCAAATAAAAAAAATTAAAAGCTAATTTATAAATTCAAAGAATTTTATCATTTTAAATTGTTTTTTATAATAAATTTTATTTCAATCCAAAGCAAATAAACTATTTTTACTTGAGAATAAGTGTCAAATTTGAAAGATAAAAGCACTCTGCTAAAGCAGTACCTAAGCCTGATACACCATCATCACAAATTTTACTTGAACTATTTAAATAAATAAAATAAAAACTTATAAATAACTAAAATGAGTTTTTTTTGAAATTCATTTTTAAGTTAAATAATAAATATTACAATCCAAAATAAATAAACTATTTTTACCTTAGATCAAGCTTTAAATTTGAGAGATTTTTGATCTTTGCCAAAGCATAACCTAAGTCTAATGCGCAATCATCACTAATATGACTTGAACTTTTAAAAAAATAATAATTAAATAAAAAGTTTAAAAATGTAAAAGAGAATTTTTTTTTAATTCATAATTTTGTTAAAAATCAAAAATAAATAAACTATTTTTACCTAAGATTAAGTTCTAACTTTTAGAGGTTTTTGATCTTTGCAAAAGCTGAACCTAGGTTTGATGTACCTTCAAAATTCATTTTATTTCGACTTATTAAATATCAAAGAAAAAAGATTTGTTAAAAAATAATTATAAAAGTAAATAAATAAATCGGAGGAGGGAGGGAGGGAGGGTGGCTATATATGACTAAAAATAAAGATTTTATTGCATGCTAAATTAAAGGAGTGGTTGGTATGGGTAGTTGAAATGTTATAACTTTATTTTTTAATGCTTTGCATCAATAAAATAAGGTTGATTTTTGATGGACTAAGCTTATTAATTTAATGTGTTTTTTATTATCAATAAATAAAATTTAAAAATTTGTTTTAAAATAATTTTTTTAAATAAATAAAATTAAATCTTTATCTCAACATAAAAACTAGATTCATATGATATATTAAGGTATAGCTAATACTTAGAAAAAATAATACTTTTTGGATAAAAGAAGGGGGAGCATCCAGGTCTAAGTTTAATTATTGTCTGAAAATCTTTTTTGTATTAAAAAATATTCAATTACAAAACAAAACAAATAAACTATTTTTACCTAAGATGAAGCGTTAAATTTGAGAGATTAATGCATTTTGCTAAAGCAGAACATAAGCATGATGTACCATTATCACCAATTATATTTCCACTTTTATTTTTAAATATTGTAGAAATAATAGTTAATTAATCAAAGGAAAAAAATGAACATGAAAAATAAGATATAATATAAAAAATTAATTGAAAACCAAATGTAAAGTTAAAAATTAAAAAAAGAATTAAGTGAAGAGAAAAAAAATTTTAATCAGTAATTAAAAAATCAAATAAATAAATTAAAAGAGTTAATTTTTGAAATTTTTTTGTTTTAAAAAATATCATAACCCAAAACAAATACACTGTTTTACTTAAGGTAAAGGAGTAAATTTGAAAGGTTATTGTTTTTAACTAAAGCAGAAACTAAATTCGATGCACATATTGAATCAATTTTCTCACCTCTTTTAAAATATTGAAAAAATATAATAAGTTAATTAATAAAGAAAAATACTAAATAATTAAAAATTTAATTATTATATTAAAATATCATGATCCCAAACAAATATACTACATTGATTCAAAATAAAATGTCAAAATAGAGAGATTTTAACACTTTGCTAAAGCAGAGCCTAGGCATGATGCACCATTTGCACCAATTTAAGATTTACTTTTTAAATATTAAAGTAAATATATCATTACTTAGTTAGTTAGAAAGGATAAAATTATAAAAGAAATCAATTAATAATCAAAACTAAAGTTTAAAATTAAAAAAATGATTTAAATTAAGAGAGAAAAATATAAATTAAAAATAAATCAAACAAATAAAATATTAATAGATAAACGAATTAAACAATCTTTTTGTTAGAATTCGTTTTTAATATTAAAAAATATCATAATCCAATACAAATAAACAGTTTTTACTTGAGATTAAGTGTCAAATTTGAAAGATTAGCGCAGTTTACAAGAGCAGAACCTAAACTTGATGCACTTTTGTCACTAATTTAATTTTCACTTTTTAAATATTGAAGAATACATATTTAATTAATTAGTAGTTTAAAAGAAAAATTAAATAATAATAAATCAACTAATAATCAAAGCCAAAGTTTAAAATTAAAAAATGATGTTAATTGAGAGAAAAAAAGTAAATTTAGAATTTAAAAATAAAATAAAACAAATTAAAAGCTTTTTAATAAATAAAAAAAAATTTTTTTGTTTAAAATTCAATTTTATATTAAAAAGTATTACAATCTTAATATAATAAACTGTATTTACCCTAAATAAAGTTTTAAATTTGTAAGGTTAGTACATTTTTTTAAAGCAGAATTAAAGCTTGATATTCCTTCATCTCCAATTTTATTCCTACTGTTTAAATATTAAGAAAAAAATATAATTAATTAGTTAGTTAGAAGGAAAAAAGGATGAGGAAAAATATGAAATAACAAGAAATTAATTAATCCTCAAACTAAAAGCTGAGCATCAAAAAAGAGTTAAAATAATTAATAATATTCATATGAATAAAAAATAAAATAAATAAATAATAATTGAAAGATCTGCATTTAAATACATTGATTTATAAATTTGAATATAATAAGATAAATAATAATAAATTTAATATACGAAAGATCAATGTCTAGAACTGAATGAGATTAAAGAGAAGAGTTTAAAAACTTTTTTTATTTAGAAAAATAAATATAAAATATTTATTAAAAAAAATGATAATAACAGTTTATAGCTTATAGTATTGTTTATTCTATAATATCATTTATTTTTTTTCAAGAATATTTATAGCAATTTATTTATACAGATTTAATTAATTAAAAAATTTATTTAGTTTTAGAGTTTACTTAGATAAAAAGATCAAATAAATATTAATAAGATCATAAATTATTTTATATAATTTACTTTAGACAATAATATAATCAAAAATTTAGATATTAATATCATTTATTATATTTAAATCAATTTATATACTTAAAAATATTGTACTCATCAAAAATGGAAATAAATAAGTGAGTGAGTATAACCAAATGCCATTCAAAAATTTATTAATTTGATATCACTATTTTTATGAATTGCTGATTTGTTTGAAAAAAATTTATGTTTTAATTAATTAATAATATTTATAATTATAATTAAAATCAATTTTTATAATTAATTTTTCAATCAAAATTTTAATTAATTTTAAACTTATTGCTCTATTAATATTTTTGATGTATATAAATTCCTAAAAAAATATCATAATAAGGTAAATAAACTATATTAAAAGATAAAATAAAACCAAATTTTTAAATATGAGAAAAACAAAGGTAAAAATATTCTTGATAAAAGTGGATTTAGTTTCCAAAAAGGAGAAGGAGGATTAATAGGGATTATCAAATCATTAATAAAAAACATAATTTAATTTCTATTAAACAAAGTAAATCAAGACAATATACCTTAAATTTTTTAGTTTAGTAGTAATTAATTTAATTTAAACTAAGAAACTTATTTTATTTTTTCTTTCATTAATAATTTAAAATAATACTTTGTAGAAATTTTATGAATAAATTCATCCTGTCTGTTTCTCTGTTAATATTATTGTAAATTACTTTCATTTTTATTTGTAGACTTTAACTAGACATTTAGAATATATTTGAACTTTAATTAAATTTAAATTTTAAAACTTTAGCATAATTTAAATGATGAATTCTATTAAAAACAAACATATATCAGCTAAATATTTTAAATGAATATTTTACTTTATTTTATAGTAAAATGTTTCTAAAATTGTTAAATTTATTATTTTATATAACTATATTATGAATAGCAGACAGTAAATTTACAAATAAATACTTGGATACATATATAAGTACTAATGAAAATTAGGTCTACTTTAATTATTTACTAAATTGGAAAGTGTTTAAAAATAGTTTACTGAATTTAAATTTTATGATACCAGATATGGATAGTCTTCAATCAATCAGTCTACTTAATTGATTTTCTCATTTTGTACTATAATTTAATTTGGCATATTAAAAATAGATAAAGAACTTATTCTAAATAAGTACCTTAATTACTATATTAGAAAATAATTATAAATTTTCAACCAACTTTCATGGTTGTGTTACCCAAATCTAATTATTTTATTGAGATGTTTTTTTAAAAAGAATATTATAAATTAAACAATCAAAAGAATTTTTATAAAATTTCATTTTTCATTTATTTTAATTCAAGAATTTTTGGCTAACCATAATTCTTCAATAAAAAAACTGAATCATATTCCACTAAACAATTAAAATCTTCAATAAGTAATTAAAAAAATCAAATTATTTCATATTTATTTTTTAACTGCCTCTCTCCCTCCCTATTTTACCTCAATATGAGTAGGTTTCATTATTTTCTTACTATATTTTATTATGTGCATTTTTTGCTTTTTATTTTAATTTCAAATAAAACTACTGGCTTTTAATTAATATAGATAATATAAATGTTTTTTTTGTTTTACTAAATATAGATCTATTTTCTTATTAACTATTAATTAAAAATATATCTTAATATTTTTTTATTTATAATTTTATAGATCATTTTAAATGTCAGATTAAGATTAATGTATGTATGGTTAATGAATGACAGATATTGAAATCTATTTTTATTGTCTTTAAAGATGAACAAACAAAACGGAATTAGTTAGATCTTTCAATAGAAATTCATTTCAAAATAAATCACCCTATTTTGATTGATTTATAATGTAATCATTTAGTAAACTACTTATTTGTTAAACTTGGGCTTTATTTAAAAAGATAGAAATGCTCTTAATTAATGAGAAAAATGGGTTTTTGTCTCATAGAACTAAATAATATATTCTTTGCATAAAACTAATTATAGTACTGGTCTTATTATTTTAAATTAAGGCAGTTAAGAAAACATAATTAATTTAGATAATAAATTATAAGAAAATAATAAAAAAGATACAGAATAAATAAATAAAATCTAATGTATTCAAAAGTTTTTTGTTTGATACTTGCTTTTGCTCTATTATAGATAGCATATACAGCTGACTGTGAACGTTGTACTTTTAGTGCAGATGGAAAAGATGATAAGGGCCCTTGTACTCAATGCGATGAAGGTACATGTACTCCAGAAAAAGGAACTATAGGAACTACTTAATTAGCTTGTTCTATTAAAAAATGTTAGGCTGGTAAATTTAGTGAAACTGGATATGATTCTGATGGAAAGGGGAAAGGATGCACTAATTGTAACCCAGGTACTTACTCTATTGAAGGTTCAACAGAATGCAATCTAATCCCTTGTGGCTATGGATATTATAGCGAAACAGGCTACTACGATTAAAACGAAGGAAGTAGATATAATGAATGTGAGATTTGCCCATATGGCAGGTCCACCACAAAAGAAAATACAATAGGAGATTATGATGAAGATGAAGATATTATTTGTGATTTACAGTTAGAAGAATGTCCTGAAGGTACATATAGTGATACAGGTTATGATAGTGATGGAATAGGTACTGGATGTTAAAAATGTGAGCCTGGTACTCATTCAATAAAAGGTTCAGACAGGTGTTCTCTAAAAGTCTGCGGTGTTGGCACTTATAGCTCAACAGGCTATTATAATACTATAAATTATGAGAAATGTACAGTTTGCCCAATTGGTAAATCAACTGATAAAGAAATGACTATAGGAAAAGATGATAAAGTATGTACTTTGTAATTAAAATAGTGTCCTGAAGGTACATTTAGTACTACAGGTTATAATGGTAATACAAAAGAAAGTGAATGTAAGAAGTGTAAATCTGGTACTCATTCTTTATTAGCCTCAAAATCATGTTAACTAAGACCTTGTGACTATGGTTATTATAGTAATACAGGATATTTCAATATTAATAAGGAAATTAATTGCACTAAGTGCCCTCTAGGAAAATCTACTAAGGAACAATAGACTATAGGAGAAGATGAAAAAGTTTGTGATGTGTAGCTATAATTCTGTCCTTAAGGCAAATTTAGTTATTCAGGCTATGATTTTGATGGGGAAGGGAAAGGGAACGGATGTTCTGATTGTTATCCAGGTACTTACTCTTTAGTAGGCTCTAAAAGTTGCGATCTAACATATTGTGGTTATGGTTATTATAACATAAATGGCTATTATAATCATTCTAAAGAAGCAGAATGCTAAAAATGCCCAATAGGTAAATCTACCCCACTAGAAAATACATAAGGAACAGATGATAAAGTTTGCAGTGTGCAATCAAATAAGTGTCCTGAAAATAAATGGAGTAATACAGGTTATGACTATGATGGAAAAGGGAAAGGATGTAAATATTGTGAATCAGGGACGTACTCTTTTGAGGGTTCTACAACCTGTGATCTAAAGTCTTGTGGTTATAATTTTTATAGCTAAACAGGTTTTTACATTACTAATTAAAAAGAAGAATGTAAGGCTTGTCCAGAAAATACTTATACTGATGGATATATTAATGAAAGTTTGGATGATTCAATTTGTTTATCTTATAATTCAAGTGATTGTGATGAAAGTGAAAGTGAAGGATATGATAATAGTGAAAATACTTCAAACTCTATTATCATTAAAACTACTTTAAGTTTGATTTTATTAGTTGCTCTTTTCTGAAACTGATTGATAAAAATATATTAAATATAAATTTATTATCAGAAATTAAGCTATTTATTAATATTTAATACTTATTTTTAAAGAGTTTTGTTAATGTTTACATTTATTTGTTGAACTGATATTGAAATTTGTTTTTAAATATAATTTTAAGATATTAAATATTTTAAAAATTAAACAGTTAAATATTTAGATTCCTAAAAAGAGGATTATTATGTGCTAACAAATTTAAATATTATAAGGTATTAATTATTATCATAATTTAATTAATATTTAACAAAATAAATTACACACAATAATCTACCTTAATTTTTTTAGTTTTTGTTGTAATTATCTTAACTTAAACTTAGAAACTTGCTTTTATTTTTATGTTAAGATGATTATAAATTTACTTTCTGCTTTTTATTTGGATACTTACTTTGACTAAAATCTCAAAATATTTTTTATTTTTAATTAAATTTTAATTTGAAAAATATTAGCAAAATTTAAATAATGAATTCTGATAAAAATAAAATAATATTTGTAAATATTTAGTTAAATATTTATTTAAAATTAATTAAAATCAAAGTAAAAGCTATCAGAAATTAATAAATTCATTATCTTCTTTTAATTTTTTATGAATAAAAATAAATATTTGAATACATAAATACAGTCTACTTTATTATTGTAATATTAATTATTTATCTAATTGAAAAGTCTATAAAAAATTATTTAAATTTTATCATAACAAATAAGGATAGTTTTCGATGGGTCTAGCTCTTAACTAAATTTTTTATTTTGTACTATAATTTAATTTATTATGCTAAGAATAGATAGATACTCTACCTCTAAATTAGATGCCATAATTAATTGATTAGAAAACCCTCCTGTAAGTAACCTTAAAATTTTTCTGATTTATAATACAGTTTTTTAACTTTACTCAAATTTAAAAAATGTACAAATGTTTAAATTAAATAAATAATTAGAGTGATTGAGTAGATTTAAGATAAAAAATAAATAATTAAATTTTATAAAATATATTTTTTTTTATTTAAAACTAAGCAAATAAATTATGATACAAATCAAAATAATATTTTTAAAATTTTTAATAAAGCAATAAATAAGGTTTTGCTTATAAAGGTTTTATGACATTTTTGCTTAAAAAAAAATTTTTTTTTTTTTATCATTTAAGCTAGCTAATTATATTATTTAGACGATCTCTCATATTTGAATCATTTATTTCTTCAGCAATTAACTTAGCTTTTTAATATTATAATAGAGCCCTGTCCTGATGATAGAGATGTTCATCTTCTGCTCCTAAATTGTAGAAGCACATCATTTTAAGTTTGTTAAGTTCTTATAATTTATCTTCTATTTCCTTTTCAGATAATTGGATGTTAGAAGGATTTTTAGCTTTTCCAGTAACTTCTTCTTCTTATTCTTTTTCGTTTTCTTACTGTTTAGATATTTCTTATTAATCCTATTAATTACCTTGCTATAGTTCTTTTTATAGTCTTTCAATATAGTGAAGGGCTTTATTTAAACTATCTTGAGCTTTATTATGCTTGTTTAAATTGCTTTAAATGGCAGCTTTATTAAACAAAGTAGAAATAATACTGTTTTTAGCATTAAAGTCGTTATCTTAAACTAATCTTTCTTCTAATTCAAGAGCAAAGTGAACAGCTTTCAAAGCCAAAACGTATTGCTTGCGCTTTTAGTAAATGCATGCTAAATTGTTAAATGTTAAAACTTTCATTTCTCCATATTTTATAACAGGCTTAACAAATTTGTGAATTGATTTATGCATCAAAATATCAACAGCTTTCAAAAGAAAGTGAATTGCCTTTTCGTTATTATTGCAGTTGAAATGATCCATAGCTATTTTATTGATAGATAACGCATAATCAATGAATTAATCAGAAAAATTAAATGGAATATCTGCATATCCTAATCCAGCCGACAAATAATCTGTGCATAACAAAATTAATCTCTCCTAATGCAGTAATTTATTTTCAGAATTTGGATCCTTTTTCTTCTCAAATTCCATGACATTATAAAGTAAGCTAAGTATCTAGCTTCTGTCAGGTTTACTCATACTGTATTGCTATAAATTGTATAATAAATGTAATTTTGCAGTTATTCTTTTAACAATTGAATATATTAAATAAATATCAGATATAAAAAAACAAAAATTAAAAATTTTAGTAGAAATTAATCAAAATGTTTGTTTATTTATTTTTTATATGTTCATTAATTAATTAATTAAAATAAATGGTTAATTAAACTAACAAAAACTCTATAAAAAATAAATTAATATTGAAATCAACTGAATAAAATCTTTTATATCATTAATATTATGCAAATTGCTATGACAAATGAAATAATTATCTATCTTTTATGTTCTTCAAATTTTATTTTCATCAAAAACTACTCTATTTATGGTAGGGCATCTATTTATTTTAAATTATTATTATTATTATATATTTATTTCTTCGACTTAAGAAAATTTTACTTGCAATTGCTTGCATTTTCGAATTGGAAAGCTTAAGAGACTAATTCTAATTATAAAGCTAGCTTTTTATCAACTAAGCTTCTCTTTTTATTTCAAATATTATTTATTAAATACTTTGAAAATTTATGATTTAAATATTAACCTTATAATGCTATTACTCTTGTTTAAAGAAGAATCTAACTAAATAACATTTTTAAGGAGCTATTTATCTTCTTCATCATCTTAATTATCGCCTATGTGCTTTCTTTATGATTTAGTGTAAATTGCCTGCTCAAACAATTACATTTTTTTCTTATTAAAGTCTACTGTTTACTATAGAAAGTTAATAATAAATATTGCATAAACTTGTAGAAAAGTAATAAAAAATCAAATAAAAAGTTGTAGCGTTTGATAATTATAAAAGAATCTTTGAAAAATACTGATTCTACATTAATTTATTAAGATTAATTAATACCGATAGTTGTTTATGCTCTCTTTAACTTTCCTTTAAAATTTCTTTAAATCTTTATATAAGGTTATTTTTTACAAAAGCTTGTTTGTCATCCTACTAAATTTCTACATTTTAGATCAACTTTTCTGTCTTATATAAAAAATAAATAATTGTTTGTTTCATTAAAAACTAATTATTTATATGTCTATGCATCTATTTATTGCTAATGCTAAAAAATAATTTTGTACTTATTCTATCAAATTTTTTGCTTCCTATTCATGAATATTAAACTCCTCAAAATTTTGGTCTATATTTTTTCCTTAACTGCCTTTTTTATGTTATTTTTTTAAACCTCCTTCATGATCAACAGTGCCTCTTTTAATGATAAAGCAAAAATCTTGTTTAATAGTGACGTAATTTATATAAATGATTATTTACTCCAAATCCATAATCTGTTTAGAAATGTTAAGCGAAATCTGATTAATCAAGTTAAGTTCTTGCTTTAATGAATTTTAAAGATTGTAATACTCTTTTTTGAATATTTCCCAGCTCATCACCTATCAACTTCAAACAAATACCTTTGCTATATTATTTTTTACTAAAGCTTTCCTTTTTATGTATTTTTGATAATTTATAAATTTTTTAGCGTTTTGCAAACTAATTAATTATGAATTAAAAATATTTGATATTCTTTAGAAAAAAAATTTAGTAAACAAATCTTAAACGAGCTCATCAAATAAAAATATTATTTATTGAATGAATGAATGACATGGTAAAAAATAAATATTATTTAAAGAGTTCCTAATAAAATCCTAATCAAAGAAATTTAAGAATTCATATAATAAAGTTGATAAAATTATTTAGATTAAATAAAAATGGTCTTTTTTAGCTAGATTTTTGTTGTTTGTTTATTTATTTAGGCTAGAATCGACTAAACTATATTTAAATGGTTAATAATTAATTACAAAACAAATAATTTGATTTAGTTTTTTGTCATTAAATTTTTAGAATTTTGTATAATAAGTGGCTAAAAAACTATCAAATCTCTACCATTGTCTTCGCTAGCCATTCTATAACTTGTTGATGACCCTACTCTATAAAATATTTTCAAATAAAACTTATTAAATGACAAAATATGATAGATGAAAATTACTTAGTTTATTACTGCCTTGTATATTGTTTACAATTCTATGATTCTCTCTATTTTATTACCATATTAATTACGTTAATAATAGAATGTCTAAGCTTTTCAAAATAAAATATAAGGAGCAAATTAATACCCTGGAATGGATGCATCTTTAAGCAAGTCTTCTACTTTATTTTTAATTTCACCTTCTACCTTAATATCAGATTTATTTATAAATACACAGATAGGCACCTTTATAAGGTTTCTTTCTTTCAATAACTATTAAAGGGCATCTAAAGAATCTTAAAATGATTCCATAGAGCTGCCATCAACCACAAAAACTATTCCCTAAGCTCCAATATAATGATGTCTCCAGAAGATTCTCTTTCTTTCACATCCAGCAAAATCCTTAATTTTTTATAAAATGAACAAATATGCATGAAAGTAATTAAAAAAAAGCTCGATTTACATAAAACTAAAGCCAAAATTTATCCTTTTTAACATCAATAATGTCAAGATCGTTTGTTTCTACATAATTATTTTCATTCAATTCTTTTCCATTTACACATTATACAAAACCTACAAAAATAATAAAGCTTTATTTAACTGAAAAGAAAAACAATTTTGTAAATACATGTTTTTCCACTCTTTTCTATTCCTAAAACTAAAATCTTTCTCTACTTTTTGCTAAAATTCTTTTCGTAATTATTGCCCATATTTCTAATTTCAATAAATTCTTTGTATTTATGTTTAACTTTAAAGATTATTAATTAAAAATATTCAATAAATAAAATAATTTGTATGGCAATTTATAACATCAACTATTCATACACACACAACTAAATGTTTTTATTCTATTTAAATCTAAATTTAGCATTAACTATTCTTTATTATTATTACAACAAATTTTATCATTTTTCAATCCTAATCTAGATAGCAAATTCATAATTACATATAATTTTAGCAAAAGTGTAAAATATTCATTTTTAATTTTTAAAATGTAAAAATATCAATCTATTAAATAAATAAATAAATAAATAAAATAAAATAAAATAAAATGAGATTCAAACTTTCTTTTGGTTAAATTAGAAATTTTATGAATATACTTTTTTAGCACATTAATGGTATTTAAATTTAGTTTATTAAATTTGAACATCACAAATCGACTATATATTTTTTATTTCTGATCATTATTAAAGTAAGGAAAATAAGGTATTTTATCTTTATTTAATAATATAATATTAATTAAATAATATATAAGTGTAATCTAACTATTAGCATTTCTAAAAATATTTTTAACCATTCAAAATATTAGAAATTTTAAAAGATATTTACCTTAATAATCATTTAATTTTAATCAATAAATTAAAAAGTGAAAATCCTAGATTATATAACCAAAAGAAAATGCTTTAAGGGAATCCTATTAAAATTTAAATCTAAAAAAACAAACAAATCAAACTAAAACTAAAAAATCTAGACGAATTTTAAAAACATTTTTAAAAATTTGAATTTTAAAGATAAAAATATGAATTTATTTAATTTGTTTTTAAACTAGAAAAAAAAAAATCTTATCTTAATTTATTAATTTAAGAATTTAGTATTGACAAATGATAAATCTACCAATTTCTATTATAAGTTCAGAAGAAAAATCTTTTCTTGTTATCAACTAATTGAAGTAGATTGAAAAAAAATTGATTTTTCAGATAGACACTCACTAGTAAATACTTCTTTTATAATACATAAGAAATAGTACTAATTATTTAGCTCCATCTTAGACAATCTCAATTAAATGAATATTTTTGCTGTCTATGTTTAATTTTAAGAATATTGTGTCTACAATAAAAAGTACTTAAAAATGAGGCTACTATAATAAGTAATTACATTTAATATATTTGTTTAGCTTTTAATTAAAACGGAATTTTATGGTTTATTAAATTCATTCAATCAAAATTAAGATAATTAAACATAAATAAATAAATAAATAATTTATTATACTAAAAATTCATAATAAAAACATAATGAATAAAGAAACATTAAAAAATATCTAAGAAATTTAAGAAGTTCCTGTGAGGTTTTATTCTTAGAATTCTTAGTTTAGCAGTGTTTCACTTTTTTAAACAATTTATGGCATTAATGGTATCAATTAATATGTAAATTAATTTGATTTACCTATTTTTAGGTAGAAAAACATTGATAACTTGGTAATCAAGATGACTAAGTAAGAACAAGCTAGCCAACTGATTGTGGATTGGCATATTGCTCTTTTAAAAACTTTTACGTTTAAAAAATTACATATAGAGATCAATGCGGTTTCTAATTATTTAAAGAGAATATTCGATTTATAGTCAAGCATTGATACTTTAGAATTATTTTATTATAATTAACATGACTCTAAACCTATTTCTGATTTTTTGTCTTGCTAAGATAAAATAAAATCTCTCAAACATCTAACGATGAGTTTCCTATCATTTTAAAGTGATTAAACTAATTTTAAGAGATGCATTCCATAATTTATTTCAAATAACATAGATTAACTTGAAACTTTTTAATTAGTTTTAGATATTAAATCAATGCTTTTTACGATTAGAAATATTCTAACAAGTTCTAAAAAAGATTGTTTATCTGAAAATATGTAACAAATAGATCTTTTCTTCCGTTCATTAAACATATAAAGTGAATAGCTATACTACTAAGACTAAGTATATAATTAAGATTAACTTCTACTTAACTTTTTTAGAAAGTTCAAAGGATTAAATAAACTCAGTTTAATATTTTAATAATCTTTACTTGACTTAATTATGTATAAAAGTGTTTGTGAAGTACTAGAATATTAACAATAATTTAAATCACTTAAAGAACTAGTTATTTTTTTTACCCATTGTAGAATCCAGTTTGATTTACTTTAACTGTTTAATATTATTAAAGAATATAAGACTCTTGAAACATTAAGCATTTGTTTGGATTTTGCAACATAAGTTTTAATGTCAAAACCAGAAGAAATAATTATATTAGATTCAATTCAGAATTTTAAGCTTAGTCTAGCATATTGTCCTTGCTCTAATCATATAACAGAATACATTTGTTTTAATAGCCTAAAAAAACTGGCTATTAATTTAAACTATATCAATAATAAAGAAAATCAATCATAAAATTTTTAAAACATATCTTCTTGGATTTAAGATAATTCTATGATTGAGGATCTTTAAATTTCTATGTGGAATTCAGCTAACTAAGACTATGAAATATTATCCAGCTTATTACATATCATAGATTAAAAATTAACATCTATCAAATTTTTATAAATTGAGGGCATTCCTGTAAAGTTTCTTGATACAGAAAAAATAATTTTTTTAAAATAATGTCAGAATTGGTATTTAAGCTTTGATAACTTTGTGCATTTGTCTTATTAAGATAATGTTTTGAATATTAAAACTAATGAATAAAGTAAATTAAAATTAAGCATTATTAAATCTACAATAGATTTCACAAAAATCAATTTAAAATAAATCTTTTTTAGAATTCAAAATATTATCTTTGAGAATAATTTAACAAGCGATGAAAACTTAGAAGTCTTGATGAATTTATTTTTAGAATGTGGCAAACTAGAATTATTATATTTAGCTGTAGATTATTTTAACTTGAACAACTAAATGCTTGAATTAATTATCAACAAAATTTTGTAAATTGAAAGCCTAACATCTTTTCAAATTTATCAGAGATAGAATGTATTTTATATTAGTACAGATTTGCTAAAAAAATTACAACAGCATGTATCAAATAAGATAAGCTTTTATAATTTAAGCTTAAATAGTTAAACTTACGATTTGTAGAGTTGGTTACGCTAAAGATAAACTTTTTTTAAGCGTATAATAAAAACTTTATAGCTTTATAAACAATCAAATGTTTTAAAAAATTATAGAAAAGACTTCATAAATTATTTGATTGATTTCTCATACAACAAATCTTGAAATAATATTTTTTTAATTAATATTCTATTTTTTTTATATTTAAACAAAAATCTATTAATTTTATTTAATGTATCATAATTATAAAATATTTGAAAAGCTCATCATTATTTAAAATATTTCACCATTTTTTATTGTTATTTTGAATGTCTAGAATATTATTTCATCTTCATTATTACAACTAAATTTGTTTATTTAGTATCTTTTTTTGCTCAACAGGTCACTAACTTTTACAATAAATTTATAAATGTTTATTTTATATTTTAAACTTTGAATTCCATTTCTATTATTCTAATTTTAATTTATATAAATTTTTTTTTAATTTATAAACGGGATTATGACTAAAAATTTCTTAAAAATCTATAAATTAATAGAATATATGAAAAATATTTCATTAAAATTTGAATATATTTCTCGATTACCTACCTACCTACCTACCTCACCCTTACATTTTTTTAAATATTGAATCTGAATCTTTTTTTGAAATCGAGAATAAAGTAAACAATAAATATATTACAATATTAAATTATCAAACTGTTAATTATATTAATTACTTAAGCAAAAACCTAAATTATTTACAAACATATTTAAAGATTTTATTTACAGTTAATTATAAATAATGAATTCTGTTTAGTGAGAGAATTCATTTATAGTTAGTTAGTTTCTTCTCAATATAATAATTTATTTACAAAATGAGCCAAAAGATAAGCATTTAAGAAATATAAAATCTAGAAATTCATAATGTTTAGGTAAGATTTTTATTCTGATAAATTTGAAAGGTTAAGATCTTTTTTTTAACTAATAAAGTTATTAATTAATTATAAAGCAGCTTCTGGCTAATCCTTTGATACCATATGGCCAGCTTCATGAACAACGTGAAATGAGAAATTAGAAACACTTTTAACTTTTCCAATAACTTGACCATTCATTGTAACATTCTAATATGATTCAGCTTAAAATTAATTTTTGTTTTTCCATTCAAAGTTATGAGTCCATTATTCTCCACCACTTTTTTTAATTAATTTTCTTTAATAAATAAGTTATCTAAATATTTAATTAAATACAGATAGTTGCACATGATATCAAGGTCTCCGCTGTAAATTAAGACTTCAATATTTGCTTCAACAACATTAAGAAGATCTTTAACTGCAGAACGATTTTCTAGAGTTATCATTTCGTCATAAACATTATTTACACATGAAGTCCATTTTCTGCCATCAACTCCTAAGATTTATTGCACATCTTTTCTAGTTAAGAATTTTTAAAGATTATTATCTTCATCAAAACAAGTACTATCTAAACATGGTTTTTTATAGTTATAAAAATTTGCACTGCTATTAATTACAATCTCTGTGAATGGAGGTTCACATACTTCGCTTTATTCGCTATGAGGAGCTTCAGCTTTAATTAATTTTGCACATTCTACAAATTACTATGATGTACTTTTGTATGTTTCTTTATCTATCAAGCCGTTCTTGTATGTAAATTCGGCATAGGAAGGTCTTTGGTAGTAAGGGTCAACCTAATTAAAAAATTTATTCATTTTAATTTATTTATTATTTTTCAATTTGTGTTAAGAAATTAATAAATAAATTCAAATATTAATTATTATTTTTTTACCCAACCATTACCGATCGCAACACCACGGAATTTAATTTAGAGATCTCCAGTTTTAACGATGTAAGAACCTATGGCAGGAATATATTAGCCTGCATATGACTCTCCAGCTATATAGAAATCACGATTGACGTATTGAGGATATGTTTATAAAAAGGTTTATAGAACTTTATGCATATGTTATGAAATTTCCTCTTCAGTTTTAAGTATTTCGCTTTTACCTAAGCTACTGAATCCTGTACCTATTGGCTAATCTACAAATAGAACACTTGCATTGTTATTCCATGAATAAGGGTTGGATACAAGAGTGATATCTTTAGTTACTCTAAATGGACCTAATTCTTAAAATAAACCAAGTAAAGAAGAACACCCTGGACCACCATTTAGCCATAGTATAAGAGGGTCAGATGATGGATTATTACGAGATTCGAATAAAATGTAGAAAATGTCGCTGTCATTTTACATTTTTACCAATCCTGGATAGAAAGTTTCATTCAAGAAAATAGGATTTTGCATAGCAATCGAGCTGCAAACGAGGAATGAAATCAAAAATATTAACTTTGCTTGCATTTATTTTTAATATATCCAATAAATATGTATTATCTAACGAATTAATTAAATTATACTGGTTTTGTAGTAAAAAATTTTTATATTAAATTAATAAAATGCTGATTTATTTTTAATCTTTACAAAAATATTAATAAAGATAAATTTAATCTGTATTTTTAATTTAAATATTGAGTGGTTATGAGAGAAAAAATTATCTGCTTCTCTATAGAAATGATATTTTATTAATTAGAAAGTAAATAATATTTAATTGACATGTAAAGAATCTAGTTATGCTTCAATATTTATTTAGTAATAGTTAATATTACAAGGAAAAAGAGATTAATTTAATATTTATCAAATATTTTCAATCACAAATATTTTAATAGAAAACACAGTAATATAAAAATGGGATAAAACTTTTAGCATTAAGCTTGAATTTTTATAATTATTATAATAAATAAATGCTTAAATTGTTCATTAAAATAGGATAATGTGGTGAGAAATTAATCAAGAATTTATTTTTGTTTTAAAGAATAAAATTGTATAATGGCATAATTAATTTTTATTTTATTTATATATAATACTTCTTAAAGGATGAATAATCTTTTTTAATCAATTTACCTAATTCCTAACTTTAGATTACTTTGGAAGTATTTCAAAAAATTTTTTTTATATTAAAAGTTCTAATTAATTAAATTAGTTTTTGTGGCTATCAAAGATTTAGATATAAATTCAATATTAAATTTATTCACTTCATAAATAGTACGAAATTTTTTTTTTTTTGCTGAATTATTGTGGTAATTATATAAATCAAGTAAATAAGTATCATTAATATAATTTTCATTATCTTATTATATTAAATTTACCAAAACAAAATATAAAAGATAAAATTATTAACAGATTTTATTTTGAATTAATATTTAAATATGTTTTTTATTTTGTTTATTATCTTTTATTCCTTGCTCCATTTCATTTTTATAAAAATCTAATAACTGCGTGAGAAACAAAATATATGTTTAAGTAAAATAGTATCTAGAATTCTAACATTTTTAAATAGCTTTCTTGGCTTATAAAATTATTAATTAATTGCAAAGCAACTTCTGGCTAATCTTTAGGTACCATATGGCCTGCATTATAAACAATATAAAATTAAAATTTGGAAACTCCTTTTATTTTTCCTACTTCTTTACCGTTTAATTTAACAGTTTAATATTAGGCAACCTAAAATTAACTCTATTACTTCCAATTAAGATTATTAACCCAATTTTCTGTTCCACTATTTTGATTTAATTATTTTAAATTAATTAATACAAGGTTATTTATAGTAAATTATTTGATTACATATAATTGCACATATAGTCTAGATCACCATTATATATCAAGACCTTTAGATCAGCATTAACAATACTAATAAGATCATTGGTTGAAGAACGATTTTCAAGATCTGATAAGGCACTGTACACATTGTCAACACAAGCACTCCATGTTCTACCTTAAACTCCTAATACTTATTACACATCTTCTCTACTCAAGAATTTTTGAACTTTATCATCATCAGCATCTTCAGAACATGTAGGATTAACACAAGGAGTTTTATAATTATAAATATCAAAGTTATTCTTTTCTGTAATTTTGTTAAAAGGAGCTTCACATGCATCTGTTAAGATCTATATGGGAGCTCCAGTTTTTATATACTGTTAGCACACTGCAAATTATTATTAAGTAGCAGTGTAGGTATCTAAATCTATCAGATTATATTTATAAGCATATTCAGCATAAGCAGGTTGCTAATAGTAAGGGTCAACCTAATTAATTTAATTAATAAATAAATAAATTTGTTACTTTTACATTTAATCAAGTTTTTTAATTCATATCATTCAATTAAATTTTAGTTGAAAGAATATTTTTTTACCCAACCATTGCCAATAGCAACACCACGAAATTTAATTTAGAGATCTCCAGATTTAATGATTAAAGAGCCTATAGCAGGAATGTATTGGCCTGCATAAGATTCACCAGCGATATAAAAATCGCGATTAACATATTTAGGATAGGTTTACAAAAAGCTTTAAATGAAGTCATGCATTTGTTTTGCGACCCCTTCTTCAGTATTAGGTATTTAACTTGAACCTAAGTTACTGAATCCTGTTCCAATCGGCTGATCTACAAAGAGAACATTAGCTTTATTATTCCATGAATAAGGGTTCGAAGTAAGAGTGTTATCTTAAGTAATTTTATAAGGACCTAATTCCTCAAAAAGTCCAAGCATAGAAGAGCACCCAGGACCACCATTTAACCATAATATTAGTGGATCACTATTTTTATTTGAGCGAGATTCAAATAAAATGTAGAACATATCACTGTCGCTATTTATCTTGATCAGCCCTGGATAGAAAGTTTCATTCAAAAAAATAGAATTTTGTAAAGCAACCGAGCTGCAGATAAATAATGTGATTAATAATGCTTGATTTGCTTGCATTTTTAATTTATGTCTATCAAGTTTTTTATAATTTAATTTAATTATATGATTTTTATGGTTAAAAACATTGGATTTTAATGTATCTGCAAACAATTTTTAATAAAAAATAATTGGTGATTTTGTTAAAGAATGCATTAATGGTAGAAGTTTTAATTAGTTCGAATAAATTACTAGATATAAGCGCTTAATTAAAGAAACGATTGGTTATCTATGAGTGATTAACAATTAGAAATATCCTCGAAATAAAAATAAATAAGAAGAAGAGAAATTAATCTATCAAGATTATTAATTATCCAATTAATTGAAAACTTTCTTAAATTTTGATTTTAATTATTTATATATTTATTGTAACCAAACATTTAATAGTAAATAGATTAATTTAAACTTTATCTAGTATTTTCACATACAAAAACAGTAAGCTCTACCTAAAAAAAGATAAATAATTTTATACTTAACACTTTAAAAAATCAACAAATATATATTTATAAAACTAATTTATTGCTAAATAAAAAAATATAATAATTATTTATTTTTATAAAATTATAATAATTATTATTTCCTTTCATTAGCATTTCTTTATTTTTTGTGAGTGAAACCTTTATTTAATCTACTAAATCTTCTTTCAGTAGATTTCTATTTATTTACTAACTTTATATAAAATTAGGTATTTATTTTCACTAAAATTTAAAGTAAATTACAATTCTTAAAAGAATTTATTTTTTTAATTTAAATAATTTCAAATCCTAATTAATATTGAAGTTCATGTTTTCAAATATTAAAAATTTATAATATAAAATAAAAAATTTTTTTAATTAAAAAATGAGAATATTAAATTGTACATACTGACAATTTTTCAATTTTTTATTTATCACTTACTTAATTATTTTATGAAAAAAAAAGATATTGATATTAAATTCAATTTATTTATCTTAAAAAATACATAGAATTTTTTATAATAATTTTCTAATCAAAATTTTTTACAACTAATTTTGATTTTTAATGAAGTGTTTGTCTTGATCACATAAATAATTATAGATTCTATTTATAAAGAATATATTCATCAGAAAACTTTAATTATATAGTTAGATTAAAATCATTATTGCAAAGTATATAAATGGTGCTAGATTTAAGTGAGTGAAATAAATTAAAAATAAACTATAATTAGAATAAAGTAAATATTAAATTGAGAAATTAAAATCTATTTAACTAAATACACAATTTTTTCAAAATCTAAGTTTATTGAGAACAATCACATCCTATAGAAAGTTCCATCCAAATTAATATCTAGTTAGTAATCTTGATTTATTAATATTACATTTTTGCGTTTTAAATAGTCTGAAATCAATAAATTAGGGTTATCTTAAATTACCATATTGTAATGTACTACTCTAATTTTTCTGAAGTCTTTTAAAATGTTGCAGAGCTTTAATTATGTGAATTCAGATAATAAACATTGCCAAAATTTAATAAATTTTAATATTATAAAGATCAAATATTTTTTTATTAAAGATATTTATGTAAATTTCAATTATTAAGGTTTAAAAGGGATTTTATCTTAATTAATATTTATAAATTTAAGTTACGATAATTATCATTAACAAATTAAAAATAAATAAAAAAGATTATAAGCAAGAAAAGAAAAAAAAATGGGTCAAAACTAAAATAAATAGCTTGAAAAATAGAAATAAAAGAGTATAACAGTAGATTTGAATGAGTAATTTGTTTTATTTTAGGTTAAGAAAAGCTATTTATTAACTTTCTACATTTTTTGATGAAATCATTCTATTAATTAATTTCATATTAATTTCTACCATGATTTCAAAATAAATCATGCATTTAAAAATTAATAAATTATTTTATAATTTTAATGATATTTTTTAAATTTATATTTTAATATGATTTATTTATTTCTTTGAAAGAGTAAAATATTTATTATTTAATAAAGTAATGCTTTAATGGAAGATTTATCCAATAATAGTTAACAAAATATCACTACAATCGTATTTAGAATGTAATTTTCAAAAAAAATATATTTTTATATTTAATTTTTCATTTTATTATTAGGAATTCTTCTTAATAATTTGGTGATAAATAACTCTTATAAACTGCAGCTGTTTTGAAAAATTGCAAAGATATCACCTAACTTTGCCTTTATTTTGATTTGAGATAGTATCGGTAATATTTATAGAAATAATTTTGTTTAATATTTTTTTGATAAATTTTTAGTGAAGAAAATATTGGAATTTAAGCTTAAAGATCTCTTTAAAGTGCTTTGATAAATTGCTAGAATCTAAATTATTTAACCATAGCATTAAAGTAATTTTTAAAAATCTTTGATAGTAAACAATTTATAGTTTTTAGATTTAATAGTTTATTTTTTAAAGTAAGTTAGATCTAATTGAAGGAGATTAATCTCTTATAATTGCTCTTTAAAATTTAAAAAAAATAGTAAAATGTATTATTTTTTTAGAGTAAATTATTTATTTATCTATAAGTTTTAAAATTCAATTTTTAAAGTAAGTAAATAAATAAATTTTAAATAATAGTAATTGTATGAATGATTCTGCATCATACAATATTGGAATATAATTACAGAAGTGCTCAAACATCCTTTTCTTAAATCTTTTTATTATGTAATTAAATATTTATTGGAAATTTAGTATAATGTTAAATTAAATATATTTATACATAATTAATTATATTTTTTACTTTTTTATTAATTTTTAATCTTAAAATATAGCTATACAAGTAAAAATATAAGGTAAAAAATTATTAATTTAGAATCTTTTCATATCATGTTTTCTAAAGGTATTCAAATTGCACAAATTAATTTATAGATATATAATTATTATATTCTATATTATAAAATATATTAATTACTTTAATTATTGATATATTAAGATAGTCATTATACTTCAAAATTTTATTTAAAAGCTATTCAGTAAAAATATTATTTATATTATTTTAAAGATATCTAGAATATACTGAAAAAGGAAGAGCGTAGATTAAAAGAAGAATGACTAAAATGAAAAGATTAGTTAAATACAATAATATATAATGAATAAATAAAATATCAAATTTACTTATTTATGATATAATAAAATTGATTTTCTTCTTTTTTTAAAATAGTGTATTTTTTATATACTGTAATTCCTCATATATTAATTAATTAAGGTGGATTTTTAGGAAAATTTTAAGTTCTAAAAATCTTATACTAAATTAAATTTTTTTTTAATTGTAATTTGAGTTTAGATTTTTATGCATACATTATATATATAATTATAATTCGTTTCTTTCTAGTTTTATTTAAGCTTTAAAAAATTATATAAAAAGAACGATAGAGTTAGGATGAAACAAGATATATTAAAAAAAAATACAAATGCTCATTGAATTGAACATATGCAAACCTTTAGGCTAGAAAAAATAACTAAATAAAATAAGGTTACAACGCTTACAATAGTGGATAATAAATAAATTGATTAAAATTGAGTAAAAAATTTATTAATATTTTAATCTATTTGCCAATAAAAATAATTATCAGCATATTAATTTATTTATAAATTAGATTTTTTAAATATTTATTTTTATAATTAATTTGATTATCAAGTATCTATTCAACTATTTTTTAGAATAAATTAGCATTCTTAGTTCTTTGTCCAAACAAAGCTAAATTATTTTTTTTTATAGTTCACTAATTTAAAAAATAAATTGATTTCTTTAAATTTATTAATAAAACTCTTTCTAAGATTTAGAAATTACTGTAACGTAACTAATAAATTAAGTAAATTATTACTAAATTGAGAAATTAAATTTATTTTAATACTTATTGAGAACAATCACAACCTATATAATATATAAGTTCATTCCAAATTAATATCTAGTTAGTAAGCTTGATTCATTAATATCACATTTGTGTGTTTTAGATAGTATGAAATCAATAAATTAGGGTTATCTTAAATTATCATATTGTAATGTACTACTCTACTTTTTCTGAAGTCTTTTAAAATATTTCAGAGCTTTAATTATATGAATTCAGATTATAAATATTGCTAAATTGATATATTATTTTAATGAATTTTAATATAGTTAAAATAGATAAAAATCAAATAATATTTTTGATTAAAGAAATTTATTTAAATTTCAGATATTAAAATTTAAAAGTGATTTTATCTTAATATCTATTAATTTCGATTAAGATAATTATCATTAACAAACCAAAAATAAATAAAAAAGATTAAAAGAAAAAAAATGGGTCAAAACTAAAATAAATAGCTAAAAAAATAAAAATAAAATAGTATAAGGGTGGATTTGAATGAGTAATTTGTTTTATTTTAGGTTAACAAAAACTATTGATTAACTTTCTATATTTTTTGATGGAATAATGCTATTCATTTTCATCTTCAATCAAGAAGATATTTTAAGCTATTTTCTTTTTATTTTCTACCAATATTTCAAAGCAAATCATACACTTAAAAATTAATAAATTATTTTATAATTTAAATGATATTTTTTAAATTTATATTTTAATATGATTTATTTATTTATTTATTCCTTTGAAAGAGTAAAATATTATTATTTAATAAAGTACTGCTTTAATAGAGGATTTATCAAATAATAGTTAACAAAATATCACTAGAATTGAATTTAGACAGTAATTTTCAAAAAAAAAATTTTTTTAATTATAATTTTTCCTTTTATTATTAGGAATAATTCTTAACAATTTGATGATAAATAACTCTTATAAACTGCGGCTGTTTTGAAAAATTGCAAAGATATCACCTAACTCTGCCTTTATTTTCATTTGCGATATCATCGGTAAATATTTATAGAAATAATTTTGCTTAATATTTTTTTGATAAATTTTTAGTGAAGAAAATATTGGAATTCAAGCTTAAAGATCTCTTTAAAGTGCTTTAATAAATTGCTAGAATCTAAATTGTTTAACCATTGCATTAAAGTAATTTTAAATAATCTTTAATAGTAAACAATTTATAGTTTTTAGATTTAATTATATTAATTTTTCAAAAAAGTAAGTTAGATCTAATTGAAGGAGATTCATCTCTTATTATTGCTTTATAAAATTTAAAAAAATTAGTAAAATGTGTTTTTTTATTAGAGTAAATTATTTATTTATTTATTTATTTATTTATTTATTTATTACTTTTAAAATTCAAAATATTTTATTAGAAAGCAGGTAAACCAACTAATAAATTTTATATAATAGTAATTGCATGAATGATTCTGCAGCAAAAAATATTGGAATATAATTACAGAAGTGCTCAAACATCCTTTTCTTAAATATTTTTATTCAGTAATTAATTATTTATTGGAAATTTAGTATAATGTTAAATTAAAAATATTTTTTCATAATTAATTATATTTTTTACTTTTTTAAAATATTTATTCTTAAAATATAGCTATGGAAGTAAAAATATAAGGTAAAAAATTGTTAATTTAGAATCTTTTATTTATTTTCATGTTTTCTAAAGATATTCAAATTGCAAAAATTAATTTGATAGATAGATAAATAAATAATTATTCTTTATTATAAAATATATTAATTACTTTAATTATTGAATTATTCAGACAGTCATTATACTTCAAAATTTTATTCAATAGCTATTAGTAAAAATATTATTTATATTAAAGAGCTCTAGAATATACTGAAAAAGGAAGAGTGTAGCTTAAAAGAAGAATGATTAAAATGAAAAGATTAGTTTAACACAATAACAAATGATAAATAAATAAAATATTAAATTTACTTATTTATGAAATAAAATTGATTTTCTTCTTTTTTTAAATTTGTGTATTTTTTATATATACTATATAATTATTAGATTTTTTATAAATTTTACTTTTATTATTGATCATACATTTTTTTTGATTTATAAATTTTAATTTTAATTATCTAAATATTCAAATATTTTGATGCTATTCAAAGTTTACTAAAATATGAATTTAATTAATACTTTCTGAAATTTGAGTGCTCATGTGTTAGGATCTAAAATTTTATTTAAGCAAATTACAAAAAGTAAGCTAAATTTTTAACAATTTTTAAAACTTATTTTTCTCCTGTTTCTATTTTTGGGCAAATTTTTAATATTACTTTTTTCTGGTTTCGTTTCTAGATTATCTAAATCTTCTTCTTATTTTAATTAAATGCTCTATTTTGCTTAGATATATTTTCAATCATCTACGATTTCAAAAAATCTAAAATTTCTTTTTCTAATTCTTCTATTTTATTTTTCATACTCTATGTGATTCAAATCCCTCAGATAAATTTAGTTTTAAATTTGACCTTCTTTTTCCTCTAAAATTTTTTAGAATTGTGCTATTGTTTATATAATAGGTGGATCTGTATAATTCAATTCATATGTCATTTTATATTTTTCAAGTATGTTTTACTATAATTTTGCACTTATATCATATAAACTTTTTTCTTTTATTTCTGCTTCTTTTATTCTTCTGCAGACTTTTCATGAAGATTATCTTCTAAAATTTTGTATTAATGTTTAATGGATAGTTTGTTTTTCTGTTTCTGATTCATCTAATCTGTCTCTTAATATTTTTTTGTTTGTCTTCTAATGCTTCTATTAATTTTGCTTTGCATTCTTCATATGCTTTCTTATATTTAAGAAATTGTTTGTTTTGTTTTATATATATTCTATTTAGCAGCTTAATCTCATTTGTTCTAGAAGTTATTGAGTTTTGTTGAAATTAATTGTGTTATGTATTTAATTTTGTATTGTCCTAAACAAATAAATTCTCCTTTTTGTTAAAATTTTCTTCATTTAGTTTTCATTATTATAACAAACAGATCATAATTATCTTCGCTATTCAGTGAAGTAAACTGCAAATTAATTACTAATTTATTATGGTTATATCTAGGGTCAGACCGAATATCACTTTTTTAAAGAATATGAATAAATAATAATTTAAAATTTTTTACTATTTTGAATACCGAATAAGTTAAAAAAAAACTTTCACGGAATACCAAATATTTAGATATTTTAAAATATATTTTCTATAGAATACCGAATATGTTCTGTTAAATAACTGAATGAATACGGAATAATTAATTTTCATACACTCCTTTAAGTTTGGATATATTCCAATCGTTAAAACAGTTTTTAAATATAAATTCAAAAACAAATTTTTAATAAATTTTTTCCAAACAAAGTATATAAAGAAAAATCATTCATATTAATAAAAAAATTATAATTAATTTAAGTGTTTCTTTATTTTTGATAGGTGAGTGATAATTAAAAAAATAAGTATAAGAGTTATTGTTTATATAAAGCTTAAATTCTGAAGACAAAAATTATTTTCAACAATTATAGTATATTTTTAAGTGTTTTTTATATAATCTTAATGTTTTTTAAGATAAATAAGAAAATAAACCTCTTAATACGCAAGCTTCAACCATAATAAACTCAATTGATGCAATAATATCCTATAGATAAAAAGGATAATTAAACATTTTTATAGTAATATTATATTTTTAGAAATAAAAAAGGAAGCAGTATAGTTAGTTATCTTATCAGAACAATAATTGTAAGTTAACAGCACATGAAATGAATGCTAAATACCTTGAGTATAATAACTCATTTGCACATAATTCGATTTCAAAATGGAAAACTAAATATTTAACACACAAATAAATGGAAAATTTAAAAAACGAACATAAAACAAGATGTCAAAAAACATTTGTTTTTATTGAAGAAGAAATTTTGTAAATATATTGTAAAATTATGAGGGAATAGAAATTAACAATTAATGGAAAACTAATAACAGAAATTTTCATCGAAATCCATAGTTTTAGAGTAGAAAAAAAAAAATAATTTTCAAAATTATCACTTAATATCTTAAATCAAAGCAAAGATGATGATATAAAAAATCACTTTGATGTTGAAATCTTAATTTGAAAAATTTAACTCAATAAGATATTCAAGAGTATAAAGGAAAATGTAAGCATGAATTTCTATTTTCCTCAGGTTGGTTAAGAGGATTTCTGAGAGCTTTAAAATAAAGAAAAGGGTGACAACTCAATATTCTAAAAAATAGTATATGAAATTGATGAAAGTATTAAGACCTTTTTGAATACTCGCATAGTCACATGCATGAAAACGAAGAAAGAAAAGAAAATAAATTTAAATAAAATATATTATATTATATTTTAGCAATACAGCACATTTATATTTTTATGTTTATATTATTAGATGCTTTTATGTGTTTATCATAACTTCTATCATTTTATTAAAAAATTGTTCTGTGCGCTCTCTCTATCTCAAAATGCTTAATTTGGGTTTTAATGTGCGAAAATTTTAAATAACATTCTGCTCATTTAAAAACATAATTATTCTATTTTTATAGTTATTAGATTTATTTAAAACATAATAATATTTATAATATCATAGTAATTTTCAATATTTTTTTAGTTATTAAAATTATTAAAAGTTAAAACTAACTATATTATTATTTCTTATTTAAAAATTAATTTTTGATTGATTTAAAATTTTAATTTTTTTTTAATTTTTAATTTAAAGTTGAGATTCTGATTCAAGATAATATTAGAAGAATTAATTAATTCGAAAAATAATAGGTAAAATATAATTAGATAAATTTATAAAAATTGATTTATTTTAACTAATAAAATAGATAACAGTAGATTGACAATCAACTAAAAGTTAAATATAGCAAACCTGAAATTTAATAATTTATAAATTAAACTCTTCATAAATACGTTTCATAAAAATATATTTTTTATTTTTTTTTTTTTAAATTTATTGATTAATTAGACAATGGTTATTATTTATAGTTTAATTTATTCCTAAAAACTTTGCTTAAATCCTAATCTGAAGTAGATAATCTCTGAAAATATTTTATTTTTAAAACAAGATCTAATGTGAAGAATTTATATACTGTAAATCCTCCTTAATTAACACCAGCTCAAAAAAAAAATTTTTTCTCCGAATATTGGTGAAACTTTTTCAATTTTTAAAACTGGTGTTAATTAAAATTGGTGTTAATTAAGGAGGATTTACAGTAATTTATTATAAATACTATTATCTATCCTGACGATATAATAAATCAAACAAAAAACTTTATAATTTTATAAATATAAGTCAATCAGATTATTTAATTATCTATGCATATAAATATATCTATCTCACTGATTTTAAATGAAAATTATAAAATAATATTTTTTCCTAAAAACTTTCTTCAAAATTGATTAATATTATATTTTAATTTTATTTTATCTTTATTTATCTTCATCACTATAAAATTTGTTTCGGATATAGCTTTAATGATCATGATTAATTTCAGAATAATCATCAAAATGTTAAATATAATACTATTCTTCGAATTCATCCATTTCACCTTCATCAATATAAAATAACTGGAGAAAATTATTATTGATTATGGATTAAAAATTACCCATTTTTAGTCCTGAATTTGTATTTTTTTTGTGCTTTTAAATAAAATTAATTAAAGTTCAAAAAAAATTTATGGTATTTATTATTTTCTAATGTTAAATAAAATTTTATTTTATTAATTGTAATTTGAGTTTAGGTTTTTCAGCATATACTTATCATATAGATATAATTTTATGCTAGTTTTAAAGAAGTTTTAAAAATTATCAAAGTAGTAAAAGTGATAGAATTAGGATGAAACAAGTAAAACCTTCAAGTAATTGTAAATATCCAAACCATTCCGTTTGTAATTAAAATTTAGATGCAACATTTAAAATACAAATAATTATTATAATTGATTAAAATATTAACTAATAAATAAATAAATAAATCTATTTGTCAATAAATAAACAAGAATCATCAACATATTAATTTATAAATTAAATTTTTTTAATATTCAGTTTTATAAATAATTTAATTATCAAGTTTTTAATCTTTATTTCCTATGGCATGAAATGTTTATAATATAATGAATTACTTTAATTTGGCTAATAGATATTATATCCCTGTAAATTTATTTACTTTTTTATAATCATTAATTCTTTAAATATTATACATATAAAGTTGATATTTATTTAACTATAAAAGACTAAAATTTTTATAATTTAAAAAAAAAAATATTTTGAAAAAGAATATATTCATAAGAAGACCTTATTTCTATAGTTAGATTAAAAATCATTATTATACAGTATATTATAAATGCCTTTAGATATAATTGAATTAAATAAATTTAATATAAAATAAAATTAGAATAAAATTATTAGAATTAAAAGCAAACGCAAAGTTCTTTTCCAAAAATTGAAACTATTTGAGAATTGGTAATTAATTTGCCATTTTCCTTATTAATCAAAGTAAAAATTTAGATTATAATTTACTTATATATGACCCTAGCTTTATTAAGTTGATTCAATAGTAGTAAAGTAAGTGAATGAAATTAATAAATGGATCAGGGGTCATTTTATGAGATACAAGTAGCTAAAAATTAAGTAAAAATCAATTATTTTTTTATAAAAGATATTTATTTAAATTTCATATATTAAGATTTAATAGGGATTTTATTTTAATATTTTTTAATTTTTATTACAATAATTATCACTAACAATTTAAAATCAATAAAAAAGTTTAAAGCAAGAAAAGAAAAAAAAAAATGGGTCAAAACTATAATAAGTAGCATCAGAAATAAAAATTAAAGAGCATAACAGTAAATTTGAATGAGTAATTTGTTTTATTTTAGTAAAAAAAAAACTATTTAATTAACTTTCTACATTTTTTGATGAAATAATACTATTAATTTTCATCATCAGTCAAGAGTAGATAAAAAGCTATTTTCATTTTTATTTTTTACTATGATTTCAAAATAAATATGCATTTAAAAATTAATAAATTATTTAATTTAATTTTAATTAAATATTTTAAATTTATATTGATATGATTTATTTATTTATTCCTTTCAAAGAGTAAAATATTTATTATTTAAATAAGTACTGCTCTCATAGATGATTTATCTAATAACAGTTAACAAAATATCACAAATATTATCTTTAGAATGTAATTAATTTTCAAAAAAAATAAATTTTATTTTGTTTTTCCCACCTTTATTATTAGGAATCTTTCTTAATTAGTTGGTGATAAATAACTCTTATAAATTGCAGCGGTGTTGCAAAATTGCAAAAATATCACCTAACTTTGTCTTAATTTGAATTTGAGATATTATGAGTAAATATTTATAGAAATAATTTAAATAAATATTCTCTTTATAAATTTTTAGTCAAGAAAATATTGGAATGTAAGCATAAAAATCTCTTTAAACTGCTTTAGTAAATTGCTAGAATCTAAATTATTTAACCATTGCATTAAAGTAATTTTTAAAAATCTTTAATAGTAAATAATTAATAGTTTTTTTAAAATTAATTTTTAAAGTAAATTGGATTTAATTGAAGGAGATTAATCTCTTATAATTGCTATATAAAATTTAAAAAAATTAGTAAAATGTGTTTTTTTATTAGAGTAAATTATTTATTTATTTATTAGTTTTAAAATTCAAATTTTTTTATCTTAGAAAGAAGGTTAACTAGCAAATTTTATATAATAGTAATTGCATGAATGATTCTGCATCATATAATATTGGAATATAATTACAGAAGTGCTCAAACATACTTCTCTTAAATTTTTTTATTCAGTAATTAATTAAATATTTATTGGAATTTTCATATAATATTGAATTAAAAATATTTATTCATAATTATTTATTTTTTAATAATTTATTAATTTTAATAAATAGCTTTGGATGCACTAATATAAGGTAATAAATTAATAATTTATATTGAATCATTTCATATCATATTTACTAAAGAAATTCAAAATCAACAAATAAATTTGATAGATAGATATATGATTATTCTATGTAATATTATAAAAAAATATTAATAACTTTTATTATTGATATATTCGGACAATCAATCATTAATATCAAAAATGTATTCAACTGATATTGAATAAATATTATTTATATTACAGTTATCTAGAATATACAGGGATAGGAAGAATAGAGCTTAAAAGAAGAATAATTAAAATGTAAAGATTAGTTTAACATAATTAATGATAAATAAATAAATAAAATATCAAATGTATTTATGAATTCAAATAAATCAAATTAATTTTCTATTTTTTAAATTAGTGTATTTTTTATATATATCATACAATTAATTTTTAGACGTTTTATAAATTTTTCTTTTAATATTTTATCCTAACCTCAAGGTTCTTCAGTCAATTTTTTAGGAAGGATTTAAACGAGATTATACGTTAATAAATATATAAATAAATCTAATAATAAGAAATGTCAATTAAAAACTCTATTTTATACTACTTAAATTTTAAGAAACTTTAAAAATTTTTTTGAAGAAAATTTAGCAAGATTAAACAATTATATTAGAAAATCTTAGTTAACATCCTTTATTATTTTGCTAATAAATTAATTTTTCATTATACTTTAGACATATAAAGTTATTGAATTTATTATTTATTACATACAATATAAAATAAATGTAAAATCTAATTTTTGAGATAATAAACTGAGAATGATTAATATTTCTTTATAACTTTTACAGATAAAATATAATTACAAATATTTAATTAATCATTAATGGATGAAGTTATTAATTAATGATAATGCAACTTCTGGTTGATCCATAGGTACCATGTGACCTGCATTATAAACAATGTAAAATGAGAAGTTAGAAAAACTTTTTATTTTTCCTACTTCTTTGCCATTTAATAGGACAGGTTGGTATTATGCTGCTTAGAACTAACTTTTATATTACCAATCTAAGTTATTAGTCCATTGTTCTCCTCCACTATTATTTATTTATTAAGATTAATTGCTATAATAAAAAAATATTATTTGAATAAATTTGATTACATGTAATTGCACATGAAGTCGAGATTACCACTATAGATAAGCACTTTAAGTTTAGCATCGATAACATTGAGAAGATCCTTTGTTGATGAACGATTTTAGAGGTTTTACAAGGCATTATAAACATTGTCAACACAAGCGTTCCATGTTCTGCCTTAGACACCTAAGATTTCTTGAACATCTGCTCTGCTTAAGAATTTTTAGATTCTCAAATCTTAGTCATCGTAGCAGCCACTACCGATGCAAGGAGCTTTGTAATTGTAAACATTAAAGTTGTTGTTTCCTACAATTGTTCCAAAGGGAGGATCGCATGCTTCACTTTAGAATTTATAAGGAGCTCTAACTTTGATAATATATGAGCAAACATCAAGCTATTAAGCAGTAGTATTGTAAGTTGCTTAATCAATAAGGCCTGCTTAGTAAGCATATAAAGCATATGCTGGTTGCTAATAATAAGGATCAACCTAATTTTGTCATTAAAAAATATTTATTTATTAGATTTTTAATATTTTTAATTCTCTTTACAATAAATTCTGATAAAAAAAATAATTAAAATAATAATCTTATTACCCAACCATTACCGATAGCAACACCAACGAAATTTAATTAGATGTCACCAGTGTTGACAAGGTAAGAGCTGATAGCTGGGATATATTAACCTGCATAAGATTCACCAGCAATGTAGAAATCACGACCAACAAATTAAGGATATCTTTCCAAAAACTTGGTGAGGAAATGGTGCATATCTTTTGCAATTTTAACTTCACTCTTGTCTAAATCGTTTTAGCCTACTTTGCTGAGACCAGTTCCTACTGGCTGATCAACGAAGATAACGTTAGCATTAGTATTCCAAGAGTAGGGGTTTGAAGTGAGAGTGATGTTATCAGTAATCTTGTAAGGACCTAATTCTTCAAAGAGACCAAGTAAAGAAGAGCATCCAGGACCACCATTCAACCATAATACAAGAGGATCTGAAGAAGGGTTTGTACGAGACTCAAATAGAATGTAGAACAAATCACTGTCTTTATTTGTCTTGATCAATCCTGGATAGAAAGTTTCATTCAAAAAAATAGGATTTTTTAAGGCAAAAGAGCTGCAAACCAACAAAGTTATTAGTAAAATTTGCTTTACTTGCATTTATAGATATTTTATTTATTTATTTATGGATTAATTTTTGCTATTATTTATTAATTTATTCATTATACGATTTTTAGAAAATAATTTCAAGTTTTAAAGCTACAAACCAGCTTTGAATTTGTAAAAAATAGTGTGGTAAAGAAACAATTGTAATCAATTCAATTAAATTACGCTAACAATAAGGTTTTAAGTTTTAAACATTGCTCAATTATGAAATTATTTGTTTGAAATAAACTATGAATTTACGTAATTAAATAAATGATTTGGTATTATTAAATTTAGCATGATAATAAACAATAACAATCTTTTGATTAATTTTTCTAAGAAACATCGCATTTTTAAATATTAATTTGTGGGAAATATTTTGATTTGAATTATTAATTAATAGAAATTTATCAGATTTTTAATATCAAATTAGGCAAATTTTTGATATCCTTTAAAAACATTCTGTCTACTTTTTGGCAAAAGAAAATTTGAAAGTACTTAAAAATAAAATATATTTAAAAATTCAAATTATTTCTCTTTAAAATAATAAGATTTAAATTTTTTAAATGCTAGTTTTTATGAAAGCTATAAAAATCATTTAAATTATTTTGAAATAGCGCTTTTTTTGAAAGATACTACACGATAACTAGTAATATATTAGTTTAAAAATTGAAGATTTTAAATTTCTGATACAAGATAGAACATACAAAAAATCAGTTAATAAATTAGCTATTTTTTCAATTTTAATTTGCAAAATTTGATCTAATTAATTAATCGTCGATTTAAATAAGAAATTATTCATTAACCTTTACTTTCTATTTACTAGAAATCAAACTAATTATCAAAACAATAAAAGAATTTGAAAAATCAAGATTGCATTTATGGATTATTCTAAAAATTAATTTGGTCCATAAACAATTTTTAATTTACAATTTGAAGGGATAATCACTGATATTTGACTTTTATAACAAATTTACTGTGGTTATTATAAATGGTTTTGCTTATAACATAAATAAATAAAAATAGAAAAAGTAATTTACTAGTAGTTCGATTTTATCTTTCATTCATTTTCCAATTATCTTTTACAAAGATTTATGCTTATTTCAAAATAAAATAAAATTCCTTATATACTCACTAATGCACTTTGTAAAAATAAAATATATTCTACACATAATTTAACTTGAAATTTTAACACTAACTTTGATGGCTTTTTAGATTCACTTTATAAATTTATTCAATTGCTTTATGAAATGATTAAATATGGTGATTTTTTCAAAATTTGAAATTTAATCAACCAAACAAAAATTATATGATAATTAGGATGTTTCTGTATCAAAAGACAGAAAACAACTTATTCCAAAATATTTTTCTTTATTTAAATGAAAATTGGATAACCTATAAAAAAAGTAAACTAATTAACAACGTTTTACATTTGATTAGAAGTTTTGAGCTATTTTTTAAAATATATTTTAACTATTCAAAATAAAATAAATATATTTTTTTTATTAAATTTATAATAATTAATATAATTTTTTTAATGATTAGTTTTTGATGAAATTATTAACTGTTGAATAAATGAAACAAAAACAACTTTTAGATTATTTAATTTTATGAAAGAATAAAAGCGAATGTAATTTGTAAAAAATCAAATAAAAAAATAGCAAATTAGTTATGAAAATTATTTTTTTAATCAGTGGAATTTAAAAATTGGTATCAGTTATATAATTTGTGATCAAAAATCAAATAGATTGACCTTATTCTATTTTATAATGACCACATTCATGAATATTAATACAGGCCAAAGTTGAGAATCAAAATTTTGATTTTAAAAAATGGATTGATACTTGATTTACATTCATTTTTTATTGATTTTGAAACCTTCGATTCCCAATTATGTTTATAACACCTTTCATTTCATAAAAATTTTCCATGAAAATATTTATTTAACTGTTTGAGTGTAAATTGGATTATAAAGATTCTATAAAAAAAATAATTCTATTTAAAAATATCAACTTATATTTGACAGGAAAGAAGTAATATTTTTTAACCTTTCAATAATTATTAGATTAATTAAATTACATGTAAAATATTTATAAAAAAATATATAATAATATTTATTTATTTCATAAAAAATTGTTTAAAGTTTTGATTATCTTTAATTTAATTTATTTTAATTGATATTTAGAAATTTATTTTATTCTTTTAAAGATCTTTTAATTAAATTAATCAAAATAAATTGGTTGGAGGACTGTAGTTCTCTGGTAATTTATCAGAAAAGACTTATGATTTTAATTAAGGATATTCTCCATTCAAAAATATTTGCTTCATTATAGGGACTGCTACATTGAGAACATAATCTTCAAACTAACTATCATATTCCATTTTACATAGTTAAGCTAATGATCTAAAATATAAAAACTCATTTAAACCAACAAACAGTGATACTTTAAAGAAGTCTCTACAATCTCCATAAATAGCTTTGGTAGTAGATAACTCTTATTCATATTCTTTCATCATTTCTTCTTAAGTAGGTAGTTCAACTCTACCAGTTAAATATTAGCAAGCTGCTATTGATTGTCTTTCAAGTCCTTATTAAATAGATACAGTATTGGTTATACAGCCTAAGAATACAATTTATGGCTCTTTTATGCAAAACATTTTTTTATAAAGAGGACCAAAACAATTTCTTCTTGAATTTTAGCTTTGAAACTCAATTAAACTGTCAATATTAGAGTATTTTTCTAAAAATGGATAGGAATATTAATATCCTGTTGTATATAAAAAGCAGTCTATATTCTCAATCTTTTCACCTGATTGAAGTTCTACTGAATTGCTGGAGTCAAATTTCTTGATGTAAGTAGGCACAAACTTTAATTTATTACTAGCAAATTCCTCTTTGTAAGAAGTTGATTTTTGGAGTATTGAAATATGCTAGGCATTTCCAATCACAGTTATTTATTTTGGCTATTTGCTTGGCTCTGTTTTTTTTAGGAGAATCCAGACAATATCTTAAGCTGAAAGAGCGCAACCATATACTACTAAATGTTTATTCTCATAATTTTTCATGGTTTCCTCTCTAAAATAATGCATATGAAGTTTATGACCTTTGAAAATTTCTTCATTTTCTATTTATGGCATGTTTGGTTTCTATAAATTAAAAATTATAATTATATTAATTTCATTAATAAAATTTGATATACCGATGTTCTGCCACTTGCAACAATCACGCTGTCAGCTTAAATGTACCTAACATTATCTTGATAATCTTAACTTGAAGATATTTCAATTAAGAATTTTTTGTTAACTTCGAAGCCTATTTATTTTCTTTCATCTTCAGATAAATTTTTAGAAAGTCTCACAACTTAAACATAAGTTTTAAAGAGCATGTGCTTCTTTAGATTAAAATGTTAACAGTAATCTTAGAGATACTCAAAGAACTGCACACTTGTCATAAATTCATCGTACTATTACTTTACAGGAAAGCCTTTGTAAGTCATTAAAAACTTTGGTAAGTTTGTAATTAAATTTTCATACATAGATGAGTGCAAAACACCTAAATCTTTGTAAAAAGCATTCTTTTCAAGATTAGGATGATTTAATTCATTTAGATTGTCAAAATGCCAGAGTCCTCCAATATCTTCCTTTGCATCAACGCATAATATATTAGCTTTATCTTACAAGTGCTTAACTGATAAAATTCCACAAGGACCAGCACCAATAATGACAATACTCTTTTAATGATAGTTAGACTTATAACGAGTTTCAGGGTTATTTTCCATTTTTTATTTGTTTTTTTATAAATTCTATTTGAAATATTTAGATTAGTAATACTTAATAAATCTATCTTTAAACTAGTTTCTTTTATAGCAAATTAATACAATTTTATAATGTAAGTAAAAATTATAATTAATTTAATTTTGTATTCTGATAAAATTTGTTTTTTAAACTGATAAATTTTATTAATTAAGATGAATGAAAATAAATTTTATAATGTAAACTCAAAAATTAATGAAATTTAATTTCTGATAAATTTTATAGGGTTAAAGATTTTTTAGTGAATGAAATTAATTTTTACAAATAGATTTTTAATTCTAGCAGTAAGCACTATTTTTATATTTAAAATTGTATATATTTTATGGAGCTTTATAAATATTTTGGTGTTTTAATTTATTTTTATTAAAATTAGAATACAAATTTTATCTGCTTAATTAATAATTTAACAATTATTACTTTAAAAAATTTTTAGGTGGAAATGTATAATAAAATGATAATATTTAGCTCTTTTTTTGAATTCAACAAAATTATTAAATTCAAATAGTTATTTAAAAATAATAATAATATGCCTTTAAAATGCAAAATAATATTCACCAAATATTGTTTGAATTAATCCAACAAGTTTAAGTAAATATAAACTTTTAAAAAAATATTAATACAAAATAAAACAATAATTATTTTGATTACTTTTTCGAATCTATCAAAACTCATTCTCTTAATCAAATTTTTTAGATTTAAATTATGCCTATACTAACTAATATATATGTTCTTATCAGTAATATTTAAAATTTTATAAATTAATCTATTATAAAATTACTAAAATTAATGATAAATAAATGACCTTATTAATATTGTAAGAAATTAAAATATATTAATATTTTAAATGTTAATATAATTTATAGAGTAACTTTTAATAAATTTTAATTTCAATTAATTAAAGTAAAAATAAGGGCTAGAAAATAATTCAATAAATAAATTTCTTCAAGTAGTTAATTAAAACATAGAAAATGTTATGAGAAAGATTTTTTTAAATTATTAAAATCAAAATTTTACTTTAAATTACAGATACCGATTTTTTATTTTTTTATAATTCTGCTATTGATCATTATTAAGAAATTGTACATTATTAATTTATATATTTTTACTTTAAATAACAAACATAAAAAATATTTATTTTGTTCTATTTCTATTATTTCAAAAAAAATTAAATAGCAAGTTTAAAATTTTTTAATATGCTAAAAAGATATCAATAATTCTTTTTTAAGATTTTAAAAAATCATATTTGAAGATAAAAATGTCATAATATACTAATTATAAAAGAAAATTTTTATTACAGGATTAAAAATTATTAAAATATATCGATTTGTTAAAATAATTAATATTAAGTTAAGATCAAATAGATTTTTGTAATAAATTGCTTTCTATAAAAGTAATTTGTTTAATTAAAGCTTCAAAGTGAGGGTGGGTATGATCTACCAAAGAATGACCCTCTTCGCTGAATAGATATGTCTCAATTTTATTTTTATTAAATACATTTTGAGCATGAAAAGCAATACTTTATTAGTAAGGAACTCTCTTATCTTTAACTCCTACTAAATTTAGAGTAGTCACTTTATTTATAAGGCTCATAGGAGATTACTCAAACATTAATTTATAGTCATCTCCTGTTAAGTTCCAATTCATTTCCGTTCCAAGGCATTCTGCTAAGGACCACTCTGGAATATCTAAATTAAAATTGAAAAAATAAATTTTAAACAAAATTAAATTTTATTTTATTTATTTATTTATTTATTTATTTATTTATTTATTTATTTATTATTACCTGATGAATTCAATGAGAATGGGAAATTTAAAACAGCATTGCATATTACACAGCAATTAAACTTTTCTGAATGCTAAGAAGCAATCATAGCAGCTAAATATCCACCATAACTGCCTTTATTTAATATAAATAAATTAATTCGTTTATTTAAGATAATGAATGAAATTTGTATATTAATTATTAATATAAAAAAATAATTATATTTTATATAGTAAGTACCTCCACTAATCACTACTTTATTTTTGTTGCAGATTTTCATATCGATAACTTTATCTATCATGCCTACTACTTCATTTGAATCAACTTTTCCTATGTTTTTAAGTAATTTATTTATAAAATCCTAACCAAAGCCTGCAGAGCCTGTAAAATTAGGAAGAAGTAAAACATATCCCTAAAGCAAATAGTATAAATTAATAAGAGCAAACTCTCCTCCATAAGTTGCATGAGGTCCTCCATGAAGATCTACAATGAGAGGTCTATCTTCATCTTTATAGTTTAGTGGATTTAATTTATCATTATTGTTGAAAAGTTGTGCTAATTCTGAAGGGATTTAGTCTCTGTTAAATTTTTTTACTCTAAGTAAACAACCCTAAGCATCTCCAGACTAGATAACTTATTCTTCAATAAAATTCAAAGCAAAATTTCTCAATTTTGAGAAAATAGAAGAAGTATTACTTGTTAAAGAAATATATTACCATTCAGATTTATGAACGATTTCTTCAACATCACCAATTAAATTGAAATTTTTTAGATAAGCTATGCATTTTGGTTCATAAATACTTACATAGGAAGCAAAAAGTGTATTATATCTAGGATTGTAGTGAGATACGATAAATTCTTCAGATAGAATCTTATTTTCTTTAAATTTAGCTATTTTTTTAGTTTTTGTGTTGACAATATATGAACTTGTAGAATGTCCAATTAAAGATGAAAATACATAATGAATGTTATCATTAATCCAAAATGAATTTTTTAAGTCTTTAGAATAATTGCAAACTCCCATGAATTCTCCTTTATCAGCTAAATTTTCATTCTTTATTAACAAAATTTCTTCAATTTACCAATCTTCTGTGTTAATAATTTTTAACGAAAAGTAATTAAAATGAGTTGGATTAAAAGGTGAACCAAAATAAGCAATTTTTTTTCCATCATAACTAACGTTAGGCTTTAAAGATATTTCATCAACACTGATCACTTTACAGTCAAATTAGTCATTCTATTCGTTTTATTTAGCTTTTATAATATATAAATTTGATTATTTATCAGTTTATTTTAATTTAAAAGTGAAATAAAGATTAAGCAATTTTTTTTTAAATATCATAAATGCTCAAAAAATTACTTAAGTTTATTTAAAAATTTTAAAAAACTTTTGAAGAAAATATCAAGATAATTTTCAAAACCAAAGCTTATTGTAATCTTCATAAAAAATGATAAATTAGATTATCTATCTTTTTGATAAATTTAATTTTTTTGTTTTGCTGATAAATTAAAATTTCTCAATCGATATTTTATTTTACTTAAATATTTAATTCAATCATTCAAAAACTAATTTAAAAGTTTTACTAAAATGAATCAGTTTTTGTTTTGAAAAATAAATTTTGTTTCTTTAAAGATAGATTTTAATTTAATCTTAATTTTGAGAATTATTTAAATTAATTTAAAAATTTAATTAAAAAACCAACAACTTTAGATTAAATTTTTAATTTTATTACTTTAATCATTATTAAGCTTAGGATAGAGCTGAATTCTTTATATTTTACTGATATAGTAGATATCTATGTATCTGTTTATAACTTAAATAGCATATTTAAATTCAGGATGAATTTTATAACCTTATAATACTATCTACTCTCCTTTATCATCTAAATATTAAGGGTAGCAAGGGAATATATTATCTGGAATTTTTATCTCATTTAAAGTTTTTTTTTCAACATCATACTCAAATAAATGCACTTTATTGAAGTTATCCATGTTTTCACCAAAATCTTGAACAAATTTGAAGTTTTCAAAAGCATCTGCCAAATCTTTTTCATTTTCTACTTCAAAGAAAGATTTAGTTGTACTTTCGTTTACCTATCAAGATATTAATTCTGAATTTTAGAATAAAAATTAAAATGGAAATAAAAACCTGAGCCATATAAAGGAACTTAGTCTCCAATCTGTTCCATGAAATTGTGGAGCTTATACTGGCATCATTCAAAATATCTTTGTGAAAGCTAGATAGATTTAACTATGAAACGATGTCTTCGTTTTAGTAAACTTCTAAAATCTATTTTGTCTTTGCTTTGTCTTCTACATCTTAAATGACTACTTTATACGTGTTTTGTGGAGACTTTGATGAAATATTTGTTTTTCTTAATATTGGAAAATCATTGATTTTATTTCCTATTTAACTTTTTTCATGATTAAATTGATAATAATTAGAAAATGCATTTCTTGTATGGTATCTTTGGTTATACTAATACCAATCTAACCTTAATGTATTGTCAGAAATGACCTCCACCTAATCTATCTAATGAGAATTCAAATGAACCTTTTCCAAAAAACTTAATATCAATTTGACTCTTTCAGAGTCAATTTAATTCTACGATATAGAACTCATTAATTTATTTAATTAATTAATATCTACTTTGTTTTTATTTAATTTTACATAAATAAATATTTATATGTAAGTTCTCCTAACTAATTTGGAGATTAACAAATAAATAAATAATTAATTAATCTAAGGATAAGATATCAAAAATACAAATTTTTTCTAACAACAAATACATTAATGATTATTATTTAATTAAATCCATCATTGAGTTATATGTCATTAATATTTATTATATAATTTAATTAAATCCATCATAGAATTATGTTAATTAACATTTTTTATATAGCATTAATAAGTAAAATCATTTCAGTAAGTGCTTTTCTAAAAATGATATTTGTTTAATCAGCGAATCTACAATTGTTGGTAGACTCTCTCTTAGAGCATGATCAGATTCTGGGTAGATGTATGTTTCTATTTCAGTTCCATTATAAATTGACTAGGCATGATATGCTATGCTTTATTAGTAGGGCACTCTTCTGTCTTTAGCTCCTAAAAGGTTTAAAATGGGTAATTTATTTGGTTGACTCATTGGAGAAAATTCAAACATTGTTTTATAATCTTCACCTGTTAAATTCCAGGTCATTTTTTTCCCAAAACATTCAGCTAAACACCAATCAGGGATATCTAAATTAATTAAAGTATTTTTTAAATCAGGACTAAAATAAAAATTCTCATACCTGTTGCGTTAAGTAGATAAGGAATGTTAACTACAGGATTTCTCATAACAGCGCAAATAAATCTTTCGTGATATCTTGTAGACAAAATACCTGTCATATATCCTCCGTAGCTTCCTATTAAAAAAAATAGAAAAAATTAAATAAAAATAATTAGAATAGATAAATTAAATTCATTTCGATTTTACCTCCCATAGTAATTGCTTTTTTTGGATCACAAAGTTTTTTCTCAATAACTTAATCTATCATGTTAAGGATTTCCTTAGCATCAATTTCTCCTATGTTTTTAAGTAGTTTATTGATATAGTTTTAACCGTAACCAGCAGAGCCAGTGTAGTTAGGGAGCAAAATGGTGTATCCTTAAAGAAGGAAGTATAAATGACTGATTGCAAACAATCCGGTTGAACTTGAGTGAGGACCTCCGTGAATGAAAACAATAAGAGGTCTATCTTAATCAGAGTTATTCAAAGGATTTAGTTTGTCGTTATTTTCATATAACTCTTTAAGCTCTTTTGGGATAAACTCTTTATCAAACTATTTAATTCTCCAAAGACAAGCAGTTGACTCACCTGATCTGATAACTTACTCTTCAAAATATTTTAAAGCAAATTCTTAAAGTGAAGGGAATATTGAAGAACTTCCTTGACTAAGTGTAATATATTACCAATCAGCACTCTAAACAATTTCATCTAAGCCTTTTGAAAGATCTAAGTTTTTAAGAAAAGCTAGCTAAGGAGGTCCTGCCATGTTTGTATGAGTAGCAAACAAAGTGTTAAATTTATTGTTATAATCAATCACCTAAAATTCATCCGACTCCGTTTTGTTAACAGCGAATCTTCTAATTTATTTAGTCTTTGAATTTACCAAAAAGGTACCTAGAGAGTGGCCAACAATTGTCGTTAAAACAAAATGGATGCTATCCTTGAGCCAAAAAAAGTTCTTCAAATCATCATAAAACCCACAAATACCCATAAATTCACCTGACTCAGTAAGATTTTCCTTTCTGATAGGAATAATTTCTTCGATACTCCAATCCTAAGTATTAATAATCTTCATTCCCATATAATTCAAATGAGGAGGACTTAAAGGAGCTCCGAAATAGGCAATTTTTTAGCCATCAGGACTAACCATAGGTTTAAAAGAAACTTCGTCTTAGCTGATAACCTTAAAGTTAAGTTATTTTTTTTCATCACTTGCAGCTATTTTTAATAAACATAAAGATAAATAAAAAATATAAATAAAAATTATCTCAAAATTCAGAAATAATTTTATTAATCAAAATAAATAAATAATTATATTTCATCAAAATGAGTGTGAAATGTATATTCATCTTTTAGCTATTTATTTTGATTATTTGATTAATATATTTATTGATGATTAATATTTTAGATTTATTTTATAAGTAAAATAAAAATATTAAACTAAAGAAATTAATTATTTATCGAGTAGTCAAATTATATTTTAAATGAATAAAATTAAAATAAATAATGGTTTTTATTGTTTAAGTTAATAATAATTTTATCTTGTTTTTATTTAATTTTTGATTTATCAAATGATATTATTTTAATTTGATCAATTAATATTAGTTTATAACAAAAAATAATGAAGTAATATTTGTTTTATATTCATTTTATAAGTAATTAGTTGGTTGATTTGATTGATGATTCAATTTAATAATGAAACATATCCATTTTCTTGATGAATGTAATGATATTTTTTTTTAGTTTATTTATTTATGTATGTACTATGTATGAATGATTCAATTTTAATAAATTTTATTCTTTAATTTACAGTTTTTATTATTACTTACTAATTATTTAATGTTATGAAAAAAAAAAATAATTACTATCATTTTTAGCATCTGATGAATTTTTAGCAGGTTTAGGATAGAGCTAGTTACGGTTTAGATTCTATAAGAGGAAAATATCAGATTACCTATTAAAACAGTGTAATATTCCATACCTAAATTCTGGGTGTAATTTGTACCCTTATAAAATAATACTCTCGCCACTCTCATCTAAATATTAGGGATTGCTTGGGAAAATATTTTCAGGAATTTCTATTTATGAAAGAGTTTAACTTTCAATATTGTATTCAAATAAATGAGCTTTTGTAATTCCATTCATACCCTCACCAAAATCAGAATCTAGATTATATGTTCTATTCACATCATCTAAATCTTTATCTTCTTCTACTTCAAAATAGTTTTTTGTTGGCTTAGCCTTTACCTAAATGTTCAATAATTTAAACAGTAAAATAAAGTTGAATAAAATTCATGCATACTTGAGCAATATATAAAAATTTTGTTTCTTTTTTATTCCAAACTATCGCATTTCCAACGATGGGATCATCTAATATTTTTTCATGCATTTCTTAAAGATTAACTTGAGATACAATGTCTTCTCCTTTGTAGATTTCAATCACTGAAAAATTTTTTGTCTTTGTCTTATCTTAGACTGATTATATCACAGCCTTTAATGAGCGTTCAGGTGAGTACACAGATATATTTTTTTGGACCTAAATAGGAAAATCATTCAATTTTTTACCTATCTCTCTCTTGTTCTGATCAAAATCGTAAAGATTAGAGTAATTATATGTTACAGAATCTCTAATATTGTGTTATGCCCAATTAACTTTAACTGTTTTATCAGATATCATTTCAACAGAATTAATAGAATGAGAGCTTTAGAATACTCTCTCTAAAAATTTGGTGAGCAATTTTAGTCTTTTTGAATCCATCCAAGTAATGCAATTGAAAAATATGAACTTACTTTTTGATTATTTCCTGATATGAAATATTGTAAATTAATTATCTCTCTACTAAGTTTTTTTATTTTAATTACAACAAATTAATTAATAAAATATCTTAAGATAAATTCAATTTTTTATGTTAACAAATATTTTTGATGTGGAAAGATTTTAGAAGAATAAAAGAACAAAAACAAATAAATTATTTATAATAGTAAATTTTCCTCCTTAAACTAATAAATATAATTTATGGAGAGGATATTTTTAATCATAAAATATTTATGAGAAGTAAATATCAATCAAATAAAGTTTAGTCTCTTGAAAGTTTTATTAAAAAGTTAATAAACAAACAAACAAACAAAAAACAAATTCTCAAATTTATTTATGTGAACAAAGTTGATTTTAAAATATTTTTGAGAATTTAAAACCTAAAATGAATATAAAGAATATTATTGATTAAAATATTTTTTCAGTTATTTTTTAGTGTTTCAAATGAATTTAAATATAATTTCTATTAAATATTCTTTTATTATAGTTTTGTTTTACATGATAAAAAAGATGTTAGTTAGAGTTAGTTACATGCCAATTAATAAAATGTTATTTAAAAAGAAGAAATTTGATAAAATGATAATTCATTGATTAAAATTTTAATTTAATTTTGATGTGTTAATTAAACTGAAACTATTTGGTTTAATATTCATTAAAACAAATACTAACTAATTATTTCAAACTAAAAATTTATGCTTTAATTAAATTTATTTTATTTAAAATTAAAAATTGAAATTAATTTTTTACTATACTTAGAAAGAGAAATAAAAAAATATATTTATAATTACACTTTTTTGTTGGATTTTAAATCTAAAAATAATTTAACTTTTAATAGATTATAAATTAAGTTGAAAAACACAAAGTTAGTCTAGCTAATTAATTATTAATTTATTAATTTAGTTAATGCTTCTTGAAATTAACTTAATTGTATTTATTATATAATGTGTGTATCTAGTTTAATCAATATTTGATTTATATCAAATTAAAATATTTATATCTTCATAATTACAAATAGATAAATAATCAAATATCTTTAGTTCAATTAGTTTAGCAATGGCAGAGTAAAAACAAACAGAGCAAAAAGGGAAAAAAGTTTCTCTTTTTAAGTAAAAAATGCAGGCTTAAAAAGAATAGTTAAAAGAAAGTTAACCAAGTGTATAATAAGCTTTTGTTACTGAAAATGTAATTTTTATTTCTTATTTTTGTTGCTATATTTGTTTATTAAGTAGAATAATAGCAGTAGCTTAAACAACCAAAATGATTAAGTCACTTAGGTAGCAGCTTTTCCAGAGTCAATTAAACTATCTTAAGAAGAAATTTAGAAAAATTTGATTAAAATAGAATAAGAGGAAGAACAAAAGAAAAAAGAACTTGAGTCTATTAAGAATAGCACTCTATTTGTAAATCCATAAGAGTATGAATAGATAAATAGCGAAAATGAAGCAATCTTAAAAAATATGAAATCAGATGAAATTGAGGCTTTATAAAAGTAATTGTATTCTATTTTGGATCCAGGAGTTATTTCTAGATTCAAAAAGAGAGATCTCTTCAAGATTAATGAACATCCTTCAGCAATTAACGAATACAAGCAGGATGCTTACGGATTAGAAGTTGATCATTTTATAAAAAACAATTAAGAAGAAATCAAGAAAGTGTATGGCATTGAATGTAGAACACCATAAGATGCAGTCAAACAAGCTTGCTTTGATAAAAATGGTAATTTCTAGCTAAATTAAACTCTTGAAAATAGAATGAAGGTAATTTTATTTTAATTCTAATAAAACCTTAAAAAAAAATAAGTAGCAATCAATTTGTTTGACTAATTCTAGCAAAAATCATCTAATTTTAATTAATATTAAAAAAATAATTTTTAAAAAAGGATTTGGAGAACATCGATTTTGATTAAATAGATTCACTTAATTTTGATTTACTCAACTAGCTTATTGATCATGGAAATAGAAATTTCAATTCATTGGCAATAGATGCTATTGAAAGAATAATTACTTAAATGTAAAACCAAATAAAAAATTCAAATTAAGGAGATTTTTTATTTGAGCTACAAGGAATCAAAGTATTTAGACTAGATGTCATATATTACTTAGAATCAGAGTTATCTCTTGCCTTCACATTGTGCAGATGTTTAACCGTTCCTAACATGACTCTGAATCTCAATACTATCACTTGTTTAAGAATTTATCTGCAGTTTATGTTACAAGATGAGCTTAACTATTACAAATAGTTCTTATACAAACTTTAACATTCCGATTCTTAAAAGAAAAAATTCAAAGCAATTACTTAAATTTTCATTGATGAAAATCTTCTTCGTTAGATAAGCTACATTATTAATAACGTATTTCTTTTTTAAAAAAACTTCTTAGTATTAATCTATATTTAAAGCTTATACTAGGTGATAAGTCAGACACATTTTTCATCATGTTTATTGATATACTTGAGAGTCTAATTTGTATAGATCATGAGTATTTCACTAAAAAAATTGTTGATTTTGGCTTTGTCGTAATTATTTTTTTTAAATTAAATTTATTTATTTGAATTAAATTATTGAAATTGATAAAATATAATGTGAATAATTAATTTAATTGAATAGAAATTATTTTTATTAAACTTAAAAATTTTGAAATTTATTTTTTCATTTATTGAAACTTACTTTTTAAGATTTAATTAGAGTTTTTTAATTTCAGTTTTGAAGACAAATTATTAATATAAAATTAAAATTATTTATTTATTTGAATTGAATAATTAAAATTGATACTACAGTGAATAATTTAATTTTAATAAAATTATTTTGATTTGATTTAAAATTTTTGAAACTTATTTCTGCATTTATTGAAACTTACTTTTTAAGATTTAATGAGAGTTTTTTAATTTCAGTTTAAAATTTATTTTATATTTGATTCATTTTTATTTATGATTTCTTGAGACAAAGTATTTATTTTGATTTTAATTTTTATTTGAATAAAGGAATAAATTAGAGCTATTGGAGGTTAGAAATTAGAAGAGAAGTTAGAGTTTTTAAAATTTGAGGTGAGTAGATTGGATTATGTTTATGAAAACATACCTTTGACTTTGGAAACATTTAAATTACTTAGAGAAGCTAAACAACAAATTAGCAATATCACTTTGGAAAAATATAACTAAAGCTTGCAAAAGTTAATTAGTTAGTGGAAGCTTATTAAGATAGATTCCAAAGCATCTATTTAATAGAAAGAAGGGGTTTTAAAGAAAATTAGAGATTTATTGATTTTTGGTGAAAAATTAAATTTTGTAAAGAAAATATCTTTAGAAAAGAATTTATTCAGTCTCAACTCTTCAATTGTAGAAAATACAATTTTATTAATACTTGAATTACATAATGAATAAGGAGAATAAGGATATGCATTGCCAGAAGAGAAGGTAGAAATAAAGCATTTCTTATTTGAATAGAGTGAAACATTAAACAAATAACAATAAGCTGATAATAATTAAAGATAACATTAAGATTTCTAGAATACTTACACTAAATAAGATATTTCTTATTTAATAGAAGGACTTATTTACTCTGAAGGCAAGGGAATTCCCCACTGCTATAAGCATATTATAGATAAAATTATTCCTTTAGATGTCCAAATTATGTATAAGTACCATTATTAGTTAAAAGAAAAGAAAAGCAATAGAATTGCTAATCACTTTTTTTCTATGAAATCCATTATTAAATTATTTATTGCTCTTTACACTGAACTCAGTTTCTAGATGAAATTTGTTATATTGAAAAAGCAAAGAAAAGCTCTGTCAGTTAGGAGCAGCTTTAACGAATGCTTTTCTGATATTCTTCGTGTTATTATTATTGAGTTTGTTGAATTCTTTACTTTAAGTGGTTAAGAAAATTAACAAAATTTAAATGAGTAACAAATCCAGTTATCTTTGAGCTTTATTCAACTTTTATCAGAAATTAAATAAACTGAAGCTTTTATTTCAGTATTAAATATTGTTAAGTAAGTATCCATTAAGAATACCTAAAATGCTTCATTAAAGACATTTGATGCTCTTTGTAACTTTTTTGTGAACATCAAGGCTAAAACTAACTAAAATCGTCTACCTGGAAGATAAAAAGACTTAGAGATGTTCCTCGATAAAATTGATATTTTCTGCTCATTTTTTGAACCTAAATAAGAAAATCTATTTTATTATCATTCTGAGCTCTTTTACTTAAGGGCATGCAAGATATTTGATGATGAAAATCACACTTTCTCTTACTTAAATGTTGATGCTCTTGATAAACTATTCACAAGCGTTTGCTAATACGTTGACCCAAAAATTCTAAATATTTTGTATAACAAAAACTCAGATATACCTCAAAAAATAATTACTAATTTTAATTACAATTCTTATGGCAATCCTGTATTTACAAGAATAGTGTTTTTCTTGCTATAAAAGCCATTTGATCTCAAAATGAAAAAGTAGATTCAAATAATTGCTATTTAATTACTTATTTTTCTAAATAACATTTTTATTTTATTTTCAAAAAGGAAAATTATGATTGATACTGTCTTAAGCTATGCTTTCCTTTTTAGTGAGAACTGCAAAGACAAAGTTTATGGAAAAGAATCTAATTATATAAGAAGATTGAGTAACCCTGAAGACAAACAAATTAAATTAAAAACCGAATGTGAGGAAATAGAAAAGTTTTTAACAATGAATGAGATCGACACCGTTTCTAGATAAAGCTTTTTTAACAAATTCTTGCATTCTTACATATAAAATTCAGAATGAAATCCTTAAAATTAAAATAAAGCACTATCTAAAATAAAGTATTTAAATTCTTAGAATATTTTGAATTGTTTTTTAATAAAAGATAAAATTTTAATTAACTTTATATTTATATTAAATTTTCTAACCTTCTTTTGAGGTTAAGAATAAAAAAAATATTTTAATTGATCTAATTTTTTTACTTCAAAAGAAAAAACATCTTTTAAAGTAAAAATTAATTTGATTATTTTAAATTTAAAAATTGATTTTTTCATCCTAAGTCATAATTTTTTTAAATAATTAATATAATTTTCTTTAATTCAAAATATAAATTTTTAAATTTATCTTTCTATTTAATGATTTTATCTCCTTAATCAAGTCAAATTAATTTGTTATTTAAATAGTATGATTTTATAAATTAAAAAATCTAATTTAGATATAATCAAAAATGAATTTTAGATCAAAAAAAAGAAAGATTAAGTTTAACATTTTTTTAATGTGCTTTTTGGAAAATTTAAATAAATCTTTTTATCAACTAATTTATTTTATGTTAACTTTTTAAATAATTAATTTGTTAAAATATTTGCTTTTTAATTAAGTAAAATTAAAATAATTTTTGAAAATAAATTAAAATTAAGATAATATTTTTTTATTAATTATTGGAATTTTATATAAACAGATACTCAATTAATTAAACATAATTAAAGCTATTGAATCCTTTATAAAATATTAATTCAAAAATTTATATTTATAAAGAGAAACAGTTTTTTTTTTCTTTTTGTTTTATTTTTTTCTAGTTTTTTAGATTACAAAAAACTAATATCAATAAGACATTAATATAACTCAACATTACAACAAAAATAAATCATTTTTATTTAATATATCAATCGTAAATTCTATCCAGATCATAATTCCCAACGCAAAACAAACAAGGATATCAAAGAATACAAATATGCATGAAATAATATTAAAGGAATTACTATTGATAGAATTAACATTTATTTAGCTTTTAAAATATAATTTTAGTACTTTTAAGAATTTAATAATGCCATATTTCAACCGGTTTTGAAAAGCAAAATAGCGAGCTATCCAACATAAAGATAAATATAGTAACTACGCTCAAAAGTGACGAAACTTCCAAAGTTTCTGCCAACAATACAATGCCAAGTTCCATGATAACGAGATCTAAAATCATCCTTAATAAATGTGGCTATTTCTTTATCAGTGTTACAGTAATCGATAGCTTTTTTAGCTACTTCTTCAACTTCCTTCTACATTTCAACACTCATATCAGAGTTCTTAATAACTGGTTAAACTTTATCCAAATGACTCATTACTAAGTTTTTACTAATTATATATATATATTTACTTTAACTATCCTTTTTATTTAATTATTTATTAATTTTTAATAATTCTTAACTTTTTAATTTTCTTTTTATTAATCAATCTTTAGAAAAGCTATTCAATTTATAAAATCAAGTTAGCTATTGAATAATTAATTACTTAATAAATATATAACAATTTTCTTTCAAATCTTTGAATTTTTAAATTTCCCATGGCTATTGATATTTATTTATGAAGTATTCCATGTTTAATATCTTTGCCATTACTTCTAAATTTTATTTTATTTAATTTTTTAATTCAACATCAAAAAACAAACAATTAATAATAAAAATAAAAGGCTTTAAATTCAAAAAAAAAATATTAAACATTTTATTTAAAAATATTGAAATAAAATTGATTTTTCCTAATCAAAATATTTTTATTTTAAATTTTAAAACTGAATAGCAAACAAAAAAATTAGCCTAATTATATAAAATTTGAATCAATTTTAAATTTGATTTCATGGCTTTTAAGTATTAATTTTTATTTTGTTTTGTTTTATTTTATTTTTCTATCTGATCTTATTTTTATTTATTTTTTCTCTCTATCTTCTTATTTTTTCTTTTTTAATTAATTTTTTCTCTTCTTATTAATTTATTTTTATTTCTTTTATCTTTTAAATTTAATTATTTATCTTTTTTCTTTCTTTCTTTTTATTTATTTAAATCTTTTTAAAAATCGATGATGAAGCGATGAAGGAGCATTCAGTATTCTTTCTTAGTATCCGAAACTTATTTCTCAACCTAGTTACTTAAAAAATATCTTTTATATATGTTTAACTAAAAGAGAATTTGCCGTTAGGCTGCAGAAGTTAAATAACTTTATATTGCATATCAATTTATCATATGTGAACATATGTTTTTAAAAACTTTATGCAATTATTTAAGTTATTTAGCAATTTTTCTGCTATTTTGTTTCCGCGAGTTTCAATGCAACAATTAAAGGATATTTTTCTTTAAAAACTTAGTGAAAGGAAGTCTTTTTTTGCCTGAGACTTATCCGAGTTTTAAAAACTTGTTTTTTTATCTTTCAATTATTGCATTGTTTTTTTTTTCCTAAATATTTTTTTCCTTTAAGAAATTTTTGATTAATTTAATAATTATGTGAAATCTTTTCTTTATTAAAAATTTATATTTGGATTTTTTGTAAAATTATAAATGAAAAAATTAATCAATTAATTAAAAAAATTTTTGAGAAAAAAACTTTTGTCTTCAAATCTAATTTCAATTAGTGTTTTATAAAGAAATTAATAAATACAAAAGTAAAAAGGGTTTTTTTTTTAAATATTTATTAAAGTGATTGAATTCAGTAAGTCATAGTTCATATGAAATAGAATAAACTAAACATTATTTAAATAAAAAAACAAAATTATTTAATAAATTTTCAACATGCTTCAAAATAGAATAATTTTTTTAAATAATTTATAAAATAATTTCTCTTTCAGATAATAGCCTAAATATTTCAAAATAAATCTTATGAAAAATGTTAATATTATTAGCTAGGTTTATAAAATATAAATAAATTAATAAAGTAAAATGAAACATTATTTTATTAAAATACAATTTATATATATATAAATAAATATACAATATTAAATTAATAATGTAAAATTTACATTGTTTTTTATTTTTAAAATAATAATTTTGAAATTAATTAAAATTAATTTTAATTTATTGTTACTATATATTTTTTAGTAACACTTTGATTTTGTAAATAGATTTATTATTCATTTATTTGTTGGTTTTTGATTTATTGGTTATTTAGTTAATTGAAAAGAGTTCAAATTTTTTCATTTTTTTATTTATTCTTTAAGTTGGGTAGCTTGAATATCTATTTTTATATTAATTGTTTAATTTAAATTTTAATTTATTTACAAAAAAATTCATACCTTGTTCATTTAATTTATGCCAGATAATGAAAACTTCTCTGGTGAAAGGTTACTCTATCCTATGGCTATTTGCTATTTTGTTTTTCCAGAAGTCTTTGCTTATGCTTGAAGCTTGATATTATTATTAATGGCATTTTTGTTGTAGGGAGTTACAAAACTTGCATTGTTCAATTAATCTACTTCATTTATACTTGGACAAGGTATCTTCAGAGTTTATTTTGCTCTAATTAATTTATAAGAATAATTAATTAAAATTTTATAAATAATTTCTTTCAAATTTACATTTAATATTTGGTTTGAGCTTGTCGATATTTAATTGGTGGAGAAACTGATGATTGGTTTCTCGTGCGAAATAGATCGCTTTGCATTTTGATTTCAGACTGAGTAATTTAATTTATTATATTATTTGTGTAATTTAAAAAATTTAAACCTGATTTATAGTTTGAATCAAATGATCTATCGACCTGAGAGTTACCTTTAACATTGGTGTTATTTTTAGAAGAAGATAAAGCACTTTTGAAATTGCTTCCTAAAAAATTTATCCTTTTTGAGAAATCATCGACTTGTGAATCACTCATATCGGCTATATTAACAACAATTTCATTATTTTTTTATTAGTTTGAGTTCTCTTTTTTGTTTGCAGGCAATTCTTAGAAATCTTCTTAAGTTTACTCTTTCTTAGTTAATTTTTCATTTGGTTAAGTATTTGAAAGGCTTTTTACTTGCTGTTAGAGCTGTGATCCTGAGTTTTATTGTTGATAATTTCCAGCTAGATTCAAAGTTTGTTATAAACAATTTACTTGTTTGATTGAATTGAATCTGTGTTATCTATTTATTAGGTTTCTACTTTCATTTTCCTATGAATGATTTTTAGTTCTTTGTTTACTCCTTTCAACTTATGAAGAAATAGCATTTTAAGAGTTGATTTATTTTTCTGAAATCATTTAAGGCGTTGCGGAATTCCTATGATTTTGAAATGCAGGAAAATCGCTGGTGTTCAAGAGTTAATTTGGACTCCTTAAATTTTAATTCTAAATAACTTCCGATTCTATAATTTTTTGCTTGATACTCATAGAATTGAAGTAGTTTTACAATTTTTCCATGTATTTGTTATACTCTTCTTTATCTAATAGAGCTTGTTTAGATTTACCTGCCCTGATTACGACTTAATTAAAAATCTTTTTATTGTCTGTTTCTTCTTGAAATTGGTAATTATTTTATGATGATTGAAAATACTTATCAAAATATTCTGTTGGAATATTTGAACTTACATCACCATTTGAATTAGAAGAATTAGATGATGTTGACGAGACAGTTTTTTCATGTTATTTAATTTGCAACACTCCATCTGAATGAGGAGGTTAATTCTTGTCATTTTAAGATTTGCAATTATTTTTTCTTTTAGAATTAATTCTATTTATATCAATTTATTAATTTTATTGCTAATGAATTAATTATATTTCATGCTATATAAACTCCCTTATTGTAGCTTAAGTAACTGTGGTGGAAGTCGTTTTAGTTGCTTTTTCGTTTCCAAAAATAGGATTGTTTTCTTAATAATACGAGCTCGCTACTTATTATTTTACTTAGTTTATCTAATCATTCAATACATTTAGAGAATCTTGATATAAAGACTAGCTTCCTCTCTATCGCATCTAGGAATAGTTTTTAGTTGGGGACCTTTATTAGCTGCTGTTTTACTATTGAAATGAAGTTTAATTTTTTTGATCTATCAGCATCTTTTTAGAATCTTCATTAAATGTAGATTGCTATGAATTTTCATAAAGAATAGAAGGCTCATTGTAATTTGTGTTAAAATTTTAGTAATCATTTAAAATCTTTGAATCTGGAATAAAGTTTTGTTAAGTAGAAACTGAAAAAGTATTATTTAGACTTAAGAGATTCTAATTTTTGGTTGGTTATTAGATTGGTATTTATTGCTATATTGATAAAGTGTTGCTTTACTTTTAATTTATTAACTAAAGTAGCTTTTATCGTTATTCTGGATCTTAAGGACTATTATTATTGTTATTATAAATTGTTGGAGAAAAAGAAGGAATCTTTGTAGGATATAAAGATAGTTACTGAATCTATCCATTATAATTTTGATTGTCTACATCTGTAAGACATCTTTAGCGTTTTGATTATACTCTATTTAAATATTACTACTGCTGATTTACATTTTACTAATCCGATTGTTTTTAATTAGACGACTATCCCATTACGATAACCACATTTCCTTTTTAGTAATTATTTTAGCCACCTTTTTTAGTATCAACAGGTGATCGCTACTGATAACCCTGCTCAGTAGGTGATTTATTTTACATATATTCTTTGCCACTGAGAATAGTAGATGAAATATTAGACAAATTATTGGCAGGTGTTACATACACATTTTTCTTAGATCCTACAGAAAGAATATTCTAATTTATTCCCTACAATTATTCAAATTGAGGCTCTACTTAAGTTTTGATCAAATTAGAGCTCTAAGAAGTTTCTTCATGCTAAGATTAATTTCTCCTACAAGGAATAAAATTATTATCGACATCAAAACTTTATGCAAGTTAACAGTTCCCACCTAAGTTGTTGATTCCTGTTGATCCACTAATTGAGTTATTATTTTGCTTGTGTCTTTGAACCTTTGATGCATTAATAAGAGGACCTCTGTTTTGAATATTTTTTTTGAACTTATTTTAAGGAGAAGTGTTTTAAACAGGAAGATTAAATCCTGTGTACTTTTTAGTCATACTGTCTTTAATATTTAAAGGCCAATCTATATTTTCTTTCAGATTAAAAATTCTCATTTGTTCAATTTTCGAAAAAAAATTCTCATTAATTAGATTTATAATGTTTTTAGCTTTGCTGTACGACTGAGCATCTTCTTACCTTATTCTATCTGATCTAGCAACTTCTGCAGCAGTTTCTTTTCTAATATTTTCTATATTGCTATAAGAAGTATTTGCAATTCTTGAATAAGGATTTTTTTCATAAACATCTAACAAACTAATTAATACAGCTTTGCCTGATTCCTCAAACATCTAAGGAGTGAAGTAATTAACGCCTCCTTCACCATTTTGAATTTAAAAATTTTATAACGTTAAATTTTTATCATTTTCATCTAGCTTGTATTCCTTTCCCTCAATATTTACTTTAAATTCCCCATTAGAACACGGAGCTATAGGATTCAATTAAGTAGCATGATGGAAGCCACATTCCAAAGTATAACTATGCACTATCCTTGAAGTTTAATAAACAAAAACTCTGCCACAACCCTCTTTTGTTAAATCATCTTATCTATCCTATTTAAATATAAATTGTAATTATTAAAATGAATTCTTTCAAAAAATTCTTGAAAATTAAATATCTATTTTTATTCTCCTAATTCAATAAATAATATATTTAATTTTTTTATTATTTCTTAATCAAAAATTTCTTTTGACAACCATAGTTTTCTATGTTTAATTAAATCTAATAATTTTAATTTGATTTCCTTTTTATTTTTTATTTAAAATATTTTTGTAAGAACCATTTCAGTCATTTAGCCATTTCCAGCCTAGTGAAATATATCTTATAAAATTATTAAAAAAATATTGAGTAATTACTTTGGATTTCATTTAGGCTTTTGAAAAGTTGCAATAATTGTATTCGAAATGTGGATCGTTAATTGCCATAATTTTTGCGAAGACTTGATTTTCTACTTGCTGAGAGAATTCTTCAATAGCATTTCCATAAAGAAAAGTTCCTTTTTTTCCTGCGTGAGAATGAAAATCCATATAGAAAAAAAGCCTTCCTTCTAAAGAGAGCTAGCAAATAATTTTTTTCATGGCATATATGGAAGGTTATTTTGAGTTATTTGCTACTTGATAAAATCTATTTAAATTTTAATTGTATATATCCATTCTATAGTGACCACAATAAACTCCATCAGGATTCAGCATTGGAACTACCCAAAACGTAAAATATTTTCTTAATAAAACAGCTCTGAGGTCATTTTTATTTAACAAAAACTTTAGAAAACCCTCTAGTGCAAAACTGGCTGGAGTTTCTCCAGGATGCACTCTTGCACTTATAAGAACAATTGGTTTGTTAGGCTTGAACCTTTACATAAAAATAAAGAATAAATTATGCCAAAAAGATTTAAAATTACCTAACAGCCCTTTACTCAAAATCTCTTTCTGGAAATAAGGCATCACTGATATAAGATTCTTTTTACGGTAGCTTATCATCATGAGATGATATAGTTAGGAGATTGATGAGCCTTAACTAAGGTGTGTAAGTTAAAATTTCTCTATTGAAATAGATATCTGGATCATTTGAATATTAATTAGCTAATTAATCTATAAACTCAATATTTCTTTAATAGGAATAGGGATAACTAAAACTAAAATAGACGTTTTGATCTTGAGTTGTTGAGAAGTCAAACTAAAAAGTTAGTTTTAAAACATTATCTTTTTCATCATACTAATATTGTAATATATATAAATATATTAGCCTTAACAAAATATTCATAATCAAATAAATAAATAATGTGTTATGAGGTATTTTATTATTATTTATACTAATCAAAAACCATATTTTAAGCATTTTTAAAACTATATTTAAATTATTTATTTATTTTTTTCCATTTTAAATTTCATTTTTGTTAAGAATTTTCTACTTTATTGTGAAAAAAATTTATATTTTTGTTTTTAATACATTGCTTTTTATAATCGTTAAAATAATCATCTTAATCAATCATCTAAGAAAATATTTTTTACAACTAAATTTATGGGTCCTTTAAATCTGCTAAACTCCCCTTCTTCTCCTACTCTGAATACTGGTCTGTATGAATTTATATTGGCATTCTATATAACGTTTATTTTATAAGTCAAAAGGTGAGAATCTCTTTTACTCAAAAATTAATATTATTTTTACCGACCATAAATTATATAGCATTTTTAAACGAAGGATATTAAATTTTGCTTTACAATTCAGTCCTGTAACACTAAAATAAAACCAACTTTTTGACCATCCTTCTGTCTAGCTTGTTAAGTCAAAATCTGGAGAAGTGTCTATTTCAAACTAGGATAAAAATTGTATTTAAGTAAATATTCTACTGCTTTTAATAATTAATTTAAGGAGACATGATGCAAATTTAAAACAATAGGCATCAATTTAAAAAAAATAAGTTTACTTCTGTGTTAGAAAGCATCACTACGTTACCACAGTTTCCAGAATCAAAATTGCTAGAAAATTTTACTTACCTTTCGTTGGAAAGAGTAAATATATATTCATTATGCTATGGGATATTTTGCTTACATTACATATTCTTACTATTATTTTTATATTAAAGAAAATTTAGTAAAGTTATTATTTGCCGATATAATAAATATTAATTTTTGTTGGTGATTAAGCTTATAAGTATCTCCTTTGTATTCACTAACCAAATCTCATTTAATATTTTAAAGATAAACAAATAAATAAATATATAAATAAATAAATGAAATGAAATGGTTGGTAACTGACTGAAAAATTTTTTGCAACTAAAATAAACAAAAATCAGGCTAAAAAATATTTAAGTATCAGATAAATTGGATTTATGATTTAAACCCATTTGAGAAATAGTTGTGTTCCAAGATTTATAATTAGCTTTTATATCCAAAAAAACAAGCTATAAAACCAAGTAAATAATCAATTTTAACATTATTTTTATTCATATTATCTACTCTATATCTTATCTCAATTTTCCATTAAAAAAAGTATACTAACACAATTAAATTATTATTTTTAAAATTCATTTCCTAATCTAATTTTTCATATTTTAAATGTTTATAATTAAATAAATTTTTTTTGATAAATTGATAGATAAATAAATAAATATTTAACAAAAAAAAAACTAGTAAATTTATTACTTAAATATATTTCCTTTTGTTAAGAGATATTTAATTAATTAATTAATTATTTGTTAGATTGTTAACATATTTCTCCTTTTTATTATGTATTTATATACCAACAAAATTATCAAATTAGAATTGGATTTTGATTGTTAAATTGGCTAATTTAATAAAATAATTAACTTTATTTTTATAAATAATTAATTAAATTACTAAAAAATATTTACAAAAAATCTAAAAATATTTATTAAATAAATATAAATAATTTAAAAAATACCTGCATAAATCATAAGATAAATAATTTTATTTTTAATTCTTAAAATAATAAAAATATATTTTAGAAAGCAAATAAAAAAATTTTAAATTTGTAAATAATTCAAGAAAATTTACTAATAAAAACAGTTGAAATAACCATAAAATATTTTTTGTTTCAAAAAAAGATTGTTCTTAAAATATTTTTTATCTAAATGTCCGTTTTTAGATATGAATATATCCTATTTTGAACTTATTACTGATATTATTTAATCAATTTCAAAAAAATTAAATTCATTTAGATTAATTTTGTTACTAAGTAGTAGAGCTTAACAATAGTTTTTATAGTTAAAAATAAAATTATAATGTCAGAGAATAAGGACATTCCCATATATAGGATAGCATTACTAGGAGTTTCTAAAGTAGGAAAAACTCAAATAGTCAATTAGTTTGTTAACAACTGCTTTAATCCAAATCATGAAGAAACATTTTAGGATACTAGGCCATATAGAAAGTTACTCAATTTAGGTACTGATAAGAACCCTATGCACGTTTTATTAATTATAGAAGATATGTAAAATAATAAAATAAATGAATTTAACTAAATAAAATGTATTTTTATTTAGATTCGCCACCAATCACCCATAGATTGAAGCAAGCAATGGTAAGGAAGACAATCCTGTTGAAAAATTATTTACTTCAATAGTAGATAATGCTATGATGAAAGATAAAAAGGAAGAAGATAAAAAGTTAAATAGAATATATGCAAATAAGCAAATTTATGGATATATATTTGTATTTGATGCAAGTGAATCAATCAACTCAGACAGCAACAAATCCTTAAAATTAGTAAAAGCTTCTTTCGAACTTATATTTATTTTAAGAGACAGGAATTTTAAATAATTTCTTTTAATTTTAATTGATTGATAGTTGGAACCTGTAATAAAATTTATTTCGAATGCTGAAAGTAGAGGTGTAAATGGCGATTTTGTGACTAAAAAGATAATTGTAGGAAATAAAAAAGGTAATTATTAGTTAAAATATGGCAAATATCATCAAGAAGTATTGTAAAATAATAATAGAATTGCTTTCAGATATAGAGCTTAGTTAGTTGAAGTAAAATTAGACTTTGAGGGAATTAGGTATTACATACAAGTTTGTTTCTGCTAAATATAATGAAGATATCACCACTATTTTTTAAGAAATCTGCAAACAAATATAAGAAGATCCTAAAATTTAAACTCTTGAGGAGGAGTGGCAAAAAGAAATTAAAGAAGGTGATAAAGAAGATGAGGGCAAACAAAGCTCTTTTAAAATGGGTTTTGGTAAAAAGAATCAACAAGACGATGATGACGACGATGAAAACAGAGATGTAAATATCATTCATATAAATTAAAAATTTCATTAATTTTATATCATTTTTAGCTTTTGGAAATTTTCAAAAATCATAAAAATTTAAAATAATAAAAAATAGTCATCAGGAGACAAATCTACTTTAGATAGTGATTTTTCATAATTACCTATTTATTAACCCCAAGGGTTGCAGGGTTTAGATACTAATTGCAATATTTATTGAATAAAATATAAATTAAAGATATTAAATAAGGTAAAATTCTCCTAAATACCTATTTACTAGCTTCAAATTAAATAGGGTTAAGGTACAAATAAAAATAAATTAATATTCATAGAATCAAATTTAAATTAACATATTAAAAAATATATTAATCAAAGTATTGTTGAATCAGTAATTTATGCTAAATTGGTTATATTATTTTTTGGTCTTGCTTCTTCATATATTTAGTATAGTATAAATCAAAATATTGATTTTTTTAAAAAACTTTTAACAAAATAAATAAATAAATAAATAAATAGCTATAAATTTTGGTAGTTTTAAAACATGAGAATGGATTTTTTTAATAAAATTATTACTAGCTTCAAATTAAGTAGGGTTAAGGTACAAATATAAATTAATATTCATGAAATCAAATTTAAATTAACATATTAAAAAATATATTAATAAAAGTATTGTTAAATCAGTTATTTATTTATGCTAAATTGGTTTAATGTTTTTTGTGTTGATTCTTTGTATATTTAGTATAATATAAATGAAAATATTGGTTTTTCTTTAAAATGTTTAACAAAATAAATAAATAGATATGAATTTTGGTAATTTTAAAACATGAAAATTTATTTTCTATTAACATTATTTAACATAATTTATCGTACTTCATAAATAAATAAAAAAAAATAAAATATTTATTATTTAAATTGTTTAAAATTTGATAAAATTTACTTTAATTTTGAATTAATTTATTTTAAATATTCAAATAAACATTTGGAAAAACACTTTGTTGTTTGACTCAGATTAAAATTGTTTTTATCTAATAAATTGAGAGTTAAAGCACATTCTAACTTAAGAGAATAAATATCACTTAGTTACTCTTAATATTTTAAAATTTAACTAATTTGCTTATTCATTCATTTATTTTATCGGCCTAGTTATTCTTCTGACAATTTATTATTGTTTGAAATTTAATTTTGCTAGAATAAATTGATTGATTAATTAATTAAATAATAAATAAATTAATTAATTGCATATTTTTGAAGATTTTAGTTATTATTATATACAAATTTAAAGAGAACTAAATAGATATTTTGATTGATTTTTGAAAATGGAAGAAAATTAAACAAAGAAAGAAAAATTTAATATTTGTATGTGCTGTGATTTCTTTTACCCTAGATTGGGTGGTGTAGAAATGCACATATTTTAATTATCTTTAGGTTATTTATTAAATACTTAATTACAATTGATGAATTAATTTGGATTTATCTAAAATTAGAATTAATTAGACTAGGTCATAAAGTTATTATAGTAACAAATACCTATGGTAATAGACAAGGAGTGAGATATATCACAAATGGATTGAAGGTATATTATACACCAATGACACCTTTTACAGATTAAGCAATATTCCCTTAAATTTGGGGTTTTCTACCTTTATTTAGAAAAATTTTAATTAGAGAGAATATTTAAATTATACATTCACATTAAACTACCAGTGTGCTAGGCTTAGAGAGTATTCTCCATTCTCGTACCATGGGATATAAAACTGTCTTTACAGATCATTCTTTATTTGGATTTTCCGATGCTGCTTGTATCCACGTTAATAAATTGTTGAAATTCTTTTTATCTGATATAGGTAAAATATCCTTTTTTATTGATTTATTGATTGTTTGCTTATTTACTTACACAGCTAATATCTAGCTAAAAATTTACCTATAATGTATTGAAATCTCCTATGAATTAGAGTTCAAAAATGAAAATATCAACTATGATTAATTACTTCAAATTAATTAATTAAATAAATAAATAAATTCAGTCTACTTTCAAAAATTCAATTTACTTAACGTGTGTGGAAAAATATTTTAGGAGTTTAGTTTATGAAAGAATAAATATTGAAAAAAATAAGTGATTTTTAAAAAGTAATTGGAAATATAATATGGAATTTTGATTTTAATCATTTAAATTTTTATAAAAAAATTGAAATGTTTATAGTTGTTTTTATGAATTAGATCATGCTATTTCAGTTTCACATACATCAAAAGAAAACTTAACTTTAAGAGCTAGCTTCAACCCCTATGATATATCTGTAATTCCTAATGCTGTTGATTGCAGTAGATTTAAACCTGATCCTTCAAAGAGATATCCTCTAAATACTATAAACATCGTTTGTATTTAGAGACTTACTTTTAGGAAGGGTGTTGATCTCCTGATAGATGTCATTCCTTTAGTTTGCAAAAAATTTCCTGAAGTTCATTTTATTATTGGTGGAGATGGCCCTAAAAGAAAACCTCTAGAAGAAATGATACAAAGATGTGGATTGGTAGGACGTGTTGAACTTTTAGGTTCAATACCTCATAAGGAAGTGAGAAACGTATTAGTAAAAGGACGTATAAAATAATAATTTAACATTTTAATAAATTTTAAATTTTATTCAATTTTAAAAATTAGATATATTTTTAAATTGCTCTTTAACAGAAGCATTTTGCATAGCTATTGTAGAGGCTGCATCGAGCGGTCTAATGGTTGTTTCAACTGTAAATCAAATCAATATTATTTAGTTTAAACTTAATTAACCTATTTAAATTCAAATAGAATGTAGGTGGAGTAGTAGAAGTACTTCCAAAGCATATGGTGCAATTAGCAGACCCTAAACCAGAATCTTTAGTAGAAAAACTTGAAATAGCTATTCCTATTTCTAAAAATGTTCCTGCTCAAGCATTCCATAACGAAATATCTGATATGTATAATTGGATGAGTGTTGCTAAAAGAACAGTAAGTTTTTTTTTTTAAAAAAAATTATGTTTATTGAATTAAATGATAAGGAAAAAGTCTATGAAAAAGTGCTCAAAAAACCACGTCCAACAATTAGAGAGAGATTCCAAAGATATGCTAGCAGTGGACCGTTTGCAGGAATAATATTGCTTTGTATAATTGTTATAGATTTAATTTTCTTTATGTTTTTACAGTGGTGGACACCTAAAGATCAAATAGACAGAGCCATCGATTTTCCTCATAAAAAGTATAGCGAAAATAGAGAAAAATATGGCGACCACAATTTTCACATACAGGAAAATAAAAATTAATGAAGATGAATAGGAAAATATTTAAATCATCAACAAATTTTTAAATTAATTTAATCAGAATGAATAATTACTATAAAATATAAATTATATTCTTATCTAATCTATTTATTTTTAAATCCTTTATTATTTTATTCTCCATAAAAACTTTTTATTTTGTAAAAATGTAATCATTTTTATATTAAAAAAAAAGAAAACCTACTTATTTATATAAGATAATCAAATACAAATTTTAAGCTTCAAAACTGAATATTTGCTGGATAATTAATTTAGCTAATCTTTTAAAGAATAATGAAATAGCATTATTTAAGTTTTAAAAAAGCACTTAGTTGAATATTAAAATGAGATAAATTAGTTAAATAACATAATTCATTTTATGTCAATAGAATAGAATTATAAAGTTTCTTGAGAGAAAATATTTTATTAAAGATAATAAAATTACATTAAAAGAGATATTTACGCTTTAAAAATTTCCTTTTAAATGGATAAACTAATAAATTTATTTAATTGCACTATTAATTTTGTATTTATTAATATTAATAATTGAAGTAAAAAGATTATTTTAAGAATTATTCATTTTTTATATTCGATAATAAAATAGCATTAATTGAAATATTTAAGTTTTAAAAAATGAATTTTATTTAGTTGAATTTTAAATTTATGTAAAGAAATTAATTAATACATAAATTAAATAATAAATTTCATTTTATATTTATATAATCGAAGAATAAAGTTTCTTTGTTTTGATTTTGCTGTAACTTTTCTTAGGGAGGTGAGTAATTTGTAAGATACTGAGATGGAAATTTGGATTTATTTTGTTATTAGAAGAAATGGGTTATTCCAGAGTAAGTCTTACTAAACTAGGACTCGTGAGAAGATGGACTGGAGTTTTGATAAGTAGAATTTGAGTTAAAGACAGATATACTGCTTTTATTTTACGTAAAGTTTAGCTTCTGCTAATTAAAATAGTTATTGGTTATATCTTTATTGTTGTTGAATATTTAAGAACTAGAATAATTACCTTAATCATAAATTATTTAAGAATTATTTTGTTTTTGCAAGCTTTTTAATTTATTTTCTGATTAAATATTAGATTTAACTTTGCTAAATCCTTTGAACCCTTGCACTCTGAAGTTCTGATTCATCTACAATTCGCTACTTGCTTTTATTAGCTTATCTTACTTAATCTTTATATTTTATTACTGAAGAGCCTCAGCAACATGAAACTAAATACTGGAAGAATCTATTTATTTTATAAATTTATGCAAGTTGCATTCTTCTTTTTCTTCTTTCAATTTCCTTTCTTTCTCTTTTACTTGCTAATTATGTCTTTGCAAATTTATATTTCCAATTTATGTTTTCGAGCGCTTGAATAATGGGAAAGTTTAAATTTGTGGAGGAACTTTCTCTCCTTTGTCTGCACTGCTATTCAACTGTGAACTTGCCATTTATTTGTTATAGTCAGAAAAGTTAAATTTCTGCTAATTTATAAAGCGCTAATTTTATTAACTTTAAGGTAGGCTATACTTAGATTTTTTATGCTTGAGAATTGCATTACTATGCTCATCATTGTAGGCAATTTCATAATTCGAATTAAGCGGCTGGTATTTATCTTATTAGCTTTTTTAGGAATTTATTTTGAGAAACAATTTAGCAATTTCATGGATTTTTTCGCTTGATAAGCTATTTTAGTTAGGAAATAGCTGATGAATTTTGTTGTTTTTTAACTTTTTTAAAATTGAATGATAAGAAGGAAACTCCTCATAATGGAAAAGCGTTTACTAATCAGATTATTCCTTTGTCTATGATTAGACATTTGGCTTTTAATAAAAGTTCATTTAACTTTTTGAATATTCATGATCATTATTATATTTAAAGCTTTTCAAGTTTTATTGTTGTTTAGCCATTTAAGGCTGATCATATTACTTCATTAGTTATTTTTGTAATTATTGCAGATCTTCTACGTTGATTGGCTCTTTTTCGCTTAATTAATTTGTGTTAATTGAATTATTAAAATGTTTGCTAATTTAAGCAAATTCATTAAATCTGTTGTTTTAAGCACTTTGACATTTTTCTGATTGATCACATTTTGTGCTTTTTAACTTAAGTCTATCATTTATATATTAAGCATAAGACTCCTTAACATAAAAATTGCTCTTGAGACAATAATCTTCTGTATTTTCTTTAGTCTTTTAACAGTTCCCATACATTTATAATGAAGAAGGATTATTATTTAATAAATTTGTGTTATATTTCTCACTATTTTACTCATCTTTATTAATACAGTTTTTTAATTGATTATTAAAGTTGGCTTGTAAAATTTCACTATTATTTTCTGCAGATTTATCTCTACATGTTTGCGCTTCGTCTTATTTTTTCATAAAACTTCTAGTAGAAGAAAAAGAATAAAGATCAAAATTATACTAATATTTGTCAATTTTAAGCTACTTCACACCAAGGACAACGTTCTAATCCAGATCATAAGCTATTTTATTGGCTTTTATAGAGTCTCTCTGGTGGTTTTGCTTAATTGTTTCCTTTTATTTAACTTAATTAGCTTAAGCTGAGAAATCTCTTGCTTTTTCTATGATTCCGTCTATGCTTTTATTATTATTATTATTAGTTGAACTTATTATACTACTTTAGCGTAATGAGTATAAGTTGTAAGTAGAATCATTAGAGAACGGCTTATTTATATTCTCCTATTCCCATGGACCTAATTCTTCTATTTTAAAATTTAAGTTGTCTTATTCAATTAAGTTTTTTTTATTCCTTTTTAGATTATCTTTTTAATTATTTTCTTAAATTCTACTAATCCTTCGCTATGGAGCTATCTCTTGAGAGCCCATTTTTTTAAAAACTTACTTTTTAGAAACACATTCTACATCCTAAAAACCATTTAAATTGCTTTATTACTTTTAATAGCTGTAATTACTAAACTAAAATCCGTTTGTTTTAGAAAAAAAAGATGTAATGTGCTATTGATTGGTTTAATTTTAATCCTTTTTCTTTTATTTTTTAAATTCATATTAATCCTCTTAATTATCAGCAGACGACATGCTTTTTTAATAGTCACAAATGTCGAAGCTTTCTAACTGGCTTAAATCAAATTCTGTCTTTTCTTGTATCATTACTTAGTGAATTAGCTGATTATTAATTACTTAATTGATTTCCTTTTTGTTTTAGTTAAAGCTAGAAAAAAAGATTAAACTCTACTAATTATTGACTTCTTTATTAAAAAATTTTTATAATACTTTTTATAAGCAAGTATATATCAAAGGTGTAATTTAACTTGTTCTGCCAGTTTTTATGATTAAAAATTAATCCTTGGTTTATTTTGATGCATCATTATTAAAATTATAATCGAAATAACCATTAGTTAGTTTAAAGAATAAGTATTTCACTAGCTCATAAATTGAAAAATAGAAATAATAAAAATCATAAAATAGAAATAGTATAAATCACATATAAAAAATATTAGAATTACTTAATACTAACTAGCTGATTAATTTAAAAATAGAAATCATAAATTAGAAATAAAATAAATCATTTGTGAAAAATATTAGAATTACTTACAAAAAATTGAGAATTTATAAAGAAACTTTACTCCAAATTATATTTCACATTTAAATTAAATTTATTTAAAAGCCTGAAAATTTAACTTTAAATTAAATCAAAAAGGTTGCTTACTTCATAACCCTGAAAAATAATTATTAATTCTAATATAATTTTATCCAAAAGATAATTAAAAACTGTTGTTATTTTTTTTTAATATTAAAGTTATTTATTTCTTTCAAACAATAAAATTATTCTATATATTATGAATTTTTCGTTAGCTATCAATTAATATTTTGTAAAATAAATTAAACTTTTTTTATTAAATTAATATTTTCATTCTTTTTATTTATTTGTATTATAATTTAATCCATTATTTTTACACTAGCTTTTATATTTATTAAAATAAATTTTTAAAAACAATCAAAAAATGTTTATGAAATGAAATATTTATGGAGAAAGCGATTTTAAATACTATAGTTTGATTGTGAATATGAGAATGACTTTTAAAGGATTTATGTAAAAAATATAACATTCACTGCTCCTATAAAATAAATTATGTCAAAGAAATATTGATTATTAGAAATCATTTGTTTGTTCATTCATTCAATTTTTATATCAATCAAAAATCTTAATAATCTAATTAATCAAAAGTTGTTAGTTAATTACTGCTAAAAAAATTAGATCTATAAATAAAGACATAAATTTAATGAACACTCATTTTAAATATCAATCAGCTTACCAGGAAATGCAGTTCTAGCCTGAGCTGCTAGAATGTAATATTATTTACTATTTTAAGAATTTGATTTGTTTCTACATTTTTATTTATCCTTTAATAGCCCTGGAAAAAGGATCTATTCCACTTCTTCATATTGAGAATCATCAGTTTAGAGATAGAATTAAATCAGCTGAACTTAGTAAAAAGGGGAATATTTATCTTTAACAGTAATATCATTTATAGAAATCATTCTAAGTTATTAAATGTATTATATCCTATAAAATTAGCTACTTGCCTGCAAAATAGAGAGCAAAATATTCATAAAATTAATTTTAGTCAGGCCATTTGAAAGAAGATGAGTTTAATCCTAACTTGCCTCATAAAAATCATTCTTTTTGGTTAAAAGTGAGGCAAATTCCTAAAGAAGGCCCTCCTATTAGGTAAGATTATAAATACTTCAAACAAAATATATGAATACATCTTAAATTTAAAGCTCAACGCTAATGATTCAATAATGCATTAAATATTCAATAAACTCATCAAAAAATAAATATTTGAGTTATCCAATTTGAAAATTAAAGAATATTATTAACTAAATAACTAACTAACTTACTTACTAATAACTATTATTTAATAAATCAATAAGACTTGGACTTGGAAAGAGAACTGAAAATGAAAGGATCATGGAAAGAGTTTAAAAAGGAGATATATATAAAATTGATCATACAGCGAAAGACACTTAAATGATTCATCACCCTGACTGGAAACCTGTTCAAAAATAAAACTGGGTGGGAAATGTAAATAATACAAATTACTAATAAACTATTGATAAAAAATTTAATTCCAAATTATTGTAAAAAAAGAAAAATTTTGATACTACTTCTTGCCATTACTAAGGACCAAGAAGCAACCCACCTTGGTAAGAATTTCCTTTAAGAATAAATCATGAAGGTAATGAATATGTTGATGGATACGAGAAAGTTGGAGAGAACATTCACAGATTTAGGGAAAAATCAAAAGAAGTAATTTACAAACAATAATAGAAATAGTTTTTATAATAAACTATCTGATTAATTATTTTTTAAATTTTATTTTTATAAAGCATGGCAAGCCTGATTTTATTAGTCAAGTTTAACAAGATGCTATTGGATAAAAATTGCATATTTCATAATCTTTAAGGACTTTTAAAAGCCACAAAGTATTGGGAGTAGATTAAAATTCTTAGGAATTTAGCAAATCCAAAAAACTCACTTTCTACAAGCAACCTTTAATTGATACTAAAAGTGTTGATCATTAAGTTCCTTATTAGCACAGCTAGAGGTATTTATTTAATTATTTTTGATAATATTTAATTAACTTTTAAAATAATTGCAATAGCATTCGTTCTAAACCAGTTAGAGATTTAATGCCAAGTACCGATAAAATTTACAAATTATCAATTAAAGAATTAACAATTAGCTCGTCAAAACATAAATTAGATATGTCATAAAAAATGATGAATGAGTCTTTAAAAAATGATTTTACGTAATTAAATTAAAATTAAAATAAATAATATTAAATATCCTTATTAATAATTAATTAATAAATAAATAAATAGTCCTACTTACAATAATAACAATAATTATATGATGGAAAGAGTTAAAAGTTCAAAATAAGAATAGTAATTAAGAGATATAGTCAAAGGAGTCGATTCTGTAAAGTCTAATAATATGTATAATAATGACCCAAGACTTTCAAACATAAATAGTAGAGGAAGTTAAAGGACAACTTAATATAGTTGGAATAAATCTAGGGCTCAAACTGCAGCTTCTGGAAAAAGAAAAAACATGTCTGAAGCAATTCAATTGAAAAATAAACTAAATAATGATCCATATTACCAACCATCAACACAAGAGACTAAAGATTTAGTATCTAAATACTTTGATTGATTAATTGACTGACTGACTAACTGTGCTTGAATCAATAAAGTGTATATAAAATATTATGTAATAGAAAATATATTTAATTTAAAAGTAAAAAAGAAAGAGTGAGAGATAAATTATATCAATTTAAAAAAGAGTAAATAAGATGAGTTAGATTGAGTACTTATAAAATATAAATAAAATTGTTAATATAATTAATGAACTTTTGAGTGTATATTTATCAATAATTCTTAACTAAAACAATAAATTTATTTTATATTCTAAATTATTTATTAAATCCATAACCTATAAACTGTATTATCTCATGAATTTATAATAAAATTTTTAAACCTATTTTATGAATTTTTAGGATTTATTTTGAAATATCTTAAATAAAACCTTTCAGCTTTTGGATGGCTAATTTGTAAGAAATAAGATGAATACCTATCTATTAATTTTATATCTGCAGCAGTTTATTCTTATCAAAGTAAAAATAAAATTTAACAAATATTATATGAAAAACAAAGTAAAAACAACAAACACTATGAAATTGAAAATAATAAATAATATTTGTATGAAATATAATAATCTTAATTCATTTAATATATTTACTGAATTCTTATAAATTATCAACAAAGCTATTAAGCATGGAGGGGAAATAATAATTAGGTAGACCAGACTGAGTTTTTTTATCTACCCAAACCATGCCTTCTCCTCTCAGCTAATCTATTACTAATTTAAATTTGTCTTTATTCCATCCTTTTTATTCTTTCATAAGCTACTCACTGACATGACCATACTATGGAATAAAATGAATTATTGATTAAATCATTTTAACAAATAAAAATATTGATTACCTTTTCAGCAATTTCAATTACACTATTAAAGTCCCCTGACATAGATAAGTTAGAAGTGCTTACATACTCATTGTTAACTAACTGACAACCACCAAGACAAGTTATTGTTTTTAAGGCTTCTTAAATGTCTTTCCTTTAAAATAAAAAAGGATTAATTTTTTTAAATTACTAAAAATAGTATTTTGCAGTTTATTAAAATATATTGATTGATTGCTTTCTATATTTACTTGGATATCTTTGTTTTATATCTTTTTTCGAATTCATTAATGATGTCAATCAATTTCATCATTCCACCATTCTCATTTCTTTTACGGGCTGTAATATCCAAAATCTTCATCTATTTTATTAATTTAATTATAATACTTGTTGCTTATCTATTACTTTTCAATATCAAATTTACTGCTAATTCGTTGTAGAAATCTCCAAATCCAAGGTTTGAAAATAAGGTTTTTTATGCTATTTGTTTGTTAAAGTAAGAATATAATGCTAAAAACAGTTTAAGAAAATAATATTAAGCTACATATCATAGGATCTATGCCTAAATTTTAGCAGAGCTAATTAAAGTTGTCTCTAAAGTTTGGATCTTTATTGATTTCATTAGCATATTATGCAGCGTATTTTTGCATATTTTCTTAAAAAACATTATAAATGTCCTTCATCTAAATTAATAATCCATAAAATAAGTTAGTTTATTTAATGACTGCAAGACTAATCATAAATATTTTTTACTCTTGTAATTTTCTGCTGCATTAACTACTATCCCATCTGCTATCTAGCTTACTATTAGAAACAAATTATATTATAATTGTCAAACCTAAATTTAAAAGTAATGTTCTAAAGAAACAAAAATATTTTATGCTCATTACTTGCTATTCTAGCTACTTCATCATTGCTTATTTACCGCCATACATTTTTATAAGTTAAATAGTAAATGCTAATTTAAAGTTTTTTTCTAAATAAAATTTGATGTTTTATGTGTGATTGATGATGATGTCAAAAAATTATCAAGATTTTTATCAAAAATAAATATAATTTCTAATGAATTTGATTAGAGTCTGTTTTCCAAAAAGAATGTTTTTATTGATGCAATCTAGTTAACAAAAAAAAGAGATAATAAATTCATAGCAAATGAGATATTTAAACTTAATCAGGTAAAGTGATATGCAAATTAAATATTATTTTTTTAATTTTTTAAGAATTTATTTTAATTTAAAAAATTTTTAAAATATAATGTCAAGCAAATGGAAAAGTTTTACAGTAATAAGAGTAATGTATGCAAAGTAAATTAAATATCTAAATGGATGATGTAAAATAAAGATTTGGTTTACTTCATAAATTAATTAATAGCCTTAAAAGCTAAAATAATTTGAAATAATTGCATAAATAAATCTCATGATTTGTGATAAAATTTCTATGATAAAAATAAAGAGTGATTAATAATTTTAGGCATTAAAAATACTAACAAGTATTTATCTTAATTGCCTCTTTTTACATTACATTTTTAATAATAGGTGAAAGTTTTTTAGAATTTGTTGCCTTCTGACATCATTTATTTTAAGTGCAACTTCAATTTTAAATAATTCAAAAATTTGACGAAAATTAATTAAATGATTGAGAATCATCAATCAATTTTTAAATATTATTTTATTATTTTTATTTTTTAAATTAACAAAAATAATTTTGATATACTTTTGGGTTAACAAACAAATCAGACATTGTTGAGAAAAAAATATCCAATATACTTTTTATAAAGCATTCAGTTGTAAATGCAGCGAAAATTGATTTAAATTATATTCATAAGTGATTTTGTTGCTTAATAAATTCTTACAAATCAGTATTCAGCTTTAAAATATTTGATAAAAATATAATCTAAAGTTTGTTAATAAGAATCAAAAATATATCTATTTATGAATTTTACTCACTCTAATTAAATTAAATTAATTTCTCAAGAATATAATTGATTGATTTATTGATTGATTGAGTAATATTTATCATCAGTCAATTCCTTAATTAAATAATTATTTTGATTTGTATTTGTTTATTTATTTATTTATGTATTTGGCTTGCTTATGTGATCTAATTAATTTAATTGTCTTTGGTGCATCATTCTATTTCTATTCGTCTTTTCTGATACATTTTATAAATTCATACAAATAAACAAAAGTAGCTAAATCATAAAAGTTAAAAGGTAAAGCAAGTAAGTAAGTAAGCTAGGACGATAAAAGTAGCCCTAAATACTCAAAATTAAAAAGGCTACTCTTAATTGCCAACATAACGCATATAATTACTCTACTTTACGAATCCAACAGAGGATAAGAAGACACCTTTTTGGCAAAGAGCGATTCAATCCGCTCCTCTTTTAATTCAATTCAATAAAAGCATCAAGGAATTTAATTCCAAGTATATAAGAAAAAAGGGTTTATTACTTCAATTTAAAATAGCAAGTAAAAGTATAGCTGAGTTTTTAATTCTCGAGGTAATCAAAAGCAATAAATAAAGGCTTAATAACTGCAGCTTTAAAATAAATTTCATTGCAAAATGATATGGTTTGAAGATTTCGAAAGGAAATTTAGTTCTTTATTAGAAGAACATAATAATAGGGTAGTACAGCAAAATAATCAAAAACAATAAAACCAGGATATTAATAGTATAAATCAAGGATTTAAAGATGAGAGAAATGATTTAGATTCATTTAAAATTGAAGATTAAAAACAATAAAATGAAATGTATCTTGATAATATTGATTTTTATGAACTTTATGATGACGAGGATTTCAAAAAACTTTTGAAGTAGAATTCTATAATACAATATGATTAATTGGCAGTATCAAAGAATCCAATTTTTTGCTTTTTTATAAGAATTTTATAGATTGTGTAACAGAGTATCGAGGAATCACATCATTTAAAAGTATGGGGAATTTTAAATAATCTGCTAGATTATATAAATATTGAAAGAAGCGTTTTGGTATATATTCTCATAGGATTTTAGTAGGAAAAAATTGACTTTGATTTAAGTAAAGCGCTCTAGAGACTCTACCGTATTTTATAAGGAATTAAAGGTTTGAGGCAGCGAGTATTGAAGGATATTGATACTTAAACTTTTTAGAATCGTAAATATAATTAAAATCCTTCTTTGCACGCTAATGCTTAACTTAGATCTCCAAATAACTTAATGTTAAGCAAGAAAAGTTCTTAAAAAAAATATTCGAATTCAAATGTTCAAGAAAATTTTAGTCCACAACAAATTAAGGATAAAATTACAACGAATTCATCTCCAGGCTTTCGTTTAGATCAAACTGGGAGGTGGTAAACGCAAAAAGAATAAAATGAAAATCAAAATGATGGTGAAGTAAGAATAAATATGCCAAAAATAGAATAGGAAAATAAATCAAATGAAAAAATGCCTAATCAGAACTTTTTCAATAATGGTATTAGAACCAAAAAGAAATCATTATTAGTTTATGATACTGCTTTCATCTAGAACGCTATATAAAACGAGAGAAAGAATAGTTCAGCCTTAAATAGCTAGACTTCCAGTCCAATTTCGCCTATCTCACCTATCTTTACTGAGAGTGAAAAAGAATTCTTAATTGTTAGTTATGAGATATTTTTTTATACCCACAAATATTCTCAATTCTATTTGTTTGATATTGTAAAACAAGCTGATGAAAATAATCTAAGGAATAAAAACAAGTTAAATTAATTGAAAGAAGAATAATCTATTATTGAAAGCAACCAAAATGAAAACACAACAAATTTAAATAATTAACAATAGCAAAATGAGAAAATGTTATTATAACAAATATATGAAGTATCAGCAAGCTATCTGCAAGAACAGTAGCAGCAGTATCTCATTCCAAGATAAAAGATTTCTTCATTAGATTTAGATATGAATGATAGCCAAACTTAATCTACATTCACGTAGAAGCTTAGTGATGGATTTAAATCCACACAATCGTATTCAAGTGGATCGTTTTCAATTTCATATCCATTTTAATCTTTCCAATTAAGTTTAAACAATAACTCCGGAGGGATAGGCAATTCTTATTCAAATAATGAAATTTCTTTGTGCAGCTTTTAGAACGATAATTCTATGGAAAAAAGTCATAATATGCTTTAAGATGAGATAATCAATTAAAGCATTTCGTAAGATAATTAATAGATCAGTAAATCTAATCAAAATATTGCAATAAACAACAACTCTATGCTGGTTTCTTCCTCTACTCATTTTAACATAAAAAATACTAATTCATTAAAGACAACAAAAAGCTTGGAAAAATAACTAATTGGTTCTGGATCAAACTATCTAAAATCACTTAAGCAAGCTTGTAAGGAGTAAGATGACTATGTCAATAGTTATTTAAAGATGCTGTTATACAGGTAAAGGTAAAATATAGTCAAATAAGATGTAACTCCTAGAAGTATGCCTCGTCTTTAAGTTAATAATTAGAGAATAATGTTAAGTGCAAAATCTTTAACTTTCGGAGAAGCATCTGCTTCTTTTTAAAATCAAGATTATAACAATAACAACTCAAGTGAAGAGCCAAATCCCAAATTATAGACAAATAATTTTTCACAAAAACTTAATGAAAACACTAGCTCGTAGGGTTTTCATAGATAAAAAAGTAGATCGAGTAGCGGAGGCAGTAACTATAATCATCATAATGAAACATTCTAATATGAATCCAATACTTCAATTAATGAGCAAGATTTTGAAGAGGAAGATGATTCACCTGAAAGAAATTTTGAAGAACAAAACCAAATTACGCATTCAGATGACCTAGATATTAGCGCTAATAGCTAAATCAGTCATCATAGCTTAAAGCAATTTAATGTACATTAGCATCACCACTATAATCATCACAGTCATTTATTTAATCATCATCTTCAACCCCACTCAAGTAAGTCCTTAAAGCAAATTAAATACAACTTAAACCCCGATTGGACGAGAAGCCTTCCTTAAACATAAATTAAAAAAAAATCTCAAAATTTTGTTTCACTGATGTAAGAAGTGAAAGAAGAAAGAGAAGATAGCGAACTTTTCAACTCTCTATTATTAGATAGGAAAAAAAGAAGAGAAAAAAACACATCAGCTTAATAAAATTTTTCTGATTCTCAAAAATCATTAGAAAAAGATAAATTAGGAATATTTAATTAAAATTCTTTGGATACATAAAAATCTATTACTTTTTTAAGATGTAGCGCATCATCAACTAAATCTGTTCCAAAAAATGAAATGAAAATATGCAACACAAGTCTTGATTCTGCACCTAATGCAAATCAAAATGGTAGATTTTCATAATCTCCTTCTTCCAACAACCTAGAAATGCTTTTCCCAAGATTTTCACAAAGTATTTTAGAATATTTTTAATTTAATTAATAAATAAAAAAGATATTTAAAAAAATTAATTAATTAAAATAAATTAATAATTTTTAAAATAAAAATTTATAGACACACATGAGAGCTTAGTAATCAACGAGCAAGTTGAAATTTAATCAAGAAAAGTTGAAAGTGAAGATGATTAGCAAAATGCAGAACCAGAAACAAACAGAAATTCAAATTAAAATGAAACTAATTAAATAAGCTAAGAAAAAGATTAAAATGAAAGTCCATAAATAAATTAAGAAAATGGCAAGGTTGAAACTCTTCCTTAAATGAGCTAAGAAAAAGTTGTAAGTAAAAACGATATTAATAAATAAAAAGAAAGTTCTGAAGATGAATCTTGTAGTTCTTCTTCATAGTCTTCGGATTCGTCAGAGTCCTCTAATTCAAACATTTCTTAAAATAAATTTACACCCTAAAAGAAAAAATCAAATGAAAAATCAATCAAAAGAGAGAAAAGTTAGACTGCAGACAGCAAAAATAATAAAGAGTAATTATCTGAGAGCATCATCAAATATTAAAATAAAATAACCAAATAAACAAAAAAACCTAGAAGCAAATTTAAAAAGAGTAGGTAAGAGAGAAAAGATTCTGAAAACCAAAATTCTGAAAAAAGTAGAAATGATTCTAACTCAGCTTCATAAAGCAGTGGTAAAATGAATAGAACGTTTGATACAGAAAACTCTTCTTCTGCTGCATCAAGCATTATTAGAGGCAAAAAATCATTTGATTAAGATTATTAGCTAAATCATAATTTAGATCTCAACTTAGTAAATAATAAAAATTTATAAAGAAGAGGAGGAATATAAGTAAGAACGGCCTTAAAGCACCTTACAAAGAGGGGGAAAGAGTTTGATACTTTGGGAGTAGTTAAGCCTAACTTTAACTTAATTAATGAAATAAATTTTAACTATGATTCTCCATAAGAGAATTCTTTCAACAAAAAAGGCAGCTTTGAAATAAATTAATAATAATCCAGCAAAAATATTACCTTGAATATTCCAAAAACTTTAAACCAAAGCTAATCTCTGAGCGTAATACCACATATTAACTTCATCAAATCACCTTAAACCAATAAAGAAAGTACAAGCTAATTTAGTTTTATGAACGAAAGTATTTTAGACACTAAATAGACAATGACTTAGTCCCTAGATAAAAAGACTTACAATAGATAGAGCTCATAAGAAAGTGAATCAAATAAAAGCTAAATTAAATAAAAGAAGAAAAATAGTTTCTTTACCAAAATTTTGAAATTTTTCCAAAAAAATGATAGAGATGATTCAAACAAATATAACTCACCCTCATTATCAAAAGAATTAAATTGTGATACAGGATACATCCCACCCAGTATGGATATTACTAAAAATAAATATTTGAAAAGAGGCTTTTAGCTGAATGGAATGACATTTTATAAGATTAAAGATGTTCTAAGCTATGAAAAGAGCAAAGGAAAAGCAGCACTTAAAAGTAGTTCCATAGACATGGAGCAGAGCTATATTATGAACAACTCAACTATTATGATTAGTCCTTCAACCACTAAATAAAATTTTAAATACAATTAAACTATTAATAATAACAGTATTTACTTTGCTAACACTGAATAGATCATAAAAAATTCTATATCGAAAAATAACTCTAAAAGCTAACTTTTGTCACCAATCGTATTTAGTGATCACTTTCAAAGTTAAAATTAATCTGACACTCCACTCTCTAACATTTCTAGTAGCGCAGTAGAATAGAATTATAATGAGGAAGAGCAATTCGAAAAAGAGTTGTAAGAAATGTTTGAGAGATCTTCTAATCAAGCTGACTATGACTTGTAAGACAGAAAAAACAATCTCGTAAACCTTTATGGTAAATTAATAACCCAAAAAAATATTTTTAGTAATTTTTATTTATTGTAATTAAATTAGGTAAATCAAGTAACCTTAGACAGCTAGCTAAGAAATCAAGTCTTAACTATAAAGAACTTAGCATTATAGTTGACGAAGAAATGAGCCACGAAAATAGCTTAGCAAATAGGTTGGCTCAGAATAATTTGAAAAAAGGATGCAACTTTAAAAAAGAATTGATAAAGAGGGAAATAAACGAAGAATAACTATTTACATATCCCAGAGAATCAGTTAACTTTATTACATATTAAAAGGAACAGCTAAGAATTTAAAAAAAAATAAAAATTTAATCTGCAAAAAATTGTTTAGAATATCAACTTATATTTAATCAAACATGTAATTGGACTAAACTGAAGTTAAAAGTGAAGAAAGCATTTTAATTATACAGAATCTATCTCTAAAAGAAGTAATTCTATCCTAAAAAGAAAGAACTAAAAGATTTCTTCTCTTAATAGTAATAATTAATTTACTAAAAGTAAATAATCAAAGATATAGAAAGGGAGTAAGAATAAAAAGACATTGAAAAATAATAATATGAAGATTTTGATCCATTCAACTATTTACAATCTTCGAGGCTAAAAATAATACAAAACAGTAGATTAGTAAAACAACTCACAGATGACACTTTTAATAATCCTTTTTGATGAAATGTATTTCAAAAGAACTATTAGATTAGATGAAATGTTAGCCTTTATTCATTTATTTATTTATAAAATACATTAAAATTTTCAATATGAACTAACATAAACAATTAGATAAATTAACTAAACATTTTCACATATAAAAGATAATAAATAAATATTTAAAATAATTAATATAATCAAATTAATTAATTAAAACCTTCTCACTAATAGAAGATCAACAAACAATCAATTGTATAAAATTAATTTAATTTCATCTATTTATATATATAAATTGCCTATAATTAGTAAATATTCAAAATAATAAAATTAAAATTCTTAAATATGTATGTATTTTAACTGTTTTTGTAAACAAAAATTTAAGTAAAATAATCACTTTAAATTTTTAACTAAATTAAAAAAAAATATTTTTGAGTAATAATACAAATTTAAGAATTATGCTTGTGAACACTCAATAAAAATTTAAGAATTAATTAATTATGTGTTTATAAATTATTATTAAATAGATATTAAATAAGAATTATTTTTCATGAATTCATTAAAAATATTATATAGATGAACATAATAAAGAAAGTTTATGATTTTTCTGTTAAATTTTTAATTAATTTTAGCCTTTTTAATCTCTTAAAATAAAAAAATTATTTTTCGATAAAAATAGGTCTTAGTTAGTGAGGATTTATATTATTTTGAAATATGTTTGTTTTGATGTGAGCTTGTAGTGTCCTATTGAACATTCTAAATTAAATGCTGATTAATATTATTAAAAAGTTAAACTTTTCAAGGATTTTTATTTTTTAATTTTTCTACTTACCTTTTAGATGTTAAAATGATTTAATATTCAAAAAAAGTTGTAAAATTATTTAATAAATTTCCACTTAAATTAAAGGTTTGTTTATAATCAATCTTTAGAAAATGTGAAGGATTTTTTTTTTTTTGTAAATGTAGTTTAAAAATATAATATTTTTAAATGTAAATAAAATATAAATAATGTAATATTTTATTTTGTTGAAATTATTTTAATATCACAAACAAACAAACAAAAAAATATTAAATTTGACATAGAAATAAAAATATAAAATTTAATAGAATTGATGAGCATTTATTTATAGATATTAAATATAATTAATCAGATTTTAGTCTTTAATTTATCTGTTTATTTTTTATATAAATTTGGCAGAAAGTATCAATAATAAATAAATAATAGTTACACGAAAAATTAATTTTTTAGAGTAAATAAAGTTAATATTAAATTGAAATTTACATTTACATTTCTTATTTTTTCTATTTGAATAAGTTAAAAATTGTTCTTAGAATTATAGCAGAATAAATTAAAAATAGAAAACTGTCTAATTTTTCATTTTAAAAGTGGATGGATGCTCATGGTTAGATAATATATAAAATTTACAAAAATAAACATTTTTATTAAAAAATAAAGATCGAAATTTCATTTTAAAAATAGATTGATTAAATAAATAAATGTCATCTTAAAGTAACAGAATACCAACAGTATTTGTCTCTCATGGCTTAGTAGGATATACTTTGAGCCCTAATTCCACTGTTTATAAAAGTATGCAAGCGTTTTCATAAAATAATAATATCTAGAAAAGGGTAAAGACTGTAATTATTGTATCTGCTCATTGGGAGGAATAATCTCTCACAATAAATTTTAATCCAAAACCAAAAATTGAACATGATCATCCAAGCAAATGGCTTTATAAGTACAATTTTAATATGGATACAAATATTGAGTTAGCCAAAAAGATTTATCAAAGTATGATCTAAAACAAAATACCTACAAAAATGACAGATTAAGGAAATATAGATCATGGAGCATGGGGTGCATTATATACATTATATAGCCTTGATGAATAATAAAAAGCATTTAATTCTAATTCAAAATACGCTCCATAAATAGTTTAAGTTAGTCTCCACTCAGGAATGGATTCATCTTTACATTTCTAAATTGGAAAAATACTAGAATAATATAGAGATGAAGAAACTATGATAGTTTGCAGTGGTTCTACTACTCATTCTTTTACATATATGAGTCATCCTAATTATCCTTCATGGTCAAGAGAATGGGAATAAATACTGCTTAATGTTCTTACAAACAAAGATGAAAAGAAAAGAGTGGAAGATCTCCTTAAATTAAAATAACTTAAAATATACAACTATGTATAAAGCAGTGACGATCATTTTATACCAATACTAGTTGCTGCAGGCACTTCTCCTTATCCAGCACAATATATCAATTTAGAAAAAAATTTTGAGTCAATGTGCTCCTGCTATTCATTCTAATGAATTATAAATAATTAAATATATAAATCAATTTTGTTTTCAAATAATTTTGATATAGTTCAAAACCAAAAAAACTAAATGTTCTTTTTTTTGTATTCATAATTATAAAAGTCTTATTTTAAATTTAATTCGACTTTAAATAAGTCTTAAGTTCAGTCTTTCTAATTCATAACATTGATTCTTAATTTGTTTTTTGATTTTATTACCAACCATTATTAATTACTTTTAACGTAATCATTTGAAGGAAAAGTAGAATACCATTATTTTTTATCTAGTTTAGCTTATTAAACATCATTTTGAAAAATATAGTGTACAGACATAAAAATAAAGGTAGATCCAAACATTAAACTGTATAACATCCTGTATATTCTTTAATTGGAGCTCATAATTTATCATAATTAATGAATGATAATTTAACTCATTATTAATAAAAATTATTCAGAAAAAATTTTTCTTTCAAAAATTTTTAATTTCTTAAAATGAATAGAGATGAAAATTTCTATCAGAGGAATTATTTAATAAATAAATTTAAAAAAATATTAATAATACCGTATTACTTCTATACTTAAATCCAACTCTTTTTTTACTAGCCCAGCCATTTAATACTTAAATATCTCCCATTTTCACCCTACCTCGGTTGACCGGTCGGTGGGTCTTATTGAGGGAATATGGTAATATTTATAATTTAAATATACTCTAGATTAATATGGATAACTAATGATAATAGATTGAAGAAATTAAAAACTTTTTTATTAAAAAAATAAATTTAAAGAATATTAATAAAAAAATAAATAATTACTTCTTCTAATTCACCTAAATAATTAATTTATATAATCATTTATTTTTTTTTTCAAAAATATTTAATATCAATTTATGGAAATTTAATTAATTTTTAAGGCAATAACTTTATATTTAGATCACTGTTTTTTATTACAATTAATTTTTTTAAATTTAGATTTCATTGATTTTCTAATAAAAATCCTTTTTCACTTAAAAATGATTATAGTAATAGATAGCCATAAATAAATAGCCGATCTTACAGTCCCATAGTAAATTTAAACAGTCCAAGGTAACCAACCCATCCCAACCAAAAAACATTAGTTTTTATTTAATTTCTTAACATTTGAATAATTTTAACAAATATGAGTGTCTTTTTAATAAAAATAAATGGAAGTCCACATTTTAATGATTAAGATAAAATTAAAAAATTTTTTCCAAAAATAGTTATTACAAACAATACATGAATACATACATAAATACATAAAGAATTCTAATTTTAATTAGAAATACAGTTTTTTAATTAATTAATTAATTTTGTGAAGTCTTAGATATTAGGATGTTTTTTAATTAGATTATTAAGTAAATTTTATCTTTTTTTTTGAGTTGTTTAAAGAGTAGTTTTATTTATTTAATTTTAAAGTGCATTTATCTAAATAATCATGATTCAAATATAAAATCTTGAATTGAAAAGCTTTTCTGATACTTCTTCTTAAATAAAAGTTCCGACCATTTTTGCTAGTTTCTTTGCATATTAAATTTGGGCAGGATATTTTATACTACCACTCCAGTTAACGTAATTGAAGCATTAACTGTATAGCAACTCTTACAATCTCCCTTCTGGGAATTCAGTTGTGTCATAGATTACTTTATAGTGGACTGGGGTAGCAGTTCCTTGTTTTACGTTTTAGGATATCATATAGAAATCATAATGATACTTGCTGGTAATAGAAGAATCAATGATAGTGCCTGGAGGAGGATTTACAAGTTCTTTATTAGGTCCTTCTCCTAGCTAATGCAATACACGAACACCATGACGACATTCTAACAAAACTACACAGAGCTTTGGTTTATACTAAGGGGAAAGTACTGTAAATGACTTAAGCACTTCTTTTATTTCTGTACTCAAGTATTTTTGAATGCCTTAATCAGCAATGTTTTCACGCAAATAAATGATATTTTCAGGTACAAATTTATTTTAAACAAAGTACTACTTAATGGCGTCAACAATAAAAGTGCTGATTTTTTCAATATTATCTTTATTTAACTTTTAAAATGTGGCACGACTATAGAAACGACTAACATTTTTATCTTGAGAAGCTACAAAGCCAATAACAAATTGAGGTTGTCCATTAATAAATACCTTTTATACACTTGTTCCAATAATCATTGTGTTGTCTGGTATACCATTAGGAGGATTTACCACCCACAAAGTAGTTCCGCATTTTGCAGCCATTTAACTTAGAATTGCTGAGCAGACATTGTAAGACTGCTTTGAGTCTAGAGATTGCTAACGAATGTATTAGGATTTTATTTGTTATGTGATTGTGCACAACTTTTTTATTTTACTATAATTTTGAACTGTAGAGAATTTATTAGGAGCAACTATAGCAACGATGTCAAATTTTTCTTTCTTGATTTCTCTACGGATGACATGCTCAATTTCTTACATAGCCTTATTATTGAAATCACCTAAATTGAATTCTTGTGGTTTTTTAACTTCAATTCTTAGCTCCTTCTAAATTTTAATCCAATTCTTTCATTTTTAAAATAAAAGATTTTAGTAAGATTTAATTAAGAAAAAATAAGACGCCAAAATATAATTTTTTATTTAATTTTGAGACAAAAGAATTAATTGGTAAAAAATTAAAGGAAAATATTATATTTATTTATCTAGTTTGTTTACACTAGCCAATCAATTCCATTTTAATTAATTAATTAAAAAATTCAATCATATAAATAAAAAAGCTATTTGTTTATTGAAAGCTTAACTTTAATTAATAAATTTTACTTAAAAAAGATCCATTGTGTTGAAATCTTTAAAGTGAAGTAGAGCTATGGAGAGCTGATTGCCTGAGCTATAAACAGGGTATTTCATACTAAATTGAGAAGCGCTGTTATCTTCGATTGTTTAGCGTGGGGCATCCTTTTTAGGACCACCAAATGTGATGGTAGGATATGCAATTTGTTTGGCTTAGATAACATGAGGATGGTTGCTGAAGTTGATACCTAGCTGCTCAGATATAGATTATGTATTTAGCTAACCTTCTGTGGTATTGACATTCACTATTTTATCTATAAATTATGTCACCATATTGTATAATTCTTATGGTTTTTGTTTGGTACAGGTAATCAATTCTCTCTTTTAATAATCATTGAGCTCATCTGGTATACCTGTGAGTAAGCATAATTCAGGAACGAAATAGAGGAATCTCTTAAGTTTCTTTTCATAAACTAAAAGAAGAGGTTATTTATCATATTTAATTTTAAGACCATATTTTTTATAGTAGTAGTCATAAATTGTTAAATCTGAATCAGGATTAGGTTATTGCAGAGTAGGTGGTTCTATTGGTAGCTATGATTCTTTGGAATTAGGATCTAAAATAGGATCTGATACTTTTAATTCTTTGCAATTTTTATCAAAAATTACATCATGAACTTTAAATTGCTTAAAGTTGCCATAATTAGCCATTACAGTTTGTCCTTGCAACTTTTCACAAACTAACTTACGCTTTTACTCTTTAGATGCATCATTATTGTTTTTATAAATTAAATTTATGTAATTCAAAGCATTTTCTCTTCTGGCAACTTTATGTTAAATATCCAGCTTCATAAGTAGGCCGTCACTACAATTTTCAAAAGGAGTATTCCATCCCTTGTAAACTATTAAATTAGTACCTTCTATTTTTGAATGATACTCAGCTGAGGGTTCAAAATATTTTGTATTCTTTCCAAATTCAAAGAAATTTAATCCTTTGAGTATATTCTTTACCATGACATTAAAGAAAAGGAGAGGGAATTAGCTTTTTCTTTAATTTTCATTGTTCAAATCCTCTAATCTAAATACCTAAATTTTTTATAGTAGTAAAAATTTTTAAATTAAATTTAATTTTAATAAAAATTTTTAGTAATTCAGATTTAATTAACTTTGATAGCTAAATTTATTTATTTTATTATTTATTCCTTTTTATCTTTATTTCGTAAAAATAAAATCTGCTTTAAATATTGATTTCTTTATTTTTTTCTAACTAAATTTTAGTATTTTTACAATCAACTAACAAATTAAATAATTAAAAACTATTTGCTTTGAAGAAGGCTGGTAGTTTATAATAAAGTTTAATCCCCACGTATCACACACATTTGATCTAATCTAATAGTAAAATCTAAACTATTTATAAAAAAATTATTTCACATAATTATGAGACTGACTGTGTTTGTCTCATATTTAAGTTATTTATAAATCTAACTCTGCATTTTATGGAATTTCTGCTTCTTTAAATTTTATTTGTAAGACAATCTGGGAAAAATCAATTTTATTCTAAAATATTGCATGGTTATTTGGTAAATACCTTTGTGATTTTCAAGTTAACTTGGTAATCAGTTTTCTGAAAAGTTATTGAGATTGATGTTTCTTTATTAAAATTAGGCTTTTCGACAGAAAAGATCTATTGAGCATTAATTAAATAATGCCCTCCCAAACATTCCTTTAACTAAGCTCTGCTGACACTCAATAATTTATCTCTCAAAACTCTATTATCAGCTTCAATTCTAGGATAAAAATCCACTCTTAGTAAGTAGATTTCCTCAATACTTTTATTTAATTCTAATTTTAAATAATTTGTGAGGAGCATAAGTGACTTAGACTGCTAATTGTAATCTAACTTGGGTCTTCTTGCTAATTAAAGCTTATTATTTTAAGAAAATATTGGTTTTTTACATATTAATATTGCCAATTATATAATAATGATATAATAGTATGATAAGAAGTGGATCTATTTCTCATCAAAAAATTGACTGTCATCCATCAATAGCTTAATTATACTATTCTTTATTGCATATAAATTCAATTACTTTCTGTTCCTTCTGCTGGCTCGAAGATCCTTGTTCACTTTCACCTCTTAAACTTCCTTGATCCATTTAATTTTTTCGCTGTTTTTCTATTAATTATTATTAACAAAGATTTTTATTTTATAATAAATATTAATTAATTTATTTATTTACTTGCCAATTCTTATATCTTTCTAATGTTAACGGATATATTTTAGTTTCTATTTATTACATATTTGCAACATATCTAAAATTTTTTTAGAGTTTTTAGGATCGATAGATCGATCTTCAAAATTTCATAATTCATTCATTCATTATTTTTCATATAATGAAGAAATTAAGAATAAATAATGTTTGTAAACAAAATAAATTACGAAAATTAAATTAGTAAGCCCTATTTTAAAAATAACTGCCATAGCACAATTTATTTTATAAAATTTTCTTGTTTTCTCTTTAAATTCTGATATGGAATCTAAATTAAATAAATTAACTCAGTCTCTAATTTGATTCTTATTTTCAACTTTATTATTTTTTTTTAGCTTTTTTTCTCTTTGTCATGCATGAATTTTGTTTAAAGGACTATATTAAAATTAGTCTAGATAAAAAAAAGTAATTTTTTTATAAAAATGATATTGATATTTTTCTTAAAAAAATGTTAAAACAAAATTGACAACCAAAATACTCATCAAAATTTATATTTTAATGTTTTTATTTGAATAATAATGATAAAAAATTAAAAAATATTTGTTATTTTTTGAAAGAATTCTGAATATTTACAAATCAAAAAATTATTAATTATTATTTTTGTTATTATTAATTTGGCGCTGTTTAGATCAATTAACTTTATCTTATTTTTGTTATACTCAAATAATTAATAGGACTTTCCAGTTTTAATAAAATAAGAAAATACAAGCATTTCTTGTGGATAAGTATTTCTAAATTTAAAAACTAAAAATAAAATTTATACTTACATAATATGCAAATAGTAATTAAGCACTCTAAGACTGACTTTAACAAAATAATTGAAATCTTCAATTATTGTTCAAAATTAAAATATTAATGAATGAATTTAGTCATAAAGACTTTAGATATTTATTAATATAAAAATATTTTTAAAAATAATATAATTAATTAGACTTATCTAGATAGATTATGAAAAACATAAATATTTTAATTTGAAAAAAATTTATTTTATTCAAAATTTGTAGATTGGTCATGCTTGTAAATATTTTTATGTCAAAAATCTGACACAACCACTTCCAAATGAGGACTAGAAATATAAATTATGCTTTTTTTTCTAATTTTCTGCTTATTTTTAATTAATCATATTAAAATCTTAAGTATATGTTCCAGGTCCTGGAGTTTAGTTTTTATAGGTGTCAAAGAAGGAGCAACGGTCAGAAGTACCAAAGGAAGATTTTTAAGAGTTATTGAATTATGTTTTAAATCTTTAACTTGAATTAAAATTGAATGATTTTGATTTATTTTAAGTGATAGTTGAAGATTAAACTGTTGGAATACTCTGCTATCTATGTAAACTATCCTAATTACTGCTTGAATCATGATATGTTTTTAACTTATTTTGTTAACTTTTCTAATCGTTATCATTTTATTCAACCTCTTCATCATTTTCTTGAGTATTTAGTGTGTTTCCAAAAGTCATTCGTCTTTCTTCTGTGGAATCAAAGTGAACATTTACTGAAGATGTTTTTTTCAGCTAAAAGGTGCTAAATTTATCAGAGTCATAGTAGTGGCCTGGAGGAGGTACCTCAGAAGTACCTAAAAGTCTTTATTAAAATCAAATATTATTTTTAAAATTAAACTTTCAAATTAATAAAATTCATGTCTAAAATTTAAAATAAATGAATTAAACTCAAAAAATGAAAGCTGTAATAAATAGTATGAATATTTATTTAATTTAAGCAACAACTAAAATTAGATGCTTTTGTTGAATTAAGCTTTTATTTTTTTACTTTTAACGAAGTACAAATAATTCTATGCTTGAGTTTTCAGGTGAAGGATCAAATTCATCAGTTTTAGCTTAATCGAATATATTTCTTGATATTTTTCCTTTCTTTAAAGTTCCTTATCTCAGCAACTATCTTGAAGGATCTGCTTTTAAAGTTCTTAACCTTTCTGTCTCTATTTTAGGAAGCAACCCAATCTTAGGTATTTTATTTTCTACTACAATTTAAACTTACTATTGATTTTAAAGTCTTTCTTATGAAGACTCTTTGTTTAATTTATTAACAGGTTATATTAACTGGGACTAAATCCTTTTTTTTACACTCTAAAAAGAAGGATTGTACTGAGCAGGACCTGGAGATACGTTTTGATTTTTTATTTCATTGTTATATTTTTCCATTAGTTAGAATAAACCAATGCCATAATCAGGAGAAAGTTCAATTGCATTTTTTATATTTTTAAATGTGCTTTTAAACACTCCTTTTTTATTACTTTAGTATACTTGAACTAAATCTTAAATATTTAAATCTGTATGCTTGGGTGAACTGCCTGAAAGCTAAGATGTTGGACTGGCATCGTTGCTTCTTGAATCAAATCGAGGTGCTTAACTGAAGGAAACTTTGAATTCTTTTGGTTGGATTAATGATTTATTTTGCTAATAGTTTATTTAAAAAGTAATTGAATTAAATTTATAAATTATTAATTAATTCATTCATTTATTTATAGAGATTGAGTATTTAAATGCTCAAATTCATACATAATATTATGGGTTTGGGTAGTAATTTCTCGGTTCCTCAAATGAGCTTTTCTTAATTGATTGAGAAAACTTCATTTTAAATAATTTGTTGAATATATATCGAATTAAATTTTAGTAGTAGTTTCTGATTTTATTAAAACAACCAATTAATTAATCAATAGATCAATCAATCTACATAATTTTCAATCAAATAAATCCTCTAAATGCAAAAAGAGTAATTATTTATTATTTTATTACTTTTCAAACTATTAAAAAATTAGTCACTCACTTTTAACAAAAAATTTGTTAGGAAGGACACAAGTAAAAATACTTTTAAAGACATTTTTTAAATCATAAAAAGAAAGATAGATCTACTTCAAATGAATTTTTACATAAATAAAATTATCATATCATTCATTTTGTATTTATTTTAAATGAAATAAATCAATATTAAAATTAAAGAAGTACAAGCAGCAATTTGTTGATTAATTGATCTAACATAAAAAGCATATGTTAATTAAAAAAAATTTATTTTATGTAGTTATTTTAGAATCATACATCTTATTAGATTATTTTAATCAGTTAACAATATTATAGTAAAATTAACTATTATTGTAAAAAAAAAAACTAAATTACTCTAAATTTTTTATTCAAATATTTATGAATGTAATTTAATTGAGGCAAAAATTTATAAATTTTCACAATATATTTCAGAGAATATTATACACATATACATTTATTTATTTATATATATATATATTGAAAAATTAAACAAAATAAATTAAATATATAAACAAATAAAAAAAGAATATTTTTGAAATTAATTTCTTTTAATTAACGTTTAAAACTTTGATAATGAGATTTATTTGTTTTGATTTAGTGATTAAATTTTTTAGAGTGAGTAATTTTAATATTTAAATATATTGTTTTAACAAATATGTAGAAATAAGATATTCTAAGTTTGATAAATTTGATATAGATTGATAGATAGATACTAGCACTTTTAAAACTAAATTTATAATTGTGAATGATTGGATAATAAAAAAGATTTTTAACTGTAAAATACATTTAAAATTTAAGGGACTTAGTAATTCAAAGACATTCTTTATAGATACTTTGTATACTAATTATAAATGTGTTGATTTATTTATTTAATAGTCCATGCTACTTACTTGGTATTGATCTATCAAAGAACATAAAAATGAATGCTGCAATGATCAATATAAAAAATATAATATTGTTTTTAATACTGAATAGCAAGCAAGCAAACAAAAATAGTAAAGAAAATTAAGCAGAAACTAAGAAAGAAATTTAGTGTAATTAAAGCAAAAATAATTAATTAAATACAGATAATACTATGAAAAGCAATACTACCAAGGAAAAGGCGCCAAAAACAGAAGCAACAAAAACTAAGTTAGACAGAGAACTAATTAAGAAGCTTCATAAAATTTTAAATAACTTAATAAATGATCCCGAATCTGGCGAATTCAGGAAGCCTGTTTACTATAAAGCTCTTGGATTAGAAGATTATAAAAAGATTATAAAGAAGCCAATGGATTTAAATAGTGTTCGCAGAAATTTGAACAAAAATTCATATGAGTTTCTTGAAGAGGTTCTTGATGATATATAATTAGTTTGGAATAATTGCAAGTTATACAACGAGCAAGGATCAGTAAATGATAAATTAATTTTAACTGGATTCGTTATTTTAAAAATAATTTTTTTCTATGCATTTGTTAAAAGTGTTGAAAATGCATTCGTGATCAGCTATAAACTTCAAATAAACTTAATTTTTTTGCTTTAAGTATTATTTTTTAAATAAAAAAGTGGATTTATTTAACTGCAGTCAAGCTTGAAACGTTTTTCCATGACCAATGTTTAGAGTAATTCCCAAACACACCTCTGCCTAGCAACAAAATACGTATAAAATTGAATTTATCAGTCTTTTAATTATTTATTTAGAAGCTAACTTTAAATTAATTGCTAAATTATAAATCTACAAAGAATAAATGAAGAGAATATCTTTTTTGTAATTCTAACATTAATGATAATTCTAATTTATATTTGTTGAAAAACGAATGAAAATTTTATTTAAATTTATTATAGCCGATAGAGCCCTCCTATTATAGTAATATAACGAGAAGAGCAATAAACAAAAGTAATCTCAGTCTAATAAAGATTAAACTAATGAAGAAGAATAAAAAGGAGCTTCAAACACTTTGCCTCTACCAAAATTGGCAAATCAAAGTTCAAATACATCAACTTCTAATCCTTAAACTATTGCTCAGTCTTTGATTACAACATAATCTGAGTTTAACCAAAATAAGCAATCTCAAAATGGAAATAATTCAGCTTAAGCATCTCTTACTGCAGCTAATCAATCAAAGACTACAAATATTGATCTGCCTTTTAAATTTACTAAAAAAGGTATAAAAAGAATATCATAAAAATAAGTTGTTCATATACCTTTTATGAAATTTGCTAATGATAAATAAAAATTTGATTAGCTTATACAGACTACCAAAGCAGTCTCTAAGCTTTTAACAAACCAACAAAAGCAAGTAAATAAATAAATAAAATTAAAAAATTGGATTATAAATCATTTTTAATAAACAGATAATAGATATAATTCAAGAGTTTTAGCCTTCAATTATACAAACAGTAAAATTTTTGAAAGTAATTTAACTCTTATATAGATCATTTTTTTAAAAATAAAAGGATGAAAATGAAGTTAAAAATGTTGATTTTAATTAAGTGTCAGAGTATACCTATGAATTGATAACTTCCTATCTGAATTTACTTAAAAATCAAGAATCAAGTGAATAAGTAATGGAAATAGAATCTGATGATGAAAATAATATTGAGATACTAAATAACTAGCAATCAAACAATGTATCTTTAAACGTATGATTCAATAAAAGTAATAAAAACAAACTTAAGCTAAATTAATCTAATATAATGAAATTATTTTAAAATAAAAAAACAAACTCTTAGTAAATCTATTGCATAGTTAATTAAGGTGGTAATAACTCAAATTTCATCAAACATTTTTAATATGTATGTATATCCAAAGTATTTTTATAAAAATTATTTGAATATAAATCAGAAAATAAATAATTTAGCTTACAAAGTATTTAAAAACGTTTATTTTTCTTAAAATATAAAGTAGAGTAAATAAGAAATTCTTTTTCAAATTAAAATTTATTTTGATAACAAATGAATTTAATTGAAATTTTACTTTTATTATTTGAAATAAGATTAAAATCTACACTCAAATAAAAAAATTTTGAATTGAAGGATAATTTATTAATAAAAAAATATTTTACTATGTTGTTAAAATTCCTAGATAACTAAGAATAACTGATACATGAATTTATTGAAATTTTCTATTTAAAAATAATTCCGATTCTTCAATTATTAATATGGCTTTTTTATGAAAAACAAAAAAATAATGAATGAATGCCCTTCAATTTTCTAAAAAGTTTTTATAATTCTTTATCAATAAAAATTGAAAAGTATCTATCTATCAATCTATTGAAGTGTCTTTCATTCATCCTATTTTCAGAAAATTAATTTATATCATCAGATGAAAAATACAGTTTCTATTTCCTTTTTACTGTTTATGATTATAATAAATGAAAATAAAAATAAAATTTTTATTTATATTTACAAAATGTCTTAATTATGTTCTATTTTCAGAAAATTAATTTATATCATGAAATTTAAAAGACACTTTTAATAATTTACTTACTGTTTAAGAAAAATGAATTTATTTTAAGTAATGAAAATAAAAATAGAATTTTTATTATAAAATTTGATAAAATAATTACAAATATAAAAGAATGCACGAATAATAAATATATACAAAATATCTTAATTATAAAATAGATTTAGAAAGGTTCAAATTTTTTAAAATTTATTTATTTATTTATTTTATGATTATTTCCTTTCATTCTTGATTTATCAAATTAGATTGCATTTTTATTCAAATTTCTTAAAAGATTTAAATAATTTTTTTTATGAAATATCTTAGAAGAGATTTAGATATCATTATTTTTGAAGGTAATAGGATTTCTTTTGAGCTGAAAATGTTGATGTTATTGATGAATGTCTGTTGTGCGAATATGGAGAGAAATTCTCTGCAGCATTTCTTTTATGAGAATACTATCTGAATATCCTTTCTTAGTATGCACTCTAGGCTAGATCATTATTACGTTTTGGAGTGGCAGCTTTGGAACCATTCATATGCTGGGGTGTAAATTCGTTTATAGCACTTGTATTAGCTGAAAATTATTCTACTTATTAGTATGCCTGCTTTTATGGTGTGGCACGAATAGAATAGGTATTTGGTGGTCTTGATGAACTATTGGTAATTACACTGCTTATTCTGGAGTTGTTTCCATTAAATGAAGTTTTTACATTCTACTAAGCATGATAGTTGTAATTACTGTTAGTAAAATCAATAGTATATTACTTTTAGCTACTTCCGTTGTTTTAGTTATTCTGATTATTACTTAATGTATTGCTAACATTCTCAAATGTTTGTAGCTACTGGTTTGTGTTCTGGGAGTTTTGTGAGTATTTACGCATGATTTCACTTCCTTTAATATTAGCTGCCAGTTGTATTGAGGATTGTAATGATTCTAATTCATTTCTTAAGTGAACATCATGGTGAGCTTATTCAATTAAGTATTTAAGCATTTCTTAATTTTTTTCATGTTAACTAACTTGTTAAGCTCTTTCTTCTTATGTTTAGAAGAGTTATGTAGGTTGCTAGTTGGTTGAAATACGTATAGATCTATTATGATAAACAGGAGTGTGGTTAGATATATTATTATTCTGTTATGATAATTATTGCTGCTATTACATACACTGAGTAAAATTTGTGCTCTTTTAGTATATATTTTCAGTCTTAGAAGGAGTTTGATTCAATTCAATTGATGAGCGGCATTGTTAATTCTCTTTTTAGCACTCGTCAATACTGATTTTAATATTCTCTTATGAAGGTATATTATCAAAGTCTCTGGACTTTTAAATAGCAGGAGTAACAGTCACGGCAGCAGGGTTTTAATGCTTAGCATATTGTTGGCTATAATTATCAGAGATATTTTATGCTTGAGATTATTATATTTGATTGTAATTAGAACTGTTTCTAAGAGGATTCTGACCATAATTATTTTATTAACTTTGCTAAGTTTAAAGATTTTCTAATTATTATTTAGGAGTTCCTTGATTGAAATTTTAAGCTGGTACTTGATTAGTCTATTCACTAAGTTACTTGTACTATTACTAATTGAATTGTATATCTTATTGAATGAGCTAATCAATTTTTTCTTCTGAGATTGGGTAATTGAGTAGAGAATAATCCCCTGTTTGCTTCATTTTAATGAGCTCTTATAAAGTGTATAGTTAAAGGAATTCTTCAATTACCATAAATCCTCCTCCAACTCTGCAAACAAGTTTTCCTTTGAGCAGTTTAACGATGATTCTTTTAGTACCAAAGTTATACAAACCTTCATCAATCCTAACGAATTTAATAGGTGTTACATTATTGCTTAAAAACTCACAGAGTTTTTCATCAATTTCATCTCCCTTTTTGGCATTATAATTTAACTAATGGGAAGGATTTCTAAGAAGCAAGTCTTCAATCATCTTTTCTAGTCTCTTCACTTCAGCTGAAAGTTAGGTTATCACTTGTTATTAAGATATTGATTCAGTTGTTTTTTTCAATAAATCTTCTGTCACTGCGTACAAATCCATGTTAATCTTTTCCTTTTCTGATTCTAAATCACTTACAGCTTTTTTAAGTTGTTCGGTTTCACTTTGATTGAATTCCTAATTTTATGATAGAAATAAACCAATCAAATCATTGATTTTTAAATAATTTTATTTTTTTAAAAATATTTACAAGTATTTTTATTTTTTCTTATTGAGTTTGCAGTTTAACTTTGTAGTCTTTGTTCTAATAGGTGAGCTCATTTATAAAAGTAGATTTTTGATTTAATTCTTCAACTAGTTTCTTCATGGAAGCACTTTCATCTTTTGTCTAATAAAATTAATTAAAAATATATTTTTCATTTTTTTCAGATTTAATTATTACTTTATTGATTTTAGCTTCATTATTAGTTTATTGTTACTTTTGTTGCAGCTCTTCCAGCTTTTTTGAGAAGTTTTATTTTGTTTTGAGCAAATGGTCTTCCAAAGTAGATCTAAGTTATTCAGATTCTTCGATTTATGTTTTTAATTTAGCATTTTCTTCTGAAATTGCTTTTAAATTATCTGATATTGCCTTAAAATCCTCAGACTTACTCTCTGAAGAAGACTAAAGTTAACTTTCTAGTGAGCTTATATTCTCATTTAATTGCTTAATTTTCATCTCTGCTTTTTAAAGAGAAAATTCTATCTGAGCTTTTTCAGTTTCTAGCTAAGTTAATCTTAGAGATTTATCTTTGATGATTTTTTCAAAATAAGCAAACTCTTCCTCAGTATATTTCTTTGAAGAGTTAGTCTAACAATTTGATGATTTTTCTAAGTTTTGAATGTCTGAATTGGACAAAAGACTTGGATTGTTGATTGTAGTTGAATTATCTCCTTGCAAGGTACTTTGGTTCTTAAATTTTTATTGAAGAATTTCAATTTCCTTTTACATTTCAATCATTTTGGCTTGATATTCAACACTCTCGTTTTGAGACTCAAGCAAAAGTTGACTGTATTGAGATATTTCTTGCTTGTGTTTAATTAAAATATCATGAATTTTTTAACTCATTTAGTCCTAAGTTAACTCTTTTAACTCACTTTCCTTTAATAGTTCTTCTTATAAGTCTTTCTTTAAATTTTACTGCATAATCTCCTTTTACAATTTTGATTTCTCTTGCTTTAATTTATCTTCAAATGAATCTTTCAATTCTTAAATTATTTTATCCTTTTATTAGCTTTCTTTCTCGATAGCAACAATCCTAACAAAATAACATTCGTCATTAAAAATTGTTTATTTGTGAATCAAATTTACTTTTTCTTTAGCTCTAAATTTTCTTAATTGATCTCTGCAAAATACTTCTGATAGTTATCTACAGCTTTGTTATACCTTGAAGTAATAAAATATAAAATTGTAATAAAAGTAAAAATTGTAATTTTTTTACTAGTTCAACAGATTCTCATTATTTCTTTCTTAATTAAATAGTTTTAACTTTAAATCTCTGGCTAGCTGTTCGATTTCTTATTTCTTTTCAAGTTCAAGTCTTAATTTTGCTATTTCTCCTTCTAAATCGCATTTATTTCTTCTAGTCTATTCAGGACTTCCTTGCTTTTTACTTAACTAATGTATTCCACTTAGAGATAAATTGATATTATTGAGATACTAGTCATTATTTTCAATTAAATCATCCTCTATATAGTTTTGACTCTCATTTAAACGCTTTAAAATTTCTGTTAAATTGTTTTTTTCTAAATCCTTTCTGTGGCTCTCATTTAATTACCTTGTGACTCCTAAGATCTATATAAAATTACATATTAATAATTTTACTCCAAATATCTATCTATCTTACTAATGATTGATTCTTAGTTTCCATTAATTTTTCTATAAGCTCTTAAAATTTATTCTAGAAAACAGCTGAATTCTCCATAATACGTTATCTTTCAGGTGTTAATACAAGTCTACTCTCAATATTATGTATTGACTATTAAGTCTGTTCTAGCTCTTCTCTATTCAATATTGGGGTAAAATCGTATTTCCTCTTTTCGTCTTTGATAGGAAAATTAACGCATGGCTAAAGAGTGGTATTGAGGTTAACCCTTTCTGTATCCACTGGTGTTTTAAAAGGATCTTCTACTTTCTTTGCATTATCTTATTCATTAACCACAAACCTCATTTTTATCCTAGCATTTCCCTCATAACTTTGCTTTTAAGAAGATACATGAGGAGATGAATCCCCATTTTGTAACACTGATAAATTAATCCTATTATATATTTTTAATAATCATTTTTAAAGAAATCCAAATTGTAAAATCAATGAAGTATTACCATTAATCTATCGAAATGTTATTTGACTCTGCAAAAATGGAAAGACTTATATTTACAGTGGCAATTAGCCTTTGTGAAGAAAGAGTTTTTAATTATACCTTTAAAAATTAATTTTCTCCTTTGAGCAACTTGAATTTCGCTGAATTTTGAGGATCATTTAGAAGAAGAAGATCGAAAAATTGATTGTTTACATTTTTACTATCTTTTTCTTCTGTAAAAACTGTAAGACAGCATGAAATATCATTCAAAGGAGGTTTATCTTCCACCTAGTTTAATTCTAAATCGCGCACAGAGACTGTTATGAATCTCTGTTGCTACTTTGCAGCCTAATTCATTTTCCTTTAATTGTTTTTTTAGAAGCTAAATAAAATATATCTTTGATTGAAACTTGCTTTTTATTCTAAGGCTTATTTAAAGAATGGCGATTTTTTATTTAATTTTATTTAGTTATGATATTTGAGCCAATATTTAATTACAATTAACAAAAATCAGAAAACAAACTAATATTTGTCAACTATTTTGATTAATATTATGAATTATTATTATTTTTCTCAATATTAATTATTGCTCATAGCTTGCATGCTTGCTAAACAAATTAATAGTGTTAAAATCTATCAGTTAAAATACACATTTATACAAGCAAATATAGCTGTTGATTTTTCATATCATAGTCAATAATTTAATATTAATTTTTATTTGCAAATTTGTAAAAACAATTTAATACAATTTTTAATAACAAATTCCTACTGAATTTTTATTCTATAAATTTAATCAAACAAATATCCAATAATTTAAGATCAAAATAATAATTAAATTAAAAAAAATATTTTTATTGACAAAAAAAACATTTTTAAAATATTAATTAAAATTAGAAGATTTATTTTTATTAATTACTTAATTAAAATAAATTAAGCATTTTTTGAATTAAATTTATGAAATAGGTAATTAATAATTCTCTATTAAAAATTATTAAATTTATCAATGAACCCTCAATTTATTTTTTTGTAAAATATTTTGTATTTATTAGAAAAACACTCTTTGAGTAGGATGTTTTTTTCTTTTTTATGCTAAAATGAAATTTAAGAATAACTACATATTTAAGTTGGTTAAAAGTTTTGGAGAGAAATATGTTTTAGAACTATCTTATATCAATAAATAATTTTAGGATTGCAATTTTTTTTAGCAAACAAAAAATTTATAATCATATTAAATATTTTCTTACTCTTTAAAGCAAAAACGTAATTTTTTTTACTCGTAATTATTTAAAATAATAAATACGAGTTTTTAATCAGGTAAAAATAGATTTCAATCAATATTGATGAAATTTATTGGATTTTTACCATCAAAAAATTTTGATATGCTAAATTTCATGATAAGTTATTCAAAAATAAAAAAAATATAAATAATTAATATAAATCATAACTTATTAAGATATTAATTAAAAAAGAAATATATATTTTTGGATTTGCTTAATGGAAAGAGAATCAAACAATACTTTAATTTCTTCTGCAACTTAATCTGCAACGAGTGAGCTTTTAAAAGAAGTTTTACCATCTGCATGCTTTGGGATACTAAACATTATTTTAGGAACTCTTTACATTGTTTTTTCAGATAAAGCTGAATATAATAATAATTGTGGTAATAAATAATTCAAAAATTGGGGTTTGGCTTATGGTATTTTGTTAAATACGGGTGGAATAGCAGTATTTAACTTTTTAGTATAATCTTACTTATTTTAATCAAATAAACAATATGAATTTTGGAGTAAATGCTTTCTTTATGTAATGGTAATCCCTTATGTCATATGTCCTCTTGGATTATTTATTGTAGGAGATTCATCATGTGGTTACTTATTCTCTATGAATATAATCCTTGTAGTAATTGTTATTTTAGAAATAATAGGCGGCTTGGTTATTTGTTATTATTTATATTCATCAGGAATGAAAAAAGCTTTTAGATGAGTAAAAAATTATATTTTATTGCTTTTGATAAATCAAGTAATTGAAAATTCTCTTGATAAGAAAATATTTATAACTAAAATCGAATACTCAACAAATTATCAATTTAATATTTTTATATATTTAAATATAAAGCATTTGCATGCTGCACCTTTGGATAAATTAATTTCATTTTAACAATAAATTTTCTGAGTTATAAAATAATTTCATTCATTTATAGGCTCTTTTAGGCTTTATGTTTGATTATAGAAAGTAAAAATGTTATAAGGCTACTAACAAAGGAATTAATTAATTTAAGTTATTTTTATTTTTGGTGGTGTTAAATAAACTTTTTAACTAAAAAATATTTATTTAGGTAAATATTTAATCAATCAAATTTAATATCAAGCTAAATTTTAATCACAAGGATATAGAAAAAATTAGATAAGATTGTCTAAAATTGTATTTAGAGGGATGGATTTGTATATTGAATAGATTTGAAATTGAATGGAATTTATTTAATCGACATAAAAATAAATAATATAATATAATGGATAAATTTAATTACATTTTAATTAATTAATTAATTTGAAATAATTTAAAACAAATAAAATTATTTATTTGAAAAAAATAATTAATCTAACCAAACTAACTAACTAAGTAAGTAAGTAAGTATTCGTTTGTTAATCAATCAATCAATCAAATATTTATCAATCAATTAGAGTTATAAAGTTATTATTCTAAACAAACTAAAGTTATGATGATCCTTAAATATTTATCAATTTGATCTTTTGATAGGAAATCTAACAACTGGCTGTACCTGTTATCACCATACTTCTTTTCTAAGAGATCTAGATTATAATCTAATTTTTTTAGCTTGAATAAAAAATAAATTTAGTAACTTGTTTGCCTAGTTTAAAAAATCTTACTTCTTCACTCATAATTTTGTATGCTTTAGTAAAATTATCAGACAATTTTTCCTCTAATTCAATATAAAGATGTTCTAGCTTTTCGTGGCCATTGCCAATTATATTTATTGATTCTTGCTCGTCCTGGGCAATTTATTTAGGCTGTAATTTTGGAGGCTCAGGGAAATCATCCAAAAACTTACCTGTGTTTTAGAGACGTTCAGGTTCATCAGAGTCATCATCTCTGATGACTTCTTATTCATCTTCTTCTTCCTATGTCGTTAAGCTTTCCTTAGACTTATTTGGTTAATTGAACTTCTTAGTTTTTTAAGTCTTTGTGAAATCGAAGAAATCATTTCTTGCAAATTTTTCATCTATTTAAAGTTTATCAGCATTTTCAACTATTTCTTATAATTATTACATTAATTCCAAGCACTACTTGGGATCAGCTTCGCTGACAATATTAAACTCTGTATTATCTTCATTTTATAAGTAAGTTTCTTCTCTGACAATTTCTGGAAGTTTGCTAACGTTCTCTTCTATGTCTTCTGGTATTTCCTGAGCTGTAATATCAGCCTTTCTATTATTTAAATCATCGCTATCTGAGTTATATTCGTCTAAATCTTTTTCTGTTTTTGATTATTTTTTCTATAATTTTTTATCTTATTTATTTTCTTCATCACTATTGTATTCATCTAGCTTATCTTCACTTTTTTATTTTGCTTAAGTAGGTTTTTTCTTTGATTCAAATATTTGAATGTCCCAATCGTCCTTTTTATTATTTACCTTTTAAGGCACGCTCCACTTTTTGACAGGTACTTTTTGTTTCTTTTCGAGCTATTCATTTGAAGTATTATCCTAATCTGATTCCTTTTCTAATTAGTTATTGCTACTAGGAGTGCTTCCACCTATTTTATTTTCTACAAACTCGATTTATTTCTCTCCTCCTTTTTACCATTTCTTTATTTTTTTATATGATTTAACTAATATAATTAATATTAATATTTATTTACTCTTCTGTCTTTTATCATTTATTCTCTTTGTTCATCAATCTTTTTTTGTTTATCCTCCTTTTTCTTGAGAAGCTCTTCTTCCTTTTCTTTTTATAGTTTCATTTCATAATCTTTCTTTTCTTTCTCTGACTTTTATCTTTGTATTCTCTGCTCCATAATTTTCTATTTAGCTTCTTCATCTTTCTTTTGCTGAATTACTTTTTTATCAGAAACATTTTGCTAATTATGGCTAGATCCTGACCTAGCTACTGCTGGTTTACTATTATTTCTTTTCTCTCCACCACTTTTTGGGGGATTGTAAGATGGTTTACTTGCAGGAAGTTAAATATTTTTTACAGGCACTACTGGCTGCTTATTTGGCTTGAAATTAGGATTTGCAAAAACAGCCATACCTCCTGCTTAAACTTCTTCACGTTTTTAATTAATTTGATTTAGCTATAGTTGTCTCTATTTATTTTCAAATGCTATTTTTTGCAGTTCTCTTTCTCTCTCTTCTCTTTGTTTTTCTTTAAGTTCTTATTCCTTCTATCTCTTATATCGGGCTTCCTTTTCTTATTCTAGCTTTTGATATGCTAGTTTCTCCTTTTCTTATCTTATGCGTTCTTATTCTTTCTTCTTTTCTAACTCCAATCTGTCTCTCTCTAATTTCAGACGTTCCATTTCTTTTTTTCTTTCTAAATCTTAAGCAACTTGCTATTGAATATTATTATTTTGAACCTAGTCATTTCTTGCAGACTATGGTCTGTAATTATTTGCATAATTTTATACAGGGTTCTATTATGGTTTATAGTGGAAATTAGCTCCCTTTTAAGGCTGAGGAGCTTATTACTACTATTGAGGTGGCTACTAAGGAGGTGGATTTTAAGGCTTCTATTATTAATTTTGATCTTTTTAATCTTTATTCATGTATTGCTAAATTAAATGAGGTGGACAAGGTTATTCTTAGTTTACCATTTTAATGTCAGCCAAATTAACTTTTGCATCAATTATCTAAATTAAATTTAATAAAAATAAATATTTACTTATTCTAATATATCAGAAAAGTGAAAAAATTTTAAATACTCAATTTAAAATAAGCAAACAAACACATAATTGCTGTTTAAATTTAACAAAATATCATTTACTTACTAGTTAAAAATTTAAACAAACGTCTATAATTTTAAATTTACTTTATTATGAAGAATGGTGTGTGAGAATTCAACTTGTCTTATTGTTTCAGAAAGGAAATTTTTAACTCTCTCTTAAATAATAGGCATTTTCATAATATCATTAATAGAAGGTCTTCTAATAGCATCAACTTATAGAAGGTTTGATACTAAGTTTTTCATTTCTTTTGAGAAATGAGTTGGAATTGGCGAATATTAACCTTTAACAATTTTCAAAGCTAAAAAGTGCAAAGAATCAGCATTAAAAGGTGGCTTTAATGCACAAAGCTCATATAAAATGACTCCCAAAGACCAAATATCAGTCTTGAATGAATATGGTTTGCTTTCAATAATTTCAGGCGATAAATAATAGGGCGTTCCTACCATTGTTTTTGCCTTTTCTACTGTCTTACTCAAAACTCTTGCTATTCCAAAATCACCTAGCTTTACAATATGGTTCCTTGTCAAAAAAATATTCTGTCCTTTCAAGTCACGATGAATAATTTTTCTATTTTTAAAAGATTAATTCATTCCTGTTCAAATATAATCTTTCTTTAAACTTAATTTTATTTTTGTTATCCTGAAATGCAAAATAAGTAAATAAATACCTATCATGAACGTGCTTCATAGCCAAACAAATTTAAGTAAACCAATCTAAAATTTATTTTTCCTAAAGATATTTTCCTCTAGCATCCTTAACTACCTTTGCCAAATCACCACCTATAAAATATTTTAAAAATTGCTCATTTTAGAAACAAACTTTGCTTTCTTATCAGTAAATAAATGCTTAATATTTTGTTTGATATATTACTAAATAGAAAATAAATTACCATCTGCATATTCCATAATAATACATAACTTTCCCTTCTTGGTGGTATAAACGTCCTTAAATTTAACTATGTTAGGGTGATTTAATTGCTATAAAATTCTTGCCTCTTTTTATGTTTCACGTTTTTCTTCTGTAGACATTGCCTTCATGTCCATCTACTTCTAAACCAGTAATTCATGTGTACGCAAATCTTCTACTAAATAAGCCTTACCAAAGGCTCCTTCACCTAGCAATTTAATTCTCTTGTAAAGTTCATATTCAGCAGCTTACTATTGATTTGCTGATGGTGCCTAAGTTGGTCTCATCTCTATTTAATATGTTTTTAACCTAAGCAAAATTATATATATAGCTTTATTATTTAATTTATCTAAATATGTATTTTTCTTATTAGCTTTATCTCTTGATACTTCTTTACTTGTTAATTTTTATGGATATCAAACAAAAAATATATAAAAATATTAATTATACGATATAACCATTCTTGATAAATGGGAAATTTTTATTACAATTTTACAAAAATTCTTAACACTCTTGATTCTAAATCATCCAGCTCTTTTATTCAAAAATAGTTAGATAGTTAGTGAGCATTTTTAATTCACTGATATATTAATATTAAATTAGATATTTTGTATAGGAAATTTTTAAATAAAGTTACAAAATGAATCTATTTTATTCTATTTTGTTTGAACATCAACAAGAAATATCCATGAATTTATATAATTAAATCCTCAATTAACAAAGTAGATAAATATGTGGTTATTGAACTATTTCTTAGACCTTTTATAAATATTCACAAGTAAGTATTCAATTTACTTTAAAAGCTTGAGATTCGATATGCAATTTAATTTATGTGCTTGATTAATTGATCTATTTATAGGTCTAAACCTTAATAATTAATTTTTCTTGTTTATTTGTGAAGCAATAATATAAAGTTATAACTTAAATTTTATCAAAAATATTTTCTATTTAAACATGTCTTTTATTCATAAATAATTAAAATACCTTTTAGTGACTTTGTAGATTCTGATTATTTAACATATTTTTAGTCTATTTACAAAATAAGTTATAAATTTTAATTTAATCAGCATTAATTCATAAAAAATCCTTCAAACTAAATGGATTATTTTTTACTAAAAGCAATATCTATTTAAAGTCAATAATCATTTTAAATTAAGTAATTCTTTCCTTATCATCTACTTAAAAAAAGCTATTAAATACTAAATTCAAATTGAATTTTAATGATTTATTTATTATATATTTCTAATCCAGGTATTAAAATATGATGAACTGGATAGCATTATATTTTAATACCTGCATGGATTAAGTTTAATTTAAAATGAAAAAAATAAATTAAAACATTTATGAAAAAGTAAATCAAATCAATATTCAATAAAATTCATAAATTGAATATAATTTATAAATATATATATATAGAGTTAAATGCCATTTCGATTTACAATAAGCGAAATTTAATGTTTTGATTTAATTAAAAGTCTACTCAATATATTTTTAGATAAAAAATTAAATTTTTTTAAATTTACATTGTTGTTATATAAATTTACTTATAATTAATTGAAAATACTTATTTAGCTTTTACACTTTAGTTAGTTTTTAAAAACATTGATTTATAATTATAAATAATTTTTAGCTATTATGCTAAGTATTTTAACTTACTTTTATTTACAAATAGTTTTTTTAGAAATTAAATAAAAATGAGAGCTTTTAAATTAAGCAAATTAAACTCATTTTATTATTTTTAATAAATATAAATCAATAATATTATCAAATAAATAAATTTTAATTATACTTGATTACAATCAATTTTATAATTTATTTATTTATTATTTGAAAAATTAAATAATTTGTTTATATTCTATTTGAGATTAATTTTAATAATAAATGAATGATTTAGGAAAAACATCTTATATAATTTTTTAATCAAAAATGGATAATTAAAATTATTATTGTAAAAATAATTAATGAATTTATTAAAAAGATATATTTGTTATCAAACATATTATTCTCTAATCAGTTATTTAAAATAATTGTCTAATAAATTATCTAAATATTTAAAGTTCATAATCAAAAATTAAATCATATGTAAAATATCTAATAAAATTAAAATTTAATCATATTTAAAATTATAAAAATTGTATAATATTATGAAAATTTATTTTGTAAGATAATATATAAATCATTAAAAAAACTTGTTTTTTCGTTTTTTCTAGAAAATCTTAGTTTTTTACTGAATTTTACTCTTGTTTTTTTATTTAAAAATTAACATATATTTGCATTTATACTCTAGTCCCTCAATTTAAGCTTGGAGTAAGATCACTATATATTTACATATCTATTATATCTAGAACACTTTCTAAAAGGCAGAGATTAATTATTTATAAAATACTAAAAATATTGCTTTATATTTAAAATTAGACAAATATAATCGAAATAAAATGATATTTACAGATTTAATTATAGATAAAAATAAAATAACATTCCTTTAGTTTTATAATTGATAATTATTCTATTTTTTTTTATTTTTTTCATTTGCCATTTTAATTCTAGCAAAATAATGAATTTAACTATATTAAATGCTTTTTATAAATTAAATTTACAAGACAAAATTTACAGAATAAAATTTCTAAACATTATATTTTTTCATTTTTTCATTTTTTTTTATTGAATTTGTCACAACTTCACATACATTCTTGGTAGTCAAAGATTTTAAATAGTATTTGAAAAAATTAAATAGATTGAATATATTGAGATAGTTTTATAATTTATTTATTTTACTGAATTATCAATATGATAAAAAATTTTATTTTAAGCTACTAGCCATGTATTGTTGATAAATATTTTTCAATTTCTTTTTAAAGTTGATTAATAATATTAGAGCACAATTTATTTATGTTAGACGAAATAAAAATAAATGTAAATGCTTTTGAATGAATGAAGTGTTAATAGTATTTATTTAATTAGTTTAAAACAAAATGATATTACGGTATTAGATAATTAAAAATAATACGTTAGTAAGGTAAACCTGAGCAATTAATTAAAATATGTAATTATATGATTAAATATTTGAATAAAAGTTCACTAAAGAAAAAAATAATTTAAATTATTTGAACAAGAAGGAATTTAAAGTATTTTGGGAAAATACAAAATTAAAATATAAATTCAAGCTATTAGATTTTTAAAATTTATCATCAAATTAGTTGATAAGCTAATTAATTTGGCTTCAACAAAAAAAAATAATTGAAATTTAGAATTTGCAGTCATTGTTTATTGTTTGCTTGCTTTTAGAATATTTATCTATTAAAATATAAAAATGAAAATTTAAAATCAATTAACAATCAAATTATTTAAACTATTTCTTATCTATCAATATGTCTAGTTTTTTTTAAAAGAAATTTCAGGAAGGTTGCGCAACATATGTAAGATACTAAAAGAAAATAATGATATAGGCTAAAAGATAAAAACACAAGCCTTTTTTTCAGATTGAAAATTAAAAAGACTTGCGAAATAAGTAAATTTCACTAATAGTAAAGCTTTAAAATAAATTAAACACTCAAAAAAATATAAAATCAGTAAGATACATATATACATACATACAATCTTAAATAAATCAAACATTTAAAATGGGCCCTAAGAACAAAAATAAAAATCAAAAGAACAAAGCAGCTGCTCAATAAGAGTAAAAGGAAGAAACTACTGAAAGCGTAGAAATCGTTAACTAAGAATAAACTGATGCTTAAAATGAAGTTAAGGATGAACAAGCTTAATAAGTTCAAGAAACTGAAGTCAAGTAGGAAGAACAAAAGCCCGAAGTAGTTGCTCACCATGAAGAATAACAACCTAAGGAAGAGAAGGTTGAAGAATAGAAGCCTGTTGAAGTCCACAATGAATAACCTTAAAACGTTGTTGAAGAAAAATTATAATAACACCATCAAGAATAGGAATAAGTTGCTGAAAAGTAACATTAAGAAGAACACGTGATTGTTTAAAGTGAAGAACCTAAGCATTAAGAACCTGTTGCTGAAGTTAAGCACGAATAACCTGTTTAAGAAGAAAAGCACGAAGTACATGTTGAAGAAGTAAAGCCTTAAGAACATGTTTAGGAAGTTAAGGTTGAAGAAAGCATCAAAGAAGAAAAGGTTGAATAACATTCCCATGTTGCAGTAGAACAAAAGTAAGAAGAGAATGTTCATATTGTTGTTGAAAAGAAAGAAGAAGTTCAAGAAACTACTCAAGAATAACATCAAGAAGTTTTCCAAAGTGTCGAAATTGTTAAGAGCGAATAAGAAAAGAAGCAAGAAGAGCATCAAAGCGAAAGAAAGCTCAGTGAAAAAGTTCAATAAGAAAGCTAACCATAAAGCGTTGAACAAGTAGCTGAAGTTGCTAAGGAATAAAAAGAAGAATAAGCTCCTAGAAAAGAAAGTGTTCCTTAAGCTCAAGCTGAATCTGAAGTCGTAGAATAATAATAAGAACCCGCTCCTATTGAATAAAAATAAGAAGAACCCGCTAGAAAGGAAAGTGAAAAATTAGAATTAGGTGCTTAAGAACCATAATAAGAAGTTCCAGTCAGCAAACCCGAAGAAGTATAAGAAGAAGAAGAAGAAGAAAATGCTTCATTGATCCCTAAGAAGCCCGAATAAAATCCCAAAAAGAACTTTTTCTAAGATGTAAATATCATTTACTCTTTAAAAAAAATTTAACAAGCTTTTTAATAAAAGAAGTTAGAAAACCTCAACAACATCGCATTTGTTGGTATTGGTGCCGCTGCTTTGTTAGGTTTCCTTGGCTTCAAATTATTAGCTAGAAAGTGAAAAATAAATAAAAGCAAACTAAATAAATAAATAAATCAATTATTATATTAATTTAATTATGTATTTGTAAAAAGTTCTATCTATCTATCTAACTTAGTAAGTCTACCTATTCAAAAAAAATAATAATTATAATCAATATCTTTACATAATACATATTATCTATTTTATTTATCTCTATAGATAGATAAATAAATAAATACTCAAATCTATTACAATTTTTATTTATCTTTTAAAAATATTTACTTAGAAATAAATTTACACAGAAATGCACCAATAATGAATGAGTGAGTGATAATATCAAAAGCATGAATTAATTTTAAAACAACTCAAAATTATAAATTAAGTATTGCATCATTTATTTGGATATCTTTCAAGCATATAATATAAACTCATATTGATATTTATTTATATATTCGCTAATGGATATATTTTTTTTGTAAAATATTAATTTCACAATTCACATAATCAAACAAAATCTACTGGTTTTAATTTTTTCTTATTTTTAATCAAAATAATAAGTTAATTAGTAGAAGTAGGGGTTTAGTTAACAAGATAGATTAAAATTTTAAGTTTTATTAAATTTACAAATACTTTTTTTAACTTTATAACAACATTTTCTATTTCAAAAATATGCAATAAATGATTAAAAAACAAAGAATATTAATTATTTCGTGATTTACATAGTTATTTTATAAGAAGTAGAAGTGTTGAGAAATATGTTTTAAATAAACATGGCTGCTATGAATTTCTAATACTAAATATTTGGAATTCACTTTTTGCTGAATATAATTTAAATTTAATAAAATAAAATTTAATTTATAATTAAAAAATAAATTTAATGATAATCATTGGCTTGTTTATTATATTTGAGATAACTTGCTGCTTATATTTTCCATAGTGTAGAGCTATTTTTGAATTTTAAATTTGCCATGCATCATATTTACAGATTCTTGAGAGCTGTCTATTCCTTTTAATTCAAGATATTACAGGAGACTCCTAACTTTCATCAAATAATCATCTATTTAAAAATTAAAAACATCAATAGATTTCCCGCAGAATTAGCAATATTCTATTTGTGAGTTAAAATTTAAGTTTTCAAAGTCATATAAACAAAGTTGTTAACAAACTCTAGCTATTGTTTTGTATTTAACTTGAGTTAAATCTTTTTTCTTAAAACTAAAATTATAATTTAAACACAATCCTTAAGCCGATTTTATATGCTCTTAAAGAAAAATCAGAGGCTTAGGAAACGCTTATTATTCGTAGCATGGGAAAAATATCAAACTTTTTTAAAATAAAAAAACTTCATTTTAGAATCTAAATCTTTCATCTTAAGAAAAATAAATATCATTTAGTTAATTTGTAATTTTAATAAGTCTGTTCAGCAGTTCATCAATAATTATGTTATCCTCTGTTATAGGTTGTTTGCACGGGCATTGCTTTAGTACCTTCAAATATTCAAGCTCAATACCCCAGAAGTGCTAACAGTTTTTTGTCTTAGCAGGTTACTTCATAGTTTAAAATGTTAATGCACAAGTAAATTATTAAGTAATGCCAAATTCTTAAATATCTATTTTAGATGGTATTCTTTAATAGCCCCCAATCATTTACTAAAATACTTGCTTTGAAATATCCTGCATTTCTTGCTTAATTTATAGGAACTGATCATCCTTGATTTCCTCCATTTAAGTAAAAATTAATTGTTTGATATTATAAAAATTAATTTGTGTTTTTCTTAAAAATTTAAGTATCTTTTATAATTAAATATTGAAATTTTTAAGTTCAAAATAGATATATATTTTACTACATTTCAATAGTAAATATATTAGTAATATCTTAATTAAAGTATATTAAATAATATATCCATAAATTAATTTTAAAATAAACACCAATTTAATAAAATTATACAATTAAACTTACTGTAAATAATAAATGTCAAACCATTAATGATTTTATTTAATTTAATATAAAATTTATAAAAAAAATAACATATTTAATTTATAAATAAAATACTATCTCATGAGGCACCTTAATTTAAACAAAGACGGTATTTAATATTCTGTCTATCACATACCTAACATTCCATTTATTTTTATTTTTTAACTTATTATAATTGAATTATTTTCATGATATAGTAAATAAGTAGAGAAATTTAATTAGAAATTATGGATTAAAAATAATTTTATTATCTTTTATATTTGAAACAAAACTTAAATATGATGACTTTTAAATTTTGCATAAGAAATTTATCTTGAATTTTCAGATATAATTTTGAAATACCCAAAAAAGTATTTTTTTACTTAATTTGTAAATATTTGTTAATTTAAAATGTATTAACATATCTCAAGATTAGATCAATAAAATAATATATTTTTACAAATATAGTTATCTAAATTTAATATAAAAATAAATAATCTTTTATTAATCAATTTTGAAAATTTTTTTATATCAATGTCTATATTTGAATTATTGGTTAATTTTATACATCAATAAAATAGTCAAATGATAGTGATATTAGATCTCTAAAAATTGTGTTTATTAATAAAAAAGGATTTTTAAAATGTTGAAGTCTAAATTTATATTCTAGTATTTATTTTACAGAATTAATTCTTTTTTAATTTTGGATTCATTTCTATTTCTTAGTTTTTGATGAAATTTAATGAAGAGTCTATTTCTTAAAGCTAATTTTAATTTCATTTATTTGCTTGTTTTTTAATAAAATGTTTAGATCAGGTATTTGATTTGATCAAGAAATCAAATTAAATTAGATTCTTGATTAGTATTTTACTATCAATTTTTTTTTCCCTAAAATGATGATTTTATTTGTGCAAGCGAGTTTGCTTTTTATACAAAAATAATTAAAAAAAGAAAGAAAGATAGATAAATAGAAACAAAACTCTAAATATAATGTAAAAGAGATTATTAGCAATATTCTTAACAATTACCTTGGCTGTTTGTTTAAATAACAAACCTATAATTGGTATTTACACTTAGCCTTCTGATTATCAATTATATCCAGGATCTAATTATTCTTACATTGCTGCTAGTTATGTGAAATACCTCGAGGGAGCAGGTGCTTAGGCTGTTGTTATTCCATATGATGCCACATTTGAATACATTGACAATCTTTTTGAAAAAATTAATGGTGTTTTATTCCCAGGTGGTAGCGTTGAATTCGAAGTTTCTAACCCTGGTGATTAAGAACGTGTGTTTTTAAAGAACGCAGTCTACATTGTATAAAAAGCTAAAAATGCTACAGATAATGGTGATTATTTCCCAATTTGGGGTACTTGCATGGGATTCTAGCTTCTCACTTTTATTGGAAGTGGATTTAATAGCTCATCTCTAGTTGAGCGTCAATCAGATAAAGGAAGTCACAATATTAATATCACTGATAAGAATAGCAATATGTTTAGACATATGCCTGAATAATTAGCACAACATGCTTAAACTGAACCTGCCTTATACTACAGTCACTCTACTTATGTTCCTTTGAGTGCTTTCACTAGCTAAAAACTTTCAAGTAACTTTAAAATTACTTCAACTGCAACCTATACTCCTGAAAATTATACTTTTGTAAATTCTATTGAATCTATTAAGTATCCTATGTATGGTATTTAATTCCATCCTGAAAAGAATATTTACGAATGGAAGGTTGCTGCCCCTCATGATTATGAATCTGAATAAGTTGCTCAATATTTCGCTAATTTCTTTGTTAACTAAACAAGACAAAACTACCACTCTTTCAATGGATCTGATTTTAACAACTACTCAATCTACTAGTATCCTGCTGTCTAATTAAGCGATAGCAGTTTTGTCCAAGTTTATATCATTCCTAACTTCAACAAAACCGCTTAAACAAACAGTACAACAAACTCTACCAGTCCTAGTTCTGAAAAAGAAAAATTTCTTTCCTATTGAGAGATTTTAAGATAAATTGTTAAATGAATAGGATAGTTAATTAATTAGTAAATGAGTGAGTGAATGACTAATATTTAAGATAAGAAAGATAAAAATAAAGTGTAATCTTAAAATTAAAAAACATAGATATTACTAAACTCATTACTTATTTTTATTAAAAGATAATAAATCTTTAAGAAAATATGTAAGACAATTTATTAATTTATATATTATTTATTGCATCAAAACAATAATAAATTCAAAATACCCTTTTCCATTTAATATTCTTTTATTAATTATTTAACACTTTAATAGAAAGAATTCTCTTCATTTCATTTTATTATTTTATTATACTTGTAAGCACTAACTAAGGTGGATGGAAAGTTTTCCATTAAATTTTTCAACATTTTTAGACAAATTTCCAGATTGTAAAAAATAATTATTTCAAAAATTTTCAAAAAAAAGTAAGAAAAAAAAAGATCAGTGGTATTTAAATAAATTTAAATTATACAATTTTACTGAAGAATTTTGCAAAAAACTATAATATTTTGAATTTTATTTTTTGCAGTTTTTCCTTTTTTTATGAAAAAAAGCAAGGCACTATTTCCTTTTAGGCTTTTTTCTTCATTTTAGCATATTTTTAGTGTGTTTAATTATCTGTTCTTTTGAACGATTAAAAATGAATAGTCCCTTATCCTTTAAGTATAATTATGTTTTCTATATTTTTTAAAATACCAAAAAAATTTTTAATTACAAATTAATAAAGAATACTACTTGGTTAATCAAAAGGAAAATTAATTTATTTCATGATGATCATCTTTACTCAAGTGCCTCATATGAAAGATTTAATTATTTGGATTTATTATCTAGATTAAATCTATCCAAAAGAGAGAATAAATTCTCAAAAAATGTATAATATGATAAATTATGTATATTTTTTTATAGTGATATTTTATTAAAAGTATCAAAAAATATTTTAAATAGCTTAAAGTAAATAAATTTATTTATGTAATCTATATTTAAAAGTAAAATTAATGTTTAAATAAGGTTACATATTTTTTTAATATTTTTTAGCCTGATAAATAAATTTTATTAGTTAATTAAACAAATTAAAAATAATATTATTTAGAAATTTATTATTACTAATCTTTTAAATTAAGTAGTTATTTAATTGAGATAAATATTTAAAAGTAGGTTAAAATTTAATAAAAAAAAATTAATTATAAAATATTATATTTAGCAAATAATTTTAGAATTTACTACAAAATATAAATTTTATTACTAAAAAAGATATTTTATTTTTAAATACATTTGAAATTTACATAAAATTCCTCATTTAGTTTTTTCTTTTTCAAAAAATCAATTGAATTATTCATTACAATTAAAGCAGTACCATTTTTTTGGGTTTTCAGGGACCATACATCCACCTAATTTTACTTCTTTTCTTTAAACTTACTAAAGTATTTATCTCGCTGGATATCCATAAACAACTTTAGCTACTTAGTCTTTAGATTTACAAATTGGGCAAGAAGTTTTGTTTGAATCCATTCTTGTTGGTTTATTTATATGCTTATTTTTAACGCTTTTATTATTTGTTTTTATTTAATTTTAGTTGTATTATGGTTAAAAAGATATCGAAATTTATAATTTTTTTGATTTCAAATAGAAAAACGAAACCAAAGGTAGCAACTGTGAATTAGAAATATCTGATTTTGTCTATTCTAACCAAATATAAAAGTTATAATTAATTATATTTTTTAAAAATTATTTCGATTTTCAAAAAACATTAATATTGCTCCTCAAAGTACAACAAAAATAATATGTTATACTTTTACATAAAAATCTATAAATATTGCATATGCATGTATTTAATTTAAGCAACATAGATATAGATTAAAAATAAACCACACTTGATCAGAGGAAAAGTTGAAATACTGCTGAAATTTCTAGTTTATTTATTTATAAATATATATTAAATAATAATCTAATAAGATCATGAAAAATTGCAACCTAATAAGTGGCTATTATGCTTTAAATCTAAAAAATATAGAAATATCTTATTAACTTTAATCAAAAAAGTATTTCCCTATTAAGATTAGTTATTTGGTTATACTATAATTACTAATTCAAAGTCTAGAATTCATTTATGCCATTATTTATCTTTAAAGAAAGCTAGGTTAAATTATCTTATGGATTCCTTAATTTTTGTATTATTAATCATAAATTTCAGTATTTTAATAGAATTCTCTCATAATTATAATAATTATTTTTTTCTTAAAACACTAATTCTAAAAATTTATTAAAATTTAATTTGAAAATAATTTTATAAAACAAAACACTTTTAAATAAAATAAATAATTTAATAAATAAATTAGTAAATAAATAAACAAATAATAATTTTTACTGATTATAATTAATGCTTTGAAATAAAAAATTAAAAAATTTTGTATTCAATTATAATATAATTAAAGTATGGCAAATGAAAGAGAGGTTAAAATAGAATTAAAAATATTTTGATAAGTTACAATTTAAAAAATTATAATTTTATTTTTTTCACTACCGTCTTGAATAATTGTTTATAATGCAGATTTTAAAATAATTAAATATCCAAATAATATTTTTTAGTATTTGTTTTTTCTTAGAATTATATTTAAATATGATCCTAATGTCTAATTGAAAACTTATTTTAAATTTTTTGTGAAGATGTTAATAAAATTTGATTGAAATGGATATAAAGTTTTATTTAATACTTTATGGTATGCTTGAATGACAAATAAATTTTCATATAAGGAGATATTGGCTTAATAAATATCTGTTCCTTAAAAGAGTGTTTGTTATAAGCTGTAAAAGAAACACCTCAATGAATAAATGAATAGATAATATTCACTGATTTATTTCAAAGGATTCATACGAACAAACAAACATACATACATAATACATAGAAAGAGTTTGTTTGAAAGGTTTAATCTACAGAATAAATAAAATATAATAAAAAAAGATAATTTATATAATTATTGATATTAAGCAAGTAAGAAGAGATAACAAGGAAACAATAAATTTAAAAAAGAAAGATAAAAAAGGAATTTATTTATTCATGCAACAAATTTTAACAGAAGAGGGGTATTAGAGACTTGAAATAGAGGCTTCAAGATACAACGATATATGTACCATCCTAAAGAAATTAAAAGAAAATGGTTTTTTTAAAGCACTTTATGATCTTATCTTTTGCGTTTTCGCAAGTGAGCATGACTTTACTGTCAAGATGCTTACTTAAATGCAAAAGTAAAAGAAAGGAGAAGGTTTCAAATTCAATGAACTTTACAGAATCAATTCTGGCATTTTTTGCAGCAATTTCTAATTAATAAATAAAATTATTATTGATGATATTTTTATGCAGTTCACTTCAAAAGTCTGTTCTCAGATTGAAGATTTTGAAGATTAAAAGCATTAGCATTAAGGCGAGAATAGTTTCCATAGCAAGCTCTCTCCTCATAACTTACAGCAACCTGCTAACTAGTTTGGATAATCTCATTAAACCTCTGGTTTCCTTGCTTAAAATGTGTCTAATCAGTAATAAAAATTATTTTGTTTAATAATTAGATCTGCTTTAGCTCATTTTATAGATAAAATATTTATAACTTTTTTGATCAACCACAGAGTTTATTGAAAATAGAATGAAAATACTTACAATTTTATTAAAAATAAATGAATTAATTACTGGAAAGATATACATTAATTTTTATTAAAGTACACCAATAAACAAACAATCAATAAAATAAATTAATGAAAGAAAAGAGATAATCTTTTTTTGTGCATCATATTTTAATAATATTTGAATTAAAATCCTATTTTATTTTTTAAAAATAGAAATCTTTATATTTTATTTAAAATTGAAGAACAAATTTTTGAATGAATAAAATTAAAAATTAGATTTGAAAATAAATTTTTAATTTAAAATATTTTTAATTAAAAATTCAAAAAGAGAAGGTATTTCACAGTAGCTGTAGCAAGCTTCTACAAATATGGAAATAAACAATTTAAACTAAAACTTGAACTATATCATGCAATTTCACCCTGAAATAGATGTAGCAATTTAGCAAATGTAAAAGAAGACAACCCCAAGGACAAGCTCTCATCACTCAACTAGCAAAGCTTAAATTTAGCTACAGGATGGTACTTAAGCAACTTTTAATCCCTAATCAACTAAAAGTTAAAACAAGTCCCACTCACACTCAGTTTAGGAAATTTATAATAAGCATGAACCTTTAAATCAATACTAAAATGAATAGGTGATGAATTAAAGTGTAAATGGAATAAAAAATAACCACACAGCTTCGTAATAACAGTTATAAAATTAGAGTATCACTGCACTTTAACAGCAATAACCTAGATTCTATCAACAAAACTTGCTTTAAAATGCTACCAAATATTCTCACAGTCCTCCTAATCGCTCACCAGCTCTCCACAATACAAATTCTTAAATTAGAGTTAATAGCTTATAAAATAGTGTGCAATTGAATCCTTCAAATAACAATTAATAAAGCGGTTAATTCAATATTTAATAGTTTAACAGCACTGCTTCTTAGTAAAATGCAATAATGAACAACTCTAATTATTCTTCATCAGGACGTTAAAATCAAGTGAATAGCTACATGTAAACTTCTCCAGGAGGGGATACAATAGTCAGTAATTTCATGAATAATAATAAAGTGTATCTTCCATACAGTGAGTTCTCTTACACAAAAGGAGGTACTTTTTCCAAAAGCTAAAGAAAGTTACATGATATTCAAAATAATCCAGGTGTTGGCTAGTATGAGTCAGGACATAAAAAATCTTCTAGCAGTGTTCCATTTAACAAACAAGAAAAGAAAACTATTTTTGAAAAGAAGAGTGACTACTAAGGTACTTTGTATTATACTTCTCATCATTTTGTAGCAAAATCTCCTTAAGCATCATCTGTGTCAATAAAGTAGTGAAGCTAGCTGGCCCTATCAATTCAAAAAAATAATAAATAAATCCTTTTATAGCCAAATAAATATGATGTTAGTTATACTATTAAATTACATTAGAATCTATTTTCTTAATTGATTATACTTGTTTTTTAACTAACTGTCTTTACTTCTGGAAAATGCGAGTAGCTTTTTCCACTAAATAATAATTGAACTATTTTTTAATTTATTTTTTTTTAATATTATTCTATTCCCATAGATAATAGATTATTTTTAGAATAAGCCTCACTTTTTAAAAAATCAATAAAATCATAAATTATTCTTACATTTTTTATAAAAAATATTATTTAAATTAAACATTTTAATAAACTTCGTGATGATTTGATTTGGTTATAGTTAGTTGTTTGTTTTCTATATATTATAGATTAATTCATTAAGTTTTGTTGTCGGCCATACTAAGGTGAAAACACCGGATCCCATTCGAACTCCGAAGTTAAGCGCCTTAAGGCTGGGTTAGTACTAAGGTGGGGGACCGCTTGGGAAGTCCCAGTGTCGACAACCTTTTTTTTAAAATTAATTTATTACTTATAATTAAAAAAGATTAAATTGTTAGTATATTATATTATTTTGCTTTTGTAAAATTGTCTATTTATTTAATTTCATCTCTTAAATAATAATATTAAAGAAATATAATTACTAAATAATATCATCAATTTTGTTGTCGGCCATACTAAGGTGAAAACACCGGATCCCATTCGAACTCCGAAGTTAAGCGCCTTAAGGCTGGGTTAGTACTAAGGTGGGGGACCGCTTGGGAAGTCCCAGTGTCGACAACCTTTTTTTAAAAATTAATTTATTATTTGTAAAGATTAAATTTGTTTGTTTGTATATTATTTTTTTGCAACACTAAAATTTTCTATTTAAAGACATCTCTTAAATAATAGTATTACTGAAATAGATTGTAGTTACTAAGTTAGTTTTAATTACAAAATAATATTATCAATTTTGTTGTCGGCCATACTAAGGTGAAAACACCGGATCCCATTCGAACTCCGAAGTTAAGCGCCTTAAGGCTGGGTTAGTACTAAGGTGGGGGACCGCTTGGGAAGTCCCAGTGTCGACAACCTTTTTTTAAAATTAATTTATTAGTTATTATTTGAAAATATTAATTTATTAGTATATTATTTTATTTTGTTTTTCTTAATTGTATATTCAATGTCAGCTTAAAGTAAAAATATTAAACAAATAAGTTGTAGTTACTTAGTTATTTTAATTACTAAATAATATCATCAATTTTGTTGTCGGCCATACTAAGGTGAAAACACCGGATCCCATTCGAACTCCGAAGTTAAGCGCCTTAAGGCTGGGTTAGTACTAAGGTGGGGGACCGCTTGGGAAGTCCCAGTGTCGACAACCTTTTTTTTTAAATTAATTTATTATTTTTAAAGATTAAATTTGTTTGTTTGTAAATTATTTTTTTGCAACACTAAAATTTTCTATTTAAAGTCATCTCTTAAATAATAGTATTACTAAGTTAGTTTTAATTACAAAATAGTATTATCTATTTTGTTGTCGGCCATACTAAGGTGAAAACACCGGATCCCATTCGAACTCCGAAGTTAAGCGCCTTAAGGCTGGGTTAGTACTAAGGTGGGGGACCGCTTGGGAAGTCCCAGTGTCGACAACCTTTTTTTAAAAATAAATTTATTACTTATTATTTGAAAAGATTAATTTATTAGAATATTATATTATTTTGCTTTTGTGTAATTTTCTATCTATCCTTATATTGAAATAGGTATTAATAACTTAGTTAGTTTATTGATTTTAATTAATAAACAATTTAATGAATTTTGTTGTCGGCCATACTAAGGTGAAAACACCGGATCCCATTCGAACTCCGAAGTTAAGCGCCTTAAGGCTGGGTTAGTACTAAGGTGGGGGACCGCTTGGGAAGTCCCAGTGTCGACAACCTTTTTTATAAATATCAAATAAAAACAAAAAATTATTTTAAATACTTATTTTGTATAAAAAAAGTATTCATTAAAACTTTCTACAAAAAATAAATATTATTATGAAGTTTTTCTTGCATTTAAACTCATCAAAAAATTGAAAATTTTTGAAAATTTATTATTTTTAATAAAGAAATGCTTTATCTAAATATTTAAAGTAATATTTTTAGTTTATTATACACTTTAAAATTAAAATTCTAATAAATAAATTAATTTATTTTATTAAATTAAAAAATGATAATCTTATTTATTTTTATATTTTAATATTTTTAATTATTAGAAAATTTCAAATACTTAGTCCTTATTAATTTTAGGTGATTAATTATAATTATAAAACCTAAAAATATCAATTTAGTTTTTTTTTCTCACTACATAAGGTAAAATTGGTTTTATTTTTTATTTATGTAAATATAGTTTTTGAATTATAATAAATTGTTTTATAATGTTTACGTTTTATTATCAATTCATTTCTTATTATTTAATATTTTTTCTACATTTTTTCCCTTCAAGCTAACTAATTAATTAATTATATTCTCTTCAACATTTAAAATTTTACAATTAAATTGATGCATAGGGATTAGACTTTGCTTTATCAAAAATATTTTTTAATATAAAAATAAATTTATAATAATTAACTCTTTAATTTATTAGCTTTTTATTTGATTAATTTGCTTTTTTATTATGATTATACTTTTTTTAAGTTATTTTTAATAATTAGCTTTTGCTTTAATATTAATTGATTTCATTTTATTTCATTAAATAATTTAAGTTAACAAAACTAATAGTTTAATGATTTTGATAGTAATTGTAAATTTTTATAATATTTTATTTAAAATTACTAATAATTCATATGTAGAAATTTGCTTTTTTATTCAATTTTAGCTAAAAAATTTCTTAGTTTTTGATAATAAGGTAAATTTATTAGATTTTTTAATCGAAAATTTCTTACAACTTTGATCCAAATGATGGTAAAATAGAAAAAATAAAATAAAATGAGTAAGTTATATACTTTTGATACATTAGAGAAGCATTCTATTATTCCAAATTGTATGTTTTATTCTGAAATTCTTCTAAAAATATGTAAAAAGAAAAAAACCTTTGCAATTTTATTGCGATAATCCAAAACAATAAAATAGACTAATCTAAGGGTTTTTTAAATTTTATCAGAAATTTTTGAAAGAAATAATTAAAATAACATATTTAACTAAAGTAGAGAAAATTAATTAAATGGAAAGCACTCAATAAAAACCAAAAGTCAAGCAATTCAAAGACGATTTAAAAGAAAAGGAACTTAAAGCATTCAATGAGTTGAAAGCTAAAGTAGTTGAATAATGTAAAAAAATGAAGTTGGATGAAGACCAAGTTAAATTTGATAGATACACTGAAGATAATTAATGTGTAAGACTATTATGGGCACGTGAGTTCAAAGTAGAAAAAGCATTTGAAATGTGGAAGAAATGGGTTGATTGGAGAATAGATTTCAAGGCTGATGAAATAAAGGAAGAAGATGTGGCTTCAGAATTATAGAGTGGTAAAGCTTTCTGGCATGGAATGGATAAGTAGGGTAATCCATGTTTGGTGGTTAAGGTCAAATATCATCGTCCAGGAGTTTCTTCTCAAGATGTAGTTTTGAGATATTTTTTATATTTACTTGAAGAGGGAATTAGTAAATGTGAATAAGCAGGAACTGGTAAAGTCTCAGTTATTTGGGACAGGGAAGGTTTTGATAAAAAGAATTTTGATTCTAACTTGTTTAGCACCTTTAAGAAATTGAATCAAATTATGCAAGATAACTATGCTGAAAGACTCTCAACAATTTATATACTTCACCCTAATTGGTTTTTTAAGACTATTTATGCAGTTGTTAAGCCCTTTTTAACAAGCAGAACAAAAAGCAAAATTACTATTGTTGACAAAACTGAAGAATTAAAAAAGTTTTTCGAACCAAGCGAGCTCTTGATTGAACATGGCGGAACATCTGATTATAAATTTGTCTACCCTTTCCCAAAACCAATTAGTGATGAAAAAGCTTAAGAGCAAAATGCAAATTAATAATAACAGAATAATTTGATAGTAAAGTAAGTCGAAAAACAAGAGTAAGAGGAGAAGCCTTTAAAACCTGAAAATGTAAATATAGAATGTGATGAGGATCTTACTGAAGAAGATTATCGTAAAGTCGAAGATGAAATTTCAGAAAACACTAATTAAACTTCTTCAGAATATGACATAAGCTAATTATCACACAATATGTTTAACAAAGTCTTAACAATGAAATCAAAGTGAAATATTCTAATTTATTAAATATATAAATAAGCATGATGATTAATTAATTTCATTACAATATAACTATTATTATCATTATTTTAATACTTATTAGTAAATAAATTTATATATTCTAAATAATTATTCTAATAACTTACTATTTATTGATTAAATTCTTCAATTTTTCAACCATCAATTAAATATTTTAGTTAAAAATTATTTATAATAAACCCTCAAAATTTTCTAATTCTATTAACTTTACAAGGAGACTTAGCTCAATGGTAGAGCGCTGGACTCCAAATCCAGCGGTTGCGTGTTCGATTCACGTAGTCTTCAAATTTTTATTCATAGTGAAAGTTTTTGTAATTTGTCTTAGAATATTAGAATATTTAATATGTTGTAATTTTCATTCCTTTTTTGACTATATTAGTGATGGTAGGTAATCTAATAGCAAGGACAACTTTATTGCTTAAATATAATTTTTAAAAATTGAAGGGTTTTCAAAATTTCTTTAACTTCCTTTACAAAAGTCGCAAATTTTCAAAAACTTTATAATACACAAGGAGACTTAGCTCAAGTGGTAGAGCGTTGGACTCCAAATCCAACGGTTGCGTGTTCGAGTCACGTAGTCTTCAATTTTTTCAAGTCTTTTATTGATTGAATCTTTTGTAATTTTACTTTAATGGTACAAATTCCATTTCAAATAAAAATAAAACAAATTAATTTTAAAACTAAAAACAAAAAATTCAGATAAATTTTTTACTTGATTGGTTGAAGTATTCCAAAAAGTTAAAAATAATTGATTTAATTGAATCTTGAATTAAAATTTAATAAATTAATTTTTTAATTTTATGATTGTAGTTCCAAAATAAAGTAAAACACCTATCATATAAGGAGACTTAGCTCAAATGGTAGAGCGTTGGACTCCAAATCCAACGGTTGCGTGTTCGAGTCACATAGTCTTCAATTTTTTCATAATTAAAATACTCCAATAAATTATAAAATAAATGATTGAATTTAACCCAAAAGTAAAATTTTCTAAAAAAATTTAAAATAGTTTAAAAAATAAAAGGAGACTTAGCTCAAATGGTAGAGCGTTGGACTCCAAATCCAACGGTTGCGTGTTCGAGTCACGTAGTCTTCAATTTTTAGACAATTTTTATTTATTTATTTAATTTTAGATTTAAATTTGAAATTAGATTGAATTAAATTATTTTTAAATCTCTTTACTAAAAAAAAGTAATAAGAGTTAATGAACATGAAAATGGTTAGAATAATTTTTTTAGAATGATAAATATTTTTTAAAAGTTTTATGACAAATAAATTAAATAGATAGATTCAATAAAGGTTTTAAAAATATGGTCTCTTGTTAAATTTGATTATTAAAGTTGGAGTTTTAAAATAATTTAAAATACAAAAGGAGACTTAGCTCAAGTGGTAGAGCGTTGGACTCCAAATCCAACGGTTGCGTGTTCGAGTCACGTAGTCTTCATTTTTTCATTTTTTGTTGTTACTATTAAAGTAAATTTCTCAATATTGCTAATAAATAATATAAGCATTTATTATGCTTAATAATGACACCTTTAAAGTAAAGCAGAATTAGTTAAATTCAATATAAAAAAAGAAAATAGCTTTTTAATATTTTATGTATTAATTAAATGTAAGATTCTTTATTAAATAGCAATTAGCGTCTATGGAGAGTCATTAATTAAATTATTATAAACAAATTAATTAATTAATTGATTATCAGTAAAAAACAAATATGTGCAAAAATTTGAAAAGATTTGGTTTGCAAAAATTAACAATTTTCAAAATTATAATAATTAGGTTTGTCAATTATATTTTTGAAATGAGATAACTAGGAATTTCATTGATTCATTGATTGATTTATAATTTGGAATATTTATATTTTTGATTGTTTTAGTTAATTTGTAAAAATAAATATGCGATAAATAAATACGAAATATCCTTTATACTAAAAATCTTTAATGTTTGATTTTTTGTTTGTTTATTTGTTTCATTTGCAAATTATAATTTCGTATTTGAAATAATTAGAAAATTATTACAAAATTAATCTTGACTTAAAATATAAAGCAAATTAAGCAAAACAAAGCACATATCAAAAATTGGATAACAGTAAACATTTATTTATATCCATTGATTCCATATAATTTGCCTGTAGAATTTCATGTCCGTGGCTGCTTTGGTAAATAAGAAGAAGCTTATTTGTAATTTAGAGAGGTAATGCGAAAATTAGATGTCTGATTTCGAAAGAAACTTCAATTATAGCCACTCCTAGGAGGTATTGAGAAGCATTTTAATTTAGCTAGAAGATTTAGCTTAAGAAACTTAAAGTGAGGGGTGTTCTGATGAGTCTCTAATCAAGTAGATTTAGTTAAATCTTTAGCTAAAACGTTTATAAGCAAGAGTTTTAGAATGTATTGGAACTATCTATTTGGGTTTGACCTTACCGAATCAAAGTCTGAGTGTGCTAGAAAGAGCATCAAGCATACTGATAGAAATTTAAGAAATAAAGGAATAAAATTAGGATTTATTAGTTCAACAAGAATCGGATTTAGATGAAAAAGAATAAATTTCAAAAAGAGATTAGCAAGATTTGAAAGCAATAAGTAGAATTCTTATCAAAACTTCCTACTCTCTGTTCTTGAAATCTGAATCAAAGTAATGCTATAGATATCTTACAGACGCTCATAATTATTTAAAGTAGAATAACTTACTTAATTCAGAAGAGGAGGCGCTTTTAAACTTTTATTATGGTAATTTCTACCGTTTCATATTTTAAGATGAACTCTCTGAGCAGTGCTTTTTAAAATGCATTAGTATAAGAGAAAAAATATTTGGATAGAATTCAGCTATTGTTTATGATGCTAAATAAGAACTCGCTAAATTATATATTGAATCAGCCTAGTTAAATTAAGCTCAGCAATTAGTAGATGAAGTTTTTAAATATAAAATTAACGAATACGGGGAATCCAGTCCCTGTACTAGTCTAATCTATCTTTACAGAGCATCTCTTTTATTTGTGATTAGCTCAAACGTCGATGATGCTTTGAAAGATGTGCTAAAATCAATTTAGATTAATACTCTTTACATAGGTGAATATAATAAAATAAATGCAGAATGCTATCTTTTGCTTGGTAAAATACTGGCAAAAAAATATCCCTCTTCTAGAAATTATGAAAAAAGATACTATTATAATAATCCGAAAGCATCTTGTCAATAATTAAATGCTCCTTACCTTTTCTAATGGAATTAATATAAATCTAATGCTAACGATTTTTAAAGCTCACCGATATCATCTTCTTCATCATCATACTCTGCATCTAATTTCTCTTCAAAGTAATCGTCTTCAAACAGTTTAAGCTCACAAGATTATACAAATTAAAATTTCTTAAATCTCTAAAAATTATAATTCAACAAATACGTTCAGTAGCAATTCAAAGAAAGCAACATGACTAACTTCTGTTCAGAAAGTGCTAATAGTTTTTTTTTGAATGGCTAGAGTTAAATTAATGAAGAAATAGAGCTATTTTAAATATATTTTAATAAGGCTCTTCACATTCTTAAAACCCTCTTTGGAGAATATAATGGCTGTGTTGGGATAGCTTACAACGCAATAGGAAAAGTTCATATGACTTTAAAGCAGTATGAAAAGGCTTTAAACTGTTTTAACACTTCAATAGATATTTTTAAAGCTTAAAAAGAAGCTTAAGACTAAATAAACAATAACAGTTCTGATGATTTTAACTTTTGTTACTATTTTGCTGTAAAATATGCAGCAGATTGTAACATGAAACTAGGAAGACTTAAAACAGCACATAGTTTATATTAATAAATACTATAAATAAAAGATCTTTTAAATCTTATTTTTAATAACGAACAAACCGATGAAGACTTGAATTCCAAATAAAAGCTAGAATATAAATATAACTAACCATAAAAATAGCAACAAAACCAAGATTATTAACATCAACTACCATTTACTCTTTCAATAATGCCAACTACTTAATCAATTCTGCTAAATAGTTCTCAATCAATGATTGAAGACGAGCATAAAAAGCTTTTTGTTTCTCCTATCGACATCAATTCTTAATAAATTATAGAACTATTAAACTAATCAAAAACTGAAGATTGATTGATTGATTGAAAAATTATTTAAATTAAAATAAATTAACTTAATCAAAATTTTATATTACTTATTATTTATATAAAATAAATTAAACTATAGTCAATAATTATCTTAATATATATACTAATAATTGATAAAATGTATTTGCTCAATTAAATATATAGCTAATATACATAATGCACTCACTCATTTACTTTCTTAAATATAAAAATTCTATCAAAACAAAAAAACTCAAAAATAAATTTTTGAAAATAGATAAAGTAGTTTTTCTAAAGTGTTGGCTAAAATAAGGTAGGAAAAAATTTGAAGTGGATCAGATAGATAAATAGATCTCTGATAATTTAATAAAAGAAAACTATTAAAACTCTGATTTACTTTGTACTATTTAAAATTAAAAATTAATAAATTATTTTTGTTAAACAAACATAAAATCTTATATTTTCATAATAAATTTCTTCAATTTAAATCTTATTTTCTTTTATTATTAAGCCTAATTATTTTTATTTTTATTTTATTTATTATTATTAAATAAGAAAGTATGATGAGCTTTCTTTTACCCTTAAGTATACCTAAATATTTAATTTGTTTTAAATATAATTTTTATATATTTTAATTTTTATGTAACATTTAATTATGTTTAAAAAATATTAATTTCCATTATTAATACATCTAATTTATAAATATGAAATAATAAACGATCAATTATTAAAAGATTTTATTATTTTCTGCTAAAATTGTGATCGATCTGACTTTAGAGTAATTACTTTATTTTAGTGAATTTAATTTTTAAGTTTTATTTAATAACCTATGTATTAACTATCTAACAAAAGTTTGTAATATATAAAGATAATAATAAATCTATCTATATATCTATATTTTAAGTTAATTTATCCTATTACAAAATATCATAAATAAAATTTATTTTATTCTATTATTCTAATGTTTTTAAGTTAATTCGTCATTATTTCACCACATTTTTATCATCAAATGAAATATATTTTAAATTAAGTCAATCTTTTTGATTTAAGACACTTACTTTTAGCTTTCAATTATTATGATTAATCTATTTTACTTTTAATATAAATTAGTAAATTACTAAAAAATTAAATAGAGCAAGATTTTTAATTTAAAAAGTATTATTTAAAAAAAAAAAAAATAAGTAGATTCAAAAATAAAAAGAAAAATATTTTAATAAATTAAAAGAGTTATTTTTAAAATTTATTTTGAAATTAAGAAATATTCCAATCCAAAATAAATAAATGAATAAACTGTTTTTTACCTAAGAAAAAGTGTCAAATTTTAGAGATTAGTGCACTTTGTTAAACCAGAACCTAAGTCTGATGCACCAGCACCAATTTCATTACAACTTTTTAAATATTTAAGTAAAAATATAATTCATTTGTTAATTAGTTAATTAGAAAGAAAACATGAAGAAAAAATATGAAATAAAATTATGAATAAATAAATCAATAATAAAAGAAGAAGTTGAAAATAAAAAAATAATTTAAATTAACAAAAAGAAAAAAAAACTCATTTTTATTTTTAAAAATATCTAAATTTGCAAAGTAAATAAACTATTTTTTACTAAAGATCAAGTGCCAAATTTGAGAGGTTTTTACACTTACCTAAACCAGAACCTAAAACTGACGCTCCATCATCACCAATTTTACAGGATCTTTTTAAAAAGAGAAGAAAAATATATAATTAATTTGTTATTTAATAAGAAAAGATGAATAAAAAATATGAAATAATAAGAAATTGATTAATATTTAAAGATTAAGTTGAAAAATGAAAATATTAGCTAAATTAACAAATAAACAAAAAAAACTCAAGGAGAATAATAAAAAATAAACCAAATAAAGAGCTAATAAACAAATTAAAAGAGTTATTTATTTTTAATTCATTTTTATATTAATAAATATTAAGCCCAAAACAAATAAACTGTTTTTTACCGAAGATCAAGTGTCAAATTTGAGAGGTTAGTGCACTTTGCTAAAGCAAAACCTAAGCTCGATGCACCTTAATCATAAATTTAACTAGACCTTTTTAAAAGAAATAAAAGTAATTTATTAATTAGATAGTTAGAAAGAAAAGATAAGAAAAAAATATGAAATAAGAAGAAATAAAATAATTAAGTATAAAAAAAAATGAAAAATTAATTAAACTAATAAAATAAAGAAGAAAAAACAAAGGGAGAATAAATAAGAAAAAGAAAAATAAATAAATTAAAAAAGTTTTATCATTTTAAATTAAAAATTATCACAATCCAAAATAAATAAACTCTTTTTACCTAAGTATTAGTACCAACTTAGAGAGAATAGGGCATGTTGCTAAAGAAGAACACAAATCTGATGCACCAATTCCATCAATTTTATTGAACCTTTTTTAAAGAAGAAAAAAATTTATTATTTTGTTAGAGGGAAAAAAATGTAGAAAAATATGAAATAATAATAATAAATTAATTGATTAATAATAAAAGAAAAAGTTTAAAATAAAAAAATTAGTTAAATTAACAATTAAAGAAGAAGAAGAAAATGCAAGCATAATAAAAAAGAAATAGAAAAATAATTCAAATAAAAACTAATAAATTATTTAAAAAAGGTATTTTGTTTTAAAATAATTTTAACATAAAAAAATGTCATAATTTTCAAAATAAATAACTGATTTTACTCAAGATCTAAGTACAGAGATGAGAGATTAGTGTAAGTTGCTAAAACAGAACCTAAACCTGATATACCTTCATTTCCAATATTATTATTACTTTTTAAAAGTTGAATAAGAAAATATAATTAATTAATTATTTATTCACTTTGAAGGAAAAAATCAAGAAAGAATATGAAATAATAAGAAATGGATTAATTAATAATAAAATCAAAAGTTGAAATTGAAAAAATTTGTTAAATTAACAAATAAAGAAAAAAAAAAACAGAAGTAAAATAAAAAAAAATAAATAAAATCAAATAAATTTATTAGTTTTATTATTTTAAATTTATTTTTTTATTAAATAATATCACAATCCAAAAAAAAAAAAAAAGGTAATTACTTAAGATAAAGTTACAAATTTGAGAGATTAGTGCACTTTGATAAAGCAGAAACTATGCCTTAGGAACCTTCATCACCAATTTAATTAATTCTTTTTAAGTATTGAAGAAAAATTAAATAATTAATTAGTAAATTAAAAGGAAAATATGAAGAAAAAAACTAAATATTAAAAAATTAATTAAAAATATTTACAAAGAAAGAGGAAAAAAACACAATCAGAATATAACTGAAAAAGAAAAGAAATCAAATAAAAAGCTAATAAATTAATAAATTAAATGAGTTAAATTGTTTCAAATTCATTTTTACATTAATAAATATTGCAATTCAAAATAATAAACTTCTTTTACCCAATAAAAAGTGTCAAATTTAAGAGATTAGTGCATTTTGCGATAACAGAAGCTAAGCCTGTTGCACCTATTGCTTTAATTTCATTGTTACTTTTTAAATATTGAAGAAAAAAATATCATTAATTAATTAGTTAGAAGGAAAAATATGGAATAATAAAAAATAAATTAATTAATTCATATTAAAACCAAAACCAAAAGGAAAAAAAATAAATTAAAAGAGTTTTATTGTTTTAAATTTATTTTTATTAAAATATCGCAATCCAAAACAAATAAAATGTTTTTACGAAATATCAAGTATCAAATTTGAGAGATTAGTGCACGTTGCTAAAGCAGAACCTAAGTTTGATGCACCAAGTGCACCAATATTATTAGAGCTTTTTAAATATTGAAGAAAAAATATAACTAATTTGTTATTAAATTAAAAGGAATAAATAAAATTGTTTTTAATTTTCTTAGAATATCACAATATCTAAAATAAATAAACTGTTTTTACGAAAGATCAAGTGTCAAATTTTATAAATTAGTGAACTTTGATAAAGCAGAACCTAAGCCTGATACACCTTCATTACCAATTATTTCTAAGCTTTTTAAGCATTATTGAAAAAAAAAAAAATAATTAGTTAGTTAGAAGGAAAAAATGTAAAATGAAAAAAAAATATGAAATTATAAAAAAGTAATTTTATGGAAAAACAAAAGTTGAAATTAAATAAAGTTGCTAAATTAACAAATAAAGAAAAAAATAAAAGCAGAATAAAAAAAAAAAAAGTAAAACTAATTGTTTAAAATTTATTTTTTTAATTAAAAAATTCACAATATCTAAAACAAATAAACCGTTTTTACTAAAGATCAAGTGTCAAATTTTAGAGGTTTTTACACTTTGCTAAAGCAGAAACTAAGCATGTTACACCTTCATAGCCAATTTAATTTTCACTTTTAAAATATTGAAGAAAAAATATACAATTAATAAGTTAGTTAGCTAGTTATTTTATTAAGTGGAAAAAAAGAAGAAAAAAAAAAAACTAAATAATAAAAAATTAATAGTAAAAGTTTAAATTGAAAAAAGTTTTTATTATAAAATAAAGAAAAAAAAGAAATAGAATCAAAAAGAAAAAAAAATAAATCAATTAAAAAGCTAGCAAATAAATGAAAAGAGTTGTTTTAAATTTATTTTTATTTTAAAATATATAACAACCAAAAACAAATAAATTGTTTTTACTTAAGTTAAAGTGTTAAATTAGAGAGATTAGTGCAGTTTGTTAAAGCAGAACCTAAGTCTGATGCACCAATTGCACCAATTTAATTTCCACTTTTTAATAATAGAAGAGAAAATATAGTTAATTAGCTAGTTTATTTATTAATTAATTAAAAGGAAAAACTGTAGAAAAATATGAAATAATAACAAATGAATTAATTAATAATAAAAAAAAGTTGAAAGTAAAAAATTATTTAAATTAGCTAATAAATAAAAAAACAATTAAAATTAAAAAGAAAAAGAAAAATAAATCAAAAAAAAATCTAATAAATAAATTAAAAGAGTTATTTTTTCTAAATTCATTTAATAAATATCATAGCACAAAACAAATATATTGTTTTTTTTTTTTACCGAAGATCAAGTGTCAAATTTGAGAGATTAGTGCACTTTGCTAAAGCAGAACCTAAGTTTGATGCTCCGATTGCACCAATTTTCTTGCGGCTTTAAAAGATTGAAGCAAAAAATATAATAAATTAATTAATTAGTTTGTTAGAAGAAAAAATATGAAATAATAAATAAGGAATAAATTCATTATAAAATAAAATTTTAAAATTAAAATTAATAAATAAACTTTGTATTAATAAAAATCAATGAATAAAGAAGAGAATTAAGTAAATAACTTGAAAATCAAATTCAAAAAATATTTTAATAATATTAATAAATTAATTATACAAAAGACCAATATTGAGAACTTAATGAGATTAAAGTGAAGAGTTAGAAAACTTTTTTTATCAATAAAAATAAATTTAAAGAATATTCATAAAAAATAAATAATTACTTCTTCTAGATTGCTGAATTTTTAATTTTTTTATGTCATTTGTTTTTTTTTTTCAAAAATATTGAAAAGCAGTTTATGGTAATTTGATTAATTAAAAGAAAATTAAAAAATTAATTTACTTTTATTGCATGTTGATTTAGATCAAAAGAACAAATAAATTATAATAATATCAATTTATAAATTTACTTTTAGGAAGAAATATCACAAAAAAGTTTGTGAAACATTTATTATTAAATCTTAATAGTTCGTTTTTCAAAATTAAACTTAAAAATAAAGTAGGAATTAGAGATAAATAGTAAGTTGAAAAAATTCTAGTATTTAGAGTATTTAAATTTTATAAATTCAAAAAATATTATTTCCTCAAATTCAAAAAATCCAAAATTAAAATTTACATTTTTTTATTTAAAAAACAAAATAAAAGATTTAAAATAATAAATTTTTAGAATTAATTTGCTTTATTTTTATTTTTTATATTTAATTTAGATCTTTATTTAAAAACATAAATCATACTTTTAAATTTATGTAACAAGTGCATTTTTATAATTTGGTTAAACTTGTAATTTAAAACATTTAAAAAATTCGATTAATTTAAATTAATTATTATTAAAAAAGTCTTCAAAAATAAATTTTTCAATCACTAGTTTTTTTCTAAGATTGAATTTCTTCAATTGTTTATATTAAAATAGAAGAATCAGGTCTATGATCTGGGTTGGTTTCTATCATTCTTATTACTAAAAGAAGAATTTAACTATATTTAGTATCTTTATACATATTCTTCATTAATCTAATTTTTGCTTATTTAAATATTACATCACAATTAACCTATGAAATATCAGTAAGAGTGAGCATGTACAACAAGATCATTCCTAAGCTAAATACATCACTTTTAAAAAAATTAATTTTTTGATCTCTCTTCATTTCTCTCAACTCAGGAGACATCCATTTAAGAGTACCAAAAGCTACATTATTTCTAATTTGTTCAGATTAAAATAATTCTTAAGCACATCCGAAATCTGAAAGATAATAATTTCCTTCTCTAATTAAAATGTTTGATGGTTTTAAATCCCTATGAACTATTCCCTCATCTGAGTAGATTAGAGCTAATGTTTTACCTATTTAGACTAAGAATTTTACTATTTCTTCTTGATTGAATTATTCAAGCTATTTTTAAGTTTAAATATAAAAAATAAAATTAAACAAAAAAAATTCTAAAATGAATTATTATTATTCTGCAATATTTTTAATTTTAGAATTAAATTGAATACATTGGCTTGTTTTAAGTTGATTTATTCTTACAAAGTAGATTCAGCCAAATCTAAAATGAGGTAAGTTGATCTGTTTGCTACAAAATAATTTTACAGTTTTATAACATGGTCATATTTTTTTAATTTTTCTAAAACTTCTATCTCATGGAAAACACTACTGTTTATATCACTCATTTATTCAGTAACACAAATTTATTTGCATGCATAAAAATCTGGCATAGTCGATAAAATTTCTTGATTTTTGATGATTTCTTTGTGCTTATTTTTGACTTTATAGACATCTCCATAGCTGCCAGAACCTAAAGAATCTCTAAAATCTATTTCATATTTTTTTTCAAACTACTCTTTTGAGATTTTGATTGCCTATTTAAATATCAGATCTTCAAGTCTGGCTAAAACTTCTTGTCTTTTTTAGTTTCTTTTTTTTATCAGAAAAGCCAATAGAAAAGTAAAAAAAAGGCATACTACAGATTAAAATATTAAAGCTTTAATCTACTTTTAGCTAGTAGGTAAATAAGGGTTTTAATAAGATAATTAAGAAAATTATTAATAACTAAAGTCATTATTTTATTCATCGATTAACGTTACAATTATTTTACCTTAACTCATTGATAAATAAATTATTTAGTCATCACTTTGTTAAGCAAATACCTTTACAAAATCACTGTAATTTAATATAATTTAGTAAATGTATAACACTTTTTAGCTGTTATCTGAGCTTGGATCTCTATAACTCATTAAAAAATATTAATTTTGTTGGTATTAGTAATTATAGTTAAATTTAGGTAAGCTTTACAGATTTTTAAAACTCTCACTAAAATCAATTATTTTAAATTAAATTTAATCTAAAACATAATTGAATAAGTAAATATTTGTGTTTGGTAGTATTTAATCGATCATGTTATTATTAAATACGTATGTATTATATTTAGAAGATATTACAGCTTAGTCTCCTCCAAAATATTGAATTTCCTCAAATTCGTCTTCATTTTCCAAACAAAATATTTATTTTAAATCTAAATATTTAACGTTTTATTTCAAATAGTACAAGCATTTGTTTGAATCAGATGTAAAAAAATTTAATTGCATAATATTAGGTATATAACTCAGTTCAAGTTTTAAGATTTATTTATTTTTTGTTATGTAATATACTATGTTTGTATTCAAGTTATCTCTTAAGTAAAAAATATATGTATCATTAAATTGAGAGACGTGCAAGATATTTTTAACTTTTTATTATAAAAGAAAATATTAACTTCTAATCCAAAGTGCTAAAAAAAATAAGTTTTATATAAAAAAAGAAAACCATAATATAAAAATATTATTTTAAAGTAATTAAGGAGTCAGTCATAAAAGTAGTTTTATTAGTTAATTGCATGTTATTTAGTAAATTTATTTCTTTAGTTCTACTAAATTGAAAATGAATTAATTACTTTGAGTAGTCTAAATTTCAACAGATGTTTAATCGCGAGGATAATAAATTTTAATAGATAAAATATCATTTATGATCTAATATAAAGAAAACGAGCTTTCAGATTATATTCCATTAGAATTCCAAATTATGGGCTAATTTTAATCAAAACCTATATCACCAATTAACATATGGTCTTAATCTTAATTATATTATCTTATTTAAAAACAAGTTTCTTAATAAATAAATCCTCTTTAAAAAGTTTAATAATTATTTGAACTAAAACATTTATAAGATATGTCTGATTAATCACATATTGTATTAATAGCGTTTATTAAGAAAAGTATTAAAACTTAACAAAACTTCATCTTTTTGTTGAGCAATATTATTTATTTATTTATTTCTGTATTTATTACTAATTTACTAATAAGATTTATAATTGTCAGGAAGAATCATAAATTCAACTAAATTATTTATTAATAGGAAATCCTAAATTTAATTAATTAGTTTTAAGACATACATAAATACAGCAAATAATTAAATATGGATTTTGTAGAAAAGTATTTATTTATTTTTTCTTTCAAATTGCACCAAAACACTAAATAGATAATAAATAAATACTATTATCTAAATTAAACAATTAAAAGAAATAATTTTTACAGTTCAGAACAAATAAATCCAATAGATCAATTTTATAATTTTGATAAAATCTATTTTGGTTTACTTTTAAATCAAGCTTTATTCAAAATTAAATTCATTTTAGAATTTTATTTGTTTCTTTATTTGTTTTAGAATATCATAAATTAATAAAAAAATACTTAAATTAATTATCTTTAAATATTAATTAGATATTTTTACCAGTGTTGTGACGATGTTTTAGTTTTTAAATAGATCGATTCCGATTTTTTGGAAAATATTCAAAGTAACTTATCAAATATTTTTTATTTTGGGCCACCCACCATTAATAAATACATATAGATACATAATACCCTGATCATTTTTTTAAGAAAAATAAATTTTATTTGCATTTGAAAATAAATAAAGACTTATTATATTACTATCTTATCCATTAGCCTAAAATAAATTTATATAATTTAAATATGATCTCATAAGCTTATTTATTCAACAGATCCTAAAATTCATAATATACTAAAATTGATCTGTATAAATATTACAGTTTAATTGAGGTAAGCAGACTCATTTTATTCCTACTTGTTTTTTTATTGTATTTATTCATAGATTTTGTAGTTTTTATAATTATTTGCTTTTATTAATTCTTATAATTAAATAATTAACTTCAATTACATAATTATATTTTTTATTATTCATTATTCACAACTATATTGTACTTCCACTTCGTTAAATATTTAAGCTCATCCCTTTGATTTTAATCAGAGCAATAAATTGCAATTTACTACAAGCTTATTAAATTTTAATGAGTTTTATATTTATTATTTTAAGGTAATGAAATTTAATGAATCCAATCAACATAAAAAATTTAAATTTTGACTTTATTTAGTACAGATTAAAAAATAATTATTTATTTTTATCAAAAATTATATAATAACTTATTTAATTTTTTTTTCATTATTATTTTATTTTATTTTTTTATTTAAAGTCATTTTCTATATCTTAAATTGTATTAATTATTATAGCAGCGTCAGGCCTATTGTCAGGATTCGTTTCTAACATTTTACTTGTCAGTAAAATAATTTCATTAGAAATATCTTTACAATAATTTTTCATGATTCTTATCTTTTGGCTTTTAGTAAACTCATCAGAGTTTACAGAAGAAATGTCTGAAAGAGTAAGCATATAAAGCAATAACATCCCAAAGCTAAATATATCACTTTTGAAATAGTCAACTGCTTGATTTTTCTTCATTTCTTTTAATTCAGGTGACATCCATTTCAAAGTTCCCATGACTAAATTGTTTCTGGCCCCTTCTGATTCAAATAATTTTTCAGCACATCCGAAATCAGACAAATAAAAATTTTTATCTTTAATAAGTATATTTGAAGGCTTAATATCTCTATGAGCTATCTATTCTTCAATTTATATTAATGCTAAAGTTTTTCCTATTTAGATTAAAAATTTCACAATCTCACTCTCATCAAACTTTTCTAACTTTTTTTTAGATTTAAAAATGTAAATCAATTTATTCTTTTAAATTATATAAATTATTTAATATAAAAATGTCCTTATATTTGTAGATAAAATTACGAATTTTAAGATATTTATATTAAAATAAATCAATTCTATTTTATCAAATAGAATTTTATTTTAAAATGAAAAAAAAACTAAATAAATGAGTTGCTTGCTTACATTAGCCTACTTGCTATTTATTTCATCCTATAAAGTGGATTCTGCTAAATCTAAGATAATATACATTGACCTTTCTTCAGTCATATAATTTTGTAATTTAATCACATTTTCATATTTCTTTAACTTTTCCAACACTTCGATTTCATGAAAAATCTATGAACTTTAGTTTTCTCCATCTTAAAACATATGTATTTGCTTACAGGCATAGTAATTAGGCATATCTTGTAAAATATCAGGATTTTTGATAATGTCTTTGTATTTGTTTTTAACTTTGAAAACCTGTCCGTAGCTACCACTACCTAGAGAGTCTCTATAATCTAGTTCATATTTCTTTTAAAATTCTTATTTAGATATTTTAATCATTTATTTGAATATCAAATCCTCTATTCGAGCTACTATTTCTTTTCTCTTCTTTTATTTTCTAAGTATTAAAAGACTGAAAGTAAGCAATAGAATAAACATTACTGCTGACTAAAAATATATCATATATTATATTAGTATTTTTTTAGATAAATTTTCTATATGTGGTGCCGTTTCATAATAATAATACTAATAGATACTGTCTTGATCGTTTATTTGAAATAAAAAAATATAATAAGTATTCGAAACTAAGTAGAGGCTTGTTAGATTACTTTCTTATTGGTTAATTTTTTAAATGTATTATCCGTATTTAAATTTGATTTCATAAATATATTCAATTCTTTGTTCATTTTCAGAAAATGGATCTCTGTAACTCATTATTTTATTAAATTCATCTATTTAAAAGTTATAGTTAAACTTGGGAAAGTCAGCAACATTCTAAACCTTCTCACTAATATCTTAAATTTATTCATAGATTTATTTGTTATAAAAATCATTACAAAAGAATAAATAAACATTTGTTTAAGGTAAAACTTATGTAATTAAATTATTTTCAATTACATAAGTATTTTTTTGAGTGCTTACAACAAAATTGTTACTTCCATTAGTCTAAATATCTACAAATTCATCACTTTAATTTTCATCAATACAAAAAATAATTATTTGTTGCAACTATATCCTCTTATCATCAATTTTATACAAGCACTAATTCATTTTCTGGGTAAATAGATTTGTTTTAATTAATTAAGGTCTCTCATTGAACAAATACTTAAGAATGGATTCAATAGTAAGGTAATATAATATAACCTAATTTTAATTATCTAGTATATAAAAGTAATAGATATCATTTGATTAAGATACTTGCAAAATCTCCTTCACTAATTTTCAATAAAAGAATAGGTAAAAAATTATATTTACTTACTTATTAACTTTTTTAAAGTAAGAAGAATTTTTGAAATAAATGAAATATAATTTTGTTGTTATTATAAAATAAATTTAAAACATTTTGCATTTTATTTAGTTGATATATTTTAATTAAGTAAAGCGAGCATCTTTTAAAAATATTTCCATTAATTCTACTTAATCTTAAATTCATTATACAAAGTAATTAATAAGTAAATGAAATAAATATTTACCTCCAATAACTTCTAATTCATTTGAAAAACTAGATTAATAAGCATAAATCTTTATCTGTAAATTATTTTAGGATATTTGATAAATACAATAACTAGTTTTTGACTGAATGCCATTAGAATTCCAGAAAAAAGGTAGATTTTAAATGAATGTATTTTAATAAATTGTTACACTAGTTTAATTAAACTTCTGTAGTTAATAACAATTATATTAATATATGTAACCTCTTAAAAATGTCATGAAATAATTAGGATTATAGCAAGTTAAAACCTATTCTTATCCGTCAGACTATAAATATGCAGTAATAAATAGAAGAATTAATAATAATAATACTTTTATTGTCATACTTTTACAGACAAATCTTTTGTTGAATTTATAGATTTCAAAAGTGATTAATTGATTAGAAATTTGGATTCTCTATTTAAAGTAATACAAAAGATTAATTATTAAATTAAAATTTATTACTATTAAACAAATAATATCAACTCATAAATACAATTTCAAATATTTGATTATATTCTATTAATTATATTTCTTGTATAAACTTTTTTTTTTTTAATTTATAGTATATAGTAATTAATAATTTTAATATTCTAAAAACTTACATTATTTTTATACATTTATTTTTTGATTATTAGTTTACATACACACATACTAATAAATAATCCATACATGAAAAAGGTACTTTAAATCTTAATTAGAATATAATAAAATATTTTAAATAAATTTAGTAATTTTAAAATTAAAAAATAAAACTTATATTTATCATTAAAATAATGAAAATATTTAAAATTTATTAGATAGATTTCAATAAACTTATTTGATATACTCTCATAAATATTTGCTTTAATTTTTTTATTTAAAACCATTTTCTATCTTAAATTGTATTAATTATTATTCCAGCATCAGGCCTATTGTCAGGATTAGTTTCCAACATTTTACTTGTCAACAATCCTTACTTAGTCTTCAATATATTATTTTGGCTTTTAAGATATATGTGGTCTTGCATTATCATGTCCATATTTTTTTTAAGCCTTCTTTTTTTAAAAATTTGATAGCATCTTTTTTATATCAATTGCTTCTCATATATCTCCTCATTAGTCAAGTTAGTTGCTTGGAAGCTCTATATATTTTTTATAAATATGTCAATACATCCCTTTGATTTTAATCAGAGCAATAAATAACAATTTACTATAAGGTTATTAAATTTTAATGAGTTTTATATTTATTATTTTAAGATAATTAAATTTAAATGAATCATGCAACATAAAAATTTAAATTTTGGCTCGTGCAAATTCAAAAAATAATTTATTTATTTATTTTTATTATTAATTACATAATAAATTATTCAATTTTTTTTTTCATTATTATATTTTATTTTTTTATTTAAAGTCATTTTCTATATTTTAAATAGTATTAATTATAATAGCGGCATCAGGCCTATTGTCAGGATTAGTTTCTAACATTTTACTTGTCAGTAAAATAATTTCTTTAGAAATACCTTTACAATAATCTTTCATGATTCTTATCTTTTGGCTTTTAGTAAACTCATCAGAGTTTACAGAAGAAATATCTGAAAGAGTAAGCATATAAAGCAATAACATCCCAAAGCTAAATATGTCACTTTTGAAATAGTCAACTACTTGATTTTTCTTCATTTCTTTTAATTCAGGTGACATCCATTTCAAAGTTCCCATGACTAAATTTTTTCTGGCTCCTTCTTATTCAAATAATTTTTCTGCACATCCGAAATCAGACAAATAAAAATTTTAATCTTTAATAAGTATATTTGAAGGCTTAATATCTCTATGAGCTATCCCTTCTTCTATCTAAATTAAAGCTAAAGTTTTACCTATTTAGGATAAAAATTTCACAATCTCACTCTCATCAAACTTTTCTAACTTTTTTTTAGATTTAAAAGTGCAAATTAATTTATTTTTAAAAATTATATCAATTATTTAATATTAAAAGGGTATGATATTTATAGATAAAATTAAGAATTTTAAGATATTTAAATTAATATGAATCAATTAAAAAGTAATAGATAATAAAAATTTATTCTATTTTATCAAATAAAATTTTATTTTAAAATTAAAAATAAATTAAATAAACGAGTTGCTTGCTTACATTAGCCTACTTGTTATTTATTTCATCCTATAATGTGGATTCTGCTAAATCTAAAACAAGATACGTTGCTCTTTCTTCAATAATATAATTTTGTAATTTAATAACATTTTCATATTTCTTTAACTTTTCCAATACTTCGATTTCATGAAAAATCTATGAACTTTAGTTTTCTCCATCTTAAATCATATGTATTTGCTTACAGGCATAGTAATCAGGCATATTTTATAAAATATCAGGATTTTTGATAATGTCTTTGTATTTGTTTTTAACTTTGAAAACCTGTCCGTAGCTACCAATACCTAGAGAGTCTCTATAATCTATTTCATATTTCTTTTAAAATTCTTATTTAGATATTTGAATAACTTATTTGAATATCAGATCCTCTGTTCGAATTATTATTTGTTTTCTCTTCTTATATCTTCTAAGTATCAAAAGACTGAAAATAAGCACTAGAATAAACGTTACTGCTAACTAAAAATATATCAAATATTATATTAGTATGTTTTTAGATAAATTTTCTATACTTTATGGTATTTAAAATAATTCATAATACTAATAGATATTGTCTTAATCGTTTATTTAAAATAAAAAAACATAATCTGCATTCGAAACTAAATAGAGGCTTGTTATATTACTATCTTATTGGCTAATTTTTTAAATATATTATCCGTACTTAAATTTGATTTCATAAATATATTCAATTCTTTGTTCATTTTCAGAAAATTGGTCTCTGTAACTCATTAATTTCTTATATTCATCTATTTATATATTATAGTTAAACTTGGGAAAGTTTGCAACATTTTATAGCTTCTCACTAAAATCTTAAATTTATTCATAGATTTTATAGTTAATTTTATCAAAATATATGAATAAGTAAATATTTGTTTGAGGTAAAACTTATGTAATTAAATTATTTTCAATTACATAAGTATTTTTTTGAGTGCTTACAAAAAAACTGTTATTTCCATAAGTCTAAATATCTACAAATTCATCACCTTCATTTTTATCAATACAAAAAATAATTATTTGTCGCAAGTTTATCTTCTAATCATCAATTTTATACAAGCACTAATTCATTTTCTGGGTAAATAGATTTGTTTTAATTAATTAAGGTCTCTCATTTAACAAATACTTAAGAATGTATTCAATAGTAAGGTAATATAATGTGACCTGATTTTAATTATCTAGTATATAAAAGTAATAGATATCATTTGATTCAGATACTTGCAAAATCTCCTTCACTAATTTTCAATAAAACAATTGGTAAAAAATTATATTTACTTACTTAATTACTTATTAACTTTTTTTAAAGTAAGAAGAATTTTTAAAATAAATGAAATATAATTTTGTTGTTATTATAAAATAAATGTAAAACATTTTGCATTTTATTTAGTCGATATAATTTAATTAAGTAAAGCGAGCATCATTTAAAAATACTTCCATTAATTCTTTTTAATCTTAAATTCTTAATACAAAGTAATACATAAGTAAATGAAATAAATATTTACCTCCAATAACTTCTAATTCATTTGAAATAACAGATCTCAAAGGATAAATCTTTATATGTAAATTATTTTAGGATATTTGATAAATACAAAAACTTGTTTTTGACTGAATGCCATTAGAATTCCAGAAAAAAGGTAGATTTTAAATGAATGAAAGTGACTTAATATCTACATTAGTTTAACTAAACATCCTTGGTTAATAACAATTATATTAATATATGTAACCTCTTACAAATGCCATGTAATAATCAGGATTATTTTCATTGCAAATTAAAACCTATTTTTATCCGTCAGATTATAAATATGCCGTAATAAATAGAAGAATTAATAATAATAATACTTTTATTGTCATACTTTTACAAAAAAATCTTTTTTTCAATTTATAGATTTCAAAAGTGATTAATTTATTAGAAATTTTGGTTCACTATTTAAAGTAATACAAAAGATTTACTATTAAATTACAATTTATTACTATTAAACAAATAATTTCAACTCATAAATAAAATTTCAAATATTTTTTTATATTCTATTAATTATGTTCCTACTTATTTTTTTTAACTTATAATAAATTCTAATTTTAAATATAAAATTTAGTTATTTTAAAATGTTTAATTTAAAAATAAAACTTATATTTATCATTAAAATAAAGTAAATATTTAAAATTTATTCGATAGATTTCACTAAACTTATTTGAAACACTCTCATAAATATTTAGTTTAATTTTTTTATTTAAAATTATTTTCTATATCTTAAATTGTATTAATTATTATTCCAGCATCAGGTCTATTGTCAGGATTCGTTTCTAACATTTTACTTGTCAATAAAATAATTTCCTTAGAAATACCTTTACAATAAATTTTCATGATTCTTATTTTTTGGTTTTTAGTAAACTCATCAGTGTTTACAGAAGAAATGTCTGAAAGAGTTAGCATGTAAAGCAACAACATCCCAAAGCTAAATATGTCACTTTTGAAATAGTCAACTACTTGATTTTTCTTCATTTCTCTTAATTCAGGTGACATCCATTTCAAAGTTCCCATAACTAAATTTTTTCTAGCTCCTTCTGATTCAAATAATTTTTCTGCACATCCAAAGTCAGATAAATAAAAGTTTTAATCTTTAATTAGTATATTTGAAGGCTTAATATCTCTATGAGCTATCCCTTCTTCGATGTATATTAATGCTAAAGTTTTTCCTATTTAGATAAGAAACTTCACAATCTCACTCTCATCAAACTTTTCTGACTTTTTGTTAGATTTAAAAATATAAATCAAAATTAAAAGATAAAATTATGAATTTTAAGAAATTTATATTGATATGAATCAATTAAAAAATAATAAATAATAAAAGTTAGTTAATTCTATTTTATCAAATAAAATATTATTTTAAAATTAAAAAAAATTAAATAAATAAGTTGCTTGCTTACATTAACCTACTTGCTATTTATTTCATCCTATAATGTGGATTCTGCTAAATCTAAAACAAGATACGTTGCTCTTTCTTCAATAATATAATTTTGTAATTTAATCACATTTTCATATTTCTTTAACTTTTCCAACACTTCGATTTCATGAAAAATCTATGAGTTTTAGTTTTCTCCATCTTAAGATATATGTATTTGCTTGCAGGCATAGTAATCAGGCATATTTTATAAAATATCAGGATTTTTTATAATGCCTTTGTATTTGTTTTTAACTTTGAAAACCTGCCCAAAGCTACCACTACCTAGAGAATCTCTATAATCTAGTTCATATTTCTTTTAAAATTCTTGTTTAGATATTTGAATAATTTATTTAAATATCAAATCCTCTATTCGAGCTACTATTTATTTTCTCTTCTTTTATCTTCTAAGTATCAAAAGACTGAAAGTAAGCAATAGAATAAACATTACTACTGACTAAAAATATATCATTTATTATATTAGCACGTTTTTAGATAAATCTTTTATACTTGGTTACATTTCAAATGAATAATACTAATAGATATTGTCTTGATCGTTTATTTAAAATAATAAAATATAATTTGGATTTGAAACTAAATAGAGGCTTGATATATTATTATTTTATTGGTTAATTTTTTAAATATATTATCCATACTTAAATTTGATTTCATAAATATATTCAATTCTTTGTTCATTTTCAGAAAATGGATCACTGTAACTCATTACTTTATTAAATTCATCTATTTATATGTTATAGTTAAACTTTGGAAAGTCTGCAACATTTTATACCTTCTCACTAAAATCTTAAATTTATTCATAGATTTTATAGTTATAATAGTCATTACATAAGAATAAATAAACATTTGTTAAAGGTAAAACTTATGTAATTAAATTATTTTCAATTACATAAGTATTTTTTTGAGTGCTTACAACAAAATTGTTACTTCCATAAGTCTAAATATCTACAAATTAATCACCTTCATTTTCATCAAGACAAAAAATAATTATTTGCTGCAACTATTTCCTCTAATCATCAATTTTATACAAGCACTAATTCATTTACTAGGTAAATAGATTTGATTTAATTAATTAAGGTCTCTCATTGAATAAATACTTAAGAATGGATTGAATAGAAACTTAAAATAATATAACCTAATTTTAATTATCTAGTATATAAAAGTAATAGATATCATTTGATTAAGATACTTGCAAAATCTCCTTCACTAATTACAATAAAAGAATAGGTAAAAAATTATATTTACTTATTAATTTTTTTATAGTAAGAAGAGAATTTTTGAAATAAATGAAAAAAAAAATATAAAATATTGAATATGAAATATGATTTTGTTGTTATTAGAAAATAAATTTAAATTATTTTGCATTTTATTTAGTTGATGAATTTTAATTAATTAAAGCGAGCATCTTTTAAAAATATTTCCATTAATTCTACTTAATCTTAAAAGTTCATTAAACAAAGTAATTAATAAGTAAATGAAATAAATATTTACCTCCAATAACTTCTAATTCATTTGAATTACTAGATTAATAAGCATAAATCTTTATCTGTAAATTATTTTAGGATGTTTGATAAATACAATAACTAGTTTTTGACTGAATGCCATTAGAATTCCAGAAAAAAGGTAGATTTTAAATGAATGTAGTTTCCTAAATTGTTACACTAGTTTAATTAAACATCCGTAGTTAATAACAATCGTGTAAATTTATATAACCTCTTACAAATCCCATTTAATAATCAGGAAAATAGCAAATTAAACTTTATTCTTATACATCTGATTATAAATATGCAGAAATAAATAGAAGAATTAATGATAATAATGCTTTTATTTTCATACTTTTGCAAACAAATCTTTTGCTCGATTTATAGCTTTCAAAAGTGATTAATTGATTAGAAATTTGGATTCAGTATTTAAAGTAATACAAATGATCAATTATTAAATTTTAATTTATTATTATTAAACAGATATCGTTTGACTAAGATAGATACTTGCAAAATTTCCTTCAGTAATATTCAATAAAAGAATTGGTAAAAATAAATATATATTTTCTTATTAACTTTTTTTAAAAGTAGAAGAATTTTTGAAATAAATGAAATATAAAATATTGAATATGAAATATGATCTGGTTGTTGTTTGAGAATAATTAAATTTAAAATATTTTGCATTTTATTTAGTTGATCTATTTAATTTAATTAATTAAACAAGCATCTTTTAAAAATATTTCCATTAATTCTACATAATCTTAAGTTCATTAAACAAAATAATTAATAAGTAAATGAAATAAATGTTTACCTCAAATAACTTCTAATAAATTTAAAATAATATGCTCATAAGCATAAATCTTTATCTGTAAATTATTTTAGGATGTCTGATAAATACAAAAACTGCTATTTGATAAAATGCCATTCGAATTCCAGAAAAAAGGTAGATTTTTATAGTATCTAGTTTACCAAATTTTATCAATTTTTTAATTAAAATGCTGTACTAAATAAAAATTAAATTCATTTCTGTAAACTCTTAGAAATATCATTTAATTATCAGGCTAATAGCAAATTAAACTTTCATCTGATATGTGAGATTGATTATAAATATGCAGTAATAAATAGAAAAATTAAAAATAATACTTTTATTTACATACTTTTATAAATAAATCTTTTATTCAATTTATACCTTTCAAAAGTGATTAATTTATTAAAAATTTGGGTACAATATTTAAAGTAATACAAAAGATTAATTATTAAATTTCAATTTATTGTTATTAAACTAATTATCAACTCATAAATAAAATTTCAAATACTTTAAATTTAAAAAAAAATATATATTCATAAGAAATATAATAAATAAAATAGAAAATATAATAAATTCTTAGTTTTAAAAGTGAAAGCTTTTAGTAAATTGCTATTAATAAAAATTAATCTATTATTTTAATACAGATTTTTATTTAAAATAACCCAGCAGGCATGAATATTTAAAGATATTTAAATTTCCAAAATATTTTTTATTTTAACATATTATTATATTTTATACATTATTTATTTTAACATATCATTATATTTAAAACATTTTTATTAACATATTATTATATTTAAACATTTTTTTATTTAATATATTATTATATTTTATATTTTTTTTATTTAACATATTATTATATTTTATATTTTTTTTATTTAATATATTAATTATATTTTTTGTTCTTACTTATTTTTTTTGACTTATAATAAATAGCAATTAATAATTTTAATATTCTAAAAACTTACAATATTTTTATACATTTATTTTTTGATTATTAGTTTGCATACACACATACTACTAATAAGTAATCCAAAAAAATTTTGAAAAAGGTACTTTGAATCTTAATTATGATATAAATATAAAACATTTTAAATAAATTTAGTTATTTTAAAATGTTTAATTTAAAAATAAAATTTATATTTATCATTAAAATAATGAAAATATTTAAAATTTATTCAATAGATTTCACTAAACTTATTTGAAACACTCTCATAAATATTTAGTTTAATTTTTTTATTTAAAATCATTTTCAATATCTTAAATTGTATTAATTATTATTCCAGCATCAGGTCTATTGTCAGGATTCATTTCTAACATTTTACTTGTCAATAATATAATTTCCTTAGAAATACCTTTACAATAATTTTTCATGATTCTTATTTTTTGGTTTTTAGTAAACTCATCAGTGTTTACAGAAGAAATATCTGAAAGAGTTAGCATATAAAGCAACAACATCCCAAAGCTAAATATGTCACTTTTGAAATAGTCAACTACTTGATTTTTCTTCATTTCTCTTAATTCAGGTGACATCCATTTCAAAGTTCCCATAACTAAATTGTTTCTAGCTCCTTCTGATTCAAATAATTTTTCTGCACATCCGAAATCAGATAAATAAAAATTTTAATCTTTAATTAGTATATTTGAAGGCTTAATATCTCTATGAGCTATCCCTTCTTCGATGTATATTAAAGCTAAAGTTTTTCCTATTTAGATAAGAAACTTCACAATCTCACTCTCATCAAACTTTTCTGACTTTTTGTTAGATTTAAAAATATAAATCAAAATTTATAGATAAAATTATGAATTTTAAGAAATTTATATTAATATGAATCAATTAAAAAATAATAGAAAATAAAATTTAGCTAATTCTATTTTATCAAATAAAATTTTATTTTAAAATGAAAAATAAATTAAATAAATGAGTTGCTTGCTTACATTAGCCTACTTGTTATTTATTTCATCCTATAATGTGGATTCTGCTAAATCTAAAACAAGATACGTTGCTCTTTCTTCAATAATATAATTTTGTAATTTAATCACATTTTCATATTTCTTTAACTTTTCCAATACTTCGATTTCATGAAAAATCTATAAACTTTAGTTTTCTCCATCTTAAGACATATGTATTTGCTTACAGGCATAGTAATCTGGCATATTTTGTAAAATATCAGGATTTTTTATAATGTCTTTGTATTTGTTTTTAACTTTGAAAACCTGTCCAAAGCTACCACTGCCTAGAGAGTCTCTATAATTTAATTCATATTTCTTTTAAAATTCTTATTTAGATATTTGAATAACTTATTTGAATATCAAATCCTCTGTTCGAGCTATTATTTCTTTTCTCATCTTTTATCTTCTAAGTATCAAAAGACTGAAAGTAAGCAATAGTATAAACGTTACTGCTGACTAAAAATATATCATTTATTATATTAGCATGTTTTTAGATAAATTTTCTATATATGGTGTCATTTCAAATGAATAATACTAATAGATATTATCTTGATCGTTTATTTAAAATAATGAAATATAATTTAGATTGGTAACTAAATAGAGGTTTGTTATATTATCTTATTGGTTAATTTTTAAAATATATTATCCATACTTAAATTTGATTTCATAAATATATTCAATTCTTTGTTCATTTTCAGAAAATGGATCTCTGTAACTCATTACTTTACTAAATTCATCTATTTATATGTTATAGTTAAACTTGGGAAAGTCTGCAACATTTTATAGCTTCTCACTAAAATCTTAAATTTATTCATAGATTTTATAGTTTTTATAATCATTACATAAAAATAAATAAACATTCGATAAAGGTAAAACTTATGTTATTAAATTCTTTTCAATTACATAAGTGTTTTTTTGAGTGTTTACAACAAAATTGTTATTTCCATAAGTCTAAATATCTACAAATTCATCATCTTCATTTTCATCAATACAAAAAATCTTTTTTTGTTGTAAATGTATCTTCTAATCATCAATTTTATACAAGCACTGATTCATTTACTAGGTAAATAGATTAGTTTTAATTAATTAAGGTCTCTCATTTAACAAATACTTAAGAATGAATTCAGTAGAAAGGTAATATAATATAACCTGATTTTAATTATCTAGTATATAAAAGTAATAGATATCATTTGATTCAGATACTTGCAAAATCTCTTTCACTTTTTTTAATAAAAGAATTGCTAAACAAATTTTATTTACTTTTATTATTTTTTTTAAAAAATTGAAATAAATGAAATATAAAATATTGAATATGAAATATTATTTTGTTGTTATTAAAAAATAAATTTAAAATATTTTGCATTTTATTTAGTTGATGAGTTTTAAATAATTAAAGAGATCTTCTTTTAAAAATATTTTCATTAATTCTACTTAGTCATAAATTCATAAAACATAGTAATAAATAAGTAAATGAAATAAATATTTACCTCCAATAACTTCTAATTCGTTTGAAATAGTTTTCAAATAAGCATAAATCTTTACCTGTAAATTATTTTAAGATGTTTGATAAATACAAAAACTACTTTTAGACTAAATACCATTAGAATTCCAGAAAAAGGGTAGATTTTAAATGAATGTTTTGGAGAAACTAATTGTTACACTAGTTTAATTAAAATTTTATAGCGAGCAACAATTCAGATTTTCTTGTACGTAACCTCTTAAAAATGCCATTGATTTATTAGGAAAATAGCACAATCGACTTTAATCGTATAATGTAGATTATACTTATGAAGTAATAAATAAAAGAATAAATATTAATACTTTTATTTTCATACTTTTACAAATAAATTTTTTGGTCAATTTTATAGAAATAAATTTGGGTACACTATTTAAAGTAATACAAAATATTAATTGTTAAATTTCAATTTATTACTATTAAAGAAATAATATCAACTCATAAATACATCAAATATTTTTTTATATAATTTTTATTATGCATTTATTTTTTAGTAAGCTATTTTTTTAAGATTCTAAAAACCTACTATATTTTTATGAATATATTTTTTGCTTATTAGTTTACATACATAAATACCTATCAACATAGCCATAAATATTATATCTATTCAAAAAGTTAGTTTAAATATAATTAGATAATAATTTTTAAACTATTTTAAATAAATTTAATTTTTTAAAATATTTCATTAAATATTTTTTTTATATTTATAAATTATTTAAAATTAATTAAATAGATGTTAATAAACTTATTTGATATACTCTCATAAATTTTAACTTAATTTTTTTATTTAAATTTCTTATGAATATTATATTTTTTGAAAATTTATTTATAAAATTCTTAATTTTAAAATTAAAGCTTTTAGTAAATTATTATAAATAAAAAGAAAGCTATTATTTTAATATTCGAAAAACTTACAATATTTTTATACATTTATATTTGCTTATTAGTTTATTCAAACAAATATCAATAAATAAAGCTATAAATATTATATCTATTAAAAAGATACTTTAAATATTAATTAGAATATAATATTAACATTTTTTTAAAATTTTATGTTTATTATTAAAATAATTAAAATTAATTTCAATAAACTTATTTGATATATATTCTCATAAATCTTTGCTTAAATTTTTTTATTTAAAGTTATTTTCTATATCTTAAATTGCATTAATTATTATTGCTGCATCAGGCCTATTGTCAGGGTTTGTTTCTAACATTCTTTTTATAAGTAAAATTATTTCATTAGAAATACCTTTACAATAATTTTTCATGATTCTTATCTTTTGGTTCTTAGTAAACTCATCTGAGTTTACAGAAGAAATATCTGAAAGAGTAAGCATATAAAGCAATAACATTCCCAAACTAAATATGTCACTTTTGAAATAGTCAACTACTTGATTTTTCTTCATTTCTTTTAATTCAGGTGACATCCATTTCAAAGTTCCCATGACTAAATTGTTTCTAGCTTCATGCGATTCAAATAGTATTTCTGCACATCCGAAATCAGATAAGTAAAAATTGTCATCTTTTATCAGTATATTTGAAGGCTTAATATCTCTATGAGCTATCCCTTCTTCAATGTATATTAATGCTAAAGTTTTACCTATTTAGGATAAAAACTTCACAATTTCGCTCTCATCAAACTTTTCTGACTTTTTTTCGATTTTTTAAATAAAATTAAAATTTTTAATAATTAAAAAATAATTTAACACAAAAAGAGCTTGAAATTTATTGATAAAATCTTTGAAAATAGTAATTAATTTAATTAATCAAAATTATTTTATAAAATTTTTAAAACAATAAAATTTAAATCTATCTTATCTTATATTATGTTATGGTAAAAAATAGTAAGACAAAAAATAAGTGATTTTTAATCTTGAATATAAAAAGAAAAACAATAAAAGTAATAATTTGAGTTTTGCATAATTAATTTTATGAATAAAAAGAAATTTGTATTGTTTAAATAACTTTTGAAGTAAGTTATTCAAAAAAATATTAATTCTATAATAAATATCAAACAAAATTTTATTTGAAAATGAATTAAAGAAAATAAAAAAATTCTTCTTCTTACATTTGTCTACTTTTCATTTATTTTATCCTATAATGTGGACTCTGCTAGATCTAAGACAAGATATGTTGACCTTTCTTCAATAATATAATTTTGTAATTTAATTACATTTTCATATTTTCTTAGCTTTTCTAACACTTCAATTTCATGGAAAATCTATTAACTCTAGTTTTCTCCATCTTAAGATATATGTATTTGCTTGCAAGCATAATAATCTGGCATGCTTTGTAAAATATCAGGATTTTTTATAATTTATTTATATTTATTTTTAACTTTATAGACCTGACCAAAGCTACCACATCCAATAGAGTCTCTATAATTTAGTTCATATTTCTTTTAAAACTCCTATCTAGAAATTTAAATAACCTATTTGTATATCAAATCCTCTGTTTGAGCTCTAATTTCTTATGTCTTTTTTGATCTTCTAAATATCAAGAGACTAAAAGAAAATGATAAAATAAATGATATTGCTGTTTAAAAATATACAAATTTAGCTATAAATGCGCTGTTAGGTAAATTTTTATAATCATTATACAGTAAAAATTTATAATATTAATAAATACTGTCTTCATCATTTATTTAAGATATTAAAATCAAATTTGTATTATAAGTTAAATAAAGACTTGTTATATTTTCTTATTGATAAAGTTTTTAAATATATTATCCATATTTAAATTTGATCTCATAAACATACTCAATTCTTTGTTCATTTTCAGAAAATGGATCTCTGTAACTCATAATATTATTATAATAATCTATTTAAAAGTTATAGTTGAATTTAGGAAAATCTGCATATTTCTAAACCTCCTCACTAATGTCTTGTATTTCTTCATAAATTTCACCAATATTTAGAGTTTTACATAAGAATAAGTAAACATTTGTTTAAGGTAAAATTTTAGTAATTAAATTATCTTCAATTACATAAGAATTTTTTTGAGTATTCACTATAAAACTGTTGTTTCCATTTGTTAAAATATCTTCCAATTCATCATTTTCATCTTCATCTATACAAAAAATAATTGTTTATTACAAATTCTACTGTATATTATCTATTTTATATAAGCATTTATTCATTTGTTAGGTAAATAGATTAGTCTTTATTAATTTAGGTTTTTCATCCAATAAATATTTAAGAATGAGTTTTTTAGTTACATAATATAATATAGCCTAATTCTGATTATCTAAAATATAAAAGTAATAACTATCATTTGACTAAGATACTTGCAAAATCTCCTTCACTTATTTATTAATTTATTTACAATAAAAGAATTATTACACAAAAGACATCAAATTTTATCTTATTTTATATTTGAAATTATAATTTTTAAAATAATTGGTAAAATAATATGATTTTATGAAACAAATCCATTTAAAATACTTCGGATTTAAATCGATATATTTAAGCTAATTTAAAACTATGCCTTTTAAAAATCATTCATAAATTAATTCTACTTAATTATTTATTCATAAAGTTAATTAATAAAAAAACAAATTACCTCCATTAACCTCTAATTCCTATGAAACACTCTCTTAATAATAATAATAAAACTTTATCTGTAAATTATTATCTAATATTTAATAAATACAAAAACTTTTTTTAGACGAAATTCCATTAGAGTTCCAAAAAATCGGTAGAGTTTAAGGGTATGTATTTTCGCCAATTACAATACTACTTTAATTAAACTTCTATATTTAAAAGAAAGAAATTAGTGACATATAGCATCTTTAAAATGCCATAGTATCATTAGGATGTTAGCAGTTAAAACTAATATCCTATTACTCACACGCTATCTATTTAACAATAACTAGAAGGACTAATATTTATATCTTTATTTTCATATATCTATTTAAGCAAATTTACTTACTATTTTTTATCATAAAAGGTAATTAATAGATTTGAAATTATTAAATTCAATTTACTATATATATTTGGATGCCTGATTTTATTAAAACAATATTTTAAACAAACAAATTATTTTGTGAGATTTAATAAATTTCACACATTTATTTATTATTTTTAGCAAATCTATCAAAAATAAATTTTTTTATTTACCATTTTTTATATCTGAAATAGTTAACATTTATAATTATAGATAGATATATATGCATATTAATAATTTAGTCAATTTATTTGTTTGATTATAATATACTTTGATTTTTTCATTTAATTTCATTTGATAATCATTTTATTCTATTTACAGTTTTATAAGCTTTATGCTTTTACAGATATTTTTTTAAGGTTTTATAATTTTATTACTGAATTAAAAAATAGATTTAAAAGTATTACTCATAATATTATTATTAATTTCTAATTATTGCTAAAACAATCACATATTATTCAAGAAATATCTGAAAGAGTAAATATATAATAAAATGACAACTTAATTGGAGTGTACCGAATCTTTTTTGGGTCATTTTATACATAATTTATGGTCTTTCTAAAAAATAGTGATTGATGCCACTTCACTAGATTTTAGAAAGGCATTTAGCTATATATATAATTTTATTTAAAAATTAAATTATATTTTTAATAAAACACATTAAAAATTAATTTAAATGCATTATTAATTAAGGAAATCGAAATAGTTAAAAAAATTTTATTATTAAATAAATAATCATATATCAAAATAAAAAATAAAATAATTTATTTAAATAAATCTATTTTATTCATTTAAATTAATTTAATATAAAATTTAATTTCAAATTTTTAGGATCAATATGATTTTATTAAATATTTCTTTTTATTTTTTTAAATTAATTAATTAATTATTATCAAAAATAAAGTTGATAGTCTTTTATTTATTTATTTATTTTTAAACGATTATATAATTAAAATACAAAATTATTATTTTAAAATAGATAAGATATTTCTTAATTGAAACAAAAGTGATTATTTATTTATTTATTAACTTAATTACTAAAATATTCTTTTAACTGAAGAATAATTTTCTGTCATTATTAAATTTCTCATTTTTATTGAAATTTATTTTCTATTTCTCCTATTGCTTATATTAAAATTGGTGCATCAGGTCTAAAATCAGGATTAGTTTCTAGCATTTTACTTACTAATAAAATTATTTCCTTAGAAACATATTTACAAGAGTTTCTCATAATTCTAAGTTTTTAATTCTTGCTAAATTCGTCAGAATTAACTGCGGATATATCAGATAGAGTTAGCATATAAAGCAATACCATTCCTAAACTAAATATATCACTTTTAAAGTAGTCAATTGCTTCAATTTTCTTCTTTTCCTTTAACTCAGGTGACATCCATTTCAAAGTTCCCATTACTAAATTATATTTAGCTCCTTCAGAATCAAATAGATTTTCTGCACATCCAAAATCTGATAAATAGTAATTATTATCAATAATTAGTATATTCGAAGGCTTTATGTCTCTATGAGCTATTCTTTCTTCAACATATATGATAGCTAATGTTTTTCCTATTTATGATAAAAACTTCACTATTTCACTCTCTTCATAGATTTCTGACTTTTTTAAATTATTTATTATATTTTATTTGTAATGTCATTGAATATTTTTAATGTAATAATTTTTTATTTTTTTCTCGAAAAAACTAACTTAATAATTCATATAAATAAATAAATAAATAATTATTTTAACCTTGAATTTAATTTTAATATTCTTTTAAGCCGAAAAATATTCAATAAAAATTTTAATGTAAATTATTTTTTTTATTTTTTAGCTTTTTTTTTTTTAAATTAAATTTCTTATGAATATTATATTTTTTGAAAATTTATTTATAAAATTCTTAATTTTAAAAATGAAAGCTTTTAGTAAATTATTATAAATAAAAAGAAAGCAATTATTTTAATATTCTAAAAACTTACAATATTTTTATACATTTATATTTGCTTATTAGTTTATTCAAACAAATATCAATAAATAAAGCTATAAATATTATATCTATTAAAAAGGTACTTTAAATATTAATTAGAATCATAATAATTTTTTAAAATTTTATATTTATTATTAAAATAATTAAAATTAATTTCAATAAATTTATATTCTCATAAATCTTTGCTTAAATTTTTTTATTTAAAGTTATTTTCTATATCTTAAATTGCATTAATTATTATTGCTGCATCAGGCCTATTGTCAGGGTTTGTTTCTAACATTCTTTTTATAAGTAAAATTATTTCATTAGAAATACCTTTACAATAATTTTTCATGATTCTTATCTTTTGGTTCTTAGTAAACTCATCTGAGTTTACAGAAGAAATATCTGAAAGAGTAAGCATATAAAGCAATAACATTCCCAAACTAAATATGTCACTTTTGAAATAGTCAACTACTTGATTTTTCTTCATTTCTTTTAATTCAGGTGACATCCATTTTAAAGTTCCCATGACTAAATTGTTTCTAGCTTCTTGCGATTCAAATAGTATTTCTGCACATCCGAAATCAGATAAGTAAAAATTGTCATCTTTAATTAGTATATTTGAAGGCTTAATATCTCTATGAGCTATCCCTTCTTCAATGTATATTAATGCTAAAGTTTTACCTATTTAGGATAAAAACTTCACAATTTCGCTCTCATCAAACTTTTCTGACTTTTTTTCGATTTTTTTAAATGAAATTTAAATTTTTAATAACTTAAAAATAATTTAACACAAAAAGAGCTTGAAATTTATTGATAAAATCTTTGAAAGTAGTAATTAATTAAATTAATCAAAATTATTTTATAAAATTTTCAAAGCAATAAAATTTAAATTTATCTTATGTTATGTTATGGTAAAAAACAGTAAGACAGACAATAAAAAGATTTTTAATCTTGAATATAAAAAGAAAAACAATAAAAGTAGTAATTTGAGTTTTGGGATAATTAATTTTATGAATAAAAAGAAATTTGTATTGTTTAAATAACTTTTGAAGTAAGTTATTCAAAAAAATATTAATTCTATAATAAATATCAAACAAAATTTTATTTGAAAATGAAGTAAAGAAAATTAAAAAAAATTCTTCTTCTTACATTTGCCTACTTTTCATTTATTTTATCCTATAATGTGGACTCTGCTAGATCTAAGACAAGATATGCTGACCTTTCTTCAATAATATAATTTTGTAATTTAATTACATATTCATATTTTTTTAGCTTTTCTAACACTTCGATTTCATGGAAAATCTATTAACTCTAGTTTTCTCCATCTTAAGATATATGTATTTGCTTGCAAGCGTAATAATCTGGCATGTTTTGTAAAATATCAGGATTTTTTATAATTTGTTTATATTTATTTTTAACTTTATAGACCTGTCCAAAGCTACCACATCCAATAGAATCTCTATAATTTAGTTCATATTTCTTTTAAAATTCCTATCTAGAAATTTAAATAACCTATTTATATATCAAATCCTCAGTTTGAGCTCTAATTTCTTTTCTCTTTTTCGATCTTCTAAATATCAAGAGACTAAAAGCAAATGATAAAATAAATGATATTGCTGTTTAAAAATATACAAATTAAGTTATAAATGCGCTGCTAGGTAAATCTTTTTGATTATTATTCAGTAAAAAACTATAATATTAATAAATACTGTCTCCATCATTTATTTAAGATATTACAACAAAATTTGAAGTATAAGTTAAATAAAGACTTGTTTTATTTTCTTATTGATAAAGTTTTTAAATAAATTATCCATATTTTAATTTGATCTAATAAACATATTCAATTTTTTGTTCATTTTCAGAAAATGGATCTCTGTAACTCATAATTTTGTTATATTAATCTCTTTATTATAAGTTATAGTTGAATTTTGGAAAATCTGCATATTTCTAAACCTCCTCACTAATGTCTTATATTTCATCATAAAATTTACCATTAAATTGAAGGTTATATAAGAATAAGTAAACATTTGTTTAAGGTAAAATTTTAGTAATTAAATTATCTTCAATTACATAAGAATTTTTTTGAGTATTCACTATAAAACTGTTATTTCCATTTGTTAAAATATCTTCCAATTCATCATTTTCATTTTCATCTATACAAAAAATAATTGTTTATTACAAATTCTACTGTATATTATCTATTTTATATAAGCATTTATTCATTTGTTAGGTAAATAGATTAGTCTTTATTAATTTAGGTTTTTCATCCAATAAATATTTAAGAATGAGTTTTTTAGTTACATAATATAATATAGCCTAATTCTGATTATCTAAAATATAAAAGTAATAGCTATCATTTGACTAAGATACTTGCAAAATCTCCTTCACTTATTTATTAATTTATTTACAATAAAAGAATTATTACACAAAAGATTCATATTTTATATTATTTTATATTTGAAATTATAATTTTTAAAATAATTGGTAAAATAATATGATTTTATGAAGCAAATTTATTTAAAATACTTCAGATTTAAATCGATATATTTAACCTAATTTAAAGCTATGCCCTTTAAAAATCAATTATAAATTAATTCTACTTAATTATTTATTCATAAAATTAATTAATAAAAAACAAATTACCTCCATTAACCTCTAATTCCTATGAAACAGTCTCTTAATAATGATAATAAAACTTTATCTGTAAATTATTATCTAATATTTAATAAATACAAAAACTATTTTCAGACGAAATTCCATTAGAGTTCCAAAAAATCGGTAGAGTTTAAGGGTATATAATTTAGCCAATTACAATACTACTTTAATTAAACTTCTTTATTTAAAAGAAAGCACTTTGTTGTATATAGCATCTTTAAAATGCCATAGTAATATTAGGACTTTAGCATTCATAACTAATATCCTTTTACTCACACGCTATTTATTTAACAATAACAAGAAGGACTAATATTTATATCTTTATTTTCATATTTCAATTTAAGCAAGTTTACTTACTATTTTTTATCATAAAAGGTAATTAATATATTTGAAATTATTAAATTAAATTTACTATATATATTTGGATGCCTGATTTTATTAAAACAATATTTTAAACAAACAAATTATTTTGTGAGATTTCATAAATTTCACACATTTATTTATTATTTTTAGCAAATCTATAAAAAATAATTTTTTTTATTCACCATTTTTTATATCTGAAATAGTTAACATTTATAATTATAGATAGATATATATGTATATTAATAATTTAGTCACTTTATTTGTTTAATTATAATATACTTTGATTTTTTCATTTAATTTCATTTACTAATCATTTTATTCTATTTACAGTTTTATAAGCTTCATGCTGCTTTTACAGATATTTATTTTTTTAAGATTTTATAATTTTATTACTAAATTAAAAAATATCATTAAAGTATTACTCATATTATTAATTTCTAATTATTGCTAAAAAAATCACATATTATTCAAGAAATATCTGAAAGAGTAAATATATAATAAAATAGCAACTTAATTTGGCGTGTACCAAATCTTTTTTGGGTCATTTTATACAAAATGTATAAATCTATTTATTATAAATATTTTCATGCTAAAAAAAATTCTTTAAAGATAAAGGCATTTAACTATATATAATTTTATTTAAAAATGAAATTATATTTTTAATAAAACACATTAAAAATTTAAATACATTATTAATTAAGGAAATTGAAATAATTAAAAAAATTTAATTATTAAATAAATAATCATATATCAAAATAAAAAATAAAATAATTTATTTAAATAAATCTATTTTTTTCATTTAAATTAATTTAATATAAATTTGATTTCAAATTTTTAGGATCAATAAGATTTTATTTCTATTTATTTTTTTTTAAATTAATTAATTATTATCAAAAATACAGTTCATAGTCTTTTATTTATTTATTTATTTTTAAATGAATATATATTTAAAATACAAAATTATTCTTGGAGAAATGGTAAAATTTTCCTTAATTGAAATAAAAGTGATTATTTATTTATTAAATTAATTCTCATTTGTTAATAGTTTAATTACTATAATGTTATTTTAACTGAAGAATAATTTTCTGTCATTATTAAATTTCTTTTTTTTACTGAAATTTATTTTCTATTTCTCCTATTGCTTATATTAAAATTGGTGCATCAGGTCTAAAATCAGGATTATTTTCTAGCATTTTACTTACTAATAAAATTATTTCCTTAGAAACATATTTACAAGAGTTTCTCATAATTCTAAGTTTTTAATTTTTACTAAATTCATCAGAATTAACTGAGGATATGTCAGATAGAGTTAGCATATAAAGCAATACCATTCCTAAACTGAATATATCACTTTTAAAGTAGTCAATTGCTTCATTTTTCTTCTTTTCCTTTAACTCAGGTGACATCCATTTCAAAGTTCCAATTACTAAATTATTTTTAGTTCCTTCCGAATCAAATAGATTTTCTGCACATCCAAAATCTGATAAATAGTAATTATTATCAATAATTAATATATTTGAAGGCTTTATGTCTCTATGAGCTATTCTTTCTTCAACATATATGATAGCTAATGTTTTTCCTATTTATGATAAAAACTTCACTATATCACTCTCTTCATAGATTTCTGACTTTTTTAAATTATTTATTATATTTTATTTGCAATGTCATTGAATATTTTTAATGTAATAATTTTTTATTTTTATACTCAAAAAAACTAACTTAATAATTTATATAAATAAATAAATAAATAATTATTTTAACCTTGAATTTAATTTTAATATTTTTTTAAGCCGAAAATTAAGATTTTCAAATTTTAATTTTATTTTATTTTTGCACTAGACATTAGTCTAAATTAATTTTAATTAAATATTAATTATTAAAGCTTATTTAAAATTAAAAAGGTATTGAACTTAAAAATTTTAAGACTAAAAATTAAAAAAAAACTACATTAGCTTGTTTTTCATTGATTTATTCTTACAAAGTTGACTCTGCTAGATCTAAAACGATATATGTTGACCTTTCTTCAATAATGTAATTTTATAATTTAATAACATGATCATACTTTTTTAACTTCTCTAAAACTTCAATTTCATGGTGAATTTATGAACTCTAGCTTTCTCCATCTTATGACATATGTATTTACTTGCAAGCATAATAATCTGGCATACTTTATAAAATATCAGGATTTTTTATGATATCTTTGTATTTATTTTTAACTTTGTAAACTTGTCCAAATGCTCCTTGGCCAATAGAATCTCTGAAGTCTATAAAATATTTCTTTTCAAAATCTTATTTAGAAATTTGTAAGACTTACTTAAATACAAGATCCTCAGTTCTAGCTTATATTTGTCTTCTTTTTTTAAGTCTCCTAATTGTCAAAAAACCATACAAAAGAGATAATAAGAAGTAGAAAACTGACTAAAATATCAAGCTATAGTTTATATGATTTTTATTTCCTAAATTTCGTAATCCAATATAAGATAAAAACTAATCGTATTCATAAGTCCCATCAGAGTCATTTATTTGAGATAAAATAAAGAGTCCTTAAGAAGCTGTTAGAAACACATCTTTATCTTTATCTTGTTCCACAATTTTCTAAAAATATTAGCCATGCTCTTGTATGAGTTAGTAAGCATACTCTATTTTTTAATAGTTTTCAGATTATAAATCTCTAAAGCTCATAATTTTATTTGTGATATTCATTTTTATATTATAATTAAATTCAGGAAAATCTGTAAAACTATAAAGTGTCTCACTCATATCCTCAATTACATCATTATATTCTACTCTGTTTGTGTCTATTTAAAGAAATAAATATACCCTTGTCCTAGGTAAAATTTAGGTTATTTTATTATTTTGAACAATATAATTATTTTTTTTAGTTGTTACAACTAAATTATTTGCTCCATAATACTAAATATCTTCAAATTCATCGTTATCACTATTTTCATTCAAACAGAATAAAACTTCTGCCTAAGCAATTGTTTAGACTTAAATAATTTTATACAAACATTTATCTGTTTCTTTTGTAAAAACATTTAATCTAATGATCTTTAGGTTTTCATGTAAAACAAGCTTAAGATCCTCTTAACTCTAAGAAATTCGATAAAATACATTTTAATTTTATATATTTATAAAGTAAAAATAAAAATCATTAGAGTATTAAGATACATGCAAAATCTCCTCAACTATTATTTTATAGAAAAAAAATGCTTGTTATCAATTACTTACTTATGAATCTTTTAAAAATAAATAAATAAAGTAATTTTAGATTAACTTTATTAATATCTATGATAAATTTTATTGCTAAGTCTATTTGATAATTTGGATTTCATGTGAAGCATCGGGCATGATTTATATTTACATTATATTAAAAAAATATTAATTATCAAATAGTTAGTTACCTTCATTAAGCTATAGCTCTCTTGAAGTTGTATGTTCAAAATCATATATTTATATATATAATATTTTATTTAAGATCTAGTAAAAGCATAAAACCTGATCTGATTAAATTCCGTTTGAATTCCATATTATTGGTTTTTATTAATTGAATTTAATCCCACTTATAAATATATTATTTTAAGCATATTCATCTATTTGTAAACAAGATTAATAAGAAAAGTATCCTCTTTAAAAAGTGATTCTCTCGTCAGAAAATAGGCATTAAGAGGATAAACTCTCTAGCACACTTTTACTATACTCTATAATAAAAGAAAGAACAAAAAAATACCTAATCTTAATCATCGATCTTTTATAATCAATTCTTTTATATGTATTTTGATAAAAAATATATGTATGCCTGATGTATTTCCTTATCAGTTTAATAAAAATCTCTACTTAAAATTGTTAAGAAATCATAAAAGAGTAATTATTTAATAGTAAATAAAATTATGCCTAAGTTTAATAAGAACAATAATACAATAATCAATTTTAAAATAATATCATTATTTAGCTTTGTTTATCAAATATTTAAAAACTTTATTATGTAAATTTAGAAATACCATGAAATAATAAATTTAAACCTCATCCTTATCTAAAATTTATAAATAAAATATTTAATTAATATTTACTAAAAAGTTTATTTTAAATATAATTTTATCTCTTTTTTTATGATTTTGAATATTATTTTAAATATTTTTTGTCTAAAAACTTAAATAAAAATAAAAAAAATTAATTTTATTAATTAAAAATAAATAAAAAAATTAATTTTATTAATAAAAAATAAATAAAAAAATTAATTTTATTAAAAATTTATTTTATTTTAAAAATTAAATAATAATTTCTTTCAATAAATAATAGACAAAATATTTTTAATTTTGCTAAAAAATAAATTAAATAAATGCATTTATAAAATGACAATATAAGGAATTAAGATTTAATAAAGCTAAGTATTGTTTAAATCGTAGACTTAATTAAAATTAATAACTAGCATATTAATTTTTACTATTAATTTTTGAATAGAAAAACAAGATATTTAACTTAAAATTAAAGAAATTTAAAATTATTTTCTTTGGTTGTTAACTTGAAAGTAGATTAAACTTTCTTATGACAAAATAATGCAGTTAACTCACAAGTATTAATTGCTAGCTAAAAAGTTAGTTAGTTTTAAATATTACATAATTTAATAGTAATTATTTTGTTTAGTAATATCAACTATTTGATGTTTTTATTAGATTTTTTAAATTTTTCAAAAAGTTAAAAATTTATCTTAATATTAATCTATGTGATTTTTATCGAACGAAAATTTAATTTACGTGTCAGCTCTAATTATTTAAAATTTGTTTGCTTTACTTTGATAGTGCTTGTATGTTTGTGTATTTTGAAATAAGGATATTTATAGGACACTTTGCGAAAGTATACTAAAACAATAGTATTTATTTTCATAAATTTAAACTAGCAACCTATTTATTTCATATTAATCTAAAATAAAGAAATATTATAGATTAATTCAATATTTTTCACCTACTTTAAATTATTACAAATCTACTTTTGCTTTTAGCTTATTTTTTTGCTATTTTCTTTTATAAAAACAGACAAAAATGAAAAACCATATTTAAAATACTGTTTTTATATAAGATGACCATTTACACATTTCTGCCTGATCAAGAAGGCTATTTTTATTTAGTTTGCTTGCATTTTATGTAAGCGTTTTCTAGTTATTTACTTAATATTGGTCATTTGGTTTAGCTGTAAATTATTCTAATTGATGCATATCTAACAATTGAATGAAAAACATCTTAAAAATATGAATTTTTCACTTCAAAACCTATAATAGAAACAAAATGCACTTCCAAAAGACTTCTTCCTGTTAATTTAATCTGCTTTTTAAAAAGAGATTTTCATTTATTTTTAAATTTCGCTAATTTTGATTTAATTTTCATTTTTGCTTTCACCAATTTATTATTTTATCTAGAAGAATATATTGATCAATCGATCACTTGCTTGCTTTCTAAATTAGTAGTAAAGCAATTTGCGTTTTGAGGGTCGAACGTATATCTTCTATTTCAAATAAAAATAAGTTATTTTTTAAAGGAATCAAATAACTGATATAATGCTAGAACATTTTATAATTTTAACTTTGAGTAATGCTTAAATCACAGCATTTACTATCTTTGTATAGCAAAAAACGTCATATTTTTCGCTGGTAAAAACATAATTTTAAACACCACCTAAATTTTGTCACTGATAAAATTCTTTTGCAAAAATTTATGGATTTCTTTATAAAAGACTAAATTGGTTATGCTTTTTTTAATATCCACGCATTTCGAGGTATTTATTAAACTCAATTTAATAAAAGAAAAGAAATTCTTTTACAGTCTACATAATACCATCCCTTATTTACCAATTTATATATTTAATTATAAATGAGTCACATTTTTTCATTATATTTAGAATGAATGAATGAAGGAATGCTCATGTTAACAAAATTTTCTTCTCAATTAGAATTATTTGGTCTGCTTTTCTTAATAAAAAAAGCACGTGCTTTCTTAATTTCTATTTTTAGGAAAGGCTAAATCTCCATAGCATACAAAACAGCTTCCTTCATTATAAATAGAAATTATTTAGATATTTTTTGAAAGCGAGAACATCCTAACTCCTCTTTTTTAAAGCTTTTTTTTGGTTAAAAGATACGCTTGTATTATTTAATGCGCAAAACTATTAATTTTTACCTTCGTGGAGTGAATTTGATAATTCAACCAGATTTTTTTCTATTTTTCATAGAGAAAAACAAATTAACGTGTTAATAGAGTTGAGTGAGTAGGTGCATGCATTACTTTAAATAGCTTCGCCAATTTTTGAGAAATTAATTAAATCATAAAAAATATAAAAAATAAGAAAATAAGCAACTTTGCAAAAAGTTCAATCTATAATTTATAAATAAAGAGATAAGACACCTAATAAAAATGGTAAATAGATTTTCATTCATTTTAAGTTGGAGAATGCAAAAATCTCCCGACTGACTTAAAATTTAGCATTAACTCATCTTCCCCTTAGCATTCATTTCTAAATTTTCCCATTTTAAAATCAACAGAAGCAATAAATGAAACTTAAGAGCAACCTCCACAATAAGAACGTCACCAACAGAGGAAAAGTTCCCTCCAGCTTAAAGAGCAAGGAAGAAAAGAGCGTTGGACCTTGGGTTTTGGGCATCTTCCTCTTCGTCGTTGTTGGTTCCGCCATCTTCTAAATCTTAAACGTTGTCACTAACTCTTGAAAACTTTTATTTCAACATAAAAACTCCTCTCTTAATTTATAAAAAGAAGTACTCTACATGAAAAGTAGTAGTATTCAGTAATTAATAAAGTATAATATAATATTTTATTATTTTTGAATGGAGATTTGAGCAAAATTAACTCTTCCTCCAAAACACTTTATATTATGTATGTATGTAGTCTACTTTTGCTTATTTCTTTCACTCAATCATAATCAATCATTCAATCATTCTTTCATATTTTGTTATCTAAATTTTCTTAAACATTCCACAATCAACTAAACTAAAATATGTTCAATCACAACCAACCAAATTAGTGTTTTCAGAATCATCAGATAAACAAAAAACTCTATCTTAAAAATCATTGCAATTTTCTTCAAATACCAGTTAAAACAAATTATTAAAAACATATTTTAAAAACGTCTTTTTATGGACAATTTTTTAATTTTTTCATTTCTTTGTGTTAGTCAATTATACAAAGCAAATAAGCAATATTTTGCTAGTCTGTATTTATTAATGTAAATATATAAACGTGGAAAAAGATTTTAATAAGAAGAGTGATAATTATAGTTTTAGAATTGTTTTGTGAAAAAAAATTTAATTTTTAGTAAATTCTATTAAGATTTTAGTTATTTTAATTGATTGGAATTCTTTATTAATATGGATTTAAAATCATATTCGTATTATCTAATAAAATATTTGCAAAAAATTCTTAAAAAATTAAAATACTTAATTTTATAATACAAAGAAAGGATAATAAAATTTAATTATTTAAGAAAAAAATTAAAAAAAATATCATAAACTTGTTAGCAAAAAGTTTATAAAATAAATAAATAGAAAATAAATATGATTTATTTATTGGAAATATTTTTAATTTATCACAAGCTATAAATTGAGAGATGATTTTTATTTAACTTATTTATAAATCTAATTATTTTTAAATTAAATACTAATCTCCTTAAGTTAATATTCTTTCTGTATTTATGCATTTAAAATTAAAAATTTATCATTTATGGTTCAGCTTTTATTTTGAAGACTTAAAATATAAATAGTTATAAAGCAAATGTATGAAGAATTATAATTATTGTATACTTAAATTGAATATTTGATTGCTTAGCTGTATATTTTTCATATTTAACTCTATATAACAATAAATTAATATTATTCCTCAAATCTTACTTAAATTTACTGGATAAAAAGATTTAAATTAAAAAATCTTCTTATATATCATACTATTTATCTATATTTTAAACCGAAAGAAATATCAATCAATTTATGTCTTAACATTGTTTTATTAAAATATTTAGCATCATACAAATAGGATTTAATAAACTCTCACAAAATCATACTATTCATTAATGCTTAAAAACAATTATTTCATCCAAACCATAGTTTATTTAGAAAAAATTCAAAAAAAATTTGTGAAAAAATGAAAATGAAGTTTGATAAAAATTAAATTGTTTTTTTTCCCAGAATTATAAAAAAAGTAAATTTATTCAAGTAAAATAAAATATTTTTGCATGAATTTACTTTTTATAAAACAAAAAAGTGAATTAACAAAAGGATTTTATAATTTGAAAAGAAGATTTGATAATTAATTATTCGTTTTTTAAAAATTCAAAATTCATAAAACTAAATTTTCATAATATAAAATAAACTTATAAAATTGAAATATGTTTTCTAAAACTGTAAAGGTAAAACCAAAAAATATTTATCTATAAAAATTACCAATATAGCTAGTTAAAATTTTCTATTATTATTCATTTCTTAGGTAAACAAATTATTTAAGATTGTTAACATAATTTAAATATTAATCAAAATTATTACCATTATTATTATTTTTAATTATTTATGTTGCAAAATGTCTTTAAATTAATTTTTATAAAAATTGACTGTCATTCTATTTTACTGCTTTATCTTAAAACATTATAGATATTTATTTATTAATTTATTTTTAATTTACCAGAAATAGAAATTTTAAGCAAATTTGATAATTATATTTTTTTTTGTACTTGAAGAAAAAGCTTTTATTAAAAAATAAACACATCAGTAATTGATATAATTAATAAATTAGCACATTTAAATGGTAATATTAAAATATTACTCTTTAGTGTATATAGAGTTATTTAAAATAAGCATTGCTTTTTCATCAAATTTTTCTTAAACTAAAATATTATTTTTAATCTCCTCTTTATTGATATTTAGAAAAATTGAAAAGACTGTGTAGTAAATAACCAATTTACTATAAATAGTTTATTAAAAATAAAATATAAAAGAAATTGTTTTGATTTTCAGAAAATTCAATTAAAAACTTTGAATGTAAATAATTTATTCATGACCTAATTTTAGAAACTCAAAAAATATAATCAAAACATTTAAAAAATTATATGAAAATATTTTGAATTAAAATATGCCATTTTTTATTATAATTTAAACATCAAAATTTTTAGTGTTGAAGAGCACTGAAATGAATAAAATAATTAAAATTAAGGTATTTTGCCTGGGCAATTTAGACTTAGTACATTATTATAATTCAGTCTGATAGCTTTTTTAGCTGATAAATAAACTATTACTAAAAATAAATCATTATTAAATTAATAATGCAAAACAACTAAAAAGAGTTATTAAATTTATATTTTTTTCATTCAAATTTAGTTTTTTAACATAAGCTTTTGCCTCTGAATTTGATGATCAAAAATAATAAATAAATCATATTAAATTAAACTAATAATTTTCTGACATAATTACTATTACTTAAGTATAATTAAGCATAGTAAAAAGATAGAAAACTTTAGTCAAAATTTTTTTTTTAGTTTAAGAATATTAAAAATTATTCATTTTTATTCTTGAAAATACATTTTTTGAGCTTGTTGTGAGAAAAATAAATTTTAGGTAAAATAAATTTACAATTAGATGGTTATATAGATAGATAGATAAGATTACGATTGATTAGGTATTAAATTTATAATTTTTCTATTTGATAATCTTGAAGAATGTCATCAAACTGGTAATTATTCCAAATAAAAGGCTATATTACTATAAATAGAACAATATATTGTATTAATATGATGAAATATAATTATATGAAGCAAGCAATCAGGCAGAAAACTGTAATTTTCTAAGTTATTTAAAGAAAAAAAGTAATGCAAAAGGCTCATTTAGACATCAATACAAAATAAAGATTAATGTAAATTAATAAATTAAAAAATAGAAATATACATACATACATAGATAGATAGATATAGGAAGAAAGAAGTATTATATTTTTATAGTAATATTTTTTTGAAAAAAGAAAAAAATTAAAAATATAATTATATAAATCGTATTATTTTTGCTATTGGCTAAGGAGCATCAAAACTCTTTCTAACACAAATTCAATAGTAAACGCATATTAATTAATATTAACAAAAATAAGTACAACGAGACAGATAAACAATCAAACAAACAAACAAATTATCAATCAAGCAAGCAATCACATTTATTAAGCAAAGTCAGCTAAATTAGAAATATAAAAGCGAAAAATTACATATAAAGTAAAATGAACGGCTCTCAATTAAATGCAACAAATAGTTTTAAAATGAGCAGTAATAGCTTAGGCGCATCATTCATACAAAGCAATCCTAGTGGTAAAAAATTTTCACTATTCTCTCTCTATATTGAGTCTTTAGATGGCTTCCAATTATGATCAAAAATATTCAATATGATTATTTAAATATTAACAATAACCTTATTTTTCTAACATAAATAATTTTAGATTCAAAGCGTTTAACAAACTTTTTTGGCAGAAAAAATAAAAATCCCGTAGAGAACTCAGCCTGCTTATTGGCATGCACAATAAACTTCTTGAAGACACCCGATTCTAAGGTAAAAATCTAACTTTTAAAAGCAAATTTTTGTTGCTTGCTGTATAGATATTTTTTAGTTAAGCTGATTTTGTATGCATAAGCGTGTGTATTTAATAAATATATATAATATGCATACATAAATGCAAAGAAAGAAAAGCATATCAACATTAAAATATAAAATGATAAATAGAATACAATTCAGAAGTTAGATAAGTACATGTAGAGATGCAAGCAAATAGTCACTTAAGAAAATGATGTAATCGAATTTCTAATACTTATTTAAATAATTGAAATAAACCTCATTTAATTTTATCTCCTTTTAATGCAAATTAATAGAAATCTAGCGTTTAAATCGCAGATTGCTAATATCTATAAATTGCTTTACATAATCTATTATTGCATGCACATTTATTGCCCTTTGAAATGAAAAAATCAGTCTACGCAATTCTCACATCCAGCTTAAAAATCTCTTAATCGTGCTGTTAGTACTTTGCTACCTATGCCAAGAGCATTACATTCTACCTATTTTAATAGTATAAATACATTCGATTTGATGGGAGATTTATCCCACAAATTCTCAAATCATCTTGTTTCTTAATATTTCTTTAAAATTTTAATAAAGCTTCGAAAAAAATGAAATGTACTTTTTTACTGGTAATGTCTTGAGAATCCTATTAAAATAAGAGGTAAAAAATTGTTCTCATCATTTAAATCTACTTAATTTCTATTTCCTTCATTTTATTTTTAAATAAATCACTTCATTTTATTCCCATAAAATTTTAAAGTTTGATTGATTGATTGATATATTTATACTAAGCATTGTGAGTGTTTTAATTTTCACTAACTTTTCATATAAACTTTTAATTGAAATTGTAAACACTTTGATTAAGTGCCCTTAATACTGATTATCATTCTTACCTTTCTTTCTTCAAAACGGGATAAGATTTTGTATTATTGGCTCAAAAAATAAAGCTTGGTCTCTATATTTAGATTTAAGGAAAATTTTTTCTTGCAAAAAATTAAAAAAAAATCATAATTTATCTGTTAAAAGTTATCAAATTTTCTTTGACTGACATTGTTTTGTTAGTCTTACATTTATATTCTTTCTAAGCTATAAAATGACTTTTTATTGAAGTTATTTATATTATAAACTATAAATAGTTCTTAGACTAAATGCTCGATTTACAACTTTTGGACTCAATAATTAAGGTCAGCAAAAATGCTGTCTTCGAAATAGCCTCTGAAGCTCTAGAAACTTTCCATGTATTTAAATTAATTTAATTCACGATTTAAAATTAAACATTTTTAAATCAATTAATTATTTTTTAGGTAATTTTCAAGCAAAAGAAGCCAAAATAAAAAGAAATCCTAAGCAAGTTCTTGCTTGACAATCACAGCGAAGTAAATAAATAAAAAACATTTACAAAAATTAACTAATCTTGCAAATTTCTAATTAAATAGGTGTTCAAGCTATTTGTAGAACTTGCAGAAACAGAAAACTACTTAGCAAAAAGAGATATTTTACTAGTAAAATACTAATTCAATTAATATTATATATATATAGTCTTTCTAAATTATCTAATATTAAATCCTTTTTAAATTTCTATAAATAGACACTTAATTAAATTCTTTCTGATCCCGTTAATAAATAGTTCAATCTGAAATTCATCAACGACAAAGTAACTTAATTTTCTATTTTCAATTAATTAAATGACATTTCTTCTTCAAAATCTATTCATTTAAATTTAACCAAGTTTTTTTTAAACAAAAAAACAATCAGTTCTTAATTGCAATTTAAAAACTCTTAACAATTTGCTCTTTTTCATCCAAATAGTTATCAAATCACTTTTAAAATAACTGTTTTTTATAATAATCACAACTATTATTTAAACATTAATAAAAATAAAATCACTCGAAATGTTAAAAGAGATGTTTGACTAAAAGAAAAATAATTATTTATATTGAATAGAAAACAATTATTTATTTTTTGTTAATTAATTTATTAGTTTTCAGTTAAAGAAATTTAAATTAAAAAAATAATTTAGTTAAAATTAATTTTATCAAAAATTTTTAGGAAAATTTGAAAAGAGTAATGACCATATTGAGCAGTGAAGAATAAGGTGGATTCAAAGAAGTTGCTTTAATTTTATTCGATCACTTTTTATAAGGATTCTCTACTATTGAAAATGAAAAAGTTAAACATATCATTGAGAGAAATAAAATGTTACTGATTTAATGCATTAAATAATGTGTGAATGAAGCCAACTAAGAAAGCTAAGGAGAATAAGAGGATCGTAAAGACTATATGATACATATTCTAGAAGAAATCTGATTCCAATTTTAACATATTTTGTCTTTAACGCTGTCAATATATTCAACCAACCATAAATTATAAAACTTTATAATTAATTCATGAATTAATAAAAATAAATAAATAAAATAAATAAATAAATAATAAATCACTTAATCAATAATATTGGCAGGTTATTCCTCATTTTTTTGAATACTCAATTAAACAAACAAATTGTAACAACAACTATCACTTCACTGTCATAATAAATTGTTAATTTAAAAAGATTTAAAATCCTTAAAATGTATATCAACCACATGTGTCTTATATCTTAATTTATATTTATCTAACTTATTCCCTAATTTGATTATGCAACTATCATCGTATCTAATTCTGCCTGAAATTCTCAATTTAATTCTAAATTAATTATAATTTAAATTTATTAAATGCTTCATTCATTCATTCTTTCTTTCTTTCTTTTTTAAACTTTATTATCTTTCAAATGATTAAAAATAAATAAAAATAACTTAAAATTCAACAAAACTTAATCAAATAAACAGAAAAATCAATTAAAAATAAACCAAAAAAATTTTATAAATGATTTAAGTATTAATAAATATTGTTGAATATTTTATAAAATAAATTTTGAATTCTTTTATATATACTTTAACAAAAAAAAACTATAAAATCGAAAAAATTAATTTTCTTTCATACATACATAATATAATTATTTGATATTCTTTAAAAAAGTGATATTCGGCCAGACCCTAATTAATACAAATACAGAAGATCTATTGATATTTAAGATTGTATTAAGTGACATAATTCTTGAAATATAAGCTCATAACCATTAAATTCATTTGAATAATTGTAAATTATGAGTGGAAAATATAAAAAAATAGGATATATATAGTTAACATAAATAAGTAAAAATACCAAATATTATGTAAACAAACAAACAAGTAAATAAATATTTTAAAAAATATAATTAAATGTTTATTTATTTATTTATCAAAAAAGAATTTAATTATAGTGAAGCATTTAAATTTTAAAAATGAGTATGAAAATATGTACGAGTATAATATATATATTTAAAGTGTAATTGTATTTGACATTGATAAATTTAGTGTTTTTGCTGATCTTTTTACTTCTTTTTACTCTAATGATAATTTTTGAATGGATAAGTAAGACACTAAAAATGTGCAAGTTATCTAGCAAATAAGCAAGCTTGATTTTTAATCAAACTTTTCATCTTCTGATATTGGGGATATTTTAGGCTTATAATTTGAAGTTGTGCATTTTTTCATTGTCAATATTATGTTAATCTGCAGCTGCGGTCTTTCTTGCATTAGCAAAGGTTTAACCAAAAATGTTAGCTGCAACAATTCTTTTGTTGGTACCAGTGTAACCTGGAAGAGGAGTTCCGATTCTAACTATTTATTTTAGATTTGAAAAATAACATTTATTTAAATGTAATATATTAGTTATAATATTTATTTACTTGGATCTACTTTATCATCACCATAGAATTTATCAAGACTTTCTTCGAATTATTAAGGTCTTACATTTTATGATTCTTCTTATTATAACTTTTTGGTATGTTATAATTATGTCTACCAGAAATTGCTGTCTTTCATTTTATCAGTCTTTTAAAAAAATAATTTTAAGATTTTAAAATGGCATCTAATTGAAAAGGAATTAATTATATTTTTTTTATCATGTCATTTATGCCAATCATTTATTTAACTATCAAAAAATTCTATGTATTTTTATAATTTTGGAGTTATATAAATTTTTGCATTAATCAATTAATAAAAAGATTGATTAATCTATCTATTGATCTATCTATCTATCTTCTATCAATTAATCAATATTTTGTAAGATTAAAAACAAAGACTTTCATTAACAATTTTGATAAATGAACAATTAATTATTCAAGTTAATTTATAATAAGAATTATTTTTTTAAAGAATATTTATTTACGAGAGTGTATTAAAGTTATTTGGGAGGGACACCTACTATTTCTGCAGCAGTTCTTTAAAGAACTTAATTCTAATTAATATAAGTTTCTTGGGTAACACTTGCATATCTTTATTAAGCATTAACATCTTAGCCTTGATGTTAGTCACCCTTAGAGATTGTATAAGTAATTTTTCCATATGTCTTACCAAAGATATTTTCAGATTTAATGGAGGGAATATATCCATCATAACCTGCATAAAATTTATAAAAATATTTATTAATTCTTTTTTTACTTTTCATTGATTTGATTAATCATCAAAATTAATTTATTATTCATGCTAAATACCTGGAATTTAGTATTTGGGTTCTTGCTTTTGAATGGGTATAGGATCGTCTCTAATTACTTTAGGAATGTGACTATTTTTATAATAAAAAGTATTATGCTAGCTACTTTAAAAAAGTGGAAATGCTAATTAATTTTATCAAACAATTTTAATTCCTAATTTATTTTCAAAAAAGCTTCATTAACATCAAAGTAGTATTTATATCAATATCTTCGTTTCATAAAATTTGTGATGAATGAAACGAACTTTTGTGAGTTAAAAACTGCGTTTAAAAAAAGCTTCTTGGGGGAAAATATATTATGAAGTTTGAGTTATCTTTTCATTTCTAAGTCAATTCATTTTTTTTACCCTGTGTATCCAGGAACAACATAGGATAATCTGGTACCTTCAAACATTTCTTTATATTTTGTTAATAATTAATTATCTTAATGATGCAAATAATAAGAATTATTTTTTATTTTTATTTTATGAATTACTTTTACTTCTTTGTTATGATCTTTATCTTTATTTTTTTCTTCCTTATCCTTAACAAATAGTTAGCAGAATTTTTACTATTATCTCATTGTTATCATATATAAATGAATAAATAAATAAATAAATCAATCAGTCTTTCTGTCAGTTTGCTAGTCTGTTGGTCTGCCTGTCTGTGTTATCTTCCTAAATCATTTAATTTACCAAAGATTATATTAATTTGTATAACTCTTCATTGAATTTGTTATTGATGAAATTATAAATAAATTTTTCAGTTCATAGTCATTGCCAATAGTTTTTAATTTAATTGTTTTATCAATTTTCAAAAAATAAATAATTACCAAAAATAAATTACATTTTTTATGATAATTTATGTTAAAAACTAAAAATAATTTTAAATGTTTATTTTAAAAAATATTATTTTTATAAATGAATAGCAAAGTTAATATTTACAATTAATAAAATTTGATTAATATTTTTTACAATTTTAAATATTTTAACTAACTCAAGCATATGTCTATCTATCTTTATAACTATTATATCAATATATTTATTTATCTATTGATATATTTATGTATTTCAACAAAAATTGATGTTAATAATATTAAAAAAAAAATTAAATAAATGATAATTCTAAAAATTTCATAATTTAAAATTAATAAATTATTAATGAGTTAATTTTTATTCTAAAATGCTAATTTAAAGTTACTTTATAGACTAAAGTAAATATCTCAAATAGAAAACGAGATGCTTAAAAAGATATGATCGAATGATTTTATATTTTGAAATATTATTTTGTCAATTATTATATTAAAAATTAATGAATTATTTAAAAATAATAAAATAAAAAAAAGATTCTTTTTTATTAAATTTTTTTCAAATTTTATAAAATTTATTTTTTATTCGAATTAAAAAATGTACAAAAGAATTTTAAAAATTTTTAATTATTTTGATTCCTTCCTATTAATAAATTTTAAATTAAAATTATAATTCAATATTTAAAAGAAGTTAAATAAAAAAAGTGAAAGAATAATAAAAAATTTGGTGACTAAATAAGCAATACTAAGTGCAATAAATTTTTTACTAAAATATAAAATAATTATGATATTGAATAAAACAAAAAAGCTAATAAAAATTTTGATTATAAAAAATTCTAATTATTAAATAAAGAAGCTGAAGTTTTAAATAAAATTCCTTAAATTTAAATATTTACTAGCATTATTATTATAATAATTTTAATAATTTAAATTTAGATAGATAAAAATGATACTGTGTTAAAATGCTATGTTAAATTTATAATACTTAGACTGTAAATTTTAATGATACTTTTATTAATAAATCTATTAAATGTAAATAGAAACTTCAATGAATTTATTAAATTATTATAATTGTTATGTTAAATAATATTAAAAATTATTTTATTTTGTTTTTAAATATTTATAAATAAAACGATTCATTTTTTTAAGTAAATACCTTAAAAGATTTTTACTTTTTAATAGAAAAAATTGGAAATATGTTATAATAGCTTGAAAAGAAATATAATATATTTATTTAATTTATAGAGAATTAATTATCTTATTAATTAAAAATCAGTTATGAGATAGATAAATAATTAAATTTTATCTAATGATAATAAAATAAAATATTTAAATCCTTCGAAAAATAGTTATTGAAGCACTTATTCAATGAATGAATTAACAAACAAATCAATAGAGAAATAAAATTAATTGGTTATAAAATCTATTTATATTCAATCAAAAGCAATTTATTCAAAAGTATACTATTTCTCAGAAAAAATTGCATAAGTTTCTTTAAGATTTACTTTTAAAACCAAATTTTATTTAATTAATTCATATAAAATTCTTAAAAAATACTAATTGATATTTTATTAGCATTAATTAATTCATAAAATGTTAATTAATTATTAAAATAAAGTTTTGACAATAATCCTTTATTTATTTTTGATATTTTCATTCTCTAAAAGCAAACAAACAAACATATATTGATTGATATTAATATTCAAAATAACATTTAAATATTTCAAGTATTTTTTCTAGTACACTAATAGTTAGTTAGTTAAAAATAAGAAAATATTTTAAAATATAATTCTTTAGAATAAAACCTAAGATCAATTTATTATTTAATATTTATCATCAAAAATAAGAAGTATTTTTTATGTAAACTTTTAATTGTAAGCACATTAATTAATTAATGAATGTAGCGTTCTCAATTATCAAAAACACTTTTATAAATAAACTTTCGTAAATTTTAAAGTTAATTAACATTTGTAAAGTAAGTGACTAGAACCGCTGTAAAAAAAATAAAAAAATTTTAAAATTCGATAACATTATTATGCTATTATTACAAATTACATAATATTTATAGTAAGAGTTATTTTTATTTACTTTTAATTAAAAAATTAGAGCTCAAAGTAGAATATTTTTGGAAGATAGAACAATTGCTTACACCAATTTTCGTAATACTAAAATCAAAATATTTTTATATCATAATATTTTATCATTATAAATAACTTTTTTTGTAAATAAAAAGTGATTAATCCTTAGATTTGTATTAAGCACCTTTGAAATATTGGAAAAACTAAAACTGTATGTTCAGGTTTATTATTAAGTATTTTGTAGAAGTATTATTTATTTTTATTTGATAGGAAGCTTCATTTTGATAAATACAAGCAATAAATAAATTTGTTATTATTATTAAAATATTGCAATGTAAGCTAAATTTTCAAGATAATAAAAGAGAGATAATAAAATAAAAATTTAAATAAATTCTTTACGTTCCCTTTAAATATTCAAGCTCTTTCTTTCAATATAATTTATGTAATTAATTTTTTTTTCCGTTTTAAATTATGATCTACTGGGTCTACTTTATGGTTGATTGATTAAGTTAGACCAAGTTTTTTGAGTTTATATCCATTCTTTATTATAACTAAATTTTGATTTATTTTTTCAATATATTATGAGCTTACATATTTTATTTAATTTACATGTTTTTTCACGTTTAAATCCAAAAATTTAAAAACCTTTATAAATCACCAACTAAGAATCATCAAATTCATTTTAATGTAGAAAATGTCTAAATTTTCAATTTAATTTAAATTAAAGCTAAAGAAAGATTATGTCTTTTTTAAATTGAAAATACTCTCAATATATCTTAAAAAGGTTATTTTTATTTATTTATTTATGATATTTTAAGTTATAGTAAAGCAAGAATTATTTAAATATATTGGTAATATAAATTGATATAAGAATGATATTTAATTAACAATAAATTAAATTGGTATTTTGGTATGCAGTAAAGTGTAAATTAAAATTTAATATAAAATTATAAAATATTACTAATTATAATATAGAAGTATTTATTTATTAATAATAAACATAATGAACTCATTTTTTTTCTGTTAGAGTAAAATAAATGCGTTAAGCGATCAATCAAGCTACTTGTGTTTTTCCTTTTATTAATTTGGTTTGAATTATGATTTTCCAATTAATGTTTGTTTAACCATGAATAAAAATGAAATCATTAAATAATTAGGTAGGAGAGTTGATATAAATTTACAAATATAAATGATTGAAATTAATTATTATTTTAAGAGCATTAAGAAATATTATAGATGAATTTAATTTAGTAAAAGTGATTACTAATTTTGTTATTATTGCAATTTTATGTTATTATTTATTTATTTATTTAATTAAACGCTTATATTTTATTTTATATTTACTAACTTCGATTTTTTAGCTGTCTATGAAAGAAACATTACAGACAGATAGACAGAGCTAGTCATGATTGATTGATTTTCATGTGATTACTTTTTATTTTTTGTATTAGATAGAAAAAATTAAGTAGTAAAATATAATAGAGATAGATAGATAGATAGATAGATGCATAGAGTTTTATTTAACGTAATTAAGCTTTTTTGTCTGATTTTATTCACATAATTTAGAGTTTTTTACTTGTTACTCATAAATCCAAATAATAAATTGAGATTATTTGATTTTACAGTTGAAAAGCTTTTTAGAAATTTATTTATTTATTTATTTGCTTTTTCTGATGATTTGAGTAAAGCAGATTGGACCTTACCGAATTTGTTTATAAATATCAAAATTAGCTTATGTAAAAGATTTTTTGTTATTTCAGCTTTTATTCGATATAATTTTAGATTGAGAAAAATTTCATGAAATTTTTTATTCTTTTCTATATTTTTTTTAGAGTGTTTTCAAGCAAGCTTATTTATTTTTAATAAGTTGGATATCGATTTTTAATTTAACCATAAACAGCACAATCAGGTTGGTAGGTAGGTTTCTAAGATGCTTTTCACGTAGATTTTAAATATAGATTTAATTATAATTTGCTAATTATTATATTTAATTGGATTATAAAGCAATTTAAATTGATAAGTACAATCAAAAGGTTTTTATTTATTGATGGATAGGCAGCATATCCAATTAATTAATTAATTAATTAATTAAGCAATTAATCATTCATTCATTCAATCAATCAATCAATGATAGCAATATATTAATGTGAGTTTTTGAGTCTAATTATATTTATTTATTTTTTTAATAGTATTTGATAATATTATAATAATTATCTATCTTTTTATAAATTTGTATATCTATGAGTTTGTTTTTGCATGCTCGATGAGCTTTGTTGAAATGTGAGTAATAGATTTATTGATTTATGTTATTTAATTATTAATAGATAAGAGAATAAAGAGATGTAAAGAGAGATGAGTGCTTTTTTCTATCACAATAATATCTACTTTCATACTATAATAGAAACTTGTTAGACATGATGAGCAGGGTTAGGACTACTCTTTCCAGATTGGTAGCTTCTTTATTTGAGACTTAGTGAATTGTGAATGTTATGCTAGCTGGACTTATATAAATTGTGGCTTGTACCTTACTCTTCGCATTCAGACTTTTCTTGTACAATACCAACTTCCTATTACTGCTTTAAGCGCTAGAGTTTTAATTTTTCCATATTAGGTGACCAGCTGCCCTAATCGATGCTTCTCTTTTTAATGGTATTTGGAGAGCTACGAGTTATTTTTGCAGTAATCTGGTCACTTTGACTGGGGTCATTTATATAATCAACTTAAAGAGCTCCGCGTTTATTATTGCGATTAAGTCCCCATTCCTAAATATTAACAGAGTTTGCAGGACCTCCTTAATTAGATGAGGAAGAATAACGGACAGAACCGTGGGTAGATTAGCTTTTTTTTTTAATATCAGTGCAATCCAGTTAATTACTTGATGATTTCATTGGAACTTTCCCAGCTGTACAACCCATTATTAAGTGATATGTGAAAGATTTATCAAAGTATTTATAAATAATAAGTATTTATGTTTGTATGTATGTGTATTGTGTTTGTATTTATTTAGTTATCTTTTTTTTATTTATTTATAAGATCGCAGTATAATAATTAATAAGAACTTTTGTTATCTTTAACTTTATTTATTGACTTATTGATTTATTTCTTAATTGTTTGTTTGTTTATTTATTTATTTAGTATTTTTTAACTTTTGATTTTTTTTGCTCGTTTAATTAATTAAAAAATTTTTGATTATGCCTTATAACATTTTGATAATATCTATGGCTAATTTTCTTTATTAAGATTTCTATCTATCTATTAGTCAATCAATCAATATTAATGATAATCAATCAACTACCTCTTACTTATAAATGAAGGACTCTTTGAAAAATTAATGATTGATATCAATCTATCATTAATTAATTAATTTATTTATTTATTTATAGGTTTTCCATTCTAATTTTCGCAAACCTTATTACATTTTTTGAGAATATGTATTATTTGATAAATGTTAATAACACTAAAAAGCAATCATATATATTAAATTCTTCATCATATCAAACAAACAAATTAATTAAAAAGCATTCATACATTTAAATAGGTTTCTCAGTTTTTGATGTAAACTCGTGTTTCTTCTTTCATGATAAATTTAATTAATTTTCAGATATATACCTACCTCTTTACTCCAGCCTCTTTTATTTTTCAAACAATTACTTCTGTGCCTCTCTTTTTTTGTTTTTGTTTTCAATATTCTTAAAAATATTATTCTAATCCATTAATATTTAGTCAACTCGTACAACTATATACTCCAGTTGGCCAGCTCTTTTTGATTAGAATTCGCTTTCATAATCAGTCAACCCTGTTTTCTCTTGTTGCAAATCAATTAATTTTAGAATATTTTTATATCTCATATTGCGTTTTTTTTTTTGGTAAATTTAAAGTGAAAATAAATAATTTTGTCCATAATTTACTATCTATTGCTTAATAAATCTATAAATTTTATCAACTCTTATGTAATCTACTTTAATTTTAGATTTTCATTTAATTTTAACAATTATTACTTGCAATATTTTTCAACTCTTTTCTACCAGCTGAAATACTGGCAATATCTCCCAAAAAGTAAGTAAACCAATTAAATTTTTACTAAAAATAATAAACGCAAAACAAATCCTGTATTTTCTCTATTCTTTTGAAATAATTTAAATAAAGAACTTTCTCCTCCATATCCTTCGTCTGCGATTAATTATTTGAGGTTTTAATTGAAAAGATGATAATATTGTATGGTAATTAACTCTCTTAACATTATTGCCATAAATATATTCTCTTCTGATAAATATTTAAAATTTTATATTGCTGAGTCATGAAGAAAAAATCAAACAAATCAGATTTCGTAGTACTTTTCAAATATCTTGCACTATTCTAAATCGAACATCTTACAATAATTATAATAATATTCCTTTCTTTTTCAGAATATTTTTAAGATAGTAAAACCAACTTAAACTTATGTAAATTCAATTAAATTACTTGAAAATTAAATTAGCTTACAAGTATAAAATGAAATTAGCAATTATATTTTACTAGCTACAAAAGCTATTAAATAAAAACTCTATTTTCAACGATATCTTCTAATCTATTTATTTAAAAAATTTTATTGGTAGAGATGCTATCAGACTTTAATAAATTTTTTAAATGTTTAATCTTATCAAATGTAAGGAGAATTTCAATATTTAAAATTTGCATTTTGAGTAAAAAGTTTATAATAATAATTTTTTAAAAAGGAGTAAATTATATTTTGTTATTTTATGATTGATAGAAAACTTCTAGTAACGTAAATAGAAAGTTAAATCGTAGAAACTTTTACTAAGTATATTTTACTTTCAAATCATCCTAATTACTAAAACAAAGTGTAAATTTTAATATCTTTTCTGAATTTTATGGCTAAAATCGTACCCAATTAAAAATTACCTCTATAATAGTGAAAAGTAAACAAATCTTTATCAAAAAAATTTACTAAAATATTTATATTAAGCAAAAGCAAAAATTATTAGAGTATCAAAGAATTCACAGCAGCTATATGATAATTTCTTATATTAAAAAAAGCTACAAAAGATAGAAATCTTAAGTAAGCAAAATAAATTTCCCTACTTTTATTTGTTTGTAGATGCTTACTATAATATAAATTAAATATATGTTTAAGAAATTAGTAGCACTAAGAGATAAATAAGTAAATTATATCAAGCATTATAAAAATTTACATTCTCATTAAAAAATTAAATTTTAATTAAATTCATTTACTCGAAATAAATAGTTGACTCACAAATGATGTAAATTAATGAGAAATGAGATATTTATTGCTACAAGAATTCACTTACGTTTGTGATTCTTAGAGAATTAGAATTAATTATACTTTAATTTATTTATTTTTAATGGTTAAAAAATAAATTGAAATTAAAACGGATGATTGAAAATAGATAGTCATAATATTTGTGTAAACACTAACCAATCAATACTAAAATCAATTCCAAGTATAAATCATAAGTAAAGGTAAAGAGAAACTAATAAAAGAATTATTTGCTTACAATTTAAAAAAAATATTTACAATTAAAGAATTTGTTTGTCTGTCTGTGAATAAAAATAGTAACTTCAAAATATTGAATATTTATTTTTATTATTCTACTAGTTTGTTTGATATTCGTGTAAATTAAATAATTATGTTAAAGGTGTTACTGAGGAAAAATACTTTTTGATTTGATTCGATCTTTTTTAATGGAATCCAAATATTAAATAAAAACATAAATAATTAAAAAATTAAACACAATTTCATATTTAGTTTATTTAGGTAAATTTTAATTTGTGATTTATTACATTAAAACAGAAGAACTTATTTTTAAATTATATGTAACTCAATTTATTTTTTAAATATTTCTCTGACATCTAACATCTTTATGTTCTAAGTTATTTTTTACCTCAATTTTATCTCATTATACAACAACAGTTCAAAAAGTGAACCAGCTCTAATTTATTTACCTTGCATTAAAATAATAAGTTTTTTGATGACTAGCTGAGAAATTTACGAAATTATTTATTTGGCTACAAGATGTAAATGAAGCCCTTAAATTTAGTCTTCGAGATATCACAAAAGAGAGCATTAAATAAATATAAATTAACATTTTAAAAATTGACTGCTGTATCTTTTTTATGAGAATCTAAATTATAATTTTATTAATGAGCTATTATGAAAATCTTTTTAAAGTAAGATGAATATATATATTAATTACAAAAAAATTAAGAATTTAAGTATTTTCAGGCGAATTCATTCTGGGGATAAACAAACAACCATTTTGTTAAATTAAATAAAATATTCTTTTTTAATCACTTTATGGCAAAAAAAAACAATATAATTGATCGATCATAAAATTTTAATATCAACTAATTTTCCTCTTATTTTTTATTCATAGAAAGACCTTACTTATTTCTATAGGTTTGACCATCCATCCATCTATGTATGGCTAATAACTCTTTATTTTTAAGAGATAAATATCTCATCTTAATTATAATAATTATAAAGTACTAATTAATTAATATAAATAAATTGGCACATTATTAATATAATTTTAAAGAGTTTTTTTAAATAAAAGTTAATTTTTTACTTATTTATGATATCTTATTTAAATTTAGTGAATTTTTTTTAAATATTTTTTACATTTTAATTTAACAAATATTTAAAAAATTAATTTTATTTTAATATTTTAAATGATAAATAAAAAATAGATATTTATTTTTATTTTAAATCTTGAATCATCGTGTTTATATTAAAATCTCCAATAATATTTCAATTGATCTTATTTTTTGAAGGTTATTTTTTTTTTTTTTAAAAAAGCAAAATTAAAAAAATATTATTTTTAAAATTAATTTCAAATTCAAAGAACATTTTGTTTGAAGTTAGAGTTATTAAAATACAAGCAGATAAAAGAAAATTTGTTTAAATTAATTAAATAATAAATATACAAATATTTTGTGGAAATGACTGATTGATTATATAAATGTAATATAAATTTAAAAATATTTAAAAATTATAAAACATAAAATAATACCAATCAAAATAAAATTCATAAAATAAATGGACAAGCAATAACTAATTTATTATTTATAAAAAATATTTGGTATTTTTAATGGTCATATTCAAGCAAAATTCTTGGTTGATATATTTTTTTTCTTCTTCTTCATAAATAATTTATTTTTTTAATGTGTTTGTTTCCTCTTTTAATCAAAATACTTTTTTGTGCTAATATTCATCCATTTATTTGATTATTTGTTTATTTGCTCTTTGCCATTCATCTTATTTATTTAAGAAAAAGAATGTTAATTTAATTAAATTAGTAACAACAAATTTTAATGATGATTTTTGTTATTATTTTTTATTATTGTTATTATATTAACAACTAACTGCATTCATTATTTTTACACAAAACAAAAGCAAATACTATAAAGGAAGATACAAATATCTAAAATAGTATTTACAATTTTCATAAATTTAGATAGCTATAGCGAAAACAAATAGCAGCTGACTAATGTCACTCAATCCATCGATTTCTAATCGTACAAATTAGAGAAACGAAATCATGAGTAGCGAAAAGTAAATTATATCAAGCGACGTTAACTCCCATTAAAATCATGAAAGTCTTTAGAATAGCCTTAACGATAAAAACCTTAAAATAAATGATACAATGGGAACGCTTAAGATTGAACCCTACAATTAAATCCTTAATTAATGGGAAATAAATCAAAATTATATCAGACATAAGATGCGCTTAGACAGAATCAAGGTAAAAATTAAAATATCTAAAACTTATCTGTCATTAGATACTAATTAATATATTTTATCAATGCTGAAAATTATGATTATAATATAATAGAAAAAGGATTCTCCTACCTTTATACCAGAGACATAGCCAACTAAAGTTAACAATCAAGTTTGTATGAAGAGTAAATCAGTAGTAAATAAAAAAGGGAGATTGATAGCTGAAGGTAAATATAATTTTCTCTGATAAAATAAACAGTTTTATTTCTGTTAGCCAAATTTTATTATGGTTAGCAAAATGACATGCACTAAAAATGCAAATAAATTCTTAACTATTATTTTTAATTATATAAAGAGAGGAAGACAGAAATTGAAAGGGAGAACATTATTCTATTAAATAAAATAAGCAAGATTATGATGTCAAAGAAAGCCTGATTCCCTAACAGTTCCCCTAATTAAATCAAACAAATCAATATTAACCCAGAAAATATTACAGTTTCGGCTATTAACATTAATACTGCCAACAACTAAAACACCACTAACTCCTAGGCTGCATTTTACCAAAACCCTAATTTAAATACAAACTAGAATAATAGTAATCTACTAAACTCGTCTGCAAATAATAAAAGCGGATATTGGGGCACTTCTCGCCACACTAAAAGTTTAAACAAAGAATCTAGATTTAGAAACCTAGTTAAAATAGCATCAGAGAACCAAGAAATACTTTATCGTATCAAAAGTAAAAAATCATAATACAGTGCAAATAAATTATTTAAAGAAAGACAAGAGTAAGAAAAGTTACTCAGCAACATATCTCGTTTTAAGAAAAGCCCGAGAAAAAGAAATAGCATGAGAGTAGAAAGTGCTAAATCCAGAGATGTATAAAAAATATTGATTTATTTTATTAGAATATTAACAATTAACATATAAAAAATTAATTAATAATAGAGATCTTATAATTTACCAGAATAATAAAATATGAGTGCTGAATTAGCAAACGACGACAAGAACAAAAGTTTCACAGAACAAAACTTCAATAATAATTACAATTCATATAACAATAGAGACACTAATAGTTATCAATCTTAAAGGAAGTCTAGCAATCCTAACATGAGAAATAACTTTAGAGCATATTAAAACACCCACTACACAACATATAATTAAAACTATATCCCATCAGTAAATAAAATTGCTAGGCAGAAAGGATACTTTAGCCAATATGAGCCTAGATAATCTTCATTATAGAGTAGAGGAGATAGAGTAAATGCTCAAATTAACTCTTCAGGAATTGAGGAATACAATTATAACAAAAATATAAATTCATAATAATATGAAAACGAAGCTAACTACCAAGAGTTTAATTAAGAAATAGATTTCTAAAACAGATTATAAATTCATAAAAAAGATTAATACATTGGCGATTCACCTTGCGTTGTTGAAGTATCAAGAGGATAAAGGTAAATAATAAATGAATTTATTTATTTATTTTTAAAATTCAAATAATTTAATCAATAAATATATGCTTTAAATAATAAATTAAATGGTTAAAATAACTCTCAATTTTTTATTAAATCTGAATTTAAAAAATTTTTTTAAAAATTTAATAATTATTTAGAATAATTTGGTATTTTTTTTAAAATATCTATTAATTTAAAATAAATATCAAATAGGGATTTTTATATTGTTGTTTATTGTATACCGGACGACAAAACCTTTAGATTAATCTTAAATGACAAGTAAGGAGAGAACATTTTTTCAAAGATTAACTATAACTTTGACCTACTTGCAAATGTAATGCAAATATAAAATAGTAATATGATTCTAACGTTAGAAAACATAGGATAAAATAATGTAATTAATTTTTATCTTTTCTATATTATAAAACATATTTTTTATTTAGAAATAGTAAGCACATTAAAATAATTTTGATTCAGACTCTTCATAAAATTATTCATAAGCACAAAATTAATAACATACTTCTTCTTAAAAGAATTCCTAGAAAGGACAAACTCCAAAAAATTAACCTGATTTAAGTGTATATAGTAATAATAGCAGTAATTTGTAATACTAATAGTCTAATAGCTAAAAATAAAAATAAAAAACCAATACATAAAGCAAAAGTAACTAAAGCAGCAATAGCAATACAATATAAGATTAATCTAGGTCAAATACTTAGAAATCAGAATAAAGAATAAATAGTGATCATTATGTGAAAGTAGATGAAGTATTAAAAGAATATACTTAAAATAATAATTAACCAAACAATTAAGTGAACTCTAATGAGTAATCAAGAAGACATTCTAAGTAATAGCATTTAAATATGGCTAACATAAACCCAGAAAGTCAAGGATAATTAAAAGAATAAAATCAAAAAAAAGTTAGCAATCAAGATGAACAATATGAAGAAGTAGAAGAGTTAAACGATTATGAAAATTAGTCATTTGATGATCCTGAAAGTAATTTAACATCTGCAAAAGAAAAGAAAAAAAGTGGTAGATTAAATTACAATTAATTGGAAGAATCAGGTTCTGAATAATATGAAAAAGATTTTGAGAAAGAAGATTATGAAAAAAATTTAAACTAATCCAAAAAATAAGCTAATTCGTAGTAATAGAATAAAAGAAAATCAGAAATTATTGATGACAATTTTGAAATAGAATATGATAATGATTAAGAAGATTATACAGAAGAATAAAGATAAGGAGAGGATAATATTGTGAATGATGAAGATAACTACTATCAAGATAATGAGTAAGAGTCTCAATCAGACAATTACGAAAAGGATTTTGATGAAGAAGATTTTGAACGAAGCTTAAAATAATCGAAAAAGCAAACCAATTTGTAGCAATAAAATAAAAGAAAATCAGAAAGAATTGATGAAAGTTTTGATCCTTAATATTAAAATGATCATGATTAAAAGAAAAATGAAGAAATAGGATTAAAAGGAGAAGACAATTACAATCAAGATAATTAAGAAGATGAAGAAAACAATTAACAATATGATAGTAATGATGATAATTATGACCTAGATTCAGATCAAAATAAAGAAATAGGATAAACATAAAATGGTAAAAATTCATAAAATCCATATTTTGAAGGAGATGAAAGATTATAAAGTGAAGATTATTTCGATAAAGAAGATAGCTCAAGTGAAAATGAAAATTTAACAAATTAAAAAAATTAAAATAATGATAGTGACTCTTACAAAATGGATTCATCTAATTAAGGTAAATCTATTAGAAGTAGTAGTAATGTCAGTTAAAATCAAAAAAATCACTCAAACTATGTCAAAAATCCTGAATCAAAAAATGATTCAGGAGTTTCTAATCATGTTAAAAACGAATCTTCTAATTCAAATCAACTTTAAAATTATTCTGAAAAATCTAACAATATTAAAACTGATTAAGAGATAAGCAATCATGTTAAAACTGATCAAGAGATAAGTAATAATGTTAAAACTGATCAAGAAGGCAGCAAGCATATTAAAACTGATCTAGAAGGTAGTAAGCATGTTAAAACTGATCTAGAAAATAGCAAACATATAAATACTGATCTAGAAGTAAGTAATCATACTAGGTCAGATCAAGAAAAGAATAACCATATTAAAATAAACAAAGAAATCAATAAAGAAATGGTTAAAAATGATTCAAGAAAATCGAATAAAACTAAAACTGAATATGAATATGAAAATGAAAATGATAGTCACGTTAATGAAGAATTTGTAAATTCTAATGCAATTAAAAAAGAAACAGAAATTGAAGATTATTTTATTAAAAATGACTTGGAAAGTTCTAACCAGATTTAAAACGAGTTAGATATTAATAATTAAATTAAAAATAAGACCTTTGATGCAAATTACTCATCAAATAATGATGAAGATGAAGAAGAATATGATTATGTTGATAAAAATCTGGATTAAGATTAAAACTAATCTGAAGTAATTAAAAATAATACTAAAAACAATTAAAATTAAAACTAAAACGAAGAATATCATCATGAACACTACGGAGAAAAAAGACTTAGCTAAAGCAATAATTAAAATTATTACGGTGACGATTATGAAGAAGATGAAGAAGACTTAGATGATCATGGAAACTAAGATAGTCAAGGATTTGATAATAACTAAAATTAAGATGAATATTAAATCCAGAATAAGTTCTTGCTGCAAAAGATAGATGAAGCAAATTAAAATAATGAGGAAGATGGCTAATCGAGCTTAAGCAATTTTACTAAAAGAAGTTAATTAAATTCATAACTTTAAAGCAAATAGTCAAGAAACCACTCTTAAGTTCCATCTCCTGTTCCATTTTCAAGAAACTATTCAAACTAAAAAATAAAGTAAAGTGAGAATGATTCAAATAAACACTTGTAAAATTCTTATGAAATCGAAAACTGATTTTTATATTAAGAAATGTTAAGGCTATTCAAATAGTATGAATAAAATTTATCATATTATATTAAGTCACTTCATAATTAATATTAATTTTTAATTCTAAAATATTTACTTTATAATTTGTCTTTAAATATCAATTACCCCATTATTAAATATATACCATAATTCATGTAATACATTTATACATGCAAATATTCATTCCTTCATTAATTCTTTGCTGAGCAAATAGCTTTGATCAATTTAATCACTATTAAATTTTATTTTATAATTTCAGTAATGAAATTTTATATGAATTAATTATTTAGTGATTTAAGTAAATATGTTTTTTAAATTCTATTCAGTAACAATTTTAAAAACAAATTAATGCAAAATAAATTAAACACAAAAATTTTATTTTTAAAAATGTTTTTTTCATTTTTCTAATCACCTCTTTTTAAATTTATCAACCAATAGTTTAATTGTAAAAAAAAATAAAAATATCAAAAACGTAAAAAATAAATTATTTTTAATGAGTTAAATAAATTATTTAAAATCATACTAAAAATTTTGAATACTTTGTAGATTAATTAATTTACTTCTTTTCTTTAAAAAGTATTTTAAACTAATAAAATTGCAAAAAAAAATTATTGATCAAAGAAATAAAAGTAAAATTGATTTGAATTTAATTAATCTGTTAAATTAAGTACTTGTTATTGTCTATCATTTCAAATATTTCTAAGAAAACAATATTTACTAATATTTTATTGCAGATTATAAGATTAGATTCAATATTTTATTTTAATCTAAAGCTAAAGATTATTTTATTAATTTAAATTATAATCAAATTTTTTTATAGTTTTTTTTAGATTGCCTTCATAAAATTTATTTCTCTACTTTATTTAATTTTTTGTTATTTTATTAAGCTAACGATTAACTTTACTTATATATGATAGGATTTTAATTCCTTCAATATTATTTGATGCAATTATTTTTATTTATTGTTATACTTCTTCTCTCAAAAGCTTTATCCCGTTTTACATTTTATTAAACAAATTAGTTTAGTTTTTTTAGTAAAATTTTTAAATAACTCATAAAATTTTAAGTTATTTTAAAAAAATAATTTATTTTAATTTGAGTATGCATTTTAAAATTTGTTTTATTTTGTAATTATTCTTTCTTAGTTTTAAGAGAAAATTTGTATTCGCCTAACCTAAGCAGAATGGAAGTTTAATTTGAATTTTTATGATTAGAAAAGATGCTTGTTATATATGAAAGGGAAACAAACTGTATCTTAGATTAAATAAGTGAGTATTCTTTAAAATAACTATATTTATTTTTGATTGAGCATATAATACTTTAATAATAAAAATAATGTAGAGTTTTTTTACTTTAAATCTAAAATGTACATTTAAATAATTAATTTAAATTAGTAAGGAAAATAAATAAATAAAAATAATAACAACTTTCCTTAACAAATTCTTAATATAGCGTTAAAAACTGTACAACAAAATTTATCAAAAAAAAGAAAGAAAATAATAAGCTAATTTTTCTTTTGCGTTTAAAAAGCAAATCAATAAATCTAGCTCTCCATTTTTATTAATACTTACTTATTTATAACAAGATTAAAATTAAAACATAGATTGATAGAAAGTATTTTAAAGCTAGTCTGGATTGACTCAAATGAGAAAGATAGTAACAGAGATCTTTGATTTTTTAAAAAGGAAATTATTCTTTGGTGATGAAGATGTAGGAGATGTAGAAATCAGATAATAAAAGACATTCGACAAATCAGTAAAAATAATTTCTCAAAACGAACTTTAAATTTTATTAAAAATATTTAAAATGCTGACAAAATTTACTTTAATTATTTCTAACTTTCCATCCAAATTAGATTGAGATAGAATTCGGTAACCTTTCATAGCTTAATGGGTTTAAACCTTATGAAGATAGAATTTCAAATAGAATCGGTATATCTGAGTTAGATGTAAAAATGTTTAATTAGTAGAGTTAGTATTAACAATATTTTAAATATAAATTAGGCTATAGGGATAGTACCTCGAATGCTTTTCAAGTACTTGTAGAGAATGGGTACTTGGCTTGTATTTATACATGCATTAGTGGCTATTATTGTTTATTCTACTTATACATTTTGGTCTGCATAATTTTTCACGTTTAGCGCGTAAGACATTTATTTTTTTTAAATCATACATAGAATTTTAAGTAACAAGCTTAGCAAACACAAATTTTAGTTGTAGCCATATATTATGAATGAAGCTTATTAAGCAAATTTTGCAAATAATCTCATAAATAAATAAATAATTACTTTCCAAAAATTTTAAGTCAGTGTGACTTCCTTCCAAAGTAGAAATTGGCTTAATTTTAAAAAATAAAATTTTTGAATTAGCATAACATTCAATTAATATAAAATTAGGGGAGATATGATTTTATTGTATTTGGTTCCGGTGATTTTCTCGTTCGTGATGTTCAGTTTGCGTGAACTCAACATAGAAAGAGAAAGGAATCTACAGGAGAATGTTATTAATAAATAACATTGCACAATATTTAAATTTTTTAAAAAAGTAAAACTATAAAACCTGCAAAACATTAATAATAGTCTTTAATAAGACCAAATTGAGGATTAAGAACAGAGATTGCCTAATATTTCCAAATAAATAGATGAAAAGCCAATCAAAGGATTTTCTAATTTTAAGAAAGAAAAGGAAAAAGAATCTAGTTAAATCAATCACGCTTAGGATGCAGATAATAACTCTAATTAAGTTAATAATCAAATCTCAAGCAATGTGTAGACAAATAACGTAAATTCTACACCTAATAATTAAAACAATAGCGGATAAAATAATATTCAACTTAGCCCCAATTTAGGTAGCGTTAGCTAGAACTAAAAAATTGAAAAACACAAAACCTATGAAAAAGAAGGCTCTTCATAAATAAATTCAAACATTCAAATAGCAAACAATAAAGGAGTAAAAGAAAGTGTAACTATTAACTCTCACTATTAAAAACTTAATACAAGAGTAATGAATACCAATTACCCAATTAAGACTGTTAAAATTTTAGAAGAAATTAAATGGGAACAGCTTGAAGTTGGTAACATAGTCTGGCTCAAAAATGGTGAAATTGCACCTGCTGATTTGCTTATTTTAGATTGTCGCTAAAGTTTTTGCACTGTTGAAGAAGACATCCAGAATGGAAAGACTTATTAAATCGAAAAGTATCCTCCTCAATTAACATCAGGTAATAATTTTTTTATGTATGTTTGTTTATCTAAAATTAAATCAATATTTAGTCTGTTTTCAATTATTTATTATAATTTTACTTGATATTATTTAATTCGTTAATAAATCATATTTAATTTGTAATTTCTAAAAATAGTATCTGTCCACTCTAAACTCAAATAAAACATGTTCGAGTATAGAAAGCTTTTAAGTGGAAGAATAGAATACACAAAACAGTCTAGAAGGAAAGAATTTAGTGGCTTCTTAAAGATGAACAAAGACCCAAAGGGAGAAAACTTAGACTGCAGAAACATCATTTACAGAGGAAGCAAACTTGTATTTAGCGAATGGGTTTACGGTATAGTTCTGTATGCTGGAAAAGACACAAAAATTTATCAATAAAGCTATAACAAAGAAACAATGAAAACCTCTTTCTTTGGTAAAAAGGCCAAGCTCTTTTTCTTAGTTGCTTACATCCATCTCCTTGTTAGCATAGCAGTAAAATTAAATTTATTCAAACAAACAAACAAATAAATAAATAAATTAACTTTTTAGAAGTAAATTTTTTAATAATTCTTTTTATTTAATAGATTTCCATATTTTTTGTTATTTTTTAACCTTGCTATGTTGGATTCAGTTATACGTGGCTTGAAAAATAGGATTTCTTAGGTTTGATATTGTCTTTTATGGTAGAATATTTACATATCATGCCATAACTCTTTTATTCAGTTGTAGATGTAATCGAAATGGTTAACGATCTTTACCATAATAAGTATTTTAAGAAAGTTGACATACAAACTTAAAATAACTAATCTGGAAACAACTACTAAATGCTCAGAAGTGTTACTTTAGGAGATATTTCTTTAACTAATTTTGTCTTTTTAGATAAAACGGGCACCCTAACTGATGGTGAAATTCAATAAGTTAGGTTGATCATAGTGGATGGAGTTATGTATTCACTGAACTTGAAAATGGCAGAACAAATCATGAAAAATAAATCTTTTACATTTAATAATCACAGCAAAAGTGTCAAAGAACTAATAGATGGCGAAAATATGGTTATTGCAGATGAAAAACAATCTATGAATAATGATCAATCTAATCAATCTAACGTAATTAACATGTTCCCAAATTTACTCTATTAAACTTCCATACCAACGAAAAAAAACAACCAATCCAAGTAAATCTAGCATAAAAATTCTTTTGATGCCTCTGACGAGCTTGATGAAGAGGAGTGTAGGGATGAAGTTAAAAATTCTATGGATTCCAAAAAAATGAAAATGCTCTAAGTACCTAATTAGCCTGACTCTCCTTCATTAAATAACTCTTTCTAAAAAGATAACTCTATTTAAGTAACGCAATTTCTTTAATATTAAAATAATAAATAAATTTTAATTTCCTTCTTTTTAAATTTAAAAATGCCTATTTTTTATTTGGAATTTAATTATTTATTTTCTCAGTAGATAGAATAAGTAAGCAAGCATTACTTTTTATTTTTTTTTAGATAAGCTTTTTGAATTAATTTTTATTTGTAAGCAATCTTTCTAATCTAATAAAAAAATAAATACCAACAATCTTAAAAAATATTTTATCCTTAAAATATTTAACATATATATTAAAAAAATCTATTGCATGAAATTTACTTTGAAATCTTAGATAAAAGATAATAATTTTTTTTCTTCTTAATATTTAAAAGCAAGAAACTAACTCCTTAGATAAGACAAAACCAATCAAGTAGTCAGAAGTGATATAAAATAGCAGATAAGGAAGTCATAAGTTAAGCACAGGTCATTCTGATAATATTTTGGATGAAAATGATTTTATTACGAGCTTACACAATGACTATGATAAAAAACACCATGAGGCAATACTTATAACAGTGATTTGTAATCACATAATTAGTTCTTATGATAGTAAATCAGATGAAATAATTAACACTAATGTCTCTAAAGAGGGGGAAATTATGAAATAATTTTCTAATGTGTTTAATTACCAATTTAAGTGCTCTTCAGTATATAAGGGACAATCATACTCACCAAATTATATTGTTGTAATTCAAGGGAAATTGGTTTCGTTTAAGATCCTAGCAATAAATGAAAACACTTAAAATAGGCCTTATTTTTCTATTCTTTTTAGAGATCCTAACAGCTTGTACCCAAACAGAGGAGCTGTCCTATATACCAAAATCTCCTTAAAAGTAAATTTATCAAAAATGCTACTTTAATTTTATCAAATCTTTCTTTTTAGAATACAGAAGTACCTTAGGGAATCGTATTTAAAGACAAAGAATAAAGAGTTAGATTAGAAAAATAATTGTAATTTTTAGTTTAAAATGGCATGAGACCAATCATCTACTGCAAGCGAGAGCTGAATGACGAAAAAACTGATGATTATTTAAGATAATACGAAAACCTCAAAAAGAATCTCGTTTAAGATGATTCGAAATTAGAAAGTTTATATGATGACATTGAAAAAGATCTATAAATTGTAACAGTCTTTGGTGTTGCAGAGAATCTTAAAAAGGGAGCAGATATAGCTATCAAATAAATGAGATTAGCTGGTTTGCATACATGGATGCTTACTGGAGATAGCTACATATAGGCTATAACTGCTGCTTACTAGAGCCATTTAATTGACCAAGAAATCTAAATTTTGCACTTAGAAGGTAAAAATTATGATCAAATTAAGTTATTAATTAGAGATCAGTTGAATGCAATCTAGAATGAAAGTAAATTGAATAAGCTAATTCCTTAAAATCCTACTGCTTACAAGAGATATCTTGAGTATATATTCACTGATCACACAACACCTGTGAACTCTCCTGGATTGGTAAATTACATATAAATTTGCTTTAATTAAAAGGATATAATAAAATTTTAATGTTAGAATAAAAATGAAGTCAGTAGTAGAAAAATGAGTGATCAGCAAGCGAGCTAGAATACAAATATTTACAACACCAGTTTGATTAATAAGAAACAATTTATCTCCGCTTACTCATCTAATCCTTTTTACAACTAAAGTGTTAACAGAAAGAAATCAATGTCAATTGGTTTAAACTAAAAGCCTTATTTGTTTTGCATAGTTGTCTCATCTGAAGCTTTGACAACAATATTTAGTGATAATTATCTAAGAAACCATTTCTATTTTTTAAGCTATTTTTGCACCTCATTAATTGGATACGATCTCTAAACTAACTAAAAAGGTTGGTTTGTAAGAATGGTTAAGTAAAAGTATCCTTAAAATCCTAAAACTCTAGCTATTGGAGATTCCTACAATGATGCTGACGTAAATAAACATTTTATCATATGAATTTATTTGCTTTTTAGTTTAATTATTATCTAATTTTTAATTTAAAAAAAAATAAATAATTTTATTGATTGCTTCTTAAAAGTAATTCTTACAAAAAATTTGAAAATAAATAAACAAATAAATTAAATTAAAAAAATCAAATAAAATTAATTATAAAACATTTAACAATTTTAGATGATGCAATCAGCTGATATTTCTATCTAGATGAAGAATTTCAAGTATAATGTGAATTATATTGGGGATATAATGGTAAATGATTTTACAAGCATTTCAAATTTGTTGTACTCAAATTCAAGATATATGGCAGAATTATATGAGGAATTATTGCTTTATGCTTTTTACAGAGCTTTCTTACTTGGATATATAATCCTGTTCATAGAAGCTTCAAATTGCTCCTATGGAAATTCATTATGGAATTCACTCGAAATTTTCTTCTTTCACTCGTTATTATATGTGGTCAGCATTACAAGCTATTTAATTAAAAAATACTCAAAAAAGCACAAATATTCTATAAACAATGAAATATTGATTGATCAATTCAAAAACAGTACTTTCACTTTCAAGAAATAGAAGACTATGGGATTCTTCTATAAGGTAGTCTTTCATAGTTTAGCTGAAGCATTCGTACTGTATCTAAATATCTATTTTGTTTTTAATTTTGATAGTAATGATGTGGGAAAATCCTACACTTTAAAGACTGTTGAAATGTATGGCTACTTTTTAATTGGTATTGCAACAACTATGAAAATTTTGGTTGTCTCTAACTAGAATTTTAAGGAAGGAATAACTACATTTTTATTCTTTTGCATATGCTATTTTATTTATTTACCACTTGAAGATCTTTACTAAAACTATCCTTTCTAATTCTAAGAGGTTATAGAATAAATATCATCTTCTGTACATATAATTATATTCATGATATCTATAATCTTCTTTGTTTTCGGTTTTCAAATCATTTTAGAATATTGTCTTTTCATTCCCTCTTTCTTCCCCTAAAGTTTGGTAAGACAGGCATCTAAGTATTACAAGCTATTGTGTAAATATAATTTAAATAAATTATTTATTTATTTATTTTAAAAATATATTATATATAAAAAGAATTTAAAGAAAACGAAGATGAAAAATCAGATGAAAAATATTAAAAAAAAAAAAAGAAAGCTAAAAAAAATGAAAACATCATCAACAGATTGATAGGAATAATCTTTCCTTAAGAAGACTAAGAAGATATGGACATAATCCTAAAGAATAGTAAAAAATTTTTTTTTTGAACAATAAAACTTAATTTGATCCATCCATCCATAAAAACAAACAGTGATATCAAGTGAAGACATGAGTGAACAAAATTAAGAAATGAATAAATTTTCTCTTTAATTTAAGAATCCTGATCTAGAAAAGAAATTTACTTAGAGTGTTTAAAAAAGCTGGATATTATATAATAAGTACTACCAACTTATTATTTTGATCCTCTTTGAATTAATGTAGCTCCTTATTTACAGTGTTAAAAGTAAGAGTGAGCCTCAGTTAGACTATATTATTGGTTAAACTATAGGTTGTATTATTATTTCTGGAATTACCTTTACAATGTTTACTTCGAAAGGAGAAAAATAATTTTTCAAGCTGAATTATTTTTGTTTATTTTTAAGAATACTAACAAAGATATTTACTGATATTTTATAAGGAAGCGACAACTCTTTGGAATCATTTACATTCAGTTATTTTATTAATTTTACTGTTCTTTGCAGACCAGATTACGTTATGTACGGATCTATTTTAGAAGCCTTTGTATTTTTTGTGAAATATTCAATTTAAAGTTCGTTTAACTCTAACATTGATCGTTATATTTCACTTTCAATCATCCTATTTACATTAGGTTACTGCCTTTTTTGTATTCAAACTAAGTATTAAGTAATTTTTTACTATTTTATTTTATTTTTCTCTCAATTTTATAAACTATTTTATTCTATTTTGTAAATTTCTTAAAAATATTTTTGATATTTATTTATTTCATTTTATTTTATTTCTTTAAACATATTTTTATTTTTTAATTTTGGAATATTTTAATAAAGTATGAGACTGTTGAGAGATAGGACTATCTTAGTTAAAATAAGCTTAGAATAGAAAGTGCCAAGATAAATAATATTTTAGCTATTCTTCTTCCTAAGTTCGTTAGAGACAGAATATCAAATAGTAAATTATATTTTTGTTTTAAGATTTGAAGTTTCAATTTATTAATTATTTTTTTTCTAATTAGCTGGTGAAATTTAGCTAGCCGAAAATCAAGGTGAAGTTGCTGTCTTATTTTGTGATATTTGCGATTTTGATAACATCCTTTAATCTGAAAGCGAGAAAATTGTAGCCCTTTTAGATAACCTATTCAGAAATTTTGATATTCTTTGCTCATAAAATGATTGCACAAAAATTGAGACAGTAGGAAAAACCTATGTGGCTGCTTCTGGATTAAGCTTAGAACTCTAAAACAAAAAGAAACATACTGTTTATAACTCTGTAGAGAGACTCATTAATTTAGGGTTTGATATGCAAGATTATGTTAAGAACATTTCTTGGGGAAAACATGGTGATAAAATGAGAGTAAAAATTGGTATTCACTACGGAAGAGTTATGGCAGGAGTCATTGGTTACCACAAACCTTAGTTTTCTCTGATAGGAGATACCATTAATACTACAAGCAGAGTTATGTCAACAGGAGAAGATAACAGAATGACTATCTCTAGTCAAGCTTATGCTAAGATTTAAACTCATAACCTAAGTAATTATCGCACTAATCGCAAAGAAGTTGAAGCAAAAGGAAAAGGTGTGATGGTTACATATTAGATTTTCAAACAAAATTAAAAATACATCAAAGGAACGTCCAAAAAAACTGAAGTCTTTAAACCTGGATCTAAATAAACCGCAAAAGGTAGCATGTACCAAAAGTAATCACCTATGAAGAGAACTATGCTGGACACAAAAAACATGATACAACCTGGATCAAAAGAAGAAAGAAAAATGTCATATTTAAATGCAAAATAGAGTCCTTAAAACAATTAATCCAACAATAGTCCCAGGTTTACTTTAACAAGCCCTATGAATTCCACCTAATAAATTAAATTAGCCATGGGAGGAATAAAAAGTGTCAACTTAACAAGAAAAGTAGCTAAAAAGAATACAGTTAAATTAGGCTACTAGCCTGCCCCACATTAATTTGCTCAGCCAATAGCATTAGATTCTTCTTAAGGTGCTGATAAGAAAACTACTCTCATGTCACCATTGAAATTAAAATCAGTAAAATCAAGAAATTAGTTCATTATTTAATTTGCATTTTGATGTTTTTGAATAAAAATTTAATTAACATACTAATTTTTATTTTTAGTATTAATTACAATCTTAGCAATCACAAGACAAAGATCAATAAGCGAAAAATTAACCCATAAATCAGCAGCTAACCAGTTCTAAGCATTCAATACAAATGCCAAATACAAATAATGGAGCTAAGCGAAATGAAAGCAATCTTACTTAAAATACAATAAATAAAATAGAATAAGCAATAAAAGAAGAAGTCCACTTAGAATAAGCAAATAATCTTTTTATAGAAGAGATCGATGCCGAGTTCATCAATGAGTTATTTGAAAATAATGAAGAAGAAAAAGTAAAACATTTTTACTTATTTATTTTTTCATAAATTTCAAATTTTACAATTATAAACTTTTTACTTACTTTTTTAGGGAAGAAAATTTTTTAAAACGATTTATTAATTTTAAGATTTTCAATAACGCAATTTTAAATTTCATAAATTTTGAATAAAAAATATAAACGAAAATGTAATTAAATAATGAAATTAAATATTAATATTAAAAATTAAGGGAGACAAAGAGAATGGTTAGTACCTGTAATTGACAAAGAAATCACTCTTCCTTGCCTTAGATAACTCAAAGCCAGATACTTAATAATTCTATGATGAATTATTTGAACAATCTAAAAAGTCGATTCGCCTAAAATATTTAGGTTATACCAAACTTTTATTAATAAAATGCATTTTGGTGTTTTTAGCTAGTTCTGTTTTATCTAACTATTACGTAGCAAGCATTATTTGGAGATCTTTGTTTTGCTTCATGCTTTATCTTAATCATTGGACAAAAAATAAATTCTTTTACTCATCTCTTTTAAAATTCAGGATCGTTATCTTTTTTATTATGATTATGGGTGTTACTATTGTCACTGTAGAAACTTATTAAATCGGTTTATAAGGCATCTCGACTACTTCCTTTTAGTCATTCCTTCGTGTTTAAACTGCTGAAGTTTTTATTATTTACATTATTTTTAGCTCATTGCAGTGCATGGAGTTCTATATAAATGTTATTTTATACTTAATTCTTCTAATTGTCTGGATATTCTGTGCTTAGAATTTTGGTGCTGTACCAGAATTAATTTATTTTATGATAATTATTGGATTAGTTCATCTATCTTACTAGTATCTCTTATTCAAGCTGTATATAAAGACATTTAATAATCATAAAAATCTTTCAAAGAAAACTAAAGAACAGAACTAGATTTTAAGTAACCTCTTACCCAAGCACGTAATAATAATACATTTTTTTTAATTTTATATTAATTTATCACTTTATTTTAAAAAGGTGCTAGAAAAGTTCTTAAATAACCCAGAAACAACTAGGCTCGAATTGGTAGATAACTTTGAAGATGTAACCATTTTATTTGCTGATATTGCAGGTTTTACAAAGTATAGCTCTTAAGTTGATCCTGAGTAAGTAGTTAACATGCTTAAAAAGCTATTTTATGAATTCGATAAAGCTTGTTAAGAAAACGAAATATTTAAACTTTACACAATCGGCGATTGCTATGTGGTTATTGGTTTCACAGATATAAGAAAAAGAAATCCAGCAGAAGAAGCTAAAAATGTTTTAAACATGGGATTTAATATGATTGAAATTATTAAATAACTTAGAGCTCAGGTTAAATTTGAATCACTTGACATGCGTATTGGAGTCCACACAGTAAATTAAATATTTTCTTAATTAAACAAGTTCTTAATCAGTTATTATATAAATTTAGGGTAAAATTATTGGTGGTGTCATTGGTACAGATATTGTTAGATATGACATTTATGGTAGAGATGTAGTCATTGCTAATAAAATGGAGAGTTCTGGAGAATAAGGAAGAATACTTGTAAGCAGCCAAACAAGAAAACTATTAGAGCCATCTGGAATATTTGATTTTGTTGATGATAAAGAAGTGAAAATTAAATCAATAGATACTGTAGTAAATGCTTCATTTGTTAATTATAAGAAGATAGATGAATCTTAAATTAAAGACATTCATGGAACAATATCACAATTCGATGAAGAACATGATAACTATAATGAAAATTATGAAAATGATTAATCAAAGATCTCTAATAATCTTTAAAGCGATGCTCATAAGAATATGGGTAGTCAAATAGAAAAAAGTGGGGATAACGTTAACTCTTAAAAGTTCTAAAATATTGAAGACAATCCAGAATACATCAAAGGAGATTAAGGATTCTAAGATCTTTAACATGCAGATTCTAATCAAGATAATGAGTATATTAATAAAGTTGTAGCTGTAGAAGAAGACTTCTCTAACAATAACTTTTTATAATTTACTAAAATTAATAACAACGAAAACATCTTTTTACAACGTTATGAACATGAAGATGACAAGCTTAAATTATAAGAAGTAGATCATGAAAACGATATTGAAAGACAATATAATAGTCCAGAGCTTTCTGCTCAAAACAACAATCAAGAAAAAAATAACAGTGATAGTAATTAGAATGAAAGCGAAGATTAAGTTGAAAATGAAGATTTTTTTATTTGAGCTTGTTTTGCTTGTTTTAATTTTTATATAAAAATAAATAAATAAATAAATATTTCATAATTATTCTAACCTAACCTAACCAAACATAATTAAATCAAAATTAACTAGTAATTATATAAAAATAAGTTTCAAACATTAAATAAATAAATAAAATAAAATAATATATCAATCAATGTTTTAAAATAAATAATATCTTTATATTCTGTTAAGTCTGTTGTAAAAAAATATATCGGTTTTAAATTATTCTTATTAGATATCTAACTAACCTTTTTGAATATTAAATAAGTAAATCCATATCTTTATTGAAGTTATCAAATGAGATTGAAATATTATATAAAAAATAGCTATTTATATAATAATTTAAAAAAATAATAATATCAATATTAAACGAAAAAATATTAGTTAGTTTATTTGCTTACGATATTTTTGTTTATTTCAAAAATATTTTTTTCTTAAATGATTCTTTAAAAAATTTAAATTACTATAAAATTATTAGCTTAATAATATAATAAATAAATATAAAATTTAAGTGAGGGTATATAAGAGCAATTTGTTATTTTAAAAATGTTTGATCGCTGATAATATTTTGAACATTGAGCATTTAAAAAAAAATTTTCACTCTAAGCCTCCCTCTCTAAATTGAGCATTATTAAAAGATTGTGTAATAAATTTAATATACAGCATGATGTCAAAGGGTTAACAGATTTATAAGCTAGCTTTTGAAAATTAAGTTTGATCAAATCAGACAAATACATGCATACATACATAACTATTATAGCACATATATAGTTAAAATAAATAAATAAAAAATCAGTTTCTAACTTGTAGTTTTACTGTAAGAGGATTTTTAAAGCCGTAAGATTAAGTCAAAATTTTTTCATCATCATAATCTTTAGGAATTTATGGAAGATAGAATTTTTTGATGAATTCGACTATCATAACTTTCATTTGCATCATGGCTAAATGTTAACCGATGCAGTTTCTTGGTCCAGCAGAAAATGGAATAAAAACAAAATGGTTTTCCTTCATTTTCATATCTTCTTCGTTATCAAGCCAGCGGCTTGGATTGTAATTAAAGGGATCTTTGAAGTATTTTTCATTGTATAAGTTACATAAATAGCCAATATTTATTATAGTTCCCTTTTTGATTTTATATTTTCCAAGCATATGATCAGCTTATGCAACTCTTGATAATATAAAAGGCACAGAAGGGTCCATTCTCAAAGTTTCTTTGAGGTTAGCATGTAAGTGACTTAATTTTTAAAGGTCATTGTAATCATAATCGTCATGGCTTACATATTTTTGAATCTCTTCAAATACTAATTTATATTATTCAGGGTGCTTAATCAAGTTGTATATAGCCATGCTTGTTAATTTGCTAGTGGTATCTTTGGCGGCCATAAAGAGACTGAATGAAGTAGCTAGTAGTTCATTGATTTCTTCTTCCTTTTGTAAATATCCAGCTTTTAGTAAAAAGGTAATATAGCTTGGATATTTAGCTTGATATGTGGGGTCTTTTTCACGATTTACACAGTCAGTTAAGATTTAGGTCATAAATTAACGCATATCTTTCATTCGCTTTGAAATGTAGCGATCTGATTCTCTCAAATTCCAAGTAAGAATTTTTTAACCAAAAATCATGGCAAAAGGTGATATGTAATGAATGCAAATGTCACTTGATAACTACTCAATGCATTCACCAAGGTGTCTTCCTTGGCTATCTTTGTATTTTTCTACTTCAGCACCAAGTAAAACTTAAAGATCTTAAGATCCAGAAATCTTTTCAAAGACATACTTAATATTAAATTTTTCAGGATTTTCATTATTAATGTATTTGCGTGAGACTTCTTTTATTCTTCCAACTTGAGCAGTAATGTTTTCAAAAGTAAACATATTTGAGATAACTTTTCTGCTTTTTTTCCATTTATCGCCATAGATTCTTGCTAAACCGTTTCCTAAAAAGTTCATTACACCTCTCAAAGGTACTGAATATTTTTCATATTCGTTTTATCTCTAAAGAAATTCGTTTATCAATTCTGGTTTTATTAATGTTAGGAATGCTTAATTAGCAACATTTCCAAGAAGAATATCTTCATCTTTAAACTCAGGATCTTGGCTGATACGTTTGAATTAATAAAGAGAGTCATTCCATTGATTCTTCTTGAGAAAAAGAATATCCTTAAGCCAGCCATAGATAGGCACAAACTTATACTCTTTAATACCTTGATTCTTATAGAATTGCATTCTATATTTTGGAATCAAAAAGTAATAAGCTGCATAATAGAAGATAACAACACAAATTGCAAAACTTATTAATTGAAAGATCATTTTATAAGTTTTTAGTTTAAATTTCTTTCGATAAATTAAGTTTTTGGTATTTAATCTTTATTACATATTAAAATTTCTAAACATATAAACCCTCTGTTTGTTTATTTTTCTAGATTCTGATTTTTTTATAAACAATAATACCAATTTATATTGAGAGACCTATTTCCATCAAATTTCTTTTTAGGGTAAGCTGATTAACTGATGTTAGAAGCAATTGTTAATTTTTTAATTATTATTTTCTTTTATTGGCCAATCAGTTTATTAATTTCTAATTTAAATGCAAAATCACTTAGTTCATTAAATAATAGATTTCCACTTACTTTTCTAAGCTAAGTTTAGCTTAAAAAGAACAGAATCTATGAAAATTTTAGCCACGCTAAGATTTAATTGATAAAATAATTCACTCTTATATAAAAAATATAGTGTAACAATATAATTTTAACTAATAAATAAGTAAAATTTAATTTTTTAATAAGGCATCAAAAAATTTCTTATTGATTAGAAATTATTCGTTCAAATTTTTTAAATTGTAAATCTGTCTTTCTTTGAAGTTTGTTAAAAGATCTGCAGGATAACTTACTCTTTTTAATTTCACTATTAAATTTATTAAAATTAGCAAAATATTTTAAAATAACTTAAATTTATTAAGGTATAAAACTAATTTTTAAGCTGTGATCAATGATAAATTTATTAAAAATATTAGATAAAAATGACGAAGTATCTATCTCAAAACTCTTATGAAAGTAAATTAATTACAAAAATTAAAAGTTATAAAAGAAAATAATTAATAACAAAAGCTGAATAATAGAAATTCTAATAAGTAAAAAAGGTATTTTAACAAAAAAAGTATTAGTTTGTTTATCTTAGTTTCGACAAAAATTAAAAAATTATTTTTTAAATTTTACGATAACGCTTAAAATTAATTATTTGTGAAGAAATATTTTATAAAAATTAATTTATTAAACTTTTTCTAAAATAAAAAACAAAGAAATTCAATAATTAATCAAACTTTTTCCTTCAAATTTCTTAATTTAGTAAGCTATCTTTTTTTCTCTTTATAAAAAAATTAAGTTAATCAATTTTTGATAAGGATACTCAATTCAGAAAATGTGTAGAACTAAATCTTTAAACAATGTGAGAACTTATAAATTTCTGATTAATTCCAACTTAAGTTAAAATTTTTTTTTTTTCTAAATATTTTTGTGGACAATCAAAAATTAAAAATTAAAAGCTCCTAATTTCATTTAGATTTTTGAAATGAGTTTATTTTTTATATTCTAAATCATATCATAATTTAAGCTTATTTTTAGTAAAAAGCAAATTAAGTTTGAGATAGTATGTGCTTTTACTATTTATTTAAATATTATATATGCATTTATTTCTACTATTTCTATCTTTATTCACCAAATATCTTTCAAAATTTAATTATCTGATTTTATTTGTCAGGGTTCCTTTTCAAAATTTAAACAGGAAGTTAGTATTCAAATAAATGTTTTTTTATTCTTTTTTACTCATAACATAAAGAAATTTGATATTTATTTATTTTTTCTTAATAAATTGATTTTATTTTATTTTTCTCACTTTCTCATTAAGATTATGCAACAAATAAATATAATTATTTATTAAAAATTTTATAATTGCTATATTTCTCAATAAACCTTCAAATAGGCTTTTAATTGATAACTATGGAAAAATTATCAATTAAAAACTTATTTGGTAGTAGTTATTATAATCTTACCTTATTCCAAATATTAATTATCTAAATTAAAATGCTAGGCAAAATTAAATTATCATAATAATACTCAAAAAAAGTTTTGTTAGTAGCAGTAAGGCTTTTAGGGAAAAAAAATTCATTCAGTAAAGTTTTAGGATTTTTATATATTTTAAACATATTGGACAGACAAAATAATTAATACTAAATACTTTAAGCGAAATTGAATGAAAATTATTAAATTGGCGAATATATATATCTATTATTTTTCTACTTTTTAGCTTAATTAAATTTAAATGAATCACCTGCAATTTAAAAAATTAATTTTTGTTTCTTAGGTTTTAAAGTAAGCTAAAAATAATTGTTAACTCAAATTATTAAATATATTCCATTATACATTACTTATTAGTCCCTAGGATATACGTTTACCTGTTAAATAGTAAAAGTTAATTAATGAGGTATTCCAGTATTTAAATCAAAGATTTGAAATAACTTCTTTTCTATTAGAGACTCAAAATATTACAGACTTATATACTAATTTGTGAATTCTCAGTATTTTTTTATGTAAAAATATCTTTTTTTGTATTTTAAAATGTAAATTAATTTAAAAATATGAATAATTATTTATTTTATAATTAAAAATTTTTTTATTTTGATGCAAAAAAATAATTTATTTTTGAATTTATAATAAATTAAATTATTAATTATATATAATTCTATTATAAAATATCAAAACCAGATTTTTAATAAATAACTAAAAAATATATTTGATAATTAGTGGCATCCAAACCAAGGAATTTTTGTATGGCATCTTGCTATAATTTTAAAATGATTTTTTTTAAATTTTTTATTGCTTGTTTAAATTAATTATAATTTCTTTTAAAAGAAATCATTAAATGGATGGAGATTAATAACAATTCATTAGTAAATTAAAGGTAGGTCCATCATTCAAATTTGAAAATTTTTGTTAAAAAAGCATAATTAATTTACTTATTTATCAGCTATAAAATATCTTTTTATTTAAATTTCAGAAATATATTTGATAGATCTCTACAAAATTAATATTTAAAGATATTGATTGATTGATATATACCCACATTTTTACAAGTAGCCATGGATTAATTTTCAATATCTTCTAACAAAGAGGACTCCTATAATGGAACATTTTCAAATAATTCTAAGTAAAATTACCATTAGCAGAAAGAGATTTTGAGATCAAACAACCCTTCTGTAAAAAATATCGAAGCGGTGAGCAGCACTAGTAAATTCGATGCACAAATGCTTCAAAATGAAATTTAAAATATTAGGCAAAATTAAATAGCTTAGGAAAGCCAAAACTTCAATTCTCAATTTATAGAAAATAAAGAGGATGAGAATTTTGAATATGAATTAAATGATTTAACTGATAAAGACGATATTTCTCACCAAAATTGTTATGAGGATTTGCTTGGATTCAAAAATAACCATAAGGTTTATGATTTCAATTCTCCTGAAATAAGTTCTGATAATTTAAAAAAGCAAGATAAAAAGAATACAGCAGACAATATTGGAACTAGTTCTTTTATGCATTAATCTTTTTCATCTTAAATTAACAACATTGTATTTTAGAGTTCAAATAATAATAATAATCAACAGCTTTTGTCATAAAATGGTAAATAGATATAACAATATTAGCAATAAAGTTTAATTGATGGTAACTTTTCACTTAATCAGAATAATGATATGACTTAAGATGAGATGCTCTTGGATAACAATGAGTACGAAGCTTAAGATTAGGATGATCAAGAGGGATTTGAAGACTAGGAAACAAGCGTTAAATTTAGAAAGTAATAAAACAAATTTCAAAAGATTAAAACTCAAAGTGAATAGCAATTGTGTTAACAATAATAACGAATGAATAATTAGAGACTAAGCGATTCAAATCCTCTACTACCACTTCATGATCACAGCAATGTTAAAAATAAATAGGGCAATTAATCATCATCTTAAAATTTCAAGCTATTTAATTAAAATCAAAACGTGAAGAAAAACAACTATCTCACAAGCGAAGAGTCTAATACAGGTCTAATAAACAATTACAATCCAAAGAATAATTAGAGTTAAGAGCTAAAAAATTAGTTTAATCGAATTAATAATTAAGAGGATTAGTATTATAAATCTAGTTCAGAGTAAAACAAGGACTTTTTGATTAAATAAAGAAAGGGTGAAATTGAAGGCGATGATGAAGAAGAAGAAGATGATGGTATTGTAAGTTCAATGAGTGCTATAAACGTTTAATTTGTTACACTACAAAATGATTTAGGTGACTCAACACAAAAAAAGACTGACCTAAAATAGTACTTCCATATGAATAATTCAATTTAAAATAGCCTTTAAGGAGGATCAAAGGAAGATTTTTTATTTAACAATTAATCTGCTCACTTTAGTACTATGAATCCATAATATTTAGAAAGTTGTTAGAATTAATATAATATTTAAATGTACTAAAAACATAGCAACAACAACAACAATTCTAATAACAATAATCAATAACCTTAAATGTAAAATTTGATATCTGATGGTGATCGAGAATAAAAGTATGAACAAAATATAGATAGCGATTCTGCTCCTTATACTCCATATCGTTTATACAATATATAGCAAACAACAGAATAGACAAATAGAAGTTCTGCAAGAGTAGTTGAATAAACAATTGATTCCAACTAAAAAAATATATAAGAGAAACTCAAATAAAATTAAATGATTTAAAATCAGCATAACTCTTTAAATGCAGTTAAAGATTTTCCAGATAGATAATAAAACAAAAAAAATAAATTGAAAAATGAAATGTGCATTGGTTTTGTAGAAAATAATGAAATAAACTATAAGACAATAGACGTAAACGAATAAAAGAACAATTCTTCTGAAAATCTCAACTAAAATATTATGTAAAAGTTGTACAAAAAAAATTAAGAATTGACCCAAAATAACAAAAAACTTGTTCAAGAAAATTAGATGCTTAAATAAGAGTTAGAGAACATGAAAACAGATCTTTTAAAGAAATACGAAGAAATAAGAAAGAATAATGAAAGTTTGTTCAAAAATTTCGAAGAGCAATCAAATCTAATGCTAAAAAAATAAAAAGAAAAGTATGAAGAAAAATTATAAAAACTGCAGCTTTCTCTAAGAGAACAAGAGACTTAGAATCTCTACAAGAAAGATAACTTCAGGGATAGAAACAACTAGTAATTAATTAATTTAATTTTATTTTTATTTTATTTTATTAAATTTTATTTACATTTTGGAAAATTAATAATTAGGCTTTATGCTATGGTTTTGAAGTTAGAAAGAGAGAAGCAGGAATTGAATGACAAAAACTTGATATTAATTAAGAAGTAGATCAACGCTAAGAGTGAGAACCATAAAAATACTCTAAATATGATATCTTATACGAATAATCCAGATTAAAGCGAATTAGATATCAACAATAAATCAAATTTATCTTAATTGTCTTTGCCTTACAGAAAATTAAAAATGGGAAATGATGATTCTACTTTGAATTTAGAAAATTAGCAGACTCTAAATAATCAAAATTCATTTTGCTAAGGAATTATAAGCCCAAGCTCATTTTCTTCTAGGTAAAATCAGAAGTCTAAATCTATCGATATTGTTCGTAAAAACATGTAATTTAACTCAGCTGCAAATATCAATGAAAAAATTTCTTAAAACAATTATAATAATTAAACTGAAACTTAATATTAGGATTTTAAAGTGCAGGCAGAAAAGCACATTCTTGAGAAAAAATACGATGATTTATTCTCCAAATATAAAAGACTGTTGGACGAAAATCACGAGCTTAGAAAGAATCAGCTGCTTTCTTAAAACGAAAAAGAAATAGATAAAAGTCTCGACTAATAAACTTCAATTATTTCCCCTTCAATAACAACAGCTGAAGCTAGATTAAGTAATTATTTAAATTAGTAGCAAGCAAATAGCCACTATTAAAGTAATCAATCTTGCAACTAGAATAGTTAGCAAACAAATAATGTAAGCACACAATGTGCAAGTAATTATTACCAGTTACCTCCCTCAAGAGACTAAATCCTATCTAAGCCTTACAGCAAAATTATTTCAGATAATAGCAATAACAATAGCATAATGAATAAAGAAAGAAGTAACAGTTATTATTTAAATAAAAGAACAATAAACTTTAAACCATCATAGAATACTATTTAAATGTATGATCCTTTAAATTTCAGTACATAGGATGAATATGAAACAGTTAATTAATCAAAAGCAGATTCTTCTACTGCTAATATACTACTTTACCATAATTACAAAACATAAGATTCAACTGATTCCCCATAAAGAGCCTTGAAAAAGAAATCAATACATCTCAGCTACTACAATCCAAGTAAATATTTTAAATATTTTTTTTAATTTTAAATGATTTTTTTTAAAAGAGTATTTTAGTAATAATGAGCAGGTAAAAGAAAGTTTAACAAATTACAATAGCAATGACAATAATAATGAATAATTAAGTGATTAAAATCCTTGTTCACTGGTTAGAATGAATAACTACGTTTTAAGCAGGAAATATGTAGAGGAAACGAAACAAAAGAAGAAATCTGTTTCTAAGAATAAAGAATCAAAGAAAAAGAAATAAAGTTTAGATAAAAGCAATTTAGATATAAGTGGTATTAGGGAGAAGAATAATAAATAAGTTGCAATCCATGATGATAAAGAAAACAATGCTAGTCATAATATTGTTAAGAATTCAACTAACCAAGATAAAGCTAAAAAACTTCGTTCTAATTCATTGGCTAAAACACCAGTTGCATCCACAAAAACTACAATCAATCATGATAAAGATACCTCTTTAATTGAAGGAAATAAACTATCTAAAAAAAATCAAGCAAATAAAAAAGAAATAAAAAGATCAAGTTCCAATAACAACAAAGGATGCAAAACACCTATTTTTTCAAAAATAAGATTCTGAAATTTAAATTGATAAATTAATTAATTAAAATTTTAAAAAAACTCAATTTAATTTGTAAATTTATTTTTTTGTGTGTTAGAAAAAATTTTATAAAAGTTAAAATTTAATTTATTAAGTTCAACAGCTAGCTTAGAAAAAAGCTATTTATTCTATCAAATTATTTAAAATGAAAAATATTTGTTAATGGTGAATTTAAATACAAAATGAAGAATTAATAATATTAATAATAATTCAATTACAAAGTAGAAATAACAAAGTAGTACATTTCAAAAGATATGTGAATTTTAATTTAAATATCTTGTGCAAAAAGAGATTTGTGTTCAAAGTAAATTAAATATGCTTCAAATGAATTAAATAGGATTATTAATTTAGTTAGTATGGCAAATAGATAGTAATAACTAACAAACATGCATATAAACAAATAAAGAAACAAAAAACTAAATAGCTAACTAACAAACATAATAATATTTATTAATTTAGAATGAAAAGGTAAAGATAAAAAAGCTTAATTTATTCTATGAAATAAATTTACCTTTATTGCTATATCAAAGTAATAGATAGAACTTTGAGCTATTAAAAATAATAAGAATAATTAAAACAACAAGCAATATAAAAGGACTCTAATACAATTTATAATAGAACAAAATTACAACTATAATAGAATAAGTAAGCGAAATATGAACACTAAGAAGCAAAAAGGCAACCTTTTAGGAAAAAGAAAGAACGCCAAATAAGTCTTATAAAAAAATATTGAAAAAAAGCCAGTAACGAATACTTAAAAATCAATTTTTTTAATTAGCTACTTTGGTTCATTAATCGATAAATGGATTCATTGGTTTTAGCCATCATAAATTATCTAAAATATTTTTAAAGAAATGAACTCTAAATTTAATCAAAATTAAAATATTCTATTTTATTAATCAAATAGTAAAAGAAGAAGGTTGTATAAAATAAAGATCTTGATGAAGAAATTCTTTCAGATGAAATAGATTCTGTTTCAGGTATGAGCAATGAAGGTGGAATCGAAGATCGTTTAATTGAAATAGATGATGGTAAATAAACTATTAATTGTTTGTTTTCTATATAATAATAAAGAAGCTTTGCAGGATAAAAGTAGTTAACAGGTGAAGGAAATTTTATGTCAGCTAATAAGTTAATTTTTTTGAAATGAGCATGCGAATAAGAGCAAATATTTTAGATATTGTTTCATCATTAATTGCTAATATTTACTTAATAAGGGATTTTAAGAATATAAAAAAAGAATTACTTTTACTGCAAAGAAACTTAAACTTTAGCTTATGATAGGTTTACATTAAAAATTATTTTAAAATTATTCAAATAGAAACTGAGGATAAAAAGAGAATTAGATTGGCATAGTAAATTTTATAGAAAGCAAAGCTAGATTCATAAAAAGGCAAGAGTTAAAAGTTTATTGATAAAATATAAAATACTGGAAATAATGATGTTAGTGATGATGAGTCTTTTGATGATGGTGAAGACCACCACAAAAGTGAAGGAGATTCCTTTTAAGGTGTTATTTATGCTGAATCAACTCATACTGATGCAATCACAAAGGCTCTTTAAAATGAAATTTTGAAAAAAAGATAGCTCTAATATACTTTATATGCTGATAAAGTAATTATTTAATTAAATAAATAAATAGATAATTAGATAGATTTTTAGCTAGATATTTTCAAGCAAGTAGAATTAAATTAAATTTATAAATTACTATTTTATAAAAAGGTTCAAAAGTATTGGAATAAAATTGGATAAACCTTTTAATAAAATACTTTAAAAGGTCATACAAGATGTATCACTTCTCTTGAATTCTGTCCAAATGGATAATACTTATATTCTGCATCTAAGGATGCCTCCATCATTAGATGGGATTTAACTTAAACAGAAAAAAGTAAATAAAAGGAATTCTTAGTTAGAGAAAAAACTACCGATGCTCATAAAGATGAGGTAAAATATACACTTTGATATTTAGATAAAATAAACACGCTAGCAAATTAAAGATAAATCTTAAATGTAAAAATGTAAAAAAATGATATATTAGATTGAATGAGTTAGCTTTGAACTTATTTGTAAAAAAAAATTTTATGAAAAAGAAAAAAAAGTTTTTTAATATTTCAGAATAACTAATTTGATTTTATAATAATTTTAAATTTTTATTAAATAAGATTTTATCAATGAGTATTAATCATCTTGGAAGATATTTAGTTACAGCTAGTAAAGATAAATCAATCAAGTTATGGGATTTAAAGAAAATGGGATTAATTTAAAATTTCAATGGTCACAGATAACCTATAAATGCTATTAAATTCGGTATAAACTCAAACCAATTCTGTACTGCATCTTCAGACAGATAATTCAAAATGTGGGATGCTTCTGATAAAATATTTATTGATACATTGTAAATATAATAATTATAAATGGCCAGTTTTTTAATATATAAATTTGACTTATTCAATAGCTTTGGACATAAGGCTGACCCTACATATATTGACTCTATGAGTGCTAATAATTTCATTAGTTGTGGCTTTGACAGATAGGTCATCATTTGGAAAGTAAAAATATTTGGATAATATAATTTTATTTAATAAATATAATAAACAAATAGACTGAACATTAATCTTAATTGATATATGGAGGTCATGACTACTCCATTGATGTTGTAAAAGCAGTAGATGCAGAACATTTTATTACAGGATCTCAAGATGGATCTATTGCTCTTTGGTCTATTAAGAAGAAAAAACCTATATTTATTATGCATAAAGCCCATGGAGGAAGTTGGATTACTGCTTTGGTAAATATTTAAAGCAATAAAAAAATAATATTAAATTTATTTTTATTTTTTAATTATTTAGGGACATCTTTATAACACTGATTTATTTTTTTCTGGCTCTCATGATTAACAAATTAATGCTTATAAAATTGATTTACAATAAAAGAACTTTTAAAAAATATTTTCCATTCCTTGTGTAAATAAAAATTTACTTATTTCTTTAAAATTAATGAAAAAATATTATTAAAAATAGAATGGCGTAATAAATGACATACAAATATCAATAGATTGTTCTTATCTTGCATGTAAAAAAGTTAATTTGATAGATTATAATTTATTAAATGAATATTTGTAAAAAAAAGTTAGCGAGTGTGATGAACATAGACTTGGTAGATGGATTACAGATAAGAAAGCAAAAAATTAGATTAAGTATTTCAAAATAATGTGATAAAATACAATTCTTAAAAATCAATTAATAAATAAATAATTTAAAAATAATATTAAATATAAATTAAAAAAAGTAATATATTATATACTTAGTATTAACTTATTCTCACATTTAACTAACATTTACAATTAAACAAATTTATTTTCTAAACAAACAAAATACCACATCAAAATTAAGCATTTTAAGTTTGATTTTTGAAAAATTAATTCATTTTATTTGTTAAATTATGAGAAATATGATTTTTTATGAGTCGTCTATTAAAGTAACTTCCTAGTAAAATAAATAGTTCTATATTTTATCGAAAAAATTATTTATTCTTTTATAATTTAATAAAAAAAAGCTAAAAATGTAAAAAGAATAAAATTTATAAATTTAAATAAAAAAGAGGCAGAATAGATTTAATTAAAGCCTAATTAAGATAGAAGTTTTATATTGGTTTAGATAAGCGAGTATTTATTTATTAGTTTTCTGCTTTCGCTAAAATAATTGTAAATAAAATAAAGTATATATATTTATTTATTATTTTGTATCTTAAAACTATAAGCAGACAGACACACATATATATCCGTTAATAACTGGTAAAACATTATATGTAAATATATTTATCAAAATTCTTGTTTCTTATTAGTTGCTTTGATTGATCTTGTTTGCTTTTTTCTTTTAAAATAATTAAAATTAAGTAATTAAATATTTAGAAACCTAACAAAGCTTTGGTTAAAATATAATAAAGAGTATTTATTATCCATAATATTTTTAGAAATTAATAGCTTTTTTTATATATTGTTCGAATAAAATGCAGTAATTAAGCTTAACAAATTAGGATATGCAGAAAGCATTAGATCATCTAAGTAAATTAATATAATTAGAAGAGCTGGAATCGCAGTAGTAGTATAGAAGCGGATCTGCTAATTATGATTCAGGAAATTATAGTTAATATAATTAAAATATGATGGAATAGAATTTCAATGAAATTTAGATTCCTCATGATAGATACGAATAAAATTATCTTTCAAATAATTATAATGATTCCATTCAAAGCAATAGTAAATTTCCATAACAAATAAGTAGTATTGACGAAACATCGTATTAAAATCAGTCTAGTTTGAGGAATTAAGATTTTTAATATGATTTAACAGAATTTAGAAATAGAGAAAGATTTTTATAAAATGAAAATAATGAAAATTAGTAAAAATTCATCGAGCAGAGCTAGACAGATGTAAATTATCTTAAAATTTATTATTATTTCTTAAGAAAATTTAAATTGAAAATAGACAGAGTATCTTGAAGAGATTAAAAAACTAGTTAGACAGAGCATTGTCACTAAGAATTCAGAACATGAAAATAGGGAAAACTAAGAGAGAATTGCAAATATCAGCAAATAGCCCAATTAGAAAGGTAGAAAAAATAGTTAAAATTCAAGCAGCAGCAATAGTTCTGATGATAAGTCTGACTATTAGCAATAAAACGAAAATAAAGATACTGTTGGCTTAGATTTAAATTTCTTTAGCTCTGCTTAAAAGAATTATACTAGTAAGGACATAAATGAAATATCTGAAAGATTGTTTTAAGATGGAAGACTAAGAGAATAAAAAAATAGCATTAAAAAAATAGAATAACACTTTAGTGAGGCTTATCTTAAAAAGGCACAGAGGGGATAAGGGATTATGAGTCAATAGACCAAAAAAATAATGGAAAAGAAAATATAGAATGGATAATATGAGCCTATTTATAAAAGATGGGATACTTTACTTCAAGAAAAGGCTAATAAAATGTTAGAAGCTAATTACAAAAAGGAGATTAAGTAAAGGTAGTAGGAAGAATAGCAATTAACTTTTAAACCAGAGGTTAATTTAACTAGCTCACAAATGGTCTCTAAGCGTACACCTGATTAAGTTGTAAATGGTCTTCTCGCATGGAACAAAAAGAAATAAGACAAATTATTTCATCAACAAATTAGATAAAGTGAAAAAGGAGCTGAAGAATTAACCTTCCATCCTAAAATTAATCAGTCATCAGTGCATATGATAGGAAAGAATGTAAAAATTATAATTTTTGTTAATTTAGCAAAACAAAAAACTAGTACTTTTCTGGTTTAATTAAATTAATGTTATAGTTAATAGATATTGCTTATTTTTCTATCAAATGATGCCATGGACCAATTAATATATCATATTAATTTATCCTCAAAATAAAATTTTGGTATTTTAAATAATTTCAATTCAGTCACCATTAGATATATCAATTAAATATTTTTAAAAATGATCAACTTGAAATAATTTATTTGAACATTTTAAATTACCTTTTGAAATTTAGAAGTTAAGTATTAGATTAACTTCTATTTTAAAAAAATAAATTGATAAAGGAATTTTTTACTTACATTAAAATATTTAGTTTTTGTTATAATTTCAGGAGATTATTTTAAGAAGAGGATAGACTAATTATTTTTATTTGATTACTTTGATTTCTTATTAACAGTGTAATATTAAAATAAACAATATTTTTTTGTATAGGAAACAGAAGACGTAGTGCAGAGACTTTACAAAAAAATGTAAGAAGCACAAAACAAAATAGAGAATATGAAAAAAGAAGAGTTTTAGTCTAAGTATACATTCAAACCCAAGTTAAATGAAAAATCTGCTTAAATTGTCTAAGAAGTAATAACAAATGGCATATTTTTATTTTAAAAGAAATTATCTAAAAAAGAAATATTTTTAAAAATACTAATGAATACTTTTAAAAATTAAATTTTTGCATATTTTTTTAATTACATAAATTCTTTGATTTTGCTTTTTTCAAATTTTCGCGAAAAATCTTAGTTTTTTAATTGATAAAATATCAACTTGTAAAACTTGTAAGTAAAGAGATGTAATTCAAAGCTAATATTTTTTTTTAGGGAGCTAAAATTTTGCAATTATTTATTTAAATAGCTTTTAAATGGTGGGTCTATAAATATCATTTTCCTCACTCATTGCAAAAAGTAAATTAAAATAATCATTAAAGAAACATTTTGATAATCAGAGAATGATTCTCTCCTTTAAATGCAGGTAGAGGAAGATTACAAACTCTAATAAACACAAATATCTTATTTTTTAAATATTTTTATTCTCTTTACTTGCTTAAATTAATTTTGCCTTTATGTTTCATAGATTTTGATATGTAACTAGAAAGAAAAACAAATAATTAATTAATTAGTTTATTGATAGGCACTTTAATTTGAACCCTAGTAGAAATAATTTACGTATTTTAATTACATGAAAAGAATAGCCATGAAAAAAAAGTTAGAATAATTTTAAAGTCTACTCCCTTAATTAATTGAATTTTCAATTACTTATACAGAATGACCAATCTATTCATTCTTCTCTAATATAATAAAGCAAAATTTCAGGAGTAATATGCATCTTCATCATCATCAAGAGAGGAGTCACACACCAGTCTATAGAGGCCAATCTAAAAAAATAGACAGTCATGAATAGACAAATAGACCTAAAACACCTTAATACTATCACAGCTACAATAAAAGTATAACACCTATATTAAAAAAAAAGAAGGCTAATTAGTCTCAGCTATAAATGTAATAGAATGATTCGTATTCTAAAGAAAATCGCTTTACTCCAATCTGCGATAGCTCAAACGGAAGAATATCTTAATTATACGAAAGTAATTACCTGAGCTAAAAAAGTTCAGCAAATATTAAAAGAGCTTAACCTATGCTCGAGTAAAGCTTGAATTTAACTTAAAACGAAATTGATAAGAGAAGTTATTCAAAGGATGACAAGATACTACAATAAACGACCAAGCATTCAAATAATATACGATATTCGCCTTAGAAGAACTTTTAGAATCAATCTGGTCTAAAAAATTTGTCTTCTTCTATAGATTCTTCTTTTGATGCTATTCATTCCCCTGACAGAATTTATTAAAATAACAGTTAGAATCTAAAAAAAAGCAAATATAATTTAAAAATATCTTCAAATTAAAATACTTCCTCAAAAATCTATGAAAATTATGAGAGTGTAGAATTTGAACCCAAAATGAATATGAGAAGAGATGAGAGCAAAAGTCCAAACACCAGAGGTTAAATGAACTTAAACAATCAATCTAGAGAAAATAAGCTATCTTCTTCATCAAATAAAAATAGAGGTGAGGATATCTCTAGGCTGCAATTTTAAAAATAAGAAAATGCTAACGATTGCTACTAGACAAATCCCAATGTGAACGTTTAAGAGATAGAATTTAACAAAAAGCTCTAATTTTTAATAGATTTACTATCAGCTGAAGAAAAAAAAAAATACTAAAGCAATGTTCAAATTTGAAAAAGAAAAGAATAAAGTAGAAAGAGAACGAAAATATGCAGTTTAGTTTTAAAAAAACTTATTAATTGATGCTAAATGAAATTTGATAAGTAAGCAAGCAGTATGTATGCATCTATTAGCTTATGCAGCTTGATAATTAATTCATATTTAATTTATAATAAATTAATATTTAGTATTTGTTTGCTTAATCTTTTACTAATTAAAATTTTTGTAACCAAATTACAAAATAAATTAAATAATTTATTGAATTTTGTTTAAGAATGAAAAAAAAAACATGTCATTGATTTATATTATTAAGTAAGAACTTAAATTACGAAATTTATGCTTACAAATATAAAATTTAGATAAATATTTTGTCATTTTTAATGATTTATTGAATAATTAATAGATAGATCCCCCTTTTAATAAAGAATTAATTTGTCAATCACGTAGCAAAGAAACGAGGAATCTAGTATTAGAAATTAAGTTCGTTTAGATTCTAATTAAGCATTTATTAATTTTTTTAGATTAAGTTAGAAACAAATAGAGCGCACTATACATGTTTTAATTACTTATTGATTCAGTATTATAAAACTTAACTTGCCATATCATTCGTAACCCCACTAATATTAAACAAAAGTAAAGGCTACATAGTTCTTATTTAGCAGCAGCAAAAATAATCAGAAATCTAAATTAAATTTATCTTTATTTTCATACTTTCTTTTCTAATTCATTTTTTACTTGTAATAGAGAAAGTATGGTGCATGAATGCCTTTCTTTTGAAAGCTTTGAAAAAGAATTAAATAATTTGTATGATTTATTAGTTAATTACTTTGCTTATTTTTGGTTAATACTGCATAAGTAATGTCAGTCTATTTCAAAATTTGAAAAAAATTAATTACAAAATACTTATTAATAGGTGTTGAATTGCATGCTATTTCAATAAAAGCAGCTTATATTTTCAAGATGTTGCGGAATATTAAATTAAATAGTTAATTTAATACTAAATATTAGTCAATCTCTATGAAACATAGGTAGTCTTTAAGAGTGGGGAATGAATAAATCAATGAAGGAAAGATTGCAATTCCTTTATTAATGACCAAACAAAAGTAAATTTATTAAGTATAAATTATCTTTATGCATTCAAAAAGAATGTGTGCGCAGATAGAATTAAACCAATACACAAATAAATAAATAATAGATAGATAGAACCTTCGTTTTTTACATGAAAATATTAACTCATCTATTTATTTATCTGGGTTTTTTTCAAATTCTTTTTTCATTTTCCTAAAATAAATTAATTAAAAAAAAATTAACAAATAACAAGATCAGTCCATAAAAAAATCAAATCAAACTCTAAAAATAATATTTGATCAAACAAATCGTTCATTCATTAATTCATTGATTGATTAATTAATTGATATTATCATTAAGAATTATTATCTAAAATTATTAAACCAGAATAAACTAAGTAAAATCATAATAAAGTATAGTATTAAACACTTATTTAATTGAGTGTTAAAAACACATAAAAGATTTTATTTCATTTTTACTGAAATCCTACATAAATACAATGGCTGTTGAAGTTTATTTAAACGTTTATGATATTACTAAAATGAATACCTTTATTGGTTGCCTTGGATTGGGTTTATACCACACTGGAATCTAAATCAATAATGTAGAATATAGATTTGGTGCACACGATGATTATTACTCTGGTGTCTGCACAAATACTCCCAAGGATGGAATGGGTATTTATAGATTCAATAGAAGTATCTTCTTGGGAATGTGTGATCTCACTTCTGACTAAATCGAAGAAATAATCAGTGATTTAGAAATAGATTATATTGGTAGATCATACGACATATTCAAGAAAAACTGCAATCACTTCTCAGATGATCTCTGCAAGAAACTACTTGGCAAATAAATCCCTAGATTCGTCTTTAGTGTATCTAACTTTTTAAGCTTTACTAGATGTATCGTTAGCAAAAAAATTATCAAAGGTGGTTTTGACACTTCTGATAGATAAGAAAAAGATAGCTTATTCTTAGGCAAGAAAAGAATCGAATGCAAGAAAACTCGTGATGTAGAAATGAGCTTAATCCAAAGTTAATACTCTTTTTGAAATAAATACAGTCTCTTTAAATAAGAACGTATGCTGTACTAAAAACTACAAAAAAATCATTCAATCTACTGGAATTATATTCTTATTAGCACTCTCAAAACTTAATAATAAAATTAACGAAGTTTTTACTTTTTTGATAATAAAAATCTATTTAAACTAGTTTATTTTAGAGTTATTAATCAGAATGAATGATCAATTTTTATCTCGATGAAATTTTACTAGAAATATACCAAAAAATAGATTCACTAATACAAACTAACTATGACTTATTTAAATATAATATAATCTTTTATTCTCACACAACATTTTTCATAAACTATATTCTTTCTATTCACCAACCAAAACACTGTTAATAAAAACCTCATTATAGTTAAAATACCTGTACTTTAAACCCTTAATAACCAAAAAACAAACGAACTTTAAACACCTTTAAAACTACCTACCTAAATCTTCTTTCAATATCAATGATTAAACTATTAATTAAAAATCTCTTTATAATTATATAAAATCTTATAAGAAACAAATTTATTTATTTATATAAACTGTATATAATACAAACTTATAATATTAAAATAATTCATTTATTCTTCTTTAATAATTTTTCACTTTAAAAAACCAAATCTTTTAAAAAGTAAATACTAAGCGTAAAATAGAACAGTTTATTTCAAAAACTCTTTTATAAAGCTTTAAGAATTTTCTTATTTAAGAATTACACAATCAATATGCATACAGTATCTTTTTTTACTAATCTATAAATTTACTTTTAAACTGCTTATGAAAATATTAATTAAAAACATCAAGTAATTTAGTTAATTATAAAGATTTAATTTTTATATTATAATCTATTTATAGGTTTGAATAACAAACAATTATTAAATAAATATTATTTCCTAAATTAATTTATTTTTGTTAAATTTATTGTTTATAATAAATAATTATAGTAAATATCTTTAATTTTATTACTAATTATTTTTATTAAGTGCAGATAATAAGTTAAGATACTGTCTTGTCTCTCTTAGAAATTATTTAATGATTAACCCAAAAAAATTTTATGTTTAATTATATAATTATTGAAAGAATTTTCATTTATAATACAAGATGTTAGTAATATTTTTTTTAAAGATTTTTTTTAATCCTTTGTACTTTCTTATCAATAATAATTAATGCAAATGTAAAAGAAATAGAAAAATATTGAAGTTTTTTTTATCACTCAAAAAATAATATTAATATTAATTAATTAATTTAATTTCAAAATTGATTTATTTATTTTAAAAAAATTAATATATCTATTTTTGAAAAAACTTGAAAAATCTAATTTTATTTCTAAAAAATTTTAAAAAAATCAATTCTTTTCTGGTTTTTGATTTGATTTGAAATACTTATTTTTTTTTTATTTTTCTAAATTCTATCATTCAAAAAATAATACTTATTTTTTAGATTTAAAATGGTAGCATTTTATTCACTAAAAATAATAATAAAGTTAAAATTTAATATATTTTACTTTACGCTTTCTTGCTTTCTTGTCTTAGGTATAAAAATACTAAACTATTAAGCTTTTATACTCATTTGCTTATTTTTATTAATATTACTATTTTAAATACTTTATTAAAAAAGAAATAATAAAAATTTAGGTGTAAACTTAATAGACTTGGATTATATTTAAATAATAAATATTATCTTTTCAGACATTTTATTTTAGATTCAAGGTTTTTAAACTTTAAAATAAAATAATTTAATTGATGATTTTTTTTGTGTATTTATTAATATTTGCTTCCCAATAAATTATTGAATAAATATTTATAATTATTTTTAGCTTTTAAATTAATAAACAGCTTAAAATAAATTGTAAAAATATTACATTTTCATTTAAAGATATTTTTAATTCTAACATTTTAAATTATCCAGAAGTTATTAATTTTGATTGTATCTTTTTAGTATCTTTATAATAATAACAAAATAATCTTAGCATCGAGTAATCGATTACAAAAATTTTTTTTTAAATTAACCAATAAAACCACTCAATATTATAATAAAAATCCTCAAAAATTAATAATTAAATCAAACAATATTTATAAAAAACTAAATAAATGATCAGAAATAGCTAGAGCACACTATAAATGTCAGTTAATCCTACCAACTAATTAGCATAAAAAAGATTGCTCAGTAAGTAAAACTCTCAAATAATTTAAAAAGTGAAAGCTGTTGGTGAAAGATAAGACTTTTCTGTTTGTACAATCCAGCTAGAATAAACTATTAAACCTATTTCTTTTAGACAAAATAGCTAAAATAAATATGAAAATTCTAAAATGACTTCTATCTAAAGCTAGAACTCAACTCCTAAGAATAATGATAAGGTTGAAAGTCGAATCTATCAGTAGACAGGACAGCGCCAATTTTCTTTAGACCAACCTAAAGTCACAGTAATTGATTTAAGAAGCCAAACACTTCTTTAAAAAAATGATTCCTACTTCACCAAAGAGAGCTAAAGAAAATTATAATAAAATTCTTCAAACAACCTTTTTAGACTGAGATAAAATCCTAATTGGTTCTCATAGAAATCCTCAGCAGGAAGTTCAAAAACAGAAATAATCTCTGGAAAAAAGGAACTTTATAAAAAGCTATAGGAAGCATCAACCCCAACTTGCAGAGGAGCTAATTTTGAAAAATCTATCTTTAGCAACAATTCTACCTTAGAAACACTAACAAAACAAAGATCAGAAGAAAAACAATAAAATTTTGGTTAACTTTGCAGCCAAAGCATAATCACTAATAATTAATTAAAGTAAGATGGTAACCAAGCAAGCTAAATTAATCAAAATAATAATTTATAATAAAGCAACAACAAAAGCAATATTTTTAGTTATATAAATTCAAATAAGTAGAACTACTTCTAAATCGCTTAAAAGAAAAATGAAAATCTTTAAATTAAATTAAATCAAAATTAATAATCAGAAACCTTCTAATAAAAACTTGCTTCTAAGAAACAAAACAATGTTAATAAAATTAGCAATATTTATTAAAATGAGCATAATAACCTAAAAAATAAAAATGAAGAGTTTAAAAAGCTAATAATCAATTAATATTAACAACAACACTAGCTTTAACAACAAAATTAGCAATCTAAATTAAGCTCACAGAATTTCAAACTCACTTTTAACTATTAACAAAATGAATAGTCAAATAAAAATTCTCAAAAAATTCTAAGAACCAGTCAGTCTTAAACTGAGTTTGAATTACCAGCTGATCATCTCAAAAAAGACAAAGAAGAAGCTAAGAAACTTAGCTAAAATTTGAGTACAAGTATAAATGAATAGCAAAGTCAATAGAATTCCTGCTAATAAATAAATTCAATGACTGATCACACAGTAACTTAATCAGTTTAGAGATAAAAGTATTTCGAAATAAGAAGTTAAAACAAAGAACTCCCAAAATATTAAAAATAAGCAAAAACATTTGATCAACAACAATTGTTAAACATTACAAATATAATTGAAGTTGATGAACCTATTTAATCTAGTGGAAAATTTAACTATATATCCCCTATTGCAAAATAGAAGCAACAAATAATTTCTCCGAAAATAAAATAGGCACCACCCTCTTCTGAGCAATCTTATGATCAAATTATGATATGGCAGAGTTCAGAAAAAAGTTCATAAAACACAAACGAAAGATAAATAAGAAATTTAGAGCCAATTACTCGTACTAAAATAAATGCAGAAGTGTAAAAAAGAGAAGAATTCATCAAGCTTTACACAAAGAGATTCAAAAACTATCCTTAACAAAGTCCAAATTCTGAAAGTCTGAATGACCAATAAATAGAGAATTTAGTGTTAGACGCTTTCTTCCACAGTAGTTAAAAATCATCTTCCTCGTCATAAACTTCGATAAAATTGGAAAGTAATTTAAAATAATATTAAAAGTAAATAAATTATGTTTAACAAAATTTATTTTTATAGATTAAACTTATAAATAAATCCCTCTCAATGCTTTAAGTACAGATAGCGGTAATGCTAATCTTAGCACTCCAAAGAAAAAGCAAATCCAATTAAATGAAAAGTAAAATGATGCAAGCATACCATATTAAGTAGCTATGATGCAAATTGACTCTTCGAATTCTAGTAACTCAGTATAAGGTTATTTAAGTAAAGAATCAACACAAATAAAGTAGAAAATCAACAATGTTTTTTTCTCTGATACAAAGAACCATAAATAATTTATCAAATCATTTTTCCAAGAAACAAATTATCAAATTTGAATCAATCTTTAACTATATTATTTAGTTATCATTTACTTCCACATAAAAAGTATCTTATAATTTAAATTAAATTAAAACCCTTTAAGATTACTGTATCATTATTATTAAATTAATTCTAAAAAATATTTTTTTTATTTTTGTTGTAAGTTTTATAAAAAAAGTAAAATAAATTAATCAAATTTACATTAAAAAAACACAAATAAGGTAAAGGTTCATGTATCAAGGCCATAATATATTAAGGCCGGTTTTAAAAATTTGAAAATATGGTTTAATTAAGGCTGGTAAGTGAGGTGTCTAAACTGAAATCGAGGTGGCCTTAATATATAAACCTTTACTGTATTTATATAATTTATTTCTCCAAATAATAGCTTGTCTTGCATAAAATATTTATATTCAATCTATTAAAAATATGTTTAACTGATAAAAATTTCTTTCAAATATTCAGTAGGCATATAAAATTAGAAATAATCAAATAAACAGCTAGTAAGATGTATTAATTAACTAACCAGAATTGAATTTTTTTCTAATTGGATTTTATAAGGAATATTTTAAGCTGAAAAACAAATGTTTTTACTAAAAGAGAAAATAAGTAGGTTAGAATTAAATTCTTGTTTTAAGTTAAAATAGTATAATTATATTAATTTTTATTATGATAAATATATTATGTAAGAATGTATGTATTTACAATTTTTTATTTAATTATAAGGGTAATAAATGATATAGGTTTCACCAATTTTATCTCATGTCTATACATCTATTGACAATAATTTAATTTAATCTTTCATTTTCGTTGGCTAAGAATTTGCAGCGATTTTCCATTTCTTAAAATACTCTTACAGAGTCTATTTCTGCCATAGAACGCCAATGCTGGACTTCTTCATTTTTTTCATGAGTAAGTATCAACAATCGCTATTCCAAATTTTAAATGTATTACTACATTTTTATTGTTTCTTATTCTATCTGCTTGTATGGAACTGGTGGAAGCTATGCTTGAAGCTACTTCATTTGCTATTCTAAGTCTAAAACAATTTACTTTGAATTTTATATTTCTTAATTTAAAAAGTTATTTCGTTATTCCAAATTAATATTTTTTTATATTTGATTTTAGAGTTCTTCTTAAGTATCTTCATATAACTACAATTTTTCCTAAGAATCAGTATAGAAAGCTGACATATTTTCCATTTTTTATTTTATTTCATTAACTTCTCTTTGCTTTTCTGCTAATTGTAAATTTTACTCTTCAACTTCTACATCTTTCTTTTCACAAACATCCACCAATTTTTCTTACTCATCTTTTAAATTTTCAATAACATTTTCTAACTCTCTGACCTTGCTTTCTAGTTTTTCTATTTTAAAAATATTTAATTTAACATTTTTTATTCCCCTCATTATTAAATTTATTTTATTTGTAAAAATTATAAAAATTAATTTTCTTCAAATTTAGAAAAAATAGCAAATATAATTCTCAGCTTTTTTATTTGTATTTTATTTAATTTTTCTTTAAAAATATTTTCAAAAAAGATTTACAATTCTTTTTGATTAAGTCTTCATTAACAGATTTTTGAGTGTCAATATCTATGTTTTTAGTTTTAACATCATTGTTGAGCTTATTTATTTGCGATTCTAGGTCTTCTATTTGACGAATAAACTTTTCTCTCATTCTCTCATGTTCGTCTTTGGTGATATATTGGTCATATTTATTTTAATATTTCTAAGTATCGGATAAATTAGACTTTTAGAATCTTTCATTTTCTTTATTTAAACTTTCATTATTTCTTTATTGATTTGAGTAATCTTAAGATGAGTTATGTTGCCTTCTATAACTACTTTAGAATGTTTTAATTCTATTTTCAGGAAATAGTGCTTATTGATCTTTTCTGTTTTCCTAAGCACTAAATCTGTTAGCAGAAGCAGTGAAAAGCTATTGTTAAGCTTAATCTTGTTTAACTGTTTCAACTGGAATGTATTAAACAGTTTTTATTTCTTATTATTAATGAAAACTCTGTCTATCATTTAAAAAACTAGAAACTACTTGGTTTCCATTAAAGGAAGATTGCAAATATTATACTCCGTTTTAAGCTTCTGGAGATGCTATAATAACAGGCTAGTTTTAAATTATAGGAATTTATTGTGGTATATTTTATGGTTGCTAATTTATAACTGTTTCATATCTTAATCCCTATGGAGAGAAGTTTTAAGATATATCTTATAATTAAACAGGTTAATCTTGATCAATTTAAATAGCCCTTGGTAGTTTATAGACTGGCCTATTAATTATATTTGAGTATTGCTAAGAAACTTGATATGAATTCTATTAAGCAGCTGGAGCAATATTGGAATAAGTAACTGGAATGATTTAAGCATTTAAATTACTGATACCTTGAGTAGTTTAAATGCTGTTTGGTAAATAACTATTTTCAGATTAAACAAATAATCTATTTTATGGTGGTGTTGAAGACCTCTAATTTAAATTAGAAAGATTATTATTGCTTTACAACTCAAACTATGTATTTTATTATGTTGCTGCTGTATTCGCCCTCGGAAGGGTTAGTAAATTTGAAGATGGACTCTAAGATCTTATTGTAACAGGGTTTGGAATGTTATTACTGTATCTGCTTTTTAGGCTTTCTATTTGCTGTTGCTATTTTTGATTCTGCTCTTATAATCGTTGTAAAGTTTCCTATTATTATCTAATAATAAAAGAGCTTGGCACTGGCTATCCTATGCTTACAGGAAGTATTTAATTTTAGCTAGGAGCAAAGTTACTCATTAAAGTAATAAAAATTATAAAATAATCTGCAAATTCTAGTTTAAAAGATTTTTTATTGGTCAAATGATGTTTGTATAAAAATAACTTTTAGAAATAATAATAAAAATAATGATGTTTTAATAAATATCATGAATAAATATTAATAATTTTTAAAAAGATTCGCTGCTATCTTTAACAACCAATTTATCAATCAAATCAATTTTTTTGAAAAGTTTTAACAAATAAATAAATAAATTTATTAGCAAAGTAAAGTTTTTTTACAGACTGATGAATATTAAATTAGTAATCAATCAAATAAAAAGTAAAAAGAATTTCTATGAGAAATTTTTAATAATTAATTAATTAATTATTTTACTAAATAAATAAGCATAATTATTTAATTAATTAATTAAATACTTATTATGTAATTAATCGTTTATTGAATTTTCAATATACTTCAAAATATTTAAGTCTTATTAAATCTTAAACAAAAATATAATCAATCAATCATTCAAAATCATCAAAAATGTAACAAATAAGCAGCAAGTCGACTGAAAGGATATCTAACATTTAGCTTTTAATTGGAGATTTTGATCCTTAAAAAGTAAATTTTCAAATGAATGCAGATTTATACTTTGACGATAAGCATCTAGAGCATATATCTGAGGAAATAAAACTCTCTATTTAATAAGAAGAATAGCTCTACAACAATAAGGTAGTGTTAAAGTTGGATTTAGTTAATTCTTATTAGAAAGAGGAAGTAAAGCAAATACTTTTAAAATTAATTGAGCTTTCTAAATAAAATAATAAAATCAGCTTGTTTTCATTGCTTAGCGTTGATATTTCAATCTATGAATCTTCTACAGAAAATAGTCTTTATCTTGTTACTAACTTTGTTGATGATATCCATATTATGATTTAAGATGTCAAAAAAATATTTTGTGATGCAAAATACAAATAAGAAGATTCGTTTTTAAAATTCTAGTTGTAATTAAGTAATAAATTATAAGAATCTTATAGTGAAACCAATAGCTCTATGTATCATTTAATGTAGTCAAGCTCTATCAGTTTACAAATGAAAAGAGACTGCAATACAAATAATTAGCTAATGAATGTTTTAGGATTAGGATAAGAAGAAGGGTTCAAGCTAGTTTTTTCTAAAATTAAAAATATTAATTTAAATCTTAAATTTAAATCTTTTGCAGATGTTCCAAATAAATCTAGTTTCATGTAATGGGTATTCTCATTACAAAAAGCTAGATATGATGATGAAGAAATTAAACTTCTCAAATAGTTAACTAAATGTATATCTGACTAAATAACCTTTAGATCCATTTTTAGAGAATCTTATACAACTATGTTAATTAAAACTTCTTTAAAAGGATTATTTTCCTATATTCAAGAAATACAAATAAATAACTGAATGAAAATTATAAGAAATGACTAAAATCTAACTAAATACATTCAATATAAAAGCTCTTTAAATAATAACTAAATTTTTATTTTATAATTTTAAAAATTATATAAGAAGTATTTTAATAAAAATTATCAAAAATTTAAATAACAATTAAATGTAAAAAACTGTCAATTTTTTTATATTAAAACATAATATGGGTATTGATTTTTGTATTAAAAATATAGTATGGCTATTCAAAAATCATATTTACTTTAATTAATAAAATAATTAAATGAATTATGTCAAATTAAAAGGAATATTTTGTAATTTTTTTCTTCTTCATTTTTTAAAATATTAATAAATATTTAATGAACAAATTAATTTTGTATAAAATGATAATTTAACTTTATTTTTCTTTAATATTTTTAATCTATTTTAAACAAAAAATTTGTTTTTTTTGAGGAATACTAAATTTAAAAAAATAATTTTAGATGAAGAATTTATAATCAATTAAAATAGTTTGTTGTTAACTTTTGATTCATTCGGAGCAAAAACAAAAAAAATAAATAGAAGTATTATTAGCACATTTAGAAAGTAGATGTTTTTAGAATTAACAAATAAATTAAAATTTTTTAAATTAAAATAGAAGAAGATTTAGTATTTTTAATAATTTTTTGATTTAGCCAAAATATATCTTCAATAAAGCCAAATTTATATATATTTTTTTAATAGCATTAAAAAATTAATTAAATAAATAAAGCAAAGATTAAATAGAATTACACTTTTTTCAAGTTTATAATAGCATACATAGGTTATAAAATGGGTAAAGATTTTAATAAAAAGCAAAAATTTGTCAAATAAGACAAGGAAATTAACGTTATTGAAGATGAAGAAAAGAAATCTAAGAAGAAGAAAGGAGGTGGTTTTGAATCTATGAATTTGGTCTATCCTGTTTATAAAGCTATCAAAACTAGAGGTTTTAATATGCCTACTCCTATTTAAAGAAAGGCTATTCCTCTTATTCTTGAAGGAAGGGATGTTGTTGCTTGTTCTAGAACTGGTTCTGGTAAAACTGCTGCCTTTATTATTCCATTAATCAATAAATTACAAAATCACTCTAGAATTGTTGGTGCCAGAGCTTTGATTGTCGTTCCTACTAGAGAATTGGCTTTACAAGTAATATCATTTAGATTTTTTACACAAAAAGCATTTTAGCATAAAATGAATGAATTTTTTACAAAATCTTTGCTTTATATTTGAATATTGTATTCATTTGACATTTAAATTAAATATTTTATATAAATATAGATTGCATCCGTATTGAAAACATTTATTAAATTCACTGACTTGACCTATACTTTGATTGTTGGTGGTCACGGCTTGGAAGGATAGTTCGAAAGTTTAGCATCTAACCCAGATATTATTATTGCTACTCCTGGTAGACTTAGTTAGTTGATAGTAAATTGCATACATTTTATCATCAATATTAAGATTATTTAATATAATTATTTAGGATGAAACTGATTTGTCTTTGAATAAAGTAGAGTTCTTAATTTTTGATGAGTGTGATTATTTGTTTGAAATGGGTTTCGCTGATTAAATGAAGGTAAAATATTAAATAAAATGTTAGCACTCTTTTAAAAATACCATGTATAAAATAGACTATCTTAAAAAAAGTAAGCCAATAAAGATAAACGCTTATGTTTTCTGCTACCATTCCAGAGGAATTGTCATCTTTTGCAAGAGCTGGTTTGAAAGAATACGTCTTTGTTAAGTTGGATTCAGAATTTACAATTAATGAAAATATTACTCTCAATTTCATCCTCACTCGTAATAATGAGAAAATAGCTTCTCTCGTTTATTTACTCAAAAGTGTTATTCCTTCAGAAGAAAATAGCATTGTTTTTGCAAGTACTAAATATCACGTTGATTTGATTTGTGCTATTTTGGATAAATTCAACATCAGCAATGTTTCTATTTATGGTAAAATGGATGCTTTTGCTAGAAAAGATTAAATCAGTGAATTCAGAAATAAAAAGTGTAATGTCATGGTAGTTACAGATTTAGCAAGTAGAGGTATTGATTTACCTAATGTAAATAATGTTATTCATTACGATTATCCCGCATCTACCAAAATTTTCATCCACAGATCTGGTAGAACTGCTAGAGCTGGTCGTAAAGGTAACACTTATGCCTTAATGGGTATGAATGAAATCATGTATGTCTCCGAAATTATGGTTTTAGCTGGAAGGTAAAAAATATTTTTAAATAAAATTGTAAAATAAGTTTTCTAAAATAAATTTTTATAAAATTTCAGAAAGTTAAGCAATCAAGTTGAAGATATGAAAGACACTTCTAAAGCTATTTATGGTGCCATTCCCGTTTAACTCATCGGTGATGAACAAGCAAAAATCTAAATTCTATTAAAAGAAGATATTGAAATCAACAAAATGTAGCAATTAGCCAATAACGCCTACATTCAATTTAATAAATCTCGTTCTAGTGCAAGCAAAGCTTCAATCAAAGACTCTTATTAAGTAATTAAATAAATTTTATCTTTGAAGATGTACTTAAATATAATGCATAAAAATAGGTTAAAATAGATTCAATTAACCCTCTTTTCCACAAGTTCGCTGAAGATGAAAAGGAAAAAATGGATTACTTATCTAAAATTAAAAATTACAAGCCAGCAATAAGTGCTTTGGAAATTTACAAGCAAAGAAGTTTAAAGAATCATACTGGTACTGAAGATCCCAGCTTGCTTGAAAATGTCAATACACTTGCTAAATCAGTAGCTGATTTAAAGAAGCAAAAATAAATGTTCAAAGACAAGTAAGAGAGAATAGAGAAAATCAACAAAATTAAGATGGGTATTGCCCTCCAAAACGATGGTGAAAAAATGGAAATTGAAAACAACAAAAAAGCTGCTGCTGAAGAAGAAGAGTATGTAGATGAAGGCTTATTAGATGAAGAACTTGTAAAGAAAATGAATGAAGCCGAATAAGAGTTTGAAGAAGATGAAGATGATGAAAAACTTATTAATGACGAACCTGAAATTAAATAAAAGGAAGATACATAAGAATAATATATTATAGATCACAAGCCTAAAAAGATTAAAAAGTCTCAAATGGTAGATTTCAAGAACAAAGACCAATACATTGAAGCTTAACCTGATTATCACAAACCTAAAAAGAGTATTGAAGATGAAAATAAAATCTCCTCTACTGATGTTAATGCCTTTGTTGTTGCAGAAGATTACGAAGATCTTCTCAGAAATAAAAAGAAAATGATTTGGGATAAGAAAAAGAAATAGTTTGTTTTCGGTAAGACTGATGAAGTAGGTAGAGTTGTAAGAGACAAAGAAGATAAAAATAAAAATGGTAAGAAAGGTAAAGTTGCTAAGGAAATGCTTAAAAAATGGGAGAAGAAGAACTAGATCAAGTTGTAAAGAGATGGTGAGTAAGAAGATACAACTCTTGTTGATAGAGTCAGAGGTATGTTCAAAAAGAGAGCCCTCAGATAGAAAGGTATTTACTTACCCGAAGACAACCTAGAAAAATAATAAAAGGGTGTTAAGAGCGAATTAAAAAGCCATCAACAAATACTTAAAGTAAATATATTTAAAAAAAAGGTTATTCATTATAATTAATTCATTCATTTTTTATAAAATAGTAAAAAAAAATAAAGAAGGGTCTTAAATTCAAAAACATGGAAAAAGGTAAAAGAACCCAAATTATTCATAAGAAAAAGTAAGCCTCAGCAAAGATGGCCGATAAGAAGGGAGGATTTGGTAAACCAAAAGGAGGTTTTAGCAAACCTAAAGGTGGAAAATTCAGAAGATGAAATAAAATAAAAAAAGAATGATTAAATGTTTATAATAAAATTAATTAAAAGTAACTAATATTAAACAATTAAAACTAAAAATACATAAATAAATAAATAAATAAATATATTATTTTAAGCTATTATCAGTATATAATTCATTCATTATATAGTTTGTAGTTTCTCTATCTTTACTCACATTAAATAATCTCTTTTAACATCACTTAATTGATTCATTTTTGATATAAAATCCCATTTATATTAAATATTAACTATTTATCATTTAAGTGTAACCAATATTAAAGAACTAAATAAAAATAAATTACTTTAAAGTATTATTAGTGTTTTAATTAAGAAAGTATATAAAATATAATTTATCTAACTTAACCTTCTTAAATATCAATTTTTGATTTTAGATACACAATCTTTTCTCTTAAGATTTTTACTATTTATCTCTCACAATAATTTAGTAAATATAAAATATTTTCTAATGGTTTTCAATAAAATTTATAATAGCTAAATGCCACTTTTATGAATTATATTGACAATTTACTTCAAATTTATATCAAAGTAAAAATTAAACCTTATAAACTAATTTTAAAATAAGAAAGATTGAATAAAAAAAGTATTTATTTATATAAACTAAATAAATTAAAATTAGCTATTTTTAATAGTATGTTTTTATTTCACTTAAAATTATTTTTTATAGCTTTTAATATTAATGAAAATACTAATAATTAGTGATTTTCTCTAGATTAAATAATAAAATAATTTTATAAATTAGTAACTAAATAAGATATCATTACAATTAAAGAAATAGATTAAAGTTAATTTCTTGTTTAATTTTTTGCCTTTAATTATTTAATTTAAATTTATTAAGAATAAGATTTCAAAATATTTATAACTGATTGATCTCACATACTATTTTATAAATATTTTAAATATGAAATGAGTTTTATTTAGTTATTTTGAAATAAAAAATTAGCTTATATCTTAAATACTTTTTAGTTGCTCATTTCATGTCTTAAGAAATTAATTTTAGTGTTTTTTGTAAGTAAACATAATTATGTTGAATATGGTGGTAATATTCATAATTTTGATCATAAGCTTATCTTAAAAGATATGGATCAACTTTTATACTGCCTTAAATTTATTTACTATTGATTGATACAATTAAATACAAAAAATAATGCTGTTTATATTCAATTTATAATTTTTTTGGCAAGCAATCAAGGAATCTAATTATTTTTTATATTAAATTAGTCATCAGCAAATTTTTGCAGAAATTTTATATCAAATATAAAAGAAAAAATAGTCTACACGAAACTTTATATTATTAAAAGTATTGATAGTTATTCATGAATATAAATATAACTTTAGTTTGTTTAGCTATCTTATTTATCATCAAAAAGGCTTTTTGTTAGCCTTGTGATTTCATAGGAGAAACAGCTATGAAAAAGATTAAACTCACTGAGATATATCAACAATTCTAAGCTAATTAATGCAAATTATTAACAATAAATAATGTTTAAATCGATTGCAGTGATATAGATACAACAAAATTAATGTTTACTTTTAAGATCAACGATTTAGAGTTAACTAAGTCTGTGTTTTCATGTGATAATATAGAAGTTTAAGCTAAAAATGCTATTATAAATGATAGCTTTTTAGGAAGAGACAAAATTGGGAGATGCTGTTCATTTTTAGATCAATACAATTTTTATTTATAAGCAAGCGAAACTATTACCTTAAAAGGAATGGTAAGGCACTAAAAAGGAAAATATGGAATGCTTATTTTTAATGCCGATAAAGAAATCAAGCTAACTGATGCCACAGTAATAGCTGGAAATATAGCTATTCACTCTCTTTCAGATATTTCAATTAAAAACTCAGAAGTTTCATCATAATTTATTTTTTGTCATGAGAGTCTTCAAAATTAGTATAGCATATAGAATTAATATGCTCCTGAGAAATTCATGCAAATTCAATATGTTTAATAAGGAGATGTAAAAGTAGCTCAATATGAAATAGTAAAAATTCAAGATATTTTAAAAGATAACAAAAATAAATTTGATTTTACTACAGACTATGATTTCCTCTATGATGCTCTTAAATACTAATATTCTATTCTAATTTATTCCTAAGGTATTATAACAGTATCTGATAATTCTAATTTTGATGGTTCAAGAATGGCTTTCTTTTCTTCTGTCTATGTGATAAGCAAGGATTCTTTACTTAACTCTACTGCATAAGGTTGTCCTGCAGACTATGGTCTTGGGAAAGGATTATACTTTGATACTGTAGAAAATTGTGCACCAAATGGTGCCAGCTAAGCAAGTTAAGGAGGAATAGGTTTACCTAAACCAGATAAAAATGGCAATTTTTTATAGCAGGATATTAATTAATGCGTATTTTATAAGTAGCAAACGAGCTTTATACTGCAAAATATTCCTTATTCTTATTCAACTTTCTATGAAGTAAATAAATAAACATTTTTAAAAAACTTATAAGCTAAATAAATAACTAATTATAAACAAAAAAGGGAAGTGGAGGCTCGTTTAGAGATGCAAACAAAAGGTTTTATGGTTTAGGCTAAGAAGGAGCAGGTGGTGGTATGATATTTATTTATACATCAAAAGAAGCTTACATAGATGGATATCTGGAATCTAATGGTGCTTCCTTATAAATATTAAATGGAAGTGGTGGATCTGGTGGAGCGATATTGATTAAAGCTACTAAAATACATGGACAAGGAAAGATATCTGCTTAAGGTGGTGCTTCAGATTAGTATGGTAAGAAAAGTTATCATAATTTTCTTAACTTTAACATTTGGAATATAATTTAATAGGATTAAGTGGTGAGGGAGCAGGTGGAATAATTAATATGTATCAGCTGAATTGGGATATTGATAAAAATATTAACTAATTTAATGGAACTATAAATATAAATTAAGGACAAAGATCCTTTTAATCTTACAACTTGAGTTAATCATAAATAGAGCAAGTATAAGCCAACAAAGGAAGTAAAATAATAATAATAATAATAATTTACTTTTTATTAATTGATTGTTTAATTTGAATAAATAGCATTCATATCATTTATTTGTCCTCCAGGTTATGAACCTTAATAAAATGGATTTTGCAAGGTAAAATTTAATAAGAAAAAGCTAAATTATTTAAAAGTAATTAAAAAATATTTAAATAAATTAAATTAGCCATGTGATGTGGGTTTCTACAAGAGTGGTTTAGTAGGAAAGTGTATTAAGTGTTAAAAGCCTATGCAATTTGATAAAATAGTTGTGCCTACAAAGGATTAATCTAAATTTGAATCTTTAGGGGATTGCTATTAAAATTGCATTGAATTTAATTGTGATCCATTGAGGATTTATGTAAAAAATGTCATCAGTATAAAAATAATTCCTTTCTTTATAGCTTACCTAGCCGTTCTGTGTTTGGGTTATATTTCGAGAAGAATTTTAAGGATGAAACCCAAAAAAATAGATTCAATTCCTATTTAGCATGTGAAGTATGATTACGATGATAGCATTTTTGCTACAGAGTGCAAAGAAAAGGATATATTCTTTTATAGAGATCTTTTGTATCACAAATATCGTCTCCAATTTTATGGAGAAAATAATATCAACAGTCAATGGTACCTCTAACCTTAAATACCAGAAGGAACAGAGTAAATTTTTGACTAAAGAGACTTTGCAGAATTTGCATAGGTAAGTTAAATAAAACTGAAATTGAAATATTAAAACCAAATAAATATAAAAAAAAGAAAGTTAACTAGACTCTCAAGTGGAAAAAAATTGATATTATCATTCTGAATATTTTAAATTATCTTTATTATCCTCTTTATTGGTTTTACCTCACCAAAGTTTAAAAGAAAATTTACAAAAAAATCAAAGACAAAATACACGACGAGCCTTATCCAGTATCATTCTTTATCTATTAATAAAATAAATTAAACTGATTAAATTAAAAATATAAATTTTATATTTTATTTAATGATTTTTTTTAAGAAATTTTTAAAAGGCTCTGATGCTGTGCAACAGAAATACATAAGAATGAAAATAACCAAAAGTGATGACTACTCTATACTTTCTTTAGATTTATTCAATTATAGTAAAAGAAACTAAAAATATTTTAAGAAGACTATTCCAACGATTATTCATTTCAGTATTATAATTTATTTTTTGTATTAAATTTGATAATAAAGATTTTACTTAAATTATAGGTGGAGAAGGAAGTTACTTGAAGCCATATTACATTTGGCCTAGAGACCACTTTTTGCAGAGTGTTTTCTACTCGACCAATAGCAGAACTTTAAAGAATAAAGGAAATCCAAACAATGTCAACGTTTTTTGCAGCAACTATAAATATCATAGAGAAAATAGTCAGACTTTTGAGAAGTTTATTTAAGAACTTAATAAGATATCAAGTACTATTGATTTTTACTCAGACAAGAGCTATTTGTTTAAGTGCTTCTAAGAACTCATACAACACTGTAGATAATTTAATGAGGATTTCTTGTATTAGCTTGATCTTAAGTTACAAATTCTGATTATGGAAATACCATTTAACGATTATATAGACGTTGAAACTCGATAACTAACTAATTAGCTTCAAAACTTCTAAGAATCATATAAATAAAGAATTACTCTAGTTGAGGATGAAAATTCATTGTCATTTTAAAAAACTATTGAGCGTATCCAAATTTAAAAAATGATTCAAAGTCCAATTGACATGAAGGTGTCTCTTTTTATATTTAGTACATCAGAAGATATTGAAGAACTTAAAATTAATTTGATTCCCGAATTGGAAATAGAACAAGAAGCTTTTCAATCAAAAATATAGTAGTATAACTCTACTCATACAGTCAATCCTTTCAATTCTATTGACTATCAGTCTACAAAACATTCTAAGATAGAATAATAAGCTAATCTATAAGACTAAAAAGACGAATTCAGAGAAAGTAGAGTTAATAAGCAATCCATAACTGAGTTTATGTAACTTTTTAAATTAATAATTTCAAATTTAATAAAATTTTAACTTAAATAAATTAGGTAAAATATAATCGACAAATAAAATAATAATTAAACTAACGACTAAGATAAAAAAGACATGAAGAAAATATATAAGAAACTTGAAAAAAAATAAAAGACTTTTTCTAAAATAATTATTTAAATTGGTATATTAATGGGATTCTTAAGATTCCTATTCTTATCTCATAGAAATACAAAAACAGAGAAAGAAATGCTCATTTACGTTCTGACTGTTTTTATTATTTTAGATATTTTTTCAATGACTTTCTTCTTTAATAATATTTATTATGCTAAAGTTGAAAATTTCTAATTTTTCGATTTTATTCTTGTCTTCATACCATTCCCTTTCGTGCTCATTATCACACCATTTATTGGATTATTTTTGGTAAATCTTTTAATTAAAATATGAATTTATTAATAATTATTATTTATGAAATAAGCTAACAAATTAATCATACGGTATGGGGAAGGCATATTTTATTTTTAACTTCATGGCTTTGATAGTTATATTGATCAGTCTATTCTTATCTTTGATATATATCCCATATGAGGGTTTTAATTTACCTATTTTCTTTATCAAGATGAGCAACATCGTCATTAAGTTATTAATAAGTTATTGTGGAAATTACTCCCTCCTTGCTTTGGACAAGCTAAATAGAACTACTATGTATAAAAAGTGACAAAAGATAAATAAATATTTAGTTAAATTAAAATTTATAATACCAAATTAACAAATTTAATATTTATTTTTAAGTATTCTATAATATAAAAAATAAATTTTATATGAAATTATTTTATATACTTTGTAATAAATCGATTTTTAAACATAAATAAATTATTTCATTAATTTTTTTTTATATAAATTATTTATTTTGCATTAAATTTTTATTGAATTTTTTTCTTTTTAGTTGAAGACATTGATGATGTGTTTAAGCATACTAATAAATAGTAGGAAAATAAAAAAAATAATTTCAAAAATCATTATGATTTCATTTATTTAATTCTATTTTAAGAAAAACCTTAAAAATTTATTTTTTAAGATACTTACTTACTCAACTTAAAATTAACAAATAATAAAATAATTCAATTTTTTGAATATACAAAAATATTATTTTAAAAAGTTAAATTATTATAAAAATTAATTAAAATCAAAATAGTATATATCATAGGTCTTCAATTTCAAGTTCTTGAATAAAAGCAAATTAATGAATACCGTTTTCGAAGTTTTTATATTCTGCTTAAATTAAATGATAAAGCTCATTTTCTTTACAAATCTTAATTTAGTATTCTTCTTCTAATTTTCTATTAGATATGTATGAAGTTCCTAGTTGCTATTCTATTTCATGGTTTTGGAATATTGTTAAATAAAATAATCCTTCTTTTTTATTAAAACTATGGCTAAATTTTGCTGAATTAGGAATTTATACTAAAAGGAATAACTTATTGTTTTATTCATTTGAAACTATTGAATATTGGCATTAATTTTAAATAATTCCAAAATTCATTTATAAATATTTAACTTTTTCTATATGGTATTGCTTTTTAAGTTGTATGATTTAGTTTTATTGATCATACTCAATAAAATCCTACTTTTTTAAATCTTAGTTTGATTCATTGCTCTTTAATGTCAAATAACTTTAAATATTTATATTTAAGTATTCCTTAAATTATTAAATTACATCAAAATTAATTTGCTATTTACAATGTGCAATTTCTTATCTTAAGTAATCTATTGCAAATTTGTTATACTCGTCTCCTGCTTAGCTTTTTTCATGTGCAATAAATAAGTGGTTAATATTTTGGTTGATATTGTCTATGAAAATTGAATTTTATTTGTACTGGGGTTGCACGAAAGTAAAAACTTGCTATTATCTTAGAGGAAATATATTTTTGATTTCTTATATGTATTATTCAACTTATTAAGGTTTATTTATGTGCTTTAAATTATGTACTACAAATATCTTTTTCTATAGTTTTGTCTATGAAGTATCTTATCCAAAAGAGTTGGAAATCGAATAGATATAATCCTATGTTTCTTAATTTATATTAGAAACAACTAATATAAGTATTTAAGAGTATTTAATGATAAATCCTTATTAGATTAGTTCTGTAATTTTCTAGAATTTATTATTTGAAATTATTTCATTTTAGATGCTCTCCATTTCTTTGGAAAAGTCTTTCCCTTAGTTTTTTTTTTCTTTGTAATTAATATAGCTAGGATTATTTTCATAGTCAATTAAAACAGGCTAATAGTTATGGTTAATATAAATAAGATTTCTATCATTATTGCATTAGTATTTAATTGAAATTCCTTGGCTTCTTTAATAATCGAATGCAACAAGAGATTTTTGGTGAATAAGATAATTAAGTAAGAATGTTTTTCCTTTATTTGTTTTTCCTAAAAAGCCAATGATATTTAAATTTTTATTTTAAAATTATTTACTATTTTGAATAACAGAAATTACTTTTTAATTGGTATTCTTTGATTTTATATTTTAAGCAACCTAGCTAGACTATGGCTAATTATTTTCAAGGTCTAAAATAGATTATATTTTAATTTCTAAATCATATTTTTAGATAGAAAAAAAGTCACTATTAGTGCAATTTTAGTTTTCTTAATTTGCTTAAAGTTTTTATTCATTCTCAAAAATTTATAATTTCAATTTACTTTATTAAGCTTCAAGTTATTCAATTTACTATTTTTATACATTATTTTATTTTTCAAGTTTTTAGCATTCATTTTGTAATTATATTGTTTTTTCATTACTTTGCTAATAATTAATATTTAAATCTTTGTACTATTACTCAAGTAATTATTACTATTTTTCAAGCTAACTTTATATTTAGAATTTTTATTAATCCAGTTCTTAATATTTATTTTGAAGTTATTAATATCTTTCATTAATTTGTTGATGTTGAATTTTCAAATCTTTGTATTATATCTCCATATTTTTATATTATTCTTCATTAATGCTAAACTGCTTTTTAATGATGTTTTATTTTTCTAGTTCTTAACACTTTTTTTCAAGCTAAATAATTTTATCGTTACTTTAATTATTCTAAATTTGTTAATCTTAATTTTATTTATTCAGACTTTTTAATTATTTATTGTAACTTAATTACTCTTATTCTTACTATTTTTCTAGTTCTTTATATTTTTTTTCAACTTAATAAATTATATCATTCCTTTTGTGATATTAAATTTTTAAATCTTTATATAACATTTCTAAATTTTGATATTCATCATTTTAACTTTATTAAAGCTTAATATTTTATTTTTCTAGTTCTTAACAAGAGTTTTAAAGTTAAATAATTTTTTATTCACATTGTTTTTTTTAATCCGTTAAATCTATGAATTTTCTATTTAGATTTTGAAATTCATTTTTGTAACTTAATTACTCTTAAATTTTCTATTTTTCTAGTTCTTAATTTTTGATTTAAAGTTAAATAATTTGATCATTACTTCGTTAAGATTATAAATATAAATTATTGTATTCTTTTTCCATGATTTATAATTATTTATTATTTTCAATATTTTCTTTTTCTAGTTCTTAACAATTATTTTAAAGTAAATTAGTAATAATTTGTTTTTAATACTCAATTTTTAAATTTTCTAATTATTTCTCCATATTTTAGTATTTAATATGTAGAAGTCTATGATTAATAATATCACTGCTATGTTTTTTTTAAATCTACAAAATTTAAGATTTAAGATCATCATTTATATTTTTAAGTTCTTAGTTTTAGTATAAGATGTTTTAATAATTTGTTTCAAATTATAATTTATCATCCTTTATTTTTGTATTTGAAATTAACATTTATTCTTTTTAATTATTTTCTTCAATCTTTTTTTTAATTTCGATTTCTTCATCCTTAATTGATAGTTTATCATTCTTTAGATCATTTTGTCTGCTTTATTATTAATTATTATTTTATTATTTTTTTTAAATAATTTGTTATTATTTTTAATATTAGCTCTTATCATTAGTCTATTTATTAGTTTATGCATTGTTTTATCTTTGATTATTACAACTTTTTTTACTGTTTTTTTGTTTATCATAAGAATTTTAGTATTTATTTTCTTTTTAAACATTTTAAGTATTCTATGCTAATTTATTTTACACTTAATTTTGTTATTTATCTAATGTGTCAATTTATTTTTTTTTTTAGGAAATGTTGGGGTTTTTATTTTAAACCTCTTTGTTTTATTTCATTTAAATGCTATTTATTTATCTTAAATCTTGTAATTTATTTATTATATTTGATTATTGTTTTTTTTCTTGAATATGAAAGAATAACGAAATATTAGAATATTTATCAATTAAATAAGAACTAAATGCTATCAAATATAAAATAGATCTTAAATTAAAAAAATTTAATTATTATTATTCTCTTTACTTATTTTAGCTTTAAAATTAAAACTGATATTAAATAATTTAACAAATAAAATATGCTATTTTTAAAAAATAAATTTCATCATTATTAACTTTACTTTTATATAAACAATAGACAAATATTTAAAATAATAGTATTTTGCTTTCACAAAGCAAAAATAATTGAAAATATTTCAAAAATTTAGTATTTGCTATATAAAAATAAATGGATTATTAGATATTATTTTTTTTGATAAAAAGTATTAGAGTATTAAAGAGAAAGGAAATACTCTAAATAAAAACCAAAAGGTATTTGAATATTAGAGATGAGAAAAGTATATTTTAAATTAAAAACTCTTTTATTTTTTTATTATTTTATTTCTAATATCTAGTAAGCCTGAAATTAAAGTAATAGATTAGAGAGATTGTAAAAATTAACAAAAATCTAAAGATACTTGAATATTAGAGATGAGAAAAGTATATTTTAAATTAAAAACTCTTTTATTTTTTTATTATTTTATTTCTAATATCTAGTAAGCCTGAAATTAAAGTAATAGATTAGAGAGATTGTAAAAACTAACAAAAGTCTAAAGTTACTTGAATATTAGAGATGATAAAAGTATATTTTTAATTAAAAACTCTTTTATTTTTTTATTATTTTATTTCAAATATCTAATAAGCCTGAAATTAAAGTAATAGATATAGATTAGAGAGATTGTAAAAATTAACAAAAGTCTAAAGGTACTTGAATATTCGAGATGATAAAAGTATATTTTAAATTAAAAACTCTTTTATTTTTTTTATTATTTTATTTCAAATATCTAATAAGCCTGAAATTAAAATAACAGATAAGAGAGATTCTTTTTTACAAAATCAGTAAATTGTAAAAAACTATTTTTTACTTATAAAATATATATTTATTTATTACTTACTATAAATCCTTAACTTAATTGTGAAAATATTACAGGGGAATAACTTTGACTTCTGACTATCATAAAGGATATAATTGGAAATTTATCTTTAATAGCTATTTAGTACATATCTTAGAGGAAATACAGTATCAATAAAACACTTTTATTTTTTAAATTAATAAGATTGGTTATTTTTCAAACTAATCGGAAATTTAAATAAATTAAGCGCTCTTGATTAACAATTTTCTTTTATAAGTATAACTAATTATTTTTATTATTGGTGATTACATCATATATATGTCTTTAATAGTAATAATTTTCTATTTATTTGTCATGCTAAAGTATATTTGAAATACTCACAGCTTTAAGAAAAACACATAATCAGTAAGAGCTATGCATCTAAAAGCAAAATTAAGTATATTTATCATTTTATCATAAGTTAATAAATAAAGTAAATCTAACAAAAATACTTCTTGAATTTACAGTTATTAACCATATAAAACCTACCCCATAGTAAAATAATTAATTTAATTTATTTTTATTATAATTAATCAAATTAAAGCTTTAAATAACTTGAATGGGGATCATTGTATGAATCAGTAAAAATTTGATGAAATTATAAATAATCATTAGATGTGATATTAGCTATCACTATCTTAATATTTTAAAGTTTGAATGTAAATTAAGTCATATTTCCAATATTAATTTTTTTAAATATTCTAATAATTGCTCGTCATTAAAGATAAATTATTTAAATTTGATTTTTATAATAAGATAAATAATAAAAAACTGCTTAAAAAAGGTATTCTTTTAATAATAACTGAGCCATAACAATAAATTTTCTAAATTCAGATGAATTACTACTCATAAACAAGTTAATCAAATAGATATATAAATACAAGCACTTCAAAAAGAGAATAAATTTATGGAAATTATTGTGGTATTTAGAAATTTACTTAAGAATAAAACCAAAAAAGTAACTTTAATAATAATCGTTTTAACAATTATAATGAATAACTCTAATAATAACCATACAGATAAATTATTAGTTAAAATTAAAAAAATGAAATCAATAGCAATATTAACGTAAAGCAAATCAAATTGATTGAGGATACGGATAAATAATAATAATAGAGTTAGGCTTCTAAAATAAACTAATTAGAAGAAAAAATTAAATCATTACAAACATAATATTCCTCTTAGATATCATAAAAAGACGAATAACTTAATAAAGTTAATCAATAATTAAGTTAATAAAAGGAAAATTTTAAAAATCTAAAATCTCAATATGATGATCTAGTAAGTGATAACAATAAACAAACTGAATTGCTAAATAAGTAAATGAATGAATCTTAAAAATAGTAAAAAGATTAAATTTAATAATTAGAATAATAAAATTAAAATCTACAATAATAAATTTATAATTAATAATTCCTACAAGAATAATATATCAACAAAAATACTAACCAAGAAAAAAAAATTTAAGATATGGAAAAATAATAAATGAATTAATATTAGAAATAAAAGGAATTAGAATCAAAAATTTAAAAATAACAATAAGAATTAACCGCTATTATGTCTTAGAAATAAAATAAATTCGAAGCAGCTGAAAATGAAATAAACAAATAAAATGTAAAAATTTAAGAACTATAATTGCAAAATGAAAGTTTAGAACGTAAAATTAAAGAATTCTAAAAATAATAATAAGAGTTAACTTAACAAATAAAAGAAAAAGAAAATAAAATATCTTAACTAATTAATTAATAAAATGGCATACAACACTAAAATATAGACTTAAAAGAAAAAAATGAAAAACTTATGGAGTACAAGGTGGAGATTGATTTATAAAATAAATATGTACCTCATAAAGATATTTATCAATCTGGCTACGATATGATTATTCATATGAATTCTATTTTAGATCTTCAAAACAAAGAATTAGATGCTTAAAATCAAATCTAAAACAATTCAAACATTAAGTATGAATCAGTCTCTGTATAGAGCATTAATGATAACAATTAGTTTGAGAATAATCTCATTATTGTAGGTATGTAGGGCTAAAGAAATCAAGGCAAAACGTTTTTACTCAATTCTCTTATAAATGAAAATTTCCCCTCAGAATTCAATGTTAATACTCCTGGAATTTGTTTGAAATATCACAGCTTCAAAGGTAAAAATATCATATATGTTGATTCTGAAGGAATTAATGGTCCTGCCTAAATTGATTATGAAAATAATTTAAGTTATTAGAACTTTATAAAGAGTTAAGAGAATAATGAATAAGATGATAAGAATCTTTAATAAATTAATAAATATGTAATAAATAAGCATTAGTACAAAAAAATAACAGAGTAAATGTAATAAGAATTTGTCACTTCTAGTTCTCATATTTTGATCATAGTACTTACAAATATTACATAAGAAGATGTGAATCTTATTCACTCTATCTAATCTTATTTGAGAAAAGAAAAAAATTCTGCCTAAAAAAAGATTTTTGTTATGCACAACATGAAAGATTTCCGCAGTGAGAAATGTGTAGAAGAATATATTTAAAAGCTAAAAACCTTATTTCCACTTAGATAATAATAGATTATAACATTTGAAACAACAAAATACAAGTTCAATTCAGTTTTTATAGATACCATCTACAAAAATGTTAATCACTTATTTATGGCTTACTAAAAAAGCTAAGCTGGAGATATTTATAATAAATTTGCATTGGATTATTTAAAAGAGTAAATAGCACAGTATAATAGTTCAATAAAGTTCAATGTGGTAGACAAATTCAAAGATTACCTTAATAAAAACATATAAAACTATTTAATTCTTGAAACTGATGAGCAAAAAACATTTAAAAAAAATGATATTGAGTTTTTAGAATTCAATTAAGAATAGAAAATTATTTAACTCAAGGCAAATTATAAAATAGTTGGGCCAAGAGAATCCCAGATGGATATTTTTGGGTTTATGTAAAAGGAATTTTCCTATTAAATTATCAAAAATGAAAGGAAGTTGTACCTTTTAGTAGATATACCCGGCCATGTTGATATTACTAGAATATTTACGAAATCAGAGAGATCACTTACTTTAAAAATAAAACCAAAAGAACAGGAAGAGTAAATATAAGGATAAACAATTATATCTACTAGAAAAAAGTGTGATGAAATTATTCAAAATTTCAAAATTTGGGGAAAAGATAAACTATTCAACTTGTCAAAAAATGAATGCAAAGATTTAAAAAATGGAACTTATTTATTTGTATTTATTGAAGAAGAGAATGGTGAAGAAGAAGATTGATAATAAAATTTGTATTAATTAGTGAGTTGAATGTTGTATTAAAGTATAAATATTTTTTGAATGATATACCATTATTAGTTATTTATTGATTGCTTTTTTTCATCTTCAATTTTTTAGACTCAATTCAATATTAATATTTTTCTGAAATTTAAAATACCCTTTTTGATAAATAATTTTATTTAAAAGTACATTAAATTTTTAAACGCATTTATATGAAATGTAATAAGAAAATACCTATTTGAAAGGTGGAATGATAAAAATTGCAAATAAAAATTTTATTGAAAGCAACTTATCAAATTTAAATCTTACTTTCGATGCTATCTATTTTTAACTATGATCATACGATATTACCTAATCTTAAATGATAATATCTCAAAAATAAAAACCTACCCTATCAATGATTTTATTAAAATATTCAATAAATTAAAAGTAATATATTTAAAAATGACGCATTATTAAAGTTTAAAATATTAAAAGATTTAATTATAATTTGCTTTAATATCTTAAAAAATAAAAGTGTTTTAAAATTACATACAAATTAATAAATATTCTAATATCAATCTTTCTATTATATTTTTATTTACCACAATTTATTGGTTTTATCCCAAACATATAAGTAATATTATAAATTAATTTAAACTTAAAAATCTTTTAATAAGTTAAACTATAGATTGGTTAAATGGAATAAGATAACTAACAAAATAATCAACAATAAAATGAAAATGGAATAAACCATTGCTTATAAGACACAATTTCGTAATTTCGCGAGACTTTGAAATACAGTAAGGACTAGTTGAATAAGTTGAAAATGGAGCAAAAGGATTTAGAAAACTTCAATAAAATTTTTGGTGAACTCGAAAATTAATCGAAGCGTTTGGATGAATAACTAAAACTCCTTCACAAAATTCTCCAAGATATTGAAAAAAATAATAAATATATTCCTGAACCAGAGTTCGATTAATATGGCTATGATATGATTATTAAAATGAAATCAGTTTTTGATTTGCAAAATAATACAAATAACAATTTAGAAATCAAACATAAATAATCTAAAGAAGAAAGGTAAATCTAGAAAGGATTATAAATAAAATATAGCAATGATAAACATAAATAATTCAACAAAGAATAAACAATAGTTGGTATGCAAGGTTAAAGGAATAAAGGTAAAACTTTTATTTTAAATTCTTTAACAAATGATGAATTTCCTTCAGATTACAATGTGAGTACTCCTGGAATATGTTTGAAGTTTCATGATTATGAGCATAAACATGTGATTTATATAGACTCAGAAGGTCTGAGTTGTCCTATTGAAATTGATTATGATAATAATGAAAACTACAAAAAACTTAAAGAAAAATTAGATTACAATGGAGTATTAGATTAAGAAATCTATAAATAATTGCAAAATGATATTACTAATAAGCACCTTGACCAAAAAGTTACAGAATAGTTATAACAAGATTTCATTATATAATCATCTCATATTCTTTTGATAGTAGTTTCTAATCTTACTCAGGATGACTAAAAGTTAATTCATACTATTTCATAATTATTAGCTGGAGAAGGGAAAAAAAAAGAAGTTTATATTGTTCATAACTTAAAAGAGACTCACACAGTAAATAATATATAAAATTACATTGAAAAACTTTAATTACTTTATCCTCTTCGTGAATAGCGGATTAATACTTATGAGGCTGAGAATTAAAATAACACAGTGTATATTGATTGTATAAACTAGGATTTTAATCATTTAATAATGGCTTACTCTAACAGCTAAGCTGGAAGCTATTATAATTAATTTACTTTGCATTATTTATAGTAAAGAATTGCTATGTGCTAAGATGTAACAAATTTTAATACTGTTAATAAGCTATAAGACTATTTTAATCAAAATCTATAAAACTTTGTTTTTTTGAAAAAAGCAAACGGCTAAGAATTATTAGAAAAAGAAAAATCTTTCTTAGAATATGACGAAAATAATTAAGCAATAGTCCTTTAGAAGTAGTATTCAATAGAAAAAGTTAAGGAGCTTTCTGTCAATGTATTTGGATTTTTACAAAAAGATTGCCTTTATTCAATTTATAATGTCAATGACAGTCGTATACTTATCGTAGAAATCCCAGGTTCATTAAAAAATATTAAGTTCAATTTTAGAAAGTTAATAGGTATATTTAAGATTAGTATATACCCAGATGAATAATTCGAAAAACAATATGGAATTCCATATGCTTCTACAAGAAAAATTGAAGAAAAAATATGGAATATACGTATTTGTAATGAAGGAGAACTATGGATTTTCTAGAAAGAATAAACAGTAGATTTAAAAAATGGCTTACATAAATTTATATTCATTAAAGATGAGGATGAATAGGAATTCTGAACTAACCAAATAATCCTTTTCACAAAATATTAATAACATTATATAATAATTAGTTTATAAGAATATATGCAAATAGAATTACATAATCTAAAAATTTTTTAAAATATTTTGTATTTTTAATTATTAATTGTATATTGAGTAACATGATTAAATTATTTTTACATACTCAATAATTGAAACAATAAATAAATATGTGTGGCTGAATATGCAATTTCTATGTGACAAAAGTGACAAAAGAGTAACTCTTGTGAAAAATTATATTTATATTTATCTTAAGTTATTTATTTGTCAATTTTTCAATTTATTTTAATACAGTTTTTCTATTTACACACTTTCAAAAGGAAAAGATTTGATACTTGCTTTAATTGATTTCCTCTTTATTTGGTATACTAAAATCCCGTGTATTTTTTACAAGCCCAACTATTTAATGCTCAATTAATAATAAATAAAGATATATAAATATTTAATTGATTTAAAAATATTCTGGAATTGTTCTATTAATCAAAAAAATAAAAAAGAGAGCTTGGCTTTTTTTTTTTCGATTGATCAAAATTAAAAATTTTGAGATTAATACTCCCTATTTTTTTATAAATTATTAAATCAAAAAGGAATTAAACCCTCTTCAATTTGCATTTTTAAGATAGAAGTGTTAAGACTAATATCACTAGGTTTCTATTAATTAATCTAATAAATACAGTGTCAATGGCTAATTTTTATAATTTAATTTATTAAAACTGATCATAAAGGATGATCAAATAAATTTTTTCTCTCTCTTTTTTCAGATAAAAAATGGAAAGATATACGTACTCAAATAAATGTCTGTTAAAAAAAGCTAATTGATTGCTAATCCTAAAATATATTTTTTAAAGTATATTTAATTTCAATAAATTTTATTATTATTTTTTTTTAAATAATAATTTTAATTTAAATAAAAACTTTAAAAATATCTTATTATAGAATTAAATTAATCATTCATAAATATTATGCATCTTTTTTTTTATTTTTTATAGTAAAGAAAGTCTTTTTATTTTAAAACTAGTTGAAGATATCTAATAGCATTTGATAGCCTAATATATGAAATTAAATAATTAAACTTTAAGAGTAAATAAATAGTTAAGATAGAATGACTTTTGAGTAGATTATAGGTATATTAAAGATTTAGCTAGAAAAATCTGTATCAAATATCTTTCAAGAGTTTCAGAGTCATAAAATAATTAAACTATTTCTTACCATGTTAATTATTAAATCATATAGTTTCAAGGAGGTAGAAGTTCTTTTTAAAACAAACTTTTAAAGAATGAATTTTATTTTACTAAAGTAAAGAAGAAGTTTAGCAAACTCAATTAGTCTTTTAAAGTTTGGTATTATCAATATTTAGACAAATGTAGCAATAAACCAATAAATTTTATAGTGGTTTGGAATCGATTAAAATTTTGATTAGCACATTTTAAAGAATAAATACGATATAAATTGAAAAAATAATAGTATAACTCTTGAGTAAGTTTGCGTATAAAGATTTTTATTCCACTTTATTCATGTGCTAACATGTTATTTCTTTTTATGTATTTTCAATTTGATTTATATTTACAAAAAGAATCAACTTTATTACTGAAATATTTGCATATTTGAATATATATATATGCCTTATAATGTATTGAACTTAGGTTTATTTTAACTGTCTATATTTTGAAAGCAAAGAATATATTTAAAAACAGTCTAATTTTTTTAGGAATCATTTAAAAAAATGTGAGAAAAAAAGTTAAGATAAAAAGGTAATCAATAAGAAAATTTTAAGTAAAAAAATAATTAAAGTAAAATGAAATATTATTTTATTAAATTTAATAGAATATTCATTGAAATAATTAATTAAAAAATTTTTTAATTTGTAGATTTAAAATATAGAGAACTACAGTAGCTCTTATTTATAATATTTCATTTTATCAATTTTAAATTCTAAATATAGAAAAAATATATTAACTGTAAATTTCTGAACTAAAATAAAGAGTATATGACTGATAAATTAATTATAAAATAAATAAAGTATTAAATTAAATTATAAAATTTAACAAATTAGATTATATATCATTTCTCAATTTCCAATACAATCTTAATTATTTTTTAGTATAAAATAAAAAGTTTTAGTATGAAAATTCAATTTAAAATTAAGCATAAATCAAATATAAACTCTTCTAAGATATCTTAAATAAATAATTATATCAATTATTCTCATTTTCGCTATCAACTACTTCTTTATCAAATACAAACTGATGAATACCATTTCTAAAATTTTAGTATTCATTCTAATTATGTTTGTAAAGTTCGTTTTCTGAACATATTTTAATTATGTATTCTTCTTTTTGTTTCCTATTTGAGATATAGCATTATCCAAGCTACTCTTCTAAATCATAGTTTTATGTAGTTTTAATAATAAATAATCCATCTTTTTTTCTAAACTCCTACTCAAAACTTGCTGAATTTGGAATTTCTACCAAAAGATAAAGCTTATTCTATTCTTTATTTTAAACGATTGAGTAAGAACACTAATTTTTAAAAGTACTGAAATTCGTTTAAAGATATTTAATTTTTTCAATACTAAAGCCTTTCTTGAGTCGGATAACTTGTTACTGCTCATCATATTCTATAAATTCTTTCTGTAATTAATGCATGCTTTATTCTTCATCTTACTTTAATGTCAAATAGGTTTTTATATTTTGATTTAGATAATCTTTAAATTTTTATACTGGATTAAATCTAATTTAAGAAGTACAAAATACTATTACTTGTTTCAAATATTTGATTGTAAATTTGTTATATTCTTCTCCAGCTTCACTTATTTGATGTGCCATAATTAAATGATTAACATTTTAATTTATTATATCAATAAATATGGTATTTTACTTGTATTCTGGCTACTTAAAAGTATTAATTGATTATTCCCGAATTGGAAATATTTTTTTCAATTGCTGTATGTAATTATAGACATTTTATGATAAATGTGAGTTTTTCAAATTATGAATTACAAAAATTCTTTTTTATCTATAAGCTTCATTTTAATCAAAAGTATTAGACATTTTATTAATGAAATTAACATCTTCTTAAGTAAGATTGGAAATGACAATAATTAAGATTTAAGAATATTAAATGATAAAACCTTATTAGAGTTATTCTGTTACTTATTAAAATTGATTGATTGTATTTACATCATTTTATATTTTCTACAAATCTCTGTAACTTTCTTTTCCTTAATTCCTTTTTTCAATAAATTTAACGTAATCATGAGAACTTTCATAATTTATTTAGTTAGGTTTGTTTGTACCTTAAGAATCAATATAAATAACACTTTTACCATTACTTAAATCATATTTCATAGAAATCCCTTGAGTACCTTCATTTATATCAGCTGATTAATTTTCACAAAAAAGATAGTTCATGATAAAAGTTTTACCTTTATTGGTTTATCCTAAAAAACCAACTATAGTTAAATTTTAATTAAATAAATTCTACTCTCTTAAATTTATATTCACTAAGCTTTAATTTTGAATGAAATTTCTTCCTTATTAATTTTCAATTTTAATATTTTGATTACTAATACAGTTTTCAAGATCTAGAACTGATCGCATATTAATTTCAATGTCATATTTCATATGAGGAATGCAATAATCAAGGTTATTATTGTCTTTATCTTAAAATTATATTTTCTTTTATGATACTTTTTAAATATCATATAATAATATTTTATGTTATGCTTCTTATAATTAAGTTTTTAAAGAGCTTTATTAGTTTATAAGCTCTTGATTTTAAGCTTAAAGTTGAAGATTTTTATTTTGAATTTACTTTTATTGAGTTTCTAATTTTTTTTCTTCTTCTTATTCTTACTAAAATTTATTTTCCAACTCATTAATCAATTATTTTTATTATTGATTTTGTAATATGGAGGCCTTTAATTCATTTTAGAGTTTATCGTTCAGAATTTAATATTCTTAATTTATTTTTTATAAATCTTAATTTTCATTTTTAAGTTCTTCATTTTTTTGTTATGCGTCTTAATTTTCCTTTTAAAATTTTTTAATTTCGCTTGCTAAATTATTTTTTTCATTAGCTAATATAGTTTTTTAGTTTTCTTTTTAACTATTAATTTAATCTTGAAGACTTTAAACTGTATTTTAGAGTTCCTCAATTTAGCATCTAGATTATTTATCATTATTAATTAAAACTTAATTTTCTTACTTTATTTGAAAAATATCATTTTTAAGTTTTTGGTTTTCCTCAGTAAGGTTATGTAATTTACTTACATTTTCTTCATTATTATTTATTTAGTTCATATAATTGTCTTTTTCTCTAATTAATTTTTCATATTATTCGTTTTTTTTCTATTCTCTCAAAATTTACTCTTGAAGCACTTCAATTTCACTATTTAAACTATTTATATTATTATCAGCAGCTAATTTAAATTTTTAGAATTCATATTAAATATTAATTAGATTTTCTAAAATATTATTAAGTTCTTATATTTTTTTTTTGAGTTATGAAATATCTTAAATTAAAACTTAATTTTCTTAATTTTTTTGTGAAATATCATACTAAAGTTATTGGTTTGCACTATTAAGGTTTTTTAATTAATTATCTTTATTATTATCAATTGAATAGTATTGATTGTTAACCATAATCTATTAGTTTTCATTTTTTTTTAAAAAGTATTCTAATTTATAATTATTTACTTCTCTTTCTAATTTTAAGTGTTATTCCTAATTATTTTAAGCTAAATTAATTTATTAATATTTATTAAATCTATCATTCAAAGTTTATTATTATTAAATTGGGAAATTTTTCATCAATCTATTTTATCTAATTTCACTACCTAACTCTAAATTTCTATGTTATATTATTTCTATTTCTTTATTTAGTTAGTATTGTTTTAATTATTATTCATTCAAGTTCTAGTATCTTGCATTTTGATTTAGATAATTTAAACACGAATTGTGTGGTTAAATATATGATTTTTATTAATATTAAGAACTAAAAGGTAATTGCTATTAGTCTCTAATATCTTTTTATTGTAGAAAATGATTATAATATGGTTAAGAAGACATATTTATTTTATATTCTTATTTTTTTAATAATTTGAAATCTATTTATTAAATAAATATTACATTAATTTTCCTTTTTAGTTAATTTTTTATATCTAAAAAAATATTTGATATTAAATAAAGTGCAATAATACTTTATATATTTTTTTGATAAAAGATATTAGTTAATATAGGGGTAGGGTAACCCATAAAATGGGCTAAAAAAAGAAAGAAATAATTAAAAGTGAATTTAAATTAAATCAAAAAATTAGAAGGCTCTATTTTGGCGGCTACCCCTCTTCGCGTAAAATAGCATGATATATGTAATAAATATATCTATATATATAATTCAATTTAAATTTATTTTAAATTCAGACTATATTGTAATATGTATTAAAATATAACTTGAATTAAGAGAGTATAGATTTGTAGGTTTTAATAGAAAACTATAGTTAGTAGAAATTGCCTTATCTAATTATAAAATTTAATTTTGCTAGAATATTTAATTAAGATTTTTGATATATTCTAAAGTGAAAAAGTATATTTTCAAGTTGAAAACCCTTTTATTTTTCCAATTTTAATTAAGAAATTTTCTTACTTAACTGTTCTGTAATTCTTTTGAAACTTTAAAATGTTAATACAAAAATAAACTAATGTAAAAAAATAATCAAGATAATTAATCAATCAAATTTTTATGATTAAGATATTATCAACAAATTCATTTAATAATTGAAATAGATTATTTTATTTATTATATTTTAATATAACTTGTTAAAAACTACTTTAATTTTAAATTAAATTTACATTGATAGAAAAACACAACAAATAAAAACAGCAATAATTGTTTTATATGTCTATAATTATAGGAATTATTGATATCTATATTAAAAGGTAACATTTTATCAAATATTAAGAACTTTTATCAAAATGTCAAATAATAATATTTTAAGATTGATAAATTTACTTAATCAGAAGATATTTTTTCAAGTTTTTACATTTTAAAGTATACTTTATAGTTTATAAAGTAATATATTAAATAATGTTTTTCTTCTTTTTTCCAATTAGCCAAAGTGATAAATTTTAGCAAACAAGAAAAAAAATTAAAAACTAAAGCAAAAAAAATTTTTTTTTCATAACAATTAAAACTAAAATTAATATAAAATTCTTGTTTTTATTGTAGATTAGTAAAAAAATCAAGCTAATAATATAGCTATGAAAAGCTATCAAATCATTTCATTAGTATTGTTTATAAGGAGGGTCTTCTAAGTTAAACCAAAAATTAAAATATTGTAATGATTAATTTACCATTATCTAAATTTATAAATAATACATAATAAAATTATAAAAATTATTTGTGGCGAATTAATTAAAAATAAAAAGTTTAAAATTCCTTATCTAAAGATAAAAAAATGAAGTTAGTGAAGTAAATGAAAAGATGAAGATACTTAAGTAGAATAACTCTAAAAAAGAATAAAAACTAAACCCAGTCAACAAATATTAAAAAAAATAAAATGAAAATAAGTAACAAATAATGCAAGAGTAAAAAAGAATAATCAATAAAAATCAAAATATTATTAAAAAATGAAAGAAAATATTAAAAATAAGCTGATAATTTAAATTAAGATTAAAAAAAATGACTTCTTGATTCACAATTATAAATAAAATAAAAGCTAAATGAAAAGACTAATCAAATTATATTCTAGAATAAAATAAAAATGAATATAAAAGTTAATTTTAGCTATTAAATTGATATCTTTTTGATCAATTATAATAAAAAAAATTGGCTAATTAGGTAATATTATTGTAAGTTATCATCTGGTGAGATTAGTTATTTCTAAATACCTTTATTTTTTAATAATTTTTTTGAGGTTTAAAATAATTATAATTGATTTTATTTATTTTTTAATTAATTTTAAATTAATTGAAGACATTCAATTTTTTATTAAATTTTTTTAATTTTATCTTTTTAAAAAATTTTTTGCTTCCTTATAATTGGATTTTATAAACTTTTAAAGTCATTTTATAAAACTACATACTACACAATCTATTAATGTCAAAATCACATAAAATTAGGAAAAGAATTAAAACATTATTTATAATATTTTAATAAAAATATAAATAATGGTGAAGCAAAAATAAATTTTTAAGTTATTATAATACCAGTAAAATAATATTTCTAAATTAAAATTGGTATATTATATTTTAATAAATAAATGATATAACTTTTTAAATTTTTATTTAAAAACAAATATTGTTTAAATATTTATAAAAATTACATTTATATATCATTTTTTTAAAATTAATTTTCTTAAATGTTATTTAAATATATTTTGGTCATTAACCGAGTTTGCATTCAACTTTATTGACTTTAGAAACCTAAGTGAATTATGTGAAATCTGTAGGAGTCATTTCATAAGTTGATAAGCATGGAGTAGTGAAAGCATTCTTTTTTATTTAAGGATTAGGGACTATGGTGAATTTATAGAATTTGAGGCAAGTATTTACAACAAAAATACCACTTTCAGTTGTTTACAACTCAGTACATTCGTCATAATATCTGATATCTTTTAAGTTTGAGGTATTTCTAACTAAAACTAATGTAGAGATAGCAAGAAGGGTAGCTAAGCCAATAGCAGTGATTAATGTAGTTTTCATTTTTTATTTCTTTCTAATAATTAATTTTGATTTTTTGATGATTTATTCTTTATAATTTAAAATAGAGATAAGCAATTTTTAAATAATATTTTTTAATAAAAGATTTCAGATTATAACTAGAGTTTATGAACGAATAATATCAGGGCGACCTTTAACTTGATTAAATTTCTTATGGATAAGAAAAACATTATTAAAAATCTTAATTAATAATGAGAATTAAATTAACTATTCTGATTTGTAAAAGGAATTACTTCTGTTAATAGTATTCCATTCATTTATATCAAATTTGATTCATTTGAAATCTGATAGTTAGTAAGAAAAGCTAAATTTATTGGTTTACCCAGTACTCAAATCACAACAAAAAGGTCATAAAAATTTCGTCATCTAAGAAATTCTAAAAAATAAGCTTAAAAAAAATATTCTTCAATTGTTCTAGAATAGATACTTATATTTTTATTTTGAATCTACATAAATTTAAATAAAATTTGGAAGATAAATGGGAATAGCTTATCCTATATTTTAAAAAGATGGAAAATGGTATATTTAAAGTGTATAAAATTTTAAAGGAAGAAAGTTTATATTTAGTTTGAGTTTTAAAATGAATTTTAAGCTTCTATTTTTCTCTTTTTTTGAAGAAGAGAAAAAAATCTAGAAATTTAAACATGCTAAAATAGAAAATTAATAATAAGTTTTTTAATTTTTGAGTTTATAACTTGGATTTTAAATGATAAAAAATATATTGGTTGTATTTTATAATTCTTAGTTTTCTAAACTCTATTATTAAATATATATTTATTTATTAAAGAGTTTCTTTTAAAATTTTAGTCACCTTTAAATTATATTCGAAAATTAAATTAACTTGTAAAAAAACTAAATTTATTTAACTACTTTTAGCTAATCTAATTTTAATTTAATCAACTAAATAAAACTAATTTAAAATATTATTTTAATCAGATTTTTTGCTACAAAGATAAATAAAATAATTTTATTAAAATGTATTAATTAAATTTAAATAGAATTAAAAATTAATGCTTCTAGTGTCAAATTAGATTAGTGTATAAAAAATTATTTATGTAATTTATTAAAAATATTTATTTAATTATTCTTTTATATATTAATATACTTTAATAAATTGCAAGGTTAAAATTTAAATTATCATTTTATTTTATCTGCTGATTACAAACATTTTCTTTGACAATTTATTAAAAACCCAAATAATAATAATAATAATTAATTTACAGTATATATTTCTTATTTAAATAGTAAAATTATATAAATTGATTTAATCAATTATCATTAGAATATTTATTAAATTATCTATTTTTGGTTAAAAGGTATTTAAATTTTTATGAAAAATCCAAATTAATTTTTAAAAAAATTTTTGAGAGATAAAAATAAATCAAATATCAATATTAAATTTCATACTAATATGCAAATTTACACAAGAAATACCAATAAAATCTATCAGTATTAATTAATTTTTGTTTCAACAGTTATTAATTTGGAGAATCTTTTCATCTTCTAAGTATAACTTAAAGGAGTTAAAAGATGTCTTAAGGATAGCAGGAGTATCTAAGTAGGTGGGAAGATAGACAACTACAAAACCTTCAAACTATTTAAGTTAAATAGTGCTATGGGTTACTTCGAATTCGAAGAAAGTTCTGTAATCTTTACTGACGAAAACCTTAACTTCGTTCAAATTAGGATGGGAAGTAATGAGAGCATCAAATTTGTTGGCCTTCAAATTGTCATAAATTGCTCCATATTTAGCTTCGTTGATCAAAATTTTTCCTGTTTCATCTAATTGGTAAGGTGATTAGGAAGCCATACCAACAAACCAAGGACGGAGAGTTTTTCTATAGTTTTAAACAACTGGCAAGACGTTTTAAAAGTTTGTAAAGATATCCTTAATAGTGCTTTCTTCAAAAATGTCTAAAGTCATTTAGAACATGTAATTAAAGTTGAAGTACCATTGCTTAGCACCAAAAGGAGGGAAGTCCCAATCTTAATCTCCGAGGTTGCTGATAGCATGGACAGCATGGTCAACAATGAATCCTTAGAAGGAAGAATTTTTAAAGAAGGAGAATAATTATTTAGCACTGTAATGGAAAATTTGAGCAATGTTGCAATCAATACTGTTATCCAAATAATTAACATTGTTGAAGAAGCACATTTTGTAAGATTCACCTTCTTCTTCAAAGATACGAGGATGAATCATCTTGTGTTTTCTGCAAGTGAATTAGTCAGAAGAAATCTTGTAAGAAAGCTTCAAGTCATCACTACTAGGTTTGAACTTAATAACATTGCAAGTAGTTCCATCATAGGCATCTGTAAAGTTTTCAAAGAATATCATACCAGGAGCCTTATTAACGGGGAAGATGTCAATTGTGAAATCTTGATAATACAAGCACTTATTATCAGTAAAGTAAGTAAGAGCGAATTGATCTAAATTTTAGAATTCAGTGGTATTCAAGACACTTCTGTTGTAGTTATTTTGATAAGCATGACCAAGCTCTAAGTGAGGATAGTGAGGCATACATCCAATAGTATGGTTATCGTGCTTAGGAAGAAGTTTGCAACTATAGACAGAGTCACTAGCAAGGCAAGAAGCTGAAAGTACAACTAAAAGCAAAATAAGACTTTTATTCATTTTTTTATAAATACTTTTTATGTTTATTTATTGATTAATTTATTATTTATTTATTAAATCCTTTTCTATAAACTGGATTTTTAAATTAAATATATTTGACTTATAATTTAATTTTTAATGATATTTTTAGTCATTAAACATGTCACAGATTGACATTGATTTTTCGAGCAATTAAAATGCTTATTATTTTATCAAATAAAATTAAGATTCGGGGATATGAGGATTGATATAGAAAAAGTTTTAATCAGATTAACCAAACAAAATTGATAATTGAGTTTGAATAAAGTTAATATTTTAAATTCTGAACAAAATTGTTTCTTATGATTTCTTGTGAGAAAAGGAATTATTTTTAATCAATAATAAACATAAATTTTTAACACTCTTACATATGTATTAACTCCGAAAATTAAATTTACACCATGTAATAAGCATTTTTAGTTCTATTTCTAACTGTGAGTGAAGAATGTTGCTAAATTATATTTAATTAAAAATAAGTAATTAGCTTAATGTAAAGTTATTCTTTCTACAAATTTTTATGTTAATATCAATAAGTGTAAAATAAATGATAAATTTTATACAAAAACTTTAAAATAAATAAGAAATAGCTTGAAACAGCTTATTTTTTAGTATCACAAATTTGTAAATTGTATATCACTGAGCAAAGTTATGTAATGATTTTACATCTGATTTGGTTGAATTTAAAAAAAGTAAATAAATCTGAGTTGAATTTTTCATTGAGTGTAATTGATTTATGCTCTATTAAAAAAATAAAAAATGTGTAATCTTAGATCGGATATTTCAAATAGCAGGAGTTTGAATCAATTTAAGCTACATTCTAATTTTTAATTGTGAATAGATTTCATAAGATTTTATTATTGATTTGTTTTTAATAAATCTTCTACCTTAATTTGTGGAAAATAAAATTTATTTGTTAAGCCGACTCAAATATAAAGATAAAGTACAAAATTTAATTTTTTTATGAAGATTATTTATCTGTAAACATCTAATTAAATTTGAGCAACTATATATTTACTTTTTTTTATTTTGGTATTTTTTTTATGTTATCTACCCAAATTCTGCAAAAGTTGTTAAAAAAAATGGTCTGTTATTACTTTTTATTCTTATTTTGAAGAAGGAATTGTTACATAATAAGTAACTTTAATAAAAAATGAGTTCATTCAATTTATTATAAAGTGTCTTATATTGTTGTCAAATTTTTTAAATAGAATGCAAATTATTCTCTTAAATATGTAAACTCCAAAAAAAAATAAATCAAATTTTAATTTTCTAACAATCAATCAATATTAAAATACAATTTTAATTTCTCAAACATAAATAAAAATTTAAAAAGAAGCAAGTTTACTTTAAGTTGCTTAACTTTTATTTTTTTAACTTACATAAATAATTAAGTATTTAGCTAAATAGAATGTCTCTATATTTAACTAGTAAATCAATAGAATAGTACCAAATTTTAGTATAAAAATAAGGCATAAAATATATCTTTACAATTAAATATGCATTTGCTTATAAACTAATGTGATTTGTATAAGCAATATATTTTTTTAAATAAACAATAATATTTCCTCATTTTTTTTGATAAAAAATAATTAAAATAATTTTTTTAGATATTTATTTCTTAACTTTCTGTGAGTAAATGATGAATTTTTTGAAAATAAGGAAAAAATGTGGTAAAAAGATTTTCTTTTTATAAAATTGTACTTGAATGATGTTAGTATGATCTTTTCTTAGTTTATATGTTCTATTTTATTGTGGTTTAGATTAACTTTAGTGATAATACGTATATTTGCTTGATTTTCTAAACTAATATAATCAAGCTCAAAGTAAAAAAATTATCATTAAAAAATTTTTAATTGGAGTGAATAATTTGCTTAAATATTTTCTTCAATCAATCAAAATTAATCCATATAATTTATTTTTAGTGTTGGAAAATTATTTAAGAAAAGACGAGCATTTATTAAAAATCTGATCAAAAATTAATCACAAATAAAAACAAAATTAGTTTAAAGATATTTTAAATTGTAACTCTAATTTTTAAAAGAGTAAATTAAATTTTTTTGTAATCAATTTTAGTTTGAAATGTGAAGAACTTTCTCATCTTCAACATAGATCTTTAATGAATGGAAAGATGTTTTCAAAATAGCAGGAGTGTCTAGATAAGTAGGAATAAATATAATTACAAATCCTTCGAACTAATTCAAGAATATTGGTTCACCAGAAACTTCGAATTTATAGAATTTTCTGTAGTCCTTGCTCACAAATATTGTAATTTCTTCAATATCAGGCTGAGAAGTTAATAGAACATCGAATTTGTTGGATTTTAAGTTATCATAGAATGTTCCATAAGCTGTTTCATTGAGAGCAATCTATCCAGTTTAATCAAGCTTATAAGGAGATTAAGAAGCAATAGCTACAAACCAAGGACGAAGAGTTTTTCTGTATTTTTGAACAACAGGTAAAACATTTTAGAAATTTTTTAGAATGTCTCCAATAGTGCTTGGCTCATTAATATCAAGTGTCATTTCAAACATGAAGTTAAAGTTAAAATACCATTACTTATCACCAAAGGGAGGGAAATCCCAATCTTGATCTCCAAGATTGCTAATAGCATGGACAACGTGGTTGGAGATAAAACCTTAGAAGTTTGGATTTTCGTAGAAGTCAAAAAGTTACTTTGCACTGTAGTGGAAGATGTGAGCTATGTTGCAGTCAATAGAATTATCCAAATATTTAACTTTGTTAAAAAGGCACTTTCTGTAAGAGTCTTCTTTCTTCTCAAAAAGACGAGGTAAAATGATATTATGCTTTCTACAGGTAAATTAATTAGATGAAACTTGATAACTTAGACTTACATCATCAGACTTAGGAGTATACTTGATAATATTGCATGTTTGATTATTGTATAAGTCAGTAAAATTTTCATAGAAAACAATATTTGGAGATTTAGTTTCAGGGAAAAGCTAGACAGTTAAATTTGCATTATAAAGGCATTGATTTAATGTAAAATAGTTAATAGCAAATTGGTCTAAAGACTAAAATTCAGGGCTACTTTAAGCAGAAAAGTTGTAATTATTTTGATATGCATGACCCAATTCGAAGTGTGGATGTATCGGCATACAACTAGCAGTACTGTTATTATGAGTTGGCAGAAGTCTACAGCTGTAAGGGACATTCTGCTCACTAGCAAGACAGCAGGAAACAAAAAGAAGAAAAATTAAAGTAGAGCTATTTTTCATTTTTAATTAAGTTTTGTTTAGAATAGTTATGATTATTTATTTTATAAACTTTTTAGTAAGATTTTGTGGCCAAGTATATAAAAGAGTTTTTCTGTGCATTTATATTATTTAATGTAAGCAACGAGACAAAAGCCAAAGAATGGATTTTACTTTTGTGTAAAAGGTATAATTAATTAATATCAAAATCACCTAATTTTTAAGGTCAATATTTGAGCTTTTCTTTTAGAAAATTTGATAAATTATTTTCACAAATAAATTCATTAACTTCTCATTTTCTTCATAGAATATTTTATTTTTATCAAAAATTTTACAATTTTTATCAGATTTTGTTAATTTCATGTTTTGATTTGTGGATTTCGAATTAAGTATTACAAATTTAATTTATTGTGTTAACCTTTAATTTTAAAATCAAATAATCTTAAATAAATTAAATTCTTTAAGATCTTATCAAATTATCAATTCATTAAATTACTATACAAATAAATATATCATATAACATTACTCAAATCAATCTAACTTAAAAAAAATAGATATTTTAGTATAAGCGAGCATGCAATTCAGGGAATTATGTATTAAGACTTTGTTATCAAATAAATCAATTTTAAGAATATATTTTGGATTATTTATTTTACCTTATATTTTGATAAATTTCTTAGATTAAATTTGTGGATAACATTCAATAATATTTATAACCATACTAAATATATTTTTAATTTCAAATTTGATAAATGTTTTGGTTAAAGTAAATTCACCGAAAATTAATTCAAGCTTTCATAAGATGAATTTTCTCTCTATTAATTTTTATAAATTATGCGAAAATCTTGCATAAATTATAAAATAAAATGTCATTTTAAATAAAATCTCCTTAGTTTTTATACATAAATATACCACATTTTTAGATATGAAATATATTCTATTTTTTATTCATGTAACAATTACAAAATTTTACATTTTTTATTTTAAGATCTTGCTCATTTTTAACTAGTTTATTTTAAAAAGAAGAAAATTTGAGGATTCAGATTAATATATTAAAAATAAAGTAAAGTAAACTCGTTAAATATATTTAGGAGATTGAACAAAAGGAGCAATTTTGAATAATTCAAATGGATTAATAAATTTTAAGAGATTTAAATTGTGGACAGAACATTTTTAAAATAATATTCTAAATAAATTTTTTTTTGGATTATTTATTTTTTAAAAATATTAGTAGTTTTTCTATTTATAAGATAATATAATGAAGGAAAATTGATATAGTATGACATGATTTTCAATTAAATCTCCTTATTTAAACATAAACAAATATACTAAAAATAAAAAATACAAATTCATTAAATTATAATTTTATTGTATGTAAGAAAATAAAATTAAAAATGTTTGAAAGAAAAAAGGATATTGTTAATTTTTAAGTCATTTATTGGAAAAAGAATGAAATTTCATGATTCAATAAAATAAAATAAAAATAAAGTAAAGAGAGCGCATTAAATTATTTTAAAACTTTGAATAAAAGGTGAAATTATGAAATAATTTAAAAGAATTTTTAAAAAAGAACTAATTTGATGATATGAAAATTGTGGAGAGAAAATAAACCCATTAAATTAGTTATTAAATAGGAAATTTATTAGAAAAATAAAATTAAAATTAATTTTTGATGGAAAAGTAAGTTATATGTTGAATTGATAAGAATTGGTGGCATGAATGATTTGAATGAATTAAAATTAATTTTTGATGGAAAAGTAAGTTATATGTTGAATTGATAAGAATTGGTGGCATGAATGATTTGAATGAATTAAAATTACATTTACAATTCAACCAAAAAATGATCACAAATTTAATGACTGAATATTTTGTTAATTAAAGATTAGAATTTAATTTATTTCACCAAAAATCTTTTGATAAAAACATTTTCAAAGAAAGCTAAAGAGGCTTTGATTAGATTTATTCTATTTTTAAATAGGAAATATAATCTTCATACACAAAACTGATATAAATATCATTTTAAACACAATAAATGTATTAACTGTAATATATCTGAGTCTATTGTTATATACCAAAATAAATAAATTTAATATAACGAGACTCAAAAAATTCATCTTTTATCAACTTTCATTTCATCTCTCGACCTTGACAAGAGAAGTTACAGTTATTCAAAAAAAATAAGAATCCTCTTTATTTCAAAAATGTATATTTTATATAAAATAAAAATGGAGGTGATTTAGATAATATTTATTTTGCTAAAATATAGATTTTGATGTAGAAATATGTTTTAAGTAATATTTATTTGTTAAAAATTAAAATTTAAAATAAATTTAAGGAAAAGCTAGTTTATAAAAAATGAAATTCATTATTTTGAAGAAAAAAAGGATAAATAAATTCTACTCATCTCATAAAATAATTTAAATAATTTTTGTAAAGAACAATGAAATAAAAGAATTATTTTTTCAAAGCTTAAATAAAATAAAAATAGAAAAATGTTTATACAAATGATAAAGGAGATAAAAATAATTGCAATATTTTGGCAGATCATAATAGATTTTTAATAATATTTATTTATAATAGATATATATTTATTTATGTATGTATGTATGTATATATATATGAATGAATAAAAACTAGATTGAAAGTTTAGATTCACTTCTAAAAAATTGTTTTACATTAATCACTTTATAAATTAAAATTATAATTAAAATATATATTTATTTGCTTCATTACTTTCATTACTGGTGTTTTAGCTTGAAGGTTATTGAAGAGTTTTATTCATCAAAGTCCAAATAATAGTTTCTAAAGGCATTTATATCAGCTTAAGGTTATATTGCTTAGAAGGAATCTATGTTGTAATTCTAGCTAAAGTAATTAGAAATATTATTCTTTAAAAACTATTCAAAGGAAGGTAAAAATTTTTTTTGATTTTAGATTTCACTCAATCTATTCATACAGTATTAAAGCATAGCATGTTAATACTTATCTGCAAATGGTTCAAATAGATTTCCATTTAGTATATGAGTAATTTAGATGTATTTCTTGGACTGTGTATTTTTCTAAATTAAGGAAGTTTTATAAACTTTTAGTTCTACCATTGATTTTTGCTTGAAATTCGCATCTATATGTTAAAGGGATTATCCGAAGTATGTTTGTAATTCCTAAGCACTATTCAATCCTTTGCTATAGTAATTATGAATCAAAATAAGCTCTTTTACTACTAATGACTCCTCATTTTCAATTCTGTTGAGAATTTCGCTTAACATCTTTTATTCTTCCTAATATTTTTAAAGAAATATTTTCAAAAAAAAATTATTCATAAATTTGAAATAAAAATACTTAAGTAAATTTATCAAAAACGATTATTAAAGTTTGTGTGTTTTTAATGAAGAAATCTATCCAAAAGAAATCTCTTCTGTTTGTCTTAGCTATTTGCTCTTCAACTATTTTAATAAAAATATTATTTTAATTAATTAATTAAGAATAAATAAAAAAAATTAATTTAGTTTAAAAATAATTTTAATTAGAAAATAATTAAGTAATATGATAAGCCTTTACTCATAGTAGAGAACTACTTTTGTTAGGCGAGATCAGTGATGCTGCTCTAGCTGATTTGTTACTAGTTGTCAATTTGAATAGGTTGCATGTAAGAATACTCAAAAATAGCAATATTTTCATCTAAAATAATATTCAGTTTGGGATCAAAATAGGTTGTTTTTTTCAACTCCTCTACTGTCTGCAAGCTTCCTTTCATCAACCCATTAATTAAGGTAGTCTTGCCAGATTTTGGCATACCTAGCACACCAATGACCTATTCTAATTCATGAAGATTAGCTTTGCAATGCATTTCTTATATTTTCCATCCATCTTCTATGAGTCTCTCTACGCTTCCAGAGCAATCCAAAGAATATGACCACTCCATGATGCTATTTTATATTTGCTTTCCTATTATTATTTTATTAATTAAGGATAAAGGAAAATAGTATTAAAAATAATTAATTTTATTACTCGCATTGTTAAGAGTTCCCAAAGAGTGCAGATCAGAAGAAGAGGAAAATGATTTTCTTCTCTTCATAGGTTAAATGTCTAGATCAATCAAGTCATTAGGAATATTTAGCCTTTGAAATTTAGTGAGATTTATAATCAGGTAGTCTTTGATTTAATACAGTTTTTATTTAAGAATTTAAATCTCATGATTTTTGGCTCCAATTAGTCTTTCAAGTTCTTCTATTCTACTCTCAGAACTAATGAGAAGTGAGCTATTTCTAAGAGATTTCTTTTTAGACATAGGAGATGGTGAATTAGAAATAAACTCATCATTAAAGCACTTTTCGTTTTTTTCGATTGTCTAAAACCCGATGCTGTTAGTCATAATTTCATCGTTTGTACTTTTGGAGCCTTCTTTTTTGAGTTGATAGTTTTTTCTTTTTTAAACGTTTCTCATAGTGTCTTAATTAGTACCAGTACTGCAGTCATCCTCTTCATTAATAGTTTCTGCTTCCATTTTTGTAACTTGGTTATTGATAAAGTCTTACATGTTTAATGGATTAGCACTTTAGCTTAAATTAACTGACTAAAGAGTTATTTTTTTGAAGGTGCCATTTGCAATGTTATTTTAGCTGTTCTGTGAACGTTGAATCAAATTATCGATAGATGAGGGAGATTACTCAAGTTTCAAATCAATATTCTATTACTTGTCATCAATTTTTAGTTCGCTTTCACTGAACTTCTCTTAAATTTATTTCATTTACTTCATCATCTCTTCTTTTTAATCCATAAGAGAATGAAGTAATTATAAAACTTCATTGTTACAGGCAGATTAATTTAACTTCCATTCGAACTCTTTCTTTATTTGTTATTCTTTTAGAAGATGCTCCTCCATCTGTTTCTTTAGGTTTTTCTCATTTTAAATGTTGTACTGCTCTCTAGCTTAACAAATCTACAACTCTATCTACGCTTCACGTAGCTTTTCTCTATGCTCTAAACTCTTGATTCTTTCTTTTAATTCATTGTTTTCTTTTTCTAATTCGATTATCTTTGCTTAATCATCCTATTGATATTATATATTGTTCTAATTATTATTACTATTATTGTTGATGCTATTTTTTTGGTTTTAACTTTTAATACTTCCACTATCTATAGTGTATAGTTTTGCCCCTTCATCTTCAGTAACATTGGATGAAGTGACTGGGTTATCAGAACTATTTATATTAATGTGATAATGATACTTAGTATTATTTAAATTATTACTTTAATTTTTATCATTGTTAGAAGATTTTTTTTATTCAAAAAACTTTAAGTTTTAATATATGTCATTCTAAAGTTATTATTATTTTTAATATGATGAATCTTTACTAACATATTATATTTGAAGAGAATTATTTTTTGTTCTTATCAAATTACTATTGCTCTCTAACACTTAACTGTTCCTGCCATGATTATTTAGAATTTATGTTATTTTGCTTGCTTGATTGGTATTTTTATCAAATATTTCTAAACCGCCACTTTTATTCTTCAATGGGGAACTATATATTTACTATTGCAATTGCTACTAAGAATAATTTCCTAAATTTGCTGATTTAGGTTTTTATAAGCTAAAAGAGTTAGAGCTTTGAGGAGCTATTTGTAAATATGGGTCTTTTGGCTTTTCATACTGATAAAATCCAGGGCTCATCACACTTTATTAAGTAATACTCTATGGAAGAGTTTTATTTGCAAAGCTATTAAAGTATTACTTAGTATTTCCATTAATTTAGTTTGACTGAGAAAGGAAGTTATTCCCACTTGCATTTAGTTGAGATTAAATTAAACTAGAAGAATTCATCTACTGATGCTATTAATTTTTTTATTGCAGATTAATTTGAGTAAATAAATTGCTATTAGATACGTTCGTAATACCATTAACGCTTCTGAATTAAGGCGAAGTGTCAGTAGACTTCGAATTGTCTACATTCTACATATTTAATGAACTTTGATAGCCACTTAAATTGACTACGTTTTAAATATTGCATGGTATTTGGTGTTGGGAGTTGGTTCTGCCATCCATTTTTTTGATTACGTTATTTTCGTATGTAATATTCTAAGCTTATTATTTTTAGTTGGGCTAAGTAGAAGAAATACTATAACAAGAAGTTTTATTGTATAAATTTTAAGAAGATAAGTTGTAGGCTTACTTAGAATTACTGCTGTAGCCTGATAAATATTAGCTATTATTATTAGTAAAAGTAGCTAGGCTGTTCTGCTTCTGCTTTTAAAGCTTTAGTTAGTTTTTATCTAAAGAAGATTTAATTAATGGAGATATAGAACCTCTATTTTATTAATAATCTTCAGATTAGTTTAATAAATTACTCATAAATACTCTTTTTTAATTCTATTTCTTTAAATGTGTTTTTAGCTATCTAAAAGTTCAACTGTAATCTGTGATTGATCGCTTCTTCAAATCTTTATTATAAAAATAATTTTAATTGTTTATTTTTAGTACAAAAAATAGGCCATTGTAATTATTTATTTTTCATTGATTATTATTTCTACTATTAAATGGCGACAATTACAACTTAAATTCCATTATATTTTATTGAATTAAAATGTAAATCCAATATGATAAATATCTAAATTTACATGAATTTCGCTTGTGCTAATTACTGTTTAAATACTTTCTTATTTACTAGATTTGTAGTAAATACCTTTCTAGTTTGTTTGTGATTGGTTTGCTCTACTAGATGAATTTTATTTATTTCTTTATAATTAATTAATCGATTGTTCTTATTTGTTATTTGTTATTTCTTATTTTATTTATTTGGTGTTGGCATGAGTTGTTTTTCTTGATAGCTTCGATTTCATCAAAGTTCTATGTAAAAATAAAAACTAGCAGCTTCTAATGGTATATAATAAATGCATTAATTCCCTATTTGTTTATTTGTTTATTTTTTGACCTTTTTAATAGCTTTAATAAGACATGAATAAATGAATAAACAAACTAATTTGGTTTTTTTCTCAAATTTTCATAAATTTCTAAAAAAAAACTGATTAATTAATTGATTTCTACTTCCTCAAACTAAATAATATGAATCTATTCATGAAATACTATTATCAATACAATTATCAACATAGAAATACTAATTTTATTAATGAGATTCCAAAACACATAGAATAATAAATAACATCTTCCTTTACATTGATTACTATATTTTTATTTATTTTGATAATTTATTTTTGTAAAACTATGAATTTTCATTTGTGGTTATAAACAAAATAAATTTAATAAACATTTAAAAAAATTTAATTTTTGAGTTAACTTAATTCTTATTTTAAAAAATTTATAATAAACTGACTCACATATAAACAAATAAGCATTTATTTATTTATTTTAAAGTATAATCAATAATTAATTCTAATGAAATATTGATAATATTATAAAAATTAATTCCTTCAAGAGAAAGAATCTTAGCTTTTCTCTGATTCAATAGCTTTTATAGTAATAACTGAAAATAGTAATGATGGAAGAATTTTTTAGATAGCTAATTAAAGCTACAGTTGCTTGATATGTTTTTGAAATATATACAAAAATTTATCTAATATAAATTAAAGTTATATCTATCAATATTTTTGATTATATTTCTATTTTTTTTTAGCATTTTTTCAGATAATCTATTGCAATAAAATAATATACTTTGTATCAATATGTGTAAAAGGTATAGAAGAATTTATTTAATTTGGCGACTAATAAAAAAAAGCATCATATCGATTGATTTATTTATCTTTAACGAATACAGCCATCCGCTAATTTTGTCAAAAATACAAATAATTATATAAAAAAAGTTATCAAATCAAAACAACATTTTTTTGAAAAAATTAAATTTCAAAAGAAAAATACTGTAAGCTGTATAATTTTAATCAAATCTCATGGACTTTCATGAAGAATTAGCATGCTTTTAGTATTATTGTTTTAGCATTTTTTGCAAAATTTAATTTTTTAAGGTTTGATTTGAATTGTTACAGCTGAAGTAAAATCAATAGTACCATGTTATAAATAAATTTATATCACAGTAAACCATTAAAAACAGCAACAGTAATATAAATATAGTCAGCTTGAATTAATAACTAGTAAATCCTTAGATAAATAAATTCTGATTTTTTCAATACTTTACTTAAATAATTCTGCAAAAGATGAATTTGCAATATTATTTATGTGGCATTACTTATTTTAATTACTTATAAAAATCTTTAAGAATAATTAGAAAAGTGAAAAATTATAGAAAAAATTTGTTTACATTTTTTATTTTTTAAATTATAAAAATTGATTTTTGTTAAAATCGCTTAGTATTTTTACTTTTTTAATAAAATTTTGATAAAATTACAATATTATTTTAAGCCACAAACATCTTTGAATGAAGTAGTCCAACGAAGGATGAAAAACTTTTTATTTATAAATTATAAATAAATAAATACAAAACTTTAGAATATATTTTTATAAAAGTATAAAATATGTATGTACATGACTTTATTAAAGAGTGAGCAAAAATATTTATATTTATACACATAAAAAATTATGGGTTTTTTCAATGGGTAGAATTGAACTCTGTTGTATAAACTACGCTGTTATTATAACAATTTTAACCTGGATTAGAGTAGCTTAAAGCTGTTTGGAATTGAGATTAATCTTATTTAAATGTACTGTTGGTTGGGTATGTTTATTATTGGTGCTACTATTAATTTTCTTATGTTACTAGTATCGATTTTAATTAAGATAATGTATTGTCAAAAGCATTTTCAAATTTTTTAGCTGTTTCTATTTGTTTTTCAGTATTTTTAATAGGAGTTAGTTATTTCTTTTTATTGCTCATTGAATTTTATAATTTTGATATGATTTGTATGAGTTGCTACTAAACTTGAGAACTGTCTTAGCTTGTTCTATTCAAAGTATCTTAATTATTATGCCTCTTATTTGGAGAAACACTCATTTAATAAGTATAATTACTCTCGTTGTTCGAAATTGAACTTATTGGATTTTTATTTAGCTTTAAAGTTGTATGAATTGGTTAAAACTTTTAATTTGAAGTTGACTCCAGTGTATAGCTATTTGTAGTATTCAGTTACTTGTTTGCTATTTTGTTTGGAGAAGTATATTCAGAGGCACTGTATCCTAAACTGTTTTCGTTTTTATACTATTTTTCATTACTTTTTTCTATTTAGTTTCTCAAGGGAGTTTAGCATATTGTTGTTTAATTCATGTTAGGAGAACTTAAACTATCAGATGTATGGAATTTAACATTTTACATTTTACCTGAATTCATTTTCTCCTATTAAATATTCTGGTATCTCTTCTCAGCCTCCAATTCCTCTAATTTTATTTACATCTAAATACGAATATCTCTTTCTTTGAGTAATTCTTTAGATTGCTTTTCTTAAAGCTCTTTGGTTTCTCGCAATTATTTATTTGCTTACTACAACTTAGCCTCATAGTCTTCAACCAATCGGTGCTCTAACTCCTACTTAGTTATATTTAATTAATTATTTTGTCTAAATTCCTATTCCTTTGAAGGGTTATTTGCTGACTAAGATTTCGTGAAGGCTATTTTTGTTGGGGATATTGAATGTATTGAGTTTTTCATTTAGCTGTTTGTAGGAGAAATTAAGCGAATTTAAGACCCATCATGCAAATTGCTATTTAAAGAACGTGGTTTATTTTATGGAGAAAGGTTACCTACTCTAGTTATATGCTCTTCATTTATTATTTGATGATTTTCGATTTACTAATTCTTCAAAGGACTTGAGGATCTAGATAAATTTTAAAGATTATTCTACTAGCAAGGAATAGCATTTATTGGATTAGCTTTGCAAGGATTTTTGGATCCTGTAGATAATTCACTCTAGGTAAGTTGTTCACTGCAAGCAATTTGATGATCGTGTAGGTATTACTAATTTTACTCTTGTTAATCAATAATTTTTTTCTTTTCTTCTATAAGAACCTCTATCTCTTTATTAAGCTTGTCAATTTCTTGCTTGAGATAAAAAGATTCCTCTAATTGCTGCTAAGTAAATTCCTGGTTATCCGAATTACTCTATTGACTGTTATTTGCTTTAAAACTAAAATTTTGAGGATAACTAATTATCTGCTGCAAGCCTCTTTCTAAGAGCTATGAATTTAAAAGGTTAATTTAACTCTTGTAGTCTTCCTCTTATTTTTCCATCTAACGAAGGCGCTTAACTAAATTAAGATTTTATTCCTCTATTTATGAGCACTTCTATTCAAAATGACTATGAATATCTAAAAGAATTTTATCATTCTAGTTAACTCTATCAGTGTTTATAGACTAATCTAAGTTTTCTTGCAATTTAGATAATGATTCCTATAACTTGCCTTCTAGCTTTGAATGGAATTCTCTAGATCTGCCTATAGCATTGCTTACGTTAGTATTTAAGTTTTACAGCTTAGAGTGCATCTCCTTAAGCTATTTTATGTTAACAGAAGTATTACTCATAGTTATTTTATTGATCCTTAATCTTGTAATATAATGATACTTAATTTATTTGCTTAGATTGGCAACTTTATTATTTTTATAATAAGATTATCAAAATTAGTATATTTTATTTAATTAATTGGATAATATCAAGATTTACCATAATAATAATGAATAAGCTTTAAATAAATTTATTGGCTACTATACTTTGTAATTTTTATTAAGTCATATATTATTAATTAATTTAGCAGATACAAGATATTTCAAAAGCTACATAGAAACAATTAAAAATGGCTAATGATTGATCTAAAAGTTTTAATAAAATAAATTAATAGATAGATCATTTGTTGTTTTCTGAAATCATACTAAAATCATAACTTTCTAAATAAATTACTTGATAAATAATTTCAAAATATTGATAATATTTTATTTTAGATTTAAAATTATATTCATAGAAAAAATAAACTTTAATTTTTAATGCTAAAATAAAATATTATCAATAAAAAAAATTAACTTATTCATAATTATTTTTTTTAATATTTGATTTTTAATTAATAAGTAATTAAATAAATAAAATTAAATTTAATAATGAAGTAGGATTAAAAAACAAACATATTAATAATATAATATAAAATTTAGATTTAAATTCAATATTTTATAGGTAGAAACTGAAGAAAAAAAATTGGATTATTTCTTGCATAAAAAAATAAAACCCTCCTTCATAAATAAATTATCACAGTATTTCCTTAAAAGTTAAAAATAAATGAATGAATTATCATTATGGTCTACTTATTAAATTTGCCATTGAAAAAATCAATGTGATAATATGTAAGAATAAAGAGAGTATTTTTTATTATTTATTTATTTAAGACAATTCAATTTAATTGAATCAATAATAAAAAATGGCAGACCACTAATTAAACTTTGAAAAATTAGATAACTATAGAATTTTTTAATTTTTAATATAGAAATAAGAATTACCATAACATATGAAGGTGGTGTGGTGTTATTTTAGATGCAATTTGTCTATTAAATTTATTCAAATAGATAATATTCAGCGAAAAGATTCTATCTATTTTAGAGTTTACAAAAATTGTAGAAAGAAAATTTGAGGCCTAAAAAACAGTATAAGAATTCTAATTTTATCAAATCAAACTTAATAATTTAAATTGTTTACAAAAATTAATTAATTAATTAAAAAAATTAGGAATCAACCAATCAATCAATCAATCAATCAATCAATCAACATAAGCCTACTTAGAATATGAGAAAAAATATAATAGCTATAGTTTTTTTATTCAGTCTAATATTAAGAATCAAAGCTGAATGTACAACTGACTGTGCTAATGGTTGGAAAATTATTACAGATGTATATTATTGCAAAAGTATTTTTGGAGATGCAAACTGCAATAATGATGCAACATGCATTACTGATTTTAATAATTATAAGGCTTGTGCTTTAACAGGATGCTTTGGTTAAATTGGAAACCTTGCAAGTATCAGCTAATACAATGATTGTGTATAAAAATGTACAGGAACTACCTAACCAGTTAAAGATTTTGCTCTTAGCTTTAACAATTGTATGAATATAGCTTCTTCTGCAATGCTACTTTTTGAGGTAGCGATATCAATCTTTCTATACTTAATCTACTTTTGAATTTAATAAAGAAGGCTAATTATATCCTTATTAACTTATAATAAATAAAATAATTTATTGCTAGCATAATTATGATAATTCTTTGTACTTTTAATTAAAACTTACAAAATAAAACATTTTTGTATAATTTCATCAAAAAAAAGAAATAAATGTATTAATTCTTTATACAAACTTTAAAAAAGTCAAAATAAATAAATAATCTAAATCAGTTTTTTCATTTTAAATCTAATAGATTTCGTTTTTTTTTTAATTTTTACCATAAATTCAAAAACATAACATTAATTCTTAATAAATAATTCTATTTTCTCTAACATAGATTTTATTTTTTTATGCTCTCCGAAATTGAACCTTTTTTTAATTTTAGAATTTATGTAAATATAATTTGGAATTAGTATTAATATTTTCAATCTTTTTAAATTCGAGTTTTTTATTTTGCACATAAAAATAGCTTTAATAAATTTTAAAAAGCTTGAATGAAAGATTTAGTATTTAAATTCTGGTTTAGTAATGCATGAATTAATAAATAACATAATTTATTTACTTAATACATGAAAAATAAATCAATTATTTTTGCTTGATTTTATGAAAATAATTACAAAATATATTTCGCTATTTATTTATTTATTCCTTTTTTTATAAATATTCTTTTTTTGTCATTTCTTAAATTGATAATGAGGTATGAATATTAAAATATTATTTAAAAATATTGAATTATATATTGTCTGACATTATTCTAATTGCAAAGGTTGATGTTTAATAATCATAAAATCCCTTGCATCTCTCCGATTTTTCCTTAAATACTGAAGAAAACTATTTAAAAGTCTCATATTATTTAAAAAAGAAGAGAAAACAAAAAGATATTTAAAAAAAAGAATTTTTAGAAAGTTTTAAAAGTAGAAAGAAAGAGAGAAAGAAAAATAATGAAGTAAAAAATTGTTTCCTTTTATATAAGGATTTTATTGTTTTTTGTCAGCTTAAGTTGCTATACTTATTAATTAACAATCTAACTATAAATGACAGATCAGTTAGATGGGATGTTTTTATAATTTCAACAAAAAGTTGTCTTTTTATCAAGTAGTCCTTATACTCCATCAGATTATAATTGTTAACTTTTAGCGATATATGATTTGACTAATTGTTATCTAAGTAGCGATTCAACCAGATTTTACTTGAATCTATATTCAAACACTACTCTCTAAAAAAATTTGTACAAAAACTTTCATTCTTTACCATTTTATTACCTAGATTAATAATTTTAAAATCTATAATTTAATGGTGCTTTAGGCTTACCTCAGAATATGATACCTCCAAGCGTAATTTTGAGTTATCAATAACCATATGTTAATATATGTGAAGACACCCAAATTAAAATAATTTCAGAGTTGGTGAATGGAAATAATAATCTCACCTATAAGAAATGGAATCTTGAATCTATGAATCCCTCTAACTCTGCTAATGCTGTTGCTCTGACATAAATTCTAGCTAATTTTGAGAGTAAGAACTACCTCACACTGCCTCAATAAAGCTTAAATGAAAACACTAATTACTAATTTAGTGTTGAGGTGGTAAATTTCATAGGAACTTCAAACAAAGTTCTTTTCAATTTGAAAACTCTTAGTAAAAATACTCCCTTTATAAAAGTCATTTCGCCTAGTTAATTTAACAACATGTATGTATTTCTAACACATTTAGACTGAATATTTATTTATTTGTTTATCTTGACTCATTCTTAAATATAAAATAAATAGAGACTTTAGAAATGACTTTTAATTACAAATATCGTACAATACAACTGTGTGTGGAAGCAGTAGCAATCCAGCTTAGTAAAATAAAATTACTGTATCACTACAAGATGGATCGAATTAATTATACTCTTTAGGGGTTATGACGGGCACAGGTTCATAAATATTTAATTTGACAATACCCTCATAGTTTTTACAATCAGCAAAGTAGCATTTTTTTTTTGAAATCATCCAATATTAAATTTTCATTTCTTATAATAAAATAAATAAAACTACTTTTTTTTGTTTATTTAAATTAATTTTAAATGTAAAAAAACACAAAATTTAATAAAACAACACAAATAAATAAATAAATTTATCAATAAAACAAAAGTAGATTTTTAAAAAGGAAAAGGTTTATTTAAAATGAAAACAAGAAATAAAATAAAGGATATAATAAAGAAATAACTAACATTCTTTTACTTATTTATTATTTAAAATTAAATAGATCATATATTATAGCAATATAGTTGGACATTTAGGCACAATCTTCTACATATTAATAAAGTATATCTATCACAACAATGAATCCAATAATTACTTCTAGTTCCCAAAACCCAATAACTGATTTCATATAAGACAATGGCTAACCAATATTGCTAAATATGGATTACAGTTATATAGATACATTAAAAGTTGATAAAGCTTAATTTAGCACTCAGTGGAATTGCATAGATTTATCTTTGCTCAGTAATAGCTGCACAAAATTATTTAATCCCTCTTTAAATCAAAATATTTAAGGTATGCTATCAAATAGAATGTACTAAATTACTTTCTCTATTGCTTTCGGAAATTAAATTTCATACAGCACATTTAATATAGTTCTAGCAGATTTGAGTAATACAGATAAAAATAAAATTTACTAATTTTATAATAATATTCAATCTTATGATAGGTCAGCTTCTAATGCTCCAAATCCTCCAAATTTTAATTTTATTTTGTAAATTTCTCCTTCATTTAAAGGCAAAACACTAATAAGATAAAACATTTACTAGCCTTTTAACTTGGCTATTTATATGATTAATTTTGAAGTACTAAAGGTTGATATACCAGATACTAATGATATAATCTTTTAATTATAAGATTTAGTTAATTTGAAACAATAATTGTCATCATAATATAATTTATTATCAATAGCTTTATTTAATCGAAAAATTCTTCACACATTATTTGACTATTCTTTTGAAAATGTTGATTGCTAATTTACTCTAAGTTCTAGTTATGTGGAAGCTTTTACTGACATAACAAAATTATCTTTAAAAAATTGCTAAAAAAGTTATAATGTTTTTATATATTCAGACTATTAAAAATTATAAAAGGATATTTCATAGTAATCAATAGCTAATGGGTATCTAGTATACTAATATTTATAAGGTATCTAATCTATAAATTTAGCATTTTCGAATAATGCTAATAAATAAAACTATAATTAGTTTTATATATTGGGTATATCTTCTGATCTAAATTATCAAATGGTTTCCACTGTTAATGTCATTGAAAATACTAAAATAATGAACCTTAATTCTCTTAAATAAATTGCTTATAATTTAATCTAAAATAATAACTAAATATCTATTAATAATTTTTAAAATAATAGAGCAGATTATATAAACTATTTAATTGTTTAGTAATTAGAGTATCTTGATTAAAAGAGTTGTAGCTAATCATGCTCTATAAATGGATCATGCTAGCTGTAAAATATATTACCATTTAATCAAACATAGAGCATTTAATGCTAGTGCCAATAAAATTATTTTTTTTATGATTGTACAGCTTCATAATCTGATATGAATAGCTTTTTGAATTTTTTTCGTGAAAATCAGATATCCAAGATTTAATATGATGTACAAATACTAAAGCTTTTGGCTTAAGTTTAGTCTAATATTTATTTATACTTTTTTAGTTAATAGTAAATAAGCATTTAGTACATTTATCCTTCTTTTGTTTTCTAATAATTTTATGATTTATCAATCTTTTCGCCTGATTTTGGATGTTAAGATCTTATAGACTAAACTTATGATTTCCTAGATCAGTACATTTCATATTCTAATATATATCAAAATAATCCAAATTTCGATTAAAAATTAGTTAAGTAAATTAATTTCTATTTATTATTTTTATTAATTACTTTTTACCTTTTTCTTTTTTTATTGCTTTAAACAAGTAAGTAAGCAAAACATCTTATTTAATTAATTTTCTTATTTAATATTCTTTTGAAAAAGTATTTTTTGGTAAAAAATATCGATATTAATAACAGTTTAAACTTAAATTAATTTTTTATTTATTAAAAATTAGAGCTACATATGGGGTTTCTATACCTTGTTAATTTGTTACTGGAAGTCCGGCTTATTATTTTACAAAAAATAATTTTTGTGGGATGGCTAAGTAGGTACCTTATCCAATTTATTACTTGTCTTAAATGTTTAGCACAAATTAGATAATTGTAAATTAAATATGTGATACTGGTCAATTGCAAAGTCCATCTTTTAAGGATATTAGCATTCCTTACTATCCAGGATAACATATGTATTAATATAATCAAACTCCTTGCCTAAAGCTTAAATTTTTGAAGTAAGCATTCGCAAATTATTATTAAGACTAAATTAAACCTGGCTTTAGTTTCTCAATAGATTAATCTGATTAAAATCCTTATAACTTTACTCTATATTTTGATATTCCTACATTTTATAAACAAAATAAATAGCTCTCTTAAAATTTAAATTTTAAATTTTAAAAACTTATTTGTATCTTTAACAACCAAGATTAGAATTGGGAAATGTGTATTGAAAATTAAATTGTAATTCAAGGAAATTCCTCTCTGCTGAAGGTATCAATTTATTTATTATTTCATTAATTATCAAAAAAAATTAATAATTTAAACATTTTTTTCAATATTTCTCAAAATCACTAAAGCTAAAACTAAATAATGATTTTAGAAAATACAATGCAAATATATAAAAAAATAAATGTGTATTTTAATTAATCATAATTTATTATTTAAATATCCTACTTCTTCTACTGTCTATACTTACTGAGATTAAAGCTTTTATCAGAAGATATCTATTTTTATACTAATTTTCATATAAATATCAACTATACATGTAACTCAAACTCAGGATGGAACTATTTTTATTATTATTTATTAGCAAATTACTATAATTATTTCACTCATTAAATATGATATAAAAAATAAATCTGAATTTAATTTAATTGGTTATTTTTTTTAGCAAATTTTATTTACAAAAAATTTTCGTTTAAATTGATAAATTATTTTTTTAATATAATATTTATTAAATTAGTGTATTTGTGCATCACCAAAAGTTTTTTATTAGCTTTATACTAATGATTATACTGTTGTATTTATTGATGATCACAACTATGAATTTATTTTTGCTAACGAAATATTTTCTTACTAATAAATTGCTATTATTGGTTACTTAGGATTGATGCTGACTGTATAAATAATATTTTCTGTAATTGGTTTAAATCAAGATAAAAAGAAAAAGGTTTAAATCGGAGTATTTCCAATCAGAAGATAATCAACTATAGTTGATATAAATCAAATAGATTTGAATTAAGATATAAATTAGGATAAGAAATTAGATAGAAGGTCTTCAATATTGTTAGAGATTAACAATGAAGAAATTGCCAACTCTAAAAATTCCAATTTTTGCTCGACTCTTATTGTAAATATACAGATTAATTGAATAAAATTCATTCTAACTTAAATAATATAAAAAAGAAAGCTCACTCTGTTGGTAAAATCTACTTCAATTATTCATTGAATTTTCCAAGATTTTAAAGATATTTGACTCAATTTTTTATTTATTTGTCATTGCCTGCTGTTGGTGGTCTATATGCTAAATATGTAAATTCTTACTGATTTATTACTTAGCATTTATTATTATTATTTTTGAATAAACGAATCAATATTTTTATTTATTTATTTATTTAATTTCAAAAAGTTTTAATGATTGATGTTTTTATTTATTCTTTTTAACTAATTTATATTATAGCAACTTGACACTCTGATTTATTTTAATCTTGCTTACTTTTGCATTTGCATGTCACCTTTTGGATTGAGGCTTGGGATGAGTATCTTTGATTTAATATATTACAATATTAATAAATGTATAAAGATAAAGATAATTAATTATCCCCTAATATTGATAATGAATATCTTATTTATTGGATTCTATGGATTTTTGGGTTATATTTATTACAGACTTTGGACTGATTCTAATTCTAAATATTTATAAAATTGGCTTATTTTCTCCATAATTATGCTTATTTTTCATGCTATTATTTTCGAATTTCTATACATGACTATATCTATTTATTATGTGCGTTCCGAATTTCAAAAGAAACTACAAAAAATAAGAAAGCTTTAACTTAAAAAATAAGTAAATTATACTTAAAAAGAATCAAATGATCAAATAAACCTTCCATACAATAAATTACCATCAAATGATCCAGGAAATTTTCTAACTTTAGAAACTCATGAAAACCAGCTTACACATTTAAATAGATAATCTTAATTAGTTTTATTGACAAAGACAACTCTATTAGACAAAATGCAAATTGAATAAATAGATGGGGACTTAAATATTCAAGGAAAAAATTAGGTGATTTAGCTACAGCCAACAAAATCTCAAATTATTTTAAAATAAAAGACTTTACAAAAACTATGAATTTTATTTATAATAAATAAATTGACTATCTATTTAGCAAAAATTTATGTTTTTTTGTAAAAAAAAAATATTGAAAATTTTGAATTTAAAAAGTATGAAAAATTAAAAAATAAATAACATTTTTTTATTTCTATTATAAAAATTAATTTAATTTAAATCTCAATCATTTTAATTTAGAATTTTCTCATTAAAAAAATTAGTTTTAAAGTTCATATTTCAATTTTTACTGTAAATTCTCTTTTATTTCCAATCTAATATTTTAAAACCAATAATTTAAAAACAATTTTAAGTGTTTTATTTACACCGAAATTTTTCTTTTTTGGGTGTTATATAATATATTATAATTAACAGTATGGATTTTATTTATTACTTATATTAATTTCTGATTAATATTGAAAAGAAACAAAAGACTATTTATTAAAAATGTATATTACTATATCACTATTTATCATTTTAATAATATTTTAATAACATAAAATAGATCAGTTTTATGAAAATATTTTTAAATGCATTAAAAAAATCATAGGAAATATTCAAGCCTTTTCATATAGCATGTTATGAATTTATTAAACATGATATATTTCTTTTAATTTTAAAAACGGCTTGAATTTCACAAACGAAATTCAAAAAAGGAAAAACAATTTAAATCTGGTAGAAAAGAAGTAAAGACGTTAAGATATTTAAAGTTAATCATTATATAAATTGAATTTTTAAGTTGTAACGCAAATCACTAATGGATTTATGTTGTAATCCGTTTGAAGATTCTATTAAGTTAGAAGTACAAAGCTAGCAAGAAATATAAGTTATTAAAATCTATTTAGAGTAATTTATTTTTTTCAGTGAAAATTAATCTAATTACAATCTAACACTAAATGAAGTTAATACATTTAAAATATTTGGTATTATAATTATCAATTCCTTGTAATATATAGTTAAATTAATACATAATATATACTATTTTTAAAATATTATTGAAATTTAATATATTTTTATTTATTTTTCGAGAATATTTTTTATTTCAATTTATAAACAACTTTTCATGATATATTATTTTATTTTAAAAAGCCAGAAATTTTTAATAATAAATATGTATGCATATAATGGATTTATACTTCTATCTCAAATTTCTTTTAATTAATTCGCTCAATTTTTAGGAATATGTTATATTATCTTCAAAGCTTTCTTATATAGATTATTCAGAAAATTTGCAAGTTAAGAATGTAAAGAATTTAATAATTACACTATCAATAACAGTGTAATCATTAATAATTTATGGATATGATTATAGTCATTAAGTATATAAAGTCTATCTATCAATTCAGATATAATTCAGAAAAAGTTGCTTTGTCCCTTTTAAATTGTAATAAAAATAAAATTGCATCTGTCTGTTATATCAAATAATAAAAGCTTATTAATTTTAATACTATTGAAAAATAATAAAATTGTAAACGATAGCTGCGATACTATACTATTCTTTCTAATTTAAACTCAGGCTGTTTGTTCTTTTTGATTTCTTGACTGATATTTTGAATAAATGAATTTTTTTAAACAAAATTTTTGTTATTACTGGTTTTTTATTTAAATGGAGTTATTTGATAGGCTGATTTTTGTTTTTAATAACTTCTGCTAGTTAATGCAATTTAAATGCTGAACTAATTCCTCACTTTAAAGATAAAGATAGATAAATAGATTTATTTTTCAGAATAGTTAGCAGCCTGAGATGATTCACAGACTAGACTAAAAGATTTAATTATTATTATTAATGAATTAAGTTTTTAAGAATCGCTAAGATCATAAATTAACGTGAATAATAATTAAGAAAATAATAAATAATTAGAAAAGCTTGCAAACATTATCTTATTTTTTTTTAATTGAAATTGAATTACAATCAATTAAATAATTTAATAGAAAGAATAGATCTAGATTTATTTTTAAAAAACACACAGTAAATACAAGCTGATAGTTTATTCAAATATTTGTATTTTCTTTAAAATATTACTTTTGATATTACTAAATTAAATCAACCTAATTTTATCACTAATTTGTGAAACGAAAAGAATATTTATCACTGCTTTTATTACTTGCTTACTTTCATTAATATTTTTAGAAGGCATCTTACTGAATTACTTAAAATTAAAATCAATTATAAAAATAAGTTTTTTAATCACTGTAGAGGGTGAATTGATGATACAGTTAGTTATTATCAAGTAATTAATGACTTTAAAAAAAATATATTTAAAATAAAAAGAAAATCAAACAAATAGTTATAGAGTTATATAGATGTAAGAAGCAGGTATTATAGAGGTAAGTATAAAAATAGAATCTAAATTTATAGAAAGAGTGAGCTTGGAAGAACAAAAAATAAAAATTAAAATTGATAAAAACACTAAGAAAGATATCCTTATATAAATTTAATTAAGTAATACTTTCTGAAGTATTTACAAATTATTTTTACATGGCATTATGTTAATATAATTAATAAAAAATTAAGTTAAACAAATATTTAATTTTATTATTTTTTGTGGTTAAATATTTAGTCTTAAAATTGATTGATTGATATCTTTGCAAGGATATCCAAAATTCTCTCCTCTGCAAAAGATTCTCGCTTCTACATAAAAGAAAGAAGGAGAGTGATCGATTTACTTATTTATTTGAGTTTAAAAAAGAAAGAAAGAAATTATGATAAAAGTTAATGAAGTAGTTCTAATATATTCTGATGCAGGTTTATATACCAAATTGATATTTAATAAGAGTATACTCAAAAGTTATAGACATATATTTACAAATAAATAGGTGATTTATTGTTATTTATTATTATTCTCATCATCACAAATCGGATAAATAATTAATTATATGAGTGAGTGAGTGAGTGTTTTGTTGTGTGATGGTTCATTGAAAAAGATATAAATTATAAATATTGCATTAAAGCCAAAATAAATGTCGCTTTTTTATTTTAAATAAAGCGAATTTTTATCTAGGTTAGTGGTGAAATTTTAATTCAAAAGAATTATTTTTTTTAGTAGGATGAGATTTTTAGTAAAATTATCTAGAGAAAATCATTTTATTGAAGAGTTATTAAAAGTAGATTTACTACTCAACAATTAATCTATTTACTTTTCATTGTGAAAGTAAACTACTTTTTGGTATTTTAATGATATCTGTAGTTAGTATATTAAATATATTTTATATAGAGTAGGTGTTTGTTTTGTTAGTTTGCTTGTTTTAATTTGTTTATTGGTTAATCAACATACGGCACATCTATCTTATTCAATAAGCTGGATGGTGCACTGAGTTTATACTTTGCTCAACTTAATTTATAAACGCTTGCGGATAATAGAGCTTTGAGCAGGCATAGTAAGACGAGGGCAAAATAGTTGCTTGTGCTCGTAAATGCGCTTAGCGTTCATAAGCTAAGGATTTGAGTCTTCAAATTCCTACTATTATTTCATCATCATGATGAATTAGTAGGCCAATTCAGGAGATTCAACTGATTGTCTACCTTGTTGAGTGGTGACACCACTGGCTCTTTTTTTATTAGAATTGTGAGGTTTAGTAGAAGTACATCCCATTTTTTGAAGTTAATTTATTTATATTAGTGGTTATTTTGGTTGATTTAAAGGTTATTTTTTATTTTTTTAGTAAATGTATCTATCAATCAGATTTTACTTAAAAATTTTAAAGAAAATAAATATAAACTTCAGAAGAAGCTGTTTTTAATTATTTTGTCAATCGCAGTCTATTTGATTTTTTTTTGTTATTTATTCTTTATGAATACAACCTGCTTTAATTTCTTTTTAAAATGCGCGAGTATCTTGTCTATATCCCACCCACAATGCCTGCCTATCTATTAATAAAATTAATTAATTATTTTACTTAGTCTGCTTTTTCTTATTTTTGAAAAATTAAAAAAAGTAAAGAAGAATAACAAAAGTGATTGAATAATTAAGTAAACAAATAAATATACAAATGCAATTAAATAATTTATTTATTTATCTTGCATTTTAAATGAAATTGCTTACTCCTACTTGATTTTCTTTTAGAAATCACTGATTTCATTACTGATATAAAATCTATAAGGAATAAATCAAAAAATATAAGATCAAATTCTGCGAACCAAAGTAAGTAGAGACAGCTGAACAAAGTCTGTTTAATATTTAGAGGGGCAACAGCAAAATTTTAAGTTTTAATAAAAATATATAAAAGTAATTTAATACAGAGACATCATCTCATCTTACATTAAAGATTATCAATGTTTGATATAGAAAACAGAAATACTTTAATAAATCCTTTTGATAAATTAAATATTGTACATTAACCGAAATCTATTCAAACCGCACATAAGTGTAGAACCTCTACCTATCTATTTAGTTAATTGTCTTAAAATTTTCATTCTAAACTATTGTTTTTTAAAGAGCATTTATTTACTGCATTCTTTTATAAATTTTAATGTATTCTGATATACTATCTATCACATTGAGTTATTTCATTTTAACGTTATACTGATTGATACAAAATTAGAATAAGTGTTTACATTTATCTGAATTATACCATGACATTCATTCATAGTTCGCATAATTTTTATTTCTATAAAAGCATGAATTGTAAAATAATTTGCATGTATAGATCTATTCTTTTTTGAGTGAGTGCAATGTAAAATATAAATTATAGTATGAAATTTTATTTTAAACAAATACTAAACAGTCATTTATTTAAAAACTACAATAGACAGTCAGACAGACAAGAGGTTCATATGTTTTTAATTTTTTTGCATGCAAATTAATATAAATATTTTTAAAAATCTAAAAAATAGTCCTAAACAAAATTTATAAGCTCGAAAGAGGGAGCTAGCAGATTATTAAATTGTATTTTACCAGAAATATTTCAAAAAGTTGTTAACAAATATTTTTTACTAATAAATTAAAGTTAGCAACTTTTAGTTTCAGATTTTGATACTCAACATAAAATTTGTAATTAATATCAATAACAAACAAACAAAGAAAAAAACAATGAATGGATAGGTCTATCAATCTATTAGTGCTAAAGTCTGCCAGCTTTGAGAAACTAAAAATAAATTTTAATTTTTTAGTAATAGCTTATATTTCTATTGCTTCTTATACTAGATGATATTTAGATGGAATAAATCTAGCATTTAAATTATTTAAGCTACTTTTGTCTTTTCTTTGTAAAAATTTAAAATACGGCATCAAAATTTAACAAAGTCAGGCTGGTCAATTTTATTTTTACTATAATGAGAATGATGAAAAGAAAAATTTCTTCTACTTTGATCAATAATTTAAGGTATTTTTTTAGAAATTAATCGAAAAAATGGCACAAAAAATAAAATATTTCTCTGAAGGCTTAGTTTTTGGTAGATTTATTCTGTTTAGGTGTAGTAAGGCTAATTTGTGCATTTCATGCCCTAGAAACTAAGAATTTATTCAAGATAAAAGTAGTAAAAACCTATATCAAGGATTTTAATTTTATGAAGGTAGCCATAGTAATTATTCTTTCAAAATGCTACAAATATTAGAGAATAATTTCATCCTTTCACAGTAAGAAAATTTAAATATTTATATTTACAATGATATTAAAAGTTTGAAATCAAATTTAAAAGGATATTTGTTACTTTCATCAATTATAAATGAACGCACTTTTTAAGTATCTCAAAAGACATCTACTTTAAAGCTATTAAGTATGATCTTAAATTTATCTCCTAATTTAAGTTAAATTTAAACACAAATTAACGGCTTTTTAATATATTTTTTAATTCGAGAGCAGTTTATGCTAAAATAACAATTTTATGAGCAACAAAAGTTTATTTTAATTTCTAACTAATTTGAAAATCTTTGGATATATTTATTTGTATTATGTAAAATTAAAATTGTATTCAAGACTTTTGTTGTTTAAATATTTTAAATAAATGAGGAAAAGAAATAAAAAAAACAAATGAAGGATTGTTGAAATGATGGAAAATCAAGAAATTGCTTTTTATCATTTGATTGAAATAGAAAGAAAATAACTGATTACAAAAAGTATGTTTACTATAAGAAATTGAAACAAAAATCTATATTCAAGTAACCTAAAAATTTATATGCAAAGTGTTAGAAGAAAATTTATATAAAATTAATGAAGAAAGCTAGACATCATTTTAATCATAAATATTATTGTAAATTTAAGTATTTCAATAAAAGACAATATCAGATTCAAGCGTGAAAAGTAATATTTTAGAAGATGTAACTCAAATTTTGTAGAATAAAAATGACTCACAAAATATGTAATACAATTCTATTAAAAAATATATTTATTTCATTTTAGTATAACCAATTTATAATAAATTATTTAATTTAATTAAAATTACATTTTATATCTCAAACTATTTCAAAATTCTTTCGAAAATCATTTTGTTATACTTGCATCTTTACAATGTATAAAACTTGAAATAAATTTTTTTATTTCTTAAAATATTTTTGTGGGAGATTGTTGTTGAAAAATATGTTTCATCCAAAAAAGCAAATGATTAATTAATTTATTATTCTACTTACCTTTAGATTAAATAAAAAATACTTAATTAAGAAAGCCAAACAGGAAAATTTGTTTAGAATCCTAAATATAAATTATTTATTATTATTATTATTATTATTATTTATATATATATTATATGCAGAATTTATACTATTACTTTACATAATTATGCTTTAAGATTTTATAGATTGAAGTATGCTCAATTACATTTACATTAAACTCTCCCTTTGCTAAATCAATTTTTTAAATGATTATAAAAATTCTTTTATTATTTGCTATAAACACTTTTTGCTAGAATTATTAGAATTTTTGATTTTATTTTAAATAAAACCACTCAAAATTTTTAAAAGTTTTATTTTAGGCAAAAAATATTCCTCAATTTAATTTTTGAAATCGTTGTACTGAATTTATTTTTTTATTTCGATTTTATTGAATTTCCTAACTTATATTACAATTTACTCTGTATTTTTTATTGTCACTAGAAAATGAATTATTATTTACAGAGGTTTACTTGCAATCCTTTGGAAAAAAATGGTAACCAAATTTAACATATATTTTTAGAATAAAAATTTTGTTCAGTAAATAAAAATATTAAATTTGTCTGATATCCATGTACCACTTAATTACATTTGATATGATACTCAAAAACAATTCAAATGATGTAAATTATTACTGATCAAAACAATAAAAATCTGATAACTTTTCAAAGGAGAAAATTTTAATAATTTAATTTACCTTATTAGTATTACTCAGTACTCTTATTAATATTAACTATCAGATATTCATTACAAATACACCTCGCTCGAATATTCACTTTATCTTTACATTATTCTTAACATTTCATGCATTTATACTGATTTAAAAATTTTCTATTTTACTACCTAAAAACACCCTAGAAAAAAATTATAATGAATCAATTTTTTTCTTGTAAAAAGAAATTTGTTTACAACTTCCAAAATCTTTGCTAAATGAAGATAATATCAATCATACCAACATGTTTATACAAATAAAATTTATTTTTTTTTAAATAATTATGAAATTTATCAAATAAAATTGCTTATAAAATGTATTTTTTTACAATTTGAAATCATTTAAGCAGATGAGTTTATTTTTTTAATATTATAATATTTGTTTAATAAATTACTCATAAATATTTGAACCAAAATATTCTTCTTTTAATTATTAATTTCAATTTGATAATAAAATAGGAATTTAAATAAGTTGACTAAAAATAAATTCTAAAATATTTTACATTATTTTATAACAATAATAAAAATTAATATTTTTTAGAATATCTTTTTTATAAATGTTTAAAATTTTTCAAAAAATTAATAGGATTAATTTAATTAACTTAATTAATACTATTCAGTACACTAACTATAAATGACACATAATAAAAAAACCTCTCTTGAAATTTACACTTATATTTTCTTTACTCAAACATTTCTTCTATTAATACTGATTAAAAAATTTTTATTTTATAACCTAAAAGCATCTCAGAAAATACTGATACATTTTAGTATTTTATTCTAAAAAGGCATTTATAAACAACTTCTAAAAACTTTGCAAAATATCTAAAATATTAATTAATTATACTAACATATTTATAAAGCAATTATTAAATTTATTATATTAAATTGCAATTATAATATGATTTTTCACAGTCTTAAACAATTTAAATAATGAATTTATGATGTTACAATCCTTAACGAACTTCACACATATACTTAAGCAAAAATATTTTTCCTTTAATAATTTATTTTGATTTGATGATAAAATAAGATTTTGAATAAGTTTATTAAATCTTCATTATATAATATTTTACATTTTTTTATAAATTAATACAAATTGATATTCTTAAAATATGTTTTGTTACTTAAAATTAATTAATACTTTTCAAAATAATAAAATTGAATCATTTAATTGGCTTTATTAATACTATTCAGACATTATCTATTATAAACAATTAATGAAACATAATAAATAAATATACCACTCTTGAATATCTGCATATATATAATTAAATTATTAAAAAAATACGATACATTAAGACTGTTAAAAAAATTTTCGACTTTACTGTGTATAAAGATTTCATATAAAATAGATTCAATTTATTATTTCCATCTCAAAAAAATTTTTTTACAGCTTCTAAAATATTTTCTAAATCTAAATTCAGAATCATATTTAAAAATAAAATTAATTTTATAAAACAATTATGACACTTATTATAATAAATTTATTTTAAGATATACTTTTCTACGTTTTTAAACTATTTAAATAAAGAAAATTGTTATTCATTTATGAATAAATCCTTTATAAACTTTATATATATTTAAACCAATATATTTTATTATTATTTTTTGAATTTGATAATAAAATAGGATTTTAAATATATTTATTAAATTTTCATTCTAAAATAATATTGATTTTTCTCTAATATTAAGTGTTATTTAAAACTAAAAGCTATTTAAAATAATATATCTGAATAATTTAATCAACTTTTATGATAATATTTCATACATTAACTCTTAATGATTCATTATAAATATTCTTCTCTCGAATTCTTCACTTATTTTTTTTATATTATTCAAAAAATCTGATCCATTAATACTGATTTAAAACTTTTCTATTTTATATACTGTCTAAAAAGTTCTTAAAAAACGCTGATTCATTTTCATTTTTCTACTCAATAAAATTTGTTTGCAATTTATAATATCTTTCTCAATTATATATAATATTAATCATGTGAACATATTAATATATGAATATATTTTTATTTTGATATTTTTCAGAATAATTTGCTTTAAAAATGTACTTTTTATACCTCTAAATCATTTAAATAGAAGAGATAGTTTTTTGTTTAAGATACAATTTATATTATATCAAACTACGCATTTCTAATTAAGCGAATATACTTACTTTCTTTTAAGCTTTTTATCTGAATTTATTTATTAAAATGGATAATAAATATGTTTTAAAGATTTTCTTTCTAAAATATTTTAGATTATTTTAAACTTTTGATAAAAAATTATTTTATTTATTTTATGTTATTTTTCATAAAAAATGTTAATGTTTAAGTAAGGTTCATTATTTTATTTTTTAGTTAGGTGAATCATTTTTTATAACTTTATGATCATAATTCTATTTAATAAAAAATGAAACTCTTTCTACCAATGATTAATTAATCAGAAAAATCTTGGATCAAATGATATAGATAAATTTACCGTTGATTAATATTTAGAAGTTATATTTTTTTATAGTTTAATCCAGATTAAAAATAGATAAATGTTTAGATTTATTTTCAAATGGTTCTTTTCTATTTTAATTATTTGTAAATTTAATTTAAAACAATTAAATATTTAAAATTTTTATTTATCAATTTAAAAAGATTATTTATTTTTCTAAACTATTTAAATGGGTTTAATTTTTTCACATTTAATTTAATCAATTTTTTTATTTTAAATTAAATTTGAGAAATTATTTTAAATCTAAAAATAAATTTTTAAGATTGAAAAATTAATTTATTCAAAATATTTTAAATGATAAAATTGAAATTCTAAATTTAAATTAATTCATAATTTTTTTTATAAAAAAAATCTATCTTCTAAAATAAAATAGTAAAAATATTTATTTTAAACTGGATAAAATTATATTATTTTTTCCAAATTTTACACTTCTTGTTTTAAATAAATATAAAAAGCTGATTTTGTAAAAGTTTTTGCTTATTATTTTATTAAATAAAATTCATTTTAAAACTTGTCATTTAAATTATGTTTAAATTAGAAAGATTAATTTGCTAGAATAGTCTTACTTTACTAGTATTTATAGTTATTATCTGTTTGAAATACAGTACTTATTTTTTAGAAAGCATAAATTAAATTAAAATAATTTCTTTATTAACTAGAATTTCTAATCAATATTATAAATTTTTGTAGAAATTAATAAATGATTAAATTTTATAGATAATAAAATGATAAATTAAAAATATTTAAGTGCATTTAATATGTTTAACTATTAATTTGAGCAAAAAATAGTATGTAAGTTAAATAAAAATATTTAACCTTAGATTTTGGTAAAACAAGATTACTTAGCTTAAACCAAAAACTTATTTTAGAATAATTTTGAAGGGAATAAAAAATATTAATTTTTATTAATAATCCTACATATGAAGAGTTTGAGAAATATAGCTCAAAGCCAAATGCCACAAACAATGATATTAATTAGGATGATAGCATTAATTTGTAAATTTTGCGAGTCAGTGACTGTATAAAATCGATAAGGATTTATGAATTTTTTTGTATTTCAATTTACTCAAGTTAAAATAAAAGAAAGATAGAAAAGAATCATAAAAACTGAGTTGCGGTCTCTGTGTGTGTGTGCTTGATTAATCAATTAGATAATTAAATAAAAGAACATTAATAATCAGTATCATCAGTGCATAACATTAATATTATTAAGTAAAAGTGAAAGTTAAACAAAATAGGTTTATTTTAATATTTTAAGTAATTAATATTAGGATAGTAATTTAGTTAGTTACCTTTAGTTTAAGTAAATACATATTGGCTTCCAAGTAAAATTACTCATAGGCGCAGCAATTCGCATAGCAAAATCAATTATTTAAATTAAGATTTGTTTGATTTAGCTTTTTGAGCTTGATTTGTTGCAATTACAACCATTCAATCAAATAAATATTGCCTTAGTTTATAGTTTATGGGAAATTGCTAATAGATTTAAAATCTTCAAGAAAATGAATTAAAAACTACACAAAAAGAGACAGGTATCTATATTGCAGTCAAAATATGGTCGAAAAAAAGTAATGAGCTCTTCAATTATGAAGCTAGGACCTATAAGGAATTAAAATACGACTTGTTAAAGTAAGAAACTCTTCCTAAGTAGCTAAGACATTTATTTTGGAGAAATCAAGATGATGGATTAATGCTATTTAATCCTAATAAGAATATTTCTGTAAGTAACGATAAGCAAGAGAGATCTTTTCTAAGTAAATGGGTAAATCTAAGCTCTCTTGACCGTTAAAATGGCATTGAAATTTAAGTGAATGATGTTTATAAATTTGGCAATACGCTTTTGAAGGTGAAAGATATTTATTTTTCTAATCACCAGCAGAAGTTTAGGAATTCTTTTGATGCAGGAAGCAACTACAATTGTGGATGTAATTCCAAGAAAAATACTTTAATCATAGGAAATTGCTCTGATTAATAGCAGCAATATTCAAAATTATTGTCTGATAAATCATGCTAAAAATAATTAAGCTAAATAAGTAATAATAATAATGGAAAATGCCAGCGCTGTTAGAACGGCTGTTAGGGAAATAATTGGACAGTTATGCAAAAGGCAACGACTATGATGCTTAGCTCCAAGTATTAGGGAACAGAAGAATGCAACGATGATTTGGATTAAAGCTATTTTGATAATAACTGTGAAAATTAGGTAGCAGTAAACACTGAAAAATAAGCTTGCAACTAAAATTGTTGCAATAACGCAAAAAGATCTAAAAAATCTCTCTGTCATAACCAAGGAGAGCCTTTGAGATAGTGTAAAATATGTCTTTAAACAGAAGATGAAGAAAAATTAAATGATTCTTTTTCATAATCTCTTTAAAAACAAAATGATGAGTTAGAGAATAAAGATCATAGTTTTACTTTGCACTAGTCTAATATCAAAGAACATCAAAATTGCCACAACCATTCATTTTATAGTACTTAATATACTTTCAATAATAATCCTCTTATAAGTATTTGTGGTTGCTAAGGATCTATGAAATATGTTCACTTAAAATGTCTTTAGACTTGGGTAAAGAGCAAATAGTTGCTGAATGATTCCTTTAGCAGTAAATACTGCGAGTATTATTCTCACAAGGCAATGATATGTGAGCTTTGTAAGAAGAATTATCCATTGAAAATAAATATAAATGGCAAAAAAGTCTTCCTTCTTCAAATGGAAGAATAGAACGAGGAAGAAGGCACTAAGATTATATATCCCGCCAGCACTGGATCTCGCTAAGATTCAAATGTAAACTAAGCTGTCATTTCTATGCGTTAAAATAGTCAAGAGAATATCTTGCAAATTGATAATGAAGACGATGATAACATTGCTGATTAAGATGAATCACCATTTGAAGGACATGACAACAACGAAAATGAAAGCATTTAAAGCAGCGAGGATGAAGGAGATGATTAAAATAGCCAAAACTCTGAAGGAGATGAAGAAGAGTAAAATGAAGACCAAGAAGAAGAGGAATAAAAAACAGACTGGGAAAATTTAACAAATCAAAAGAAAAGAGAGAAGAAAAAGAAAACGAAAAGATTTGATAACTATGTCATATTCGAAATTTCTAATTCTTAAAATACTTCATTAAATGGTCTGATAATACTTAATTTATAAAAAACCTACGAAAATAAAGCAAATCTAAACAAAACATACAGCTCTGATCAAAATAAAAATAGCTCAGTATTAAAAACTATTTTCACTCTTGGAAGATAAAATTCATGTGATATTAAAATTAATGATATAACAGTAAGCCGCTTTCATGCAGAACTAAAAGTTAACTATGAAAAAGGTAGAATATTTTTGAAAGACACAAACTCTAAATTTGGAACTTTAATTAAGCTTAGAAAGGAGCTTGTAATTAATAAAAAATTGGATGGAGTCTAAATATAAATAAATAATGTGTGCTTAGAATTTTGTATTGGATAAGATCCATAGTAGGAATTTTATAATTAACAATATACAAATAAACAAGGGAAGGAAAAAGACTCCAGAGCGACAATATGCTAGTTCTCTACTTGCTTCAAAACCAATAATACCAGCAAACCTGACTACGAAATCAATATTCAAGATGCTAGTTTTAAATTTAGGGATTAAGAATACAGTCCAATCGAGTAGCTACATGATTTAAATCCCTTAGAGTTATCATATTAAAATTGACCAGTACTAACTTATTAACACACTTCTATTAATCAACAGTCCAATTAATCAATCAATTAATAACTAATCATCAATCAACCAATCAGTCTTTCTATCTGTGATCTTAGCCAGTATTTTCAAATTAATCTCTATTTATTCTACCATGAATAATAAATAAAAGCTTCCAGTAAAAATAATCAAGAAAATATAAAAAAAATACAATAAAAGAAGATATCAATATATAATTCTACTTTTAATTAATTTCAAAATGTAAAATAAACCATTAATAAAGAAATATTTTAATAATAAAAAAAATGATCTAATTTCTATTTATCCACATTTAATTCAAAGTATAAACAAGTATAATTTTTTTTTTCTAAGCCAAAAATATTTACATAAATCTAATAATATTAAAATTAATAATATGATATCAAAAATTACTAAGTCTTTATAAATTAATACTGATATTTAAATTTAATTTAAGTGAATCCTATCTATTTACAACTATTCAGTTTATGTATAAATTACAATTTATTCAATTTAATGATTTTTAAGTTTATTTTTTCATGAAATATAAAATTAATAACTAAAATTATATTTTACAATTTATTTATTCTTGATTTTATTAATATCTTAAAAATAATCTTCAATCATAAACAAAAAAATATTATTATTCAAATTTATAAGAATTTTGAAAAAAAAATTTATTTATTATTCAATCTATTATAGATTTTTAAATTGTTTATTAAATTAAACTTATTTCAACTAATTAATAGAATGAGTTTTAAGCTTATGAAAAGGTATTTTGATTTTATAAGGAGAACTTTATTGAAATTAGTAAATTATAATACATGCTACTCTATTGCCTCAGATATAATATAAAAAAGTAGTTAGTTCCCAATTTAGTAAGTATTTTTTAATATCCAAAAAATTTAATTTTTAGACCTTAAACCTGAGGGGGTTTATTGAAGGGAATATAGTAATAGAGTATTCATATTTTTATAAATAAAAGACTTTTCAAAAAATACTTTATTTTTTGAAACAAAGTGAAATATTCTAATTAATAAAAAGAAAGGTTTTTGATAGATATTCTAAAATTGATCTATTTTTTAAAATTTGAATAGTGCCTTACTTATCAAGATTAGAGATTAAGAAAATCTGTTATATTGTAATTTTAAGACCAATCACTAAAGAAATAAAAATATTTTTAGTAACCCTTTGTAGTAAGCTATTTCATTTATTTAGTTTAAAGCTTAATATTATTTAATTAATTTATACTAATAATAAAATGAATTATTATGAATTAAATTTTAAATGAATGAATTGTAATTAGTTTCTTTAAAAATTCTTCAACAAAGAAACATAGAGATAACATTTATATTTTATAAACATTTGAATACTAAGTATTAATATTTAATATTTTCCCCATCCATCCATAAATTATTATCTACAAATTTATAATTGTTTTTAAACATTTAAAATATATTACTCTGGTTCAAATTTTTATTCTTGACCTATACTACATCTCAAACAGGAATTAGGATTTTAATTATGAATGAATGTGCACACTTTTTCTATGAGAAGGACAAAAGTTTTATTATTATAGTTACTAGAATTCCAATAGTTATAGTAATCTAAAGAAAATTTGCCATTTTCATCTATATTACATTGGTAAGGTAGTGGTGAAATAAACTTCAGGTCTTACCTTTGGAAAATATTTAATAAATTAGAATTCATTCAGCTTTGTAAATTCCATTTTTGTGAATTGTATTTTTTTCACCCTCTTTTCATTAAAAATTAATTTAAAACAATTATATAAAATAATATTTTGTATTTTTATTATACTTTAATAGACTTATTTTAATAATGCAATAATACAGAATAACTCCATCACCATTTTTATATTCAATTACTTATATCAAATTACTCATTTAAAATTATCTTTTCTATTTATTCCATAAATGAGATATTTGATATTTTAGAGCAGTTTCACAGTCTTGGTCATCTTAAAAGTCTGGGAATTTTGCTTTTTATAGAGCTTTTCAAATCTATTGAGGAATCAGTTTATTTACATAAAGCATATATTACTTAGAGCTCTGTTGAAATAGGAAAAGTGAAGTCTGAGTTTGTTTTTTTAAGAAATGGTTTAGATTTAAAAAAATTGAAAATTAGATTTCTTAATTAAAGAAAAAACAGAAGAAAAAAAAGTAAAAGTAGTATCACTTAAAAAAAGAGTGGGACTATCTTAAAATAATAACCATATTAAAAAGAACTAAAAAAAACCAAGACCAATAAGAGTTTAAATAATAAAAATTGAGAGACAACCATATTTGGGATGGTTATTTAAGGAGAGAAGTAATCCTTTCAAGAAGGTACGAGCTAAATTATACATAAATTATATTCAAAAATAATACATTGATATGCAGAGAGTTGATTAGTATTAAAAATCAATATTATAGATTGATTAAGAGCTCACTTTATCGCATTCACCTCAAGAATGCATTAAAAAGTTCTAAGATTTAGGATTGCTTAATCATGTACCTTTCAGTGAAAATTAAGTATCTAGTTCGAAAATAAATGAGTATAATTAACAATAAAAATCGAGTTTATGGCTGAAAGTATGTTGCTTAAAGTGTCAAAATATGAAAAGTATTAGATATGACTCTATATTTTGATAAAAAATTCCTCATTGCTTGCTTTCTTCGTTTATTTTATTCTTTCTCCAAAAATCTCTCAACAACTTATGCATAGAATATGGCATAATGTGATATCAGTACTGTTAAAGATTTTTGAATCAGCACAATTTTAAAAAATATTATTTTAATATAACTCTTTAAAAAATTCACTAATTATAAAGAGTAATCACTTTAAAAAATAAAAGCTAATACAAATACGAAAAATTCTTATGTAGGATTTTTTAAAAATTTGAAAATAAGGTAATCTATCATAGAAATACGTGTAAATTTGAAAAAATTGGTTACTATTAAACTGGTTGAATTGAGAATGTTAGAAATTGTTATAAAATATTATGATCTGGTGTTTATTTCTTTATCCTGAGCGCTTCCTGGAAGACTAAGCTTCAAATTATTTCTAAAATGGTACACAATTTTTAATTTTTACTCCAGTTAGTATCTAATTTACCTTTAAGATTAGATTTAAGATTTCCATGCTTCTGAAATATTTTTTAAATGTTATACAGGGTATTTATATGAGGATATTAATCAAGATCTACTTTCTATAAAGATTTAAATATCTCCTTTACTGATTAGTCTATTTCAAGATATCCTTATATCATTATTCTTAACTCTTTTGGGATTTAAATTTTAATAATTTCTTATTTAAATTGCTTATTTAAAGAAAATTTTATCTGCTAATTATTTAATTAAGTAGTCGTTAATATTTGAATTTAAAAATTAATATTATTTAAGCTGTAAATATTTATTATATAAATACATTTTATTTAACATATATCTCAGCCAAAAAAGTGTATTCAGCTTAATTCTTTTTTACATAAAGTATTAATAAAGTGAAATAAGATCAACAATAATTGATTGTTATAAAACAAATAAGACAATAAGAATAATTAAGTAAAGCATAAATATATATTTATTGTAAGAATTTTAAAGTGAGCTGAAAAAAGCTTAAGCAATTAAATAGTAGAGTAAGACTCAATAATTATTTTGGATATTAATTACGATTTGATTTATCAACTATTACATAAGCAAGTAGAAAAAAAATAAGAGGAAGAAATAAATTAATAAAAACAACAAAAATAAAAAAAATATTCATCTATTTAAGAAATTCAATCTTCATATATATATTTAAGAATAATTATTAATTTAATATTTAAATAAATAATAATATATATTTTTAAATTAAATTTTTAATTTTTGAATGAATCTGAAAATTATTTTTATATGTAATAATTAAACAAGCGTTGTTTGAGTAAACTTTTAAATACTTTCAAAATTAATCTAAAATTAAAAAATAATATTTTCAAAATCAAGTTCGTAAAATTAAAAAGTAGAACTATTTTTTCTGCATTTTAACATAGATTATGTATTAAAATTATTCATTAATTGCTTTCTAGATTCATTTTATTTTATTTAGTAAAATGTAGGATGCTTAACTAAGAATATCAAAAAATCAATAAAAATGATTTTAACATTTATTTTGAGTAAAAATATAATTAAATTGAAATAAAATATTTTTTATAATTATTTAATTAAGAAAGTTTTATAATTTAAACCCATATATTATCCAAAAAATTTAATTTTCGGACTTTAAACCCTAGGGGGTTTATCTTAGAGAATAGAGTAATAAATAGAGTATTTTTATTTTTATGAATAAAACACTTTTAATTTAAAATAATAAAAAACACTTTTATTTTTGAAGAATAGTGAAATATTCTAATTAAATTAAAAAAAAAGAAAGATTTTTGATTAGTATTCTAAAATTGATCTATTTTATATAATCTTAAATAGTATCTTACTTATCAATATTAGAGTTTAAGAAAATCCTTCCTATTATAGAAGAAAAGCTTAAAAATTCTAAGATCAGTCACTAAAGAAACAAACAAGTTTTTAACAAATATTTAGTAGATTCTTAAAATGATTAATAGTTTTAATTGTTTTTAAAACTAAAGCTATTTTAAAACTTATGCACTTAAAATAAAATATTAAAGTATTTTAAAATAATTTTCAAAATGAATATAATAATTTTTAGAATCATTTTAAACTAAAAAATTTACAATTCATTTGTATATTTATATTACTTAAACGGTTACAAAATTTTTTTTATTTTATATTAGACAGAAATTTCTCATTATCGCAATTAAATTTATCAAAATATTTTATTTATTTAAATGATTAAAGAAAAATAGTAAAACATACCAATCGATAAAATCTAAAGTATTATGAAATTTTATATAAAATAATATAAACTGTTTTTATTCAAATTAATTTATATTTATAAAATAAATTAATTTCTTTTCACATAAAATATGGTAATCATAAATTATTATTCTTATTGCAAAATAAATAAAAATTATTTCACTTATTTAGTATGAAGTTTAATATTATTTAATTAATTTGTATTAAAAATAAAATGAATTATTATGAACTAAAATTTAAATGGGTTAGTTGTAATAAATTTCTTTAAAAATTCTTCAGCATAAAGATGGCATATATAATATATTTATTTGAATACTAAATATTAATATTTAATATTTTCATCCATCTAAAAATGCTTACCTACAAACTAATGCTTACTTTTATACATTTTAAATATATTACTATTTATTACTTTATTCTTCTTTACCTATACTATATCTCAAACAACTTTCATTGTTTTAATTATGAATGAGTGTGCACAAATTTTCTATGAGAATGACAAAAGATTTTTTATTATACGTAGAAGAATCCCAATCATTATAGTAATCTAAACAAATTTTACCATTTTCATCTATATTACTATGGTAAGGTAATGGCGAAATAAACTTTCCTTCAGGTCTAACCTCTGGAAAATCTTTAGTAAATTAGAATTCAGCTTTGTAAATTCCATTTTAGTGAATTGTATTACTTTCACCATAAATGAGGACATTAAGCTTTGTTGGATCTTTTTTATTTTCCTCAACACTGAAAGAGCTGCCTTCTATTTCACACTAATGAGTAATGCACTTAAGAAATTCTTGTTAAACAATATTTTAAACTTCCATTTGTTTTTCTTAAATTTTTTATTGATTAATTTTTTGATAATTATTCTTAATTTTTTTTAAAGATGTATTTGAAATTTGAAGAATTCTTAAAAGCAATATATTAAAAGTTTTGGTAGTTTCTAATAATTTTGAAATACAATTTATTTTTATTATTACTAAATACTTAGTATACTTGGTGATGGTAATGCCATAATAATTAAATAGAATAATTAAAAATAAAATAATTTTAATATTTTTTGAGTATTACTGAATTTATTTACAAAAAAATCTAAATATTTTAGGATATATTTACAGAAGAATTGTATATATTTTTAAATAAAAATAAATGTTTTCTTTTAGTAATGCAATAATATAGAATATCTTTATCAAAATATTTTGGCGACTCAATAAATTAAACACTTTGTCAAATTTTATACATTTAAAAAGAAAATATTTATTTTAATTATTTTATTTATTTGTAATTAAAATAGAATAAGTTTTGTAATAGAAGATTAAATTTAGATAATAAAAGACTTTTATTAATTTTTTGTTTAATTAATTATGTATTTTTCTTAACTGCGTCATTAAAATACCCTAAATTAAATGAATGCTGTGCAAACTTCTCTTTTTTTCTACTTATCTCTAACATTTTAAATATTCTTATCTTTAAATTATAAAAATATTCTAAGTAATTACATTTATACATTCTCAGGGCTCTATAATTTACACATTTAAGCTAATTTAACAGAATTTATAACTTATTTGTTAACTTTTTGTAAGTTATTTTTATAACCCAAAAATATTTGTATTCAAGAAAATTTAAATCTATATAGATAGTATTTAATTTACTGCTAAAAATTCAATTGATCAACTATAAATTTTGGGCTTTTATCTTTTATTTATTGTATCTTTCTTTTTAAGTAATATTCTAACAAATCATTTATGAAATCATTAATAGTCTTAAGTCTTTTTTTTGATTGAAATAACAAAAATTATAAAGCTTTTTAAGATATAATCATAGAGTGTTATACTAAATCAGAAAGCATAAATCAAAATGGTTCTATCTATTTATAATTTTATAAGAAATTTTTTAAAACCATAACATTTTTATATAACTTTTGCTTTTTTATCATTGATCTATTTTTAGAGAAGATAAAAGAAAAAAAAGTAGATTTTATGGAAGGGCTTTATAAATTTAGGAAATACTTGCTACATAAATGCAGCTCTCTAGCTGTTGAGATAAATCAATATTATTAACTCTAATTTTTTAGATTAGTAATAATCATGGTTAGCAAATTAGCTTAAATAGCTTTTTAAAATGATTGATGAAAGTGAGTAAGTAGAAGAATAGCTTAAAAAACTTCACTCAATATCTTAATAACATTAGATTCATGAACTTAAAGGAGGTGATAGCTATTAAATATTATTTACATTTTTAAGGACCATTAATAGTGATATTAATAAAAGATGCTTTGCCTTAGGATAAAAAAATGTGCTAAATAATTTTGAAAGGCATATATCGATTGTGTCATTAGATGGTTATTAATGTTAATAATGCCATTAATTTTGATAAAAAGAAAAGAATTAAATAGAAATAATTGAAGAAAAAAATTTCAGCATTGATATTCATAACTTTAATGATCTTCATAAATTATAATCTATCTAATAAGAGAGTGAAATGATAAATTTTTGTTAAAATTGCAACTCTTAAACAAAATTTAAGACAAACAAAGTCATTAAAAATCTCCCGCAGTTCATAGTTGTTAAATTTTCAGAATAAAATTTACAAAATCTAAGCCAATCTTAATGTAAAAAAGAGATATTCCTTCAAGGGAGTGCTCACCCTTATAAAATTATAGGTTACTGTAGTTATACAGGCAGCCATTATACATATACTGCTAACTATGATGATGTTTGGATACAATTTAATGACAGGAGAGTTTAAATTGAGTAAAAAGGATTTCAAAGAATATACTATTTACTATTAATGAGGGTTTTAAATGAACTAATGAATGAATGGTTCAACATAATAAATAGATTAAATAGTAGCAATAAAAAAGACAAAATAAATAAATAAATAATTTTTTATAATAACAAATTTTAATTTGAACTTAATTATTGTATGAATTTTATGTATTAATCAGATACATTCTCATAAATATAAAAATAATTAGAATATACATAAATACCAACTTTAATTAATTTGATCTTTGATTTATAAATACATTATTTGAATTTGTTATTTTATTTTTAATAATCTTAATTTGGTAAAAATAAAATACTTTTATCACTTTATTACTTTTAATTTTACTTATAAATAATAATAATAAGTCTGTTTTCTATAATTATTTTAAATACAATTAAAAAACTTTGAATACTTACTTTCTTATAAAAAATAGATTCATTATTATTGATTCAAAACATAAATTATCAAAAAAAATTAAAACTAAAACAAATAAATGTAATAATTACTGGCATGTTGTTGCCCCTGGTTTTATAAAACTAAAAACGAAGAGTAAAATTTAGATTAAAATAATAATTAAAATAACGAATTTAATGATTAAAGGAATATAAAAACTAAAAAAGAAAATAATCAAGCAATATAAGATAATTCAGATTTAAAAAGGAGCTAATATAATTAGAAAAATAATATTTACCCCTAAATGTCAAATAATAATTAATAATTTAATAATAGGATTGTTTATAAATAAGAACTTAAAAATACTAACTATAATAATAATAACAAAGATTTAAAAGATTTAGATAATAAACCAAATGGAATGGAAGATAAATAAAAAAGTTTTAATAAAAAGGAAAATAATTCATAAAATAGTAAAAACTAAAAAAATCAAAAATTTGTAAAAGAGAATGACAAACAAATATAAGAAAGATATAATTACTCAAATTAAGATAAAAATAATAATCAAAATGAAAACAGAATATAATAAATAAATTCTTACTCCTAAAAGAAACAAATTAATAAGAAGCTTTAAATTTCAGATTAGGATAGATTTAATATCTAAGAATAGGATTTAAATCGCAATAAATAAGATTAAAAATTTTAAGACAAAAATAGAGAAATTTAAACTTATTATGGCATATAAAATCTAGGGAACACCTGCTATATCAATTCTGCCCTCCAAATGCTGAGATAGATTTATGAAGAAAATGAGTAGTTTTTGGAGTAAAGATCTTATTTTGCCTAAAATTTAAAAGAATTCTTTTAAGGTCTTAGTAAAGGTTATGTTAACAGATAGTTATTAAATGACTTTATCAGTATTTCAAATTAAAAGTAAACTCATGAGTAAAAAGGAGGAGATTCTTATTTGACTGCCTTTAATTATCTCTCTAAAATTATAAATGAGACGAATGAATACAAATAAAATAATATTAATGAGTATAAACTAACACAATTTTAACAAATATTTACAATAATATTTTAAGATGGCTTATATTGTAAAAAATGTAAAAAATATTTGATGGATTCTACAGATATTCCATATATGAATGAACCTGATTCAAGCTTAGATTTGCAAAATTTTCCTAAATATAGAATAGAGTCAGTTTATAAGAGAATTTATACACAACAATCTTACTGTAATCAATGCAATTAAAAATCTAAATTGAAAACTTTAAGAAGTATTGCTTTCTTTCCTTAATTTCTGATAGTAAAGCTGCCTAAATCATCATTCAAGCTTGGGAAAAAGTAATAAAGAATTAAATTTGATAAAATAAGTTATTAATTAATAGGGTATTGTAATTACGATGGTGTTCATTATACTTATACAGCTAAATAAAATAATATTTGGATAACTTATAATGATTCAATAACTTATTAAGTATATAAATTAAATTTAAGGTACTCAATATATCAACTTTACAAAAAAATGTGATTCTCCCTCATTATATCTTATTGAAATTAAGACAAGATTTGATAAAAAATTACTCTATATACATTTACATAATGTAATATTTATTTGAAATAGATAACTTTTGAGTAGTATTGAAATAATTTCTAAAAAATATCTATATTAATAAATTAGAATTGAATGTGTTTATTTATAAATTCTTTAATTTTTTTCAAATGAGATTATTGAATATTTTTTTCTTTTTGAATAATTAATTAATCCAATACTTTTTCTAAAACTGATCTTGATAAATACTTTTTTGATAAAAGCAACCATTATTAATTGATCAATTTAGTTAATATTCTAAAACAAAAATAAAAGTATTTTATATTTTGACATTGTCTATAACTAAAAAATAAATATTTTTATTAAAAGTGTTTTATTTTACAAATATTGTTGATAACCTATTTGAAATTACTTATTTTTAAATTGCTCCCTTTAAGATATTTGATAAATATTTTATGTAAAAAATACTCAAAAATTAAACAAAGAATGAGTAAAAATAAAAATGAATACTAAAAATAAAATTAAAAGAATTCTAGCAAAAATAAAAAAACCTCCAATGGTTTTAAAAATCAACCTAAACACAAATTAATAGAAAATCAATCGCCGAATAAGATAACAGATAAAGAAATAGAGGGGGAATATGAAGAAGAAAGCAAAAAAGAATACAACAAAGTGACTGTAGGATTCCAAAATTTAGGTAATACATGCTACTTAAATACTGCTTTGCAAACGATAAGACAAATCAGTTGTATTAGTAGTGACTCTCTTCCTGATACTATATTTTGTGAAACTCTCAAAATTTTATTTTAAAGCACCAATTGTAATCACAAAACAAAATATCTAAACTTTGTATTTGATATAATGTAAAATTACTAAATACATCTAGAAAATGGAGGAGATGCATATTAGTGCCTTATAAACTTGCTTAGAAAAATCTATTCAGAAATAACTAATAAAAAAGGCATAGAATAGTTTTAAAAAAGCTTCTAAGCTATTTTTGAAGATGGAGTTTTCTGTAATAATTGTAAAAAGTATGAGGAATCTAAGGAAGTTTAATATTGCCATATTTAAGAAGAAATTATTGGGATAGAAGATTTTTCATTAAACTCAGCGATTATTGAACCTCAATCTCTTTATTAGGATAGTGAATGTAAATACAATTGCTCGACTTGTAATCAACCTACTCTTAAACCTTTTAGAGCGATTATATCTGCTCCTAAATTCTTGATTTTTAAAGTAATAAAATAAGAAATAAGTAATCAGCGAAATAATAAAAAAAAAGCTCAGAAATAAACAAATTATTCACAATTAAATACAAAAATAGAAGATTAATCTTAATCCTTTTGTTATAATTTAATTGGTTGTAGTGAGTTATCTAATAGTCACTATACTTACACTGCAAAATATGATGATTAATGGTATCGCTTTAATGATTCATATGGGTAGAAAATAGAAAATTTTAATATTAACAATAATAATAATATTAATTATTTACTATATATTAATGATAAATGAGGAAATTAAGAGATTTTTATTTTTGTAAATTTTCATGAACAACTACATTGTATTTTTTATTTTCATTTTCCATTTTAAAATTAAATAAACAAATAAATTAGATGATTAAATTAAAAATAATCAATTTGTTATTGAATAAGATATCATTTTAAATTAAAAAAGAATTTTTTTTGATAGATTTTTAGTTTTTAGAAAATTAGAAATTAATTTAAGATAATTTTTTTGAAAAATAATTATGATTGTGCTTGATGTAAAAAGAAGTTACTCAACTTTTGATTTTGTGTATATTAACTTTTTTGTTTAAAATAATCCTTTACTTCTAATTACCAAAACTCATGAAAATATTTTATAAATTTATTTGTTTTATTAATATGAATACTTTTTAAAAATCAAACTCATTTTAAAATAAAAGCTACTGTTTGCCAATCATGAATGAATAAAAAATTTATTATAGATATAAGCAAATTGACATTTCCCTATTTTCTTAAATATTCTTAAGAAAAAAAGAAGAATTTAGTTTGCTTTATAAATTAATTTTGAATCTTGAAATTTTTAAAAGCTTCACTTAAAATAAGTAAATTTTAATATTATTATTTGATTTCAACTTAAATAAAATAAATTTAAAATGTAAAATTATAATTAAAAAAACTATTATTAAAATGAGTGAGCTGATTTAAAATCATAAATTTTATTTAAAAATAAATAAAAAAAGGCTTAAATGCCTAAATAAATTTAATAATTTTTTAGTCATTATATTAATCTAGTTAATAGTTTATCCATGAAGTGCTATATTTTCTAAATGTCTTTCTCTTCTACTACAGATTGATCATGTCATTCTTAACTAGATTCTTTACTACCTCTGAGACATTGTCATTAGCTTCTCTTATAGCCGGTTTCATATGATTAATATGTAATAAATAGTTCCTTTTCAGGCATGGTACCTTTAAACTATCTAGAAAAAAATTTGCAAATCTATTAGCTCAAAGTTATATTAGCCATTTTATTTATGTTTTTATTTTGTTTAATTAATATATTTTATTAAACATTACATTTTTTACCCGCCTTTTAATAAGAATAAAACCTATTAGAATATTAACAAATTAATTAATAACATTTTTTTATTTTAATTAAATCCTAAATAACTAACCCCTAAGGTAAATTGCAATATTTTTTGATTAAAATCAGTACTATAAATAAAAACGAGCAAATCCAATAATAAAGATAATTATTAAAAAAAATTAAAAAATCCAAATAATCACTCAAATATTAACTAAAATAAATCAAATAAAATGAGCATAAAGGTTATGTTTATATAATTAGAAGGCTAACACTAAGGCTAAAAGGCTATTAAAGACTTTCCTTCCTCTACAACTTTAAAATAGGCTGCAATCGCTTGTAACATACCTATTAAAGATATGACCTTTAAATGTAATCAGGAAGCTTTAGATAACCTTGATAAGACTTTATAAGATATCAAAGATATTTATAATACAAATTCTCCAGTTCTTATTGTGAGAGTCTTTAAAAAAGCAGTTGGAGGCTTAGAGTGAACTAGTCATAATCCTATTCAATATTATAAACAAAAATAAAAATAATTAATATACTAGATTATTCACTGTGTTTTTTTATTTTTTACTGAATAATAATTTTTGTTATTTTGCTATCCCATTCGAATATTATCTTATTTAATTTTAAAGATTTATCATGGTCAATTAAAATATTTTCCTTTTATAATGATTAAAAATAATGCAAATTTATTTTTATAGTCAAAACAAATTAACAAAATATACTATTTTAATGTATTTGTACTAAATAAATTAAAGAGTTTTATACTCAATTTATAAAGATAATACTATTTCAATTTAAAATAATATAAATTAATGCTCTTATTAGTAATCCATATCTTCATCTAAGAAGCATTGAAAAAAATAATTAAAAATAATTTGATTCGCGATAAAAGATAGCTACTTTACTCATTTCAAACAATTTTGTGAATGATTAAACAATTATTCAATTGATAAAATTAATAAGCTTTTTAGAATTATTTCGTAGAGAATAGATGAGCAATCTAAAAAAATAAATCTAAAAATGTATAATTAAAAACAGATATTGCTAGGAAATACATAAAATGATTAATTACTATTATTTTCCCCTTTAAGCTATTCATAATATTTCTGATTTAATAAAAACTTTATTTTGTGAAGGAAAAGGAAGTATTTTTTGTTTATATTCTAATTAATTATTAAAATAAAACACTTTTATTTTTTAAAAATTAATTATAAAACTAAAACTCTTTTATCCCTGAAATAATATGAATATTCTAATTAATAGATTTATATTATGTTTAATAATAATAATAATTACTTAAGTCATAACTTCATTATTAATCACTAGGGATTGACCATATGACCATTTTTATCATTCGGCCATATAATATACCGAATTTTTTTAAAAATTATTCAGCCGTATACCGTATCATGAAATTTATACGGTCGATCCCTATTAATCACTAATTAAAATTGAAATTTTAACTTGCTTTAATGATGAATTCTTAGGTTTTTTAAATTCTATAAATATAATAATATTTATTATCTAAAAAATAATATTATTTTCAATAGTAACATAAAATTTAAATATTCAAATTATTATAAAAAAGACTATCTTAAAAAAAATATATAAATTTATAAAATTTAAAACAAAAAAATATTTTAAAGTATTCTTTGACTTTATTAGTTATTTAGTTTATCTCATATTCTTTTCAATAAAAAGTATATTGCTTTAGAACAATCTGGTCTTACTTCGCTAGAATTTTAATCATTAAATTCAATCCACTTATTATTGTATTTTGCAGTATAAGTATAGTAATGACCATAATAACTACAGAATCCAACTATTTCATATTTTTAAGTTGTTTTTTAGTTTACTAAAAATTCGAATTATTTATCTAAGATATATAGACATTATTCTTTTGGAATAAAAGATAGTAATCTAATTAGCATAAACTTAGGTGCATATTTGTATTTTCTGATTGACTGCAATTAATCTCTACATATAGGGCAAATAAGATCATCACTGTTTATCTGTTTAAACAAATCTAAATCACTATTATCTTAAAAGGCATCATCTAATTTACTGCATTCGTATCCAAATTCTTAATAATCTAAACAGGTTATAAATTAACTAGTATTTGGAATTTTTTACCTTTCACATTTACCACACTTTAATTTGTCTTTATAATTACGCGAAAACAAATCATCAAATTATTATTTTTAATTATCAGGTAGAGATTTTTTTATTTCATAAAGAAAATCATAAATACACATATAGGTATCTCCACTATAAGTATGCTCCTGATTTTATTTAGATTTTTCAGCTATTTTTTAAATCCAAAATTAAATTTTTTTAGTATTTCTTTCTTCCATGCATTGAAATAGTTGTAAAAAATCTTTAGAAAAGCCAGGGTTTTCAAATATTTTTTAATCAAAATAGTAAACTTACCTTAGCGTTTAAATTGTAGAATTAATGTAGCATTTTAAACCAATATTTGGTAGACCTATTTTTATTTTATCAAGATATTAGCTCTTATTTAAATATATTGATTCAAAATGATATTGATTGTTTCTTTCAACCATTCTTCTATCTCTTGAACTCAAATGATTTTATTGAGAAGTTGAATTTTAGGTCTAACTTTCATTATCAAGTTATTGTTGTTTTTAATTATCCTAATTAGATTTTTATTAATTTTAAAGGAGATGGTTTTTTATAGAAATCTCTAAGTGCTCAGATATATAATTTACTTAATTTTACTATAAATTATTTTAAGTTTCAGCCAAACTTTTTTAAGTATTTTAAATTTTGTTTTAGCTTTCACAATTTGCATTATTTTTTTCCAATTTCTAATTATTTTCTTAAATTTTAAGTTAATCATTATTTTGTATTTTATTAGTATTTGAAGAGCTAATAATTGTTTGTTAATAACCTTTTATTAAACTGTCTTCTCGAGCTCTTAATTTTACATTTTAAGATAATATTTAATACTTCTTTAAATTACTTAATTCAGATTTCTCATAACTGGTTAACTCAAATTAATTGTAAGAAGTGATCAAACTTTTAGAAGAACTTTATGAATCAGAATCTCTTGTTTAATCTTTATTGTTAATATTATTTTAAGCAGAATTTGAGTTAAAAGATGTTGAATCTAAATTTTTGCTTATACTTTGATTATTATTTTAAATTTATTAACTTTTTTAAATGAAAATCTAATTTATTTTCTCTTCATTTAGATAGTTTTAAAAAGAATAATTTAATTTTTAATTATTAAACTGATTGAAGCCAATTTCCTATACAATTTTATTAGCATTTTGTAAGCTATTAGATCTATATTTGATAAATTGATTCAGTGCCTATTATTAAGCTATCTATGAATTAGGGTCGAATTTAGATGCATTTTACAATTATTCTGAATTTTAGTTAATGCTTTTTTGGTATTATGGTTATGGAGAGTTTAAATTTCTATTAGCAATTGAAGAACTAGTAATTGTTCTTAGATTATAAATATTTTGAGTTGCCACATTCTTTTAGTTAGTTTAGCAGTTAGTTTGATTTTCATTCTGCAAATGTTAATTTATTTAATTATTTTAATATTATTATTAAGATTTTGCTGAATTCTATTATTATTAGATATATTAACTATTCTCAAGATTTTTTTTATTATACTCTAAAGTTAAAAAAGAAGGTGAAGTTCTTATCATATATTTTGTTTATTTATTAGAATCTAATTTAAAGTTCCTCTAATAATTATTTGATAAGTTAAAATTATTTTCATAGCTATTTTTATAATTCGGAGTATATTGAAGGATTTACCCTTTATTAGCAATTTTACAATTATCTTGCATTTAATATTTATAATACAACTCATTTTTTTAATCTTAATAATTAGGAGTTCTTTTTTATCTATTATTATGTGAGATAACGTAATTATTTGTTCTATATTAAAAACTAGGTTATCTATCACTAAGATAAGTATCTGTGACTTTGTTTTATGGTTTTTCAGAGTTTTTAATTGCATATTCTTACAAATTTTAAGTAGGCTTTTAAAATTAACTCATATAATTACTGCTTTATCTCATTTCTTATTTTATTTAAGGTTAATTTAACTTAAAAATATTAACTTTATTGTAGTAATAACTCATAATTTTTTATTATCCTTTATTTTTATTAAATTAATATTTATTTATAAAAGATACTTTTTCTCATAAATATATAAACATAGAAGTTATTAAGAAAGAATTAAAAGTTTACAAAATTTCACAAACCTAATTCTATAGAGTAATATTTTAAAAATATTTATATCAAAATAAAAACTTGTTTATGTGTAATTTTTAATTTAAAATACCTAAATTTCTTAATATGATAAACAAACATACTTAAAAAATTTAGGATTTTAGAAAGAAAAAAAGCTTTTAAATAAAAGTATTTTATTTTGTTTTTAAAGAAAGTTAACTAAATATATAAAATATATTTAATATTATGAAGTAAATCAAATACTAAATTTTATTCATTTAAAATACTTTTATTTTTTTCAAAATAGATATTAACGGGTGAGGAAAATCAATTAATAAAAAATTATGAATTTTTCTTCTATTCTATTTTTAATTAGAATATCTATAGATTTTCTAAATTAAACTGATAAAAAATAAAAGTGTTTTATTAAAAATATTTCTATTAATGTATTTATATTATTTTTTTCTCAATGAAACTCAAGCTTTTTGACTCAAAAAAAGTCACGATATTTACATTCAAGTATATTATTATCAATACCATTATCTTTTAAAAAAATATAGTTTTAAAATTTGTATTAATTTCATTTAATTAATTTTATAAATATCTATATCATAATAAAAATTTAGACAGAAAAACTATTTTTAAATTTTTTGAAAGAAATTTGTAAATAAGATTTAAAAAAAAAATATTCATTATTAATATAAAAATTATTTTAAATGCAGGAACAGCTATATATCTTTATTCTTAAAAAAAATTATATGTCAATTACTTAATTAAGTAGTCGGTAATATTTTAATTTAAAAATTAATATTATTTTAGCTATAAATATTGATTATATCAAAACATTTTATTTGGCAGGTATCTCTGCAAAAAATATGTATTCAGCACAAATCTATTTTACAAAGAGTAAAATAGAGTTAAATAAAATCAACAATAATAGATCGATAAAAAACAAATAACACAATAAATAATTAAGTAAAACATAAATATAAAATTATTGTAAGAAGTTCATAGTGAATTGAAAAAAACTTATGCAATTTAGTTATAGAATAAGCTTCAATTATTAATGGATAGTAATTTAGATTTAATTCCTCAACTATTACATTAACAAGAAGAAAAAAATAAGAGGAAGAAATCAATTAACACAACAAAAAATATACATTCCATCAAATAAAGAAATCCAATCTTCATAATTAATTTAATGTTTGAATAAATAATTTATTTATTTTTTATATTAAATTTTTTATTTTTAAATAAAGGAAAATTATTTTTATATGTAATAAATTAAATAAGCGTTATTAGAGTAAAGTTTGAAATACTTTCAAAATTAATCTAAAATTAAAAAATAATATTTTCAAAATCAAGTGATTAAAAAATTACATCACAAAGTAGAACTAATTTTTCTACATCTTAACATAAAATATGTATTAAAATTATTCATTAATTATTTTCAAGATTCATTTTATTTTTTTAATAAAATATAGGATGCTTAAATATAAAATAAACTCATTTCATCCAATTTATAGGATGAATTTTAAGCTTATGAAAAGGTTTTTTGATTTTCAATGAACAATTTTATTGAGATTAGAAAATTATCATAATACTCTATTCTCTCAGATAACGTCTAAAAAGGTAAGTATGTAGTTAGTTAGTAAGTTCCCAATTTAGTATCGAAAAAATTTAATTTTCAGACTTTAAACCATAGGGGGTTTATCTTAGAGAATAGAGTAATAGAGTATTTTTATTCTTATGAATAAAACACTTTTAATTTAAAAAAAACACTTTTAATTAAAAATACTTTTATTTTTTGAAGCATAGTAAAATATTCTAATTAAATTAAAAAAGAAAGGTCTTTGATTAATATTCTAATAGCGTCTTATTAAGATTATTTTTTAAGAAAATCCTTCCTATTTTAGAAGAAAAGCTTAAATTTACTAATATCAATCAATCACTCAAGAATAAACATATTTTTAACAAATATTTTGTAGTAAATTCTTAAAATAATTATTAATTTCTTTCTTTTTTAAAATTACAGCTAACATACTTAAAATAATATATTATAATATTTTAAAATAAATTTCAAAATCAAAATAATAATTTTTTGAATTATTTTAAACTAAAAAATTTACAATTCTTAGTATATTAACAATTCTTAAATTTTTTAAAGACTTATTTTTATTTAAAATAATTTGATTGCAATTAGATTTATTATAATTTTTATTTAATTAATAATTTAAAAATTTAATGTCTGACATTTAAAATCAAAATACTTAAAATTCTTTTATTTAAATTAATTTATATTTATTAAGTTAAATTAATTTCTTTTCACATAAATTAAAATAAATAATTTATATTGGATTTATTTAGGTTAAATCTTAATATTATTTAATTAATTTGTATTAAAAATAAAATTAATTATTATGAATTTAAATTTAAATGGGTTAGTTGTAATAAATTTCTTTAAAGATTCTTCAGCATAAAGATGACATTTATATAATATATTTATTTGAATACTAAATATTAACATTTAATATTTTCATCCATCCAAAAATGCTTGTCTACAAACTAATGCTTGTTTTTAAACATTTTAAATATATTACTATCGATTACTTTATTCTTCTTCACCTATACTTTTTCTGTAAGAGTTTTCAGAGTTTTAATTATGAATGAGTGTGCACAAATTTTCTATGAGAAGGACAAAAGATTAGTTACTATACGAAGTTTTCCATTAGTTATAGTAATCTAAACAAATAATGCCATTTTCACTTATATTACAATGGTAAGGTAGTGGTGAAATAAACTTTCCTTCAGGTCTAACCTATGGAAAATCTTTAGTAAATTAGAATTCAGCTTTGTAAATTCCATTTTTGTGAATTGTATTACTTTCACCATAAATGAAGACATTAAGCTTTGTTGGATCTTTTTTATTTTCCTCAACACTAAAAGAGCAGCCTTCTATTTCGCATTAATGAGTAATACACTTAAGAAATTCTTGTTAAACAATATTTTAAACCTCCATTTGTTTTTCTTAAATTTTTTATTGATTAATTTTTTGATAATTATTTTTATTATAGATGTATTTGATGTTTGAAGAATTCTTATTAGTTATAAAGTAAAAGTTTTGGTCTGCTTCTAATAAGTTTTGGAATACAGCTTATTTTTATTATTACTAAATACTTAGTATACTTGGTGATAGTAATGCCATAATAATTAAATAGAATAATAAAATAATTTTAATAATATTTGAGGATTACTGAATTTATTTACAAAAAAATCTAAATATTTTAAGATTTATAAACAGAATAATTTAAATACTTTAAGTAAAAATAAAAGTATTTTATTTATCATGAATTATTAACTTTCTATTTTTGTTGATAAACATGATTTTAACAATTAAAAGAGTTTTTAAAGTCTGATCTTAATTTTTATCTCAAAAAACATCTCATTTCATTAAAAATAAATTTATAGTAATGCGATAAAATAACATTTTGCATTTTTATTTTAAATATACTTTACTATATTTCTTTTAGTAATGAAATAATACAGAATATGTTTATCAAAATTTTTTGGTTCAATAAATTATTTGTAATTAAAATAGAATAATCTTTGTAATAGAAGATTAAATGTAGAAAATAAAAGTGTTTTATTTATTTTTTGTTTAACTAATTATGTATTTTTCTTAACTACATTATTCAAATACTACTAATTAAATGATTGCTGTGCAAATTTATCTTTTTTTCTACTTATCTATATCAAAGAAGATTTAAAATGTATCTTCAAATTATAAAAATAGTCTAAGTCATAAGATTTATACATTCTCAGGGTACTATAATTTACATGTGTAAGCTAATTTAACAGAATTTAGAACTTTTTTATTAACATTTTGTAAGTTATTTTTATATCCCAAAAATATTTGTTTTCAAGAAAATTTAAATCTGAATAGGTAGTATTTAATTTACTGCTTCAAATTCAATTGATCAACTATAAATTTTGGGCTTTTATCTTATATTTATTGTATCTTTCTTTTTAAGTAATATTCTAACAAATCATTTATGAAATCATTAATAGTCTTAAGTCTTTTATTTGATTGAAATAAAAAAAATTATAAAGCTTTTTAAGACATAATCGTAGAGTGTTAAACTAAATCAGAAAGCATAAATCAAAATGATTCGATCTCTTTATAATATTATAAGAAACTTTTTTAAACCATAATATTTTTATTTAACTTTTGGTATTTTATCATTGATCTATTTTTAGAGAAGATAAAAGAAAAAAAAGTAGATTTTATGGAAGGGTTTTAGAAATTTAGGAAATACTTGTTACATAAATGCAGCTCTTTAGCTGTTGAGATAAATCGATATTATTAACCCTAATTTTTTAGAATAGTAATAATCATAATTAGCAAAGTAGCTTAAATAGCTTTTTAAAATGATTAATGAAAGTTAATAAGTAGAAGAATAGCTTTAAAAACTTCACTCAATTTCGTAGTAACATTAGATTCATGAACTTAGAGGAGGAGATAGCTATTAAATATTATTTACATTTTTAAGGACCATTAATAATGATATTAATAAAGAACGCATTGCCTTAGGATAATAAAATGTGCTAAATAATTTCGAGAGACATATATCGATTGTGTCACTAGATGGTTATTAATGCTAATAATGCCATTAATTCTTATAAAAAGAAAAGAATTAAATAGAAATAATTGAAGAAAAAGATTTCAGCATTGATATTCATAATTTTAATGATCTTAATAAATTATAATCTATCTAATAAGAGAGTGAAATGCTAAATTTTTGTTAAAATTGCAGCTCTTAAACAAAATTTAAGACTAGCAGAGTCATTTAAAATTTCACACAGTTCATAGTTGTTAAATTTTCAGAATAAAATTTACAATATCTAAGCGAATCTGAAGGTAAAAAAGAGATATTCCTTCAAGGGAGTGCTCAGCCATATAAAATTATAGGCTATTGTAGTTATACTGGTAGTCATTATACATATACTGCTAATTACAATGATGTTTGGATACAATTTAATGACAGTAGAGTTCAAATTGAGTAAAAACTATTTCAAAGAATATACTATTTACTATTAATGAGGGTTTTTAAATGAACTAATGAATGAATGATTCAATGTAATAAATAGATTATATAAATTCAATAAAAAGCCTCTTTTTAACTTTTAAAAGAGTAAAAAAGATAAAACAAATAAATAAATAAATAAATAAATAAATAAATAAATAAGTTTTTATAATGACAAATTTTAATTCGAACTATAATTATGTATGATTTTTATGTATTAATCAGATACTTTCTCATAAATATAAAAATAATTAGAATATATATATGTGTACAAATACCAACTTGAATCAATTTGATCTATGATTTATAAATATATTATTAGAACTTATTATTTTATTTTTAATAATCATAATTTGGTAAAAATAAAATACTTTTATCACTTTATTACTTTTACTAATAAATAATAATAATAATAAAGTTTGATTTCAATAATTATTTTAAATATAAATAAAAAACTTCGAATACTTACTTTCTTCTAAAAAAGTAATTCATTATTATTGATTCAAAACATAAATTATCAAAAAAAATTAAAATTGAATACAAACAAATGGGAATGGTTTATTGCTGTTTTATTAATGATTAAATAAAATAAAATTAAATTTAAACTTATTATGGCATATAAAATCTAGGGAACACCTGCTATATCAATTCTGCCCTCCAAATGCTGAGATAAATTTATGAAGAAAATGAGTAGTTTTTGGAGTAAAGATCTTATTTTGCCTAAAACTTAAAAGAATTCTTTTAAGGTCTTAGTAAAGGTTATGTTAACAGATAGTTATTAAATGACTTTATCAGTAAATCAAATCAATAGTAAACTTATTTGTAGAACGGAGGAGATTCTTATGTGGTTGCATTTAATTATCTCTCTATACTTATAAATGAGACGAATGAATATAAATAAAATAATATTAATGAGTATATAAACAAATATTTACAATAATATTTTAAGATGGCTTATATTGTAAAAACTGTAAAAAATATTTGATGGATTCTACAGATACTCCATATATTAAAGAAAGTGATTCAAGCTTAGATTTGCAAAATTTTCCTAAATATTCAATAGAGTCAGTTTATAAGAGTATTTATACACAACAATCTTACTGTAATCAATGCAATTAAAAATCTAAATTGAAAACTTTAAGAAGTATTGCTTTCTTTCCCTAATTCCTCATAGTAAAGCTGCCTAAATCATCATTCAAGCTTGGGAAAAAGTAATAAAGTATTTAATTTGATGAAATAAGTTATTAATTAATAGGGTATTGTAATTACGATGGTGCTCATTATACTTATAATGCTAAAAAAAAGAATACTTGGATAACTTATAATGATTCAAGAACTTATTAAGATGATTTAAATTTAAGGTACTCAATATATCAGCTTTATAAAAAAATGTGATTCTCCCTCCTTTATCTTATTGAAATAAAGACAATATTTGATAAAAAATTAATCTCTTTATATTTACATAATCAAAATATTATTTTGAAATAAATAAATAACTATGGAGTAGTATTGATTGGATACATATCTTTTAAAAAATATCTATATTAATAAATTAGAATAGCATGAGTTTATGTATATCTTTCATTTTTTCAAATGAGATTGTTGAATATTGTTTCTTTTTGAATAGATAATAATTAATCTTTTATATTTTCTTTAACTGGTCTTGATATATATTTTTTGATAAAAAGCAACTATTGTTATTTGATTGATTTAATTAATATTCTAAGCAAAAATAAAAATATTTTACATTTTGAAATTGTCTTTATGAAAAAATAAATTTATTTATTAAAAGTGTTTTATTTTACAAAAATTTTGATAACCTATTTGAAATTAGTCATTTTTAAATTGCTCTCTTTAAGATAATTGATATATATTTTCTGTAAAAAATACTCAAAAATTAAACAATGAGAAATAATAAAAATAATTCTTATAAAAATAAATATAAAACTGATTAGAAGAGTACTGGTTTTAAAAATTAAACTGAGCACAAATTAATTGAAACTTAGTCTCAGAATAAAATAAAAAATGAAGAAATTGAGGAAGATTATGAATAAGAAGAAGAAAGCAAATAAGAATACAATAAAGTGACCGTAGGATTCAAAAATATAGGTAATACATGTTATTTAAATACTGCTTTGCAAACAATAAGACAAATCAGCTGTATTAGTAGAGACTCTCTTCCTAATACTGACTTTTGTAAAACTCTCAAACTTTTTATTTTAAAGCACAAATTGCAATCTCAAAACAGAATAGCTAAACCTAATGTTTGATATAATGTAAAATTACTAAATACATCAAGAAAATGAAGGAGATGCATATTAGTGCCTTATAAACTTGCTTAGAAAAATCTCTTCAGAAATAGCTATTTAAGTAGACATAGAATAGTTTTAAAAAAGCTTCTAAGCTATTTTTGAAGATGAAATGTTCTGTATTAATTGTAATAAGTATGAGGAATCTAAGGAAGTTTAATAATACTATATCTAAGAATAAATTATTGGGATAGAAGAACTTTCATTGAACTCAGCGATTTTTAATCCTCAATCTCTTTATTAGGATTATGTATGTAAATATAATTGCTCTACTTGTAATGGACCTACTCTTATACCTTAAAGAGCATTTATGTCTGCTCCTAAATTCTTGATTTTTAAAGAAATCAAATAAGAAACAATCAATCATAAAAAGAATAAAAAGAAAACTCCTAAATAAATAATTAGCAATTAGACAAAAAAATAAAAGTTTAATCCTTTTATTATAATTTAATTGGTTTTAGTGAGTTAATTAATAGTCACTATATTTTCACTGCAAAATACGATGATTAATGGTATCGCTTTAGTGATTCGTATGGGTAGAATTTAGAAAATTTTTATATAAACTACAATAATATTAATTATATTTATGATAAATGAGTAAATTAATAGATGTTGATTATGTAAAGTTTCATCAACCATTTGTTTTTTTATACAAGTAATACTTTGTATTTTTCATAATTACATAAGTATTTCCTTTTTAATGAAAATTGAATAAACATATTAATTAGATGACCAAATTCAAAATAATCAATTTTTATTGAAGGAGATTTCACTTTAAATTAAAAAAGATATCTTTTTTGATAGATTTTTAGTTTTTTAGAAAATTAGAAATTAACTTATTTAAAAAGATATTTTTTGAAAAATAATAATAATTGTGCTTGATGTAAAAAGAATCTACTCAACTCTTGATTTCATATAGAGCATTTCCAATTAAATTTGACGCCAATATTTGGTGAAAAAAATTAGTAATTAAAGAAAACAGAGCAATTATAAATTGAAATTTAAACTATTGATCCATACGAATAAAATAGTATATTGTAATTATAACTAAGGAAATTTCTTGTATTTTATCTTTAATATATTAACAAATTGACTAAAAATTCTTTTGAAAAACATACAGTAAGTATCCATAAGGAAATTTTTAGTATTGTTTCTTTAATATTCATCTTAGATTTAATACAATAAAACAATTTTATTGTCTTAAAGTGATAAATAAGTTTAAATATTTGCAAAATATTCTAATATAAATATTCTAAAAAAATGTGAAGATATTAGAATAGTAAATATAATTAAAAATAAAATACTTTTATTTTAGAAACTTTTTTACGGGTAGGAATAAATTTTTTGGTCATCTTTGCCTATTTCAAAAACTAAATCCAATTAATCAAATTTGATATTTCTTATGTAAAAATAAAAGTATTTATTTGAATAAAATTAATTGTTTTATTTCTATTTTAGTCTATTTCATTTACTTATTAGTATATCAAAATAAGTTTTAGTAAAAGTTTTTATTCTAAGATTCGAGAGTAAAAAGTAGAAATTTAAAAATTTGTACCAAATTAAAACATAGTTTAACCATTTAAATTTCTAACAGCTCATTTTTTTTTTTTGAAAACGATTTTTATTATTCATAAAAATGTCTTTAAATTATTATTATTATTATTTGTTTTAGTGTTAATATCTTAGACTATTTTAGAATAAATAATTTTTAATATTTTGTTCAAGCCAAAATTTTTATATCTTCTTCATGTTAGCTTTTTAATAAACATTAATTTTATTAAAAATAAAAAAAACTAAAAAAAAATGGAAGAGCAACAATAATACAATTCATAACAGAGTTATGAAAATATTAGCAATAAAGTAAAAAATATAAGAGACTCTCCAAATATATCTTCTTTTCATTGTGATGAAAGTACTGAAAATAAATTGTAATAAATAAATAAATGTAAAGGAGGAAATTTAAAAAATGATGATGAAGAATAATAACTATAAAATAAATCTAAATAAACTTAAGAAGAATGTAACATTTATGATGAAGAAAAAAAATAAATTGAAAATTTGTAGCATAAACCATAAAATGAATACTTATATAACTACTAACCATTATAGAATTCTACTAGCAATTAGTAAAATAGTAAAATTAAAATTGGCTTACCAAACATTGGAATGACTTGCTATATTAACTCAGCAGTTCAATAATTAAGATAATTTTATTACATAGACAATACAATATTTGCCACTTCAAATTTTGGTTAGCGTTTTAAGGAACTTTTTAATCATCTCGAAAATCGAAACTAAGAATAAGTCTATAATATAATGGAGTATATTGTATAAAATGCAAAATAGTAATAAAATCATCAATTAGGTGGAGATGCTTATATCTGCATTAACAACTTTCTTAAGCAAATTAGGTAAGATATGAATACTTATTGCGATGAATTAGAATTCGATAATAAATTTTTACTCAAATATAGCGATTAGTTATATTGTTCCAAATGTAAAAATAATATCCAGCACACTAAAGATTAATTTACATTTCATTAATATGAAGAATTTGGATAAGAATGCAATTCATTATCCGATGCCTTTAGCGAAAAAGGTGATTAAACCATGTTTCTTGAGGTAAAGTCTGATATAATTTGTGATTATTGTGAACATAAGGTATTCTTAGCAAAAAGAGAATATCAAGTAGCACCTAACTTCAGGATGATAAGATTATTACAACCTAATTAATAGCCTTGGGATGGTTATAATAATAATAATTTATTTGAATAATAATTTGATTTAATGGTAAAAGGTTAACAATAAAAATATGAAATAATTGGATTTTGTAATCATTATTTACAACATTATAAATATTTTGCAAAATATGATAGCGAATGGATAGTTTTCAATGATAACTTTACATATTCTCTTCCATATGTTTCTCATCTAGATTATTCTAAAGCATTATATTTTGTTTTTAAAAAAGTATAAAATAATTTAGTAAAATCTGAAAAAAACTAATAGCTTCCAAATTCAAAATAAATAGATGTTACAAATGATAGATATTCTGATAAAAATTCATCTAAAAGTTTTAATAGGAATGATTAAATATAATTTGATAGTAGCTGGTAAAAGAAATAAGTAGATTAAGATTCAAATATGAGTAAATAAAGAAACAATCATAATGAAAATTATCATCAAAACATATATTTTGGGTAAAAATAAGAAAATAATTAATAATTTCAAGAGGAAATAGATAAAGATATCAAATTAAAAAAATTTGAGAAAGTTTGCAAAATGTTACCTGATTTAGAAAATAAGTAATATATAATTATAGTACTTTAAACTATATTTTAAATATACTACTTTTTTAATGGAGACCTGTTTGATCCATCTACTCGTGAATATTAATAATTTTAACAATTAATTTATATTTTAGAAGTAGAAAATATTGAAGAAATTAAAAATTATTTTTTAAAAATTTTAAAGAATCCTTTACAAAATAAAAAATATTAGAAATCCAAAGAGGCTTATTCTTACTTTTGTGATTTTCTCTACGATATTACGATTAATTAAGAACCTTAATTAAAAAATAATTTAAGAAGTAATTTTTTTATCAAATATAATGATTTATATTAATGCCAAAAATGTTAGTTTTATATAACCACTGAATAACAATTCGATTTATAATAATAAGATTTATATAATTAAATGTTAATTGATGATTCTTTTAATGAGCTTCCAACTTAGTACAAATTTAAAGAGTGTTATCAATGTAAAAAAGGATACTGCAATTAGAAAAGGTAGTATTTAGAAACACCGAATTTCATTATAATAAATTAAGATTCTTAAGAGTTTAATGAAGGTTTGACTGAAAAGCTAAACAATATATTTCAACTTAACTTATATAATAACAAAATTTAGAAATATTAAATTATTGGATTTTGTAGTTATAAAAACTAGGATTACTCTTACACTATTAAATATGAAGATTATTGGATAAAAATATATAAAAAATATGTGTATCGTGAGATACCTAATTGCTCTAACGCATAATATTTTGTATTATAAAAATTAACTTAGTAATGAAAGGAAATTCATGTTTTTTTTGTTTTAGAATTAATAAAATTATTTATTTCTTTGAATTTTTATAATTTTTATTTTGATTAAGCAAATAAATTTTAAATTATTATTTTACTCTTATCATTGTTTTTTTATCTCTCTAGCATTAAAAAAAAATATATTTAATAACCTTTAAAAAATAATAAATCTTAAAATATTTAATATATGTGCACAAGTTATCTTAACATATAAAAGGTTTCAGGGCTTTTAAAATATTGCTATTTGACCTTTAAATAGAAAAGAGTATTTATCCTTCATATATTTGATAGAACATCTCATACAAAAAGGGAATTAAATGATAAGTACTTAATTTTAAAAAAATTAATCATGGGTAAGATAAATAAGATCATCTTATTTGTGTCTATCTTTAGTATTAATCAGATTAAATTTGAGAAAAGAAAAAAGTATTTTTATTTAAAAAATAAAAGTATTTCTTTTTTGAAAATAAATTATTTAATTTAAATTTAATTATTTATAAATCAGTATAACTAAAATAAATTTTAATAAAAACCTTTAATTTACAGCAGATAAATATAGGTAATTGATAAAATTTCTTAATACTATATTTAATCATAAATGTTTCTAAAGGCAAATATTTTCTTGATTTTGAAATTTTATTGTCTTTTCAAAACATTTTAATTGTACAATTCTAATTTTATTTTAATGCAGTTTTAAATTTTCACATATTTAAGAATAAATTGTTAGCTTTATATGTCGCTAATCAAAGAACCAAGGGTTTATAAAGCACTTAAGTAAATTATAAAATAATAATGATTAATTTAATTAAAAATACAAACAAATATCAAATAAACAGAATAAAAATTCAATACTAAAGAGAATTTCATATTAATTAATATTAATTTAACAAGCCTATCTTAAAAAAATTTTTTAAAATACTAAAGCAATATGAATATATAGTAGTAATATCAAATTAATTAGTAACAATCTAACTCAGGTAATTAATAATAATGCAGCTACACTATTTGTTAATAGAATCATAGCTGTAGATTCTATGATAAAATAATTCCAAAAAATTAGCAATAATAAAATTAAATAAATGATAACAAAGAAAAATAATAATAATCACATTACTCTTTTGAAAACTAATAATTATCTGTGAGGAATTAGAGTATAAATTAGTAATTGGAATCTAAATAATTCAATTAATTTTCTGATAATATCGCATAATAAAGCTATTTTAGTTAGAGTTAATTAAGTAAAGTTAAAAATGGTTTACCCAACCTAGGATAGACTAGCTATATTAACTCAGCAATTCAATAATTAAAATAATTTTATTACATAGACAAAACTATATTTGGTTCTTCAACGTTTGGTTAACATTTTAAGGATCTTTTTAATCATTTAGAAAATGGAAATTCAAAAACTGTTAAGACAATAATAGAGAATATTTTTGATATGGCTTTGTAATAACAATAGCAAGCAAGAGGTGGTGGAGATGCTTACATGTGCATTTATAATTTTCTAAATTCTATTAAGAAATCACTACCTGATGATGAAAAAGAAGAATTTAATAGTAACTTTTTACTGAAATATAGTGATCATTTAGAATGTTTGTGTTGTAATACAAAAATTCAGAATACTATAGATGAGCATACATTTTATCAGTATGAAGAATTTGGGCAAGAATGTATTTCATTATCCCATGCTTTTAGTGATGAAGGGGATTAAAGCTTATTTTAAGCTTTAAACCCTGACATAATTTGTTAATAATGCAAATAAAAATAATTCTTGACAAAAAGAGAATATCAAGTAGCTCCTAATTTTATGATGATAAGATTACTAAACCATGATTCAAAACCTAATCATGATTATAAAAGTAATGATAATATTCTATAATAAGAATTCGATTTAATAGTGCAAGGCCAATAATTTATTGAAAAATATCAAATAATTGGATTTTGTTAACATAATTAGCATCGTTATTAATACTAAGCAAAATATGGAAATTAATGGTTATAATTTGATGATAACTAGGTATATTTTACTTAAAATCCTAACTGCTCGAATACATTATACTATGTTTTGAAGAAAATCTAGAATACTAGAGTAGAATATGAAACAAAATCTAAGTAACTATTAGCTAAACCTTCACCTGCTTTCAATAAAAAAAATAATTAATAAGAAAGATAGTATGATGGCAAAATAAAACAGGAAAATTCTTAGAAATAAAATAATACTTTAGAAATAAAAAATAGCTCAAATAATATTTAATATGTGGATTATACTAATAGAAACTCTTAAAATCAGCAAATAACGAAAAAGGTCGAAGCAGAGTAAGAAGAGGAACTCAAAAAAAATGAAGCAAATATCTAGTTAGAAAATAACTAATAAACTTAAAATAATTATGAAAAAATAACCAAAATTAATAGCTTTGTAAAAGATTGCAATTCATTACACATGCTTGAGAGTAGATAATACATAATACCTGTAATTTAGACTTTAATGCAAATATATTATTTTATTGATGAAGAATTATTTGATCAATCTCCTTTTGGATATTTAGATTTTAAAATTTTAATTAAGTTTTTGAAAATATAAAATATTTAAAATGCTAAATCATTGTTAGAAAATATTTTTATTAAAATTGGATAAACTAAAAAATATTAGAAATCCTCTAAGGCCTATTCATACTTCCATGATTTGCTCTATGACATCATGAGCAAATTAATTTATCAATAAGATAGTCATTTTATAGGTAATTTTTTCATTCAGTATTGTGATCGATTCATTTGCCAAAATTGTTAGTTTAAGATTTATTCTTTGCCTATTTTTACCATCTAAGACCAAGAAATACATAAAAGAATGCTTGATGATGAGTTTTGTAATGATAACGATTTAAGTACTTAATATATAATTTAATAGTGCAGCAAATGTTAAAAAAGTTAAGGATAGTAAAGACTATACTTAAAAGCACCTAATTTTATGATAATAAATCAAATTTCTAAGGAACTTAAACAAAGTTTATCTGCAAACATAAATAAATCCTTTACATTTAAATTATATGATGGTTCTATTTAAGTTTATAAAATTATTGGATTTTGCAATTAAATCAACAACAAGTATTCTTATACAGCAAAATGTGAAGATACTTGGGTAGAAATAAAACAGCAGCCTGAATATGATGTGAAACCTAATTGCTCTAATGCATAATATTTAGTTTTATAAAAATAAATTTGAAATTTAATAATCTTAAATTAACTTGTTTTTTACAAAGAAATTTTTTATTTTTGTATTAACATGAACTATTAATTAATTTTTATCTTTTTTTAAATATATGTTTAGAGTTTATTTAAAGAAGAAATACTTTGATTAAACTTTTTAATTCTTTTATTCTAGCAAAAAAACATTAAAGGAGAGAATAGTTTAATATGTTTATTACTTAAATATTTTATTGAATAAGTATTATTAAAATAAAAACTTTTTCAATATTAAATTAAGATTTTAAATTTAATAATAATCAAATAAATTACTAGCTCAAATTATTTTTCTTTTTGTTCGTAATTTAAAAAAAAAATATTATTTGAAATTATAAATTGAGAATAACAAAAATAATCAAGCTAAATTTTTAAGCAAACTCAAAAATAAATAAATTATTTTAATTAAAAAACATAATTCTCTATAAATATTAAATATTTTATCAATCAAAGAAAATATTAATTTCTGAAATTTTTTCTCCAGGAACTTTGATGACATTTTTCATGAGCTTAGATGTAAAAATAACTAATTTGCATGGAGTGGATAATGAATAGTCACTTTGAATAGATTTAATTATTGACAAAATATCTTGTTGCTAATAATTGCTTAGTGACTATTTTAAAGATGAAAACACTGTACGATTAGATTAGAAGTCTTTCCAAAAGATCTTTTATTATTAGATCTCAACAACGTAAGTTTCAGGTAAAGCATTTTTAGAAAGTATTTCGTTAATCTACTAAACTATTTCTGGTAATTTAGTTTCTGTCTTAACTTTTAGATCAAAAGAGTTTAAGTATGCTATTTCAAATTTTATTCTAGATCTATTTAATGAATCAGGATAACTTACATTTCCGAAAGTATCAACAAAACCTAACTAATTAAATCTATTCTTAAATTCTAAAACTCTATCTTCACTTAAAAATAAATCATTTCTTGTTAGGTTTGCTTTTTAAGTTACTTCATTATTACCTTATTACTATTATCTCAAATTACTATTTTCTTAAATTATTTCTTGATAAAGTTATGATATCTCTTCTTTGTTGATTAACCACGGAATTATTTGTAAAAATGCAAAGCCTGATGCAACAGAAGTAGACTGAATAATGGCTGGAATAATGTTTCCTATTTTACCCACCGCATCATACCTTTCTAATTTGTAATTAATATTAAAAGCTTAACTTCTAAGTTTTGAGATTTGATATGCAATATTAGCATGGAAAAAGTCATCTTTGTCGAAAATTGGTAGAATTTAACTAGGGCTTTATATAATAATAGAGTTCTTATTGTCCAAAGAATTTTTCTAACTAAATTCAGTTAAGGCTTGGTTGAGAATATGACATAAACTATCGACAAGCTCTAAATGATCAGGATTTTTTTCATCGAACTTAAAAGGATTGTAATTTTGATTGCTAATTTTTCCTATTTGAATCACATCATCATAAAACATCTTATTAAAGATTTCTATTACAAATAACTTCAACACTTTGAAGCAAAAATTTAGGTTATCCTGCATTTTTGAGTAAAGTTGCATCAAATCTTAGAGCAATTAATTAGTTAGAAATGTTACATCATCATCAGTTCTTAGCTATGAAAATTCGCTATTAAAAATACTTTTTGAATAGACTAATGAGTCTCCTTCGTTCTTCAGAGCACTTTTAGCTGTGCATGAGGCAGTACTTATTTCTTTATAAAAAGAAATTAAATTATAAGAAACAAAAATAAATAATTTATATAAATACATAAAATATCAAAAATTTAATTTACATTCTTTTACTGGTATTTCAATTCTTTTAGATAAATAAGGAATTTAAGATTAACTTTATGCCTCAAAGCCATGTGTTCCAGATTCAATTAAGAATATCTTGTGTTCGATTGCTTTATCTGCTATGTACTCTCTGGCTGAAGAAGAGTCTACAGCAATAATAATCAAATCAATATTTTTGAAGAATTCATAAGTGAAAACGTTTTCATTTTCTTTACAAAGTAGAATATCATATGAAGTAACTTTGATGGAACTGCCTTTTTTTTAAAGCCAATTTTAGCAAGTCTTGGCTTTATTTTATTTAATATCTTTATAAGTAAAACATACTTACCTAATTAACATTTTAAAAAAGATTTGTAAATGAATTTTCAATGTATGTACCTTGGAATGTTTGATCCTTCAATTAGATCATCATCTACTAAATAAAGATGCCCTTTTTCTCCTCTGCAAGCTCCAATTGAGTAAAGATTTTTAACTTGTTCACATCCAACAGCTCCACAACCGACCAAAAGAACTTTTAAATTAGCAATATCATTCATAATTTACTCACCGAGAAGCATTTCATAGTCAAAAAATTGCTTTTTGCTTCTAATTTATTGTTAATGATGATCTATTTATGCATTTCTCATTTACTACATGTCTTCCCAAAAAATGACTTAGTTATAAGGCTCTAGACGCTTAATAACGGATTTAAGCACTTCAGTAGCTATTAAGGCGCCACAAACTTAGGCAACTGCAGCAAGTTCTATTCGTGAATTCATTATATATTTACAATAAGTTTCTTTTGTAAATCTTAGATTAATTTCAAAGATTTAAGCCATTGATTGTAATTTTGTATAGAATTCTTCAGAGTCCTCTATACTAAATAATTCAGGTAGTTAATTATGCTACTTTAAGTATTCAAAGATTGTGCATAACAAAGCAAAAGTCTCTTGATGCAACTCGTTGTATGTTTGCAAGTTAAGTATTTAATCTAATGAGGTTTCGGTAGAAAAATATTTTTCAAAATGATAATGTGATCTCTGCGGTTTATTATCATTTTCTCCCTAAAGCTATGGAAAGCAGCTAAAGACGAAAAATGAAAGCCCCATATTACATCCAAGAATAAAAGGAATTTATAACTCTTTAGCAATATCATTCAATCTTTTTAGAAAGTCCCATTCCAAAATAGTAGTTACCACTATACAGTCTATTTTAAGAGTCCTTATATAATCTTTATTTATTTCTGACCTTAATATAATCTGTATATTAGGATTATATTTTTTCAGAGCATCAGCTTTTGTTAACCCTAAATCGCCGTCAAATAGGAAATATATATTCTTAATGTCTTTCTCTTCTACTACAAATTCATCATGAAGGTAAATATCTCTCATGCCATTCTTAACTAGATTCTTTACTACTTCTGAGCCATTGCTATTAGCTCCTATAATGAAGGGCTTCATATTATGAACATCTAATAACTCCTTTTCGGACATGGTACTTCCGTTAAGCTATCTAGAAAAAATTTGCAAATCTAATTAGTTCAAAGTTGTATTAGCCATTTTATTTTTTATTTTGTTTAATATCTTTCTTTTATTAAAAATTAATTACATATTTAAACCCTATCTTTTAATAAGAATTAAACTTACTAGAATATTAACAAATTAATCAATTAATAATAAAAATTGTTTTTATTTTTTATTTAAATCCTAAATAACTAACCCCTAGGGTAAATTACAATATTTTTGATTAAAATCAGTACTATAAATAAAAACGTGCGAATCCCTGATAATTATTAAAAAAAAAATTAAAAATCCAAATAAGCAAGCACTGAAAAATTAAGTCAAATAAACCAAATAAAATGAGCATAAAGGTTATGTTTATATAGCTTGAAGGCGAATACTAAGGCTTAAAGGCAACTAAAGATTTTCCTTCTTCTACAACTTTAAAATAGGCTGCAATGGAATGTAAAATACCTACTGAAGGTATGACCTTTAAATGTAATCAGGAAGCTTTAGATAACCTTGATAAGACTTTATAAAATATCAAAGATATCTATAATACTAATTCTCAAGTTCTTATTGTGAGAGTCTTTAAAAAAGCAGTTGGAGGCTTAGAGTGAACTAGTCATAATCTTATTAAATTTTATAACTATAATATAAATAAATAATTAATATACTTGATTAGTCTATGTGTTTTTTTGTTAATTACTAGCTAATAATTTTTATTATTTTACTTTCCGATTTCAATATTATTTTATTTAATTACAAAGATATATCATGATAAATTAAAATACTTTCCTTTTATAATGATCAAAACTAATGCAAATTTATTTTGATAGTCAAAACAAATTAACAAAATATACTATTTTAATGTATTTGTACATAATAAATTTAAGAGTTTTATATTCAATTAATAAAAAAAAAATTTTCAATTTTCAATAAAATAAATTTATGTTTTTATTAAATAATCGATCAATCAATATCTTTATCAAAGGAGCATTGAAAAAAATAATTTAATTCTTATCTTTTTACTAAAAAAATATTTTGATTTAAGACAATATATAATAGAGTAAGATGCATATTTATGATGATCAGAATTTAGTTTTTTGATTTAATTAAGATATTTAATTTACAATAGAGTATCTTTCTCTTATAGTTTTTAGGAAAGGAGCAATGATAAGTAAGAAGTATTTATGGTAGTTTAAGATAGAAAAAAATTATTTAAATAATAATTTGATTTGCAATAAAAGATAGACACTTTACTCATTTCAAATAATTTTGTGAAAGATTTAAATGATTATTCAATTAATATTCTTTTTAGAATATTTTATGGAGAGTAGATGAATAATCTAAAAAAATGAATCTAAAAATGTAAAATTAAAAACAGATATTGTTAGAATATACATAAAATCCTTAATTACTCCTTTAAACTATCCTGAGATTCTTTCTGATCTAATAAAAACTTTATTTTGTGAAGGAAAAGGAAGTATATTGTTTCTATTCTAATTTTATTAAAATAAAACACTTTTATTTTCAGAAAATTAATTTTTAAACTAAAACTCTTTTATCCCTAAAATAATACGAATATTCTAATTAATATTTATCCCATTTCCAACAAATAAATAGTTAAAATACTTTTATTAATTTTTCTATTTCTTCTTTCATAGTTTATTTTAAACACAACTTTATGATCAATGACTATATCGTATTGTAAAAAATATTTTAAATATATTTCTTTCTATTTTCATATTATATAAATATAAAGAAATGGTTTGAATCTCTAATTTAATATCAAATGTTAATTTTTGCTTTTTAAATTTTGGATAGGAAAATATTAAATAGGTTTAATAAATTATTAGGATTACTATCATAGCTTGAAAAATATGAAAATTTTATCTTTAAATCTATTATATATATTTGAAACTTTAGTATTATATTTAACAAATAATAATAATTACTTAACTCATAACTCCATTATCAACTATTACTTAAAATAGAAATTTTAACTTGCTTTAAAGTAAAATTCTTTGGTTTTTAAATTCTATAAATATAATAATATTATATAAAAAATAATATCTTGTTTTAAATATTTAAAAATAATAATAGAATATTCAAATTATTATAATAAGAAAACTTAAAAAAAAATATTTATATAAATAAATTTATAAAATTTACAACAAAATATATATTAAATTATTATTTGGATTTATTATTTATTTAGTTTATCTCATATTCTTTTCAATAGAAAATAAATTGCTTTAGAACAATCTGGACTTACTTCGTAAGAATTTGAATCATTAAATTCAATCCACTTATTATTGTATTTTGCAGTATAAGTATAGTGATACCCATAATAATTACAGAATCCAATTATTTCATATTTTTAAGTTGTTTTTAAGTTTACTAAATATTCGAATTTTTTTTTTAAGATTTCTGGACATCGTTCTTTTGGAATAAAAGATAGTAATCTTATTAGCATAAACTTAGGTGCATATTTATATTTTCTGATTGACTACAGTTAGTCTCTACATTAAGGGCAAATAAGATCATCACTATTTATCTCTTTAAACAAATCTAAATCACTATTATCTTAAAAGGCATCATCTAATTTACTGCATTCGTATCCAAATTCTTAATAATCTAAACAGGTTATAAATTAATTATCATTTGGAATTTTTTACCTTTTACATCTACCACACTTTAATTTATCTTTATAATTACGCAAAAACAAATCATCAAATTATTATTTTTAGTTATCAGGTAAAGATTTTTTAATTTCAGAAAGAAGATTATAAACACACATGTAGGCATCTCCACCAAAAGTGTGTTTCTGATTTTATTTAGATTTTTCAACTATTTTTTAAATCAAAAATGTAATTTTTGAAGTATTTCTTTCTTCCATGAATTGAAATAGTTGTTAAAAATCTTTAGAAAAGCCAGGGTTTTCAAATATTTTTTAATCAAAATAGTAAACTTACCTTAGAGTTTAAATTGCAGAATTAATATAGCATGTTAAACCAATATTTGGTAGACCTATTTTTATTTTATCAAAATATTAGCTATTATTTAAATCTTTTGATTCGATAACATATTGATTGTTTCTAGTATTACTACTTTTTGCCTCTTTATTATTTAATTATTGTTCATACGTGTAATAAATCTACTATATAGAGTCGTTCTATTTTTAATTATATTAGGTTTTTTTCTGGGCTTAATCATTTGTCGAGCTCCTTTTGTTAGCTTAAAAACTCTATTCAACCATTCTTCCGTTTCTTGAACTCACATTATTTTATTGAGAAGTTAAATTTTAAGTCTAACTTTCATTATCAAGTTATTGTTGCTTTTAATTATCCTAATTAGATTTTTATTAATTTTACTGGAGAGGGTTTTTTTTTGAAAGCTCTAAGTGCTCAGATACAGAATTTTCTTAATTTTACAATAAATTAGTTTAAGTATCAGCTAAACTTTTTTAAGTTTTGTTTTAGCTTTCGCAATTAGCATTATTCTAATTATTTTCTTACATTTTAAGTTAAGAGTTATTTTGCATTTTATTTGTATTTGAAGAGCTAATATTTGATTGTTAATTACCTTTTATTAAATTGTCTTCTTGAGCTCTTAAGTTTACATTTTAAGATTATATTTACTATTTCTTTAAATTATTTAATTCAGATTTCTCATAACTGGCTAACTCAAATTTATTTTAAGAGGTGATCAAACTTCTTGAAGAACTTTATGAAGCAGAATCTCTTGTTTAGTCTTTATTTCTAATATTATTTTATGATGAATTTGAGTTAAAAGATGCTTAATCTTACTTTTTGATTATACTTTGGTTATCATTTTAAATTGATTAACTTTTTTAAATGAGCGTCTAATTTATTTTTTAACTTTAGTTATTTATTTATGAAGCTTCATTATTTGGATTGATATGATCTTTACTTTATAAATTTGAATTCCTCTCTTTTTTTTAATAGTTTTAAAAGGAATAACCATATTATTAATTATTATACTGATTGTAGTCTTCTTACTATACAATTTTATTTGAATTTAGTTAGCTATTAGATGTCTATTTGACAAATTAATGCAATGCCTTTTATTAATTTATCTATGAGTGAGGGTCGAATTTAGATGCATTTTACAATTATTATAAATTTTAGTTTATAATGCTTTTTTGTTATTTTGGTTATGGAGAGTTTAAATTTCTATTAGTAATGGAAGAACTAGTAGTTGTTCTTAGATAATGAATATTTTGAGTAGTCACATTATTTTAGTTAGTTTAGCTGTAAGTATAATTTTCATTCTGCAAATGTTAATTTATTTAATAATTTTAATATTAATATTAAGATTTTGCTGAATTCTATTATTTATAGATATCTTAATTTTTCTAATATTTTTCAATGTTATTTTTTTCAATTATTTTAGTTAAATAAGAAGGTTAAGTTCCTATCAAATACTTTGTTTATTCAAAGTTTTTCTAATAATTATTTGATAAGTTCAAATTATTTTCATAGCTATTTTTTTAATTCAGTGTCTATTGAAGGATTTATCCTTTATTAGCAGTTTTATTATTATCTTACAAGTAAGATTTAAAATATAACTCATTTTTTTAATCTTAGTAATTAGGAGTAATGTTTTATCTATAATTATGTGAGATATAATTATTTGTACTATGTTAAACACTAGTTTATCTATCTCCAAAATAAGCACCTAAGAATTTGTTTTATGTTTTTTCAGAATATTTCATTGTATATTCTTAAACATTTTAAGTAGGCTTTTAATTGTAGCCCATATAATTACTGCTTGATCTATTTTCTTATTTTATTTAAGGTTAATTTGCCTTTAAAATATAAGTCCTATTGTAACAATTGCTCATAATTTTTTGTTATCCTTATTTTTATTAAATTAATATTTATTTATAAAAGATACTTTTTCTCTACAAATATATAAATAAAGAAGTTATTAAGAAAGAATTAAAAGTTTACAAAGTTTCACAAACCTTATTCAATAGAGTAATATTTTAAAAAAATTTATATCAAAATAAAAACCTCTCTCATTGTTTATGTGTGATTATGAATTTAAAATACCTAAATTTGATAATATGATAGTCATTCTTAAAATATTTATGATTTTAGAACGAAAAAAAGCTTTTAAATAAAAGTATTTTATTTTATTGTCAAATAGAATTAATTAAATTTAAAAAATATATTTAATAACCTGAAATCAATCAAATACTAAATTTTATTCATTTAAAATACTTTTATTTTTTACTAAACAAATAAATATTAATAACGGGTGAGTAAAATCAATTAATAAAAAATTATGAATTTATATAATTTTTTCTTCTATTCTATTTTTAATTAGAATATCTAAAGACTTTACAAATTAAACTGATAAAAAATAAAAGTGTTTTATTAAAAACATTTCTATTAATGCTTTTTAACTCAAAAAAAGTCACGAAATTTACATTCAAGCATATTATCATCAATATCATCATTATCTTTCAAAAAATTTAATTTTAATATACTTACCTAAAATTAATTTTATAAATATTCCTTATCAAAATAAAAATTCACTATTTTTAAATAAAATATATTTCTTTTTAAAGATATTTACTGGGGTATACATATTTACCCATACATACATAAAAGCTATTAGTAAAGTATTGGAAAAAAATTTTTAATACTGATACTTTTTTATTTTTTTATAGACATAAAAATTAAAAATTTTTATCAATGCTCTTAATAATTCTAATGCTAGTAAAAGATTTACTGGCATTTAGATATAATAAATAATTGAAAATTTTAAAACAAGGAATATTTAAACTTTAATTTTGATAAAAATATACTCTTTTTTAAATATTAAATAGTAATTAATTTATTAAATATTATTGATGATTATTAATTTTTTCATAAATTATTTTATTTTTACAATTATCAAAATATTTATTTAATTAAGAAATTTTAATATTTTCATCAACAGTATTGATTTAGTATTTATGTAATTGAGGGTATACTCTTTTATTGTGAACTGTTTTCTTTTGTATCAAAGGAAGTTTATTTTCCTCTTCTTTTCTATTTTACTTCAGAAATGCTTATCTAACAATAATAATTGACTTTTATTATGAATAATTTAAATCATTACCATTTATAATAAAGAAAAATACACATGTTTGAATAAAATATATCCAATTTTTATGTGAATATATATTATTTATAATAATAATAAATAGATTTATTAAAAAGCAAAGAAAAATTATATTGTAGGTCAAAGAGTATAATAAAATATATTAAACAAATTGATAAATTACTTTTAATTTATATGCAATTAAAATTAACAATAAAATGAAGGTTTTAATAGATATTATATATTTTATATATGTAAAAAAGTGAGATGAAAAGAATTAATTTAATAAGATTAAAAATAATAAATGGATGAATAGGTAGGTAGGTAGGATTGTATTTAGTTATTTATTTTTTTATTATGGAATATTTTAGTTTTATAAATCAACCATTTAAAAAAATCACTCACTCTTTCATTTCACTTTATTCTGGTTAAACATTTTATAGATTACTCTCGTTATTGTTTTTACTTTAATCTTAATTGTTGTTATTCTTATCAGTATTAGATACTGAATTTGAAGATTAGTTTTAATTTACATGAGTTTTTTATTCTGCTTCTTCAGCAGTATTGCTTATTGAAGTGGCGTTAGAAGTAGAGGAAGTAGTTTTGCATTATTTTCTTGGTTCATGAGATCTTTTAAGTTAGATTAAAGATTCAGTCTATTTATTGTACCAAGACTCAAATTTGGCTGTTTTGTTAAATTCTACTTCAACAAGTTGATCTAAAGGAACTGCGCGACGCTTAAGCTTTGAAGAGGAAACTAAATAGTCTTCCTTTTAGTTATTAGAATTAATTATATGATTTGTATTTGAATATGTGTGATATTCTATGTTGTTTTATTGGAATACTTAGAGCTGCTTTTATTTAAGTTTATCAGCATTCTTTCTTTTGTTACGAGAAAGATATATAGGAAGCTCTGAGTTATTAGTCTTATTTTACAACTTAGGAGTAGGATCGTTCATATAGAAGTTGAAATACTCACGAGATTTATTTATTTAATCAATTTCCCAATTTTTGTATATGGAATCGATGTAGTTAATATATAAAATATTTGAATTTAAAACACGAGTAAATCTAAAGAAGCTACGATTATCGCTAGAATTTGAGTTATTTTTTGTTGTAGAGTCCAAAATTATTTTATTTATTTTCACATATAATATTTCTTCACGAGAAGGAAGGCTTTATCTCAAGCGATGATCTTCAGGGTGAATGTATAAATGAAGCAATTTTTAACTTAAGTCATCTGTTGCTAATGTTTATAAACTTTTTATAGTGGCTTGTAGTGTCTTATCGATGGTGAACATTAAGAAAGCTTGTTTACCGAAAATTGAACGCAAGTAGTCTTCGTACTTGGTTTCACGTTATTTCAAAGAGCCAATTAAAATATTTTTAAAGGTTTGGTAACGCTCTTTTGAAAGTTCTTCTTTTTCTTAATCAGTTAACTTTTAAGTCTTTTCATTGTCTTCAAAGTAGCGTGAAATTTCTTGAGCCTTGTACAAACGCTCATATAAAACATAGAAAAATCTTAAGAAGATATACAAATTTTTAGTTCCATAGAATCCAATCATCTGCTCAGGATCAATTTTAGGCAAGTAGAAATTTTCATCAATTTAATCCATCTTAAAACTCATTTCTCTGATTTTCTCTCCAGTCTTACTGTTTTCATCATCAAGAATATCATTCAAACTGCTCTAATTATTCTAAAAAGATTAATTGCTTAAAATAAAATATTAATTAAGTTTATAAATTACATGGTTTGATTTATCTTGATTTCCTTCGTTTTAATCTCCGCTTTCTTATGATTTGTTTTTGCGTTGCTCATTGCCTTCTGTTTCTAATTCCATATCATTGTCGTTATTATCTTTGGATTGTTGCTTTTTGTTAGCAGAGTTTAGACAATTAGAAGAAGGACTTTTTGTGTTTTTACCCTTTTGCTTGCAAGCGCCTTCTTCTCCATCTTTTTTCTTTTCCTTTTCATCATTGTTGGCATCTTTTTCTTCACCTTCTTCTTCTGCACTTTTTTCATCTGATTTATTTTTTTCACCTTCTTTAGTTGCTTCTTCGTTTTCTTCAGCTATAGCTTCACCATCCTATCCCTTACCGTTCTTATCGTTACCAAAAGGAATTTCAGTTCCATCTCTGCTGACAGGACGTAAATAAGCTTATATTTTTTCAAAAATTTTGTTTTCTATTTCTGTGACTATTCTGATTACTTTATTTTCATTTAATGTTATGTCTGTATGCTCTATAGGCTTAAAAGTTAAATCAAAGAAACCTTTAAGTACAAGTTAAGCAGTACGTTTAATTTTTTCACGGTCAGATTAATTGATAGTAGCATATTGCTAGTAATGCATCAATAGAGAAAAAGTGTCTTCACAAATCTATGGATCTTCGAAAATAAATGCCATCATAGGTAATGCAAATTTACGGGCAACATTTTGATAATCAAATTTAATAAGTTAATCTTCATGTGAAGCATGAGAACATTTTTCAATGTTAGTAGTACCTTGGAAGGTGTTAAGGAATTAGAAATAACTTGACACATCAGTTTCAAAGTCTTATGTATTTTCGATACCATCATCATTTAAATGTTAGTTCTTAACTAAGGCAGCTCCAGCAGAGCGGGTTGAACCTTGTTACATCTGTAAAAGTTATTATTGTTGTTATTGGTATTATTGCTATTTATGAATTATTGTTTATTGATGAGTCATGTATGAAGAAATACGCATCAACATACGATTACGGAATTCAGGTTCTTTCTCAAAACGAGTTGATACTGTGAATTTACGATCGTGACGCTTAAAAATAAAAGAACGATGATCTAATGAACGATGGAAATTCTTTTCTGCAACTTCGTGCCATTGTTTTCTAGCCTGATTCATTTTGGCTTCTTCTATTTCTTTAAGCTTGCTTCTAACTCTTTCAAGAGCGACAAGGACAGTCTTCTTAGGATTGCTCAAAAGAATTTCACATATTTCTTGCTATTCAGGTGAACCATTTTTGTAAAGGCATACAATCATTTTCAAGTCAATAGCCTGTTACATCAAACGACGACATTACTCAGGATCTTCACATTATTCAACTTACTCAAGCAATTTAATAGTTCTACGATACATTTAAATGTGGTGATCGTATTCATATTTTTCATCTTCACTCTTGAACAACTATTCTTCATATTGATTCTTACGCATAATGCTGAAAGTAACATGCTCAGTACCTTAGGGTACAGTAACTATGCTTGTATTTAAAACACTTCTAGTTAATTCAGTTGAATTGGAGCAGTACTTTGGATAGAATTTAGGCATTTCTACATAACTATGAGTAAATCTTTCATGGTGATTAAAATCGAAATCATTTAGAGGCTTGAAGTATGGTGTTGCTTTACGTCTAGAGCTCTCTCTACATTCAACTAAATCTTTAAGTTATTCTATGAGCTTTTCTGGATTATTGAACCCTTAAAGTAGGTAAGAACCTTATTCAATCATTTCACTAGCAGTAATAATGCATTCTACGTATAAATAAAGTAACTTTAACATATTCATGAAGGCAATAGGATCCATATGAGTATCAATCAGATAAATGAAATTTTATTCACTCTATTTAATTATAAAATTTAATTAATTTAGGTTAAATAATTTTTTATTAAACAAAATAAATTCAAATTTGTAAAATAAATTGGCTTGGAATAATTTACAAAATTAAATTAAAATTAAAAACGACTTTTTGAAAGATATTTATTTATTTTTCAATCAATCAATTAATCTATTGATTTAATTATTTATTTGCATATAATTCAATATAACTATTAAATGCTAAAATGAAAAATCTATCAAATTAAAATTAATTTTTTTATGTTTTTGATTTAATCAATTTATTACTTTAGTTGCTCCTTGTATTGTGCTTTTGGGTATGCCAGGACCATCACCATCACCTGTAAATTAATAATTTATATTTTATAAATTAAATAAAAGATTAAAATTTAAATAAATAAAATAACTCCATATTTAACTATTTTATTGTTGAAAAATAAAAATATTTATTTCTGCATAGTGTTTATAACTAGTTTAAAAATATTTGCTTTATTTTATGCACTATTATTTTTTTTTTACACCTTATTCAATCCATTAACTAAATCAAGTGAGTCAATATACAAATTAAAAATTTTAGTGAAAATAAGTAAGCGGCTAGTTAACTAACTATGCTATCATAAAAACAAATTCAATCAAGCTAACAAAAAAAAAATTTGTATGTAAGTAAGTATTTCTGTTTTTCATTTGAATTTTAAAAAAAATACCCATTAATTATATTCTGTTGACTGATTATTGCTCACTGCCCATATCTGCTAATCTGGTGGAAGGCACCTTATAGCTTCCACTGCCTTGATTGACATTAAGTAAATTATTGCCATTAGGAGTACTTGAATGATTTGTATCTTTGTTTGCAACTGAGCCTTTTACGTACCCATTTGAGTTTTGCTAGTTTTAGTTTGCTGAAGATTGGGTTGTGGTGTTTTGATTAGCATTTGAAGAAGAGTTGCCATTAACAGTTTCTTTGCTTTAGTTATTGGCAGCTAAAGTATTGCTGTTATTATTTTTGCTATCTAATGGTCCACTTTATGAGGCATTATTGACGCTATTAGCATTGGAAGCATTTTTATTCTTTTTTCTCCTTCCCTCTTTTTCTTCATCCTTTCTTGCTTTTCCTGTGCTTGGTCCTACTATATTTTAAACTAACTGACCTTAGCTAATTTATTAAATATTATTTGCAGTGCTTTCATTATTTTCAGACTATGAAGTACTGTTTTGAGGAAGCTCTTAAAACAAAATTTGTGCTTTTTAGTAAATTGGATGGTCTTCTCCAAAAATTTCTTCACATGTTTAAATAAATAATCTCAACTGGTCTTCTTAATTTTTGAGTCTTTGCCTTAAAGCATTAACAAATTCGTCCATTTTATCAGGACATTCAGATCTTATAACTTGGCAAAACTGTGATAGTTTTTGGGTTACTACCTCTTTAGAAGCTTCTGGCTTTGGTGGTTCAGGCAGAGAACGTTATTTATTATTGCCAGATTAATTATTTGAATTGATAATATCAATGTCATTTTTTTATTTACCGCTGTCAGATTCTCTGATTGAATTTCCTGCATTACCATTAGCAGAGCTTGAGTTTGCATTGGCAGAAGTACTAGCACGATTATTTAATTCGTTACTGTTGTTGAAACTATCCTTCAAAGTTGTTTTCAACGACTATTCAGGAATCTAGTACTGGTAATCTGGATGCATCATCTTATTTATCTCCATAAGAAGGTCGCCATAAGGAAGGAATAATTTACGGATTTCGCTATGAAACTCAAAACATTTGTCTGATTCTCTATTATTTTTGCAAACTTCAACAAATTACTTATAAAATTTGTCATTCTCCTTACGAATCTTGTTGACAAATTACTGTACGTGAGATTTAAGTCTTTGTTAATTTGTAGTGCCCTATCCAATGGTTGAGCTGGAATTAGAAGGTGTTCCTGCAGCTGCAGAAGCTGCATTTGAACTTTATTGTCCTCCTTAATTGCTTGCAGATTAAGGAACAACTTACTGCTATGCTGAAGAAGCTTACTATTGAGAATTATTCAATAGTTGTTCTTATAATTGTTGTTATTATTAAATCAGCAATTATTGCTAGGCCAGCTAATTGGCGGCATCATTGCCGTTTAGTGCCTACTATTTCAACTTTGCTTATGCACCACCTTAATGCATCTATAATTAGTCAACTTATTTTTATAAATAAAAATTTTTCTTATAAGTATCTGGGTCTGTTTCTTCTTATACAATTTGACTCGCCCTCTTTAAGTAGCTCTTTCTTTTACTTTTTTTTCTTTATTATATTAAAATTGCTTTTATTAATTATTTTTTTTTTTCTTGATCTCTTTTTTCTTTGTATTCATACATTCAATATAATTCAATATAGTTGTTCTTTCATCTTTCGTCTCTTCTTTCTTCGCTTCTTATAAGTTTAATTATTTACTAGCTTTCATTAATCAATATATCTATGCAATTAAATATATATATATATGGATTCTAGTTCCAGAGCCAATGTGCATTATGTTATATATTGGTTGATTGAACAAAAACTTATGAAGAAATGCCGATCACTATGCAATCAGTGGCTTCTAAATACTTTTTTGAAACGAAAAGCACACAAAAGATGAAATTGATTATTTGAAATTATAAATAAATAAACAACTTTTTTAAGCATAAATACAAATTCGATAATTTAAGTAATAGCATTAAATAAACATATTCATCCAAATTGTCAAATAGCGACTCAAAAATTGATTTTATTTCATTTGTCTAAAAATAAATTTTTCTCTATGTTGTTCGCATAGCAAGATTTATGATAAAAGAATAATGTCAGAATAGACTGATAAGTGGCTTAGATAATTAACTTAGTTTAATTAATAAAATATAGTTATATTCATATTTAATTTTTAAAATTATCATTTTCAATACTTATACAAAAGATACCAAATTATAAAAAAGCAAAACCCTCCCTATGACGGAAATGAAATATTATAAATGACTTTTATTTATTAGAGTAAAAATGATCTAACAAATAGTCATTTAAACTTTATAGCAAAAAATATTATTTATTTTAATCAGATGCTAATAAATTTAATGGAAATTCAATTTTGAAATCTCAGAAATTTCCATCAAACTAAAATATTTAAGTAAGTCCTTAATAAAATTTATATATAAACTACTTAGGTTTTTATTACTTTCTTTCGTTCATTCATTCATTATGCCAAAAGCACATTTAACTAATAAGAAGGAAAGGCCATTTGAAAAAATAAAAAAACTTTAAGATATTCTAAGTCTATTTATTCAAAGCAAAGTTCCTAGTCCTTGCGTGAATTTTTCAGTTAAATAAAAGTTTAAAAATACTGAAGGATTTATTGTTTTAAAATAAAATTATTATTCTACTTAGCTAACATTCTTCTTAAATGTCTAATACACAAACATCTTAATTTCTGCACCCTGATCTTGCTATACAAGATAAAATAAAGACCAATTTCAATTAAAAACTATTTAATCAGTTAATTCGATGCTTCTACTAACTTTCTAACAATTTTTAATGCTATTTAGCATACTAATTTAGCACTTTCATCTTAAAATATAAATCTAAATTTAAATCCTTATTGTCTATTTTCATATAAAACCCGTTGTAGGGAAATTAATAATTGTATCTCAAAGTTTTGATTTTTCCTTTGCTTATTAAGACAAAAGTCATTTGATTTTAAATAAATCTTTATTTACCTCTAATTAAATTAATTTTGAAAATAAAGAGCAAAAACTAAACTGTGTTTAAATTAATTAGCTTAGAAAACTATTTAGGAGATATATAAGATAAAATAAGTAATAAAAATCAAAAAATATGTATGTACTTATTTATATATGTATATATACTTATTTATTTTTAATGATTAGGATTTATTTAGAATTATATCCGAAAAAACCTTTGATTCTTATTTAATTTATTCTTTTTATTAAGTCTGAATTTGTTTGTTATTACTTTATTACAATCAATATCTCTTCCCTCCAAAAAATAAAAAAAAAGTCACTTATAATATTTACTCATATTAAATTACTTATCAAACCTTCTTTTAATTAAAACCACTTTGTTTAACTACTTACTTACTTAATAGAGTTTATTTTTATAAATTTTAAAAAAATCAAAAATACTATTTAAAATAAATTAAATAAAGGATAATTCTTATAAATAATTTATACTTTTTAAAATATATAACATTTTTATTCTTTTAATTACCTTAACTCCTTAAACATATCTAAGCTGAAGAGTCAAAGATATTATCAATTTTCCCATTTAAAATATAATATTGATCTTTTAATTCAAATATTTTGAATCGAGGGACAAATTGAAGAAACAAAGTAAAATATTTAATTAAAATTTTATATTAGTTAAAAATCTTTTACTTATAAAATAATAAAAAATATTTTAATAAATAATATAAATAAACAATTAATTTTGCTATTTATCACTAACGATTTGTTTATGAGGACTTAAAATATTTTTAAGATTTAAATTATTAATTATTTGTAGATTGTATGTATTCAGATTATTTGGTTGATTGGGTTTATGATTTAAATAGCTATTACAAGTATGGATTGGTTTTTGCTTTTAAACTAGGATCCTCAAAAAGTTGTTAAAATCTTGGTATTAACTTTTTCAATGATGAGGAAGGAGTTAAATTTCTTGGAGCAAAGCTTTAATTTAATTAAATGTTATTTTCTGTAATTTATAGATTTTAAAATTTATCGTTCGAGTTTTAGAAATCTGTTTTATTTAAATTATTCTTTGAAGCTGAGTTTACTAATTTATTTCTTATGAATAGCTACTATCCTCTATTGATATCAGATTTTTGTTTTTTATTTGAGCTAGAGAAAAACGAAGATCTGTCTGTAGTTTGAGCTGTATTTGTTTATCTTAATGTAGTTTGGGATCCATTATTTATGTAATAATTGTTTTTACTAGATCTATCAGTATTAATGATCTTGTTTTCTCTATGACTAGATACTTTTTTATGATGTTTATTTTCACTTGATTCTATTTAAATAATTCTTTGTTGTAAATAAGGATCTTTTTCCTTGCTTTCTTCAATCTTTTTCTTTACTAACTTCAGAGGATTCAAAGCAGATTCTAGCAGTTATTTCTTAGTGGATGAGAATCCATTTTAGGATTTAGTTGAATTGGAAGTTAATGTCCCATTCATTTAATCAAATGTTCTTGCTTGGATTGGAGAAATCACAAAATTTCTCTCTTTAATAGATTTGAAGGCTTCTTTCTTATTAAGTTTTCTTTTAAAAAGAGCCAAAGGTGGAATTGAGTTTTTAAAGTAATTTGATGGAGAATTGATTTTCTTCCTATCGCTGCTAAATTATTCATGAATTTCAATATTATTTGTTTCATCTCCTATATTTTTATTACTAAGCTGACTACTCGAATAGGTATTATAACCTTTTTCAGTTATGAATAGCTCTGAATTTAACTCAGGGTTTTAGTTCTCGTTGTTGATTCTTTCCTTGTACAATGATTGCTTTAAGTGAGGCTTTTTATTTTAAATGTACTGCTAAATTTTTTTTTCTTATTCATCTGCTCCTGTAAAAACAGAATCGCGTTTTCCTTTAGAAAGAATTTGAAGTAGAAGAGTGAGAGGAGTTTTTCCCACATACTTAATTTCCTCTTCTTTTCTTTTTTGCTTAGCTTCTTATATTTTTTTTTCTATAAAATTAAGAAAAGTGGATTTATGTTAGTTATAACTTGATCCTCTTTTATTTCTTGCATCTACTACTTTATGTCTTGTATTGTTTTATGAGAAATCGTGATCACTATTGATTTCCATAGCAAAGCTATGCTATCTTCTATCAAACAAAATAGATTAGCTCTCGTCTGAATCATTTCTTCTAATATTTGTGGGAGAGTAATCACTACTATCCAAATCTTTAATAAAGTCATTTTTATTTTTGTCTATGCTATATGTATCATCGTCAAAATGCTAAGTAAAGCTTTTTCTAATTTTATGAGTAGGTTTTTTAAATTCTTCCTACTTATTATTAGTTTAAATCTTTAAATTGACTTAAGTCATTTATTTTTTAGCTTTTCTTACAGGACTCTCTTCAGTTATATTATTTAACTCTATCTTACTTAATGAAGGAGGACCAATAATAGATTTTCGATGAGGGCCCTAAATAAGTTTTTATGATCCTTATTTTAAATTTGAATCAGATTCTTCTAAAACAGAAGGAATATTAACAGATCCTTAAGATTCATTCTCTATTTCTTACTAAGAAGGTATTTGCTTGACTGTTCTATTCATAATATTTAGAAAATTAACAACTTTAAAAACTTTAGTAAACCTCTTTTTCTTTCTAATAAGTATAGGATTAACAATATTCTAATATTTATTTTCATATTGGGTGCATTAGCCACATTATGAGCAATAGCAACTTTTTCTTCTCAGCTGCATTTTGTACTCCATGTTATATTTTTTCCTATATTTTCTATCCAATATTTCAAAAACATCATTATTAATATTTTCTTATTTTGTAGCAGTCTTTGCTGGAAGTTGTGGGGAAGCAACATTAGACACTGCTGCTTTCTTTAATTTTAGATTTGCTTCTTATGTAAGAGGAGATACTTAAGAATTTTAGTTTACTCTAGGTGATTAAATGCTTTTTAAGTTTTCTTATTTCATCAACTTGTCTTCTTCTAACAAAGTCAAAAAAGGAGTAACATTTTATTGCCTATAATTTTAAGTAAAAATATAAATTTTAATTTAATTTTTTTTTCATTAATTTAAATGAAAATTTAAAAAAATAAACAAAATTCTTTCTTTCAATTTATTGAGCAAAAGCTCTTACTTTATGTATTAATTATTATTATTTTAATTTCAAACATAAAAACTTTATCTAGCGAATGGTTTTCTAAAATATTTGTGAAGGTATTTATCTTAATATCTCTAATAAGTAAATAATTACTATTTAACTTGTTGGATGGCTTATGATAAGTTTTTAACAGCCTTTTTTTAGCTACTACTTGTTGCTGTTTAAAGGATTGATCCTTTTTTTCTTCTCCCTCCATTTTCGTTGCCAACTTAAAGATTAGATTTTCTAGGTTTATTAATATCTTATTTAACATTTAGGTTATTTTACTAACTATCTTGTATGATGTACTTAAAAAAATGATCTAAACTATTGCCTAATTTTAATAATACAATTTTGATTAAGTATAAATAGCTATTGATTCAATATTCGAATTTACTAACTCTGTGATTTTGATTTTTTTATAATAGACTTTGATGATGCTAAGGTGATTAATTAATTACTTTCAACATTTTTTCTTTTGCAGAGTTTTTGGATGAAAGTATTTTGAATTTCATGTGATTATCTTGTTCAATTACTAATATAAAAATAAGAAATTGTTAAAATAAAATTAATATAAATAAATCTAAGTTATTTCAAAGAATCTTATTTTCAAATTAGTAAAATTTATTATTTGTGCCAAGTTTTATCATAAATTAGCGTAAATTAATTAATTAATCAATCAACTAATAATACATTTATCAATATCAGTCTGTTAGCTGACTAGAGGTTTGAGTTATGAAACAAATGGGTTTAGAATCTCCTTTGTTAAACTCTTCCAGACTCTTTCCTTATCAAGAGTTAAATCCTCTTTTTAAAAGTGTATGTTTTCCTCTATTCCATATTAGTTTGATTTAGGAAGGTTTATAACAGGCATCTATATCATGTCTTTGTCTATTTGTTTATAAATGAATTATTTTTAAGTTTGAAGTAAAATATTTTTCTACATAAATAATATTTAAATATAAATCATAATTAAATATTTAAATCGCTTATTTTACCAACAATATACAAGGAAGAAAGTTTCTTCTCTACGTCATGGTCCTTAAGTCCTGACACAAACTTTACAGTCTAAAATAATTTAAAGCAATTAATTAGTTAATGTTGCTTAATCAAGATTGAGTACTATGTAAATATAAAAGATTTTACTTTAGGATTTTATATAACTTCTTCATCCTTGCTTATGAAAGAATCACCTTAAATATAATCAAAAGGTTTTCTTTCGTTATATTAAGAAGCATAATATTAAGATTCATCTTCACTTCTAGAAAGATAAGAATTATCATATTAGCTTATTTTTTATTATGATTTTGGTTTATTTGATTCTATTTTTGGTTCATTGTTGAAAGACTACAACTGTTATTGTCTCTTTGAGTCCATTTCGAGTTACGTTGCTTTCAAGTTAGAATTTCTTTGACGGAAATAAGTAATCGAGGATATGTCCTTTTGAAAACAAATAAGCTATTTGTGTAAATTATTACTTCTTTGTTTATTGAACACTAAAAATTAAATACTAATTAAAATTGTAAAACCTGCTTTTCTTTTGCTGAAAAACTCTAACTTAAATTATTTCATATAATAATAGCTACTGGATAGCAAATTAAGAAAATAACATTCCTTTATTTTCGTTTCTTTTTGCACTTCGAATTACTCACATTATTCAAACTAAAATACCAACATTTTGTTTATAATCAAGTGATATCTTGGCAAATTTTATGTAATCTATGTTTGCATTTACCTAATACGCAAATATTCTCCTATCTATATAAACCATACCTTCTAAAATACAATATCTAAGATACTGAAAGTATGTAATTTATTTTCTACTCTACCTTCACAATACAAAAATTAAATTAAGTTACAATCATTTGCTTTTCGAATACAAATCAAAAAAATATTCAATTAATAAATAATCAAAAGATTTATATAAAAATCTCTTTAGTTTAATTTAAAAATATTTGAATCAAATAATTTGAGAATTTTTAAAACAAAATATTCTTATTAAAACAAATAAAATTTTAAAGTAGAAATATTAAAAATTATGAATAAAATCCATATTTTACTTAAAATTAAATTCCTTCTATAAAAAGAATTTTAGTTCCAGTTAATTTTTTTAAAAAAAGGTGAAAATTAAAATAAATGCTAATTATAAATTTAAATCAAAATCGAAGTTTTTAATGAGCAAATAAATTTTTAAATAATAAATTATAATTCTAAGTTAAATTTAATTTAAATTCCATCATTATAAATCATTTTAATATTTGCTAAAAAATAATAAAAAATGTTAATGAAAAAATGAAAATTTAATAATTAATTTTTTTGTTAATATTTTTACATCAGTCAAATTAAAATATGATCTAGAACTAATTATTTTTATTTACACTCTCTTTTAACTTTTAATAAATTTTGATTATAATTAATTAATAGACTATGTAGCTTTAGACACATTTAATTTAACAACGTAATACCAAAATATTACGAATTAAATTATTTACTTTTTTAAGAAAAAAAATTCTATAAATATATTAAAAATATTAACACTGGCTTTTAACTTTGTAAAAGTTTGTAAATATAAAATAAAATTTTATTTGTAAGAGAGCAATGTTAGCTATTATAAATAATTATAGTGGGATGACTGGCTGGTAGGTAGAAAAGAATAATTGAAATAGCAGACCTTATCAGGAAATTATATTGTACAATTATGAGTGATTATTGATTTAGGTGTAAACACAGTGTTAAAAGAATATTTATTATTGAATAAATAAATTAATTAGTTAGCAATTATTAAATTCAATAGCAAGATAAAACATTTGTTTACTTTAGTAAAGCATTTATAAAATTTTAAGCATAAGAGAATACCAACAATATACTTTAAGAAATTATTTTAATTGAAAAAATAATTAAATCAATCAGAAACAAGATTCATTTATTAAACTATTTACCTAAATCTTTTATATTTTAAGCTTATAGATTTAGCTTATTGCAATGTCATTTTAAGATTAAAAGTTAGTTAGAAAAACTAAGCCTTCTAACTCTTTGAATGAAGGTTAAATGAAATAATTACAATCTGCTTTTATGAATGAAAGTGGAGACGAAAATGGCGAATATGAAAATTAGTAAACAGCAATAAATCCTCATGAACCTAAAAGAAGTAAAACGATAATTCAATAAAATTAGTCATAAGATTAATCAATGATCATGGATAATATTAAAGTTGATAGCGATAAAATTACTTTTTTGTCAGAAAAGGATTTTAAATTTGAAAAAAATTGCTGGGTGTGCAAAATTTTATTTGGTAAAATGAATGATAGATAACACCATTGCAGGCTGTGTTCTCATTCAGTATGCAAGATATGCTCATAAAAGAGGGTAAATGATAATAGAGTTTGCGATATTTGTTTTCTTAAAATGAAAAATGTGAAAGGAGAAAAACGTAAGAAAAAGCTGTTAGCTGCAATGAAAAACTTCATTAAAAACTTATCTACAAACATAACCAAGGGTAATGAAGAAAACAAAAAATTAGAATCTAAATGCAAGAACCTAAAAGATCAGTCAAAGATTGAGGAAGAAAAAAGATAAATTGAGTTAGAAATATTGAAATCTAAGCTTGCATAGATTTAAAGAAGCAAAGAAACACAAGAAAAAAAATTAAGAGAACATGAAAATCAATTAGAGGTCAAAAAAGTTGATAGATAGCGCAGATAAGATGAGCTCAATGATTATTAAACTAAGTAAAAGATTATTGTTGGAGATATTAAGCTCCAGCAAGATGCCTACAAATCAAGATATGACTAGCTCAATCAATTGTATCAACAAAAGAAAGACTTACAAAATCAAGAGTCATTCCTAAGACTTCCTAACTATGAAAGAGCTAAACGTAATGATCCTGAGAATATGTGCGAAGCTATCATCTTTTTAGATAATAATGATCATAGAAACGGAATAAATCATTACAACACAGTATCCAATAATAATGTTTTCTAAAGTACTTCTGACTCAAATAACATAGACAAACATAATACTAGTCAGAATTACAATCAACAAAAGAATGATAAAACTGAATATGCATCCAGCTACAATTAAGGCCTAATGGATGCAGATCATGAAATAATTTAGCATAGCTCTCGGAAAAAAAATAAAGGTGGAAGTGGTAAAAAAACTGGCACTTGTTTATGTGATTGAAAAAATATATAAAATTAGAACAAAAAAATAAAAAATATTATTACAATATCAAATTATAAAAAAGTATTTTCTTAAAAATAAATCTATCAATAGATAGAGAGATTGATAGATTTAATTATATAAATTGATGCACTAATAACTTTTAAAAAGGTTACTAAAATTTAACTATCAAAATGAATAATAATTTTGTAATTAAAATAAATATATAAATACCTGAAAAGGCTTGGCATGTATAAAAAACATATTTTATTTATAAATTCTACTTGATTTCTTTGAATGTAAAATATTTTACATTATTTATTATGATTTTTTATTTTTTACAATAAATTTTGTTTCTTTTCATCTCTATTTTTTCTAGATTCATAATTCTGTTTGAAAAACCAGAATATTTTATTTTGTTTAAGTCTTTTATTAACATTTTTATAATGAATATAATTTTAATCTTCCAAATATTTTTCAAGCATTTTTAAAATTGTTAAAATAACTTTATTTTAACAAACAGATTAATTAATGAAGACTTTTTAAAAGTTTTAAAATAAAACTTATTTATTTGTTACGTTGACTTATTTTTAAGAACCTTTAATAAGATAAAAGTTATTTTAAAAACTATTTTTATTCCAATTTATTTTAATTTTATGGAATTTATTTTTAAGTTTTTGATAAAAAGTGATTTTTAGTTTAAAATATAAAAACAGGTAAAATTTTGAAATAATTTATTTTACTTTATTATTTTTATAAATTCCTAAATTAATTTTAATTAATTAATAAAGAATTCTTTATTTTGATCAAGTAAATTTTTAATTAAACAGAAAAATTTTATAATTCATTTCCAATCTAATCTAGATATTAAATATTTTGTGGCTAATTCATTTTTTAACTTTACAGGATCGCTAAGGAAATCTTACTTCTTCTTTTCTAGTAGCTCTTTTTTTCTTTTATTTATATCGTACTTATTCAAGTTATCTAATCCTTGAGCTTTGTTAAATAGGAAACTTAAAAAGTTTTCAATAGTTGCTTTTCTTTTTGGTTTTTTGACAGTTTTTTACCTCTGCTTAAGAATTGACTCTATGCCTAAAAATTCATCCTAATTTCAAATAAAAATGTATTTTTAAAATTGTAAAATTAAATTTACTGCTGGATATTCAAACTCTCTTGCCAGCATTGTCAAAAATTTAAAACAGTTTTCTATAATTATATCTTCATTAAATATTTCTTTCTCATCTTCAGCAAGGACATAAGAGTCCAATAGTTCTTCATCAAGTACTTTTTCTAACTACCTCAATAAATTTTTTTCGTCAACCAATTACTTTCATTTTAAATAAAATTAAAATATTTCTACTAATTAATTTAATTCAATCAATTTACAGAAAATTTTTTCTTAATTATATTTTGAGGATCTTAAGAAATGACAGTAATATCTTGCACTAACTGATCAATTATTTCACTCAAAACATATCTTGTTATTTTCTTAGTGCCTATTAAAGAGAACACAAAACTAAAATACTGATTGTAAGTTTTTGAAATATAGCCAAAGTCTTTTTTGTAGCCAATATATCTGAATAATTTGCAGACAGTCTTTAGAGCAAGTAGAGTATCCTCAGAGTTCATATTTGAAGCAGAGCTGCATAAAGTAATTAAGAAATTTGCAAAAATATCTAACCCTAAAATTTTTTCACTTTCTTCATCAATTGTCATGCTTAAAACCTAATTAAAAAAATTTAATATTTTAAAATCAACTAAATCTTTAAAAATTTTTTTACTTTTGTTGATATCATAGAGTAGAGTTTTACTAAATTCTTGACTTTACCTAAACTTTCAATTAACAACTCATCAATAATTTTTATCAACTAATTGCATTCAATCACATTTTAAACTGATCTTTCCATATAGAAATCGAGCAACTTTAGAAGTTATAGCGTTTGAATTCCTTTGCTTCTGAGAAAATCATCTTTCTAAGAGTATTCAAGAAGTTCAAAATCACTTTAATTTCTAACATACTTTTAAATAATTTTAAAAAATTAAATAATTCATTTTTAATTATTTTTATTTTTCATTTTTTAGATATTTTAATCAAACAAACTTATTTTTAAAAGGTTTATTTTTACCAATCAAAAATATTCATTAAAAATTCATTATTGTGTGGGTAATTAAACATAGTTAAACTAAAAGAATATTAAAATATTTGAGCTATAAATTAATATTACTTAAATTTTAAAATAAATTTAAGAAAAAGTTAAAAATAATTAATTATTATTTATTAAAAGCTTATTTAATTAAAAATATTTAATCCCAAAAGTATTTAATAGAAAGAAAAAATTTAACTTCAATAAAATTATATTTTAAAATAGTTTTTATATTAATTTTATTTTAATTAAAAAATGTAATATATACTTTGCTGTTTTGTTGAAAAAGCCCATTCTCATCTTTTTGAGTTTCTACATACCTAAGACGATTGTTCAGAATGATATTTAACAAATCTTCTTGCTTATAAGATTCCTATTTTAATTACTCAGTTGTAATGGTCATTGATGATGATATATCCAATTTTTTTGATCTGTAATCGATGATAAGTGTTGATTTTTTTTCTTTTGACTAAACTTTATTCTTTTTTTCCTCTTAATTTTCATCTATTTAATTAATATGGAGTAGCTTTATTTTGCTTAACATTTCTGCTAAATCTTGGCAAATAGCTAACCCATTATTTGCTTTAAATATATCTATGAACTGATTGATATCCTAGGCTGCTAAATTACTCATATTAGCCAGACACTATTGCACTATCTCATAGTCGTCATAATAAACTCTTATAAAATTCATCAAAGTTATTACAGTTGTTTTGACATGCTCTTTTTTATATTTAAAGTTTTAAGAAAATTAACATTAACTTAAAAATCAATTAGAATTTAATTACATTTATACTCAGAGTAATCTACATATAAAATTAGCTCTTAAATTTCCTTTATTATTTGTAAAGTAACTTTTCTTTATGAAGAAGAAAGAAGATTTTGAATCATGTCTAGTAGAGTTGTTTTTCTGAAATTTAATTTCTCATTTTCAACATTTTTCTTTTCTTTTTTCTCAACAACTAATTTATCAAATTCATTTTAGTTTCTCTTTATCTTTATTTCCTGTCTAGCTTAAACTTTTTAATATAAATGCAAACTTGAGAATTATCTATTTAAAACAAATATTTTTACTTCTTGAAATTACAATTGGTATCTATTTGGCATTCTTCAATTTAATTATGTCATTGCTTGAAACTGATGTGTTGCACTACTCATTCAATTCAAGATTCAAACTCATCACATTATTAAGATATTTCTATTCACACATTTTTTTCACAGGATACAATCTTTAGCAGAGCTCATATTCTTTTCCTTCAAACATCATGACCAGCATGACTTCAATAGCTATATTTTCAATATCATCTTACTAAAATATAATTAAAAAGGTTTAATTTTATGGAAATATTTTTTCTTTTATTTATTTACTTGTCTATAAACAACACTGAAATTTTCAGGTGTATCAAATTAGAAGCTTATTGCCTTTGAATTTAATTGTGATTCAATAAAATTTTCAAGAGTAATCTCTAAAAGGCTTGTTGAGTGCTCATTTATAACATCTGTAGAATAATCATTGTAATATACCATTGTCTTAAGCTTTACACCAAAATATATTAAATCATCCTTATATCTTTCATTATCTTCATCAATTTTTTTAATAATTTATTAAATCAAGTGATGCTCTGGGTTTAATTATATATTTTTTATTCCTATTTTCATTTTTTAATTTAATAAACTCATTTAAATTTTTATTGAAAAACGATAATAGTAAATAAATTACCATCAATTTTCATAAAAACTTTTGCCCAATGAATAGGTTAGAATTTGAAGCTGCCCAATACATATATATCTTTTCTATTAAGTATGTTATAAAATTGCTTCATAACATCATTGTTATGATATATCAATTCTCTTAATGGCTAAATAAAGAAGAATTCTTCTCCTTATGGTTTTGAATATACAACATCAACAATTTAGAAGCTTCCTTTACATAAGTTAATGGATCTGTCTTCTCTTAAGAAATCATCATTATTTTCTTATTTAACTTCTTCATCCTCACCAATATCTTTAGCTTCTTCTATCTCTTCTGATTATTCCTAACTTATATTTCTCATTATTTTATTCAGCTGTTCTTTTGACTATCCTGTCATCACCAATTTTAATTCAATTTTATCACTAGGATGAGAAGTCAAAAACTTATGAGTCTTGAATTCATTTTAAAGTATGCTTCCATCTGAATCGATAAAATTAGTGAATTCTTTTTACCTATGAAGAAATAAAAATACATAATTTTAAAAAGGGTTTTTATAAAAAGTATTAATTACCCATTCACTTTAACTTTAAGTTTCATGTTAGACAAAGCAAATACTGAGATTTTGTCAGAAAAGTAATTTTTAGCAATTATTTTCTTTATTGATTTAATAAAAATACATTAAAATTGATTTTTTATCAATAATAAATAAGTTATTTTTTGATTAATTAAAGTAAAATTTTACTTTATCCTTATAACGAATAACTGAATTAAGACCACGAGTATCCAGCATTTCATTTTATTCTACTCTTATTATTCTATGAATTTAGACAGATATTTCTCCTACATTTTGTTTATAAAATGGAGAAGTGATTACTCTTAAAAGAGTGATAACTCTGAAATTCGAGGGTCTTATAAATATGAGAAGCTACTGGGTTTAAAAGAGATCCTCAGGGCTATTTATAGACTGAATAGTTTACTAAATAGAATGTTTAGGAATTTCACCTTCTTCAAGTTTTATATTCCCTTCTTTATCCATATACTTAAAGCCAAGCATAATTTATGAAGAATTTTTCATAACTTCTCCAGGAATGTAAAAGTCGATCTCCTGATTTAAAGTTATTTCAGTCATCCTATAAATAATAATTTGGTAAAAATTTTATATTTATTTATTCAAATTACTCTATTTCATCACCATCGTCACCTCTTTCTTCCTTGAAAGAATAGGCATCTCTCTTAAATTATGCAAATAATTTAAGTGGAGTCGAATTTTTAACATTCTACTGAATAATTAAGCTTATATTAAAAGAGTATTTCATTTTTATTGATCCTTTTATTTAGAGGGTAGTGCCCTAAGGAATAGTAATATGCCATAAATACTCACCATCTTTAGAATATTGAGTAAGCTCTTTTTTAAAGTCTGGATTATTATACTATTTATTCATACCAGAAAAACGCTCTCTTAAATAAAGTAAGCTCATTCCTTTGAATTTTTTTCTGAACTATTAGTTAAACTCATATCTATTCAATAGTAAATTTGAAAAATTTATTTACAAAATAAGTTTAAAAAATAAAAAAATGTTCAAAATAAATTATTTTAATGTCAAAAATAAATAGGTTTAAAAGCTATTACGCATTCATTTTAGAGTCATAATAATATATTTTGTAAAGCTTTTCTCTTACATTAGTTAACTTCCCTTTTATTTTTGCTATATTAGCTAAAGAAATTGTACTTTGTGGTTGGTTATTTACTTCTCCTTTGAAGAATTCTAAAACAACTTTACAAGGGATACGTTTAATTATATTGACACTATTAAACATAACTAAAAAGAATTCAACTTCAATGTTCTTTTAAATTTATTCTTCATTAAACTTTTTCAAACCATGTTCTACAATAGTTTTTATTTTCCTTTCTAAAAAGTTATTCCTTAACATTTTTTATTGTGAATTTGTATTATTATTTTAATTGTCATCATCCTAAATATCTTCTTCTTAGCTAATATTTTATTATTCTTCTTCTTCTTATTTCTTTTCTTCTTCTTGAGACACTTAAGGGAATTTTATATTGTAGAGAGGTAATTTACACTTAGAAATCAAACCTGTATCTGTCTTAGAAGTATCACAAAAATCAATGGTAAGAGTATCGAATATACTTTAACACTTAAGATTAAGAGACTGTGTATAAATATAACCAGTATCAGTTTATTTGAATTCTGTAGCAGGCAAAATCTTAGAGCTTTGGTAGCTTTGCTTAAATTTAGAAAACTCTTTTATTATAGGATAACTATTATTGGAGTGACTTATTATCTATTAAAAGCTATCTTCTTCAGTATCAAATCCTTGAATCTAATTATAAATATTAAATGTTGCCAAAGCCTTTTAAAAAATATTTAATTACATAAAAATTGAAGCTAAGCGATTTTTAGAAGTCCTTTTCTTTTATATCCATAATTTCAAATGATTTTAAAATTATTGTGCAGTCAAAATTAGAAGTAAACCTATTTTGAATGAATGAAAGATTCAAATTTAAAACTGCACTTCTATAGAGCAAATCATTCTATAAAAGAATACTCATGCTTATTGTTTAATTCGTGAACCAATTAAGTGAATCTAGGTTTATTGAAAACGACTATAGTTGCTTTCTTCTGAGATACTATTTTTTTTAAATTATATTTTAAATAGAAATCTTAATGTATCTAACTAAATACATACCCTTTTAGATTTATCTAATGAAATAAATTCAATTAGGTTCTTGATTAATGATATTGACACATTATTTTGTTCAGGATGGAAAATAAGTTAAGCTAGCTAGTTAAATGGGGCTTCATCATTTCTGAAATATTCAGAAGTCTCATCTTGTGAAATGGAATATTGCTATTGCTTTTTCTTGAAAGTCAGTTTGGACAAACCTTCTTAATCTAGCTATTTAAATATAATTTAATTGCTGTAAATTGTAGCTTCAGTTTCCGAGCTAATTGTGCTTTGATTGCTACTATTATTTATTCCATGAAGCCCCTCTACTTAGATTTAAATTAAACCATCTTTCATTTCTTTTACCATTTTAATTTCTTCATTGCTTTATTATTGCTTGTTTTGTTATTCGTTTTCTCCTTCCATCTTCAAATTTAATTGTGATTACAATCTTTTAGGGCATAAATTAAAGTCAGCAGAAAAAACAAATACTATTTCTTCCTATTTAACTTAAGAAAATTAAAACTTATTTAGTAAATGTAACTAACAAGAATTTAAAAATTACTTCCAAGTCTACTTGTGTTTGCTTCACCAGCACTAATTAAATTTGGATGAATTTATTTCAACATTTTAATAGCAAAATTTTAAGTTTAATCTTTTTCATTTAAGAAATTCAAAATGTCTGAAAAACATATTTATCCCTTGAGGATAGGCATAGAACATTAATCGAGCTACATATAATCAATATTTAAAGGATGTTTAACAGTCATATCAGTTATTTATACCAATTCTATATTAATTTGGACATTCAAATTAGTAGTAAAAAAGCTACAAATTCTATCACCAAAACTCATCTGTCTGTCTATTATACTTTTTTACAAAATAAAAAACGGATTTGTAAATTAGAAATGTATACTCCTTGGATTCTTAAACAATAATGCTTTATAAAGATTGGACTCTAAATGGAGTTGAGTAATATGTAAGAGAAGATGGTAAGAACGTAACACTTTTGACATCAGTTGTAGATTCAATAGTACCTGGCATGGCATAAAAAAATTAGTTTACTTAATCCTTCTTGTTTATAAATAACTTTAAAACGTACTGGCATGAAGTTTTTAAGAATAAATCATTTAATGGATTAGTTTAATTAATATTTTTTATTTTGAGAGGCCTGATATTAAGTAAAACATTTTCGTAGTTTTCAATGCTAAAAGAATCAACTACATCCACAATTAAAGTGATTTAGTTTAAGCTATCATTAATAGCACCTTTAAAATTTATTTTCTTCAATTCAACTTAAATATAATTTGTTTTATATTTCTTGAGTGGATATCTCGTCCATTCGAGCTGTCCATTAAGTATTCCGTTAACAGTAAAATTTTTATCATCTTTAGAATACATAAAAGTACAGCTAACATCAATGTTTTATTCTTCTAAATCAAAAGCATTTAAATTTAACCTGAAGTTTTCCTTAATATTGTTATAAGTGCTTTTTTATTAAATTAATTTTTCATTAAAAATCAAACATTTATTTTTCATTGTTTTTTTAAATTAATTTTATATTAAAAATCAATCATTTTTTATTGCTTTTTTTTTTACTTTGTATTTTTGGATAGGCGAATCTTTTAGGAAATGTATGTGCTATTCTTTGATTTTAACGTTATTTAGGCATGAGTATCTTTAGGTCCACCTGTTATTTCTAAAGATTATGTGGAAATAACAACTTAAGTAATGCCTTTTACTGAGCCATCTCTTTTTTCATACCTTTCAACCCAAAATAATTTTTCATTTAATTCAGATCCATTTTGTATTTGCTTTAATTTATTAAATAAAATCATTAAATTCAATGATTCATTTATTATTTTGAAATATATGAAAGAATATTTAATACCTTGTAGAAAGGATGAGAATTTATAGGAGTATAGCTGAAAGTGAAAACGAAATTTCCTTCTATTTCTTAATTAAGAGTTGAAAGTGGAATTTTCCAAGTGTTTGGAAAATCTGTATTGACCAAAGGAAGATCGGCAATCCTCTAAAATATTTTAAACATCAAAATACTAGCATTGTTGCTAAAATCAAAGAATTTAATTTTTAAAGTATCTAAGATAGAGTTAGTGAAAAATTTGATGCTCTTTTAATATTTAGGATTTTTTAAGTTGTTAATATGTTCATCGGTTTTGGCAATCTAGTTATTCACTTCAAAGACTAGTAAGCTATTAATTATGTCTCTGTTAGTATATTAAATATTCTCACCTTAAATGCAGTCAATGCTTAGAATTCCTATGTATTTTTTTTATTTAATTTATTTAAAAGCATTAAAAATTTATTTACCTAATGGCTAATCAATAAACAATGATTTATTTTGGGTGTATTTTATTTTAAGAGTTCCATTTTAGGTTAAACTTTTTTAAAATTAATCAAAGGATTTGTTCTTTTGAGAGAGAACTTTCTTAAATAAAAACATGAAATTTTAGCTCAAAACTGGAGATTTAATATCTATTGATGAAATTGTATTTCTTGCAAGACCATATTATTGAATTAAAACAGTAGGTATTTCTAGATGTAAAGGATTTAAAGTAAAACTCATTATTTCATTATATTTTGAAGGTATAACTTCGTTATCAACTTAATTAGGGTTCACGTAGAGCTTTTTAATTAAATCAAATTTGAATATAATTATTTTGTTAACTTAATGTTACTTCATATATTTTCACAGTTGCAGGTATCGCATCTTTGTCTATGTAGTTTATAAAGTTAATTGGTATGTTTGTTTGCCACTCAAATTTGTAAGGATTATCACAAACTGAGGTAAAGCATCTATAATTAAGAGTTGGGATTGAAACTTCTAAAAATAAGTTTGTTTTTCCAAGATCTTCCAAATTAATTCCGTTTATTTATATACCCTTAATAACACAAAATAAATTTAAGCCTTCATAAACTTATTTTGGCTAATTATCTTGTTTTAGTGTATTCTAAGATAATTTAGTAAAATTTCCACCATCAATGTCTTCTTTTACATTTACAACACTTTTTTTCTTTGGTCCTTCTTTTGATGAAGCAATCAAATTAGGCTACTTATTTGAGAACTAACTCTATTTTTATTATTAATTTGATTCATGTTTTTAAATATTGAGAGGAGTCTTTTCATTAGGTTCAATAGTTTTCTATCTTTTAAAGCTAGCTACCAGAGGATCATACTCTTTTTAAAACTTGCTCCAAGTTCTTTTTTTGTTGAATAAATAAATAAATTAAATAAACAAACTACTTTCATTAGAAATATTTTTACTGCTCATTTCTGTGAACAAGACTCAAAGAAACCTTAGTAGCTACTTTGTTAGTTATAAAATTAAGAGTAGTAACTGCTTCTCTCTCTACTTCATCATCTTTATTCTATAGCCAGTTGAGTTCTGCTAAAACCAAAGAAACAGTACATTCAGGCTAATAATTAATAATAGAAATTAAATTTTATTTTTTTAAATACAATTTTTAATATTTAACCAAAAAATTAAAATTATTTATTGATAAATAAAAATTTACTTCAAGTTAGCTAAATTCTTCTTTATTCATTTAAACTTCAAGTAAATCTTTGTTGATATATAAGTTAAATTTTATTTCATCAAGTACACTGTTAGTGTCCAAGTAGAAGGTAGGACCTTCTATGTAAAATTTACACAATTAATTACTGTTTTAGAAAGTGTAAAATGCTTTCTTTAAATTTATATTATTAACTTTCTCTATCTTGATTCTTACTATTCCCTTAGGCTCACGAGTAAATGAATTCTTTAAGAATGTATACTCACACATCAAAGCAGCACTACTAGGGATATTGTTATCTGTGAAATTTTTTTACACACATTTAGGTTTGTTAGCTACCAAAGATAATTAATCTAAATTCTACATAATAGAGCCAACGTCTACATCTATGTCATTCGAGCTGAAATAGTTTTTTAATGAAAACTTTATTTCAATATTTTTATCTTTTAAAGGTTAGCACTTCATCAAGAATTTTTGGTTCAAAGTAGGATTTTCCTACTTAAATTTCTTTGTTTATTGTTGTATAGATTCAATTTAAACTGATCCGAATTATGTATCCTTTGATCTTTTAAGTTCTATGAGCATGCAAAATTGTATTATTTTAAATTAGAGATAAATACTATTAAAAACTTACTTGTTCCATTCAAAATGCTTATACGAAGAACTCCTTCCGCATTATAGGAGCTTATCACTTCTTGGTTTTCTTTAATAGATGACTATTCTTATGATTTCTACCCATCATTATAATATTCAAAACTAACTTTTAATTTACCATTTATTTACTTTTTAATATTAAGTTCTGCCAAATCTAAAACTCTAACAGCTCTCTAAATTTATGTTATATTTTTTAAAGAATCAGACCAAAAGGAAATCATCGTATCACTAATATAAGGATTGTAATCATATAATTCAAATCTAATCTCATCATTGTAATGAAATTTCGATAAATCAACTGCAAATCTGCAGTTCCATATTGGTTTTTCTTATTTTTCGCATATTTCAGTTTAAAATTTAACAGAGCCTATCTTCAAAATCCTAAAAATTAAAATACAAAATTCTCATCTTCCTGTTTTGCTAAAAAATTATCAATTTTACACATATGGATTGGGATTTCCTAAAAATGTATTAAACCGAATATCCTTTCCTTCTACAATAACTATTGTTAAAATACCCGAAAGTGACTAATTTATAACAAGAATGTTATCTTTAATTCACAATATTTTGCTAAATAATCATAAAATTATATACCTAATCCATTTGACAAATCTATCAACTTGTTAACTAACTAACTAACAAAAAGCTTTGCTTTAAAAATCTTAACTTAAAAATACAAACTAATTAATTAGTTAATTAAATTTTTTTCTTTTAATAATCGCAAATTTTAAAATAAAAGGATTTGATTGATTATTAAAAACACTAAATAAAGTCCTAAAAGATATTATTAATAATTTATTAAAATCTGTATTAAAAGATAGTTTCAAATTTGAAACAAATACTTATTTAAATTAAATTAAGTGGAATTAAATTGATTTTAATTAATTGTCAAAAATATATTTTTATAAAAACTATATTTTTATTCAGATGTTAATGATAATATCTCTCATTTTGCATAAGCAAGTATTTATGATAGAAAAAATAATATTTGTATTGCATTTTTTATACATTGAAATATACTCCTGTTGTTATTTGATTGATTTACATTAAAATAATTTTATATTTTGTATTTTATATCGTAGTGATTTGTGTAAATTTGTGTCATATTCCAATAATATGTAACCAATATTCTTAAGTGAATATTTGATTTTATTAGTTTTAGTATTAGATAATTTCAAGACTGTAAAATTAATTATGTAATTGTAGATTTTGGTATTAGAAACATAATATTAATAATAAGAAAAAATTATGATAATATTTCTCATTTTTCATAAACAAGTATTTATGATAGAAAAAATAATATTAGTATTGCATTTTGTTTATATTGAAATATGCTACTGTTGTTATTTGGTTTATTTAGATTATTTTATATATGAGTAATTTGTTTATACTAACATGAGTCATATTTTAATAGTATGTAATCAATATTCTTAAGTAAATATTTTATTGTATTTGGGTTAGTATTAGATAATTTCAAGACATTAAAAGAAAGATATTATGTAGTTGAAGATTTTGGTATTAAAAAAAATAAATATTAATAGGAAAAAATAATGAATGATAAAATGAAATGGTAATTTTAAGATGAAGTTAAATAAAATATATTGGAAAAACATTACTGTAGCAGCGATGTAGATATAAAAATGAATATTATTAATTTTTTTATTTTTTATTTATTATTATTTAGAAATTTTATATACAATAAATGAAGCGATAATAATTTGAAAGAAAATTAAATTGATAACTATACTAGAAGCACAACACTTCTTTTTGTGATAATCAGTAGCTAAATATCGATCTATCTATCTATCTGTTTATCTAACAATCACTCATTTATTTTTTCGATTTAGAGTATGAGAAGTGCATCTTTATCTATATTATATCTATCTAATATTAATGCATAAATTTAATCATTGAATCTTTATGCTAATCTTATTTTTTATTTATTATGTTTTATTTAAAAATTACTTTTGCTTATAAATATATTTAATAATTTGTGAGAAAACTAATATTTTTTGAGAAAATCTATTTATAATTCTAGCTTGTTTTTCAAAATTTAATATCAAATTTAGGGCCTGGTAAACCCAAGTTACGCACAGGTTGCCTGACATGATTAAAGTCATATATATTTTTATTAGTCAAAGCATTTGCATTTGTCGTTGTACTTGAAGTTTGATTACTCTTAGCTCCATAAACAGGATTGCTTAGAGAGTATCCTCCTCCAGCTACATTGTTAGAGTTAGTTGCTGATGAGAATGAATATATGTTATTGGTGTTATTGGTTGAGTAGTTATTGCCAGTATTGCTTCCACCTAGTGCAGCTGAAGGAATATACCCTGAATTATCATTAAAATGACTTGGAGAGTTGCCATAAAAATTTCTCACATTATTTGTGTTATTATTTTAATAATCCCTATAACTTCCATTCACACTTTAAGAGTTGTACTCTTAATTATTATAAGTGTTTGTTTTATTTTCAAAATAAGCTGCTGAATTCAAATTCCTAGTAGGTCTTGAACCTGTTTCAATAGAGGACTAATATATACCACCATTGAATGCGTTATGTATAGAAGCAGAATTATTAGCATTACTTTAATTTCCGTTATAATTAATTGTATTGTATGGAATACTATTAGAGCTACGCTTTTCTATTGCTGAAGAAATTTATTATTACTATCTTGGGTGAGGTTGGGTATTTGAATAATTATGATAACTTCCTCTTGCTTAATGATTTGGTCCTCCACTGTTGATAGAACTGGGAAGATATGTTCCTAAGATATCATTTTTATCTTAATCAAATTCATTGTTATTACTTTATTTATTGTTATTTTAGTAAGGATATGGACTTGGTGACTAATTCCTTCCGTTCATATTTATATTTGCAAAGTTATATATGTTATTATTACTAGTTGAGCTAATAATTGTTTGATTTCCATTTCCACTAGGAGATGTTAAAGAAGTATTAAAATTATTTGTGTTGTTGTTGTTGCTGCTGCTGATGTTATTGTTATTTTAATTTTGTTAATGATTTCCAAAAAAGAAATCATTATTGTTCTATTACAAAGATGTAGCCCTTTATTATTTTGAAGCACTGTTATTATTTTATTATCTATTATCTAAAATATTGCTGAATTCACTATAATTAAATCCACTTTCCTTTCCTTTAGCTCTATCATTAAATGAAGGAGTAGTATTTTCCTGATTTTTTAGAACTTAATTTCTGTTGTTCTAACGGGAAATCTTATTGGGATTTAAAGGCGGTTTACCTTGAGAAGGGTCAGAAGGGTTGTTTGAAATTTCTGCAATAGAATCTAACTCTAGGGCTTTTGCAGATTTATAGTCACTATGAGGAAAATTATTAGCTCCTTTTAATCTATTTGTAATAGACGCATCGGATTAGCTGAATTAATTACTTAATTTTTTTATTAGAGGAGGTCCTCCTAAGTTATTATTAGTATTATTAGGAGAATTGTCTTTATTTGCAAGCACCTATTACTACCCATTTTGCATAGAAAAACTGTTTCGTTTTACTTACTTACTACTATCTTCATTTCCAAAACTGACATTCAAATCATTGTTATTAGGATTGCTACTTCCTTAATGAATTGTTTGCTGCTGATTTACTTTAATTTCCTCTTAATCATTAAAATATCCTGTGGGTAAAACACTTTCTATACCTTTAAAGTATTGATGCTATAAAATTTTAGAAGCAGTAGGCCTTTTTTAAGGATCCCACTTTAAGCACTCAGCAATCAACTACACTGCTTCATAAGGGCAGTCTGTAATAACTTAATTTAAAGGAATAGCTGGATATGAAGGAAAAGTAATCCCTTTCAAACCTGCTAGTCTATACCCTATATTTAAATATTTTAATTTTCTTTAAAATTAAATTAAAAAATGATAAAATTTTATATTTTTTTATTTTATAGCTAAATAATTTATCATAAAAATAGAAAAAAATTATATTTAAACTAATTAAAAAATCCTGCTAATTTGACAAAAAAATCAATTTTATTTCTGTTGCATTTTAGATAAAAAGTAAATTAATCATCTTGTTAAGAGAGTAAAAGACTAAGTTTTTAGTTATCTATTTTCAATTAATAAATTAATTGACTTTAATCTATTTTAGAATAAAGTTATCAAATTCTTCTGTGTGTTTGATTATAAACAATAATATATTCATAATTGATTAAATAAGAATAGAAGAAGATCAAATGAAAATCTTGGTATTTTCTTAAATGACTCGAAAGAAGTCTTTATAATATATTAGCAAAAATACCTTCTAAAATAAGAAAAAGATAAATATTTATTTATTCTAGATAAATAAATGAATTATATTTAGATAATTCAGTTTATTATTCCTAAAATATCAATCAATCAAACTTGACTTTTCAATTCGTTCTTAATTATTTATGTTTAACTATTATCAATTTTGATTGATTGGTAATTAATTAAAACTATTAATTTTTGACTTTTATCTTTTATGCAACATTGATTGATTGATTGTCTTTTCTCTTTTTAAAATCAAAATTTCAATTTTCTCTAAAATAAATATTCAATTTCTTTATTAAAATTATTCACCTTCTGGCCAATCAAGCTTTGACGGAGTACCTAGCACAGATGTCATTTTTTAAAGTTAGTCTAATTCTGAAGAACCGTTGAAAAGAGGTTTAAACATATAAAGTTCTGCCATTATGCAGCCTAAAGCGAAGATATCGACTGGTGAATTGTAATTTGTTGCTCTCAAAATTAGTTCAGGAGCACGATACCATCTTGTTGCTACGTAATCAGTGTAAGGAGGTCTAGATCTAATTTCTCTTGCTAAACCAAAATCTGTAAGCTTGACATACCCATCTTTATTGCTATATAGAATATTTTCAGGCTTTAAATCCCTATGAAAATAACCATGTTTATGCATATAAGAAAGAGACTGTGCTAATTAGTAAAATATGGAACGTAGCTGTGTCTCCGGAAGTCTCTGTCCTAACTTTTTCTAGTTTTCATAAAGTTTGTAGATATCTGTATCGCAATATTCAAAAACAAAGGACAATTAATTCTAAACTCGCAATACTTCTTTGAGTTTGACTATATTCTTATTCACTAATTTTCGGAGAGACTTCAATTCTCTCAGATTCATGCACTCTTCCCATGTTACAAACTTTTACTTCATAGTTTTTATTGCTACTATTTCTTTTGTTTCCTTATTTTGTGCTTTTACTACTTCTCCAAAAGAACCTTTACCTATAACGTCTAAATGAATATATTTCTCCATTTTATTTATTAATTTATTTTATTGATCAATTGAAATTCTTTATCCTAAACTTGTTTGAAATTTTTCTGCTTTTGCTATAAAATAAATTTATTTTTTCAACTTGTCTTGTTTTAAATATTTAAAGATCTGCTTTCAAATATTTTTAGAGTCTTTTTTATATATCAAAAAACTGAGTTTTTAAATTGTGATCTTTGCGGTCTATTTTTTACTTGCTGGTTATTATCAGCAATCAATTTATCGCTATTCTTAAAACAATCAATTTATTTATTTCTTTTACGAATTATCCAGTTTCTAAATTTTATCAATTAACTAATTAATTAATTTTTTAATCATATGGTTTACAAAAAATTATGAAAAATATACACCTACCTATTAAGTAAAACATTTATTTACTTATTAATTTTCTTTCATTAATAAGCATCATCCCTTAATTTCAAATGATCCTAATTATATGGATGGATCCATTCACTTACTAAAAATCTAATCCTTTTTAATTAAGAAAACTTATAATTAATTATTTTTTATATGTTGCCAATTTTTTTAGAATTTTAATATCCATTTCTTTTCATTTAATTAATTAATTAATCATTTATATTAAAGAAAATTAGATTCTTATTTTTGTTATTAGTTTGATATTTATATATCGAATTAAAACTTTTAGATAATGTAACAACTTTACCAAAACAACTATTTATTTATTCATTTATCTAAATTAACTAATAAATATTATCCTTCAAATTTTATATTATACTTATTTATTCGTCAAAGTATAAAAAATTCTTATTTGTTTTAAAAATCTATGTTTTATTTGGATAAATGATATTTTTTCAAACATAGAATTAAGTAGATTTTTAATTCTAAAACTAAATAAAATTTGTAGCAAAATGCTAATTAAAATTATTTAATTAAATTTTAGTTAAAAAAGATGATTAAAATAAAGTAAAATTTCATAATTAAATTTCTTTTTAAACAAATTATTTAAGAGAAAAATTTCTTTTTAGCCATTCAACAAAAAATATTTTAATTTTTAAATAATTAAAATATTTCAGTTTTATATTTTAAAGTGTAAATTGAGGTTTTAGATAAAAGATTATCTTTATTTGTTATTATAAAATCAAATTAGTAAAAAAAATAATAGAATTAATATAAATTCCTTGTTAAATATGAATACTGAAATCAATTCAGCGTTGTTTCTATATATTCATAAATTAATCAAAAAAATATAACGTTTAATTTGACTAATTTTAATTTTTAGTACATTTCTTTCTTTAATAAGAATCGCAAAATCTAAACAATTTAAAACAATTTATTAATTAAATTATTACTTGACTTCCAAAGTTAATACTTAGATGTTTTAATAATTTTTATATCTTCTGATTTCAGAAATATTTCTTTTTCGTTGCTTTTCCTTTAAAGTAAAAAAAAATTTTTTTCTAATTAAATAAAATCATATTTTAAAAATAAATCCAACTTTGATAGTTTTGGCTATTTAGGGAATACTTTGCTTAGATTTTATCCACCTTAAACACTAAATTTATTTAGTCTATTTTGGATATTATTTTTTTATCTAAAGATTATTTAAAGCTTTTAATTAATTTTAATAAAAAATATAATTTTAAAAAAGATTTTTATTATTTTAAATTAATTTTACAGACTTTAAAATAATTTTTAAATAATTATTATATCTTAAATCAGAAATTTAACTTTTTTATGCACAAAAGAAAACAATAAACTCAATAAAATGTTTGGCATTTTAGTATTTTTTAATAATATTATAATGATTAATATATAAATATATTAATTTTAACTTGATTTTTTTTCACTGAAATTTAAAATAATTTATGATAATTTAGGTTAAAAATATATTAATAGTAATCATCAATAAAATTAGACTTTAAATTTGTGATTTATTAAGTATAAAAAAACATAATACTTGGTTTCTTGAATTTTTTTATTTAAGATTGATTTGTTTCAATTGTTAAACAATTGAGTTTTGATCAAGCAATTTTAAAATTTAATTAATTCTATTACAAAGATATGTAAAAAAACAAAGAAAAAAATTGAAGAAAATCTTTATATAAATTGATTCATAATAAAAATCAGGGTAACATTAAAAAATGGAGATTGAATATCCAGAAATGACTTTTTTATAAAGGATTTTAGCATTATAAAAATCAGATATCAAGAAAGCTGAGGCAATCTATAATAAATTGAAACATTTCTTAGATATTAGTTTGAGAATAGTTCTAAACAAAATAAGGAAATTAGATTATAGTGAAAACTAATCAATTTAACAAAAATAAGAAATGTAATAATTTAAAATAGGAAATAGTATTACAATCATTTAAATTAAGTAATTTAGATTGTATTTTAAGTACTAATTCTATATAGATTTTATATAATAATTATTTTTACATAATTAAATTTAATTTTAATTATGTGAGATAATTTAACAACAAGTATTTACTTAATCAAATAAATAACTCCATCTTTCAATTAATTAATTAGTTAGTTAGTTGGTTAATTATAAAGTATCTATACTAGTCACTTGTAAAGGTTTTTATGTAGTTGGGATAAAACTAATCAATTTATTTTATTTTAAATAGTTAATTTTTAGTTTTTCTAAATTAATTTATCTCTTTTAATTGCTAACATTTTTATTCTATTTTCTATCAAATATTTAAGACAGCTCCATCAAATATTCCAAAATTTATATGTTGATCTTTTTACTTACTCATTAATAAAGCTTTACTATTATACTGATTGATATATACCTACAGCTACGCCTAAAGTGGTAGCATTATAAGTCATTATTAAGGGAAGAGCAGCCTTTTAATTAATTAATTTATACTTGTAAATATCTAAATTAAAAATAAGTTTATTTTATATTACAAAGTGAACATTCCAAAATCCGTTTAATCTAAATACTTTCTTTACAAATTTAATAGATGGATAGTAAATAAGTGATGTATTTAGAACAGCTCCAAATAAACTTAACTATATTTTTATTTATTACAAAAATTGTGTTTATTTTCAAAAAAAGCAAACCTTAAATTAGTTAATTCATTTACATAAAGATAGAATAGAGATTTAACTCTGTTTGTAGCAAGTTTATGTTTTTATTCTAAATCATGAACATCATCTGTATAAAATCTATCAAGTGACTCTTTCATTATACCGCCTGTCTATTTGGATTCAAGTCTCTCTTTATTTCATAAATTCAATTTTTGATAAATTTTTAGATATTTATTTTAATATATTTTTTTATTCTGAATGCTGAAAACTGCTCTAAAAAAGTTACTTTAAATGTCCTATAAATAATAATCATCTGTTTCATTTGCTATATTCTACTTCTATTGATTACTAAATCTTTTTTTAGAGAAATTCTCCATTTTTTATAATAAATTATTCTTTTTAAATATAAGATTTGCAAAGTTTATTTGAAATGTATTATTCTAGAAAAACTTTCAAATTAATTTTTGATTCAAAGTAAAAATTTCTTTTCTACTAAATCCTGATGAAAAGTTATTGCTTTTTTAGATATTCATTTCAGGATTTCAATCTAAAACATCCATTAATTTCAATCACTATAGTAGAAATAATCTTTGGCCTATGTTCTTATTTAATAGTTAATTCTTTTATTTTATATAAATGCTATTTTTTATGTGCAGTCTCTCTCAACTTCTTCAATTAAATTACATTTTTCTATTATGATTTTAATACAATATTTATAAAAAATTCATAAATCTAAATAAATTAAGTTGATTTATCAAATCAATAAATTTGAATAAAATTATCTTTAATTTGTATGAGAGGTGTCAAATTTTGTTAGTTAGTTAGGTATTATTTTTAAATGTTTAGAAATAAAATTATAATAAAATTTAATTAACTTATAAATTTTTAATACTCAAAATCAAAATTAGATAGATAAATTTTTTTGTCCATGCTTTTAAATTAAATTATTTTACTAGTATTCCTTATTTTATACAATAATATAAGATAAGTCATTTGTTATTAATAAATATTATAAAATATATATATAAATTTTTTAATACTATTTAAATAAAATTATTAGAAATTAAACATAATAAAACTAAATCCATAAAAATATTAAATTATTTTATTTTATTTTATTTTTTTCAAATAAATCTTCAAAAATTATTTTTAATCAGTATTTAAAAAAAATATAGCTCAGATTTTTTCTCATTTTCAAATTAAATCATTTTTTAATTCTTGAATATGTTAAAATTATCATTTTATCATTAATAAATTTTGCTAAATTAGTATTTATTTTTTTAACTTTAATCAGAGCTAATCCTTAGAAATTTATTAAAGTAATAAAATTGTATTATTTTATTTTAAAATTAAAAAAATAAGACTAAATAAATCATTTGTAGTTAGTATTTAAATAAAATCTAACAAAGAATTTCTTAGAAAAAGATTTAATTATTTATAAATTTTATTAATGTGTTTATAATTAATTATAAAATATTAAATTTTAATATTTTGTAAAGTTAATATTTTTAAATCGTTTTAATATAAATAAACATTTGAAATTTAAAAATTAGATTAAATCCATTACTTTATTTTAGCTGTTTTAGTTCATTTTATTGTTTTTGAAATAAAACTGTACAAATTATTTTTAGTCAATGTGTTTTTAAAAATAGCTCTAATTTTCTTAATATCATATTTAATAATTTTTAGTATTAAGAATATGTTTACAATTGTTTACTTGATAGAATGTCTTTAGTGTTTTGATTTACTAAAATAGTAATAGAACATGTAAAAAATGAAATATTTTTATGATATTTCCTTAAATTGATAGATTTTCAAGAGAAGTAATTAAAATATAGATAGAGTACTAAAATTGAAATAGTTAATAAAATTTATTGATAAAATTAAATTGATTCAACCCTTTTAATTAATTTCTTATAATAAACAACAAAATTATATGTAAATAAATTTAATTATAAAACTATTAAGTTTTTTCAAATTAAAATTAAGTAAAGCTTTCTATTAAATTCATACAATAATAATCCTACAAACGCAAACAATTTATATGTTTTATAAAAATTTTTATACAAACTAAATATTTGAAAATAAATTGCTTTCACTTTAATTAAATTAAATTTAAAGGATTGTTTAAGAATTTGAATTTTTACCGTTGATATATTTGGATTGTGTATCTATTTATCTATCTATGTTTTTTTTTATATATTTCAAGTTTGAGTTTTAAAATAATTGCTTGAGTTATGGAATTGATAAACAAGTCTTTTTCCTTAATATTTGAAATGTATAAAAAATCAAATTACTTACCTTTGTAGGTTTTTTATTCTATCTTTATTTTTGCATGCAAATATATATATATATATTTTTCTTCATTTTTCAAAAAATCAAAAGCAAAAAAGAAGAATTAAAGGAAAATAACAAATAAATCTTTTGAAAATTAAAAGAGAAGAATAAACAAACATACTGGCAATATTTATATTTTTATATATATAAACATACATATATACATACACACATAAATACATACAAATAATTTGATTAAAGCAGGTTTGAAAGTGATATATTAATATAAAAAATTAGAAAAAATTCATAATAAATTAAATAGTAAAAATTAATATAAATCACTTGCTATATAAATTAAAAACTAATTTATAGATATATTCACTAATTAACAAACAATCAAACAAATTAACATTCAATCTATAATCAAAGAAAAATAAGCAAAAAAGCTCATACATACAGACAGTTTTCTAGATAGAAGTTATAAGCGCAAAAAATAGGATGAAATAAAATAAAAGTGCAGAGGCAATCCCTTTTATAGTTTATGACTAAAAAGAAGGATTTCAATTAAACAAAGATGCAGAAAACTATTTAAATAGTCTCGCATAGGATAGAAAACTTGGTTTAATTTCTATTGTAGGAAAGTATCGTACAGGAAAGAGTTTCTTCGTAAATAGAGTACTCTTGGATAGATAAAAAGATGAATAGGGATTTTAAGTAGGTCCTACAATTAATCCTTGCACAAAGGTATGTAGCATAAATTCATTCATTTCATAACTTCAAAAATTTTATTGATTTTTAATATTGCTTTGAATCAATATTTCAGTTTAATTTGATGCATTTTTGTTGTTTAGAATTTAAATGATGTAAATAAAACAAAATGGTGAAAATAATTTTTATTTTAATAGGGTCTCTGGCTTTGGAAAAAGGAGCTAAAAAGTATAGAGGATGAAAATATGGATATTTTATTGATAGATACTGAAGGTTTTGGTGGAATGGATGAAAATTTGAATCATGATTCCCGTATTTTCTTGTTTAGTTTATTGCTATCCTCATATTTCATTTATAACTCTTAGGGGAGCATTGATGAAAATGCTTTGAATAATTTATCGCTTATTATTAATTTGGCTAAAGATATTTAAATTAAATCTAAAAATAATGATTCTTAACAAGAAGACCCTGCCAATTATTTTCCTTCATTTTTATGGGTTATTAGAGACTTTGCTCTTTAAATTGTTGACTAAATGGGAAACAAAATTTCATAGAAGGATTATCTTGAAAAGGCCTTAGAATTATAAAAGGGTGTGTCTGATGCTATAGAAAGCAAGAATAGGATCCGTAGATTGATGAAACATTTCTTTAAAGAAAGAGATTGTTGCACTCTTGTGAGACCAGTGGAGTCAGAAAAAGATCTTTAAAAGTATTGAATTAAATGAAAAAGCAAATTTAATTTTTAATTAACTTTGATTAATTTTAAAAACTTGATAATTCAAAACACTTTCAAACGTAAGGAAGATAGTTGTTTGAATATTTGATTGTTTGCTGCTTTATTGCGTTAAAAATCTGACAATTTAAATATAGATAGATAGATACATCATTTATTTACAGATACTTTATCCACTAAAGCAAAGAAAATATTAATTTCTCATTTAAATATATCACTCAAAATTTTCATAAACATTTTAAAATGCAATATTTATTGTAAAATGTATTATGAAGATTCTACAGATGCTTGAATTATATTTAGAAATAAAGAAAAATTTACCCTTTTAGTTTAAGTTTAGCTAAAATTAATCTAAAAATTGAGATTTTTAAAGTTTCTTTTGAAAATTATGAATTCATTTATTAAAATATATTTTAATTAAAAGTTTGAATTAAATGAGCAACGAAGACCTTAGACCTGAATTTGTTGAATAAATCCTCCAATTAAGAAAGAAGATCTTCAAAAAGGTTAAGCCAAAAATGCTTTGCGGAAGAAGCTTAAATGGTTAAATGTTAGTTGAAATTTGTAAGGCTTACTGTGAAGCTATTAATAAAGGCAGTCTTCCTAACATTGAAAATGCTTGGACTTATGTTAAGAAGAGTGAAACCATTAAGGCTTTTGATAAATCTGTTTAGAAATTAGATACTATTATTTAGGAACTACAAATGGATACAGTTGATCCTAACAAAATTGAAACTATTAAAGAAAACGTATAAAATTTTTTAATAGAAATTAAAATTTTTTTTTTTAATTTTCATGTTAAAATTCAAATTTAAAAATAATTAATTTATTATAGGCTAGATAAGAAATGAAAAAAGTACTCAAAAAAAATGCTCTTGGTGAAGAAGAAGACTTGCAGGAGTATTACTAATAGATTGATGAATAACTTACTGAGAAGTTTCGTGATTTTAAAAAATAAAATAAACTTTAATGGAAAGTAAAAAAGCAAAAAATAAAAATTTTAAATAAATTATTTTTCAAATTTAATTAAAAAGAGAAAATATGCTGAAATGTGCAACGAGCAAGTGACTAAGATAGAAAAAAAATTAAATAATGAGGAATACAATAACTTTTTAGATTTTCAAGCTGATTTACTTAAATTTAAGGAGGAATTTGAAAAATAAGTTCCTTAGAAGGACTTGGTAGCTGAAAAGTTTTTCACTGAAATATCTGAAAGACTTCACAAATTAGCTGCTGAAAAGGTTAATAAAAAGTAGGAAAGAGAGCACTATAAGCAACTCAAGCAAATTGAAAACATCTTAGCAATTACAGAAAATGATTTAAAAAATAAGAAAGACGAATTCGAAAGTGAAAGAAGACGCTATGTAGATAAAATTAATTTACTTGAAAGGGACGTAGCAACGTTGAAAGCTAATGAAAGCATTCATCAACAAAAAATGTAAATGCTACAAGAGGAAAATGAAAAATTGTAAAAATCATATCAGTTATATAAAACAACTTACAAGGAAGAGTCTTTACAAAAAGAAAAGGAAACTGTCAAAAGAATAAAAGAACTTGAAATATCTCTCGAATAACATAGAACAGATGGTATTAAGAAAGCAGCAAGTTTTGAAAAGTAAGTAGCATTGCTTGAACAAGAATCTCAATTCAATCAAAGAGAAAATAAATCTCTCAGGGAAAAGATCAATCATCTTGAAAATGAAAATAGAAAGCTTAGATCAGACAACACTAGCCATCTTTCAACCATAGACGTATATTAATTAATATATTTTGTTTAATATTTTTATTAAGGATATATCAATTTACAAATTATAGCGTCTTAAACACCAAATCGATGAGTAAATAGACAAAAGTAACAGAGAGCTAGTTTATGTGAAAAATGAATTCGAAAAGAAGGTTGAAGAAATTACTTCTGAAACCGATAAAAAGAGAGATATTATCAAATAACACTCTGAATTTATTATAGAAAAGACTTATCTTGAAAACCAAGTCAGTTTCTACAAAAATTAACTCGAAGAAAATAAAAAGCTTCACGATGCTTTGTTAATAGCTTTGCAATGTAATCAATTTATTAATTTCCAAAGATGTTTTTAATATATTTTTATCAACATTAATAGAGGGTATGAATAAAGATGACTAAGAAAGTAATAACGAACTCGTTGAAACAAATAGAAATCTCTCAGCAGCCATGGATAAGATAGAATAGAGATGCAAATTGTTAGAAGAGAAGAATGAAAAATTAAAGCAATATAAAAAAATGTTTAAAAACAGCTCAGCTTTACAATGTACTCATTGTTCTAAATTTATTGCCAACAATATTTTCTTGAATCATGTCAATAGTTGCATTCAAAAGAATAATGTAGGAAATACTTCAATTAATCTTTCTGGCTCTGCTGTTAATGTTCCTGTAATGTCAAATATGCCTTACAACACTATTCCAGCAAATTTCTTAAACTTAGATCCTAACTACCTCATAATATCAATTAATTAAACAATGGTCAGAGAATCTCCTGATAACAAAGTAATTCAATAAATTAATTCTTTTTTGATAAGTGAAATTAACAAATTTTAATTTAAATATATATAGCCCTATACTGAGTATTTGATATAATTGAGCTATCAAAATATTAAATGGGAAGTAGCAAGAAAATATAAAAACTTTTGTGAATTGCACTAACAACTTATGAGTACATTCCCAGGTTTAAAATTCCCAGATTCTAGTCTTGCTATTATAAATTCATCAACAGATATCAACAATGTCTTCTACAGCAAGCGCCCAACAGTTATAGAAGACCGTCGTAAAGCTCTATAATAATATGTGAGAGATCTCGCTAAGATGGACTTGGTTAGAAACTCTAAACCTTATAAGAATTTCTTAGAAATCGACAAGAACGTTGAAATGAAGTAAATCAGTCAAGGAAGCATCTAACAACAAAAAGGAATGGTAGTAGGAGCAAGCGGTCATCATAACACTCTTAGTAATAATAATGATGATTTAAAGAGTATATTAAACTCGATAGTTGATGGAAACATTGTCAATTCTCACCAACAAATGTAACAACAACAATAGTAGTAATAGCAATAATAATAGTAATAGTTCATCTCTCAATAACTCATTTAATAGTAGTAATAACAATAACAATAATATAACTTCCAATAACAATAACAGTAGCAGTAATAATACTTAAATTAAGAATAATTTATGTACAATCCTCACCAGAATGTAAGTTAATCTAGCAATTTGTATAAGGTTGATAAAAAAATGATGCCTCAAAGCCCAACATCATTCTTAAAATCTTGGAATGAAAAGAACATAAATAAAGAAAACAACCCTCGCACATCTTCTACCTCACATAACTAGTAAGTTATTTACTTTTCAATCAAAAAAATGTTTTGATTCTTTTTTTTTCTTTTTGAACTTACTAAATCTAGTAAAGCTTTTGATATTTATAAAAAAATATAGAAACTATGATGTGGTCATATAAAACTAACTGAACAACAAAAATTAAATATAATCCCTTCATGGAAATGCACAATTAAGATAAGGAGTTCAGTCAAAGCATCTTAAAATAGATTTGTCGAAGAAAAGGTAAAAATAAATATTTTAATTCAAAATAATTAATTTAATTAATTAAAATGAAATTTAAAAAAATAGAAATTCCCAAGTTTTAACAAAAAGTGATTTTGATATGCTTTAAGATAATTCTAACTATTACATGCATAACCATACTATAGATTATAATTGATGAAAAATTTATTAAAAAATAAATAAACAATAATTAATTCATTCATTCATTATTCAGTTAAATCTTTTTAAGAAAATAAAATAAATCCACATCTACTTAAAAAGCTATAATATAAATAAATACATACATAAAAAATATAATTAAATGCTTGCTTGAATATCAAGTAATAAAAAATAAACAAAACTATTCCTTTGATTTTTTTCTTTGAAAAGTGAGGAAAAGTTAGTAAAGTTAAACAATTCTTATCATAATTATTTATTAGAGAAATTTCTTATAACTAAAATCAATAAATTAATTAATTAACTAATTATCATATTTGTATACATACATAGATATCTCTTTATTATATGTTTATTCTATTCACACATTAAAATAATTTACTAATTTAATCATTTTTTCAAACATTTATGAAGTTATTTAATAAATTTTAATTATTTACTACTTTATTTATAATACATATATAAATATTAAATAAACAAATATAATAAATATCTTTAAAATTATTATTTATTTTATCTTATAAATACAATTGAATAACTAATTATCATGTTTATATACATATATTAGAGTTGATAATTTAAAAAATAAAAAATTCTTTGAGAAAAAAAAATTTTGAAGTTAAAAAAGGTAATTTTTTAAAAAAATAAAAATTTCCAAAAGGTTGTTAAAATCCTTCACACACATTTCATAAAAAAATAAAATTATTTTTTGTACAGTTTAATTAAAATACAAAAAAGAAAATAAATATAAATAAAATTTAAATAAAACATAGATACTTTTATTTATTTTTTCAAAATTTAATTTAGTATGATAAAATACAAGTCTATTAAAGTCAAATAGAGTTTTAAGATTAAAATTAAATTCAAATAATTTTATATCACTCAGCAACTGCTTAGCTGCTATTTTCAATATTATTAATATTATTCAAGCTTAATACTTGGTTTTCTTTAGCAATAGAGCTATTTTTTAATACTGGTTCATTTTATATGACAATAGTATTTTCTTAGGAGGATGTTGGTTAACTATGACTTTAATTTACTTTGTAACTGAAGTTTTGATGAATATCTTTACCTTATTAAGTAATAGCAGCAATTTTTGCTTATGGTTTTGAACCTTTTTTGTAAAGAGTTGAATTTAAAGAATTTTATTTGCTACTTGCTTACTAAGAAACAGTCGGAGCTTCTAAAAGTAAGTCAAGTTCTTTAAAACTTTTTATTGTAGTATGATTGTCTAAAGCATTAGTGGAATTAATTTCTGATTTTTTTGGAAAAAAAGTTGACTAAAAACTTGCAAATCTTGCTGTTGATACTTGATATGGTTTTTTTGGAGAATGTTAATTCAAAATATTGTAACTCTTTCTCCCATTCATCCCTATAGCTATTTTTTTGCTATTTTATTGCTATTAAGGTTATTGAGTATTACCATTGAGCTAATAATTATTCTAAAGTGGAGGAGATAAAAAATTTGAAGATGAAAAGAGCTTTTGACTAGAAAGAGGTTGTAAATAAGAATTAAACTTTGCTGATTTATTCTATTATAATAAATCACTTGATGAAAGGGTTCTCTTTCCACTTGAATACTTAAATCCATTCAAGGCACCACTTTTATTCTCTTAAATACTTTATGCAAAAATAATATGTTTCTTTTTGTTTGAAGAAGAAGTTTGTGGTTTCGAAGGTAAAGGAGAGGATGATTGATTTAACACTGTAAAAGTGTTTACTGTAGGGACATTTAAAAGAGTGAAATTAGAGTTTACATTATTATTATTGTTATTATTGACTGCATAAAAACTTCTTGTAGTTTAAGAAGGATTAAAATAATGATTATCTTCTAATATTAAATTTTAAGTGAACACTTTTTGATAAAAGTTTTTTTTGTTATACTGCTTATCAAAGATCTGCTCCTCACTTTTTATTTCTGCATAATATGGAGACTGCAGCAAAGGAGTATGGTTCTCGGAAAATACCATTAATTGATCAATTAAACTATCCATTTTTTTTCTTTACTCATCTTTACCCGAAGCATGATTTCCAAGCTGGAAATCTCTTTTAGTCTAGCTTGATTTAGTTTCAAGATTTCTTTCATTTACAGATTTATTTTTCTTAGATTTTTTGTTATTATAAACTTTAGAGATGGAAAATTACTTAAGATAGCGATCTCTAAATTAGCTTAGAGTTTCCATTTATTGTATAACTTCTTTTTCACTTCTCTAATAAATTTAAATAATATCTGTATGAGAGTTACTAGAAACCTTCATATTCCTTGGTTTAAACAGATCACCAACACTACTTTTTTTTCTCTAAAACTCCCTAGGCAAAGTATTTTATGTATTTAAAAGTGAATTTTTTTTATTGTACTGTGAATCTTAAATATCTGTCTCTTGATTATTTAAAATATCTTAAGAATCTTATCCTTAAATATTGTTGCTATTTTCGCTTTTTACCATTAATTAGTTTTCTATATTGAGAGCTTTATCTTTATTTCTATCTGATTTTTATTCATTATTTTCTAAATCTTTATTTATTTTCTATAACTCCTCTTTTTATACCTTATCAATTATTTTTTTTAAAAAGTTCATCATTGCTTTCATACACTTGCTTTTTTCTTTTACTGATTTTTCTAAAACTCCCTCTACTTTAATCTTTTTTTAGCTTCCCTAAGGACTATGAGAAGGTTCAAACTTAGAATTTTTTCTTACCAAAACAGTCTTGTGTCTCAATTTTTAATTTGTTGGATTTTCTTCAATGGAAGTCTCGCTAACTCTATCTTCCCATTTGAGATTTCTGAAAGATTATTTATTCTGTTAATAAAATAAAACAATTTAGTATAATCCCAATAAATTTTCAAGTAATTTAGTAATTAAAATATTATTTAGTGACTATAAATAAATAATTATTTATTTACAAAAGAGCTAAATATTATCAAAAGATTTCTATAAGTAAACAAGTGGTTGTTAATCACTCATTGAATAAAATTAATTAATTAATAATTAAACTTAATAAATAAATGAATGGCTAATATTAAAAAATTACATCTAAATTATTATCTTCAATCCTTTCAATTGAAGTGTTTGGAGATAAATTAATTTGAATATCGATTTTATTTTAAGCTTATCCTAATTTACTCTTTTATTATATCTTTTCTACTTTCTCTGTATATTAAAAACTTTTTCTCTATCCATTTGCTGAAGTTATGTTAGTTTAAGATTTTGAAACTTTCTTAGGAGAATCAGGAGGAGAAGGTTTTTGTAGCTTTCTTAATGGAACAGCTAGAATTAAAGACGTCCTATAAATGATATCATATTGCTTTTTATGCTATTTCGGGATAAAAGGTAAGTCTTGCAGTTATAATTGTTTAGAATTAAGCCTTCCGCAGTATAAGCATTCGCAACTCTTTCTTCTCATAGCCATAGGGATAATCTTTTAATTTTCTTCTTACTGCTATGCTTAAAGTTACTATTATTGTTATTCGTCCTTTACTTTTTATATTTCCTTTATCGATATTCTTTTTTTTTTGCCTAAAGAAAGAAATATGTTTTGCTATGGAGCTTAGTTGCTTTTTCTTTTAAGTCTAGTAGGTTCATTTATCCTACTATTTTAAAACTTCTTCCACTCTACTAGACTTTCATCATACATGAGTTTCACTCCTTCTTCATTATCTGCATCTTAAAAATAACAAAAATCCTTCATAAGACTATTTGTTCTTACGATTGGATTCTTTAGCTATCTGCTTATTTAGTATATTGCTTAGCTTTGAGTTGCTTCATTTTCTAAATTTATAGATAAATAATTTGCTTTAATAAATAAATATCTATCTATTTTTAATATTAATGCAACTTTATAATAACTATATACACTATTGAAATGAATAACATAAAAAGTATTCTTTTACTTTGTACTTGGTTTGAATGAGGCTTTTCTATTTTAAAAAATTTAAGACCACTATTCCTTTTATTTTTGCTTTCTATTATAAAATCTTTGCTTTACTTTACAGATGCCGTGTCTCTGTTATTACCTATTTTAAGGATAATCATTAATATCGATTACTAATAAATCTTTAATTATACTCTGTAAATCATTGTTTTAGTTTCCTTAAATCAAAAAGTTTATTTTCTTTTTAGGCTCACTTGAATAAAGACTATCTCTCTTTTAAAGCTACTTTTCAGAGCTCTTTTATTCTAACATTTACAATTGCTAAAAGTTTTTTTACTATGATTCTATGAAAATTAGAAAAAGGAATTAAAAATTAAGAATTAAAATAAAATGCAAAATATATAAAAAATAATGCATAAATTCGAATTTAATTGCAGAAACTAATCAGCATAACAAAAGCAATCAATTTTTCTAGTTGTTAACTTCAGCTATTTTGGAAGGATAATCCAAACTTAGCCAGGAGTTAGTTAATTTTGATTAATATTTGGCAAATTACTAAATGGACTGCTAAATTTATTTTTTAGCATTTAAAAGAGGAGTTTGAGAGTTTTTTGAATATTTAATAAGATTTTGTAAAGATTAATGTTTTATTTTATTACCATTCATGTATCTTAATTTATGGTTTATCTTAAAACTGCTAAATGTACTTCTATTGAGCTAAGAGAAATAGTTATTTCTTCACTAATTTGCTAATTTATAAAATCCTATTTTAAGATAATATTTAATTTGCTATCTATCTATCTTCTAGTTTATTTGTTTTTTTTTTATCACAATTTCAATTATAAGTCAGTCAAATTTTCTTTTGATATTTTGTGAAGAAAAATAAATCTGAAGGTTTTAATCAGGAGTGTAAAAAAAATTTGTAAATCTACTATTATGCTTTGCAACGTTTAATACAGAAAATTTCTAAATTCAAGAAAATAATTAAGTTCCAGTATCAATATAACAAAATAGGTTATTAGTGCTATTTTTAATGATTTTATATACCTAAATTTATTAAATTCTAAATAATACTATTAATTCTATATGCGTTTTCAGAAGAAACAATCAAAAAATAGCTTCTATCTTAGCTTATAGAAGTTTATTATGAGAAATAATTTAATCAAGAACTTAATTATAAAAATCTACTGTTTAATAAAACCAATTTCTTAAAAAAAGAAAATTGCTATTTTTAACTTACTTTTAATATCTTAAATTTTTAATGATTTAATTTAATTTTTAGCTTTTAATAGAAATTCAATGTTCTTCCTAAATATGATATAACATTTATTTTCTTTTTTTAATATTACTTAAAAATAATTTGAATTACAATTTATTTATCAAGTAAAAAAAATATACTTGTCAATCTCTGTCAATTTAATACCTTAAATTGATTAAGCTTACTGAAAGTATAAAATGAAAAACAATTTTTTCTTGATAACAAATCTATAAAAGCAAAAAAATTAAATTATGAATACAGTAAAACTAACTAAACTGCGCACCCTTATAAAAAAAAACGATCAATAGTTTTTATCAAAAGATTTAACTTTTTTTCATTATAAAATTCATCTATAAACAGAGTAACTTATATTTTATGTTACATTTTAGGACCTACATATCTTCAGTTTAGATAGGAGGATTAACTTTTTATATTAAAGAAAATACTCTAAATAAATAATTAATTAAATAATTCACATTTTCTTGAATAAATAAATAGAAAAAAAAAATCAAATTTAATATATAAATAAATAAATTAATTTTATAATTGAGGATATTTAAAATAATAAAGTGATATTTATTTTTTAATACTTTAAATAGTCATTTTTATTAAATATTTTGATATTAGCTTGTTTTTTTAATTAATTAATAATAATAAATTTAAAAGTAAGTAATTATATTTTATATTTATCATCTTTGATCAATTTTATTTTTGCTCAAGCTTTGTTTGAATTTTATTTTTACAGTCTTTCTTTAACTTGTTAATAAATAAAAATATTATACAGTTTAATTTTTAAATGTTTAAATTAATAAATTAATTTATAATAAGCATTTTATGAAATCGCAATAGAACATATATTAATTACATTTGATATGAAAAATATAAAAATAATTGATTATTTATTATACTATGAATAAAATCAGTTTTTCTTTTTAGAGAATTTGGATATTTCTTATTATATTTGCTAATCAATTAAATTAACTTGCTCTTGTTCTTACTTTTTTTTCTCTAAAAGGGCTTGGTTGCTTTTTTCGGAAAGCATTTTTTCTATAAAATCATCACTGACAGTTTCTTTTTTGTTAACTTTAAATTTATTCAATCTGATAATATCTCCTTCAAGCACTGTTTACAAAAGATTGTAGCTTGAAACTTGAGTCAATTCCTTGTTTCCAAAAATACATAGATTAAGTGCATTAAACTGTTATCCAGTCAAATCTTCTGCATTTAATGTGACAGAAATATCTTTTTATAAGCTGATGCCTTACATAGAGTCTCTAAAAACTTTATCTGATAGGTAAGGATGCTCAATATTTTCATTGACATCAATAACTTCAATGTTGTCAATTCTGCAAAGAATAGGTTCATTTTTTTTTAATAAATAGATTCTGATTTTTTCGATTTCATTTGGTACGAATTCGATTCTTTCTATTGTTTTATTAACCAGTCTTCTTGAAGAATAAAATGAAATAAATCCTCCTATACCAAATACCATAGGAATTATAGAGAGATAGGGACTTGCTAAGGAAGCTAAATATCCTACTCCAGACCAAAGAGTAGTCAAAAAAATAATTTATTTAGGTTAACCCTTTAAAAGTGTATGATCAATATTATTTTTAATCAAAATATCACTTTTATACTCATAATTTTCGCTGCTTTAATTATTCACTTTCAAAAGGTATTCATACAAATTCAACTTTGAGTTCTTTAGGGCTTCTTGAACTTCTTGTATTTTTTCTTTAGGATATCTCTTTTCTAATTCCATTTGATATTTTGATTTGGGTTTTTGATATTATTATTGTTGTTGCTCTTGGCTAGCATTATCTACTGTTTAAGTTTAGCCATTCTATTAACTGCAGAATTGGAATTTATTAAATTAGTTGAAACCTAGAGTATTGAATCCTCTTAATTAGTTATGTCTTTGAGTGAATTTCTAATATTTGATCTAGTTTTGAAAGCTATTTTAAAGATATTTTACTAATAATTTTTAAGATCTCATGACTGATTATTTAATAACTAAAAATTTTAGAAAGTTTAATAATTTTTTTTAATTAAATAAAAAGAATAATGTATCTATTTATCTATCTTTATTATTGGCTATAAATCGAATGTCTTTTTATTTAAATAAATATCTTTGAAAAAAAAAGAATATTCCATTTTAATTTACTATTTAATTAAAAAACAATTAATTACAAAAATAAATGCATAGTGTTTTATTTTATTTAAAACTTTATAAGTAAATATATTTTTATCCATAATTTAAAAATTGATTTTATTTTAATTTATAACCCCGCTTATTCAACATTCCAAAGAAAAATCAAAAATTAAATTTAATAAATTAAATAAAAATTTTTTTTATAAAACTATTCATTACTCCTTTAACTAAATTTAAAAATTAATTTGAATTGTATTTGAAAATAATAAATAAAAGAAAATTATTTCCTAAATATTTTTATTGCAAAATATGAATTTAAATTTATTAGTTATGCTTTTTTTTATTCTAAAGCTATTGAAAAAACTAAAACAAAATAAAATTAATTATAATTCTAAATACTTTTTTTTATTCTCATTATTTGGTTATGTCTTTTTAAGATATTATTATTCATTTAATTTAATAAAATAAACTAAGAAAATTATTAGAATTTTATTTATTTGAATTATTGGTAATAAATATATTTTTTGTATTTATTTAGTTAATAAAAATCATCTAAACATTTAAATACTAAAATACAATCAAATAATTAATTGACTGATTGATAATTGTATGTATATAACATCAATAAGTATATAAATGCAATTTCTGTTTTTGATTTTTTAATTTAATAATTTAAAAATATTACAAAGGTTTATTAATAACATATCTTTTTTGAAACTAAAACTTGATAAATTAATAGATAAAATAGATATAAATACATACATATATAGATAGATAATTAGATAAGAAAATGGTATACTTAATTGCAGAACAGCTTTAGTAATTTTATAAATGTAAGCGATTTTGGTCAACTACCATGTGTTTTACAGGCTTGTTATATCTTTTCATTTTAGTAGTGCCTTTCTTTTTAGCATTTGTTGTAGATGGTAATCTTATCAATTATTTATTTTACATATTGATGAATTCAAATTTTAATTACTCTAGATTTTTGGCTTGGTCATAAAGTTTCTTTTGAGGAACCTTAAATAAATTTTTAAGGTGACCATTTGTTGTAATGCTTTAGTAATAATTAAGAATATATATCAACAAGCATAGAGATGTTGGATAAGATGATAGGAACTAGTCTTGATCAAAAAAATTTAATATTTATGTTCAAGGTATTTGTTTACTTATTCTTAGATAATAAGCTAATCAGTAGTTATGTTTTTCAAAATATTTTAAAAGGTAACAAGAGTTGATAATAATTCAGATGGACTATATGAATTTTTTAACATATTCACATAAATTTAATTTACAAATGTAGCAGATACAACAACAAAAGCAATGGAATGTTCAATTTACTTCTTCACAACTGTTAGTTTAAGAGTATGTTTTTTAAAAGATGATTTTTTTAAATAGTAAAATATTCAATTTATTTGAATAGGATAAGGTTAGTATTTAAATGTAAGCTCCGTTACACATAAGACTTAGTAGAAGTAATACAAATAATTAAAAAATTCATATAGTCGGAGACATATAATTTGTTTAAAAGAATCCTTTATAAGCCTCGTAATTTATTTGCTATGCATAAATTAATTAATAGATATTTATTTTGAATTTATATTTTAATAATTTTAAAAATAAAAAGATAAATAATAAGAAACAATTATAACTACACTGTACCTATTTTGCCTCCGAATTAAGATTATATGGGTTTGACTGATTTTTTAAAAGATATATAAAATCGTAATGAGACTCTAAGAGCTAACTATATCTAAACCTATGGTCCAAGCGATACTAATACAGACACTACTGACTTACCTAATTAATTAACAGCTAACATTTTCTTGAAGGTTCCTGTACTTACTCCAATTTTATATGTTCCTACTTTAAGAGAAAATCTAAAACTGGTGTTTTAATACTACGTCTTCTTATTTATTCCTATTTACTGGTTGATCAGTATAATTATTAGCTTCTCTCTTAAAAACAATATATTTAAGAATACAATATCAAATAATTTGCCTCTCAAAGAATAAAACGAATTAAAATGATTTTTTTTAAATTTAGTTTTAATCAAATTATTTTATGTCTAAATTAAAATGTATATTCATTTCAATATGCTTAATTACATATAAGTAAATAAGCAACTTAACCAATAAATTTATTAACTAATTAACTGACTGGCTTTACTTGCTAACTCGATTTTTATAAATAAATTAATTTAATCAATTTATTTTCGCAAAATTAAAATAAATGATTTAATAATAAATAATAAAAATCGTTAAAACAAATGTTGAACAATATTAATTCTGATTAATTATAATTTTTACAAATATTTTTTATTTATTAAAATGAAAATGTATGTATACTTTTTAATTTTCAAGAATTAATTTGTCAAAACTAACTTATATAAAAAACTCTTAATTTAAAATTATTTAAAACAAGTTTAAAATATTTGATTGATAAAATAAAGTAAATATATTTAAAAATATTGTAAATTAATCATTTATTTTACAAATAAATGAATTAATAGTGCATCAAACAATTATTTAGTAATTCTAGCAAAATAAATAAGCGCACTATAATTTTAAAGTTGATGTTTCTAAAAAGTTAAATTATTCATTATTAAACATTAAACTAGTCAGTGGATTTTAAAAAATATAAATAACAAAGATTCATCAAATAGCAATAGAAATTTATTTTTTATATTCAAATTTTTAACATTTTGATTGTAAAATTTGTATTTAATTTGAAGAAAATTATAATATTTAGATGATTAAAAAATATTTTAGAAATTAGAGTTTATTAATCGTAAGTATCAAATTTATTTTAATTTTTAACTTTTTGATTGTAAAATTTGTATTTAAATTGTGGAAAATTGTAATATTTAGATGGATTAAAAATATTTTAGAAATTAGAGTTTGTTTATTAAAGTTATTATATAATTTATTTTGAGTTTTATGTTTAAGGATGATAATATTTTTTAACTTAAAATACAAATTTATTTATTTTTTTCATATAAAAACACGTTTTCTTGATTCATACATTTTATCTTTAGCTTCGAATTCAATATCACCGAAGTTATAATCGAATGTACCTAGTTGCATTTTTTTAAGCTTAAGTGTAAATCTTGGACCTATTTCTTATAATTCTACTTTTTCGTTACCTTCTTTATGGTCTTCTCCTATCTCTTAAAATTAATAACGATGGTGTCTGAAGAATATAAAGTCACGCTAGTTGTGGAATGTAACTACAGTTCTAGCTTTAAAATCAGGTTTTTAAGGGAATAAACTTGCAAAAAATCTTCCGATTCTTCTACCAAGCTTTGTGTTAAAATTATTAAGGATAAGTTCTGGGTAATGGTCAGTGGGTCTACCGTGACCATATATATCTTCATTAAGCTTTTCGCTGGTAACTTTAAATACAGCAGTTGGACCTTTAGGAAGATGAATTAAAATGAGTTCAGCTACCTTTCTTTTATGTTCTCTCCAAATCATGACATCTGTATATCCTTTTTGTGGAGCCTATTCGCATACTTCCTTTACTGTTAAAGCCCCACGAGGATAGTAATGACAATTAGGGAATGTTGTTTTTATTTCCTTCATAAAATCGAATAAGTCGCTGTGAGGACGTTAGCTGGTAGTCATTAAAACTTTAGGTTCATAGTCACCCTCAAAATAACTAGCGAATTCGTCAAACTTTTCATCATTTTACAATTCTTGGTCATTTTCATCATCTTCAAAAACAAAGTTTTCATCAATCTTTTTAGTTAAATAAAAGTGTTAAAAACAAGCAATATATAGTGCTAATATATTTCAAGCAAACAAACTCTACTCATTCATTATTTTTTGCTTAAAAATTAAAATTTTGCATTCAAATATGATTACTCAGGCAATTAAATTTTGTAATAGATTACATCAAATATTTAATTTCTTAATTTAAAAAAAATGAGCATTTTACAATGTATTAAAAAGCTCATTTTTTTTTTAGTATTTAGTGAGTATGCTTGGAGTAGAATTAATTATTCAAAGATCTGAAAAATATTTAATAATTACTTCTTTTTTATCATCTGTGGTAATTGTTTATAATTTTTCTTAACCAGTTTATTTATGCTCTTCTACTCTTTCCTTACGCTCTTTTTTTTTAAGTTTCTTTTACTCCTTTTGCTTTTTTTATAGGATCTCTATTCTTTTTTCTTTACACTTGATATCTGTTGGATTGATGTGCAAATATGATTTCTTGATACCTTTATTTTTCTTTTTATTCTTTTCTTTAGCAGTAGCTTCAAATCCTGGCTTAGCTCCTGCCTTAATAGGATTAAGTTTTAGCTTTTAGTATGATGGTTTAGCGTGCTTTCCCATTTGCTAAATTTTATGATTTATTTATTTTGTATATATTCCCTACTTTTTAAAATTCTAGTGAATTTAATTAAATTTTTCTTTAATCTCAAATGCTTCTAAATAAATTAAGATTTTTGTTGTGGTTGCTGACAAAAATACGATATTTTTACTTTCAAAGATAAAAATTTATAAGTATCACACTAATTAATTTGTATTATTATGAGTATTAATTTATTTATCCTTCTTAAACCAAACTTAATTAGAATTTAATTTTCTTTTGCTTTCCATTCTAAATTTTGTCATTTTGAGCATTCAATTCTAATTATTCTACAATAAACTCTTTCTTGGCTTTAAAAATAAAATTTTTTCAAAAAAATAGTTTTAATTGAACTTAAAGCAATATTCAGGTTTAATAAAATCTATGAGAAATAAAGTAAGTCTTAATTACTTTAACAAAAAAATAAAGAAAAGTTATTCTAATTGAAACAAAAAAAATATTTGATAGATTCCTTATAAAAAATTTATATTATTTATCATTCTTCATTGTTAAATAAAAAACATTATTTTGTTAGTTTTTTAATAGCTAAATGATATTTATTCTTAAATTCAAAAATAAAATTTTAAGTATTTAATTATAAATATATTTTAATAGTTTAAAATAATAGAATTAAATAAATAAATACAATCTCAGAAATCTTTTTTTTTTAAAATTAATACATTTATTTATTTATAAAAAATTAAACAATTATATTTTTATTTATTTAACTTTTATTATCTAATATTTAAATGTGAAAATTAAATCAAAAAATTTTTTATTTTAAAACAAACCAACCTCATCCTTAAATCAAAGTAAATATCTGATAAATAAAAAGGCTTCTTATTTTAAGATTGATTTGGAAATTGAAATAATTTTATATTGAAGATTTATTTATGTATTATTTAAAATTGAATGAATTCGCTTTTGAAAAATAAAAATAGCTATTAAAATACTCTTTTTTGAAAAAAAACTTAACTTTTAAAATCTAAATAATTTGATGATTTTATTTTTGATAAATTAACTGCTTAATTGATATAATATAAATAAATACAGAGAAAATAAAATATTTTAAGAATAATTTTAAAGCTATTTTGATTAAACCATTATATTTGTTAAAGTGTTGCAGATGAAATTATAACTAGGAATTAAATTTATTTATTTATTTATTTATTATTTTGCTTGAAATCAGTTTATATTTTTTATGAATTTCATCTTTTATTTATTGAAACCGGTGTAAATGTTTTTCATGCAAGATTGAAATTAAAGTTCTTTTCTACTTGTTATCAGGTTAAACATTAATTAATTTACTGTATTGTAAGTCTTTCTTGTTTTCTAAACATCTTTTTACTATTTTTTTATCTAGTTTATTCATTTAAAGTAAACTCATTTCTTCTTTCCATCCTAATACTGCTTAAATAAGACTTCTAATTCTGATTTCATTCCCTGTTAATATCCCTTTATTAACTAGCTAAATTATTCTTTACATTCTTGTTTTATGTCTTCTGTTAGATCTTCATCATCAAGACCCCATTTTTCCATAAACTACACTTGCTCTTCTTCAGAGGGTCCACAATAAAATATTACTTAGATGCATGTATTAATTATTTTTTTCAACTTAGTAAAACCTAAATAAAACGCTGCCTCTAAAAGTGGTGATAATTTTTAGATTCTTAATTCGGTATTTTCAATATCATACTCTTTTAAAACTTAATAAGATTTCTCATCTATATTTTCTTTTAGTTTAGCTGAGAGAAAAGGGAATTAGTAAGTCATTGTATCTGAATTGTAATTATGAGTTTCACAAAATTCTCTTATTTTATCTAAAACTTCAGTAGATATTTCGCTAACTGGAATATCTTCTTCCAACTCAGAATGGCTAATCAAGTCAGCTAGTTTAGCTAATTCTTTTTTAAAAAAAACCTTTTAACCTTATTTAGATATAAGGCATATATTCTCCTTTTAATTTAGGTTATCCATTCAGAATCTAATTCTAATTAACTACTTTTATTTTAATAAGTATCTTATATCAAAAACTATTTAAATAACTCAGGATTAATTGCAATAAAATAGACGAGGGTACAGCTAGGTAGTCTTATTTTAAAAATTACTTAAATTCATTTTAAACATTAACACCTAATTGTATTTTATAATATTTCATTCTTTAATAATTCTAGATTTCTTCTAAAAGCTAGAAAAGCTTTGTAATAGAAAATTAAAATGATAAAATAATCTGTTTGTCTATATCTATTTTAATTATATTTTATTAAGTATTTAGAAATTTGTTTTATAAATGTTTTTTTCTAGAATATTTTTTTGATAAATTATTACCAATAATTTAAATGGTTAATTAGCTTTTATTTTAATTATTTAATTCATAAAAAAATTTTCAATTTCTTTAGAAAATATTTATTTAAAAATTTTCATTTTTTTAATTAATAAGCTATTTTAAATGTAAAAATAATAATAAATCTATCTATATATCTATTTATGTTTTAGGTTAAATTATCTTTTTACAAAATATTATATAATAAAATATATTTATTTTCTAATATTCAAATATTTAAAAATTATTCATTTTATTTTCACCACTTGTTTATCAAAATTAGAAATCTATATAAAATACAACTAATCTTTTTAATTTAAGACACTTGCTTGCTATTTTCAATTGTTATGATTCTTAGATTGAGTTTTAACTTTATTATAAATTAATAAAAAAGTAAAAAATTAAGCAATTTTTAAATTAATAATTAAAAAATATTAGCATAATAAAAATAAATCAAATTAAAAGCTAGCAAATAAATTAAAAAATTTGTTTTAAATTTCTTTTTTTAACTAAAAATACTTTAATTCAAATAAAATAGATTCTTTTTACCCAAGTTAAAGTGTCAATTTTAATAGATTAGTGCAATTTGCTAGAGCAGGACCTAAGCTTAATGCACAAATTTCACTTATTTAATTTTCCCTTTTTAAATATTGAATAAAAATTATATTATTAATCAGTTATAAACAAGGAAAAATTAAGAAAAGATGTGTAATAATTAAAAATAAATCAATTAATAATAAAAATAAGAGTTGAAAATAATAAAAAAAATTAGTTAAATTAAGAAAATATAAGAAAAAAATATTTATTTAAAAAAAATAAATAAATCAAATAAAAAGCAAATAAACAAATTAAAAGATTTATATTATTTTAAATTCATTTTTATAAGGAAAAATATCACAAATCAAAGCAAATAAACTGTTTTTACCTAAGATTAAGGTCCAAACTTAAGAGTTTAGTGTAATTTACTTAAGAAAAACCTAAGCCTGATGCACCTTCATCAACAATTTAATTTCCCCTTTTTAAATATTGAAGAAAAATATATTATTATTTAGTAACTTAGAAGGAAGGAAATAATGAAGATAAAATATGAAATAATAAGAAATGAATTAATTAATAATAAAAGCATAAGTTGAGAATAAAAAATTGAGTTAAATTAAGAAAGATAGAAAGAAGAATAAAAGAAATTAGTAAAATAATAAAGAAAAATAAATCAAATAAAAAGCTAATAAACAAACTAAAAGAGTTATATTGTTTTAAATTCATTTTTACTACTAAAAATATCAATTAATTAAAAACAAATAAACTCTTTTTACCAAAGACCAATCATCAAATTTGAGAGATTAGTGCAGTTTGCTAAAATAGAACATAAGCCTGATGCACCAGTGGCACCAATTTAATTTTGCCTTATTAAATATTTAAGAACAAATATATTATTAACTAGTTACATAGAAGGAATAAAAGATATGAAATAATAAGAATAAATTAATTAATAATAAAACCAAAAGTTTAAAATAAAAAAATGAGTTAAATTAAAAAAGATAGATAAAGAAAAACACAGGTACAATAAATAAGAAAAAGAAAAATAAATCAAATAAAAAGCTAGCAATAAATGAAAAGAGTTAAATTGTTTTAAATTACTTTTTTAACTAAAAATACCACAATTCAAAAAAATAAACTGTTTTTACCCAAGAAAAAGTTTCAAATTTTAGAGATTAGAGCAATTTGCTATAGCAGAACCTATTCTTGATGCAACTTCATCACTTATTTGATTTCTACTTTTTAAATATTGAAAGTATATTATTAATTAATTAATTACTTAGAAGTAAAAATGTAGAATAATATGAAATAATAAGTAATGGATTAATTAATAGTAAAAGTAAAGGTTGAAAATAAAAAAAATGAATTAAATTAAGAAAGACAGAAGAGAATAATAAACAATAGTTCTATAAAAATGAAAAAAAAAAATAAATCAATTAAAAAGCCAATAAAGAAATTAAAAGAGAATATTATTTTAAATTCATTTTTATTACTAAAAATATCAAAATTCTAAACAAATAAACTGTTTTTACCAAAGATTAAGTGCCAAATTTGAGAGATTAGCGCAATTTGCTAAACCAGAACTAAAGCCTGATGCAAATATTGCACCAATTTAATTTCCACTTTTTAAATATTGAATAAAAAATATATTATTAATAAAACAAAAAAAAAATTATGAAATCATTAAGAAATCAATTCATTAATAATAAAAGCAAAAGCTTAAAATAAAAAATCAAGTTAATTAAGAAATATAGAAAGAAAAAAAACACAATTCAAATAAAAAAGAAAAAGAAATATAAATCAAATAAAAAGATAATAAGCAAACAAATTAAAAGATTTATATTATTTTAAATTCATTTTTATAACTAAAAATATCGCAAATCGAAGCAAATAAACTGGTTTTACCTAAGATTAAGGTCCAAACTTAAGAGTTTAGCATAATTTACTAAAGAAAAATCTAAACCTGACGCACTTTCATCTACAATTTAATTTCCCCTTTTTAAATATTGAAGAAAAAATATACTATTATTAAGTTACTTAGAAGGAAATAATGAAGATAAATTTGAAATAATAAGAAACGAATTAATTAATAATAAAAACAAAAGTTTAAAATAAAAAAAGGAGTTAAATTAAAAAAGATAGAACAAAAAAACACAAGTACAATAAAAAAGAAAAATAAATCTAATAAAAAGCTAATGAACAAATTAAAAGAGTTATATAATTCATTTATATTACTAAAAATATCGCAATTTAAAATAAAATTTTTTACCAAAGATTAAGAGTCAAATTTGAGAGATTAGTGCAATTTGCTAAACAGCAAAATAATCCTGATACACCTATTGCACCAATTTAATTTACCCTTTTTAAATATTGAAGAAAAAATATATTTATTATTAATAAGTTATCTAAAAGCAAAAAAAAAAAATATGAAATAATAAGAAATGAATAAATTAATAATAAAAGCAAAAGTTTAAAATAAAAAAAATAAGTTAAATTAAGAAATATAAAAAAAAAAACACAAGTACAATAAAAAAAATAAATCAAATAAAAAGCTAATAAACAAATTAAAAGAGTTTTTTTGTTTCAAATTCATTTTTATAACTAAAATTATCACAATTTTAAACAAATAAACTTTTTTTACTCAAGTTAAAGTGTTAAATTTGAAAGATTAGTGCAATTTGCTAAACCAGAACCTAATTTAGATGCTCCTTCATCACCAATTTACATTCCACTTTTTAAATATAGAAAGAAAAATATATTATTAATTAGTTATTTAAAAGCAAAAAAAAAAAATGAAATAAAAAGAAATGAGTTAATTAATAATAAAAGCAAAAGTTTAAAATAAAAAATGAATTAAATTAAGAAAGATAGAAGAAAAAAACACAATTACAAATAAAAAGCTAATAAAGAAATAAAAAGAGTTATATTTTTTAAATTCATTTTTATAACTAAAAATATCACAATTTAAAACAAATAAACTTTTTTTACCAAAGATTAAGTGTCAAATTTGAGAGATTAGCACAATTTCCTAAACCAGAACCTAATCCTTATGCACCAGTGGCGCCAATTTAATTTTCACTTTTTAAATATTGAAGGAAAAATAAATTTTTAATTAGTTACTTAGAAAGGAAAAAATTAAGAAAATATATGAAATAATAAGAAATATATTTATTAATAATAAAAGCAAAAGTTGAAAATAAAAAATTAGCTAAATTAAGAAAGATAGTAGAAAAAAAATATAAATCAAATAAAAATCTTAAAAACAAGTTAAAAAAATTATTTGGTTTTAAATTAATTTTTATAACTAAAAATTTCTTAATTCAAAACAAATAAACTATTTTTACAAAAGAAAAAGTGCCAAATTTGAGAGATTAGTACAATTTGCTAGGCTAGAACTTAATTCAGATGCTCCTTTATCACCAATTTAATTTTCGCTTTGTAAATATTGAAGAAAAAATAAGAAATGAATTAATTTAATAAAACTAAAAGTTTAAAATAAAAAATGAGTTAAATTAAGAAAGATAGAAGAAAAAAAAAATTATAATAAAAAAAAAATAATAAATCAAATAAAAAGCTAACAAACAAAATAAAAAAGTTATATAATTTAAAATTCATTTTTATAATTATAAATATCATAATAAACAAATAAACTGTATTTACCAAATATTAAGTTTCAAATTTGAGAGATTAGTGCAATTTGCTAAGCCAGAACCTAAGCCTAATGCGCCAGTGTCACCAATTTAATTTTCCCTTTTTAAATATTGATTAAAAAATATATTATTAATTAGTTACTTAGATGGAAAAAATCAAGAAAAAATATGAATTGAATTAATTAATAATAAAAGCAAATATAAATCAAATAAAAACTAATAAATAAATTATAAGAGCTTTATTGTTTTAAATTCATTTTAATAACTAAAAATGTCACAATTACAATTGAAAACAAATAAACTCTTTTTACCTAAGAGAAAGTGCCAAATTTGTGAGATTAATGCAATTTGCTAAACCAGAACCTAATCCTTATGCACCTATTGCACCAATTTAATTTCCCCTTTTTAAATATTAGAGAAAAAAATATATTATTAATTAGTTACTTAGAAGGAAAAAATGAAGAAAAAATATGAGATAATAAGAAATGAATTAATTAATAATAAAAGCAAAATTTCAAAATAAAAAATCAATTAAATTAAAAAATATATATGAAAATAAATAAACACAAATAAAATAAAAAAGAAAAAGAAAGATAAACCAATAAAAAGCTAACAAACAAACAAAATAAAAGAGTTATATTATTTAAAATTAATTTTTATAACTAAAAATATCACAATTAAAAACAAATAAACTGTTTTTACCAAAGATCAATTGTCAAATTTATGAGATTAGTGAAATTTGCTATATCAAAACCTAAGCTTTATGCGCCAGTATCACCAATTTAATTTCCACTTTTTATAAAATTAATTATTAATTAATTACTTAGAAAGAAAAGTTGAAGAAAAAATATATGAAATGAAATAAATAAAAAATGAGATAAATTAAGAAAAATAGAAGGAAAAAAAACGCAAGTTCAAAAAAATGAAAAATATATCAAATAAAAGCTAATAAAAAAAGTAAAAGATTTATATTGTTTTAAATTCATTTCAATAACTAAAAATGTCACAATTGAAAACAAATAAACTCTTTTTACTTAAGAGCAAGTACCAAATTTGAGAGATTAGTGCAATTTGCTAAACCAGAACCTAAGCTTGATGCACCTATGTCACCAATTTAATTTTCACTTTTAAATATTGAAAAAAAATATATTACTAAAAATTATTCGTTTTTTTTTTGAAACCAAACTGAACCAAATATTTTTTATTAGATATTACGAAAAGATTGTGTATGAAAACATCGAAGAAAAAAGATTTTGAGCAATAAAATTTGAACTCTTCATTTAAAAGTTTTTTTTGATTTAAATTAACTTTTATAACTAAAAATATCACGATTCTAAATAAAAAACTTCTTTTACTCAAGATTAAGTTTCAAATTTGAGAGATTAGTGCAACTTGCTAAACCAGAACCTAAGCTTGATGCACCTATGTGGCCAATTTAATTTTCACTTTTTAAAATTGAATAAATAATATATTATTAATTTGTTCTTTAGAAGTAAAAAATGAAGAAATAATAAGTAATGAAGTAATTAATAATAAATCTAAAGTTGAAAATAAAAAAATTAGTTAAATTAAGTAAGATAGAAGAAGAAAAAGCACAAATAAAAAAAATAAATCAAATAAAAGTTAATAAACAAAGTAAAAGATTTATATTGTTTTTATTTCACTTTTATAATAAAAAATATCACAATTCTAAACAAATAAATTTTTTTACTTAAGATCAAGTATCAAATTTTAGAGATTAGTGCAATTTGATAAAGCAGAACCTAAGCCTTATGAGCCAATTTCATCAATTTTATTATAACTTTTTAAATATTGAATAAATAATAAATTATTAATTTGTTCTTTAGAAGGAAAAAATAAAGAAAAAATATGAAAAATTAGAAATTAATTAATAATAAAAGTAAAAGTTGAAAATAAAAAATGACTAAATTAAGAAATATATAAGAAAAAAAACACAAGTACAATAAAAAAGAAAAATAAACCAAATAAAAAACGAATAAACAGACTAAATTAGTTGTATTACTTTTATTCATTTTTATAACTAAAAATATCACAATCCAAAACAAACAAATAATCCGTTTTTAATGTGTTAATAGAAAAAATTAATAATAAATACAAAATATCAATAATGTAAAAAAAATTTTAAAAATTGATAAAGAAAATTTAGGTAAAATAACTAAAGAAATATTTTTTTAATAAAATGAAGGTATTTTGGTAAAAATTTCTATCATAAAAATAATATTATTTTTTAATTCAAATGTAAAAAATAAAGAAAAAATTAATAACAATAATTTTTATAAATTAAACATACCTCAGCTTAATATGGACAACCTAATGAGATTATAGTGTAGAGTTTAGAAACTTTTTATATTAAAAAAATTAAATTTAAAGTATATTTTTTTAAAATAAATAAATAATTACTTTTTCTAATTTGTTGTAATATTAAATCTATTATATCATTTATTTATTTATTTTTCAAAAATATCTAAAAGCAATTTATGGAAATTTAATTAATTTATTAATTATAAGTTGATAAAAATAACAAATAAATTATATTAATTTATAAAATTGCTTTTATTAACAAATATCAAAAAAAGGATAGTGTAACATTAACTATTTAATCTCAATAATTATATTAAAAATTTTTACTTAAAAATATAGTAGGAACAAGAGATAGGTAGTCAGTCATATATTGAAAAAATTCGAGCAATTACTGGTATTAAATTTTATAAAAATAATTTTTATTTTACAGATTTTTCTATTTAATCAATCAATTAGGGTAATTTTTTAATATATCTAATTATTCTCTAATCCTATTAGTTTTTATTTCAAGCATATTTTATTTAAGTATATATATAATTTGCATGTACCATATAAGTGCGTTTATATCTATTTAAATAATTTTTAATAAATAGATCATATATTTTATAAAATTAAAAAAAAATTTTGAAATCTAAATATCTGTAACATAAAAGCTAATTAATTTACATTATATAAGAATTAGTATATTCTATTATTTTTTTATATTTTAAAATAATTATTTTTTATTTAATTTTAAATTTCTATCTTTCATTCATATATAAAATCACTATAGTTATGATCATATACTATTATGTTCTAGAATGCCTCAAAAGTAATTTTATGTTTCTTGTATTATTAGTCATAAACAGGGAAGGTTTCTTCTAAGAAAGGGTATATGTAAGAAGGATTTTAAGCTTATGGCAGGTTATCCCATAAGTCATATAATATTTGCTTACTGCTGAATGTCATCATAGGAGAAAGTAATTTATTAAATACACAAAAATACAATAAGGTATTTCTCAACTTATAAGTATAGTACTTTAGTAAGCACCCAAATTTGTTTTGAATTTTGTAAGGTTTTTACTTGGGGTTGCATTTTTTTATCTAAATATTTGAATCATTAGTAACAAATAATTCTATGGAAAATATATTTGTTGGTGCTTCTTATTTTAGTTGATAAAGATATTTTTCATTCTCTATAAGCCTTAAAGGGAGTTTAGGAATGAATTCATAAGAAAAATTAGAGTATTAGAAAAACTTCCATTGTTTGTTTTATACGAAAATAACAAATATATCTATATTAGAAGGCAGTTAGATTTATCGGAAAATCCTAAATTGCTTAAGTTATTCGTTTGATATATTTTGCTAATAAATTGATTAAAATTAGATCTACAAATAAGGGATGTTAAAGAGTAAGTTGATCATTGTGTCATTAGGACAATCTTCAACCATTTCTAAAATAAAATCAAGATTACTGAAATTCAAGTATGATAAGCCTTTTTCTCTTTAGCTTATGATTAAAAAGTAATCTCTTATGAGTTTTACTTCAGAATGAGTAACTATACGTGAAACTTTGTACTCCGGTTTTTATCTAATTTCTAAAAAATCATTAACTTCTTTAAAAATTTGCATATAAATCTAGACATTTTATTATTTAAAAGGCTCTTCTATAATTTAGTCAAGACCTAATCTCCAATCCCAAATAATTTAATTTAGTTTTATGACATTGTTAAAGATATCGTTTATAATAGTGAATGTAATACTATGAAGTGTATTTTAATGAGTAATAAATGATTAATTCAAATATTCATCCAAAGCATTCTCCATTTTAACTTAGTCTATGAATAATTTTTATTCCTTGAAAGCCTGCTCTCTTTTTGCTTCCACATATGACATTCTCTAAAGGCACATATTACCTTCTTTTTCAGCTAATTTGAAGGCTTTTTAAATCAATTGCTCTAATTCTGCTATTTTCTCTTAAAAATTATCTTTTTTTAATTGAATGTCTTTCATACTATTTTAAGAAGCTTTGAAGTTGAAATTTAAAAATTTTTTATACAAAAAAATTGATTATAAAATCTCCTTTTTTTAAAAAAATTTAAATATTAATATTGTTTGGTGTACTTAAAAAGGCAAAAAGGGGTTAGTTATTTTATTCAAAAGTTTTGATGATATATTTTCACTTTCTGATTATTTTAGTTATTTTTTGTGAAATTCAAACATTTTTTTCACTAAAAACTTCTAAATTAGCATTTAAAATAACAATTATTTAAATTAATAGCAGAAAAATCAAATTTTTGAGTGATACACAGGCAATTCAATTTAATTAAATTAATAAGTAATATAAAAACAATATCAAATAATATTAAAAAATAAAATATTTAGCAAAAAATGCTTATTGATTATATAATAATAAAACATTTATTAAAATACGTTTAAAGAATTAGCCAATTATTAATTGCATTTAAAATTTTATAAAAAACCAAAAATCAAAGAAAGAAAGTTATCTAATTTTTATTGATATTTATTTGTCAAATAAAAATTTTATCTAGTCTTAGAAGTTATTATATGATAAAAATCTTCTTTTTGAAATTCAAATTAAACAAAATGTGTTCAATATTTTAATCTATAATTTCAGTAAATAATAAAAAATATTTGTTTTTAAAAAAAGTATGGATTGAGTAGTTTTTGAAGAGGTAATTTATAGTTCAGCAAATAATTCAAGCAAAGGATAAATTAACATATAAATTAATAAATTTTTTATAATTTAGAAAAAATTGATGAATTTGTTTAAACACCTAACAACTAACAAAATATTTATTTACTTATATATTTATCAATCAATCTATCCATCTATCTCTTTATTTATTTATCTGTATATCTATTAGCATTTTTTTACTTGAATAGTAAAAATATTTGTTATTATTATATCTTAAGCAATTTATAATTTTTATAATCAATCAATTAATTAATTTGTTAATAATTCATTTATATTTTATTCAGTCAAAATTTCATTTTTAAACAATAATCTATAAGCAAAGGAGAGACAAGCAACAAGATAGTTAATAAAGAAAAATATTAAAGATATATATTTTTATAAACAAGAAAGGCAATAAATAAAATTAAAATTTAAGTATCAACAAGATTAAACTGTATATAAAATAAGAGCACAAATATTAGGCTTTATCAATATTTATACAAATTTTAGTTCAAGAATAAAAATAAGCATATAGAGTTACAACTAGCACTGAAATGAGCCAGCATATGAACGGGGAAGTAGATTAATAAATAGAATCAGAGTTATAAAATAGCATTAAATAATAGATGGATGCTAAAAATCATAATTCAACTAATGGTAATAGTAGTAAAGTTGAAAATTAAGAGTGTGATTTGGATAGCGAATAGCAAAAATAATAAAGTTAACGCAAATCTAGTGAAAATGGAAATGGGGGAAGAAAATTAAGTTCGAAATCGAATAATTCATCTTCATAAAAAATTTCTATTAAATAAGATTAATCTTTGTTGGAATAATAGCCACCCTTATCCTAACGCAGTAATTAGAACCACTCAGAGAATTAAGACTCTTCTCCTATTTCTGATAAAATTGCATAATAAAATCCTGAATCAGTTCAAGGAAATAAATAAGAAAATTTGTAAAAATCTGCTTCATCTTTCAGGGATAGTTCTCCTTCTTAAGCAAATTAGTAACTAATTGATGGAGTTATAGAAGATAAACAAGCTGATTTATAAAGGTAATAAAGTAACTAGCACAGTAATTTACAAAAAGCAGAAAGCGAATAATAAAATACTAATTAGTCAGATTTCCAAATAAGGGAATCAAGTGAATAAGAAGTAAAACTTCATTCATCTCCTAGACCTTCTTAAAAAAATTCTTCAACAAAAATGTCAGAAAGCAGCAAATAGCAGTAGGAGTAGTTACCTACTTAAGAGAAGTAGATATAGGATGAAAACATCTAAGAAATGTGCGATCAAGGATAGGAAAAAGTTAAGAAAGCAAAGATACCAAGTAATAAAAATGAAGATCCTAGTGCATAAGCGGGGAAGCGTAATAATGGAAATGGGGATGTTGCATAAGGAATATCACTGGAAATATATAAAATGGTTGATAAGATAAGCGAAGATTTGGAAAAATAAAAAGAAACCAATAAATACTTATATGAGGAGATGAAAGAATTATAGCAAAAGAACTCACACCGTTCAGGAGACAAAACTTCAAGATTATCTAGTCTTGCTAGTATAAATTAATCTCCTAAATATATTTAAAGTGAAGATATTTGCAAAGAGAAGAATGAAGCTGAATAAGCTTAGTTAAATTCATTTAATTTAGATAAAAGTTAATAATAGCAGTAAAGTGAAAAGCATCAACTTCAAACACAATAAAAATAAGCTGATTAATCTTCTGCTTAATTTCAAATGCTTCATCCAAACAATAAATTATCTCCTCAAAGGTAAACCTTTCAAAATAACGACTAACAAACTTAAAATAAGACTGAGCCAAAGACTTTTATGTAAAACCAAAGTAAATCTTTTTTTTAAAATTTTTTATTGAATAAAAACTAAAAAAGATGACTTACTGAATTACTGATTCATTAATTGAATTTATTTTACTGCTCTTTTTAAAATTTAAAAAATCATGCAAAAACGAGAATGCTTTTTAATAAATTAAACCTTCAATTAATTAATTAAAAGCTATTTTTAGAATATTATTCAAATAAATTTATTTATTTTTTTGAAGCCTTTCTTATTAATATTTCAATTAATTTTAAAGTTAAACATTTTCCATAGCAAAAAATAATAGCTTTAATAAGATTTATTTATCATAAACATTTTCATTTGTCAAAATCTAAGAAGCTAACTATTTTTTTTAAATACTTACTAGGTTTTCCATCACAACCTTCTGATAAGAAATAGATTTATTCTTCAAATATTTCAAGAAGTTAAATGCAATAATAAAGTCCTTAAATAGGTTTTAATAACAACAATTAGTATTATGGAAATATGATTAACCCAAACGTGCTAGTCTAGTCTTAGAATTTCGACAACTAATCAAGAATAATTCCTCAACATCATGTTAATTAAAGTTCATAGAATTTCTCCTACAATTTCTATAATGGGCAAAGCTATGATCATGAAAAGCTAATTGAAAAGCTCATTTTCCTTCAGAAAGAAAATGATTCTTTAAACAAAGAAAATGCAATACTGAGAGAGAAAAATGAATATTATTAGTAGAGACTTAAATAAATAGAAAATGATAGCAGAAACTAATTTTTAGCAATGTCTTTAAACAAAAATAATTAAAATAATATCTATAATTTTAGCAGTGCTAGCAGTAGCAATGGATCTGCCATTTAGTTGAATCCAATTAATGGAAGTTATAGTTAATTTACAACTCCTTTATCTGATACAAACAAAAAGAACTTGTCCTCTCCTTTAGAGCCTCATTACTTCTTAAGTGCCTCTCGAACTAATAATTAGAATGATAACTCTCTCGGTTCAAACTAATCATTAGATTCAAATTTAATTAAAAAAGTAACAAAATAATAACATCTTCAATTTATAAAACTATTTTTAAAATTAAAAATTAGCTATGTGAGATATTGTGTGTAGAGTCTCCTGAACAGTTAATTCCAGTCGCTAAAAAATATGAAAAATGCATTCAAAGCGTAAGAATTTTAAGTATAAAATTGACTAAAATAAACAATTTTAAAATATTTAGATTCCTAAACTCGAAGCTTTTATTACTTAAATTTACAATTTAGTCTTACCAGAAAGTGCCTCTATAAAGAAAAATTTGGCACCTATGAAGGAAATAATTAAGGAATTAACAATATGGAAAGAAGAAAGATTAAATATGAAGTAAGGGTAGTCTTAACTAAAATAAACTCCTTCAGTTCATTAAAGCCAAAGTTTTAATAATATTTATAGTTCTGTAAATGGTATATCTCCTAGAGTTTCTTCAGTGGTTCAATAAAATTCAAATTCCTACAGAGAATATATAAATGTAATTTATTCAGCAAGAAAGAAAGCATCACATAAGTTTTATTAATCTTATTTATTTTTAAAAAAATAAAGTTTTATCAGTCCTTCATGCAAATATTTTAAATTGATTAAAACCAAAAAGACGACATTTTATAAAATCTCTACTCAATCCGTTAAAAAACAGATGAATATCACAAATTCATTTTAGTAAATAAACATAATCAATTAATTGTTGCTTTAAAAAAATATTTAATTTACCTTTTACATATATAAATAGAAAGTTAAAAAGATACTTGACTTAGATCCTTAAATAAGAGACGATTTAGTTTTGAAGATAGCATTTGACAAATTATAGTAATATCCAGTATATAGACAATTCACAAAAAGTCTCCAAAAGCACTCAGGAATCTCAGATTTAAATAAATTGCATTCTTAAATTGAGAAGTAAAAAATATATCCTTTAATAAATTTAAAATATAATTTATTTAGTAATTAAATGATGATTTTAATAATTTTTATGACAGATAGAATTAATTAAATTAAAAAAATATGCATTTTAAAAATAAAAAATTAAAATTATTTTATTGTCATCAAAAAATAGGATGCTCAATTTGATGTAAAACAAAGGAAATTATCCTAAGAACTAAGTATGATGAGCTGAATATTAGACACATAAAATAAATTCTCAAAAATTATATATAACATGAATGAAATTCTAGATAATATTCAGTCTAGTCAATCAGCAATATGAATAAAAGTTTAAAATACTACTGAATTAACAATTTAGTTATTCATTCATTCAATAATTCAGCAATCATACTTACTTATATTCATTCATTCAATCTATCGATCGATCTAATAATCAAATAAACAGCATAACACATACATCTTATAAATTTTCCACCTATAAATTCAAAATTAATACAGATTTTTGCTCTATAAATAGAGATGAACTAGCTATATAATAATAAATAAAATTAGGAAGATGATAGTTGATGTTCATCTCTTAAACAAAATTTTTATACATAAACATTAAATTTATTTATAACACCTTGTTAAAATAAATATTAGTAGTAACTTTTCTCATTAATAATAAATAACTCATGATTTAATCAATTAGTAGTTAATTAAAATTTAAATGAATAATTATCAATTAGTTGATATAATAAAAATTAAATGAAAACTTTTATAAAAAGCTTAATTGAATATTGATTGATAATTCAGCCAACTCATCAATTTATAATAATAAGATTTTAAATATTTATGAATTTAGTATATTATTAAATTATTTAGATAGAATTTCATAAAAGCTTGATTACTTTCTTTCTTTTTAATGCTTAATTTCCTCATTATATTTAATTTAATTTTTGTATTTGAGAAATTATCAATTTTACTGTTTAATTTATTTATCTTTATTTTACCCTAAAATATCATCAAAATATCTGTTTGTTTGTCTGTCTGTCTTTAGAAAAGATTTTTCAAATTTAATTAAGCTTTTTTGTTTATTGATTACAAATGTCTTAATATAAAAATATTAAATCTAGACAGGATACTTAATTAAATTAGCGATTAATAAATAATCAGAGCTAATAATTTTTTCTTTTAATTTTACCTAAATTAATTTTTTCTTTCTTTTTTTTCTTCAGCTCCTCTTGTTGGTTATAAGAGCACGTTTTACTTCTTTAGTTTTATCTTAAATTTAATAAGTTAAATTTGATTGATTGATAAATAAATTCAAAAATATGATTGATATTAAATAATATTTTAACAAAATATTTTTTGTTGTTTTTTCGATAAAAAATTAAATATCGTTTTTAAAAATTAATAACACAACTTTATTATAATCAAATGAAATAGATTGCTATAATTTTTTTAATAGATCTAATGATGAATTTTTAAGTTTTTTTTTGAAATTTAGTTGTTTGTAAAAATGATAACTCCTTTAAAAATAATTAATTATTAAGTAAAGAAACCTATTGTTATTAGTAATATTTTTATGATTTTAAAGAAAGAACTAAATACAACAACTACATTTTAGTTTGTATAAATTTGTTTGTATATTTTTGATACTATAATTTCTAACAATACTAAATCAATCTTAATTTCAATTTTCATTTCAATTATTAGTTAAGTTAAACTAATTAAAGATTTTATAGACAGACAGACTCATAATCTTAAATATTACAAAAAACATATAAAATAAGCTAACTTATAAGGTTGCAGGATTTACAAATACCTTTAATTATAAAACATTTCATTTATTATAGATAAGTAGTAAAACACTGATTGTGTCCTACAGATTGAAAGCCAATTCTAAAGAATACATTTCAGTTTAAGTTTAATAAATAGTTAGTAGTTAAAGCGATGAGCAAATAAGTTTCAAATTAAAATATTGTCTTTATTCAGTCTCGTTCGCCAACATAAAGCAAATTGATTAACAATTTCGTTCAAGAAAGGTAAATTTTTTAATTCAGCTCTTTACTTTTTGTCATAAAATACTTTTTTTCTTCTCTCTTAAATCTATTATTCAAAAAAAAGGGATACTCCGATGAGCGGTTTAAACATAGATGAGCATTAATAAAACGATAAGAATTTATTTCATACTATTAGACAATTCCCATAAGCATAAGCACTTATAAGTGATCATTCAAATTAGCATCAAACCAATGAAGATGGTATATTAGAAAGTCATTCTTTAGCTCCTAAAGATATTTTGGAGTAATAAAAAAAAGCAAAGCTCGAGCTGTTTAAATAAAGTATAACTAAATTATTCAAACAATAATATAATGGTTTTAACTTTAAAAATTTAGGAAGTCTTATGAAGTAGCCCACTATTTTTAGAAATTAGGAGAATGAAGAAAAAGAAGATCAACAAGGAGAAGAAAAGGAGGGAATATCATAAGACATCAATTTAAAATATGGTGATATAGTATATTTTAAGTACTACAGAGAGCAATCTAAGGGAATTGTTTCAGGTAAAAAAATGTTCAAATACTTTTAGGATATTCAATAAAATGCGATAAATAAAACGAAAAATAATATAATACGAATAATAAAGAATAAAATTATATAATGCAATACAGAATATACGAATGAAAATAATTTTAATTAGTATTAATAAATGAACAAATATCATTTTCTTTTATTTAGATATTTTGATTCTTTAATAAATTAAATTAACGTTTAATCTACATATAAATATATATATTTTTAGGTGATGGTATTGCTGGTAATAAGATAGAATGTGTATCTGTGGGAAATATTATTAAGTCTGGTAGCGAAGAGCATTTTAATTAGTAATAAAGTGTAAATGGCGAGGGTGATGATTTTGATGATATAGATGAAAAATAAGGCTATGCCAATTAGAGTAATGACCCGAATTACAAAAGATAAATTCTAAATAAGAAAGCATCTCTATAATTTAGAAAATGTTTATTTAGGGTGACAAATTCTAAGAAATATTATTATTAAAACTTGTACAATATTGAGTTAAAAAACATGAAATCATCTTCATACAAAAGCAAAAATCAGCAACAGAAATTAACAGACATTGAGCAGAAAATGAGGGAAGAGCAAGAGGAAAACTAAAGAGCATATTAACATAAGATGGGAACAAATGTTATTTATGGATAAGAAATATAATTAGAACATATATATAGCAAATGCATTGTCACCTTAAATCCTGACGTATTAGCATATGAGCACTGCTGCAGAGAGGTAAATAAGCATTGATATAACACTTATTATAATAATTTATATAAATATTTGTTATAATTAGCTAAGCTTAGAAGAAATTCCAAGCTAATGGTCTAACTTTATAATTACTTCTTCTAATAATGCTAAAAAAACCGGTGAACCCGTAATGTATAAAGAATAAATCAGCATATACAGCTCTGAGAACCCTTATTACTGGATTAATATACAATAAAGCTAATCTAGTTCTTCAGATGATAACACTGAAGCTGTTACTGATTTATTTGATGAAGGACTTGAAGTTAATTGCACTGATCGTTCTGCTTCAATGAAATTAAGCTTATATTTAGGAGTAAACGAACAAAAAGAGCGTTCAGAACAAATGGAATAGCAGGAAAATTAACCAATTCAAATCGGTGATGTTGTTTACATATACAACAGGTAATTTAAGATAGATAGTTAATAATAATTATGGATTGGTTTATTTATTTAATTAATCTTTTAAATAAATTTAAATAATTTGATTGTATATAAATAAGAATCGTTAAGGGTAGGATTGGAGTTGCGAGAAAGAATCAATCTTAAGAAAATGACTCTCAGTTTTAAATGAAAAGAGTTGAATTAAAGTTAGAAACGAATGACGATTTTAAGCAAAGAAAAGGATTAGAAATTTAAGTGTTAAAAGTAGAAGACTACACTAAAAATATATCTTCTTAATATGAGTTTTTTATTGATACAAGTGAAGATGAAAAAAGAATCGAAACTCTCTGGGAGATTTAAAGGGAAAGAAACTTTGATTCATCATTAGCAAGCCATGATGATAACTATCGTATTAAAAACATATGGACTGGACTCTATCTCTATTTGAATGATAACGATGAAATAGATTTAACTCTAGAAGGTAATTTAGATAAGACCTTTTTCTCGATCAAGCCTAAAAGAGTTTTATAGCTTATAGAGAATACTCTTGTTTATCAATAACCTGTTAAGATTCTCTAATCTCTAGTTGATCACACAATGTACCTCAGGGTTAAAGAGGATCCAAATGAAGAGGATGAGTTTAATTATTTTAATTAAAGAGGGAAGCAATCAGCAAAGAAGTTAGGTTTGATGAGAAATTAATGCAGGCTTCTTGAAGAAAAACCTAAAATTGTGAATACAATATCTTCTTATAATATTAAAAAAGATAAAAGAGGAGAAATAGAGTTCGAATTTATTAGAGCGGATCCTAAATTAATGTAAAATTCTCAGAAATTTATGCAGATTATTATATTTTTTTAACTTTAATTAGAAATCTTGCTGATAGAGTCTCAAGTCTATTCCCTTATCTAATGAATTTCTACATCTTTTTGCTTCATTGGGGTAATAGAATCTAAAAGAATCCAGGTAGCAATGAGGAGTGGTATTATGAGTACTTTAAAGCCTTTGAATAACAAAAATACTTGTATAATTATGTCTAGCAACTTTATCAAAGTATTGAAAATCTTGAAGATTTTTTAAAACCAGATACAAATTTATATGAGAGATAACGCATCTTACTAGATGCTGGTATAGTAGAGATTTTGCTTTTAACTTTGAAACTCATTCATTATAAAATATACTGCCATTGCGAAATTGACAATTAGAATCAATTTTAAGAATAAAAAAACATAAATGACAAGCTCAACAGTATTCCAGATAGAACTGCTTAAAAGATTGCTTCTATAAAACTTTTAAAAACAATTAGTGTGCTCTATGATGTAAATTTATTTATATAAATTTTTGAAATAAACTAAAAAAAATAAAAATTAAAAAGATACTAATTAAATGCATTCAAGGAAACTCTCAATGCTCTTCATTTGTCCTCAAAATGCAAAAAGACAATTTCCTATTTAATTAAATAAAATTTCACAAATCGGAAGTAGTAATGCTTCTCAAAGAAGCAACAAGATATGTAGATGGTGACCAAAAAGAACAAAATGTAGAAAATATGAAAAAATGGGTAAGTAAAATTTAACAAATTTCAGCCGCAAATGTTCAAGAGTAAACATTCATCATCGAGCTGCTTTGTTTATCTATTACTGACCATTTAGAGTAACCAATTACTGAGTATCAAAATTCCTTAAGAAAACTACTCTTTAACTAGCCAAGGCGCTTTAAGGATGACGATGATGACGATGCAAATGGTAATGAGCGTGTTAAATTTTCAGGAAAGTAAAGAGAGAGAAAATATACTGGATTTTTGAAAAAATCTCATTTGCTTAGCTTTAAAATTGAATAAGATTCTCCTTATATAATATTTAACTTATTGAGTAAACTTTTATTGATTAAATTTTTTATCAAAAGTAATTTTTTAAATCAAATAGATTCAAATAAAAGTAAATTCGAAAATGATAATCAAGATTTATACTACACTGGAAAGAAGGGTGTTGTAAGAGATGATGAGAATATCAATCACTTCCCTTTTGATCATATAAATGGATCTCAAGTAAAAGGTAAAACTAACACTCAGCTCTAGTAAAGCATTGAAAAGTATGAAGTTTATGTCTTAGAAGTTCTTAACTTATACTCACTACTTTCTGCTGGAAGAAATATGAAATCTATCAAATGTCTCTAAACATTAGGTTTAACTAAGAATTTTATATACAAATGTCTTCAATCAAAGAAAATAGATGGAAGTCATTTAAGATAATACAAAAGCATTTTAAATTTATATGACAGTTTTATCCTAAACGTATCTCCCTTCACTCCTATAACAGGATATCATAATCTCGTTTTCCAAAATATAGATTTTAAGGATTTTGATCCTAAGAAATAACCATCATTTCATCTTTTTAGAGAAATCGTAGTTAATTAAGAAACAAAAAACTCCATCAGAGATGAATACTAAAAGTTGGTTGATAAAAATTCATTGCAAGCTCAAGAAAATGACTCTAATCTCCTTTAATTATATGCTAAGTGTATTGTGGATAGAGAAGAATAATGGTATAGAGAATCTAAAACAAATCCAGAAAAAAGACATCAAATATCATCTTTAAGAATTTAAGAAGAATTAACTATTTATACTAAGGAAGAAAGAAACAAAATTATAGAAAAATTGAATCACGAAATTAGTTTACAGTAAAATCCTGTAAAAAATTTATCAATTTTAATTTAATTAAATTATTAATTTAAACCTTGCTTAATATTAGAATGCAGACAAAGCAAAGCTCTCTAAATTTATGATGGAAACATTCCTATAGATGCTTAAGATAGTAAAAACACGTATAAATCTAGGTTATAACACTCCAGAATAGAATTAAAGAATTATGGACATTGTAATTAATTATTATTTTAAATATTTCTAAAATTTGTTTCTTTGTTTGTTTGTTTATTTATTTATTCCATCCATTTTTTCTAATTAGATTCCAAATATTTTCATGGCTTTGATTGAATATAAGGAAGAAATGTAAAATGTAGCTATTTAAAATGACTTAACTGAAATAGCTGCTGCTGCTCATAAGAAAGACAAAAGAAAGAATGCTGCTGAAGCTGACAGATTCAATTAGAATTGGATTTATGCTTTCATGAGATATAATCTCGAGTATTCCTTTGATGATCTAATCACAACTAAAGTAAGATTTATTTTTGAAATAAAAAACTACAACAAAAATATATTTATTTGTTTAAATTTGAATGTAAATATAGATTTTTATTGAAGCAATTACTATAGTAAATATAATTACGAAGCTTAATATGTACTTATATATTGTGGAAGTCATATAATCCAAGAAATACTTTACAGATGACAGCTTAGAGTTTTTTTACTAATTCAAATTTTCTTTAGAAGATTAATAAAAAATAAACAGAAGCAACGGAGTTAATTTAAATGTGCTCATAATGCAGACTTTGGAGTATTTAAAGAGAGATCCTATCCTTGAGTAGACAATGTTCAAAACTCTGATTAAGAATTTCGATTACCTAAAAGATCTGCAAAATTAAATGTTAGAAGTTGAAATCATTGAAGATTTATAAGAAATAGAAATTTACAAAGATGTGAATGGCATAACAGAAAATAACTAAAATTCTTAAAGATCACCCTAAGATATTAAATTGATGGTTTTTAAAACAATTTAGTATTTCTAATTCCTTGAAGTGCTACTAAAAGATAAATTCTTTGAAATAAAAGTAAAAGATCTAAAAGACGAGGAGGAGGAAAAAATTTATGAATCAAAATTAACAAAAATAAATGAATTAGAATAGAGTTTTGACCAACTAAACCTTGCCATAGACTACTGCATCTCTCTCTTTTCAAAGAAAATTGCTGTAGAAGGAACAAAAAATAAGCAATAACATTACAAGTTATAGCTCTAAAATATTTTTAGGCACTCTCGTATACCTGAATACTTGCTAAATTTACTTGATAAAGTCCCATAATACAATTCAGTATTCATCGAATTTTACAGAGTAAATTAATTTGTTAATATATTGATTATTTGAAACAATTTATTTACTTTTAAATTAGAAATTAATAAAATTCTTTGAGCATTACACTGAAGATAATATGACAAATAAACGCAAATTATTGGACTATATTACAAATATAATGAATTTATGTCTTGTTCCTAACACACTTATAGCTACACCAGAAAAACTAAGCGATAAAATACAAACTCCAATTTAGCCTATAAAAGTATTTATTTTTTTGATTAATAATTAATTATCAGTTGATTAAATAAAATATTAAAGAAATTCTTAAAAAATTAATTAAAACAAAATACATTTTTTAAAATATTCAGATTTCCAAACTTTGCATTTAATTACTTGAAGAAATAAAAGACGATGGTACTATAATAAAAGATATTATCAATCAAATAATAAATTTAATAGAAGAAAATAATCCTTTTAATGTTAGCAAAGATAAATTCAGCAATTAGAATTGGAAACAAATGAAATATAAAATTTATAGGTTTGGAGTGGATGAGTTAAAATGCTTGGCACTCATTCAATACTTCAAAATTTTGAAGTCTTTAACTTTTGCCCATAATAAAAAGCCTATCTAATCTAATTAGCTTTAAATTTTAAATAATTTTATGCATAAAAGAGTGCTAACTGATATTGTTTAGCCCATCATTGAAAGTTATTTAACAAGGTTCTAAATAAAATTTGAATCTCAACCTGAATACCTTAAGCTCAAGCTGCATACTTAAGGTAATCTACTAAATAATTCATTTTATTCCTAATAAGCTCTCAAATATACTTATGAGTTAAAACTTATCAAATATCTGCTTACCATTCTAAAACTATTTTAATAAATAAATAAAAAATAATCATAAATAAATAAAATGATTTTTTTTCTTTTTGATTTAAATTTAAATAAATTTAATTAATTTAAGGTATTATCTTACTTGCATATTGTTGCAAGGACTTCAAAATTGGTATTTAAGAAATTCAGAGATTTGTGATGTTCGATACACTTAAAGCTATTATTGTTAGTCAGTATTCACCTTTTATGTTGAAGAGAGCTTACTTAAAATGTCTATTCGAAGCTTATGTGAATAAAGTAAGTATTAATATTTTTTAAGCTTTAATTAATGAAACTAAAATAGGTTTATGACATAGAAAAAGACAGTTCAAATGAAACTATTTCAAACATTGAGCTAAACGATATACTAACTTCTGAAATAATACCAATACTCTCTGTAACAACCTCCTATAAATACTTACAAGGCTTGATAATCCATAACGAAGAAAAAGGTTAGGAAGTGAAGGGATTAAGAGATAATGTAACTAGAAATAAATATAAAATTTTCAAATCAAATAAGGATTATGAAAAAGCTATATGGGCAGACGACGTAATTTGCATTTTTATATTAAAAAAACCAAGAATTAGAGGTTAATTAATTTTTTAAAAATATATTTTTAGTAAAAAAAGAATGATGATTAAGAAAATATTTAAGAATAAGGCATTGTAAAAGATGTAAGTGAATATTGGAAATATTTATTTAAAGAAGGTGTTATTCACTTCGTTATTGATAGTTTTGATGAGTTTAGCGATATCTTAGTAGGTGATTAGAAGGATGCTGATTATTAAGGTTCAGTCCTTAGTAACTTTTAATTCATTGGAAACTATTTACAAAAACTCTATGAATAAATTGAAATCGTTGAAAAAGAATTTAAAGTTATCAGCATCCAGCAAAAAACATATGTAGATTTTGAATTGATGAGAAATGTATTAGACATCATTCCGATTGGTAACCCAAAGAAAAGTGGAACTCATTTTATTATTGACAAGAACAAAGAAGAAAAAGTAAACAAATTTTAGATTAATTTAACTTAAAATTTATTTATTTCCACTAATTTAACTAAATACCAAATTAATTAGCAACAAATGATTTCTGGATATGTTTTATAAATAATTACTTATCTTTTTTAGTCTATCGAACTATGAAGCATATCAATTAATTATTTTTAAAAAGAAACTAATACAAAAATTTTATTCAAATTTTAAAAAATACATAATGAATTTACTAGAAAATTATTAATTTTTACATTTGGATATATGTAAAAACTAACTAATTTACATTGATTATTAAGTTTTTAATTTAGCTTTATGTACCAAAATTAAAATTTTTTAAAAACAAACAAACAATTAATATCTAATTTTTACTTTTATAGAATTAGGTTGTTAAATTAAATATAAACAATTAAGAGCAAGCAGTAGAAAACAATAATGCAGGTAAATAAGAAATTAATGTTGCAGATTATGTTAAAGATTTGGAATAGATCGAAGTTTAAAAACAATTTAAATTATAGCTTGTTAGAAAGAGAATAAAACTATAAGAATTCTTATACTAGTTCTACACTTATTTCCATGATACTAAATCTATAACGAAGGCTCTTTATCTAGCTTTAAATGTGCAAAAGCTTATTTTTATTCCTAGTTAAATTAATCATATACTCAAGAAATATTGCAACTACGAAGAAAGATATTAAAATTAACTTTCTTTAAATAGCTTATCTAAAAAAAAGATTCATAGCTAAGCCTAAGACTTAGAGGATTAAGCAAAGTAAGTTATGGGTACTTTGTATTAGTTAGCCACTAAATCTTTTAAAAATGAAGCAGTCTAAGATCCAGTTGATCTTAGTATAGTAAATAATATAATATTAAGTCATAAGAAAGCACGTTCATAGTAGGCATAAATTGATTTTATCAAAATTTAATTTAGTAAAATCATTAAGTTAAATATCAAAGATTAGTTAAATATCCTTAAGAAGTCTGTCATAGACTAAGAAGTAGAAAAAGATTTATTACAAGCAAAATCTAATCCTTACAGACTAGAGGCTTTGAAGGGTAAATACTCTTAAGATATAGATAATTGTATTGCTGACTATGAAGTATATGTAAAATCAAACGATGAAGATTTAAAAGAAGATAAATCACCTCTCTTTAATAAATCAAAGACTTTACTTAATAATAAAATTAATGGAATCTCTAATCCTAATCCGATTCTAGATAAAAGCTCAAATGTTGCTCGTTATGACGATTTAGAGGAAGAAGAAGAACTAACAAAAGTTGAGCTCTTTTGCTTGGATAGAATGATGGTTGATTCCTAAATTACTTTATTTTTAAGAGATATCTAATAAGAGCTTAATATTTATGGAATAGATAACCCAAATGAATAAGAAGATGAATTTTTGGAAGAGCTTCAAGATTTAGAAGAAGAAGAAAAATTTACATATCAAGCAAATTCAGATATTAATCCCCAAAGAAGAATCTTCTAATCTTATATTCAACTCTTTTCTTAAGTATTTGAAGAAAAAAAATATTATTTAGTTAAAATTGTTAGACTTCTGCTTGAAGTTGTTTAAATAGATGATTTAACTATGAGTTAACTCACTTCTACTCACCATAGAGAGAGAAAAAGAGCTAAAAATAAATTTGATCTCCTTCAACTTTGTCAATCAGAAGTAATTTTTTATATTTTTAACTTTTATTTTTTTATTATTTTCATATACTTAATTTTAAGATTAGTTCATATTTATTTATATTTATATTTATTTGTCATTTTTTCATTTTATTTCCTTCAGTCGAACAAAATTTTCTTTTTTTTGTTTTCAAAAAATAAATTTAAGTAAAAAAATACTGTTAATCATCTACTCTTTATTAAAATTAAAATACCTTAATTAATTAGATAGAAATTTTTAAAATATTCATTCTTAATTTTTAGGGTTGAGTATATAATTATTTTTAAATTTACTAATAAATAGGTTGCAGGATAGGAGATATTTATTCATGCCTTAAATTTAATCAAAGTTACTTCTACATATGATGAGCTTTAAGAAGGGTTGACTTTTATGATTTGTATGTTAAATAGAGGTAATCAATTTGCATAAAATTGTGTTCTCAATTATCTTAAGAAAAATACCGATAGTCTAGTTGATTTCTTTTCTTTCTTAAGAAACTTCTTTAATCAAGAAATTACTTAGCAAATTAAGGGCATGTTTGATTAATAGGTAAATAACTTTACTTATTCTTTTGATTAAAAATTATATTTATAACCATTTTTATTACTTTCATAATATGATTAAAAAAAGAGTTTAGATTTAACTAAATTTAATTGAATGGTTTTTATTTTTTATCTTATTGGGAATTTTTCAAATTCGTTCATTAATAAATCTAATAATATTAAAAGGCTATTTCAAATATCCCAACTGAATTTGAAATTCTTGCTTTAAAGATTCTTAGACTGATTTAGCTTTTCTGTGAAAATGTAAATGAAGATTTCTAATACTTTTTGATGAAATAGATTGAGGATGAAACGACTTAAATTTCTAATTACAATGTCATATTAGAAGTGTCAACCTTCCTTTCTATATTCCTCGAAGATGATTTGCTGCAAATGGGTCGTAAATAGAATATTATTATCCAGTGTATTGATACATTAAATGAGTGTATTAGTGGGTAGCAAGAAGTTGTTGATTGTGTTGGTAAAATATCATTTTATAAAATCAATTCATTTAAATTAAAACAATAAATTTTTTTCCATTTAAATTATTTAAAAATTAAAAAAAAAATAGCTTAAAACAAAAGATTGTTCATCTATCTAAATGAAAAAATTATAAGAAACAATTTCAACTTTGCCCAAAAAAAAATTGTAAATCCTACAAAAGATGAATTAAGAAGATTTGAAAATTACACAGCTAATTTAAAGAAGAACTTAGAACTTTTCTAGAGTGCTATTAAATTTATTCTTACAATAGTCAGTGGTGTTTCAAAGAGCGAGCATCTCGAATTTTTGCTTGATTAAGTTTAAACTAATAAATTAATTAGGATGATTGATCAAATTTATGAATAGAGAATCAAACCAAAAGAAGATTATGTTCAGATGGGTTAAGTATGCTAACATTTAAGCTAAGATAATGATGATGACGATGATGATAATGGTAAAATATTCTGTAGTGAAGATTTTTGCATTGAAGGAAAAGTTACATTAATCGATCAGCTAATCATGTCAATTGGCTTTAATGTATTTATTTTCTTCTATTACATTAGAGACGCTTTCCCAGACTATTAAGATAAATTGTTGGCATTCCATTTAGATGAGAAGAAAGATTTGGAAATAAATTTAGATTTATCAGATTTTGGTCTTTCTGCTAAACCATAAGAAGAAAAAATAGATGAAAAGAAACAAAATCAATAAGTATTAAAGAATATCAGAAAATAAAAATCTTCTCGTAATAATTCAATTAGAGCTATTTCTAATTCGAAAGGTTAATCTGGAATTACTAATGAAGAATAAGATGATGATAGCGAAAAGGATTAAAATGAACAAGACGAAGAGGAAGGTCCTAAAAAATCTTAAGAAAACATTAACGAAGAAATTGATAAATTTAGTGCACGTAAATTGCTCTCAAAGGGTTTAGCTCATTAGATACTAAAGGATATAGCTACTCTAGAAAATAACGAACCAAATGATTAGTAAAAAGACACTAATGAAAATATATTTACAGGAAAGTCAAAATATCAACATATTTTTGACGAGCATGTTGATGACTCATATTTAGTAAAGGATAAAAACAGAGATTACTTTAAATTCTTTAAAAATTTTGTTGGTTCTGTGGAAATATCAAATTAACATGATATTCTTAAAAAAGTGTACTTCTAGAAGCCATTTTACACAAAATATCTCACTCCTGACATCAAAAAGCACTTGGTAAAAATTATATAAAAAAAAACAATAAAGATTCAAAATAAAATATAAACGTTGATGATTTAATAATTAAAATTGTAATTGATTTAATAAAAAGGTTTATGAGTCAGATAGAGATTCAGATACAGAAAGATTAATGTTTTTAATAGATCACGCTACTTACTACGAGGAATAAATGATTCACAAATAAAAAATATCATAATGGGGAGTAAAGATTATCATATCTAATTAAATTTATAAATTAAAATTTCATTTAAAATATATAGATATTCTCTTATGTTGCAGATAAATGGAGATTATATAAATAAATATCTTACTATTTAGTTGTGGCTTTAACAATAATTACTCTTGCAACTTTTGGTTACACAGAAGAGACTGATAACGATGTTGCAAACAGCTCAAACAATGAAAATATCAAAAATACATTTGTAGTTGTATCTTATATTTAATTAATACTTAGTTTTGCTATCTTAGTAAGCTGTGCAATTGAAAGATTCCCAATTTCAGTTTATAGAAATGTAGAGAGCTAAGTTTATGAAACTATTTAAAGGCATAAAAAGAATGCAGGTTTTCCTGATGACAGTATTAGTAGTGTGTACAACTTAATAGCGAATAAACTATATAATGTTCTTTCAATTAAAAATGCAAAATCAAGCTTATATGTTAAAATTTTATTAGTATGCTTTGATAAAGAAAACATATACAATCTTTGTTATTTGATAATAACAGGATTCGCTTTTTCCAACAATCTCATTTATGCTTTCCTTCTCTTAGATATAGTAAAGAGAAGTGAAGATTTGCAAAATGTCATCTCTTCAATCACTAAAAATGCTCTCAGTTTGCTTAAATTCAGTTTTTTAGGTTTGGTTATCATGTACATTTATGGTATTATAGGTAATCAATCGTTTAAAGGCGATTATCAGCCTGAAAATGGAACCATAGGTGATACATTTATCCTAACCATCACTTCAACAATAAAGTAAGGTCTTAAAAATGGTGGTGGTATAGCTGAAAGTTTACGTTCAGTTGACTATGATGAACACACTTTTTGGTCTCGCTACTTCTTTGATTTGACTTTCTTTATAGTTATTAATATGCTCTTTATTTAGATGATTTTTGGTAATATTTCAATCTTAAATTAATTCATATTTAAAGCTATTTAATAATAGGTATCATTCTCGACACATTTGGTGAGTTAAGAGATAACAGATAAGAATTGCTTGCTCTTGTCACAGACACTTGCTATATTTGTGTAATTTACAATTATTTAAATAAATTATTTTACCATTTATATTTACTTTATTCAAAAGGGTTTAAGCCGTAGATTTGTTGAAGCTAACAGTGATGAAGATTGGTATCATCACATATATATGGAACATAACTGCTATAATCTTCTCTTTTACATTATTTACATAAGAAGAAAAAGTGAAAACGACTGTGATGCCTTAGAGAAATATATTAAAAAATGTTTAGATAGGAGTGAAGGCGAAAACAAGTTGCAACTTAAGCCTGTTGATTTTACTCCCATTGGAAAGAGTCTATCTATACAAAACTTCAGAAGTAAAGAAAAAGATCATAATGAAAGTGAAGAACACGATAATGAAGCGCATAATGAAAGCAGCGAAAATGGAAAGAAATAATCAGAAAAGAAGGACTGATTTGATTGATTAATAAATGCAATTAAATTCATGTACAGATTCAATTATAAAATAGATTTTGATTTATTTGTAGTTAAATATTTATGTATGTATAAATAATTTATATCTTATTTACAATAAATTAGTTAGCTAATTACTTATCAATCAAGCATATTGAGCTTTTTATAAAGCAAAATAATTTAATAAATAAATTAGAATTTTAAATAGATTTAATAATTATGAATTTTATTGATAATAAGTTAAAAAAATAATTAAATAATTAAAAGTTATTTTTGATTGTGTCTTAAAAAGATAAGCAAATTTGATAGTTAGTTAGCTATTTATTTATTTAGTTGGTTGGCTATTATGATTTCTATAAATAGCTAATAAAAAATATTAATAAAAATAACTAAAGAATAAATAACTATTAATCAATATTATCTTTCTAGGTATAAGAATATACACTTATTAACTTAAAAAAGTAGATTGATTTTTTTACTTCATTTATTCATACATTCATTTATTCAATCAACTCTAATCACAAAAATAAAACAAAAAAAATAAATAAACAAAATTTATTATTTTGCTTTATTTGGAATAGCATATCTCTGAGCCAATCAATTAATAAAAAATCAATTAAAATTTTGCCAATCCTCAACAATAAAAATAAAAAAAGGATAATAGTAAATAAATATAAAGATAAATAAATAAGTATGGCTGCAAACAGATTAAATAAATATTTAAACCAATCTTATCAAGAGGAAGAAAGCATCTATAATATCATTCCTCCTGAACCTGTCGCTATTTTTAAATCACGTCGTTATCATTCTCGCTATCCCTCTTCCATAGATCCCACAGGTTCTACTTTTGGTCATTAAAATACAACAAAGCCTGGAGTAATTTTTTAGTTTGCAAAAATTATACCTAATTTAGATGATAAATTAAAATGTAGCAAGTAAATTAAATTTCTTTTAACAAAATATAAGATTTCAAATTTAGCTGGAGATTTTTACTCACCTGACTTAGGTCATTAGAGAAGAAATAGAGGTGTTTCGTTTGGATCTCCACCAAGTAAAAATTAATTAATAGAATTTGTCATTTGAAATGATTAGCAGTGAATTAGGAAACATTATAAATTTATTTACTAAAAATTAGAAAAGAGTTAGCAATCTCCATCAAATTATTTGAGAAAAGGAGAAGGAACATCAGTTGGAACAATTCTTAGGCTACCATAAATAAATTGTAATTTTATGATAGAAACTTAAAAGCAAAATAATTGAAAAATACGATTTCATATAGAAAGAATAATAAATTTGACTTATGAAAATCTAATTTTTTACTTTAAACATTATTTAGAATCAGTTAATAAAAATGAAGTATCATTCTAGTCTGCTCTCAATTAAAGTTATATAATCAATTAAAAATGCAATTCAAGAAATCCATCTGTACCAAAAAGGGAGGAATGTCCGTATTCCGTGGTTCCTTAAAAGAAAAGTTATGTTTTATAAAATATAGTTCAAAATATTTTGTCATGTAAATTAAATAAATTATTCATTGAGTTTATTTATCTTTAAATTAATCAATTAAATTAGCTCCACCAAAAAATGAACCTCATTAAGATTGGTTGAAGAAAAAAAATTATGGAAAGATTCCATTGTATTTAAGTCGTTTGAAAGAGTAAACATAGCAGGAATATGAAACTCTTAAGAATTTCATTGACCAAGAGGAAGCGATTAAAAAAAGTTAAGTGTAAATAAAATAGTTTTGATAATTGCTATAGGATTAATTTTAACATTAAATAATATTTAGATACGAAATACCTCAAGAGGAATTACAACAATTGAGGTCCGGATTAAAAGAAAGATGGAATGAACTCAATTCGGAATATTAAAAGACTTCTCATAAATCTAAATTAGATACTCTATCGAAGGTTTAAAAGTAAATAATTTATTTGTTTAATTCTTAAACTTTAAAAATAAATAAAATTATTTTTGAAATAGGAGATTAAATTTAGAATAGCAGTTATCATAAATAGAAAAAGATATAGAATTATTAAATAAAAAAAGGATTGTAGTTGATGTAACTAAATGAGTTTATTTATTAATTTAAGTAAATAGGTCAAAGTAGCAAGTCCTCTTTCAAAATGTTGTATTAGAAATAACCCAGCTCACAATAATTTTAAAAATTAATAAAACCAAAAATCAAAAAAATATGAAAAGATTTAAGAATTTTAGAGCTTTGCTTATCATGTAATAGATTAAAGAAAGCTATCGCTTTTGCTAACATTTTATAGAATATCATTCATTATATACATTTAATATATAAATTAATAAGAAATTAATATTTGTAAATAGAAATATTATATAAAATTATTTATTTTAAAATTACTTTAAATTAACAAAAATCTTATTTCTGCTGTTATTAAAATGAATATATTTTAGCTTTCTAGATAGATAATAAAATATTTAGCAAGGCTTTCTTTCATTCTTTCGTTCCTTTATTGAGTAAGAAGATCATCAATTAAATTGGTTTTGAATATATATTTTGGAAGATTTCAAGTATAAATTTTAGTATATTTGAAATTCCTAAAATATTAATATAAATGAAAAATGCAATTTAAATGTTTTACTCAAACAACCTACCAACTTAATTTTATTGATGTTGGATCGATTAATCGAGCAAAATAAAAATAATATATATAAACTTTATGTGATAAAATATTATAATATAAGCAAAGGAAGGAATGAAGTAGAATATAAAAGATACAGATTAAGAGTAGAATATTTTAAAAATGAAAGAAGATTTAAATTTTTTAAAAAATAAATGAATTAAATAACTAACTAACTAATCAAATATTGTTTTATTCTTGATAACCACAAAGTTTGCATGTGCATATCTTTAATGGAAAAAAAATCCAAAATGAATGAATTTAAGTAAAAATAGTAATATAGTAGAGCGAGTTAAAAAGTATAAAGGACTATCTTTTTAGAAAGCCATATATGTATGCATGTATTTATGTGAAAGCGACTGTTTAAAAAATGAAGGCGAGAGGTTGATTGCTGCAGTAAATATGAGAAACAAAGGGAGAAAATAATCTAATTAACATGAGAGAGCAAAAATATAGAGCAAAAAAAGAATTGTATTAAATATCAAAATTAAAGAAAGCAATTTTGAAAGAGGAACTAAAATAAAATAAAAGAATACAAAAACAAAGAAACTAAATTAATTCAATAAAAAGAAGAAAAAACAATAAAGATAAAAATGGTCAAGGTTAACATTTTGGCTGAATGCCTTAAGGATTTAGTTAATGCCGAAAAGATGGGTAAGAAGCAAGTTCTCTTAAGACCCGTTTCCAAGGTCGTCCTCAAGTTCTTAAGAATTATGTAAAAGAACGGTTACATTGGTGAATTCGAAGTTATCGATGACCACAGATCCAAGAAGGTCGTTGTTGAACTTATTGGCAGAATTAACAAATGCGGTGTTATTTCTCCCAGATATGACGTTCCTCTTGCTGACTTCGAAAAGTGGACTAACAATATCCTTCCCTCCAGACAATTCGGTAATGTTGTTCTCACCACCACTTACGGTATTCTTACTCACGAAGAATGCAGAAAGAGACACACTGGTGGCAAGATCCTCGGTTTCTTCTATTGAATAATCTATCTATGTACATTATTAGGGGAAAAGAATTGATAGAGGCTGATTGATTTTCCTTTCAATGAAATAATAAAAAAATATAGTAAATTTAAAGCAAGTAGTGTTTAAAATCGATCTTAAAACAATTAAAGCTAAGTATATAAAATTATTTCTAAATGTTTGATGTTTTATATATTGTTTTATTTAAATCATAGAGATTACTTTAAAATATTACTTTGGCATCATCTTATTAAACTACTAATTGAGCGATTTATTCATTAAATAGGGGAATATTACAGCATTTCAATCCGTCTTTTGATTGCTGATCAATGCTGCCTCAATAAATTTTACTTTTGCAGCAAATTTTATGTTCTTTGCATTCAAATCTTATAAAAAATATATCGCTTAATCGCATAAATACTTATTAATTCAATATCTCCTAAAAAAACAAACAATAACCCAAGCTATCAAATCTAACAAATAATTAGTTATTTAGCTATTTAGCATCAAACAGCCCATTTAACAAAACAAAAAAAATTATAATTTCAAAGTATTTTAAAATGGGTTGCTAAAATAAATAAATAATGCTATATTTTTCATATCAGTTATTTTTGTTTGAATTACTCCTATGAAACAAAATCAAAATCTATCAATTAATCAAAATATAAGTAAATAAATAAATATATTTTATTTTTCATTTGATAATCAAAAATAGTATTCAAATTCATTATTTAAGATATATTAAAGATTTTGATGTATATTAAATTAATCAAATCCAAATCAAAAAATTTGATAACAAAAACTTTTATAAATATCATAATTATATTTAGATAAATAAATTTTGGTATGATAAGAAGAAAATAATATATTTAGAAATCTATCTATTTTTCTGCAAATATTTTAATATCCCACATATATATTAATTAATTTCTTACGTATTAATTTAAATTGCTACTTTACTAAAATTTAAAAAAATCTAATAAATTCATAAATTTAATTTCCATTGAAATTACTTAACTTCTACTAAAGTAGAGTTATCAAATTAATTTTACTACTAAAATTTTAATCATCTTGAAAACAAAATATAATTTTATTCATATTTCTTTTATTAGTGAAAATACTATTTTTTAAGTTTTAAATATTTCTAAATTGTTTTATCTTTAAATCATTTTTGCTTTAACTATGTATAATAAAGATAAAATTTTTAGATTTTGTTCTTTATTCTTCACCTAATATATAAAGAGTATTAGTATTGTTGAAAAGAACAGAACTACTTATTGAAAAAAATAATTCTAATTTTTTTATTTAATGGATTGTTTTAATAATTTTAAATAATCTGAAACAAATCTTACTATTAGAAGATATTGAAAGCAAAAATTATGTCATTATTTATTTTCAATAAAAAAAATAAAAATAGATTTAGTTAAAATAAAATTTTGATTATAAAATCATTCTTACTAACATATATTTTTTTTAAAATTATAATAAAAGCATTAATAATATAAAACATTCTAAACATAAAAATGCCTAGATAATCTTAATAACAAATTACTATCAACATTATATTTTTTATTTCCAAATAAAGCAATTAAATTAAATTTCTAATAAATTTAATGCTATTCTAAATCAAAGATTAATTACTTTTGAATAATCATACTGAAATTAATTCTTATATCTCTTAAATAATAACTTAATGGCATTAAAAAAGGGTAAAGAGGAATTTTTTGCTTTAATTTGTAAGTTAGCTCATAAGATTTAATTCTTCAATCAATATATTAACTCTCTGATTTGTAGGCTTTTAAAATTTATTTTTGAGAAATTTATATATGATTAAATAAAAAGATATATTATTTATTCACAAATATTAACATGATATTTCAAGCAAATGTGATTTGGTTAAAGAAAGTATTTAAAAATAAGATAAATTGAAATTTATCTTTTATTTTTTAATTTTTGGTTTAAATATTTTAAAATAAGATTTTTAATTAAAGTCAATTTAAATTTTTAAATAATAAACAAAAATAATTATCAAAAAATAAATTTTAATTGGTTTACAAAAATAAAAAGGAAATATTTTTAATTGTTTAATTTATAAAATCTATGATATTAAATATATCTTTCAACAGAAATATCAAAAGTTTTTGAATTTAATTAAGAAGTAAATAACATTTAAAATATTAAATTGAAAGAACAAAATTTAAGAGTGGTCAAAACTCATTCTCAAATAATAGCCTAAATTGCCTAGCAATATTTATAATATTTTAGAATAAATGAGTTAAACTAATCTTCCATAAAAGAAAACGGTCTTACCGCCTACATTATGGATAAGACCTGGTATACAGATTGATAATCAATTATTTATGACAATATAAACACACACACACCAATTTTAATAATTTTTAATTTAGATGTTATTAATTATATATCATTAATCTATAAAATATTTTTATATTAAGATTTAAAATATTTACTAATTAATTATTTCTTGTAGGTCAGGTGTGCTGGGTAGGCAATTATGATATCTAAAAGAAAGAAGTCACCAATTATTTTGCTGCTTTTATTTAGACTTCTAATCATTCTTTATAAAATGCCAGAGTAAAGTACTTGGATAATATTGATGCTCCAACTGAAGTAGCTATGAAATTTATACTAATGAGAAGCGATGATAACAAAATAAATTTTAATTCTATGGATAATTTGATTAATTTGCCTATATTAAACGAAGCTGAATTGATTCAATGTATTAAAATTAGATTTTAAAATAATCAGATATTTTCATACGTAGGATAAACGCTTATAATTGTTAATCCATTTAAAGATATATTTGATTTGTTTAGCAATGAAATCATTGAAAATTTTAAACATTGTGCCAGAAAACGTGGTTTTATACTAAAACAGGAGTAGCCTCACATTTATGCAGTGGCTGCTCTTACTTATAATCAGTTATTTGAATACTATAAATCTTAGGCTATTGTAATTAGTGGTGAAAGTGGTACAGGCAAAACTGTAAACACTAAATTATGTATGAAATTAATAGTACAAATGAGCTCATAAAAATAAAATACAAATTAGCAGAGTCACCAACTTGAATAGTAGGTTATATATTTAGGTTTTCTTATTATTTTTACTCTAAAATAAAAATATAAATTAATATTTTAATTTTATTGTTTTTTAATAACAGATTATTAATTGCAATCCTATCCTAGAAGCGTTTGGCAATGCCAAAACTATTAAAAATGATAATAGCAGTAGATTTGGTAAATTTGTTAGTATTTTTATTGACATGAAGCTTGAAAAAATTATGGGTGCGAGAACATAAAGCTATCTGCTAGAAAAATCAAGAGTTATTTCATAATCCAAGGAAGAAAGAAATTATCATATTTTTTATAGTTTAATGTATTCTAATGATTCAGAACTTTTACAATCCCTTGGTTTGAAAGAAAAAAATTAAAAAGTGAATTTGACCAAATTTAATTATCTTAATAAATCAGATTGCTACACTGTAAATACCATTAACGATGAAACATCATATTTTGATGTATGCTAAGCATTAAGCACTCTAGGTATTTTTTAATACATCCTTATATAGATTCTTTTAATTTGTATTAAATATTCTTTTAACACAAACAAATTGATATTAAAAATTAGAGATTGACACTATAGATCCTAAGTATATATGGCAAATTTTAGCTGCAATTTTGCATTTAGGAAATTTAGAATTCGATGATAGATACGCTGATAGTAATTCAGATTAGCCCTGCTAAATTATACAAAGTGGCAGCTCCACATGTGAGAATATATCTAGCTTTCTAGGAGTGCCACTTGAAAAATTGAAAGAAGCTTTGCTGAAAAAGATCATTAGAGTAATCAACTAATTAATTACTTTTAAATTGAATATATTAAGGTTTATGAAATGATTTATTAAAAGGTAGGTAATAAAGAGCCTACAACGTCTTCTAAGCAAAAAATAGATGTTATTTCTCACCTGCATTCGTTATCTAAGGATTTATATGACAAACTGTTTTTTTGGCTTATTAAAAGAATGAATGATAAACTGATGCAACTCTCAGAAAAAGAAATCCAAATAAGAACTATGTAAAATGAAATGAAGCAAATAGGATTATTAGATATATTTGGTTTCGAAGTATTGCAAAATAACTCATTTGAATAGCTTTGCATCAATTATGCCAATGAAGTTCTTTAGTAGCTTTACATCGAATATACTTTCAAAGCAGAATAGGTAGAATTTGAAGAAGAGGGTCTTCAAGACGAGCTCAGTCAAATTCCCTTTTCTGATAACAACGAAGTAATAAACTTACTTGATAAGCCTCCTTTCGGACTTTTTCATTAAATTGATGAAAATTGTTCTCTTGCTACAGCAGGAGATGATGGTCTTTATAATAAAATAAAAGATTAGCACAAAACAAATCAGCTTTTGATAGTCCCAACAATTAAAAGCGATAAATTCACAATTTAGCATACTCCTAGATAAGTTTAATACTCAATCTTAGGCTTTAGAGCAAAGAACAAAGATGAAATGAATCTACAATTTATTTAATTGCTTTCAGAATCTAAAAATCCTATTATAAATGATATATATTATGCTGAATTATAGCAGCTTGTTTAAAATCAAAGTAATTAAAAAGTAACTCAAGCCAAAGATAAGTTTATAGGCACTAAGTTTAGGAAATAAATAAATTAATTAATGTCAGAACTAAGATAAAGTGATGTACATTTTATTAGGTGTGTAAAACCTAACGAGAGTAAATAACCCAATCAATTTAATGATGATATCATATTAAACTAGCTAAGATATTTAGGTGTTCTAGATACTATCAAGATAAGGAAAGAAGGTTTTCCTGTAAGAAAAGAATACAAAGACTACTTCAGAAAATTCGGAGAAATTATGGATTTAAATGCAACATTCACAGAACTTGATAAATAAAAAGCTGATTTTAGAAAATATGTAGTAAATGCAGAATTATGGAAAAACAGTTTCTAACCAAAAGGTAAAAAATTCTTCTTAATTTAATCATTTAAAATTCTCTTAATTGATAAGATATTTTATTTTTAAATTTATTTTTTATAATACTAAATGAATACATATATATGAGGAATTTAAGAAAATATCAAAATTATTTTTATACTTAAAATTTTTATACAATCTCAATATAAAAATATTTATAAATTAATAAAAATAAATGAAAAATTTAAGAAAACATCAAAATTTTTGTTTGTTTTCCACCTAAAACAAAAACAATATTTGCTCTTAATATAAATTTATAAAATTTTCAACAATAAAAGATATTTATTTAGCTTTCTAAAAACTTAAATTCTAAGCTTTGAGAAAATGTGTTTTAATATTTGAAAAGATAAATTAAAAAAATGCCCTTTTTATGCATTTCAATTTAAAAAAATATTTATCTAATTATAATTTTTAAGATAATAAGAAATAAGTAGTGTTTGGAAAAACTAAGATATGTTTCAGGAGCGAAGCTTACGATTAACTAGAATTAATTTATTAAGAAAAAATTAAGAAAAAAACTGAGGCCACAATATAGATTCAAAGGATAGCAAGAGGTTTCTTGGCAAGAAAATAAACAAAAATAGTTAGAAATAAACTTTTACTGATAAATAGGTGGCTGAAATCTAGGTTGATTCGTATATAGTTTCTTAAAAAGAAGAAAGCTGTAGACAGAATTAAAAAATTTTATAAGTAAGTATTATTTAAAAAGATAAGAAAGATGGCTATGGTGATCTAACTCTATATGAAGAGATAATTGCACCTTAGAAATTACTAAAATAGTATTAAATAGATCATAACCACTCAAAGATATATAAAAAAATAAGTTTAAGTGTGGAAATAAAGAAGATACGTAAACTTCAAAAGAACTATTGTGGTAACTTATTTATTTATTATTAAATATACATATTAAGAGAATAATTATCTAATTAATTAAAAGCTGAATTCTCTAAGCTAGGCTTGGTACAAAATCACAAATAGAAATGCTACTATGATTTAAAAAATAATCAAAGGTTATTTAGTGAGAAATGTTTTTCATGCTGATAAAATTAAACATACTAAAATTCACATGGTTAGATGGCACTAAAATAAAGCTGCTACCAAAATTTAAAAAATTATTAGAGGAGTTTAGGGCAGAAAATACGCAAAACATAGAATGAACTGCATATTGTTTATACAGAGACACTATAGGATAAAATGGTTAAACGAATTTAAGTAAAAGCTAGAGAATGCAGCCATCAGCCTATAAGTAAATAAATTTTAATTTCTTAATTATTTACTTTGTTTTATTGATTCTTTGATATTTAATTAATTAACCAATCCTTTTTTTAATGCTATAATTAATTTCAACAGAAAATTTACAGATAAAAATCTGAGAATTCCAAAAATTAAAGAAGCTATTTTTTAAATGAAGACTTAGCTTTATAAAATATACAAATTTCAGAGTAAACTGCTATGATTACTTCCAAAATGTAATTACTCGATTAGTCAAGAAAAGATTGCACTCTCATTTCAAATTTAGACTCCAAAGAAGCTCGAATAAATAGAGACCATCTAACTCCAGCAGACAAAAAAATTTCATTTTTCCTTTTTGTGTTAGATTACGAGATCCTCACAGATACAAGCGAAATTTATGATCCATTATGGAATAAGTAATTTTCTTACCTATAAAAAGAAATGCTTTAAACAAGCCACGACATTACTCATATTTAAGTTGGTAAGACATATGAAAAAAAAAAATTATCTTAATTATCAAATAAAAATTTTTAATTTTAAATAAATTAATTAGGTGACACGCATAGCATTGCAAGCTCAACAAATGGTAAAATTTATGGATGGGGATGGAATGATTTGTGCTAAATTGGTATTGATTCAAATGAGGGTTATTTTTGTACTAAAAAGCCTATTCCTATACCTTGGATTGAAGAAATAACAAGACCAAAAGCATTTAGTGTGGGAAGCAATCATACTTTTGTTTTGGATGTAGATAATAATTTATATGTCTAAGGAAAGAATAACTTAGGTAAACTTATTATTTTTTAAAGAAAGGATTTTTAAAATAAATAAAAAATAGGTTAATTAGGATTAGGTCATAATGATATAGTGCATGATCCTGAGAGACTAGATCTAAATATCAAACCAGATGATAGAATTAAAATTATTAAATCTAGATACGAATAGTCTGTAGTAGTTACAGAAAAAGGAGTTGTCTTTATTTGGCCATTTTAACTTTAAAACAATAATTGGATAAATGAGCCGTTTGAACTAGCTTTCCCTTCATCTAAAGTCCTAATATCCTAAGTCTCTTGTGGTTTAAAGTTTTCTATATTTTTATCAAATAATGGTGTCCTATATTCAATGGGATCAAACGAATAAGGCGAGCTTGGTTTGGGAGATTGTATAGATAGAAATATTCCTTGCTAGATTGAGTCATTGAAAAACTCAGCAGAAAAAATTTAATAGTAAATTAAACAAACATCTCATTTATTTTTATATTTAATAAATTTCCTTTGACTTTTGACGAATTAAGCTATAAAAATTTTTTTATGATTGCTATTAAAGTTAAAAATATAAATTTATTTAATAGCAAGAAATATTTTTTTGTTTACTTTTTTTTGCTTTTCAAAGATTTTTAAAGAAATTTTTTTTTTAAATTAAAATAATTATTTTAATAATTAATTCTATGATAATTTGATATTTTAAGTAAATTTATTTTTAAATGAAAATTTAAGAGTTGAATGTGGGTAGAAACACACGATTTGCAAATCAGGACTGAATAAAATATATACTTGGGGATTCGGTGCAAAAGGATAGCTAGGTCATGAAAATAAATAAAACGAATATTATCCTAGATAAGTTAATCTTAGTGCTAATTACAGCAAGCAGAAAATAATGCAAGTATAAGCAGGTCAAAAGAGTAGTTTAGTTTTATTCGATAACAAAAAAATATTGTGGTGGGGAACTAATAATCACTTGAAATATTAAAGTTCACCTGTTGAAGTTGACTTGTCATAAATCCACAAAACTATGAATAGTTAAGATTTTTATCCTGTTAGAATAGAAACAACATGGAGTAAATCTGTATCGCTCACTTATATTAGAATGGCAGATACACGAACATTTGATTAGGGAATTTAATTTAAACAAAAGCTAATAAATACTCTTATTCAAAAATGGCAAGAGTCTTATCTAAATACAAGTAAATTTATTTTCAATTTTCTAAAAAAAATTGATATAAATAATATTAATTGCTTATTTTTCTTGTAAAATTAGTGGATGTTCCTTTTTTCGATACCATTTCGAAAAATATTTCAAATCGCCATGTCCTCAAACATTTTTCAGCATATAAAGTAAAAATTTAAGAAAAAAAAATTTAACCTGATATAATATATTTTAATAATTAGAGAGTAGGCCCTAAATACCCTAAATAAAAGGCAGAAAAATATTATGTCTTATAAAACTCAAGTCCTATCAAAAAATAGGATGAATTTTTTGAAGAAAATACATAAGGCAGCAGATTTTAAAATTCTTCTGTCATAACATAATCGTCTCCAGGCAAACCTTTTAAAGATGTCTTTTAAAATTTTATAGAAAACTCTGCAAAAAAAGAAAATAAGATTTTAAAAAGCTAAAATTAATAAGAAGGGGGTTTAGATGAAGTAAATTTTTTATTTTAAAAAATAGTTATTAAAGTTAAAATTATATATATAGTTTGTTTCTCCTGTTGCAAAATTGCAGGGGAAAGAAGAAGAAAATTTACTTGATACTATGAAAGTCTCACCAAACAGTCTATTTGAGAAATACAAAAATGAAAATAAAAACCAATAGAAAGTCTCTTAATTTGAAATTAATATTCATAAAGTACCTTCAATGGGCCCTAATTAGAATATGCTTTAAAAAATGAAAACTTTATAGCCAACTAAGCTCTAGCCTCCGATGTTTGGAATAGTGAAGTAGGTAAGTAGCAACCTACCAGCAAATAGAGGATCAATAGATTCAGAATCATCTCAAATTACTTCTTCTAGATCAAAATCAAAGGAAAAACCAAAGCAAAACGTTAAATTTAGTGATAACTAATTCTAAAAAAGTTCATTTTCATCTAATAACAGAGATGGACCTAATTAAGATTAAAATGAGTAAAGGTAATTTGCTACAAAATATAATATTCCCACCTCAGAATAAGGAATGCTTTCATCTAAAGTTATATATGCCTAAAATCAATATGCAAATAACTAGGAATCTATAGCTCCCTAAAGAGATTCTTCTCAGAATCAAAACTATAGAAAAGAGAATAGAGTATTGGAAAAAACATATTCAAAATAAAATATGTAAAGCATAAAAGAATTGAAATTTAACAATGTAACTAAAGATCAAGTGAAATACCCATTTATAAATGATGAAAAATATGAAAATAAAACTTCTGAAAATGACGAATTTATCAACTCACTGTAAATATTTATCATAATATCATAAAATTAAAAAAAAATGTATTAACAAATTAATAGGCACTAAAAGCTAGCTGGTATAAAATCCAGAATGCAAACTCTAACACGAATTCCAAAAGAAGAATGGACACTGGATGATCATTAATTTATGAGTGAAGTCTCTAATTCAAAAATGATAGAGTTTTTCAAGAGTATAAGCTGAAAAGATAAAATTTATAAAAAATAATCAAACAAAATTATTAAAATATAAATAGCCTTTTAAAATAATAAACTTAACTACTAAAATAAAATTAATTTAAATACTAATCAATAAAATCCATATCTGTTAGACTTGTGTACATATATATTTGTTATAACTGATATTTCTATTAAAAAAGCATTTATTAAATTCTGTCTCAAAAAATCCATATTATTATTTGATAAATATCAAATTTTTTTTGAAAATTTTTAATAAAATTGAATTATTTATTTATATAATCTCTAAGAAATTTAACAATGATTTATTTTTATAATCTAATTTTCCATTAAATTTAAATTTTAGAATCAAATTCATATTTGTAAAAATCAAAATAAATTAATTATTAACTTATTAATCGGGGTTGGGGTTGGGGTTGGGGTTGGGGTTGGGGTTGGGGTTGGGGTTGGGGTTGGGGTTGGGGTTGGGGTTGGGGTTGGGGTTGGGGTTGGGGTTGGGG